CTTTATAATAAAAGTATTTATTATAGTTTTAGTAAGTTAGGTAGTTTAAAGTTAGATCTATAGGATTAGAAATAAATATAGATATTAAGATAGAAGAACTATTCTTTACTATATAGAAGTTTAGATAGTTATTCTAAGTAGAGAGTAAGTTATAAACTTATATCTATATTAGTATTAGTTATATAATAGGAGATTAGATTACTCTATTATAGTATATATATTAGTTTTTAAGCTTCTAGAGGAAAGCTATAAACTAGTAGTATTTATAGATTAAGGACTTATTATAGAGAAATATTCTATAGAGTTCTTAGTTAATAGTTTATTCTAGTAATATAAATAAGGTTTTTTTAGATATCTCTTTTTTAAATATAAGATATTAGAATTTAGTAAAGAACTAATTAAATTTTTTATTAGTCTATTAGAATTAAAAGAGTTTATTTTAGATATTATTTATATAATTAGGATTACTAAAAATATTTTTAAGAATACTTAGGATTTTTTTATAGTTAGGTAAGATATAACTTCTATTCTAAATATATAATAAGATCTAGATATATAGGATTCTTTTAAACTAATTTATTATATATAATATTTAGCTTATTAAGGTTAAAAATTAATTAAGGTTTATAATTAACTTTTCTTAAATCTAAGATATAAATTAGTAGAGATCTTTATAATCTCTATTAAATATATAAAGATCTAAAAGATATTTAGAAAAGATAGAGAAATAGATAGTATAAGAATTAAATAGTAAAGATATTTCTAATATTAGAGTTAGTAATCTTTTAATAAATACTTTAGGAATTAGATTTATATAAAGAGTATTTATAGTAAGAGTAGTAGTTATTAGGACTTAATTATATTTTTAGTAAATAGATTCTAGTTTATAGGTATATTCTAGGAGATTTTCTTAAGTTTATATTAGTTTTTCTTCTTAATATTTAAAAATACTATTTTTTTTAGATAGTTTATTATAGATTTATATAAGTTTTTCTTTAATCTAGATAATTTCCTAGATTAGATAAATAATCTTTTATTAAGTAGTATAGTATTATTAGTAGTATAAATAGATTAGTTTTCTAACTTTCTTAGGGTATTTATATACTTATTTATAGTATATAAACTAGGCTTTAGGATTTATATTATAGTATTTAGTATAGGTTTTAAGATTTTTAGATAAGAATAGTAGTAAAGAAGTCTTTATAGGTTTTAATAATTAGTCTATAGTTAATAGGTAGTCTAACTTCTAATATAGAGATAGAAACTATATAGTATTAGGATATAATAAGTAGTTATATATTAGAAGCTAATAAACTAGCTTATATAGTAAGTAGAGGATTAGAAGTAGTTATATTATAGATAGACTATAGGATAGAAGATTAACTAAGACGTAGCTTAAAGAGCTATATCAAATAGAAATAGGAAGTTCTAATAGTCTTAGGGGTTATATAATAATAGGAATAGGGATCCTCTTATATAAGGATCCACACTATAACAGTAGCCTTAGATATATTAAAACAAAATAAGATAAAAGTAAAGAATAAGAAGATAGAGAGTTAAGAATTAAAAGCTAAGAAAAGATAAAAGATAAAAATTAAAAAGATAAGAGAGAAGCTCTTATCTTAAAGATATTAAAGAACCTATATTACTTTATTTATATTTATATATAAAGATACCTAAGGTAGTATTAGTCCTAGAATCTTTATTTAATATAATACTACTAGATATGAATTACCTAATTAAATATAAGTTATATAGATAATTAAGTTAACTATTATTAAAAGAGAAGGATAAATTATTATAGGATTCCTAAATCCCTTTAGATATAATTTAGATACAATTTATAGCTACTCTATAAGTAAATCTATTATAATATATCTACTAATATATAACTACCCTAAGTCCTAGTAAGCTTTAGTAATATTAAAATATATAAACAATAGTTACAATTCTTGTCCTACAAGAATTAGTTCTATATATCAACTGTTCTATTTGATCTCTACTATCCGATATCCTTACCTAGTCATAGGTCTCTAGCCTAATAACTTAGTAACTATTACACTATAGGATAGAAGATTAACCAAGATATAGCTTAAAGAGCTACATTAAACAGGAATAGGAAGTTCTAATAGTCTTAGGGATCATATAATAACAGGAATAGGGATCCTCTTATATAAGGATCCATACCGTGACATTAGTATATCTAGAATCCCTATTCTAACTCTTCTTAGATAATTAATAATTCTACTTAATATATCTTTTTTTATTATAATTAAAATATATCTAAATTTCTTTCTATTAATTATCCTTCGATTTATTTATAGACTTAAGAATATCTAAGTCTATTATATTAGGGTTATACTAATTACTATATAGATTATTACTTCTATCCTTCTTTTCTAGATAACTAGTAATTATAGCTCTTTATTTAAACTATATAAAATATTTAATTATCTCTATAAGTCTTATTAAGTAATTTTAGTTCTCTATCTAATACTTCTATAACTATATTTTTATACTCTTCCGTAGGAATTAAATTAGAATAGTCTCTAATATCTTAATTTTATATTTAACTATAGCTTCTTAGAGATCTATTATATACTTAATAAAGATATAATCTTCTTAATAATACTTCTAGAAGTAGTCCTATTGTTTTTCTTTATTAAGATATTCTAAGAACTTATATTTAATCTATATCCTATATACTATAAATATATAAACTTCCTAGTTAGGATCTATAATTATGATATATTACTTATAATATTTCTAAAACTAAGCTACTCTTTTTTTAAGAGCTCTATTAGTTTAAATTATCTTATTATATTCTTCTAGTTGTACTCTAGTAAACTATATAATCTTATAAAAGTAGTATTTATAGTTATAGAGATACTTTTATATAGTATTGTCTTGAATTTAGCTATTATATTTATTAATTATATAGATACTCTTTATTAATATCTATTTAATAGCTAATATACTTAACTAGATATAAATAATATTAGATATTATATTATACTAAGTAGCCTATAGTACTTCTTATCTTATATATTTATACTTAAATATAGTAGTAGTCTAGATAATAATTTTAGATATAACTACTAGATTACTATTAATACTCTATATATTTATATAAGTCTCTATAAATACTAATAAAAAGATAAAAAGTATATATATAATTTACTTATCTATAAATAAAACTTACTAGTAATCTTTTAATCTGTTATTAGTAACTTTATATAAATAATAATTATCTATTATAATTAATATATTCTAGCCTTTTCTTTAATAAAATTAAATATATTAACTTTTCTTTTCTTTATAATAAAGTTCTTCTAAAGATATTAAGTCCTTACTATATTCCCCTTTTTACTTCTCTTAAAGATAGCTATATTATAGTTCTTAACTACTAGTCTCTAGTTTTACTTAAAAGAATATCCTAAAACAATATAGTTAATATAATATAATATAATAGCTTAAAAATAAAATACTAATATATATAGATCTATAGGATTTACTATATCTTATCTATATTTAGAGCTTTAACTATCTGATTATAATAGTTTATACTTATTCTATAAACTTTAGCTTCTGAATTCTCTTAGATAAAAACTATATATATAGTATTAAGCTTCTATACACTATTACTATATTAAGATCCCTTCAATAGACCTTATTACCTTTTGAATCGTTTTTTCCAGGGTCACACAGACGTTTATATTACGCTCCTAACAGCCCCTAATAAGCTATAAAAGGCACTATCTTCAAAGTAATACTACTATATAAGATCTTTAGGTGCAAACGGGTATATATTACTAAGTTAGGGGAAACAACAGTTAATATATATATACCAGTAAACAAATATAGCAAACAGATATATCTAATCACATACAATCAGATAACTATAGATAGATAGCAACAGATATAGACATAGATATTGCTATACATAAACAAACATAACAGATCGTAACATATGAAATATATAGGGAGAATTAGGTAAATTTATCTCAATATCTAAAATAGGAAAAGCATAGAGAAATTATATATTTAAGGGTTAATAAGGGTCAATACAAGTAACCCTTAAAGGACTCTTAGAGGGTCAGGGTTAGGGTTAGAGTCAATAAGATTAGACCCTAACCCTCTAAGATACAGATAGAGGTTCCTGATCTTGGACCCGCAGGGCGGGTGAGTGCTAGGTCTAACACCAGTACTGGCGCCCCCGGAACCTCTAAGGATAGTACTAACAGCTATATCTCTAATTACAGCACCGCTATTGTGTAGAGTAATAAACCTGCCATATACAGGAAAGTTAGCTTCTATGAGGATTATAAATTGAAGAGGCCCTGCCTCTATCAGGATGTCTCCTAAATTTGCATTCGCCTATTTGCCGCTTCCCTTAGCGCTCAGGTCGTTTCAGCACGCAGAAGACATTTTGGTCAAAGAATTGCTCAATTCTATTCAGGAAATCACTACTCCTAATTTTCGGTATTTTATAAATTTTATTTCAATTAGGCCAAATATCGCGTTGCTATTACTTACCAATTATATTCCACATGGACGTTCGCTCAAATCCGAAGAAGTAGTATGTTAAAGTAGAATTTAGAAATGCGCAATACTAGGTAATACAAGACTGATTTTGTTTCTCCTGTTAAGGAACGAAGACTAGTATTACGAAAATGTTAAACATATTGTAGGTGGTTAAGACAGGGGTAAAAACCATGGAAAGCTATCTTTCACTGCATTCGATTCGAATATTCTAATATATTGAAGCTCAAAGCGAAATATAGATTAATAATTGCGATTCTTTTCAAAGCATTCGTTGCACCCTTTCAAGTTCGCGTACATAATGTGTGTGGATATCAAATATGTAGCTGGCTGTGAGGAAAACCAGTATAGTATACCTCACTCGCCTCCAATAGCGGCAGATTCCTCGACATCAATTTGCGTATTCCTTCCAAGGTTCGTGTGTTAGTACACAAACCGAGTCGATCGATTGAATATACTTACTTATATTGCTTTCGCTTCCACATAACTGCCAGATCTCCAACCGGAAGATGAAATGGAAATTCCAAAGCCTCAAAAAGTTGAACGATGAGTAGATAGAAGCCTAGCAAACTAGCCACGAACAGTGCAGCTCCGGCCCCCTGAGAACGATCAATTAGTTTTCCCTTCCCAACTGTAACGTGTTCTAGTGTTGCTGTGGATTCGGTGACAGCATACCTTAACGCATCGTTCCCCAACCACGGCATTTCCACCACCAAGATCCCAGTATGCTCCAGAAAGCAAAAGAAAAACCAAAAGAAGCGAGAGAAATATGAGGGTATAGACCATGTTTGTGCGGGTTGCGCATATCATAAAAATCAGCATCAAAACAGCCATTGTTATGAATAAAAACGCTATTACTGCACATTAATAACCAAATCTGAGAATTGAAGAGGTACTTTCCTTACCATATGTATTCATAAATCCTGCACTCGCAAGGCCAGCAGCCGTATCAGTGGCGGATGCAGAGTAGGGCGCTGTTAATTGGTAAGGAAGGCATCATATTTCCCATGGAAAGGGATTGGGACTAACCAGCAGCATTGAACGATGGAATCATAGTAGCGGCGAAAGCGAACCAAAAGCCCCCTGAAGATTTAAATCAGTAACATGAGCTTCAGACGCGCGTGGCGAGTTTTCCTGGTGGGGAAGCTCACCGATAGTACCAAACACGACACATGGGAATGTGTTTCCAAGAATAAACTCAAGAATACTGGTAATTAGAAGTAGCAAACCACCAAGAAAGACGATCGGACCACTTCATATTTCGAGTTAGGTCAAAAGAAAAAAAAATCCCAGGAAAGGTCAGGTCATACATGAAGGCAATGCCATTTCCGCTTGCTCCTCTCCAGGCCATCAAGCAGCATGAAAGAGGCGTGGTAGTGATAACAAAACCTCCGAGTGCTCTAATTTGCACCAAAATCTGTTAGTCACTTGTGTTTGTGGATATTCTATCTCGTTGAAATATTATGTTGACTTACAGAGGTGTTGGATTGCCGAGTTGCTTTGTTAGTGGTGGTTGACGACGCGTCATGGGAGTCAAATACAGTCTCTCAAATTGCTCCGCTGACAGAGTCACCGACGTAGGAACATGAGAGAGTGGTTGCATGGAACTCTCGTTGTTTTTGAAAGAGATATTCTTCTCACCATTTTGAGAATTGTCGCTGTCCATTTTGTCTGGTAATTTTGGCTAGAAAAAGTCCAATGAGGCGAATATGTAATTGAGTGATTTTTGAGGCCTTCCTATTTCGGTATTTGAGCAAAAGAAGATAATAAGATTGCAGGAGAGAAAATTCAGCAAGTCGAGCCTGGAAAGTGACTGGTATTCTTTAATACTTCCAAGTTTCTCGATTAAGACTTTGTCGCGTGGTTATTGGACGCGGGATAAAGGAAGGGGACACCTCATATTTATGCCTACTTCGGACCCCTGAATGCGGTGAAATGGAATCAAGAACTGGGGTATGGAGAGTAAGAAGAGAATCATGTGGGGTCGAGACTCTCGAAGACTGGGGAAACTCTAAAGATGTGGTGCGTGAATCAGGGATTTGGTTCTCAGAGGTCCCGATCGGACCAAGTTGATTCGATCGACACGGCCCACGCCGCATTTGTCTTTTGCTAGATCCTTTCATGCACTGCGGCATTCCGAACCCCACGGCGCTCGGGAAATGCGGATCCGACATTCATGCGGAACCGCACATCTGAAAATGGAATCCTGTTGGGCAGTCCACTTCCCCGCAAACATTGTGGATGCGCTTTGACAACACTTTTAAGTCTGGGGTATGAACAGGGCCAAAGCCACTTGCAATGAAGCTCTTGAGAAAGTCAAGATCGTCGAATTTTGCGGAGCCGTTCTCAAGGATCAAATTCAAGATCGTAGTTCGCATGGGTTACGTCGATCTTATGCTATTAAAACTTAGAATGGACATATATTTGGAGCTTTCAAGAAAGTTACATGAAGTACTTACCACAAAAAGCAGAAGCTTATTCATTTCAACGAATTATCCAGCCAACTCCCAAATACTATATCACTGCGAACTACACTCAGAAATCACTCATGGAGATCGATTCATTTCAGACATCTCAGAGTCGCAAAAAGGCCTGGAGGTCTTGCTTAAATTGTCAACGATCACATAAGACTTGTGGTATGATTATTCAATTTCTTAACATCTTTCCTACTCCAACCCGGATTCATGTCTCACTGAAAAACGTTCATAGGCGATGAGCGCCCATGCCCACCCTGCGTTAAGCGTGGGATACCGCATGAATGCGTGAACGGATATCGGAAGCCTCCAAAATATCTTTCCGAATCAATGATCAATTCCCCAGATTTAGCAAAATACAAGACAGTGATCAATCTGCGGAAAAAGAAGCCTCGAGCTTCAAGATCTTCGATCGCCCTCGGGAATATGAAGCGTGAGGATAAATTTGTGTCCAAAGCGCATACCCAAGACATTCAAGGAAACGAACCTACTCCAGTGTCGTCATCTGAATATTCAAATTTCATCGACCCACGTTTATTAGAGGTTGAAGCGCCCCACTCAGTATTTGGGAATCACAAAATATCGTCAAGATTTCAGAACCAGTCATCGCGGGACAGCCCCGACGGATCGGAAGACAGCACACCAGAGTCTTTAGAGATTCAAATTATGACACCGCAAAATTTCGCTATCAAGAGCTACGAGCAGGCGGAACTTGCGGTACTTGAGTATTGTGAGTCGGAAAGTACTCCGGGGTTTACAATTAGCAGTGGTTGGTCGGAAACGTTCTTCCCTTATCAGCATCTTAGTTTCGAAACGGGGGATGAGTATCAGGAGCCAACAAATATGGTATTTGATACATGTTATCGGCGTGAATTGGGAACCTACGGGCAGTGCTAGTTAGATGCTCAGCCCAATCCAATGTCCTAGTTTCTAGTAGGTACAAGTGTACCTATTTGGTAACATTGAATACTATAGTAATAGTACATGTTAATAGGTCGTTGCTATTAGTAAAGATTCCTAGTATGATATTTAGTGTATTTAGTACATAGGATGTGTGTTTATTTTGGGCCTTATATTCTCTTATTATTCAAACTTGAAAGTTCGGCATTACCAGTTGGTTGTTCTTTGTTCTTTGTGCATTGTATTTACTTCATTTCTGCGCGGCGACAGTCGGCGGATCCTTGGAACCCGCTCACAACGGTCCTCCATTTCTTTTTTGTTTCTATCCATTACGAAGTCTCTCGCGCACCGATTCAATCTCGTCTAATTGGATGTTTTCTCTTATTGCCAGTATACTTAACTATGTGACACGTTGATCTAAATCAGCCTGACTATCGATCAGAATACCCTTTCCTCTCAGCCATATTCAAGTCATTCAAAATGACCCCGATTCTATCTTGGAAATGGAATTTGACATTCAGAGCCTATACACCCCCGAAAATTTACTTCAAAATCTTCATATTCCTTTCTGATGCGGACGCGATCTGTCTCGCCCTGTGATCAATGTCCAACATTGCCCGACGACGCCATTAGCAGCAATTTTTGAAATTTGAGATTAAAGATGCTAGGGTAAAAGGAGATTGTTGATCCAAGTTCCAATTGTCGCCCTCCTCAGTAGTAATTTCGATGACCTCCGTTCCTACGAGATTATGAAAATCATTTGAAGCTGCGAGGCGAATCCCGGGATTTGCCCATTTACGATCGGCATGCGCGAGTCATTCATGCGGAGCCGCACGGGAGGACCGTGCATGATCGGGAGACCCCGCTCGGCTTCTGCACTGACAAATGAGAGCTCTACCGGGATCACGCATCGGGCTAGATCTTGCCTCAGTAATTGTCTCGGACACACTCCGGTCGACCGATTACAGACCAAAGGATGCAAGAACGGAGCACTTTGATGTTCCAGCAGAAGAGGGGAAGAGGGGCCCCGCCTTACCCCAGATATGCCCTCCCCGTCATGAGATATAAAGACAACATCTGGCCAGCTTCAAGTATCATCTCTCATCAATCAATCTAAGGATTTCGCTACAAATCATTCAATCAATTCTAAATTCCATCATCAAAATGTCGATTCCCGAAACACAATGGGCCCAGGTTGCTGAGCAAGTTGGCGGCCCGCTTGTTTTAAAGCAGATTCCAGTTCCAAAACCTGGCCCCGACCAGATTCTCGTGAAGATTCGCTATACTGGTGTTTGTCACACCGATCTTCATGCGATGAAGGGACACTGGCCGCTTCCAGTCAAGATGCCCTTGGTGGGCGGGCACGAAGGTGCTGGAGTCGTCGTTGCTAAGGGTGAATTGGTTCAAGATTTTGAGATCGGTGATCATGCCGGTTTGAAGTGGCTCAATGGATCTTGCGGAGAGTGTGAATTCTGCAGACAATCCGATGATCCCCTCTGTGCCAATGCCGCGCTTTCGGGATATACTGTTGATGGCACATTTCAGCAATACGCCGTTGGCAAAGCCACACACGCTTCTAAGATCCCCAAGAATGTCCCTCTTGATGCAGTGGCTCCAGTGCTGTGCGCCGGTATTACTGTATACAAGGGATTAAAAGAATCAGGTGTCCGTCCTGGTCAGACCGTGGCCATTGTTGGAGCCGGTGGTGGTCTTGGCTCTCTCGCTCAGCAGTACGCTAAGGCCATGGGACTCCGAGTTGTCGGTATTGATGGAGGTGATGAGAAGAGAGTGATGTGTGAACAACTTGGTACTGAGGTATGAAAATTCTGGCCCGGATCTTTTACTGACAACTATACTCACAATTATTCTAAATTAGGCTTTCGTTGATTTTACAAAGTCGAAAGATTTGGTTGCCGATGTGAAGGCTGCAACTCCCGATGGCCTCGGCGCACATGCTGTCATTCTATTGGCGGTTTCTGAGAAGCCATTCCAGCAAGCTACTGAATATGTTCGATCTCGCGGAACTATTATTGCTATCGGATTACCCCCCGATGCATCACTCAAAGCTCCTGTCTTCCAGACTGTTGTCCGCATGATCAGCATCAAGGGAAGCTATGTTGGTAATCGCCAAGATGGTGTGGAGGCCCTCGACTTCTTTGCACGAGGCCTCATCAAGGCCCCCTTCAAGGTTGCTCCTTTGAAAGATCTGCCTGAGATTTTCGAACTTATGGGTCCGTTATTATCTCCCATCACCCCCACAATTGATTATTTTACTGACCCAACACAGAGAAAGGTCAAATCGCTGGCCGCTACGTACTTGAGCTCCCGGAATAGTTATTTGATTGATGTCTTTACTGGACTTGTGGATGTCTGTGTGGGGTTTGGATTTATTTGGGTGTGACGGTGGAGTGAGCGAGGTGACGAGGATACTTGTATGGCAAATGATTTAGTGAAATTGATGGCTATTCAAAGACATGACAAAGTGGTTACGTAGCTTGACATTCTAAAAGCTATGAGCAGTAATGACTTTTCAATACTCGACCGTCTGCGCGGTGGTTTAAGTTAGCTTTTTCTTTTCTTTTCTTTTTTTCTTTTAGGTTGAGCTCTCCCCACACTTCCCAAATTGCCCTGCATGCTAGGATGAGAACCCTGTGGAATCAAAGCTTAGACTCCACTTGCGATTATCGACTTGGTACTCAAGATATGCCAGTCGCTTTCGGTGTCTAGATCATGTTCTACGGAAAGACAGGTGGTCAGATGATGTCTAAGGCTTTACGGGCGACAATTTAAAAATCTTTTGCCAAAGAAAACACCTGGGCATCGAGTGCTATTGCCATTTTCCAATCATACAAAATTGCTTGAACGCCAATAAGCATTTAAACTCTTTGATAACTTTATTGGTATAGAAAACAATCTTCATGCTAGTGAATCTAGGAGCGATGGGAACATTCAAGTGCTAGTAAAACGCAAGGAATAGAATGTATTAAGTCCACATGGCGCCGAAAAGGAGATCTTCGAAATATTCTAGACGGAAAACATATAAAGTTAATTATTTACTATTCGGATGAATGGAAATATCCGGTACAAAGGGGATGGTAATCCGCATAGACAGAGCTTCCGCATGATGCGTGGATCAGCATCCGCACCCGCATCCGCATGGAGATTATCCACTGCAAGCCGGGGTAGAAGCAGAGAAATTGCGGATGTAGCCTATTTCGAAAATTCGCGGAATATGCTCCCCCAACTTTCCCCAGGGTCCCCCACAATCCCGTCATGGGGGCTTCATTCGGCGGCTCTATAAAATGCCCCTCCATTCCAATATCAGTGTCAGTAATTACCAACATTTCATTTTCACCACAGAACAACGCCGCCGAGTCTCATCAAAGATATAACTCATATATTTGCAATGTCTTTTTTCCAAACTATCAAGACCCCAGTGGTCACATATCAACAACCCGTCGGACTGTATGTTGCTACTACCCCCCGTTTCAAATCGTTCGGCGTCTAACTAGGAAAATCAGGTTTATCAACGGCGAATTTATCAAGGGCATCGATGGCAAAACCTTTGAAACAATCAATCCTCATGATGAGAAGCCTATTGTCGCCGTCCATGAAGCAACGGAGAAAGATGTTGATATCGCTGTCCAAGCCGCCCGTAAGGCACTTGATGGTGATTGGAAGCAGACGACTCCATCTGAGCGTGGCCGTCTTCTCACTCGTCTTGCTGATTTGCTCGAGCGTGATATTGAGACGGTCGCTGCTATTGAATCTCTTGACAATGGAAAGGGTGTGACAATGGCCAAAGGCGATGTCACTGCTTCAGCAGGATGTATCAGGTATTATGGAGGATGGGCAGATAAGATAGTTGGACAGACAATCGACACCGATCCAAATAGTCTTACTTATACCCGTCATGAGCCTATTGGTGTCTGTGGACAGATTATTCCTTGGAACTTTCCACTTATGATGTTCGCATGGAAGATTGGCCCTGCCCTTGCTACGGGAAATACGATTGTCCTGAAAACAGCGGAGCAGACCCCTCTCTCGGCACTATACGTTGCTGGTCTTATTAAAGAGGCTGGATTTCCTCCCGGTGTGGTCAATGTTCTCTCAGGCTTCGGCAAGACTGCAGGCGCAGCAATTGCTGCTCATATGGATATCGACAAAGTCGCATTTACTGGATCGACCCCGATTGGTCGACAAATTATGCAAGTGGCTGCTAAAAGTAACCTGAAGAAGGTGACTTTAGAGCTTGGCGGAAAATCGCCAAATATCATTCTCCCGGATGCAAACCTCGAAGAAGCGGTTGGGTGGGTCAACCTGGGTATTTTTTTCAATCATGGACAGTGCTGCTGTGCCGGCTCTCGAATTCTTGTTCATGAGGCCATTTATGATGAATTTATTGAGCTTTTTAAGAAGCGCGCGGAGCAGAACAAGGTTGGAGATCCATTCAGAACCGATACCTTCCAGGGGCCCCAGGTGTCTCAGTTGCAATACGACAGAATTATGGGATATATTGAGGAAGGAAAGCGCGCAGGGGCGAAGGTTATCACAGGTGGCGATAGACATGGAAGCAAAGGATATTACATCCAACCTACAATTTTTGCTGATGTCAGTGATGAGATGAGCATTGTCAAGGAAGAAATCTTTGGACCCGTATGCACGGTGCAAAAGGTTCGCGATGAAGAGGAAGCGATTCGTGTGGCAAACAACACAAACTACGGTTATTTAACTACTATATGGCCCCATGGATCTGATAACCTTGCTAATATATGCACAGGCCTGGCTGCAGCTGTCCATACCACAAATATCAACACAGCCATCCGGGTGTCAAACGCAATCAAGGCAGGGTAAGCATTGCTAATCCAGTGCTATTTTTTCGTGCATTTTAATAACATTTCTCTACACAGCACGGTTTGGGTCAACAACTACAACACCCTCCATTACCAGATGCCCTTTGGAGGCTTCAAGGAGTCAGGGGTTGGCCGAGAACTGGGCTCATATGCTCTCGAGAACTACACGGAAGTCAAGACTGTTCGCGTACATATTTCCAAGTGTTGATACTTTGCATTATTAGTGTTTGTCTTGAGTCTTCTTTGCCATTTACTTATACGTCATTTATGTCCATTCTTTCATCCCACGTTCCATATGAAGTATCAAGTTTTAGTTTTAGTCCATACCATGAAATATAGTCAAATTCATTACATGTCGTTGATACTGATTAGATCCGTATTACCAATAGAAATTAGTATTCATTGAGTTCGAAGCGTGCATGCCTCATACATTGGTTCATGCATCGGATATTTTGATTATGCAGTGTTGCCTCAGGCCGCACCGTCATCCCTCCATCACCTCCCTAGCTTAGCATCATACACCAGTATCTGCATCCACGCTGATCATTCTCCTCATTGTTTCTTTACTAGAAGATAAATCACCGCACCATCCCCGTAAAGTCGGCAGGGTCCGATGCAGGGGCAGCTGACGCTTCGGCCCCCATCGCAAAAATGAGGAAGTGGAGGTGGCGCTTGGCCAGCTTACTGACGTGTTCGCTTGCTTTTTCCTTGATCATCCACAATATGGTGATTCTTGGAAGTTGAGTGGAGCTCCGGCATCGGGACCCGCCTACACAGCCCAATCTGATTCCCTCATCAGCTCTCGATTTCAACAATGAAGAAATTCGTCGCGACTGACAGCTGCCATTCACAAGATACCAATATTCCGAACCGCATCGTACACGTCTCAATAAGGTTTGCTCCTTTCTCCATTTTTTCCCAATTGGCTTAATTCCAGGGATATTGGGGCGATCGACGCCTCAAATCCCCAGTGTGATTCCGTTGGTCCGAAAACACATCATGTGGATTGGAGGGCCCAAGTTTCTCCACTCCAACCCCGCAAACTTTGTGTTCTCGTAATGAGATACCCCGGAGATAAACATGCCCTCTCCGGTCCCTTCTACTGGGGCTGACCCAAAATGCCCAAGCAATTCAGTCCCCACACCATCCGCACCACCTTCTTCATCGACCAGCAAGACCGGTCGCCTTGATTACATATTGTTTGCTTCATCATGGAGACGACTCGGCGGCGTCAGCTCCACAGCTGTGACCCTTGTCGCAAAGGAAAACGAGGCTGCGATGCACCGGTTCGGGATCCTCCAGCACTCGTGGCTTACGAAATGCTAACCTCATTCTTTCACAGAAAATTCGGAACGAAAATGGGTTCAGCTCGTGTTCTAATTGTACACGATGGAACAAGGATTGCACGTTCAATTGGCTGGCCTCAAAACGTGTCGGCGCCAAAGAAATTCGAAAGGAGAGTCGAAAGAAGACACAGCCACCTGCTTCAAATCCATCACGTAACTCGGATATACAGTCTCTTGCCCAATCCCATGGTGCGGAGCTAGATGAGATATTGCGCTCTACAAGTTCCCACCCTGAAAGCTTGGAAGGTATATTCACATTCACAAACACGCCACCAGAATATGCGCCCACTCCTTATCAACCAGGAAATATACCCTTGGAAGCAAGGTCCACCAGCGAATGGAGTGATGAACAGTCAACATTCTTTACGTGGACGTCTAATATCCCGTTCAATGGACCAATGAACACCGTGACACCGGGCTCTAACAGTAGCTTCAGTGGTGTGGAGTCTGAAACTGCTTCTGACGCTCTGTCACTCCTCCTCGAGGGCGACCTCAATACATTAGAGGTTGGCAATGGCGATATCATTTTACCTACAGAGTGCGAGGATACCTATGAGAAAAAGAAATCAATTCAACAATATAGCTCGATGGCAGCGCAAGAAGCTCCATGGAGTTTCTGTGTCGCCTCTGACAAGGCAGCAAAGGAATACGCTCGATCTACAATGACCCGAAATTTGGTACGGATATATCATGATAGTATGGAAAACGCACTCTCGTGCTGGTTAACAGAGCACAACTGTCCTTATGGGGACTCCGCAGGAGGAATCATCCCCTACAAGGAGAAGGAAGCCTGGGCACCAAATTGGTCGAACAGAATGTGCATTCGGGTCTGTCGGCTGGATCGAGTAGCCTCATCCGTCCGCGGTCGCACTTTGAGTGCAGAGGAGGATAGGACTGCGGCTCGAGCCCTTCATTTGGCAATCATGGCGTTTGCTTCTCAATGGACTCAGCATGCTCAGAAAGGGACTGGATCATCGATTCCGGAAGCGATCGACCAAGACGAAAGATCCATCCGTGAGCATGTTTGGAATAAGGCACGACATGCTCTGGAACACACAACCGGAATACCTTCTTTTCGCATCATCTTCGCAAATATCATTTTCTCTCTCACCCAGTGCCCCTTGAAAAACCGACAGAATCAATCCTTGGGCCAGCTTTTGGAGGCTGACCGCGCGCCCATCTTCCTTGAAAATGCAAATCGCCAGTTATGTACGTTTCGACATAAGCTAACGCGGCTCCAACGGGAGGCAACTCCTTTGATGCAAGAAAGACGAAGACAATCCGTGTCATCGTCAATGACTGATGCGTTGGGATTATCGCAGTCATCAGACGCTCAAGGAGTAGACCCGCTTCTTTCAAATCAGGAGTATCGCACAACACTCAGTCTGATGTTCTGGTTAGGTATCATGTTTGATACCCTCAGTTCTGCGATGTATCAGCGCCCACTCGTCGTTTCAGATGAAGATAGCCAAATATCATCGGCTTCGCCTGCAATGTTTGACCCTGGGAGCCAGTTTGAATTCGGCGGTTGGAATATTCCTCGAAAGGGAATACCCGAAAAACAGGATGTATGGGGTGATTTCTTCTTACGCCATCCAGTTGAGTCAGGGCAATCGACCCAGGCGCAACCTAGATGGCCTTGCTCCTATGACGAAGCTGCTTCAGTGCTCTCAGAAGCTACTCCCGTCAAAGTGCTGCTATACCGTCGTGTCACACAGCTCCAAACTCTTGTTTATCGAGGGACTCCCTGCGACCGCCTTGAAGAGGTCATACAGAAGACAATATCTGTTTATCGATATTGGAGGTCTAAGTATGAGGGATTCATGCTTGACTGTGTTGCAAACCACGAGCTACTTCCTCCGCGTATCCAGTCGTGGTACGTGATTCTTGATGGTCATTGGCATCTCGCAGCGATGCTACTAGCGGACGTGATTGAAGGTATTGATCGCGGGGGTTTGGGCTCCGGTTTCGAACGAGAGACTAGGGAAGCTACAAATTTCGTCTCAACGCTCAGAATAGATAACGCGTTTGCAGTTGGTGGCCTTGCTCGGTCCTCGCTGCATGGTCGAGAGCCGACTATGTACCGACATTTCCATGATTCCCTCAACGAGGTTGCATTCTTAGTAGAACCATGGACTGTGGTTCTCATTCATTCATTTGCAAAGGCCGGATATATTTCGCTTGAAAATCTCGATGCGTCTGGAAAGTATGCTACGTTGACGGAGAGTCTGCGTGAAAATTGTAATTTCTGTATTCGTGCACTTGAATATCTTGGGAGGAAGTCGGATATGGCTACTGTCGTAGCTGGAACGCTTTCAAGTTCTCTGGAGGCCAGATTTACGCCAGAGAACGACAATTACGGGTCTAGAATTCTGACCCCAAGCAGTCTATCCCCGGACATGGCTCTTTTCAACGAACAGCTCACTGGTAACATCAATTTGCTTGTGTCTCAATGATGAACAATTTTATGTATATGTGAAGCGATAATGTATCCTGTGGAAATGTACTTTAATTAGCTTTCTTTGAGTATGTATTGTTTATTTGACCTACTAGTATGTCTTTTGCGCTGTAAAATCAAGATCTTCCAGGAGAGCTTCAATTTTTGTTGATTTGAATCCCCCCCTGGCAAGAAACGGACAAAAAAAATCTTTTTAAATGAGCGTTCAGGGAGAAAGGAGAGTCCAGGATTAACACGCCAAACCCCTTCCTTCATTCAATTCAACATTCCTGTCAGCAATTTCGTCGACTTCAGTCAGTCTCCTCCTTCGAGGTTTTACTCGGTCGTCATATTGAGAGAAAGTTCGACTTTTGGGCTCATTACGAGTGGCTCTTGATAATTTGAGATTTAATGCAGTCCTTCTCTCATCCATCTTTCATGTGCGTCCAGTAATTGAATAGAGATGTCTTGGTTGATTCAGTGTATACGGGATGACTGTGACGTCATGGATCCTCCCGGAGTTTCGGATTTGGGTTTTAGGCCCAGGTGGGTATATATCTCTTAACTCCGAGCCCGTACAATTGTTTTTCAAACATGGTATATATCTTGACTCTTGATTCTCATATTAATTCCAGTTTCATTCAAACCATTCCGATTACAATTTTAAAGACTTTGTGCAGACCATATGCATCGAAAAATGTCAAAAAAGACATACAAAACCGTCCTCGACTTCTGGTTCGGACCCGAGTCCTCCAGCAGCTACTTGAAACAAAAGTCATTCTGGTACGGCAGCCCATCGGATGATGCATACGTGCGAAAGCATCTGTGTGAGCCATATCAAGCCGCAAAGAATGGCGAACTCGACACATGGACCCGCGCTGGGAATGGAGATGGAGCATTAGCTCTAATTCTGCTCCTCGATCAAGTGCCTCGCAACATTTTTCGTGATAAGCCAGAGGCATATGGAACCGATTCAAAAGCAGTTTCTGTTGCACGGTACGCGATAGGTCAAGGCTGGGATAAGCGCCTCCCAAATATACAGAGGCGTTATATGTATTCTCCTTTCAACCATTCTGAAGATTTGAACGATCAGGAGCTGTCAGTGAAGCTCTTTACGGAAATGGGGGATCGCTACCATCTCAGCTTTGCAGAGAGCTTCTACGATCAGATCAAGGAAAACGGGCGCTTTAAGCATCGTGATGTTATTCTAGGGCGATAATAGTGGCGCCGGAGATGTCGCGTTGTCAACTGCTTTGTATGATCCAGTGAACGTTACGTACAGGGTCTAAACAGAGTGTTCTAAGGCCCAAAGGCAACTGAAGAGACTAGGCGAATGCAAGATAAGCGATCACCATATTCAAAGCAAGAACAGCTCTCTTACCGATGAGGTCCGGAGAGCAGCTCAACAGTTGTACAATAATCAAAGGCAATGGGAGCAGAACTAAGTCATTCGGAAGGCGAATGGGACATCCAACCTCTCATACGGGTTAATCACACTTTCTACGCAGAGAGTGACCCCAAACCCAAAGTGCCGGTGCTTCTCGCTTGCAGCCACAATGTTGTCAATGGTTTTGGCCAGAGATCCTCGTTTGTAGGGAACCGAAAAACCAGAATGATGTTTGACCTCTGACCTATCCCGCCGGGCCGGCTTTCTTGAGAGTTGCTCCAAAAGCGCTTCCAAGTTGAAAGGTTTCATGAACTCGAGGAATTCCATAAGGTCAAATGCCACTAGTTGATCAGGATTGACACTGTCATTAGAATCTTCAGGCTCCTTATCATTTTCTGCCACTTTCTTTTTGCGTTTAGACAAGTCAAGTTTTCTCACAATGAAGAAAACATCACAGTCCACGTCGCACTTCAGAAACTCCTCCAGGGTTTCATTTTCATCCTTGTCAGCCGAGCCGGCCAGAATGTAATCTTCAACTATACCATATAGAAAAAGGAGCCAAAGAGAAACCTCAGGCTTTGGTGCTGTTATCGTCTTGTAATTCTCTCTGTCAACAGGATCAAAGGGACGAATTGGCTCCATTCGAATTTTCTCTAGTGGAGAGCGTCCCTCACGCAAAAGCTCTCTTATAAAGTCTAGGTCGTTAGAATGACGAGTGCCCGCAAGAAGTAAATTTGGTCCAGAGATAGAGTTCTGCTTCTTTAAAGCAGCCATCAAATCAGGCGAAAGAAAGCGTTGCATATTCCGGTTCAAAGCCTCGCATAGAAAATCGGGGGGATGATTTGAAGCCCTTCGTATGCTCCATTCGTCGCCTATCCGTTGCAAATTTTGACCAAACAGATGACCCTTTGGCTCTGGAACGCCACTTTCAGGCTCATTCTCTGGCTGAAAACCTGCGAATTTGCCGTGATGCTGAACAATACTACTAGCCTCCTCGAAGAATCGTGGCCGCGGGACATGACCGCATTTTTCATGCGCAGCAGAGATAATTGTGAAGAAAATATGGAGATTTCGTCTAAGAGGGCCGCCTTCACCTCCAGCTGTCCATGTTCTTGGTTTGGCGTCATGCTTTGTGGGTAATGCAAATTTCATTTCTGCGAGCAAGAGCCGTATGATCGCCGAAGGAACGTCAAAATCAGGCATACGCTGCCGCATTTGGGCTTCTCTGGTGTTCACAATGTATTCTCGGACACTCCGATGAAGAAATTGTACCTCATGAGTGAAATAGTCATGGCCGTCACTTTCACGCGTTCCTCTTCGAGATATTAACAGCAAGCCTTGAGAGAAGCGATCTAAGGCACATGAAACACGTTCAAGCTTTTCATCTATCTCGGCTTCTGTGCAGGCCTGTATTGCACATTTGTAAGGGAATTCTGCATCTTCAAGATCTTCGAGCCATGAATACGATATCGCATTCCGTACAATTGGCTGCCAGGGACAAAAATCTGGGGTTGTTAGGAGAAATAGTCTGTCTGAAAAGCACTGGTCGTTTGAGTCAATGGAACCAAGGATTTGATCGAATAGTTCAGCTAAGCCCCTAGGCATTGAGCTAAGCTGTCTTTTCAGATTCTTCTCATTGTCTTGGTAACCTATACTTCTTAGCAGGGAACGTACAACCAACCGTGCCCAGAGAAAGACTCCGTCGCTGGAATCCACAACTTCGATCACCAGGTCCTCGTATGTGTCTTTGATGCGATGGAAGTTGGGGTCTTTCTCGAACATGGTTGCACTGAAATTAAAAATATCCTCACGTGTAAGGTCGTGGATGCTAACCTGCGAGTTTAGGGGATTTGCAAAAGACTGAACGAAGGGAATATGAGGACGACTGCTGACGCAAAGCTTAACGTTTTTCGCGCCAGCTGTCCAGGATTGAAGATCCCGGGAAAGACGCCAATAATCAACTTCGTCGCCTTGAAACTCGTCTAAGCCGTCAATAAAAAAGCAGAAATGGGTGCTTGAAGCACTTGCTTCTTTGATAAAGCAATCGAATGCGGTTCTGATTGTGTCAAAGTGGAACGGCACTACCCCAAGGTTTGGACTCCCCCATATCTCAGGGAAAAGAAGCGGTATCAAGCTAGGAATTTGTCTACATGCTTCAAAGAGTAGACTGCGATAGAGACCCTCAAGGGACATTTGTGTCTGATCACCAGAGTTCCAGAAGAAAAATTGAACAAGAACCAAAGGTTGGCCGTCAGCCCAGGCCTCTAATCCTTTCTTTACCCGCGAGGACCTCGAGAGAAACTTCATCAAAGTGGACTTTCCGGACCCAGCCTTCCCAGAAATGTGAAATATGTGTCGGCCGGTTTCAACCCAGGTGAGAAAACTCTCACGAGTGCTCCGTCGCAAAACCTCCTGTTTCTTTTTCTCGTTGCGATATAGCCGGCGCTGCTCGCGCTTTTTGTAAATCTCGTCTGACTCGTCCCACTCCACATCGGACTCTTCACCATCATCATCTCTAGGTTGGTAGGTCTCATCAATCATCCATGCGAAAGTCCCACTCTCGGGACTCTCGATGCTACCTTCACGATTGTACATCGATGGAAAGGCCAGTTGCTGTAGGATCTTATTCTCTCGTGATAACGAGTTTGTCATGCCCTGAAATTCAGATATTGAGGATCCCAACTGGGCCAGGAGTGCCTGTTCCGGTCCATCCAGCTTGCCTGCTGGTGCATTTGACTCCAGTGAAGTTACCAACCCGAGGATCGTCTGAAGTAATTCTTCAAGGTGAGAGCTCGTCCGATTTTGAAGTAATTTTCCCTCCTTCAAACTAGCTTCCAATCGGCTATTAATCAGAGAATTTTGATGATCGGTTTCCTGACTACTGAAAATTAACCCAATAATTAGCTTACATGGGAAGTAGTCCACGGAAAATCATACCTAAACATAATCTGCAGCCGGATCAAGATCTGCGACTGATATCCGTGCAGCCGCCGCTCGATCGTCTCAATTTCCTTCTCCCTCCGCATACTGGACCACATCACCATTATGGCCTCCCATTTCGATTTATTGTCACCCACCCTCAAACTACGGAGAATTTGATATAGCTCTGTCGATAATTCATGGCAATTCGCAGCCAACGCACAGAGCTGCTTCTCGTTTTCGGTCTTGGCGTGCAGGTCTGTCATTAGACCCTGAGTGACAGCATTGAGATCTTCCAAGAAATCACTCAGACGCTGGTTTTCTGGGCTTGTTCCATTTGGGTTGTCAAGTAACTTCTTCACACCAGAAATAATTTGGTAGGAAAAACTGATGAACTCCACAATGTTACCAGCAAGTCCGACAGCTGTGAAGGGTTCCATATTGTCTTCGTCACTCTATTGTGAATAATTACCACGGAGCAGAACATTGGCACAGTAATCGCATATGAGATTAAGCATTGAAAAAAGGGTTGCATCAGAAAGTCGCACAGCTGTCAAGTCTAGTCAAGTCTGTTGATGCTGACACTGCCCCTCATTCTGTCAGCAGGATCGTCGCACAGCCCCACTCAATGAGGCTATACGATTGAATCACGACAACGTGCATGACTCGGGGGCTCACGTATTCTAATTCCTGTCCTTGATTTTGGAGTTTGAGCGACCGTGTGTTTTTGGCCTTGAGGCAATTATTCGGACTCATATTATGATTAGTCGAAGCCTGTTTGACTCGGCTCTACTTCTGACGATGTCCATCATTGGGTCAACGCGACAGCGCGATCCTGCCTTGAAATGCCTACAATAGTATTATTCAAGTTACGGCTCATCAAATGCTTATTCTAATATAAGCCACCCGGGTATCAAGGCAACAGAATACATTTGCAGGCACCGAGGACTCGATTTTAATTTAGCAGACCCAGCCTCCATCCACGTTATAGACAGCGCCAGTAACAAATGACGCTGCATCGCTTAGCAAGAAAGCAATGACATTAGCCACCTCAACTGGCTCCGCCCGTCTCTTTTGCGCTGTGACTTGTAGGCCCTTCTTAACATGCTCTGGATCCTCACCAGCAGACATGGGGGTGTTCACGGATCCTGGAAGAAGATACTAGTCAATAAGAGTGGACTATTGTCGAATATACACAATGAGTGAGATGAATGGGCTTACCAGGGGAAACGCAGTTAACTCGGATGTGTTGGTTCTCCTTGGCGGCTGCTCTAGTCAAACCAATGACTGCTGCTTTACTAGAGCAATAAGGCGAGTTTCCTGGGGCTCCAAATTGTCCAAACACACTTGCTGCAGAAACCTTCATATCAAATTAGCTTTGGCCCGAGGATCCAAGGGACAGGATCTTAATGCATACAATGCTTGCACCTGCTTTCATTTCCCTCAACTGTGCCCTGATGCAGAAGAAAACGCCACGGGCGTTAACATCGAAGTTAAAATTCCATGTATCGTCGGTCATCTCAGTGATCGGCATGGCCGGGGAAATGACACCAGCCATATTGACTGCGCCATCTAGCTTTCCAAGCTGTTGTATAGTCGATTCAATCCACTTGTCCACCGACTCGCTCTTTCGCACATCGATGACTGAGATTATATGCCTTTCTGGATTATCTAAAGTCTTGGATAATTTTTGAAGTGCGTCTTCATTAATGTCCGCCAGCGAGACAGCACCACCCTGGGATGCAATGAGCTTTGCGGTCGCTAAGCCCATGCCCGATGCGGCGCCGGTAATAGCAATCTCAAAACAAGTCAGTATTAAACTAATGGTTTGTGAGATGTTAAAATTTGATCTTCCTACCACTTTTCCTTCGAAAGAGGCCATTCTGTTGATCAAAAGCGCTTCTTGATGTAAGGAGACGGTTTACTGTATCCAATTCGACTCATGGGACCAAGAGACTATTTAAAATGAAATTTCGATCGTGAATACAAAATATCAACCTAGAAAGTATTGGCAATAATTTCTGTCAATTGTAAACTAGGAAACAGCTGCCGACACGTGACAGTTGAAGATGGAAAGTCTCCCCAGACTGGAATCCACTTGTTTACATTATCAAAAGATAAGGGTAAGATTTGTATAATTGTTATTTTATGAGGTGTCTTATAGATAAGCAAAGTTGCCAAAACGTGAAAGGTTAGGTGAACTACCTAATTGGCTTAATAGAACATCGGATATAGTACTTTCATCTAGCTGTTTTGGAACAAAAAGAAGAGAAAAGTCCACAAATACGACAGCAAGTGTTGTGAGCTTTGAAAATAGCAAAGGGAACAACTACCGTGGACAAGATGTCATGGATTTCCCCTAATGTCTTTGAGCCTCCTCTAAATCACCTGATTGTGCATGGCGGGATAGCATGTCTTTCCGCTCACCAACTTCTTCACTTCGCCATTTTCAGTACACTATGGAACTCGACATTTGTTGAGTCACAGTGCTGTTTTCCGTAATGAATCTTGAAAATTAGTTTTCAATATCATGAGCCCGTCACGATATAGTTGTGTGATTTGTGGGTATGAGATGTGGTCTTTGATCCCCTCAATTCCAATAAGTGGTTGAAAGAATTTCGAGTTCGTGAGTATCTCGCTACAGACGACTCTCAATTTTAGTCCTAATTAATGGGCTCAATATATTCATCTCCTCTGGGGGGTGACTTCAGGAGTAGGGCAACACGATGATCCACATGGTTCCTTGCTAGCACCATCCGACCCATTTCGATTCTCAGCATACGGAAGATTTTCCTGTCATGATACACTCGTATGTTAGGATTCATGGACATATTTCCCACGAGGCATGCTGGAACTCTTTACAAGAAAACTTCAAACTTATTGAGATTCCACTGCAGCATTTGATCGATATTTGTGAATCATCACCGTCTCGGCGATCCACCACCAGAACCGGGGAGGTTGCAGAATTCAGAACTCTGGAGACTGCACCTGGTACAATTATAACAGGGTATTATGCTGAAATCGTAAATATCCTCTAGTACTTGTCAGTGAACATTGCTAATGCAATTTGAAGAATCGCGCATTTGCGACGTTCGGCGTTATCACCGGAGTAATCAAACGCAAACTCGAGACGCAGAACCATTAACAGGCAGGATCTGTAAGAGCAGGCATTTAACTCGTGGAGCCTCCGCCGATCTTTATCACCAAAGATAGCGAGAAGTATATGATATTTACCTGCCATGCCGCCATCGATCCCATTGAGGCGATTGAGAGCCAAATATCATAAAACTTGGCCACTTGCTGTCACAGGACTATTTATTACAGACTGCACATTTTTATTTAGCCCATCTTTCCGTTGATTTGCAATGACTTTGCTCTTAGAATTAAAAATCCTGACAAGCTCAAATGGTTGAGAATAGATACTCGTTTGAATGCCGCGTGCCAAGCTCTATTTACTTCCGATAATGCCGTATCTCAAAATTACATTTCTTAAACTTGAATGTCCTAAGCTCAAGTTCTTTAGGCCATAACCACTAATACGTGCCCTCAAACATCTCCTTGTTCGCCCATCTTTCCAAATTTCCTTTGTTCTCAAAAAAGTTTTGAGGATCCTGCTTATCACAAACCCCATCATGGTAACGCAAAACCTCGAAGTATCTTTACGCAATTAGCTTTGCTTCATGGTGAATGTAAGCTGCACGCGGACAGGGTATAGACCTACATATGCGTTTTCCATTCATCCACTGACTTCTCCGATTCCAAAAGAGACCAATCAATCATTTTATCAAAAACAGGCTCATCTTCCGGCTCGTAGTAGGTCGAAACATATGGATGAGCTAAAGCATCCTCTGTTGTGATTCTCTTCTCTGGATCCAGATCCAGCATTTTATCCACAAGGTTCACAGCTTTGAAGATCAGTATTCATTGAAATTAAAGGAGGGGGTCTATGAATGATCAAAATACATACCTTGAGGGTCAGCATCTTTGAAAACAGATCCAAGCGAACGGGTATCGTGGTCAGGTATTCCCCGTACAAAATCCAAAGCCTAGAGATTGTGTCAATAACAAACATCTTCATTTGGAGCAAGATTCCATCTTACATTCTCACTATAGATCTTATCCATAACCTCCTTGGGTGGCTTTCCCAGGAGCTGGATTATTATGGTGAGCTGGTGTTTATAATCATTGCCCGGAAAGAGAACTCTTCCTAGTAACAACTCCGCGAGAATGCATCCGACACTCCAGATGTCAACAGCGTAGGTGTATCTCTTCCATGTTAACATGACTTCAGGAGCTCGATAGTATCGCGTCGTAACATAGCCAGTCATTTCCTGATCTTTTTCTCGTGCCAATCCAAAATCACAAATTTTGAGATCGCAGTTCTCGTTGACCAATATGTTGCTTGGTTTAAGGTCACGATGAATGATCCCAGCTGAATGGATGAATTTTAAGCCTCGCTGTTCCAGTCAGCATTCTGATCGAGCTCAGTACTAATTTAAGTTGACATACCAATATTTGATAGGCGAAAAATTGAACAAATTGGCCTTCTGGTGGCTTCACCCTTGACTGCAGTAAATGATGGAGATCTGTTTGAATAAGGTCCGTCACAAGATATCTGCAACGCACCATATCAGTACAATTTCAACGGGCAGGCAAGTATGGGAATCATACAGATCCTCTGACGGGGAAACAAAAATGTCTCTCATATTGATCAACTAGCATAAGTTAGTTCTCTCGAGTATCTACACTGGGATTTAAATCAAAGCTATTCACATTATCATGTCGTAGGTTACTTAACATGTGGACTTCTCGATAAGTACGCTTGGCTACCCCGCTGGTCGCAAAAGGATTCATTATCTTTTTGATAGCGACAACTTCATTAGAAATCGAGTCGTGTGCTGAACTGATCAATCTTCTTAGTATACAATCGATTTTACTTTACAATGGGCGATACATACCAAATGATTCCGGAACTGCCGATTCCTCGGGGCTCCAAGTTCGAATACCTATCGGTAGTTTCGAGCGTCGTGCCCAACAATTCCGTCGTTACAAATTTCGCCATGATTAAGGTCCCGAAATGGATGCGCAGCACGACAAGCTCAAAGTATAAGATATCAAATAGTGTTGAGGTGGATATACTTTTCTTGTCGTTTCTATGTTCTTAAATGGGATTACTCTGGCGGTTACGTCATACCTCGCTAACAAGTTAATCTATTCTCTCTGCCAGGTTCCGCTTTTATTGAATTTAATTGGAGCAACCACAGGAGCAGATTCTTAGATCAGTTTTTCCAGAAAGGATACCGTTAAAAATTGAAATTATTTCTACCAACTGAAGTGTCCGCCATCAACACGCAAATCAGTGCCGGTCATGAAAAGTACTGGTGCACGAAATTCGTCAACTGTGCTCAGGCGGAAGAGCATATTATCACTCGTCCATTGAGCCTCCATGCCCGGCTTCTGCAAAGCCTCCGCAGTCGCGGCTGTGCGAATGTATCAGGGAGATAACGAATTCACACGAATGAGCGGTATCTCCACTCTTGATCCCCATTCAGCAGCTAGAGAGTGTGTGAGTTGGTGAACAGCCGCTTTTAAGGCGTTGTATCCTGCTGTATCGACACCCTAGGAACAAATTGTCAGCAGAATTCCCGATCAGAAGCTAGATGAGAAGTATACTTTGTTTGTGCCATAACCGCTCATACTTGCTACTAGTACCATGCTTCCAGTCACGTTCGTTCGAATCATTTCTCGGGCCGTAGCTTGAGCAACAAGGAACGTGCCCGTAACATTGATGTCAAAGATCTTCCGGAAAGAGGATGCTGGGAATTCAGTCGCAGGGCCATTACGTGACAGGCCAGCACAAGTAACAACTCCTTTCACTGGGTACCGTAGAGTAGGGATAAACTTCCCAAATGTTTCAGCAACCGCATTCTCATCCGTTACATCGAGCTGATAATACGAAAGTCGACGTTGGCTCTTTTCCGCAGCATTTTCAACATCGTCTTTTGAAAAATGTTAAATTGTGGTAAAACCTTCGGAAGAGTAAATGGTGAAAGAGTTAATCTTACCCCAGTTAGAAGCGGTTGGCGTAGGGAAAAGATCGAGGCAAATAATGTCTGCACCACTTTCAATGATAGCGATAGCAAGAGTAGTTCCCAGGAAGTCAGTTGCGCCAGTGACTAGCACATCATAGTTAGCTTTGACTCGGAATATATGCACAGCATTTGGAGAGGGTGAGCCAGACTTATGACTGTATGATCGTCGAGACGGAACAACTCCGATACAGGTCGCGATGGATCTCCTTGTGATGGTTTCCCTTCGCGATACTGGAGGGCATGCACGTTTCCTTCGCTAGTTTGGGGCATGATAAATAAATGATTCATCGTGTTTTAGACAAATTTCCTAGAGTAATGATAGGTCTTCGGATGTTAGAACCAAGGTATATGTTAAAAAGATGAGGGAAGAACATAGTAATATGTCCCGTACACCACAAGTTATCCCCGCCATCCATCTCCGCCATTTCTCATCACGCTCTCGTACTACATACTGCGACCATTTAGTTAATTCCGGCGGCCTTGCGGAGAAGGCGGCCCGTTCATGATTTTGGGTTCGAGGAACTATGGGGCAGTGGGGACTCATGTCGGCCAACAGTGCCCCGATTCCACGTTGACAAGTTGCCCATTAGTAACAAGATTGCAGTTCTTGAGTATGCTTCTTGTTATTTTATATATTACAGGTATCATTATTTTGTGCTGGCCAAAACCAGATAAAAATAGTGTTTTCCTCGAATTATCGCTATCGGCCGCCGTATACTACATAGGCGCCTTCAATCTTACAATAGTAGACGTCTCAGATGACACTTTCCTGCAGAAATCTATTTACTACGCAAAATTGACTTATTACAAAATTTTCAAGTTTACATTTTTGCAAAAGGCAAGCTACCATTTTACTAAAATCAATTCGTGGTCTTTTTAAAAAGCTATCCATTTTAGGAATAATCTAGACGCGGAATGATGAAACTCTGAAGGGAGAAACCTCTAAGCTTTTCGGCTTCAGGTACTAGTATGTTTTTCGATATCCCTACTCAGCATTAAACAGTCCTGTACCACAGGATGCATGGCATAGCTCCCTTCTTATTACTTATTCTCAAGGAGAGAGAACTCAGTAAGGGGCTTCACACAAACTTTGAACACAAGAGCGCTTGATATAACCCCTTTAAGCCAACCTAGAACACCGGGACCATTAGAAGCACTTTACACTAGCTCATACATAAGCATTCAGTCACTAAAATCTGCAGAAACCTACAGGTCCTTAGCGATTCCAGATCCCCCACAGTCCCGGTCGGCCAGCCGTCAATCATCACCCTATAATGCTAGACACCCTTTGTAACCACCTCACCAAAAAGCCCGGCCTATACATTGAAGAGATGGCCCGCTTTCTTTAGGATAAGCTCAAGGTATTGCCATCATTATTGAGCATCAAACGTATCCTTACACAGGCTGGCTTGAGAAAAAAGAAAGCCCAGCAGAGAGCAAAGGAACAGAATCCTCAACTCCGGGATTTCTACCAGCATAAATTATCAGAATTTAGTTCGTACCACCTAGTCTTTGTCGATAAATCAGAATTCAGTAAAAAGATGGGATACCGATAGACTGGTTAGTTACCACTAGGGGTGACGCCAATGCAAGTATCTAAATTTCACCGGGGTCAACACTACTAGATCCTACCAGCCTATATATAGGATAGTATTATTTATCTCGTATCTTCAAATGATTAAATAATCCTAGCTTCTTTGAATCCTTTATTAAGCAACTCCTGCAGCATTATAGAAGATAGCCGGAACCAAAGTCTGTGCTTTTATAGATAATGCCTCTTTCCACCATTCCGACCGAATTAAGCAGTTATGCTCTAACGCAGGGGCCCAACTATTGTCCTTGCTGGCTTCCCCCGCGGATCTGTTTCGATTTTTGAGATGCGCCTGTTTCGCCGAGTTTCGACCTATTCCCTGCGTTTCGAAATTTCACCAGTTTGATCTACGAGTTTACTGCTTTGGTCCCTTGCTAATTTGTTTTTCGGTTGTACAGTGCCGCTACGCAGTAACAGGGAGATATCTCTGCTGTAGACTTCTGGCGGTGCGAGGGGGGTTTCTGGAGGTTTTTGAAAATCTCCCTTCAGGACTATGACTACAGTCTGTTATGGGCTGTAGCTCTGGGACATAATTGTGATCTTCCTTGCTGCCCTTGATTTGCGTCGTTGTTTTTATTCTTTACACTATTTTGATTCCTTTTTTTGGGAGACAAAACGAAGTTGATTGCTTTTTTTCTTGGACATAGATAATTTATTTCTACTTTAATGTACAATACTTTCTATTTGTGACATCCACTGTAAGCATTTGTAAACCAGGATTCAATATTTCCAGCCAGCCTGAGCGTTGTTGCCTTCATATTCTTTATCTATATCAAGTTTAGACAAAATGACAGGAAAGGAAAGGGGGGAAGGGGGAGTGAGAAGAATCTACAGCAGCCATAAATTTAATATTCTGATTTAATTCACCTTTGACTAAATGGTCGAGTTGAAGCTAGTATAGCGTGGTTGACTTGACAAACATTGTGAGATATTCCTACTCACTTCCTTGAATTATTAATCGTGAGAAAGCTTCAAACTTGGATCAAAAGGAGAATATCTGGTTTTTCATGTTTAATTTGCAGCTCCTGGTGAGATAATCCTCATTTTGTGTAGGACTTAATTCAAAATAGGCTTTCAATAATGGTCAGACTCTACTGAAGCGTTTTTGTGTCAAGGCATACCTGAATGAACCATGTATATTATGTCTTTGACATGACATGAGATGAAATATACTATTATGAAATGTGATGTGTGCTTTGGCTCTTTTTCAGTAACAAGCCAACGACATTTATCGGCCATTGGATCAGTTCGCACAATTCCGAGCTATTTAGTCCAGCTACCAGGTATTCGATCTTTCTGATCTCAGTTCCAAAGTTTTCGCCAAAGTACCATATCTCGTCTAGTAAGGCCAGCGGCAAATATAAATGTCCAAGGATAACAAAGGAGAACGCCTCAAAGATTCCTAAACTTCCATCAGATTCCAGGGATGAGATGAAGGTTTCAGGGACCATATCTGGCCAGGCGGAGATAGCTGCTTCTTCTATCTCACTTTGGACATCGGGATGGGAGGAACACGGGTCAACTCGCTGTAGGTGAAGTACATACAGGATGCGCATGTAAATACTTTCGACCACCGTGATTGATTGCTCTTGGGCCGCAAATACACAGTCCATTTGGTCCAAACTAGGACTCAAAGAAGTCGGTGGGTGGGTTTCTTTGACTCGAGTGTCATTGGAACTCATATTTCGTAGGATTTCCAAAAATTCTCTCAGCCTTGATATGGCTTGAGGTGCACCTAGCGCAAATGCCGAGAGACATCCTTGTCGCATGTTCTCGGGTCGAGTGATGTTGGCTACCTTTTCGGCTCCAAGAAGCTTCCAGTCATCATTGGCATTTCTATGAAGTAGCATGGGCCTTAAACGTCCCAATTTTATGGTCTTCCAAGAATGTTGCGCAATAGCAGTCACACCACGAACCAGTCGCAGCCAATGTATTTGTGGTCTGTCAGAACGACTAGGAAGGTCCTCAATAGTGATACCTATTCGTGATATCTCCTGCGATCCGTGATACTTTGGATCTAGATCTCTGGCGCAGAGTGAAGCAAATGCAAAGCCAACAACCAGCATCGATCCAGCAAATAATACGTCCATGTCTGTGTCCTTGGCAGTCGCCAATTTCTCTTGAAGCCCCTGTAAACCCTTTTGATGATGCTCAATAAGGGCCTGAAGTTCCACATTGAGTGGTTCTGTACCGTCTAATCCTTGAAATTGATCATCCAAAGGTCTTTGTACTTCCGATGTGCTAATTTTCAACATATCCATACCGGCTAACGCTAGAAGCAAGTGCATCAAAAACGCATGCTTGGCAGCAATATCGGGGATAACGCGTTCCCACACCAGAAATTTGTGATAATTTAAACTCATTCTTTTAGACGTATGCAAAATATAATGCTGTAGGAGGGTGAGGTCATGCATATTCAGGCCATTTGTGGATCCCTCATCAGGGCAGGGTGCTGTAGCGCGCACATTGAAACTCAAGGGATGAATCGAAATCGTAGGTATGCTTGAAGGTGGTATCGAAGCAACTTCATCGTAAGAAATTTCTTTATGATATGTCGCATCGCGACGAGGAATCCGATGTCCTCGTAAAAGATCACGTGTGTTCTGTGGAGATGGAAAAACGCAGTCATCTTCACGGACAGAACAGGCACCGCAGATTGGTCGTTCTTCATCACACTATCCAGATAAGTCATCATTCTTTGATAGCTAGAACAAATCCTGAAATACCTTCACTCGGCGACTCTTGCACATAAGACAACCATTCCGTGATTTGGTGTGACTAATACGTTGGTTGTGGCGGGAAGGGCCCTTTGGCTCGGAGGCTGGTAAGGGACTCGTAGACCCTGGAGTGACGTGGTCCGACATCGCTTGTTTTCGAAAACATCCGAGGAGAAAGAAAAAGTTCCGATTGATCTTAAAAGAAGAAGACGAATTCTTTGTGGGTAAAGTTCATGACGTGACGGGAGGCGCGGCCTTCCTGAGAAATGGTTGAGCCGCCCATGACAAGCCCCTCTTGAGGCAATGCCGGAACCCGACTTACTATTTATGGAACCACCTACCAACTCTATTTTCAACGTCTCACGCTAAGAATCCATATATCGTAACTACCAGCACAAATTTGATGAACACTACGTCAAGCCTCAAAACAATCCTCACCTAGCAAAAGAAATACACTCAACGACGAGACCCTGAGAATTGAATGAATGGATGGGGTCGCAAATACATCCTGGAGACAAAGAAATACTTAAAGAGGAATGAAACTAATACAAAGAAACACAGAGCACATTTCAAACTCACATCTCCAGGGCTACTACCTCGTGGACTTTTGCTCTGCATAATTGAACCCATGCTCGGTGGAGACGAGTGGAAGCTCGCTATCCCGCTTATTACCACTCCCAGGAAAAAGGTGGCCTGGAAAGACGATAACCAACACGATCCCTGTCAATGACATGAGACACGCATCAAAAATGTATAATAGGTATTCTCTGCGCATGATGAATCCACTATTTCCTTCAACAAACTCCACAACTCGAAAAACCGAGCGCACCAGAATAAGAAAACAGGCAGCATAAAGGGCGTACATAACAGACACCCATGTCATACAATTCATAAAGCCTTGTGGCTGCACACTGTACGAATCAGAGATATTCAGCTGTTGTCTTCTAGCGCGCCAGTGGAACACGGCCGACACGATGACGAAGAATCCAAAGAAAAGAAGCTGGACGACCAAACCACCGACAACAATATTGGCACCAGTATCCATGGCGGACAATGTGCCAGCAGCCATATAGCCACCACCTATTGATTAAAATCAGCATCCAGAAATCGCAATCACAGTAGTTGAATATCGCATCATACCTCCGCATTGCAAGAGAAACGAAACAATATCCCCAACAACGAAAATTTTCGTTAGGAATCGGACCGGAATGATGGATTTGTCCTCTGCGTCAAGCTTGACAACAACCCGACCGAGAGTCATATAGATAGAAGCTGCGAATAAGGGCGGTGCAACTAGAATAAGCATTGTTTGGACGATATATGGGCCGAGTGCAGTTGTATTGAAATGAGAAAATATGCGAGCAATGTATCCAGCGCATTCAACTATTTGAAGTTACATGTCAATAGGGAGGGAAAGAAGGATCGACCGCGGAGTAAAAGCTCTTACATAGTAAGCCCACAACGAATGGAATGAAGAAGTATGCGCGACTTCGGGCCAGCTGAATCAAATGAAGAATTGAAAGGATCAGGAATACTCCTGCGAAAATTGCTGCCGCTGGAATAGATGGCGTATAACGATAAAGAGCGTAGTCATATCCACTGTTGCTGCTAGTAGTAGACATGTTGAGTGACTGAAATTTGTGCAAAATTCAATATTTCTGAAGGTTAAAATGAAAAGAGCCTCAAAAACATTCGAAATTAGGGGTTTTCTTATATATATTTTTGGGGGGGTTTTTCTTCTTCTCATCAGGCGAAAACGACCCATGGAAGTTGGCCGGGAAGCCAGACGCTTATCCGGTACACCTCGCATTCTCGCATTCTCGTATTGGAATACGAGAATGCGAGAATGCGAACATGCGAAATTAAAAGATGAAGATATCAAAAGATGAACAAGTATTCAAATGTCCTTCTCCCACTTATCTGTCTACTTTCAAATCTATCTATATCTCTATCGCCATCCCTATTCTATAATCCTGATGTTTCTTTCCATAATTTCCTTTCATCAAATAGGCAATTGGTATTTGCTATTTTCTCGATCTATAAATTGAACATCAATTAGTGTTTGGTTTCCTATTCTACCTTCTTTCTTTTATGAACTGGGATACTACTGTTACATACTGGGAATTAAAAGCCACAAGCTCATCCTGTCCCTTTTCGTTCCTGGGCATCCCAACTTCAAGATATCCCTCTCTCATCACAATTCATCCTTCTTTTACCTTTCAAGGTTTCTTTCATCTCACAGGCTCAAGAAATAATCGACCGCATGAATGATCTTGATGAGCTATGCGCGACGCGCCACCGACACTCAAACAAAACTAAAATCCAGGACAGGCAGCTGGTATCATAGCCCAGGCTGGAGAATTCCTAAATATATCAGCCGAAGTTGAAGAACTTAAACCCCCAATGGCAGGGCTTAATACTTATGTTGCCGATGAGTTGATCGGTGAAGCCGAGTCCCGCCATGCAAGCGGAGGCAAAGAGGATCTTCGGGGAATCATCAGGCTATTATTACCAAGCAACTATCCACAAATCCCAAAGCAGCCAACAAAGAGAGTTTCAAGAGGGTCTACACTGACAGACTATCAGACTACTGAGTGGGAAATCGAAAGACCCTGACAGAGAACGCAAGTACTCGAGTGGCTGGCTGATTCCTCGTTAGTTTCGTATGCCTGCGATCCTTTCCAGCATGACAAAGCTGCATACATCTGCATTATGCGTTATGCATCTGTGATATACGATTGGGCCTACAAAGGCCTGGCCATGAAGTAGAAGGCTCGCGTATACGAACAAAAATATATTTAGACAATGTATATGTGCGTCTACATATACATTACAAAGCTGGGTAATCATCTCTTAATTAAGGATTTCAGCAGGGCTACCCGTCAGTCTACCCCAGTGGCGACATGAAATCGTAAACCACACTGCTACTCCGCACTGCGATAGCCTGCATGCGGAGCTATTTGACAGTATTGCAGCACTGCCTAGATCGACATCTCATCCTGGATAATCCACACAGTAGTACACTATACTCAGACATTTTCGCCGCATCATCCTTGATGAGGTGGGGTGCCATCTGTTCTGCATGTTCGGCGATCCATATTATTTCCCTCTAGCTATCTGGGGCCTTCAATCAATAGTTCTTCTTTTCTCTCTTCTCTGTCATTACTAGCAAATTCCGGACACCAGATCTCGTCCAACCCTGTGTGCCTCAGATCTATTAGTGGTAAATCAATACAAATAGGAACGGTAATATATGGGCTTTCCACATACCGCGGATAGAATACTGTACACGATAAATCAGTCACAGGGTTTTACAGTATATTAAGCCCCAATGAGGAGTTGGTAAGTGGGGCCTTAAGTGGATCGTGAGCAGAGCGGGACGGGTCGTGGCCTTGGAAGCTAATCGAGCACTTGAGCCAACCACACAACGCTTTTTGCACGTTACACAGAGATATGCATGAATCAAGTTACACAGAGAATATACATGAATCGAGTTACACAACACCCTAGCTTAGAGCACGCGATGGCTGTAGTACAAAAACTTTCGGTAACCTATGAAACTACACTTGGCTACACCGACATTGCTCATTAGGTAAAGAAAGGTACTAACGAGAACATCATGATCGAGTCCAGGACGGGTTGCAGAAGTCCAATGGGTAATTCATGAGATCGTATATCCAGTATGGCTCTATCCCATCTATAAATTGTAGCTCTCCCCCCACGATTACTCTAGTCTTCATACTTCAACATTCAATACAAAGAACTTCAGACTCTTTCGCTTTATAAACCTTCAATATGGTCGACGCAGCCTACACTCATCCAAACTTCAATCAGACGTACTTCTTCGGAGGTCGCCGTTATGCTCGTGTCAAATTTACCCCCGCTACAAATGATGACGTTATCACCTGGGGCCCAGATAAAATCGCCGAACGTTGGCCATCTCTTGTTTCCATCGGATTTGGCACAGTTGACGCCATCTTGCCCGTCGAGAACAGCCCAGACGAAATGTTTGTCTTCTACGGCAGCAAAGTTGCTCAAATCAAAGTTGTCCCCGAAACAAATGAGGACACTGTCGTCGCTGGTCCTTGGCTCATTGCCGAGAAGTTCAAGGCTCTAGCCTCTACCGGATATGATACCATCGATGCTGCAATGCCTGTTCCCAAGAAGCCCGGTGAGGCATACATTTTCCGAGGTACCAACTATGTCAAAATTAATGTCAACACGCACAAAATTGTTTATGGCCCGGCGAAGATTTCGGTCGAGTGGCCTGCCTTGACTGCTTCTGGGTTTGACTCTGTCGATGCGGCGCTTCCTGTGCCCAACAATGATAGAGGATTGACCTACTTCTTTAGAGGAGATAATTATGTCAAGTTGGAGGTTATTGCCTCCGCGCCGGATAAGCCTAACTTTGGCCCGGCGCCTATTAAGGAATACTGGAAGTCTCTTGACTGGATCTGATTGTGAAGAAGAATTTGATTGTTCTATGGGAACATGAGAGATCATGATGCATTGAATTTCTGTCTACATATAGAGTAAATTAGCTAGTTGCAATAATTCAAAGTCGTGATGGAATATCCAATGGATCTGAAATGGCTTTTAACTTTGAAAGTAAGACAAGAAGAAGCATGCCTAGGTTGTTGCCGTTCAGTGCTCGATCATTCATTTGCACACTGAAGCCAATCAACTACGCCGACACTTGAATAATTGAAGTATTATTTTTGCCAGTTGCATTGACCTGGTGAGGATATTTGATCCAATAAGGACTTTTGTAAATGTTTTTGAAGGACCTAAATCAATTTCTGAGGCTCGATTAGCCAGACGTTGGGAGGTTCGGGTTGGGCGGTTGTTGGCCTTTTAGTATTATATCAGCAAAGAGATTTCACTTTCTTATGTCCGTGACAAGTCCCCGTTGTTCTTCTCAGGCACAGTTTAAATACTTATTCATTTTGAGTTTCGTGCTCTCTTTCTTTTCCCAGTAACGGACATGGAAATACCCTTTTGTTGTTATTGGATTCGTTATTCTCTCCATCATGGAGTCGCTTTTTATCGTTTTCAACTGGGCCTCTCTTATGTTGCGACGGTGCCACAAGCTCTGAGGTCAGTCGGTCCGGGAACGTGGCATAAGGCTTCTATGGTATTTTCTTTCGATGTACGATAGGCCATTGAATTGTGTTTGTAGCAGTTTTGGGGTTCTTTAGTGAGCCGAGAAGTTCAGTCGAGATTTCAGCCTCGTAAAACAATAAATATTGTCGGTATAATGCGTGCGTAACGATGAGACGTGACTGGGGGGAAATTAGTGGAATCTCAAGGGAAGGGGAGGGGTTTGGGGCTTTACGATGTAATGTTTTGGTTCTGGAAGCTTGGGGTTACGCACTTGAAACTGTGCCAGGGCTAATAAATAACATAAGAAATATGGATCCTCGGTCCAGTCCTTCGGCTTCATCTGAGATAGTTTTCTCTGGCGGATCTTCGCGCCTATAGGGTTTTGCGTTCCCCTGGGATCTGGACAGGGTTCAAATCGTCTTCTCCGATTACCATTGACGTCCGTGTAGTGTGAAGGGCTAAAGCAGAATTTATGTTCAATTGAGCTAGGCCACGTACTGTGTATAAAAAGCTTAAAGAGAGAATTACCAAGTAGGTGTTCTACGTGTTAGGTTATTATAGTTACGTGTGCCACGTAACCTTATACCGGGTATTGGCCCGTAATAGTATTCCCCCTTTAGGGTAGTCCTCTTTGTACATGTTGTAGTTGTATTCAGTCGTCTTCGGACCTGTAATAGAGTCGAAACGGGGCCGAATCGTCTTTTAAAGGTATTCAATATAGAGCAATCTCAAACATCGCCAAGGCTCTACTAGGTCTATTCCGCCTAACCTATCTATTTCACTAGGGCTTTATTATAGTATTCTTAACTAACTTTCTTACATCTTATATCTATTATCTTTTCTACTTTATACTTAAGTTTCTTATTAACTAGTATCAGTAGGGGATATAAATCATCTACAATCTATAATAGAAATAGATCTAAAGCAATAGGTCTAACTAGCTCTATATAGAATACTAGATAGATACCAGTAAGCACCTTTAATCATACTATATAAGGTATAGGGACGTCTAAAACTTAATATTAGATATATAGCTAATCTAGCTTCTTTGATTATTATTGTATATATATATTCTATAAATTTAGCCATATCTAGTTATCTTTCTTATAGACTAGTATAGCCTATTATTACTTATTTAATTACTCTTCCTATAGAGCTTATATAGAAGCAATTACAACTTAGGCCTAATTAATAGCTTCTTATAATCGATTTACAAATATTTCACCTACAATTCCTAATTATATATAGGTTTTATAGGGTTCTTTTATCTTTTCTATCTTAATAGGGTTAATATAGTAACTATATATAAAGAAGAAGGGGGATAGTCCTATTACACTAATATTATGGTTATTAATTACTATAGTAATAATAGAAAGTAATATATCTTAATTACTCTATATATAGGTTATAAATATATATAAGATTTATTTAACTTCTTGGTTTATATGCTCTATAGTATTATTAGATTATAGATAGAAAGTAGTCAATAGTTAATATTAAATCAATAGCTTCTCACATACTATTCGCTAGAATATACCTATAAATTAAGACCTATAGTTACTTATAACTACTTATAATAGCCTATAGTATATATAAAAGTAGATAAAGAATATATTTACTACTCTTTTAATAGTTATCTCTACTATACTTATAAGAATCACACTCTTTATAAGCTGGTCTGTGATTACTATTAAATTTATTATATCTATATATACTATTAGGGATAGTTCTACAATAAAATCTATAGACAATTCCATCTATATTTACTATAGAATCAGTAACGGTTTTAGTAGTCCATACTTTATATTACACTATATAATACTATAGCCATAAACTATATAGTTTTATAAGAAATATTATATATCTTTTACTACTCCTAGCTAGAAGAATCTCTATAATAGTATCACATAGGTAATATCTCAACCAGGATATATTATAATATAAGAGTTATAGATCTTCTATATAATCCCTATATATAGTATCTTATTATCTAGGATCTATATCTACTACCTAAAGTAGAGTAACCCTTATTCATCTAGATAGTACTCTAATAGGCTTATTTTTATATTTACTTTAGTGGTGATTCGCTAATCTCCCTTTTCTAAGACTTTATATATCTTCTAATACTCTAGATCAGTAGATCTCATATTCTTCTATTCTTATTATAGTATAGGCTTCTCAAATAGGAGTATTTCCTTCTTAAAGTTAATTCCCTCTACTACTAGTAGATTAGGTTATTCTGTCTTGATTTATACCTTTTTTAATAGGGTTTAGAACTAATTCGATAGTCTTTTATCTATAATATACTATAGGATATCTTAGCTTCACCATAAAAGTATATTAAGTCTTATAGTAAGCTTCCCAAGGTAATACTTTAGTTTATAGTTAAACTCTATAAGGATATCTATCTATTTTATTTATTATTTATTTAGATATTATACTTTACTAAAGTATTATAGGTTTTTATAGTCTATTATAATAGTAAATTAGGGTACTATCTTTAACTTTAGTCTCTACTCTTAGAGGATATATATAATTACTAATAGCTCTTTATTATAAATCTTATAATTTGACTCTACTAGTGATAGTTTCTGGGAGAGGTAGATATATAGATATAGCTATTTATCTAGTCTATATTATAATAAGACAGCTCTTATAGCCTATCCTAATATATCTATCTTAATAATAGTTTTCTTATCCTCTTCAAAATGTATTAGAATCAGGATATTAATAAAGAGGCTTTTTAATTCTTTAAATATTTGTTAGTAGTTGTTATTCTATATAAATTAGGTATCTTTTCTTATTAATTTTATTAAGGATATTGAGAGATTAGCGAATTAGAGTATAAACAAATAGTAAAAATTAGTAAATCTAAGGAAGCTCTATATATCTTATATTAATTTTGGTATTTCCTATTCTTAAATAGTTGTAATCTTCTTTAGATTAATATAGATTCTCTTATTTATTTATATAATAAACCCTAAATATTTTATAGAATCTTACTTAAACTCTAATTTTTTAATATTATATTATAGACCTACTTCCTATAGTTTCTATAGTACTTATCCTACTTTCTATTAGTAATTCTCTAACGATCTACTATTATATATAATAATATTGTCTATATATATAGATATAAAATTATTAAGATACTCTTATAGAGTCCTATTAATATATCTCTAGAAAGTTATTAGTATATTAGTTAGTCTAAATAGAGTAATATTCTATTTATATAGACTATACTATATCCGAAATACTATTTTCTATTCTTCTTTTAGTTAGATATAAATCTTATAGAAAGTAATAATAATATCTAGTTTAGAAAACCATTTAGCTTATTCTATATTCCTTAGTATCTCTCTAATTAGTAGTAGCGGATAATAATCCTTTACTATTAACTTATTTAACCTACAATAATTAATATAGAATTATACTTCTCTATCTGGTTTCTTTACTAGTAGGACTAGGGCTATAGTAAGTAATTTACTTATTTAGATAAAGCTTTTTCTAAGAAGGTCTATTAATATTTTCTATAGGTATAGAAGCTCTTCTCTATTTATATTATAGAAAGGATTGTATAGGGATGGTTCCTTAATACCGTTATAATCTTATTTTAAGGTGATTTTATGGTTAATTCCTGGTCAATTTAGGAATAACTTATTAACTAATTACTAGCTAAAGATATCTAACCATTACTAATAGTATCTTAGTAACTTATCCTTAGGGTTATTCTATTTCTTTAAATATAATACTTTCTTAATATTATCTATTATAACTTTGCCGATTTATAGTTAATTCAGCTACTTCTCTCTATAAATAAAGTTATATAGTAATTAGGCTATTAACTTCTTAATCTATATTCTCCTTATATTAATTGGTCCGATTATATAGTCTATATAGTTCTAGTACCTTATCTACTCTCTATTTCTCATAAATATATTAATATACCCTTTTTTTACTAAGTATTAGTTATTAATATCTTATAGCCAAGGATCTCCTAATATTATACTATCCTCTTACTAGGGAATAATATATATAAATACTTATTCTTACTAATAGTTATAAATATCTAGGTTAAAGTATATAACCTAGGTAATTTAGTCCTAATTTAGGACTATCTTATCTAGGATCTGTATAGATATCCTAATATATAGAAGGTTAAGTGACTAAACTAATACTTTATTTATAGTTATATAATAATAGTATCTATTGTTGACTAGGACTTATATAAATTAGATTTTATTTACTTTAGCGTCGACTAGAAATAGTAGTATTTCTTATTTTAATAGTTTTTTAACTTCTTTTTACTTTTATTTATAACTTAGAACTAAAATTACTTTTTTCTTAAATCCTTACTTAAAAAAAGTTTATCCTTAGAAGCTAATATACTTAACTTATAGTTAGTTATATATCTAGCTTTCTTATCTTTAACCCTATAGGAATATCTTTCTCTTAGTTCTTAATACTATATAGCTAATAAGGAATACTTTATAATAAAGTAGCCTTATTTATTATAATAAAGGTATCTTCCTTTATCCTATTGTCTCTCTATCTCTTTATAATTAACCTACTTTACTTATCTACTTATTTTAAACCCTGATTAGTAGTATTTTATATAGAATTTAGCTTAATTAACTATAGTAGTTAAGGTCTAATCTATTAAATCCTAGTATTACTAGGTATATATATAGTATAATCTTTCTAGGATATTAATACTAAGGATATCTATATCAATACTAATTTTATAGAACTAAGTAATAAGGTCCAAAAATATAGCAGGAATACTACAATTTATTAACAAATTCGTTATATTTTTATTTAAAGATCCTAATAAGATCTATCTCTTTATTTTATTATATTATTTAAGGGTATCTATATCTATAAACTCCTTCTTTAATCTAAGAAGGAATTTTATAAAAGATATACTATTTAACTAGTGTATCTAGTAGAGATATCTTATAGTATATACTTTAATATTTAGATCCTTATAAATACTCTTAAGATAGTCTAGAATTATTTATAGATCCCTATTATTTCATTATAATTTTATAAAGGTTCTAATATTTTTCTAAATAAGCTTCTTAAGCCTAAAGAATATATATATAAACTGATCTTGGGGTAAGCTAATTACTATATTATTGATATATAGTTTATTCTCTATTATTATATACTATATTAGCTAGTTAACTACTTTTCCTCTAAATAGGATCGGGTCTAGTAGTTATATCTTTAGATAATATATAGGTTCTAATCGTAGGGGTTCTAGGGTCGATTCAATTATAGTTTATACTAGAGTTAGTTCTCTTATTGTCGTTATTAACTATAAGACTAATTACTCTATTATAGTCTCTAAGCAATAGATTCGTTCATCTTAGGTAATACACTCTTGGTTGTATTATTATATTAATTCCTCCTGTACTATATGTTCTATATCGATTTGCTCGTTCTGTTTGCTCTGTATAGCTTACGACTATACTATTTGTTGTAGTAGCGTCTACACCTATAATAGTGGACTTGTAGATTCCTGCATCTTTTACTCAGGGGTCGCGTCGCCGAATCACTCTTGATTCAGGGACGATTTGTATATGGTTTTAGATTTTTACAATATCCAATTGGAAGCTTTTTATTTGTAAAGGGCTAAAGTAGAATTTATGTTCAATTGAGCTAGGCCACGTACTGTGTATAAAAAGCTTAAAGAGAGAATTACCAAGTAGGTGTTCTACGTGTTAGGTTGTTATGGTCACGTGTGCCACGTGACCTTATACCGGGCATTGGCCCGTGACATGTAGTGCACATACCCGATTACCAGGGCCGAGTGATTGTAAATGTGATCTGGGGGCTGTTCATGACGGTGAAACACGATATATTCTGGCCGATGAACAGGGCGGCCTTGAAAGTAGAAAGTGTATCCTCTTCTATTCCACAATCTAGTCAGTCATTGGTAGAGATATTTTAGTAGGTAGCACGTAGCCGTGCCACATACACTAATCCGGCTACCCCGAATTAGTGTCCCCCACCGTAAAGGAAAATATCACCGTAAGGGAAAAAATCTCTTCACCCACCCCATTCCATCAATTTCACATCCTTAACTATGGCCGATTTCTATGAAAATAAGGAATATTATATGGAAGAGGCTATTGGATATATCTCTACCCTTGAAAAGCCAAATTTATCGCGTATTACTGAGGAATATAGGATTTCGCCTAAAGTTTTGTGGACTCGCGTCCATAAAAATTCAACGCCTAGAAACCAACGAAAACCTACGAATAAGGCTTTAAATGATACGCAGGAAGCTGCTTTAATACATTAGATCAAGTTATTAGACGATGTATTTATTCCACTGACACCAAATATTATAGAATAGTAGGTAAATATAAGTCTTACTTAATCGACAACACTAGATCAAATAGTTAGTAAAAACTAGGTCTATCGATTTATAAAAAGGTTCTCTAAAGATAATAATAATTCTGAGGATAGTTTTAGGCTAAGATATTAGAAAGTTATTGATTTAAAGAGAATAAGTAATAAAGATATCACTATCCTATAGTATTAGTATGATTTATTAGCCAATATTATAAACAGTATATCTAAGAGACTTATCTATAATTTTAATAAGACTAGCTTCTAGCTTAGCTAAGGATAAACCTAGAAAGTCTTTATATATTATTAATTAAAAATTCCTTATCTTACTAGTGAAGAATATAGAGAGTAAGTGATAGTCGCTGAGTATATTACAGCTAATAGCTGGTGAATAGAACTATTTATTATCTTTAAAGGATATTATTAAATAGAGTTATAGTATAATACTAATTTATCTTAGAATTAAATAATAGCTACTACTAAAAAAGGCTATATAATTAATAAACTTATAGTATCTTAGCTTAAAAGATTTGACTAAGAAACATAGTATTATATAAGATATAGAGAGTATAGAATTCTTCTTCTTAATAGCTATAGCTTCTATTTAACTATAGAATTCTTAATATATACTGAACAGAAGAGGATAAAGATTTTTTGCTTTCTAGTAAATAAGATTAATTATATTTAACCTTTAGATAGTAAGCCTTTTTTGGCTTATAAGACCTATTTTCGTTAACAAAATAACCTTATTTTATAGTAGGGTAGTAGTATTATAGCTAATAAAAATTTATTTCTTGAAGACCTTATAGGCTTTAGAGATAAAGCTTTAATATAGTAAGTTTACTACAATTCCTTCCGGGAAAGAGGTATTTATCTAGTTAACGCTAAGATTATTTATAAGCCACTAGAAGATATACTTCCTCTGATTCTTAATATATCAATTAACCTTTGGAATATACTATTACTACCCCTAGAAAATCTATTATCTTTAAGTCTTAAAAATATATCTTCAAAGATAATTGAAGATATTCAAAAACGCTAACAAAAACTGGCTCTGCTAATGGAATTGGATGGTATTACCCCTAAATTAAAACAGAGGTTCGAGTAAGTCCTTACTGAGATGAATTTTTATGTTGAGGCTATCCAGAATGTATCAACTACAATCGCAAAAATAGCCTAAATTCAAGCCCCGCGGGCTAAAAAAACTACTAAAAGACAATTATTAAACCTCAAAAATGATGGTATTCTACGTGTGAAAGATACAAATCGATCTATTGCTGAGTGGTGTAAGAAAGAAGATGCAGCAGAGGAAAGACGAGTGGTAAGAGAGATTAAAAAACGCGATGCAAAGACACCTTCCCAAGGTCCTGTTAGAGGTTAAAATAGTATGGTATCTATAGAAATTCTTGGTGCGAATGGTGATGTAATTAGTTATCACGATACTTTTGTTATGTAGTTAAAAATTGAAGATTTGGTGATTTTTTTCCCTTACGGTGATATTTTCCTTTACGGTGGGGGACACTAATTCGGGGTAGCCGGATTAGTGTACGTGGCACGGCTACCTGTAGCGTGCGAATTCGCGTTCCTTGCCGAATAAAATATTGACCAGAGCGCGACGTTTATTGACAGGATAAGGATTAACTGCCAACATTTCGTGGCGAGAGGTCCACTGAAGAGGGTTTACTAGGAACCCATTATGGCGGTGCACAAGATCATACAGTGGCTTCGGCCCAGAATCGGCCGCCATAGTAAGGATGTCAACAGACGCGGTCCAGCGCGGGTCTCCAGGGACGGTAGGATAAGAAAAATGCCGGCAAATGACATCACCGCCTAACTTAAATGCCCACCGCCTACATTAGGATTCCCTTTTCTAGGCTACAGCAGCCGATAACAATCATCAGGAAAAAAATCCATTTTTACCTGTTTTTGGCCGGTAGAAAATCACAATACCTATAATCAAATAAGACCTACTTCAGACTTACCCCCGAGAGATACTATATACTACAACCTTGGAAAGAGGGATGGTACTATAGTCCCACCAAGTTCATATCCAGGTGATTAAGCTTTAATCCTTCTATCTTAAAATCGATTTCTCTACTTGTCTTTTCAATTATCTTTCTAGCTTTTCTATCTATATAGATCTTACGGTATAGATGGTAGTATACTAGGCAGTAAATATTAGTATAGGACTAGGGAGCTTTTTTAATGATGAACGCTATCGACCGCCGTAAATGTGCATCTTGAAGTGTTCACTCTGGGTCTGGCTTTCCTGCTAGCAAAGCAGTACCACAAATATCCTGATAAATGTTAGAGCTCTGGAATTTGGAGCGAGGTCAATGTAAAGGAATACGTACAGCACGCCTGGTTTTAAAATCATCGTAGATACCAAGCCAAATATCCCGACCCCGGCAGTCATCCGGTCGATTGGTTTTTGGATTCAAATCACAGGTAGGTTGTATTTCTTCCACAACATTAGATTGGGGCGCTACCCATGGCTATAAAAAAATATCAGCATACGCAAAAGACCAAAAGCTGAGGTTTTTCTAAATAATAGCGAAGGATGCGTACCTTGGGAAGTGGCCAATCCGAAAAATGAAGATATTTTGTTTCTATGAAGATTGTCTTCGCATCCCAGGACTCCTGCGCATTGCCCAAATATGCTTCATGGTTTTTGCTTCGGAATTCCCCCGTCAAAAGGATATATGGACGGTGCGGTATGACCATTGAACTATGGCCGTAAATTTCGTTCATGATCTCCATATCATATTTATCTCCGTCTGCGGTGGATATTCGATTCATAATTTGATGAAAAGAGTGCTTTGATGGCTCGATTAGCAAAATTCCAGAGGTGAAAACCGAACTTTCGGGCCCCATCCAGTATGCCTGGGGCATGGCGACTGAGCCAGATGAGGATAGAAACAACTCGTCCATGTGCTTTGTGGTGTTAGCCTCTGGTCATATGATCATGAACGATTTACAAACCTGCAAAAGGGTCCCATCTGAGTCTAGATTTAGAATACGGTCATAGTCTGTTTCATTGAAAGCAAGCAGCTTTGTATAGCTCTTTGACCATGGCGCTGAAGAATTCATCAGAATATAAAAGAAAAGAAATGGAAGATCTAGATAGCTTACCGCCGCCGCCTCCTCTCAACTGGGCTTCGATAGGCTTAAGCTTGACTTGATAGTTATCTCGTGCAAATCGAAGTAAAATGCTCTCTTTGGAACTATCATGTTCGGATTTCATGAACTCGGAAGGAAAAAGCATCACACGGTCGGCTTTACTCCCAAGGCGATGAAGTGCCTCAAATATCATGAGTGAGTTGCAAAGATAAGACCGGTCCGTGGCATACTGGGTGTAGGCAAATCGAGACCAGTCGATTTCCTTGTCAAAAAGAACTCTGGGATCATTACTAGGGCTGCCTTGGCTATTTGAAGTGGTTGGGATTTTCAACAATGTTGCAACACCGAAGAACACCAAGATAGCCAAGATCGCAGCGCGGGCAGTTTGTCGAGAGTTTCTGACCATCTTCGACCGGCGAGTTGTCAGGTATATGATTTTATTCAAGAGGGCCAGCTCATGAAGGTTCTCTGTGTATTTTTCAATGCATATTCGCACTTGAAGTTGAAGCGAAGAGAAAAAAGTGTCCTCAGCCGCATTCAAGGGACTTGGAGGTGTGATTCCATCTAAGCGCCGGCCATGATCTTGACACACGCTAAGTAAATGTGGCGGCCAATCGTGGGCTGTTCTGCGCAATTCATCCTGCCGATCTCGTGGGGCGTTATAGTCCGTGCGCATCGCCTTGGTGAACCGCCCCCGAGTAACGATACCGAGAACATCATAATATTAACCTGTTCCTGAACAAAGGCGCTTAAATGCCTGAACACTATACCTAAAATATGATTAGACTAAATCATGTCTTATTTCTGGTGACGATAGGGTCTTGGACATTTCCGACCGTCGACAGTCCCCTCCTTCGTGTGATAGTTGCATTCTGTATTATTTTGCATTTCAGCATCACTGGCAGGACTACACAAACAAAAACGCTCCTTTGATTACTTGAGAGCTTGAGAAATCGCACCCGCCATTTGCTGCATGATCTTATGTCACACAACTCGCCTCTTGTTTTCCAGTCACCCAATCAATCCCTAGTACATGATTTGTTAGAATAAGGTATACCACCGAGTTACGTTCCCAAGCGTACAGCTGACAGGTACGATCCTTCAGGTTAACAATGAATGGGTTTCAACAATATGTTCTCCTTATAATATGCTTTTTTGATTGCGCCGTCTGCTCCCGTCCTCGAGAAGTGACTTGGTCAAATAAAAGCTTTGGGCCCGATGGACCGTGGCAAGCTGTCACCGTATCTATTGGAAGTAACTACTCGAGCCTCGTTGTGCCATCCTCGGATATTGCGCTATACCCTGGGGGATCTTGGGAAAGCGAAATATTATTGTCTTCTATTTGCGACAATAAAACCCTGTCGTCTGTGTGTTATGGCGATAAAGCCGGTCTCTTCGACAGTGATATTTCTGTCACATACGACAACCACTCAATCGAACTGCCTCCATATGGGCCATGGGCTGACCTAAGTTGGGGATACACCGCTGCGATTCCTGTATATGCTAAAGCAACCCGCGCAACAGATTGGGTAATCATCGATGGCGCTTCTATTCCGGACGTTGATTTGATTACGTTGTCTGCTGCATGGCAAACTTACCCCAATGGAGTTCACTACCCACTGGAAGTTGGAACCCTTTCTCTTGGGAGCCCAGATATCAACCAAACATTCGGTGCCTCGATCAAGATCAACACGACATTTGTCAACAGCTATCTATATGACCAGGGTGGTGTTCACTCTATTCCATCATACTCATATGGAATGCATATCGGCTCTGCTGCATTAGGAATTCCAGGCTCGCTATATCTTGGAGGATATGACCAAAGCAGAGTTATTGGTGACGTATCTGCTCAAGCTTTCTCAAGTGGAAGTTTCCCAATTGAAATGTTTGATATCGAAATTGGGGTGGCAGAGGGTGGATCGCCTTGGGATTATTCCAATAAGTCGGGTCTTTTAGCCCATAAGAACTCCTCTTTGAATTTCGGCCTCACTGTTCTCGCCGATCCATCCAATCCATACATTTATCTTCCACAAAGCTCATGCGACGCGATTGCCGAACAATTACCAGTGACATACCAGCCAGCCTACGGCCTCTATTTTTGGAACACTACCTCTCCGCAGTTTAAAAGCATCGTGGCTTCCCCGGGCTATCTGGGATTCAAATTCAGCAAGAACGGCCTTAATAATGAAGACCTTACGATCAAAGTTCCCTTCTCCCTGTTGAATCCCACACTGGAGGCTCCACTAGTCAAGACTCCCGTCCAATACTTCCCCTGCATGGCAACAAACAGTACACCTGCTCTTGGACGTGCTTTCCTTCAAGCGGCATTTATTGGCGTGAATTGGCTTGGACCTGAGAAATGGTACTTGGCTCAGGCTCCAGGTCCAGGTGGCTCATTTATAGCCGACCCAGTCACGATAAGCGACGATGAATCGGTTTCAGGATCTTCTAGCAGCTGGGAGGAGACTTGGAAGAGCAAATGGACCGTGATACCTAACAACTCTACCTCGAACAACACATCTACGACTGATCGTCCAAGCACTAAAGACACTTCAAACAAGGGTATGTCCACAATTACAAAAGTAAGCATTAGTGTCGGCGCATCTGTAGGCCTGGTGATTATAGTTGCTACTATTCTTGGGCTTTATGTTTGCCGTCAGAGAAAGCGACAGGTGGCCATGAATCAAGAAACGAACTCAATCGAATTTGATAAATGGAGCTCACCGGCATATCAATCGACGATTCTTGAAGCACCTGATACCATGACGAAACAGTTGTACGAGTTAAATAATAATTCGGCAAGGTATGAGATAGGGTCTAAAGGACACTACTTGTATGAGATCGGCTCGGAGAAAGACCAGGCAGCGGAGCTCGGCCATGGAGATGGTTTTCCAAATAAGATCTTTGAGCTGCCTGAACGGTGGTCGATCGCGAAAATGCCAAAATTCATATGAAATTGATGATATTTTAGCTGTTGTCAATTCATCATTGGAGAAAGAAGAATTCCTGCGCCTCACATTGATGGAGGTAGTTATGTCTATGGCTTTAAAAGAAATACTAGACGATAATAAAGGGAGCAATATAGTAGTAGTAGTAGTGGCAGGTTTCAAATAAACTCCAGATTACTTTTTTTCAAATAGACGATAGCCAGGTAATAGGTTCAAAGATTCTATTTAACTAGATAATATGCATATATGAACAGGGGTAGGCACTTTTGTGATTCCGCTGAACAGAACTCCGGATCATCGACACGTCAAGAAAGCACAAAATGGACAAATATCACAATCGTAATGACGCAAAGACACAGGATACAGGATTCAAGAAAAGAAATGTACAAATTAATAAAACACACAAGTGAGAGACATCACTTCAATGTTGTATCATTCTATGCAACTGGAGCGAGCACGTCAAACGCACCCGTTCCAACAGTACCAGAACGGCCGACAACAATGCGCGCACTGGGGCCTTTCAGGTTTTCGACATCACGCTCAAGGACAGCTTCCTTGAGAGCACCGACGGTAGTTTCGAAGGACATGCGGGCAAATGCTGAGGTAGCGTCCTTGACCAGGCCGTTACGGGAGAAAGCCTTGAAGCCACCAGACTGGGTCATCACATCACCGATCAGGTTCAAATGACGGTTATCAACGGAGATACTGTGACCCTTGAAAACGGCATCCATTTCGCGAACAATAGTAGCACGAGCAGCCTCGACTCCGTAGTAATGAAGCATGTCATGGATGGAGTTACAGTAGATCGAGTGTGGCTTGATGACATCCTGGTATTCACGCATAGCGAGCAGATTGACACCCTCGGTAAGAACTGTGGCGGGTTCACCCTTAAGGGGATCGGCCTCGACGAAGACACAGTTACCCAAGCTAGGGATAGACTGAATCACCGCGTGGTGTGCGGCAGCCTCAACCAGGGGAAGGAGCAGAAGCTTAGGTGTCTCGATGTCATACTGCAGTTGAATGGAGCACGAGTTGCCATTCTTGGGATCGAATTTGAATTTGGTGATCTCCTCAAACTTGCTCTTGACGTCGTCCTCTCGGATGTTGCTGTCTTCGTCGTCCTCATCGTCTGAGTCATCGGCGTCATTCATGCTTACATCACCCTTTGACTGAGAGGTCTTGGTAGTCTCCTCTTCCTCCTCATCATCCGAAGAGTCCTGCTGTCTAATGATGTTTTGCTCATCATCATCCGGGGCCTCGTAGGAGATTTGGTTGCTCCTGTTGTGAGTTCCACGAGATCTCTTGGCGTCATCCTCGTCATCCTCATTATCGTCCTCGGCCTGCTCGGCCGCGCGCTCGGTACCATCAGGGCCGTCTGCGGATTTACCGACTGAGACACCGATCTGTGGCTGGGCAGTTGAGGACTTGGTTCCAGTCTTATCCTCATTTCGCTTCTTCAACTCCGCTCTTGTGACTTTGACAAGACGGGGAATCAATTTGCTCTGCAAGGCGTTTTGGACATCCCTGGTCTGGATAGCATACTCCTTGACGTACTCCTCAGCAGGGAAGAAATTAATGTCAATATCGTAAATCTTGGCTCTAGCATGGCCGACACCCGCACCAATTCGTTCCCTCACTTGAACCTTATCCACCACCTCGGCGATAGTGAGTTTGCTAATAGCCTTAGCAAACTTCTCAGCGTCATCCTTGGGGATTTCTTCGTTGAGAAGGAGGGTCATGGTAGGGGTCATAATCGAAGCACTGGCAGTCATGACAATTTCACGAAGACGGGGAATACCCAGGGTGACGTTCTTTGCGGAGTGACCAGCCAAATGGAAAGTGTTCAATGTCATCTGTGTCGACGGTTCACCGACAGACTGACCGGCCATGATACCGACCGCCTCGCCAGGGTCGATGATAGACTTCATATACTTCATGTTCATTAAAGCATCAAATGTCTTCTTAGGGAACTTCTTCTTGAACCCATCCACCACCTTCTCGATTCCTTCCAGCTCCTTCTTCTTCTCCTTGAACATGTTGTCAGGGTTGCTGTCGGTGTACTATAAACCAGAACGTCGTAATTAGTTTATGTTTTCAAATAAGAGCTGTCAGAATTATTCATACCTTCTTGAGTGCCTGGGCAAATGCCTCGGATGTACTGCCCAAGTTACCACCTGGAGGGTAATGGGCCAAAACAGGGTCCATAGCATCAACCTTTCCGGTCTTGCGCACCTTCCGCATAGCGTCCTTATGCCATGTGGAGACCTCCTCCTTTGCCAGATTGGCGTATTGGTGAGATTGAACTTGCTCGAGAATAGATTCATAGTTCTCCGCAAGGAATCCGAAGTCATTAAGATGGACCTGCTTAGTGATATCGAGACCATCCTCACCATACAGGAACTGAACAATAGATCCATCCGACGCTTCACGAACGGAGGAGTCATATTCGGCTCTCAGTCCCTCCATGCCCTTAATCAAACAACGCTGCAGGTAACCGGAACGGGAAGTCTTAACAGCAGTATCAATCAAACCCTCACGACCAGCCATGGCGTGGAAGTAGTACTCCTGTGGCTTGATACCAGTCAAGAAACGACCAGAGACATAACCACCGGCAATAGGGTGAGTTTCATAGGCTCGGAAGGATGGAAGAGTTTTACCACTGATCATGACCGGTACACGACGACCTTCCAAAACTTGTTGTCCCAAGTTGCAGGAAATAAGGTTGGCATTGACGCCGGAACCCTTGGCACCAGAGATTGTCATAGACTGCATTTGATTCCACGGGAAGGGCTTAGCAAGACCGGCAGGGAGACAGGCCTTGGTGATATCCGAAGAGAGTTGAGCGGACCGAGAGTTAGAGACGCTATCCAGTCCACTTTGCTTGTCATCGTCACGGAGCACGTCCTCCAGCCGGCGATTTAATTCGGTATCATCCTTCTCCGCTGTCTTGTCCAGCGTGACGTATTTCAGTGCAACTTCGCGACCCATTTGGGCTGCTGTGCTCAGCTTCTCTTTGCGCATACGATCACCCTCTTTAGTCAATCGGAGATCATCAATACCACAAGTGAATGCTCGCATGTTCAAGAATCTGGTGAGAAGACGACCAAGAATACTCATGAGCTTTCCAGCAACGGTATGGCCATAAATCTCATGGACAGCATCGATAAGACCACCAGCAGTTGGACCAAGCTGCTTCTTGTCAAGAATACCGCACAAGAACTCTCCATCTTTGAAGATAACATCGCCTTCCTCACTGCCCTCCCCCCAACGGTTGGCAGGAGTCGAGGATTTGCCCTTGAGGGTAAGTCCAGCACGCTGTGGGGGCTTGATGTTCTTCAGAATTGTGGTAATCAACTGTTTTCCTGTCCACAAGTACTTGGGCTTGACAAAAGCGGGCTCCACAAGTTCAATTCGATCACTGACAATGTGTGAGTTTTCGGGCCTCAGACAACTGTAAAGAAGTTGATGATAATCTTCCTCGTCGAAAAAGCTATCCCGACAAGTGAGCCACGTTCCCATGGAAATATGATCTTGAATAAGACCTCGCAGAGGTTTACCGGAGGTGGCAACCAAGTACTGGTGGTCAGCATCGGCTAACATCCGAGCTTCTGCTTGAGCAAGCTCATTTTGTGGGAAATGCATGTTCATTTCGTCACCGTCGAAATCAGCGTTGTAAGTATTACAGTTGGCGTAGTGCATGCGAATAGTCCGCTCATTTGGAAGGACACGAGCTTTGTGGCCCATGATAGACGGTTTGTGAAGGGTGGGTTGACGGTTCATCAAGACATAATCGCCGGTGGTGAGATGGCGGTACACCTTCTTGTTCCGTGATCCCTTCAGACGCCAATTGGATGGTGCCAGAAGCTGATTAGCAAGGGCCGTACGTTCATCCAAGCTCTTGAACTTCAGGTTCACAACTTGTCCATTCTCATTCTCGATTGCGGCAGCACCCGGGTACTTGTCAGGGCCATTAATCACAGCCTCCTTCAATTCCCAAAAATTGTGTTGGGTGACGGGTTCGGGGAAGGTCAGCTTCTTAGCGAACACAAGAGGCACACCAATCTCGTTCGTCTCAAGGTTCGGATCAGGCGAAATGACACTACGGGCAGCGAAGTTGACACGCTTTCCCATCATGTTCTTTCGGAACAAACCCTCCTTCTTTTCAAGAAGTTGTTTGACACCATTAGGTAAAGATACAACAGCTGAACCAGTCACAGAGGTCCGTTCCTTATCGATCAGACCGTTGACATCGTCCTGAAGTGTAACGATGGTTTGAAGCAAATCACTGTAGTTTCGGATACGAATGCTTTCATTTTCGGTCTGGTTCTGGATTTCCTTGCTGATTTGGTTGACGGTATCGCATCGCTTAAGAATGGCATTGAAAATGGTATTTTGTTGCGCTTCCATGACCGCGCCTGCGCCCTGTGCAGCAGCTGGGCGGTACTTGTTTGGCGGAACGAGAAGGCTTCTAATAAAGAACATGTCGGCATTAACCACGGTTGCCCCCTTCGGAACAGGCTGGGAATTGTAGACAAGCTGTAAGACTTCACTATCCTTCGCGAAAAGTAGTTTCAAGCAGCTATAAACCTCCGCAGAGGTCATGAACTCTTGGCCAAAAGTAGACTTTTGAGCGGTAGCAGCGCCACGGCGAATTTCTTCCTCGGCTCCATGTGTTTCTGAGGCTTCACTTCCAGAGCGAGTACCGTTCGTCTTTGAGTTTGCCTTGTCAGAATCAAGAAGCATAAGGGCGTTGGGGGCCTGGAATCCGCCATTCAACATGGCTTGTTTCGACTTTTCAGGGAGAGCTTTCTTGAAGATCTTGTTATAACGATCTTTTCGGTACGAGGGAGAGATACTTGGTTTTATATGTTAGCCGATGAGTAGGATAGAAGCATGGAATGGTCTTTTGACATACCCGCTGCAGTTAGTACATTTCTTGTAGCTGTTGATATCCTTGAGGAAGGTTTTGACCAACTCTCGCCTTTGCTCTGCGGCAATGGGGTTCTTTCCGCCTGCCATTAAGCCGCTGAGTCTCCCATCTTTTTTGGCCTCCCGGATAGACAGTTCAACGTAGTCAGTCCGCTTGTCCATGATACTGTCAATGTCATCCTCGTCGTCTTCAGAGTCGTCACCATTGCCCTTAGCAGCCTTGGATGAGCCTCCTTTGTTCGTCCCCATGGCATCAACGATGGCTACTTCATCAAGAAGTCCATACTGCAAGAGGCGCAGCTTGCAGGTATACATGTTAACATGCGCACGAGACATCTGCAGGCGATGACAGTATACACACTGCGCGCGAAGAAGGCGATAGATGTGATCGAAGAAAGTGACATTGTAGAGGGGAACCGGAAGTTCAATGTGACCAGCATGGCCAGTGCATGACCAAGAATTCTGACGACATGTAGTACAACTGATATTCAAAAGTTTCGAGTTAGATTTGAACTGAGAGGAATATATACCAGCACTGTTCAAAACGTTGCTGACTTACACATGATCACCCCAAGCGCCCATCGCAGGGTCATAGAGACCACCAGGAACTGGATTGTTGAAAGAATCCAATGTCGGGGTATTGTGAATTCTTTTCACCGATAGCTTTTTGATCTCTTCATCGGAATAGACGGTAAAGCCAACCCCGGCAATGCTCGAGGCGACTGGACGGGAGAAGCTCGCCATTGTGCCCTGTAGCTCAGTGGAGCAACAGAAAACGCTGGCGGTGCAAGATCGTCTTGAAGGATCAGTCTTCAAATACTTCTACTGCGGAAGAATTGAAACCTCGAAGCAACTTTTTTTTTCTGCCCCACTCTACCGCCTATTCCCGTTTTGGGCCGTTCCGACCGTGGATCTGGTGCTTGCCTCAATTGATCTTAGCTCAACCGCCAGCTTTGTGTTTTCCTTCTACCACTTTTTTCTCTACGTCTGTTCCACCTCCAGGCTCACGGCTACGCGGGAGTCCCGTCCTCGCAAATAGTCATGGCGGACTCTTCAGGCAATGCGCTGAAGCGTTCTCACCCCGAGGATGAGAACAGCAACTCTCAGAAAAGAACCCGTTCCAACAATGGGTCCCCTATACCAGGTCAAGGGGGCGCGCCCGCGGGCAAGGTCGATATCGAAAAGATGGTCGCTGAAGCCCGAGCAAAAGCTGAGGCTGTTCGCGCTCGTTTGCAAGCTGCTCGTAGCGGCGCGACGCCTCCCGTGCGTCCGACGGAGTCCAGTCCAAGTCCTGGGCCATCGACATCAACCCCGGCACTTTCTAGACTCGAACAGATGAAGGCCAGGGTAGCGGCGGCCACCGCCAGGGCAAACGCACCTCCTCAAAGGCCAGAAGCCCCTCCAGCGACCTACACACAGCCTCAAGCGTTCGACGACGAAGGTCTCTCGAAAGCCCGTGGCGGTCTTGATGTAGGCCTTCACCCAGCACTACTTTCGGACACCAAGCCTGAATATCGCGGAGCCAAAGGCCGTCAACAAGGCAAGGGCAAACCAATCGGACGTGGCAAACAACTTGACCTATCCGGTCCGTCTATTGAAGAAATCAGGAACAACCCGTACTTTGACCCCAGTCTTGGGCCGAAGGCAACTGTCGCGAAGCCTCGTAACTCTCGGCAGCTCGTTTTCAACCAGAAGGGCAAATATGTTCAACAAGCGGCCGCTTTGCGCCGTCAGGCACAACTGGAGGACATGAAAAAGCGGATTGCCGAGCGAGCCCGGCAAGCAGGTATCGACGAAGACATGGAAGTGGAAAAATCATACCTTGTGCCGGCTCCCCCAGCTGTGGAATGGTGGGATGAGGGGTTGATCAATGGGCCTGATTATGCTGCGATTGATGACCCGAGGAATTTGAAAATCGACTCTGCCGACTCCATAATTACCCGCTATGTTCAACATCCAATCCTACTCGAGCCCCCGCAAGAGAAGCATCTTCCTGCTCAGAAGCCAATGCATCTGACACCGAAGGAGCAAGCAAAGATTCGTCGACAGCGCCGTATGGCAGACTTGAAGGAACAACAAGCGAAGATTCGATTAGGTCTCGAGCCGGCGCCACCACCCAAGGTCAAGAAGTCCAATTTGATGCGTGTTTTGGGAGAACAGGCAGTCAAAGACCCCACGGCTGTCGAGGCCCGTGTGACCAGAGAAATTGCGGATCGCAAAGAACAACACGAAATCATGAACGAAGAAAGGAAGTTGACCAAGGAGCAACGGCGCGAGAAATTAGAAAATCAGCAAGAGAAGGATGCCGAGCTAGGTATCTATATATCTGTCTACCGGATCGATAGTCTTGCGAGTGGACGAAATCGCTTTAAGATCAGCAAAAATGCGGAACAGAATCGATTGACCGGCATTTGCGTCGTGCATCCCAAGTTAAACCTGGTAATTGTCGAGGGTGGAAAGCACTCCGTCAACAATTATCGGAAGCTAATGGTCAACCGTATCGATTGGACTGAGAATCCAGGCCCGACTACATCGGATCCCAACCGCGAAAGTCAACCATTGTGGTTGTCTACAGAGGATGAGAAGGGTGAACCACGAGATTTCAGTCATAACTCTTGTGTTCTTCTTTGGGAGGGTCAAGCCAAAACGCGTGCCTTCAGGAGGTGGCTGGGTGCAAGAGTCTGCGACTCCGACTCGGCGGCTAAAGAGGTTTTAACCCGTTCCAAGATGGAAAATTTTTGGACATTGGCCAAGAGCCACAAACCTGCCGAATTTTAAGAATCATAGCTATGGACAAAACCTCGATGTCCTTGTTTTATTCTGCCTTTCATCAACCATGTGTGAATCATAAATCTTTATTTACGAATGAATATGTACTCTATCCTATCAATACAGTGAGCTATGGCCGGGAAACTCAGCAGAACTATAAATAAATAACTTTTAACACTAAACCCAAATTAAAAGACTCAATGACCCCGCTCCTGATGCAAATTTTTCTTAATATCAAGATCATATCACCGAACAGTCAAGGTGAGCGCAGATAGCAAATATCATAAAGCAAGATTAAGAAGGGGGAGGACCCTGGTTGCCGTTATTCAGGTTGCGCAGCAGATCCAGCTGGGCTTTGACCTGCTCAAAGTTCATAGATGGGTTCGGTGGTTGGCCCTGTGCAGGAGGTTGCTGGGGCTGTTGGTATTGCTGCTGAGGCTGCTGGTACTGCTGCTGCTGCTGCTGCTGCTGTTGCTGTTGCAATGCTGCCAGGAATAGAGGGTTGATATGCGCGCCTTGAGGAATGGTTTGGAAAGGGCTTTGCTGTGGGAAGCCAGGCTGGAAGGGAAACTGGAAGGGAAAGGGTGCTGGGGCTCCGCCCTGGGGATTTTGCGGCTGTTGCTGTGGCGCATACTGCTGAGGATATTGTTGGTAGCCAGGGAAAGGCTGGGGCATACCATAAGCAGGCTGTTGTTGCGGGTATGTTGGCATACCGTAGGTAGCTGGTTGTTGAGTTTGAGGCGCTGAGTGACCTTGTGCATATTGAGAGTCGCCGCCCTGTTGATGGGCAGGTCGGCGCTCTTGGTCTCGGTCACCATAGCCTCCTCGTCCACCACTTCCTCTGCCACGACCACCCCGGCCGCGCTCAGTGCCTCGTCCTCGGCCTCTGCTTCCACGGAAGCTTGGTCCCCGCTCGCCGCCCTCCATAGGAGCCTCGCGCGTACCCATCATCTCGTGCAAATTCTTCGGGCGAGCAAGGGGTGTATATCCCTCGGGTCCTTCCTCGTCGTAGTTGAGTTCGCTGTGGCTCAACTTTGATGGCCCGGGTTGTCCTCTCTTGGATTTTCCACCATCCTTAGCGTCCTTTCTCTCTTGTCGCTTCTGTTTCTGTTTCTTTCGATACTCAGCCTCGGCTTCGTCATCAGAGAACTCCATCTCCTCTTCAGCGATCTCTTCATCGTGGAAGTTCGATGCGTCGCTACCCTTCAAGCCCTTGAGGGGCTGGGTAAAGACAAATGTAGAGTGTTTTTCAACGTAATAAACAGGCATATCTTTAACCAAGCCCTTCTCTTTCACTTCTTCCCCGGTTGCATACATGAGAGTGTACAAGGGGTGCTCCACTCGACCAAGTGTTTCCGATACAACACCCAAAACCTTGCGGTCCTCAGAACAGAGCAAAGAACCCGACTCGAGAACTTGGTACTCTCCAGATGTGTTCGCCTCAACAAGAACGGCGTTGTCAATGGCTGCTTGGACTTTGCCAAGGTAAACAATTTTCATCTCCGGTGTAATAGTGACTTCCGGGACGGGCAAAACCTCTTCCGCCACCTCGTTGGTCGATCGAATTTGAGCTCCAGATTTGCCCTTGTCACCCTCATCGTCGGAGCCGCCCTCAGCAAGCATAAGAATGCGAGCTTGTTCTTCGGGACTAAGGATGGGGTAATCTTCGTCGTCGCTATCATCGGAATCGGAAGAGCTCGAGCTGTCCGAGGATGACTCGTATGGTGAAGAGTCAACTTCCCACTCAGGATGCTCCTCTTCCCCATCTTCTTGGGCGGTTTCAGGCTGTCCCTGGGGGACCTCGGTCGCATTTTCGGTGGTGGTGGTGGTGGGCTCGGGCTTCTGGTCGACTTCCATTGCTTCGCTGTGCACCTGATTCACTGCTTCCGGGTTGACCGCAGTCTCATTTTCTCCATCTTGCATAGAAGTGTCATTTTCCTCGGTCTTAATCGCCTCGCCAGCAACATTATCCGACTCTTGTTCGACTTCTGCTGCCAATGTGTACTGCACAGGGTTCGAGGGTTGATCGTTTGGTCCGTTGACGAGGCCTAATCCTGGGATCATAGGCATACTGGTTGAAGAGACCGAAGGCTCCGTCGTGGGTATGTCTTCAGTAATCGCAGTGGTCACCGGTGTGTCAGCGTTCAAGGGCGTGTCGTAGAAATCACTACCATTGTCTGGTGTGTCTGCGATAGGCGGCGTATCGATGGTGCAGGGTCGTTTCGAGGGGGGACCTTCAGTGGCACCCGCAGACTCAACGGGGAGATTGATCTGGTCGCTCATATTTGACCAAGTAATTAAATAACAAACAAAATTTCAAAATCTGCTGCAACTTAAAACAACTTCTCATGAAAAAAAAGTCGCCGCAACTTTTTTTTACAGATCTGCGCAAGTTGCCGTCGCGGTCACCGGAGAAGCCCCACTCTACCTTATCGCGCTTATCTTAGCTCCAGTGCAGAAGACGGCGGGATTCAACATGAACACATCCTCATCACCGCAATCATGGCTGGGGGAAATGCCTCTAGTTCTGGAGAAGCTCGGACTCCACGATCAAAAAATCGGTAAGTGCTTAATCCCGTGTTTGATTGACTTGTAATGTGACCTAACAATGCCATGTACAGTCCGCCACCAACGTTCTACCTTCCGTTAAATGTCACACTCTACGTATGCCTCTTCGCAAATGGGCTCGCCGCATTCTTTGCCCCGATTCAAGACTGCGATGAGATTTTCAACTTCTGGGAGCCAGCACACTACGTGCAGCATGGATATGGCCTTCAAACATGGGAATATTCGCCTGTCTACTCAATCCGGAGCTGGCTCTACGTGTCGCTTCACGCCGCGGTTGGAAAACTAGGCTCATTATTCGTCAACTCCAAAACGGCGGAGTTCTACTTCATCCGTGTATTCCTAGCTGTACTTTGCGCCGCCTGTCAGACCAGACTCTATTCGTCAATCAGCCGATCTATCAATCCCCGTATGGGCCTCGTCTTCATTACAATTATCATCTTTAGCCCTGGCATCTTCCACGCTTCAGCTGCTTTCCTCCCGTCCACTTTTACCATGTACACTTCAACGCTTGGACTGGCTGCCTTCTTAGATTTACAAAAGGGAGGACCTAAGATCGCCCAGGGCATTATGTGGTTTGCTTTTGGTGCAATTGTAGGCTGGCCATTTGCTGGCGCTCTGATCCTGCCACTTATTGCCGAAGAAGCCATCATTGCAGTCTTTTCTGGGTCTTTGGGCTCATTTTCGCTGGCTGTATTCGACGGCGCTATCAGATGTCTAGGCATTGCGGCACTTGAAATCGCAGTCGACTACGCTTTTTTCCGCAAGCTTGTCCTTGTCCCTTGGAACATAGTGGCATACAACGTATTTGGAGGCCAGGGCAAAGGTCCCGATATCTTTGGTGTCGAACCTTGGACCTTCTATATCCGAAACCTCCTTCTGAACTTCAATGTTTGGTTCATACTTGCTATTCTAACTGCTCCTCTGCTACTACTTCAAGTTATTTTCAGTTCCCAACCTTCGTCTGTCCAGAAGTTTGTGCGATCAATCATCCTCGCCTCTCCATTTTATATGTGGTTCGGAATCTTTACAGCTCAGGCTCACAAGGAGGAGCGCTTCATGTACCCCGCATACCCGTTCCTTGCCCTAAATGCGGCCCTCTCTTTTCATCTGATTCTCACCTATCTGGGGTCCAGTAATCCAAAGGAAATCGTTGGTCGTATCCCGACCAAGCTCAAGCTTATAGCAAGTTTGTCCGTCGTCATTTTGGCGGTCAATGCAGGCATGCTACGTATTCTGGGAATGGTGACAGCATACAATGCACCATTGAAGGTTTTTGACCCATTGCAGCAAATGGACGTAGCTCAGACAGGGAGCTCCGTTTGCATTGGCAAGGAATGGTATCGATTCCCATCGTCATACTTCCTCCCACAGGATATGCGCGCCAAATTTATCCGAAGCGAGTTCCGAGGTCTGCTGCCGGGTGAATTTCCAGAGTCGATAAGTCATCTCGGCCGTCTAGAGGGAGCTTCACAAATCCCATCTGGCATGAACGATCTTAATATAGAAGATCCAAGCAAATATGTGAGTTTTGAAAACTTCTCACGGTGTCTTTTTGCCCGTTATCCCATTCTAACCGATTCTATAGGTCGATGTTTCTGAGTGTTCATTCTTGATCGACTCGTACTTCCCAGGTCGCGAAGCTACTGAGCTAGAACCTCACTATGTACTCGACGATAACGAATGGAAAGCCCTTTCATGTGCAAGTTTCTTAGACACAGCACAGACTGGACTGCTAGGCCGTTTGATCTGGGTTCCTGATCTCCCCTTTATTCCTGAACAATTCCAGCGCAAATGGGGCCGATACTGTCTACTTCAACGCCAAGCCACGAGCGGTGTCATCTAAACAGTTTGAACGCCAGTCACGTATCGCGAAGTCACTCATCGATATCCTTGACTTCCCAAGATTATCTGATCTAATAATTATATAAAATTTAGAAGAATATGCTGCGAAATTTAACAGAAATCTAATAAAAAGAATAGTGAATGTGTTGATAATTTATCAAAATCAACCTTTCTCATTTGTTCCCCGTGGATCCCAGACTCTACCCTATATGTAACATTCCCACGCCCCGCTCACGTAAATCCGGGGTACAAGGTTAATTCCAAGACTCGCTTTGCCTAATCAGGAAAAGAAATCCCTCCATAAATTCACCCACCTTGGACGTCAATGATAAGCAACCCCTCACCCCTAAATAACTAATTCTCAACAGACACATAACAATATCTGTCCAACAACAGGCCACATGCAGGGCCGGATGCGACGGCCAAAAACAGAGGTCAGCGAATGACATCCTGGTCCCCCCTCTTTCAATACCCGGGATCGCATACGCGCACCTATTGAAGAGGAACGATACATGACGTTAATCGTTAGAGATAAGGGGTTCATTCGCATCGGACTAACAGGAATGGTATCCCTTAGAGGAAAACTGACGCTATCGCCTCGATACTAACTTTGTACAGGTCTCGCTAGCAGGATTTCCTTTTCCCCTACTTAGACTTGTAATTCCAATTTTATCAATCCCTATATAGTAATGTCAACCTAGATTTCCATTATTCACGTATCTTCTTATCTATCGGCAAATTTCGGCCTGCTAGCTCCTTCAGAGCTTGAAATCCTCGAGTACTTTAAGTGTTCATGGAATTACCAACTTGAAGTCATAGACCTTTAAGCGACTGACAATACTACGTTGTACCACGGAGATATAGCCTCCATACGTCATGATAATCGACACAGAGTCCCTCCGAGGGGTCATACCCTCAATGGCACCGAGCAAAGACCTTGTCGGCGCTTTTCTCTTTTTAAATATTTGCGCTTATATCGTCACTTTAATCGTCCAAAAATGGACTTCATCGAAACAAATATCCCGACCATCTACTCCTGATCTAGAGAAGCCTGCTCCACGACCAGGATTCAGGGAGAAGATCCAAAGGACTTTAGGTGGTATGCAAGCTCCACCCTATTGATTGTTCTAAGTGTTTAACCGTCCTATGCATAGAATGGACACCATCTGATTTCAAGAGACCAACGGCTACGCCGTTACTTGACTGGAATGTACATACTTCCAAGCCAATCCCATATCGCCCGTTTCGATATGGCCCGTAAGTTTACACAAAGTACTAAAGAAGACATCACTTTGTTCACTTGCTGATAAATTTTGGCAGGAAATACTTTGTTACTTTAGGATTGAGGAGCTTGAAATGGGATGAATGGATTGGTAAGAAGCCGACACCAACGATCAGACCTTTGTAGAAACCCAAACTAATGAAACGCTATTCTAAACCACAGAGCTCGACAATCATTATCTCAAATACCACGCCGACAAGGCTAAGCGCATCGCCGAGCGCGGTGAAAAATGCTACGGCACAGCTCCAGACGCAATGGACGGCGCGATCGAATTATTAGAAGAGCTGTAAGCATCGTAAAACCACAATATCCCAAGATTCAAGGGGCCAATATCCCTTCTAACATCAAAATGAAAGATGCGAGTACCTACCTGAGCGATACCCAACCATGTTTCAAAAGACATCAACGGGAATAACGAATACTGTTACCAATGAGACATTCGATATAACTCAGCGCCCCCTCTCAGAAGATCCAATGGCGATAGCAGCCCGTTTAGTTCAAGATGATTTAGCCCTCATGATCGAAAAGCCCGATGGAGAATATTACCTCCTTGCCGGAGCAATTCTTCTAGCAGGATTCTGGCGACTAAGCGACAAATTCGGAATGCCACTATCGGAAATCCATACATCTGGCGATGTCCCTCAATTCCGCGAAAAGCTTCAAAAAGGAATGATGAACTTCTTCCGTCGTCTGCGGCCTGAAGAGCCTGTGCTCCGTAACAACTATTTCATTCAGGTGGACGATGAGTTGGCATGGTCGCCTAGTATAGGATCCGAGGATGCGGAGGAAGTATCGTGGAATACGGCGGAGAAGAATCGGGCAATCGAACATCATTTCTTTCGGTCGGAGAGACAGTCTCTGCGGCGGTTACCGCGATCTGGTGCGGTACTTTTCACCATTAGGACGTATTTCGAGCCCATCACGGAGATTGTTAAGGAGCCTTATGTACCTGGGCGGTTGGCATCTGCGATTCGTAGTTGGGGTGATGATGTCTCGAGGTATAAAGGGAAAGAGAAGTATGAGGAGGTTTTGTTGGAATATTTGGATAACAAGCATGCTGAGCAGCTTGCTGCTGGATTAGATGTTGAGGGAGAGGATGAAGTGCGAAGTTATCCATTATAGTGTTCCAAGGTTAGATTATTATGAGAACCATGATCTTTCGGGGTGATTTTTTTACTGTTATACGTCTTTTCTCAACTGTGATATGCACTACAAAGTTTTGGATGCTAAGAGGTCCCTTTCCGGATTTCTCTCCCTTTCGTATACTGACAGCTTTTAAGCCTACAAAGCAAAGTAGAATGCACCCTAACCTTGACATATGATATCCCCGATCGCACTCTGCACATTCGCCGCTGAATCAAATCGAGATAGCCAACATCGTCTGATTATCGGTCCCCATGGTTCGTTTGATATACCAAGGAACTCATTTTGTTATAAAGCCTCTCAACTTCGTCACTAGCGATGTCTCTATATGGACTGGTAGCGTAAAAAGCCTCGTAAATAGTTGATCCTAGCGCGAAAAGATCTGTCGCCACTGTCGAGGGATCTTTCCAATGTCGTGGCAGAAAAAAGCGCGTGCTTTCACCCGATGTTGGCCTTGAACCATCTAAGGAGGAACCGGAGAAGTCAATGATCTTAGTGTCAAAACACGTATCCAGTAATGTGTTCCGCGGCTTGATGTCACAGTGAATGACATCATTCTTATGCAGAAGGTCGACTGCTTCCGCAACCTGATATGCCCACTTTACTTTGAGGTCTATGGGTATTGAGCTTTTCGACTGGAGATACGTTTTAAGATCGCCGTTTCTCATGAATTCAAGCACAAGGCCTTCGTCGGGATGATCAAGCATCCGAGCCAGCCGCTTATGTGGGCCAATACGATGATAAATGTCGGCCTCTTTGGCAATATCCCGGATATGAAGGTCCATCTCCGGACCAGGATATGGTGTTTTAAGTGCAGTGCCATTCTCAATTAGTTCCACTATTCCAGTTACGCCTCCTGATATAAGTTCGCCTTGGGCATTTCTCATGAATTTGTAATCCACTTTGGGCCTAGCATCGTCCAATTGGTCGTCAACGGACTTGGTTTGTTCGTTATGCTATTTGGTAAGCTGTCAAACAATACTGTGCCAGGTAGACGAGAGATTCCTAGATACCGTTTGAAAAGGAAATCGCTTTTCCCAGGCGGAGAAACGGACACCATTTTGAATCTTGGAACCTGACACTTGCACTTCAAGTTGTGCTAATGGCGCGTCGTTGACAGCGGGGAGAACAACAAACACGCGCAAAATGCAATCACGTGCCAGGTGAAAGTCGCAACTTGATAGAACTATGTACCTACTTCGCTTCGAGTTTAAGTTGAATTTGAAGTTCCATGTTTAAAATGAGTATTGTATGGAATCAATTTGTCAATTTTTCAAAGTCACTATCAGTCATGGGGCCTGACGTTTCCCCCTCCCCAAAAAACCCTGGGTGAAAATCTCGAGATACAGTATGTGAAACTACCCGAAGTTTATATATCTTCACATCATTATCACTCAACCTCAACATTTTTTTTTTCACACCTGGGCACTGAACATTCAATCTTTAAGATTTGAAGATGAAAATGATCGAGCTAGGACATTTAGAACAGCTTAAACCAATGAGAATCAACGGTAAGCCTAGATCGAGTCGCTTTCAAGGTTATATGGGGCCCCGAGACCGAGGGAACAGGTATTTTGTAACTTGAAGTTGAAGCAGTGCCGAAGGTGAAGGTGGGAGCTTCCTAGGCTCTGAGCACAGTCTGATATTCAAATTTCTCCAATTCCAACGCCGTCCATGCTATGTAATTTTATGCCCTATTCACAAACGCCCCAGAATTATCCAAATAGCACGCGATGGTTTTATAGTACAAAAAGAGATAAATGATAGGATAGAATAGACAGGTGAAACAAAAGAGCTTATTGCGCATCCAGCATCATGAGGTCTTGATCAATGTCGTCATCGTACTCATCCTCTACTTCGACCGTCGATGATACAACGCCGTCCATTTTATGACCGTTCATGAACTGGTGCTGCGTGACACGTTCTTCTTCAGCCTTGCGCTTTGCTTCATGTTTTTCAATGTCAGCCAAACTCCAGGTAGAAATACCTTCTTGATCTCTGGATTGGAAAGGTTGAGCCATAGTACGCAAGAAGTTCTTCGCATTCGAGACTGCCATATCTGTGCTGAGATTGGTCTCGCTGTCTAGCATGGCTTGGTTGATCCACTTTGGAAGTTGTGGCCGCTTTCGCTCAAAACGGCGATCTGCCAACACCATGACTCCATAGTCATCTTTACCACGGAGCACACGGCCCAGACACTGTGCAGCATGTCGCATAGCGTCGAAGGATAGGAAGTCATTCTCCCTAATGCGGTAGTTCTCGCGGAGGAATTCCAGGCGGGCTTTAAGGATACGGGATTCGGTGTATTGGAATGGTACACCAATGCACAGCACGGCCCGACCATAGTGGTGGTCGAAATCGATACCCTCAGACACTTTACCTCGAGCGACACAGAACATGATGGCACCGCGTCCATTACAGCACGCAGTTCGATATGTCTCCAGCGCAAGTGAAGACTCTTGGGCATCGGGGGTTTCGACGAGAATCAATTTGTAATTCCAGATTTGATCTAGGATACCCATACCTTGCCACATACTGATGATGGACTCCATGTAAAGGTACGAGGGAAAGAAAACGACGATTCCATCTGGTGTTATGCGTGCAAACTCTGTGAGAAGTGTACCGTAATTGCGAACCACACCAGGGTCATTGCGAATACCAAAGGAGGATGAAACCTGCGCTTGATCGGAGCCTCGAGTGACAATCATGGGCAAGAATGAGCGACGTGCCAGGGTCATACTGTACGATTCTTGCATGACAGCAGTGAAACCCAGCATTTTTGGGTACATCTCCAGTGGAGACAGTGTTCCAGATGTGATGACCACCGAGCTGAAACGATCAAAGACAGGCTTGATTGCAATAGCGGCATCTAAGCAAGTGAAGTGGAGGATAGGATTCGGTACTGTAGCCGCTTCTGATTCAAATGGCTCAAGGATAAGAACAAATCCTTTATCGTAGGTTGCGACGAGCGTCGCGAAAGTTGCAACTTCTTGAAGTGGCTGATAATCTTCGATATTCATGAGCTCAAGAGTTCGTACAAGAGAAGTCAGACGTTCAGCGCAGAATCTTAGAGGCTTGCGTTCAATATATGTGAGATCCTTCAAATGTGTGAGGAACGAAGGAGGTGTTTCTGAAATCGTATGGGTGACCTTCATGCGGGTCTTGAGATATTCGATGAATCTCTTTAGGAAGGATATAAAATGCTCAGCACGACGAATATTTCCGGGAACCGCTTCTTTCAGCAGATCGTCCGGCAAAACAGGATTTGAGATAAATTGATCCTCTTCTCGAGCTTGTTCCGCCTGCTGCAAACCTTCCACTAATTTCGAATATTCACTTTGAAGCTTGTCGGCGTCTGTGCTTTTCATTTCTTCAATTTTGCGCTCAAGGTTGCTTGCACCTCTGGTGGCCTTGCGGAGAGAATCCTCGCTGATGTCGATGCTAAGGGATTCGATGCAGACGTTGTCGATGTTGTGAGCCTCATCGAAGACAACGATACAGTCTTTGGAGAGTTCTCGGGAGACTCGTTCGGCGATTTTTGGATCGAGAAGGTAGTGGTAGGAGTAGATTATGACGTTGCACCATGGCATCTATACATAATAGGGTCATTAGTATAAGAAAATCGCGGCGCAAAATATGTTGGCCAGAGTAACATACCATACGGCGAGCTGAGAAGTAAGGACATTGTTTATGCTCCTCTCCGTATCGAAGGAGCCCATCAAGGGTGAACACGCCCGGAGGGATGAGATTGTGCGGCTCAAGAAGATCCAGATTCTAATTTTAGTAAGCATATAGTAAAATAAAGCGCGAGAACAGTACCACAAACCTCGTGGTATACGCAGAGCTCGACCTCATCACCCCGCTCTTTCTTTTCTTTAACAAAACCGGCCGTCAAGCTTCGGCATCGCGCGTCGACCACGGTACCACTCTTCTCTCGTTTTACAGAAGGATGTAGACAGAGATTCTTTCGACTGGTTAAGCCTAAAGCCCGAAACTCTTCTTCGAATCCCAGCTCTGTTGTCCGATACTTCATGAGTGCCTGAAGCTCCGCCAACGCCTTCTCGATCTCAGACATCGTTCGGGAGCAATAGATGAGCTTCCGATGCTCTGGATAATGTTGTTGGTACGCTATAATCAACGAGAGCAGCGAAACTGTCTTTCCTGTACCCGAGGGCATCTCCAACACACAGTGACCCCCGGCATCGAGGGTCTTTTTGAGATCGCACATGTAGGCATATTGCTCCGGGTAAATGCGCGGATACGGGAACAGGACCGGAAGATCACTATTTTAGTCAAGGTTAGAGGTCAAGACAAAGCATACGAGTAGATTTGTTGTAAAGAGTAGCATACTCAATGAAGAACTTCATGATGGTTAACCCGCCCGAAGCATAGAGGCAGTACAAGAAGAAACAAAAGAAGAGAAGCTTCAAGTTCGCAGCCTGGATCTTTTCCCCTTTGGGAGAGCGATGACACAAGCCCACGTGACTTCCTTATCGGGTGGCCGCGGTGGATCTAATTATCAATTAGTTGAAGATTCTCGTTGCTCAATTGTTTTCTAACAACTCACCACAGGGATTCAAAGAATAAGGAACATCTTGAAACCACTGCTGCTCAAGAATCCAAGACCTGGATTAGGCTCAAATTTACCTGTCGGAGCCGCGCCGGTCCAGTTTCAATCCTCGCCGAATCAATCCCCCACCATTCCCGCTGACCTCATACCCCACATGAGCAAAAAGTTCAAGTCGCAGGCTTCCAGCAGTCGTGCAGCTGCCGGGGCCTTTGGGTCATTTGGGGGTTTCTCAGGTTCTTTTGGAGCAGATGGGAGGGAGCCGTCTTCATTGACTTACATTGCCGAACCACCGGATCTTTCTCGAATTTCAGAGCAGCAATTGGTAATCGCTTTCAAGAATTTATTGAAGAAAGATGAGACTACACGAACGAAGGCCCTCGAGGAGCTGAGAGATTATATTGTGAAGCTATCAAAGGCCAAGGGAACTTTGGATGATGGCTTCTTAGAAGCTTGGGTATATATACCCACGTCTTTTAGTTATACTTGAAAACGATGACTGATGCAATATCTAGGTCAAAATATATCCCAGAATCTCAATTGATCTTTCAAGACGAGCCCGCCAGCTAGCTCACACTCTGCTGGGCGCAATTTCTACATTAGTTGGCAAGAGAATCGCACCACATCTTCCCCGTGTCATAGGCGCTTGGCTTGCGGGCATATATGACAACGATCGCCCAGTCCAGCGCTCCGCGTTGGAGTCATTCACCAGTGTCTTCTCGACAGAAGAGAAAAGGAGTAATGTTTGGAAATTTTACCAAAGCTCTACTCTGGACTTTATCGACGATGTCATCCTCCACCAGACACCCTTAACATTGAGTGACGAACGAACAGTTAAGCGAGACGACGCGGACGGAAAGTATGCTCGCGTCGTGGGAGCTGGATTAATGCTTCTGAGCAGAATACTGGGTATGATTTATTTAACCTGATTTTTTGGGCTTATGGGAGAAGATGCTGACTAGAACACCCACAGGAAATTCTCCCGACGACGACCTTCAGCGAAATCTAGCTGAAATCGAGAACTTGCTTGGTAGTAAGTCACTGTGGGCCTTTTGCAGTCACGAGGACCCATTCGTTCGTCGATCTATATATATCGTCTTGCGATCAGCTGTGTCCCGAGAGCCCGCCTGGATTGATTGGCAACTCGTTAGCTCAGCTATCATCGGAAAGTCGCTTTCTATTCCACAACTCGGCTCCGCTTCTGAACTATCTGAATCTCTCCTGCTCTTAACCGCATCAAGACCACAGGTATGGACGAGCGAATATACCTCAAAGACTTCAGCGTCGAAGAGGCTTCGCCAGTATATCCAAAAGGGATCACAGGCAGGTCCAGCAAACTTTTGGTCCAACCTGGACAAATTGCTTCGCCTGATTCCGCGGGAGGTACTTGCAGGGGCGGATAAAACATCTACCGACGAAACCATCAAATTGTCGAGCGCAATGGCTCTTACGGAGGCTTTGCAAGAAGGTCTCAATTCAAGAGAAGAGCCCCGCCAGAATCTTAGCACTGGATGGAAGGCATATATTCGTGTGGCTGCATGGCTTGTAATTTTAATGCCCCAAGAAGAAAGGGTTGAGTTTGTGCAGAGTAGAATGTCACCCCTGGTTGCTCAGTATGTGCGACCTATAGCTGAACTGGCTCAGTGGTCGCTCCCTACACCAATTGCGCAAGAAATCTGCGCCGACTTTCTACTGACTCTCATCTCTCACGAGCAAAGTCACCAACTTGAGCCATTATGGACAAAACTTTCAAATGATCTGTTGGAAGCTGTGAAGCTTTCGTCCCCCGAACAATCAAAAGACTTTCGCTCATCGCAGGATGCTGTGTGTTCTGAAGCACAGCGCTTATTTGGCTTAGAGGCTACAGTCATTTCAAGAGTTACAGACTCAGAAAGTGAATTGCAAGCGCAGAAGATATTTGAGAGAACAAATCTGTCCCTTCTTGAAGACTGCCTTGAGATCCTCCGCACCCGCAATGGTAAACCTTATGGTGCTGCTGGTGTGGTGGAGGAATGTGTGCGATATATGCCCTCTATTGCGAAGGGTTCTAATGAGCTCAGGAAGTTCGTTCAACAAGATGTGCCCGAGCTTCTTTTCTCGCCGTCTGGAGATCGACTGATTGCAATCATTTTGGCATGTAGGGAGTGGGAAGGGTTTACTTCCAGCTTTGAGACTGTGGTTGAAAGAGCCATGGACATGGAGCCTGAGCAGTCAAATGCACACATTCTGCAAGTCCTACTTTCTAGCCTTGACTTCAACGATCTAGGGGACAAAACCAAACTCACTTCGCTCGTCATGCGTGCTCTAGATAATGCCTGCAAAGGAAGCTCTTCTCATTGGGCAATCCTTGCATCGGTCCTTCAAAACCAGACCTCCCGAGGCGAATTAATGGATCAGGTATTCTTGGCAATCATCGATGCATTATCGCAGGAAGATAGAGCCCTGGATGTACTGAATGGCCTTTCTCATCTCGGCAAGACTGTGCCATCTGCCATCAAGGACTTCCAGAATGGATCCAATGGCCCAAAGTTAACGGCAAAACTTCTGTACCTTACAGAATCCCCTTCGGAAGAAGTCGCTACCCTGACCGAATCTTTGATAAAATCTTTCAAGGAGACGGTTGTTGGTGATCCAAGCACATCGTCAAAACTTGAGATTTTGCGTCATGAGCTAAGCCACGCAAGCGCAGAATCTTTATCGTGAGTTATATCACTCTTTCTTTGTTGAATAATTTGAATTTCCTAACATTCTCAATTAGCATTGAGTCTCTTCTGGAGATTACAAAGGAATTGCTTGAAGGTATCGACAGCAATGCAGACTTCAGTATCACAGATATTCTAGCCCATCAAAGTGTATGGGAGGAAGCTATGGGCCCTTTCCTTCAACTTCCCCCAAGAGCATCAACGGCAATCACAAGCCCTATCATGGGGGTTGTAAACTTGGTCGAGCGTGAAATCTCAGAGTCGTTAAAGGCACTGTGGCTTTCTATTCCCCGAGACTCCGATCGATGCACTGTTGCGTTCCGCCTTGCAGTTTTTACCATCAAGGCGTTGTCGACATTTGACATTGCCACACAGTTGAACACAGCAGACATCACTACTCTCTCCTACTTTTTGCCTTTGGTCATCCAGTTAATTGACGATGATTTGAGTATCGAGAATTCCAATGGCATTTCGGGTCTTGAGCTGGCTGACCAGCGCGAAGATTACTTTGATATAGTGTTCCAAGGACGCAAGATCATTAGCGACTGGATCCGTTCACAAGAACCCTTGAAGTCTTCACCAGAGACTACAATCTCGTCTTGTTTGACTTCTCTCTGGGAAGACAAACTTGAAGCACTCAACGGAACGTCTCCTGCAGATTACCGGGTAGGACAGGCCTTTGTCAAACTGATGACGTCTATGGACGAAAAGCGCAAGCCGCCCGACGAGGTTGCGAAAATTTGTAGGGAAGCAAGAAGTGTCAATGGAATTCGCTCAGCATCGTGGTTTGCTGTCCTGCGAACTTCAATTTTGTCTAATCCTGTCGGCAACCGAATTTGCAATGAATTGGTTGCTGATTCTACCGGTCTTAAGCCCGAAGATCCCTCTTCCCAAGGTAAGCTTTATCAAAATACATTTTCATATATCCTCAAACTAATCATGAACAGGATTGCGAAAGCTTGCTCTTCTTAATATTCTCCTTTCTGGAGAAGAAGATGTTGTATCGACAATTCCAACTCAAAGATTGGTGTTCCTTACCAAAAATTTAGTTGAATGCCTCCAGTCAGAGATACCGTCCTTAGGATTACGAGCAGAGATCATGCATACCTTGGCTTTTATTCTTCCTGGTCTCGCGGAGATCTATGGCTCGCACTGGGAGGATATTATTGATGCTTTGGGCGTTGTTTTCAAAGACGTCGGAGGTGGGGAGGAGAGTCTTCCTTTGCTTGTGTCTTCTTTCCGGCTATTTGCGCGTTTTAAGAGCATGGCAGAAGGCGAAAGCAATGATGACCTCCAGGATGTTTGGTCAGAGCGCAAGGTCGGAATTTCAAATGAATTGGTTTCTACAATCGCAAAATTCGGTAAGCGACAAGTCGAATCAATTTCGAGATTGCAATTTACTTACACTGAATAGATGCCTCAACCGTATTCCACCAACCTCGAGATGTCGCAGTTGGACTTCTTGATCGTTTGATCAATGCTCTTCCGATTAACAACCTCGAGGATGTCAGTAGTGTCTTCCACCTTCTGAATGCTCACAGCCGTTCTGTCCAACGAACTGCATACACCATTCTCCACCGCTATATCCCCCAAGTTCAGGAACAGGTATCATTTGACGTTGCTCTGTCTAAATCTGCAGTCAGTCTGCCTGATGAGCTAGTATCCTTATTGCTAGAGACACCCACCATGGACATGGTGTTGAGGTCTTACGGCGATGACAAGATGTGGACCAGCGTGAGATCATACCTCCTAAGCTGGAAAGTCGTCTTCGATCATTTTACCAACGCAGTATGTATGCAATTCCGCGTCTCCACGAGCCATTTCTAACTCTCTTAATAGTCTATTCCCGTGCAAGAATACTATGCGACAAATATCAAGGAGTACAGCATCTTAAATCCGCTACTGGAATTCATGTTCAACTTCCTCCAGAAGGCACAGGGTAGATTGATCGACGCATCAAAACTCGAGATACAGTCCTTCGAGCCTGATAATTCGGAAAGCGCCGAAAAAGAGACCCAGTGGCTGTTGGTACACCTGTACTATCTTTGCTCGAGACATTTGGCGAACATGACCAAGAGTTGGTGGATCGACACGCAAAAACGCATCAAGGGACCTGTGGAGACCTGGACGGAAAGATACGTAAGTGAAACAACCTGGCTTTGGCGACATCGCAACGTGAACTAAATACGTCTTCAGATATCACCACTGGTGGCCACTGATGCCATACGAAGCGTCACAGACTGGATCGCTACACAAGATCCCAACGAAGAGCGAGCATTGACTGTGAAAATTTCCCAACGAACAGCTGAGATCATCGCTAGCATTCCAGTCGATGAGGAATCTCCGCCCGTCTCCATCTCCATCACCCTTCCCCCAGCATATCCCCTTCACTCCGCCATTGTGGTCGGTCGCAGCCGAGTTTTGGTTGACGAGAAGAAGTGGAAGAGCTGGCTGCTCGTCATTCAAGGTGTGATTATGTTCGCCAATGGAAACCTAGTTGATGGGTTATTGGCATTTCGACGCAATGTCCAGGGCGCTCTGAAGGGTCAGAGTGAGTGTGCTATCTGTTACTCTGTTATCTCTACGGATATGCAGACGCCAAACAAGAGATGTGCCACTTGCAAGAATACCTTCCACTCGGTTTGTTTGTTCCGTTGGTTCAAGAGCAGCAACCAGAGTACTTGTCCGTTGTGCCGCAACAACTTCGTGTACGTTTGAACGTGCAACAATGAGATAGATGATAGATGTGGTACGAAAAAAAGGCTATCGAAGGAGAATATTCATATGAACATATTTTATTTATCAATTGCCACCCTTTATGAGTAGTAGTATAGGCCGTAGAACATGGATGCGAACACTGATACAACCCCGGCCTATAGTCGTGGGATGTATAACCAAGAATCATATATTCTACTGGACAATTGAGTTAAAAGAATGTATAATTGCAATTAGTTCACGGACGAACAGAATATGCCTTTCTTTTTGCCATACCAAAAAGAGTGAAGAACCCCATTTCGCTCCACTGGCCCCGTTCCACCATAGACGACGCTATCTCCGCGGGGGTGCGAACCCCACCATCACGTCCAAGCTTTTCGAGCTCCAGCTTCAACCTTCCACGTCTCTTTGGTACGCCCTTCATGGCCGCACCGAACATACCAAACCTAAACACGCTCCGACGAGGACGTGGCCGAGGCCGCGGAGGTCCCCAAAGAGTTGAAGGCAGTCATGGCGCGCGCTCATTAGGCAAGGATCGCGTCGTGCAGGGCACCGACAATGACGCCAGTGTGTCTCGTTTGAGTGCTGTTGAGCTAGGATACCTCCATGATCCCTACGCAACACCTTTAACCGCGCCCGAAAATGCAACTAGAAGATTCCCTATAATTAATCGAGGTGTGTTTCCTATCTTTCAATTGTCCATGGGTGTTAAAGCCTGAATAATTGACATTCTATTAGGAACATACGTTCGCACCACGGCAATTGATCAGCTAGTCGATCGCTTCCTCGATTCTCCCTCTCGAGGCGACCCGGAACAGAGAAAGCAGATCATATCACTTGGTGCTGGCTCAGATACCCGCGTTTTCCGTCTTCTTGCCTCCCGGCCGCGCTCTAGTCTCGTTTACCATGAACTCGATTTCGCCGTCAACACCGTGACAAAGATCCGCGCGATTCGATCTACACCCTTTTTACAACAGGCGCTGGGCATTGATTCGTCAAGCCAAGATGTGACTGTTTCGGAAGCAGGAGATGAGCTTCATACACCCTCCTACCATATCTACCCTCTGGACCTGCGGTCATTGGCAACATCCAGCGCTCCATTATATACACTACCGCGCGTAGACCCAACACTGCCCACGCTTTTGATCTCGGAGTGCTGCCTCATATACCTTTCACCAAACGAAGCAGAACAAGTAGTCTCGTTCTTCACTGAACGTCTTTTCGCTTCTCCGTCCAATGCACCCGATGCGCAAAATGAAACAACACAGCAGTCGAAGAAAACTACACCACTTGGAATAATTTTATACGAGCCTATTCGACCGGATGACCCCTTCGGTCGGACAATGGTTTCAAATCTTGCGACGCGTGGTATCCAGCTGCAAACTTTACACAAATATTCCTCCCTGGAGGCGCAGCGAACTCGACTTCGCGAGCATGGGTTTACAAGCGGCCAAGCGGTCGCTGATATTGAGTTTATTTGGGACCGTTGGGTAGCCGAGGATGAGAAAGAAAGAGTTTCTCGCCTCGAGTTCCTGGATGAAATGGAGGAGTGGCAGCTTTTGGCGAGGCATTATTGTATTGCATGGGGGTGGAGAGAGGGAGAAGATACAGCAACTTTCAATGGATGGACCGCGCTGCAGGCTCAGCCTGGTAATTGAAGGTCAAGATAAATATACAGTTGGATAATGAAATCAATAAAGCAGCATTCTTTTTATTGGACTATGTCGATAGAGAACTTCAGACTATAATACAGCGAACATATGAAAATATTAACAACCCGCTACTCCTCCACTCTCGCAAGGGTTACGTTCAGTGCTGGAATCTCAACACTGAGAGCGCTTCCAGCCTCATCAACCGTGAACACAAACTCATCCAGACCATGACCGTTGTACTGCAGCTTATCTACACCCTGCCACGACACACAAGTAGGAGTCTCTGCATCCGCAAGTTCCGTCTTGTCCTGCATTACTCCCCTGAAGACCTGCTTAGATGCCTTGCAGTGGCAGTCTTCCTCAGTCCGCTGGGTAGGATACAACCGAATACTCAGAACAGTTCCATTGTCCATGCCCAAGATATCAGCTAGTGTTTTCTTGAAATTCACACCATTGCTAACAAATTCATCGATCCACAGTCCAGGTAATGTATCATTCTGATCATACTTGATGGAAATCGAAGAATTCCCTTTCTCAGCAGCATAGGGTCCCCCAAAGTTAGCCACTGCCTGGCTTGTCGCGGTCGTCACCACGCCATCCAGGATTGCCTGCATGTAGTCTGCATGAGCATTCAGATCGGCAGGGGACTCAGTGTCTGCCGAGAGAATAGCATAACCAATTCCGTAGTCTGGGACCAGACCAAGGTAGGAACTATACAAGCCTTCGTCTTCCCCTTCGTTACTGAGGAGAGTGTACACGGGGACCATGGAGGTATCGGGGTAGCTTCCGCCACTGTAGATAGTCCAAGGTGCACCGACGGAGTTTTTAGGGTTCGAAGTTTGAGCAAACGGCTTCAGCCAGCGACGTGTTTCAGCGGGTGAAAGTAGATCGGAGCTGAGGATGGCTTTTCCAGCGATGGCGAGGTCTCGAGCACTTGAGAACATCGACTTTGATCTGCAGGAAGATGACATTTTAGCTGGAGTTTTTTTTTACTTTCAATCTTGTTTCTTGTACTCACGATTTATCTCCTACGTTGCGTGATGACCAGCCACTAGCCTCTTTGCTGACTGGGATGATTCCTAAAGATGAGTCTTTAGGGGCAAAGATGCTAGTCGCGTTCATGCTGAGCCGGGCGAGGATTCTGTTCTGGACGAGCTCGGCGAAGGAGCTTTTTGTTTGTTTTTCTAGCATGTATCCCATGATCTGGAATCCCAAGTTGGAGTAGATGGGTGTCGCGCCCGCTGCAGTAACCGGCACACGGGACGTCAAGTTCGTGATGTAGTCTGTTAATAAGGTCGTTAGTAATATTCTGCATTGATAGTTTCAGTCAAATTAATATACATACCAATGTTGCTGCATTGAGCTTTATCCCCACAGCATGGCTGCCTATAGCCAGACTTGGAGGGAAATCCAGCCTTGGAGAAGCCAGTTTCGGTCGTCAGGTCATGAATACAGTCTACCGTACAGATGTTTGTCAATATGTCATCCTCGGGTCCCTTGCCATGAAATGAACTTACAGTCTCGAGCAAGACCACTCATGTGGGTGGCCAGCTGTCCAACAGTAATCTCATCCCACTGTGGATACTTGATTGGATTCATTTTTTCGTGGGTCAAGCTAGATTCATTGGCCAGTTCCGGCAGATACTTCAAGATGGAATCATTCCAGATATGTTCACCCTGGCTCAGCAACAAACTCCAGACGGTGAAAGCTTCGGTCAATCCACCAATCCGGTATATGCTGTTCTCATCAACATCCAGAGAGCTGTCTTCACTTGAGTTTCCTTTCAATTTTTTGGAAGTATAGTGATACTGCCAAAAGGCTGGGTTATCTGCAGCATTTCCCTTGTTCGTGGAGAAGACTGCAATGCTGAATGATGTCCTGGGCGATATAGGTCCATTCGGTCCATCAAACTTGGTTGTCAGCTCATCGAAGCTATCTGTCAACTCGTTCAGAGCTTTGAAAATAGCTGTGTCATTGGTGTTAACATTGAATTGTGGATATGCAGGTCCGAGGATAGGGCATGGCGTGAAAGAAGAGAGAGCCGTGGAAACCAGCGACGAAAGATATGTATAGTAAACGATTGACCACTTCATGTTGAAGTATGAATCAAGTGCGGTGTAAAACTTTCAAGTATAATTATTGCGAGTTTTCTGTTCTCCATGCGCTTTATTTGTACAAAAGAATTTGCTCTATAATTGTTGGCATACAATTGATGCCGGCTCGGCGATGCTAAAGTGGAGACCTCGGGATCGGTGCGCTTGCATGTTTGGAACTAGTGTATCGGTCGGAGATGCTCAGATTATCTCAATGTTAGGCGAGCCAGTGCATTGCCACTATCTTGGCACTTTCTATTCTAATATCAGTTCTTGGCGAGGCTGAAGTATTAGGTCCTACTTAATTACCCCAGGGTTGGGTGCTGATAGGTTCTCTTTAAGGTCCTAATTAAATGCTCATTGGCTTACTCTTCCTATTGACTCAAATGATAATTATGGCCCCCAGTGGGGTGTGCACGAGTAAATGTTTGTCTCGTCTACAACTGCTTTGCTCTCCATGCACTGGTTGACTTAGGGTTTCTTCCGGTTAGTCCCGTGGTCGAATTCCACGCCATGGAGGTTTCCTTCTGACATAATAATGGAGCCAATATTTCTATCAAGGGAGGAGGAAGGAAGAATATGTGTGGGTAATGATAAAACAAAGCTAGCTAAGTTACGGAGAAAGAATGCTCAGATGAGAAGTGCCTAAGGTATCTCAATCGACAATATGAAAAGGATATTCTAAGCTCGCTGAGCCCGCTCGGGTTGCTCGGCATTATACCTAAAACCAAGCATTAAACATTTGATCCATAGATGGATCGATGCTATAGCCTTGCATGAATTGGTCATCCATTTCTGGGAATGAAAAAAGTTCAGGCATGGGCACTAAAGACTGATCACCCACTGGAAGCATGCTCACTTCGCTGGGACTAGCCATGGAGGTGTTCTCGTAAGCCTTTGAGATGTTGGTCGGCATACTACTCTTGTTGCTAACTCCCATTAATCTCTCCTCGGTTTGGTTTATCCTTTTTACGAAACCGGAGAAAACATCCCTTTGCCCGTCCATGTCAACTTTGGAGCTTGACAATGCACCCACGCGCTGCCGTAGTTGCGATAAAGTATGGAGAAACGATATTGTATTTGTTGGCGTATTATTAGCAACGGTATTTCGGTAGGCGACCAGCATGGCAAATGCCGTTTGTATCCATTGTGTATTTGTGAACTTTACCTCCATCATGGGAGGAAGTGAGATGTGTAGATTGAGCATGTTGTCGGCTGCGTTTGTTCCTGCCAAGGACAGGTCTGCGCGCCATGTCTGTGATATGGACATGGAATCTTCAGAATGCTGGTCGTGATTAAGAGCAATTTGATATAGACAAAGGCTTGTGGCGTAAAATTGAATGGCAAGAAACGCTAAAAGAGTCGGGAATTATAAGTTATCATTCATGAGAAGCTTTGAGTTGTGCTAGTACTCACGAACAGTGGAGATTTTGAATGGAAGTCTACTTTCAAAAGCTTCCAAATCTGATTTTATACTCATTACGTAGAGCTCAGTTCCCGACATCGGCTTTTTCAAGTCATTTCGGTGATCTGTAGATAAACGATTGATTTTTTCTGCGATATGCTGCAGCTGGAACGAATGCACGATATACTTGTCGGTGGGGTACTCTTCTTCTTGATCAAGTGACCGACAGCATTCGTCGAAATATGGAATGTAAGGGAAATTGGAGTGTTTGTGTAAAAAGACTGCCGTTCTGTGGAAAACCAATAGTAAGTATTTGATGCACCGACAGTCGCATACCAGAATCTTGAAAAGTACTCACGAGTATGATAGATAATAACAACCAATGACTGCTCTTTTCTCGTCAGTACCCCAAGAAGGTCTAACATATGTCTTTTTATTCAAATTTTGCTGAGTTTCAAACAATAATGGGGTCTTCCATTCCTCGGTTTGCGGGGGTCGATCTAGTCGTAATTCTATTACGAGGCTGATCGCCAGTTGGAGGAACTGAGTATATCGATTTGGCTTCGAGTGATAATGAGACCTGTCAACTTGAGTTAGAAAAAGTATGTCCTTATTTTCACATAGATGGCAATAAGAGTGGATCAGATGCATTTACCATGCAAGAAAAACCAAAAGCCCTTGCAGCATGTCAAAAGAGATCTCTCCACCGAGGATCATGCGCGCTGCAACGGCTTTTTTGACTTCTTTCCCCAATAATCGCTGCAATGAAAAATCATCATATGATGCAGATGCAAGGACAGCCAATAGTAAGAATGGCCTCTCTTGTCGGAGCTGGTTAATGCTTATACTGGAAGATATAACCACAAAGGGGAAATTGGGAGACAAAACCGACTTGAAAAGCTCCAAGTAATGTCTTGCTGTTCCGATACTGAGAAGACCTCGCTTGATTACATCGTCAATGCCCAAGTTATTCTCGTTGTTGTCGTTTTCGTTGAATGACGCACTTCGGGTACTCGATGTCAAGTGGGAAGTGGGCGCCGAGGGTTCGACCGACGCGATAACTCGGTCGGACATAAGCTCCTTGACTCTGGACTCGAGCGCTTCTATTTGACTGATACATATATAAACTTCTGAGTCTATCTCTAGGGGTTTTCATGTCCACGGATAGCACTCATCTATTTAAACTTACCGGTCCTTCTGGAAGCCATGAAATCGTCGGCCACTCCGCCGATAAGCGCATTCCTTGCCTAGACGCAGACATCTATCGTTCATAAGACCGTCAGCTTTCTATTCCCTAGACATTCCACACTTAAAGTACTTTAAGGTCATACCTATTACATTTGGGTTGGTCTTCTGTACTTCGGACACATTTGACTTTTGAGCTTGCGCAGCTCTGACAGGTCTTGGATAGGGTCGACATGATGATGGTTTATTCTGGATGGTCAAGTATCTTCATCAAACTTTCATAGAAACATTAGTCGTCAAGCGTCTTTTCAGTATTTCTATTCAACGGCGCATAGTCGTCCTGAGCCATGCTATTTGCATTAACTGTGCTCCATAGGTCTAAGATGCCATTTCTTAAACGAGGCTGTGCACGTTATGCCAAGGATTTCCGCCAAGAGCCGGTACTTAAACGGGCAGGATTTGGCCCCCAAAAAAGCTCAGCTTGAGCTATTCCAATCGACGAGGCTGAAGATTTGTGTTTTCGGCCAATGTGTCAGTGTTTCCAGGACTACTCCATTTGGGGTCTCCAGACTTCGTTAGTTGCCCCCTTATAGCGAGTGGAATGGCTATCATATTAAAGAATCTACGTGCTCCCGTTGATAAGATCTCAATGCAGTTGACCCCTTCTGGCCAAGGCCTTGCAGTGGCGGACAAGCTATAGAATCATACCATTATGCTGCTAGATATCTTCCTATTCTGTCGGCCAAGGCAAATTGTTATTCCTTGACTTTCTAATTCCCTTTCTCTGTCGTAGAAGCCTAGTTTGTTAAGGAAATACAAGGCTTGCCTAAAACTGTGGACGCCTGAGATCGTACCTCATTGGGGTTACATGCTGAGAACGTTTGGGGAATCCCAAGGCAACACCATAATTACTAGAGGAGGCCCATGTGGTTATCCATCTTTCTATTCATGGTCCCAGCCTGTAAAGTTACATCTACCCCGTACTATCTCACCTCGCGATGCAGCAACTTGAACTAAACGTATGTTTGGCTCCACACCAAACAAGAACCATTACTATGTAGTAGAAACTTGTAAGGTGAACTGAAGCTTTATGGTACGTCGAGAAGCCTTGTTTTTGACTTGGTTTAACTTTTGCTAACATGTAGCAGAAAATTATTTACGATCGGACCAAAGAGGAGGACAAACGCGGACTCATATTATATACATCATCAGAGAAAAGAACCCTATAAGGCAGTGCTGCACTCATCGAATAGAAATCATATGGCCCCAGCCATATTTGGTACGTTCAGCCCTGCTTTTCTCCGAACAAGGATGCTAGGTGTCGCTTGAAGTACGGAGTATCGCAGAGGCTAAGCTTTCGAGTCTCCCATTCTCATCCGGGGAGACCTTGGCACTGTGAAAAATCATTCAAGGAAAACCGGTGAGATCGCGAGGCTTGTACCCGGCTCTACATAGGCCGAGAAAAGGAGTACTATTGGCTGGTGAGCTTTTCGGGTCCTATGGATACAGTTGCATAGAAAAGGGGATTATCTATCGTGATCAGCGGGCCTAGATTGTAAGCAAACAAGGCGAATTCGGTGGGTTTTATTGCGATTGACGATCTCAGTTGACGATGGTGTGTGCATGTGGTTACCCGGATAGCTTCGGGAAAGCGGAGGCAGATACAGATACACGTACTATGTAAAATGCGTTGCGTGGAGGTCATAATAAAGATCAAAATTGCCATTGCTAAACTGTAAGGGGATATTCTTAGTGCCATTATTCATACGGATCTCCCCCCAATACTCCAGGTCTCACCTTGTTTCCTATTCACGATTTGTTTTGATATTTTGATTTCTCTCCCACAAAGCTTCCTTTCTAAACCTTTTCGGTTCGTAACTCCACATTGATCCAAATTGCATGCGGCTCATTGGTCTTTCTCCACTTGCCAAGCAGGAACCGTCGGGGAAACTCGTTCATTATTGGCTTAACGTGGAGCCGCCCCTAACGCTACTGCGCACTAAATTCAGTGCTAACTAACGCCAAGATCCGCCAAATAACTGGTTTTGCTGCAATGTTCGTCAGGTGGGATCAGGGGCACAGCACTGGACCCCAGTAAGCCTACCGCTCAAAGTACCTCATTCGGGGCTTGATCGACAGGCACAGAGCCGGAGCACTCAGGGGCCATTCAGGGTCTTTGCCGTGTGGATCCTCCATAATGGAGGAAGAGTTTGGGCCACCATAGTAATGGCCGATGTGCTCGACCCTTTTCCTGGCCGATTCCCCCGTTTCTTGACTTTCTTTTCTTTGACCTCATACTCTGCGAGCATTGTGTCCATCGGCGTCCGGCATTCGTTGCCATCCCAAGTCATTCGTTTAAATCCAACTTCTATACATTCGCTATTTTAATCACATACATTCACCATGAAATTCGAAATTTCCGCCACCCGCGCCGCTGCGCTCGTAGCTCTCATTGCGAGCGTCGAAGCCGCTCGCCATGGCCACCAGCATCTCCACCACCACGAAGCCCGTGTCGTTCCGGAGACTACTACCCTTCAGAAGAGAGGTGGACAGTGCCAGTTCCCTAGTGATGCTGGATTGGTTTCTGTCACTCCCAATGAGGAAAACGCCGGATGGGCTATGAGCCCAAATCAGCCTTGCAAGCCCGGCAACTACTGTCCCTACGCCTGTCCTCCTGGTCAGGTCTCGATGCAATGGGATCCAGAGGCTACTTCTTACTCTTACCCCATGTCTATGGTAAGTTTTTCGATGTTCCATATGTCATATGCAATGATACAATGACATATGCAAGGAGGATCCCCACTGACTGCTGATTTTCTAGAACGGTGGACTTTACTGTGACGAGGATGGTGAAATTCAGAAGCCTTTCCCCAACGAGCCTTACTGTGTGGATGGAACCGGTGGATTGACAGCTCACAACAAGGCCGGCAAGACAGTCTCTTTCTGCCAGACTGTCCTGCCTGGAAACGAAGCCATGCTTATCCCGACCTTGGTCGAGGAATTCGCTACCCTTGCTGTTCCTGGAATGTCCTACTGGTGCAGCACTGCTGCTCAGTACTACATCAACGCCCCTGGTGTTACTGCTGAGGAGGGATGTATCTGGGGTACCAGCGCCAACCCCGTTGGTAACTGGTCTCCCTACACTGCTGGTGCCAACACCGATGAATCCGGTGACACTTACGTGAAGATCGGCTGGAACCCCATTTACTTGGAGCCTACCACTCCATTCCGGGATGTCAAGCCCGAGTTTGGTATTGAGATCGAGTGTGATGGTGACGATTGCAATGGTCTCCCTTGCCGTATCGACCCCTCTACCATGGGCGTCAATGAGATGCATGCTCCTGATGTTTTCACTGGTGCCGGTGGCGCCACTGGTTGTGTTGTGACTGCTTCTAAGGGTTCGAAGGCAAAGATCGTTGTCTTCGAACTTGATGGCAGTGGATCTAGCGCTAGCGAGACTGTATCTGTTCCCACCAGCACTGTCGCTCCTACCAGCACTAGCACCAGCATCTCCACTTCGACCTCCACCTCCACTCCTACCCCCACTACTACCAGCACTACCTCGACCTCTACATCTTCCAGCACATCTATCTCTATATCCACTTCGACCTCCCACTCGACTTCCTCTACCACCTCTATCTCTACTCACAGCTCTACCGCCACCCCCACTTCATCTCACCACTCAAGCTCAAGCACCAGACTTCCCAAGTCTAGCCCCAGCATGAGCTACACCTACCGCCCTCAAAACTTCAACCCCACCGGTACAGCTGTGATCTCAGGCGAATCTGGTGCATCCGCAACCAGCGGTGCCTCCCCCGCCTCGAGCTCCGCCGGTACTAATGGTGCCGCCGGCTCTGCCGCTTCCATGATCAGCCTGTTCTTCGGTGCCGTCGCCGCTATGGCCATTCACGTCTAAGTCTGACTAGCATAGTTCAGATGTTCTTTCTATATGAATAGTGCTGTGGCATGTTCCACACATCTCACGTCCGCGATTCTCAATTCTTTCTGCATCCCTAATTTCTACTTCTTTTCTACATACCCCTTTTTATTTTATATTTCTTTCAATCCTTTGGATCTTTCAATGACGACCTTTCGACGTTGCCACTTTTCTTCAAGCATCTTACGATTCATATAGCTTTGCTCCTCAGCACTTATTCTTTTTATGCTTCTTGGATATCTTGTTCTTTTTCCTTTGGTTTGCTCTGGGTTCTGGTCTATATTAAACGATCGGTAATCTTATTTTGAGCCGCGCGAGTTTGGACGGGAATCTCGTTGGACATAGGAAAAATGGGTTTCTAATTATCTTCACAAATATTCTTCTTATTCATCTTCATAACGGAATACATGTACTGTAATTTCTCCCTATATTTGAGATGCCGAAAGAGGACATTACATACAGATAGAACTCGAGTCCGTACTACATGCTCCCAACAATGTATTTGTGTCTATACTTCACAGATAGTATTCATGATATTCAAAAAGTCCCATGGCTATACACCATTTACACCATGAGGACAGCAGTGTATACTCTTGCCCCGAAGCTCATCCAATTGATTTGTTGATAATACATAATTCCGTAAGACCCAAAACGTCAATAACCAAATTGCGCCCAAATATAGATTTAACGCCAAGTATGCTTCGATACATAATTCAATAGTTTAATTCCTCAATGGGAACAATCATATCAGGTCGCTTTGCTGTAACAGCAAGTCCGTTCAAGTTTCGTTGTCGTAGTTCGCGCATGTATTTTCTTTGTTCGAATGGAATGTCGTTGCTCTCCTCAGTGTCAATTCCATGGTACATAGTATAAATACTGAATCCGATAAGACAGGCGACAATGCAACCTATCATGATACAGAAGACATAAAGAGAGAAGCGGCCGGAGGAAGAGTCACGCTTGACCAGTGTTGACATTGCGTCGACGGCACGTGCAATGGGAGCCATAATGTTGTAATGGGAAAGTATGTAGTAATAACTTGAAAGAGGGGTAAATTTTGTCGAAGTGAGGGTGGCCTGTCATTCACCATTGTTAGTCGACGAAACTGGGAGTAGTTATTTTCAGTCAGACATACCGGTACGGGGTGTTTCAAGTCGGACGAGAAAAAGAACTGGTGTATAGAACGAGAGAATCGAGAGAGAGTGCAGTACTATCAACGAATGCAGTACTATTAGCGAGTGCAGTACTATTAGCGAATGCAGTACTAGTATCTAGCGAGTGTAGTAGGAAAGAGTGTAAGAATATAAGATTAAAGAAAGTCAATTGAGAAACGGGCAAAGCCACTAGATATAGCCATGCAGAATCATCCTAATCTCTTCCTGTGGCTCGCCAGCCTTGCGAATGATCCAAAGATAGGACTGGAGCTGAAACATTTTTTCTTCACTCCAAATGCAAATATCATGTCTCCATAGACTAACTTACACACTCAGCCGTCAAACTAAGTCCTAAATAGAGTTAGCGTCGCGAAATTCAATTCCTATGACGTCAGAAACCGAGCCGGCCAATAACCATCGATATTATATAGTGGGTGCTTTGTTTAACTATCCAATCACAGACCTCGGGTAACTGTCCAGTGTTTTTCGTGCTTACTGAGAACCTTGGACGATCCAACATCTATGGAGCCCACGGAGTAATCCGTGCTCTACACATCTTTTTATAGCAGTATCCATATGGACAGGGGGTAAATTGCTACGCTGTCTCGTGTCAGCTATCACAATTCAAATTCTTCGATTATCTCCAGGGCTAAGTGGGGACTCTACTCCCGATGTCGGCGAAGAAAAAACTACTTAGCTTGATTAGCTTTACAAAGACTCCAGTATTAGATTGGAAGGTCAAAGATTTGACTCTCAGCCATGGTAAATGTGATGGTCTGTTCTTCGAGATGCAGTGGTATTCCTTCAAAGGTTAATACTAGTTCATTTGTAGCAGCCAGAAAATCAAATCGCGGTACTGAAGTAGATTCGAAGATTTTTTTTACAGCCAAGTATGAAAATATGAAAATATGAGAAAATCGAAAACAATGAACAATGAAAAGCAATAAACAAATCAAGATATGTGGTGCCTTTCTAGTCCTCAAAACGTCGCATCCCGTTGATAAGCATAATACTATATAGTGGGCTCCATCCCCACTATTGCAAAGCACAACTTGAAGTCTCCTTCTCGGCCTCCACTTCAATTGGATACTCTAACCAATTTGCCTGGTTGCTTTTAAACCGAGAAAACCCCGGGACTGTGGGGCCGTATGTCAGAAGAGCATTTTTCCTAGGCTCACCGCGACCCCTCACATCTGAGAACACTATGCGGTTCCGTCGATGTAGCCACTGCACATATTGGTCCCAAGTAGGTGGCTTTAGCTTTGTCGGTGGTTCATTTTTCCAATTCCGCTAATCCAATCGATGCCGTTTGAACTCATCTGCGGTGGGCTTAAGGGGCACGGTCCTGCGCTCATTCTCTTTATTGACCCACTCCAAATACCGCCTACAACTAGGCGGATGCTTGCTCCCATCGAGGTATTCCCCCCTCCACGACCTACTTCCGCCCCGATTCTGATCCTCAGGTTCCGGTGGTACCCATCCTTCAATTTTGGCTCCCTTTTTGGCTTGAGCGGAAAGAGGAGCTAGTGATAAAGAAACACGAGGCGGCAATGCCTCGTCGTAGTCCACATCAGGTACCGTGTCCATTTCCGACTTCTTTGTGCCGGTATAGACTCGCCGATGATTATCTGGTACTGTGACTGTATATAACATGTGCCGCCACCAGGACCCGCTGAGCCTTTCCGTCGGTGGAATTTTGGGTAGACCTCGTTTCTGTCGTTCTTCTGCTACCTCAGGATCTGCTTTATGGTCCACGACGAAGAAGACAGTTTGAACCCATCGGGTCATTGTTATTCTCTCTGCTTGGTTGTTCATGACCATTACATCAAGTACGTATTTTTGTCTCTGCATGCGTTTCCCCAAAGCCTCTCTTGCTACTTCTCCTCCCAAATGCAAAGCAGCAGATCCACATGCCCTGTATATACTCCAAAGATCGTCTCGGGATATCATAGGAGCGAATGCTCCAGTGTCATCTCTGAACTCCAATGTCATTTGACGATCACTTCCAGGAGCTCTCAAGGCAGAAATGACCTAGGTAAAGGGGACTTATATTAGTATGTATACTCCGGAGTTAGATAATTTACTCATACTGTATGCTGTGCTAGGCGATGATTACGATTGGGAGTTGGATGAAATATTTCGGTGAGACCAAAAAGGCCAGGCTGGGGAGTGCCATGCTAGATCTTAATAATTAGTTTGAATTCAGGAAAAAAAACTTAAAAAAGGAAGGGGGCTTGACATACTCCTTCAACCCATAATCCATGTTCTCCGCCAAATTGCTCATAAAGCCGAGCTACCGTAGTCTCATCAAACTCTGTAGGTCCACCAACAAACTGCCCTCCCCTAAACCAAATTGTAACCTTTGCATCATTATACCATTCAATACTGCCCTTCCGATAAGCAGCCATGATAGCTTTGATATTGACCTCATTGCATGGATATTTCCCCTCGGTATCTTGTTTGCAACTCTCCTCCAGAAACTTCAGACTGTCCAAACGTTGAACAATCTCCCAACTGAGACCTGCCGGCTCTACCTCCATCATTTTCTCGCGTGACCTCTTGATCCCTTCGTGCATCTTCAATCTCTGTTCAAACAGCTGGGGCAAGATACCCATTTTGATACGTTCATGGCATCTTATGATATTGCCTTCCACATCCTCTTCAATCAGACCGGTCTCATCGGCATTCCAATCCCACCCGGCGGGCATCTTGCTCGCGTGGGTGATCGGGGGGATCCTGTACTGCTCACATCCGATGAGCTGGTCGACCTGAGGTATTTTGCGATTCGCTCGTGGTGGCATTCTCAGTCCACAGGCTTTTTATAGGGAAGACGGAATTCGACTGGCTGTTTTCGGGGGAATCGACCTTCCCTTTGGTTTTGGTTTTTGCTTCAGAAGATTTGGACTTTCTTTCTTTCTTAGAGACTTTCCCATCTCCAGCACTTTTTCTTTCTGGCACTCTGAGCCTGAGGATTTGGATGCAGACGTGCTTTTTGGCATGGTTATGTTTGTAAGCGAGCGAAAGAACTCTGCTTTTTATTTGAATTTTTTATAGGTGCAGTGATGAGTAGGTAGTTTGAGATATTGATGAGAAAAATTGGGATTTGATGAATATAAGGAGGTTCGCACCGACTCGTGGCTGGGTAAATACGGTCCTTTCATGCCAATGAGCCACAAACAAAGAAGACACGCTCAGGGAAATTGGCATCAGAATTTTGAATTTGATCAAAGAGAAGTTCTATATGAATCCGCCCCAAAGAAATACAACAGGGACCAGCTACATGGCAAAATGTAAGACAAAGGATTTGATTTCCACATCCCGAATCATGGTATTAAATTTTTTTTTACTGCTCTTACCGGCTTTCCTAGTACTTATTTCTTTCAGGATTAAAATGACCAATATGTCAATCTCGTCTTCTTGAGCCTAACAAGTCACAAATGTGTATAGATCGCTGATTGCGGGAAGCCGAACCGGCTCAGTCAGCAACACGATGACACAACATTTGAAGCACAAGAACCTCACCTCATCGGAAACGCTTGCCACCGCCCCAATCACGATAACTCCCAATGAACCGGAAACCTGAGCCATGTTATACGTGTCGCAACCGGCGTATCCAATGTGATCAATCGGGTGTGCCGTGCAGAAAATGTCAAAATGCCGGCTTGGAATGTCTGGATCAGAGACCCTTGCGATGGGTCAAGGGTGTGGCTATTCGCGGGAAGATGCAAGGCCGATCATTTGAAAAGAACGAAAAGAACTCTTCACTGTTAAAATCTGATAATAAAGTCTCTGCTATACAGCGCTCCGTGACTCGAGCTAAGCCGACTTCTGGGAGTCCTCGGTCTGGTCTGGATTTTAATGGTAAGATGAATACTATCCACGAGTCAATTATGGGGAAGGAATTTGGAGTGTGAATTTTTGGTATCTGGTCGATTCACATATTGATTTTTGTATAGAGCTATTCCTACATTCTATCTCAGAGCCTTCGGTCGCTCTTGAAGACCCTTCTCTCTTGAATCTGGATCGAGTATCCCGATACTATATTGATTATTGTGAGACCATCATTACCCTTTCAATACATTGATGAATACTAATAGAATTCACAGATAACGAGCGCATATGCAAACTATTCATTGTATATGATAGCGACAAAAACCCCTTCAGGAGTCTTATTCCCATGGGCATGAAAAACCCTGTCCTCCTCAAAGCTCTACTTGCCCTTGCTGCTCGACATCATGTCAACACAGGACAATCCTTTGATAATCCCGAAATGTCTACAGCTCCTGGATTCATTAACGCCCATCGAGATGCACTGTCTCTCAAACATCAAGCTATGGAGGCATTATCCCACTCTTTGCGTGGAAGCCAGTCATGTAATCAAGACACGACGGTTGCTAGCATTTTTCTCTTGATTTTCTTGGATCTCATAGAGTCTGGTAGCGATGGTTGGAACTTTCATCTTGAAGGTGCTAAAAAATTGATTGCATCTACTTATCCGCAAGTTGAAAATCAAGCTGGGATCAATCAGGGTCCTGGAGAGACTTTGCAAGAGATTCGGAGTTTCATTACAAGACAAATTTATTTGTGAGTTACGGCACAGAGAAATGTTTGATGTGGCAATCAACTCATGATGATAATACTAGAATTGAGACACTCGGTGCGGCTTTCTCACGCCCAAAGCTGTTGACACAATCCAGCCTGTTTGACCAGCAAGAAATGCAACTCCACGAAACAGTTGAGAAATCGTTTCTCGGATGCCCAGAATATATTTTAACAGCTATACAATGTCTTTCTTTTCATAGGGATAGCATTACAGCTTCCATCACTCTTGACGACACGGGGATCGCATCGCATCGCACCGATACAGAATCTTTACTAGATCTTCTTCAGAACTTCGATGATTATACCTGGGCTTCAAATGTTCAAAGCTCTCGAGACTCTTCGCTTCAGGATATCGCGAATCTATGCATGCTTTCACAGGCATACAAACTCGGTGCTTACATATATGGTCGAAGAATTCTCGACGCATTGACCCAAACGGAGTCCGTGCAAGATCGTTCTGTCTCAGAGCTACTCGGTCTCATCAATTTCTTAAAAGATGATCCAGCTCTATTCAAATGTATTCTTTGGCCTGTGTTTGTTGCTGGATTGGAATGTAAGTGGCAAGCTCAGCGTGACTTTCTGGTCGGTTGTCTTGAGAGATTCTGGTCCCTCACAAGCTGTTTGAATGGTGTCAATGCAGCCAAGATTCTTCAAGAATACTGGCAGCAGGGAGACTTGTCGCATAATCCACAATCGCAGTGGATATTCAATATTGGAAATCTCGGCCGAGACTGGCTGTGGATTTAGGATGCAAGATTCATTACGCTCTATACCCCTAAAAGTACTTGATGTTCCTCTCGATTGATTAAACCATAAATCTTGAAATTAAAATGTAATATCTTACCTAGGTACTGGACTTTCTCTGCCACTTCTTGGCTTTCCCCTTCTGTTTTAGTGCTCCCCCTCGCCGCTTTTTGTTCACTAAGTATATCTAAGTATATGACTAAGTGCTATAAGTCAATTGAAATGCATACGTGTGATCAGGCGGGGTCAAGGATTATTGCCTCGTGAATGAAATCTGATAGACAATTTTGCCATGTTTCGAGGCCACATTTATACTCGTTTCCTTGGAAACCTCTCATATGGCATTGAGATTCATCCCATACATTCCTTCGAGCTTTTGTGCTCAAATTTCTTTATTTGTTACTTGACAGGTAGACTCAGCTTTGGCGCTGTGCTAATGCTGCCTCCCACTCACCTAACTGAGCCTTAGTCCAGCAAAAGTCCTGGCCACATACATGGCCTATTCCCCGTGGATTTTCTTCTGCCCGTTCTTGTTCATTGGGCCGAGGTTTCTTTCATTCAAGATTCAACCTGAATCCCTTGTCCGCCACTTAGGCTGACTGATCTGATTTCTAATTACTATTCAGGCACCAAAGCTTCGTGAATTGATTTTTTCTTTTAACCTGATCTCTGACTTCATTCTTTAAGGGATGGCCTTCGAGAGCCTGCTTCGCCTGACTGGTCAATCCTTATACTTAGGCTTGACTATGAAAGTTGGCTGCGATGATAATTCTTGTCAAAACAATAGTAGTGGACGAAATGATTCACTTTAGGTCCCGTAGGTACATAATACTTCGGTACCGTTGAGAATGAGCACAATGGATACATGAGCATGGTCTACTTTCAGGGCTCCTGGGTGCTGGAATCGGATCTTAATGATGCGTTTATTGGTAGAGGAGTCGAATTTCCACGAATAGTCTTCTGTTATGGATTCAAAGTCAGCCAATCCAAAGCCACTTGTACTGCTCTTTCCCGAAATGTAACCTTGATTAGATAATGCCCCTCTTATTTGACTCCCGGGCTACTAGTAGTCAGGGCTGCGAAGCTACAACTCTTTTACCTTGATGATCAGTAGAACGTCCCGAAGGCTCAAGGCTCTTTCCCGGGGTTCTTTGAGAAGCCGAGAAGAAGTTAATTATGACTTTTGGAGGGGTATTGAGACACCATGTGAAGAGAAAGGTGGTAAAGTCGAGGGAATGACGACTCTTGCGTAGTATTGGACAGTTGTGCTCCCGTCACGCATGTGGGATAACCCAATGGAAAATGCCAAACCTGTTGGCCCCGCTCAAGACCGGGGTATGTCGAACTCCGCAGGAGAACGATTACCACTTTTGCTATCTTGGATTGATGATTCGGCGCGTGCTCAGATCCTATAATACTGTCTTTGTATTTAACGTGCACGTAAGCCGTAAGCGTACGTACAACTCGATCCAGCACCTAGATAGAATAACCCTCTTGCAATTGGATCCTTGATTTACTAGTCCATCCACGATTCGTCCCTATCTGACATGGTAAACTAGAACCAGATTCTTTGTATTCCGACGGAATAAAGTGCAGTTAGTCATCTTACAGATATTTCAGGACCCCTGCAAATTCTTGCTTTTCAGGCTGGCCCTAGGATCCCATCCCAACGGCCGTAGTCAGCTTACCATGGACTTCCCAACAATAACAAAGCACATTGTCGTAGTATACAGAAGCCACCACGAGGCTGTTACGGGAGGAGAACTAATTCTTACCGTAGTAGGGAACCGCCACCATACCACGAGTCCAGTAGCGCGGTTAGTTCCCGGAAATTAAGGCCGCTCTTCGGCGCAACGCATGTAGTTACTAACGTTAGTTAGTTAACTACGCTCGGATAGCCTCGGGTAGACAGAGCAAAAAGGAAGAAATCTCATTTCAAGGCTGAAGTTTCGGAATACTGTGTTTACCGTGGCATGCTCAGTAATAGCGTGGTCACCTGACTTTGTCTCACTTTCATTATCTCGCTTGCCCTGTAGTGTGTTGATGGTGGTCTGCTTCGCTTTGACCCGTCTGCTTTGCAGACTGCCGTTGTGCCTACCCCTCTTCAGTACGTATTCAATACCGGCGAAATACGGATAGGGCCGTTGGTCAATTTTACGGGGGTTTATAAACGATCTCGTAAATTCTTTTCACATGCCTCCTCCAAAGCAATTATTCCATCAACATATAGCACAATGGCGGAATCTGATCTTGTCCACTTCTTCGATCTCGACTCGGTTATCCCAAGTATGTAGATATCAGTGACATTTTGTTATGATCAAGACTACGGATACTAACATTGAATACCACCCGCCTAAAGGTCCGTTCAGATCGAGGTCTCCGAATACGCTCAAGACGCGAATAGTCCTCAACTTCAAATCAATAAGCTATACGCAGAGCTGGATATCGTATCCTGATGTGGCACCCATGCTAAAAGATCTCGGTGTAAAACCAAACCAGAGCGGAAAGTCCTATACTCTGCCTGCTATCTGCCATAAATCGATCACATCTAATCCAAATGGTATTATGATGGATTCTCTATCAATTGCTAAGCATCTTGACAAGCTTTACCCGTCACCACCTCTATTCCCTTCGGGTATTTCTACTCTAGCACTCCTCGAGGCAGTAGATAAGATTATAGGTGGTATGGCCCCGGCCCTACGACAATTACTACCTCCTAAAGTACCGGATAAACTAGATCAACGCGGGAAAGAATATTTTATACGCACAAGAACTCAAGCCTTCGGGAAACCTTTATCGGATTTACTTCCAACAGACGAGAAAACACTCCAAGACCTATGGTGCTTGATTGAAAGCCAAATGAATATGATAATTCTTATGTTGAAAAACCGACCGGGAAGCACAGGTTCATTCTTTGAGGGTAATACTCCTAGTTATGCGGATCTTTTTCTTGTGTCAAACCTGGCAGCTTTCCACAATGATGATCATGACTTGTGGAAACGTATAATGGCGCTTGGAGATGGCGAGCTGAGGGTCCTTTGGGATGCCTGCCTACCATGGATCACCAAGCAGGGTGAAGAAAAGGAGTGGATTTTACATCCCTAGACTACAGTGTCCGGGTATTCTAGCAGGAGGATCAGCCATGTCCAACTTGAATTACCAACTTGTCTCAAATGATGGATGATCAATTCTTTGGTCCCTGTTCATTGTTTACCCTAAAACGAAGGAACGGAGTGGAAGGGGTTACCAACCCCACGGCTGCTCAACGATGACTTTGACGCTGCTAAAACACCGACGCCCATACCAGCTTCCTGCTTTATTCATACCTACTTTTCGTGCCTAAAGTATCAATCGGACGGTCCAGTGGTTAGCCCGGAATATACTGCACGGATGATACGCATATAGTATAATGTCCATACTACTGTCCACCCTATCTGTTTGACTTGTTTGCTCGAACCGATCCTCCAACCAATCCGACGTAGGACATAAATAGCTTCCATTTTTAACTTTCCCTTTCCTAGATTTATTACGCTCTATACCCTTAAAAGTACTTGATGTTCCTCTCGATTGATTAAACTATGATTCTTGAAATTAAAAAGTAATATCTTTCCTAGGTACACGGTAGCTCATGGCATGTCTATAATGTAACTAGTATGTTTTCATGTTTCAAGACAAAGAGCCCAGCCACAAATCACTACTCTTCGCACTATTAATAGTTCTACAGTTTAGTTCCGGTGGATCAGCCCGAGTGGGGGCCAGGGACTGCACTGAAATACTTAAAGCTAACCATTCCCCACCTCAACCGGCAGCTCACAGTTGCTAGTACTTGCTACATTGACCATAACAAATATGGAACAATTGAAACGAAGACTGAAGAAAATGACCGGAAAGTCTGCGAGGATTGAGAATGCTCCTCCTCTATCACCTCCGAGGTTCAAATCAAAAAAGATAGCCAAATTGAGTACCTGCGAGCGACCTGCCCCACTAGGAGAGCGCAAGCGCCCCTTGACACCTCCAAGTGCGCCGGGCGCCCTTTCCCACCAAGAGCAGTCACTATTTTTCAGCAAGCTTCCGATTGATATTCGGCTAATGATCTACGACTCTGTGTTGGTATCACCAGACGATAGAGTACTTCATATTGCAAGTTCTTGGCGACGACTCTTCTCTCGCAGATGTCATGGAACCAACACGGACCCACGAGGCTGGCGTCATAGATGCTGGAGCTCGATGGGCGTACAAGCAGAAGATGGTACAACAGTGGACTGGTCCGAGGATGGGACTAAGCCTCCAAGACCTTCTTTCTTTGGGTTACTTCGTTCTTGCCGACGCATGTGAGAAACCTCATTTTTTTGAAAAGACTACCTAGGTATTCAGTTCGCTGATATTCTTCAGATATACTGAGTCAATCGATATTCTGTACTCTGAAAATGTGTTAGATTTCCGACAAACGCGAACGATTGTAGATTTGAAAGCGACAATCCCAACGAATCGTTTACATACCATCCGCTCTCTACAGCTAGATTGTCCTTTAGAGACAGAATGGATGAATGAGCCCAAAGCACCCTGGTCAGCTCAAAATTTATGGCCTATTGATATTCCATATTTCTGGGATGAGGCCTGGGAGGCGATTGCGCAAATGAAGGGTCTCAAGAGTTTGCGAGTGGCCCTTAGCCATAGTGACCTATGGAAATATGAACCAGATCATCGATGCCTCGTAACTCTGTTCAGACCAATGATGTCCGTCAGGGTACCTTCATACAAAGTGGAGTTTTCTTGGCCTATTGAGATAGATAGAGTGCTAAAAGAAGTCGGGGAGGTGCCCTTTTCCATTGAAATCAAATGAGGGCATATTGACTTTGTTGTGACTGGTGAAACTTGAAATGAGATCCCGATAGCAGGGATTTGTGACGGAGGCCATCATTCTTTTTTGCAGAAGAGAACGGGTAGTTGATGAACGTGTCGATGTGTCATAGTATCGTTTATATTGCCCACATTATCCTCTCCGGACCTTCTGGATTTGACCAAGGAATGCTCCGTTTGTGCCATCGAAGACCTGGGTAAACGAACTATTTCCCCCGGAAGTCACACATTTCAATTATAGAGGTGCATCTAGTGATGTATTATTTAGAAATGGCTCTTGAGAGACATACTGCAGGTTTGATGGTGAGACGCGACAGCTAGGTTAAGCAACGTGGCAAATTTCTGACCATAGCCTGCAACAGTCACACTTCTTCAAAGTGGGAACCATGTCATAGTGCTGGTCTACTAAGTAAGTACTGTATGGATCGACAAGGAAAGCTTATACTTATGGAAACCCGTACTTCATAGATGGCTGTGTCCGAACCATCTCACTAACTTCCCAGCTTAAAGACGCTTACGAGGCATCACAACACCCCAGCTACAGCCTATCATTGGGTCTATTGAAGGCAAACTAGTCCCTAAGTATGGGCGGGCAAAGTTATAAGGAATTCAAAGGGCAAGGGTAGGCAATCGTGACTTGCAAACTGATCGGGCTGAGTAGAGAGGTCATCACAAACATATAACATCCTATACCAAAGCCTTAAATGCTTGGAGCAAATCATTCTTCAAATCTTCCCAATTTTCCAACCCAATACTAAGTCTTAGCAATTTCCGATCCACCCTTGGATCAGAAAGAGCCCGCCACTCAATCAACGACTCAACCCCACCAAGACTAGTAGCATGTTGAAAATAACGCAACTTACTAGGAAGATCTCGTGCAGATTCTTCCCGGTGCAAAACAATCGAAAATACAGGCCCAAACCCATTCGGCATCTGCCTCTTCAACCACTCCTCATTCTGAAGACTAGCATGATAAATCTTCAACACAGCCTGTACAACAGCCTCATCTGAGCCCGGAGCAGGCGACGAAGCACGTAAAGCACCATCTAGCCAAGAAAGTATCTTTGCACAATTTTGACTCGCGCGCTGGACTCGGACTTCGAGCGTTCGTAGACTCCGAATACCCAGCCAACTCTCTAGGTTTCCCAGCACATTACCCAGAGCCAATCTATCTTCGAAAAGCTGCTTTGTCCAATCTTTACGCTGTGTCGCGAGAACACCACAGAGGAGATCACTGTGGCCGCCGAAATATTTTGATCCGGAGTGCATGATTATGTCGGCGCCCCATTGGAATGGATCTTGGAGGGGTGGCGGTGCAAAAGTGCTATCGACAATTAAGTATGCGCCGCGGGAATGGGCTTTCTGTGCATATTCCTCGATACTGAATGCTGTTCCGAGCGGATTGATTGGAGTTTCGAGAAGAATTACATCTCCCTCATTTAGGTCGGAGGTGGGGCAGTCTAGACTCAATTTTTGGAGTCCTGAGAGTCGGGATATAACTGCGATTACTTCATGGCTGCCGTGGTAGCCCTCGCCTATGGAGATGCGGCGGGGGTTAAGCAGGGTTAATGCAGCGTGTAGTGAGGCTAGTCCTGTAGCGTAGCTTACTGCGTGGCCTTTTAGAAGTGATGATAGAATGGCCTCGAAGCGGGTTTGGTTTGGTGCGAATTCACGCGAGTAGACGAAGTTCTTTCCGTTGAATTCTGCCTAGGGTTAGGATGTTAGTGAGGGCTTTTGACAAGGTCGGGGAGGTATAAGATACATACCACTGGGTCTTCGGAGATAGATAGCTCATTGGGATCATCTGGATATCTGAAGATCGTTGATAGATGGATTGGAGGTGCAACGTCCGTCACCAAGTTGAAGGGATCATCAGCATGAAGCGCTTGGGTGGCTGGGTGGCTGTCTTCAAGGGGTGCCATTGTGGATTAATTGAATGATGCCGAAGAAAATGTGAACATTAGAAATAGATATAAGTTCGAAGAGTTCGCACTTATACTTCTCGTTCTTCAATACCGTGATGTGTAGTATCTCAGACCCACTCCCGTCAAGTTCCTAAAGCGGCCAAGTTTCTGTTTCCGAGGTTGGATTGACCCACTCACGTTCAACTTGTCTTGCCTGCCACCTCCCCACAACTAACAACTTTGGTTTAGCGTAAATTGGACAGGGCGTGAGGAGTCAGAATGTAATCGGCCTTGGGACTCGGCCGACGGCGACATTGGCCAATAGGAACAGATAAAGAGAATCTTACGGATAAGAAGTTCATGCAGTGTTCTTTCTATATAGATTTAAGTTTCTCCTCGTTGTTGAAGTGACAAGCAATTCACAACTTCATTCAAATCACCATCATGTATCTGCGCGCAGTCCACGCAGAGAACTCAACCAAAGCTCTACTCGAGTTCATCAAATCAAACCCACTAGGAGTCATCACAACGGCCATCCCATCATCAAACTTCCATTTCATCCAATCCAGCCATGTCCCCTGGGTCCTAGATGAAGTCTCTGATTCTGATGATCCCGACGCCCCAATAAAAGGCCATCTACGCGGCCACATGGCCAGACAAAATCCACAATCAAAAGCCATGATCGAGACTCTAAGCAGTTCCTCCACTGGTTCAACAAAGCTAGAACAAGAAGTCATGATCCTATTCACAGGCCGCCATGATCACTACGTGACGCCGAAGTTCTATACTGAAACTAAGCCCGCAACGGCAAAGGTCGTTCCCACCTGGAACTATTCTGCTGTACAGGTTTATGGAAAAGCAACAGTTTACTATGACTCGGCTAAACCTGAGACCTCTGCTTATTTGTCGAAGCAAATTCGTGATCTGTCGCGGATGTGCGAGACAGGTATCATGGGGTATACGGGGCAGAATGGAAAATCGGGGCCTTGGGCTGTGGATGATGCTCCGGAACGGTATATTGATATTATGCAGAAGAATATTATTGGGATTGAGGTGTCTATTGAGAAGATTGGGGGGAAGCATAAGATGAGTCAGGAGTTGGGGAATGGTGATCGCCAAGGTGTGATTGAGGGGTTCAATAATTTGGGATCAGAGACTGGGATTTGTATGGCGGAGTCGGTTAAGAAGTGTGGGGAGATGAAGGATGCGACTAAGGAATGATCGTCTTGGTTATTACTTACCAATAGAATATAATTATTTATACTACTAGATTTTATCTATTTATATTTGAATCAGATTCATCTGGACTTACTGTACATAGTGTTAGACAAGCATGGATTCTGTTTGATGCGTTTGAATTCGACAATGGGGAAATTTAATTATACACATTCGAGTGAATAATCAATACTTCCTTATGACCTAGGATGTTCATTCGAGTTATTCCCTTGGTTTTAATACTGTTTAGGCAGCCAAATCTACCCCGATAAACATCTGAATACAGAGAGAAGCTAACCTGGAACTGGAGTGGAGCAGCCGCTTCATGGCCCCAAGGTCACCCCGCCTCAACATTCCTCCCCCATTCACTTCCTTGACATCGCCAAAATGCCTCCTTCGACGCAAACAGTGAGTTGTATATCCATGCATATCCATTGAGTCTCTACTTTCAAGAGTGCATCATATTATGCGCTGTTCCCCCAGCACTAGCCACGCAAAGCTTACCCCGCACTGTTATCGCCGTTGCAATCTGTTGCATCATCCGATGTCCACTGCACCTCCAACACGACTCAAACAAACAGAAAGAGCCAAAGCTAACATGACAAAATAAAAGACCAGATTGATATCCAACTTGCGCCTCCTTATCCCACGTCTCCGCCTTCTTCAGAAAAAAGACACCGCATCCTCCGTCATCCAGCGTCGCGAACTCTCCCACCTTCTCAGTGAAGGCCGCGATGCATCTGCGCGCATCCGAGTCGAAAATGTAATCTCTACTGATATCGGGGTCGAGGTAATGGAAATAGTGGAACTGTACTGCGAACTATTACTTGCGCGAGCCAATGTGCTGGATCAGATTGCGTTCGGGGAGAAAGGCACCCGCGCCAGACTGCGCGCAAAGGAGCTTCATAAAAGACAAATGCAGGCACAGTCTGCTAAGGCTGGTGCGTCGGGGACAGAAGCGAAACAGGCGGAGAGTACTGGGTCTATGTTTGGGTTCTCATGGCTTGGAGGTTCGCAGAAAAGGGAAACTGTCTCTACGACCCCTGCAGTTGATGGGGCAGATGACACCGCATTAACAGATGAAGAGAACGCGTACATGGATACTGCAATTGATGAAGCTGCTGTTGCTATTTTCTATGCGTGGCATCGTTTTCCTCATGAGATGCGCGAATTAACGATTCTTCGAACTATGCTTGGGGAACGATATGGGAAGGAGTTCATGACATTGGCACAAGACAATAAGGTTGATTCGGTCAAGGTTCCTGAGAGACTTCTTAGGGGATTACGTGTGCGTTCACCGGGACAAGAGCTTGTTGAAAATTACTTGCGGGAGATTGCGAGAGCATACGGAGTTACTTGGGGTGAGAGCGATGAGCTAGAAGCGCAGGAAGTTCTTGGTGATGCACCGCCGGAGTTCGTTGGCGAAACTCAAGATGGAAATGGTCATGATCATGGTCATGATGGAGGCGATCTTCCACAGACTCCAAGGAAGCAGCAGGCTACTGATTCTCAGCCTTATTTCAATGAAGCACGACGAGCCTCGGATACTAGTGATTTGAACAAAGCTACACCTCCTCGTGGAGCTGCTATGGGACGTAGTCCTGTTAGTGTAGCGCCTCCTGCTCCTAGAACGGACAATCCGAACCCACGAGTCAAGGTTCCTGGACCGAAGGAGGGGGAGGCTGGTCAAACTTCTAAGCAGGCGACGACAAAAAGCAATAATGGGATTCCAGAGTTGGATGAGCTCACACGGCGATTTGCGGATCTCAAACGGAAGCCTTGAATGTTGTGTATTCCTTTTCTTTTCGTTTCTCTTCGGCGTTATGCGGGTCAATTTTGTTTTTTTTTTCTTTTCTTTTTTTTCAACTTCAGCATTGCATTTCAGGATTATCATCCAGTCCACAGTTTCCCAATTATGTTCTGTCCTACGGCATCCTTTTGCGTATTAAACTAGTTCGATTCACAACATGAACCTGTCGTTGTTGTTGTGGCCTAGAGTTGTTTGCAGCTTAAGTATGCGTATTTTACCTCGCTAAACTGGTGGCTGAGGATTGTAGAACATAGCAAACAGTGTACATTTCATCCTCGAATGATTCGTCGCTTTTCTGGGATCCTCTTTTGGTACTTTTGACCTAACGACATGGGTCATAATATGGCACAGTATTCGCCTCGCACAAATCCAAAAATTAGTGTTGGGAAATAATGGGCAAGGCTGAGGACCCTGGGGGCTATTCCAGATAAAGAATAAAGATGTATACAAAGAGTTGCCTATCTAAGGACCCACCGACTAGCACGTTGGCTTGCATTTTCCCATCAACAGACCTATCCACCCAAAGAAATTCCATCAAATGCAAGTCAAGTGTTAAAAGGCTGCGAGATGTCGGCAATCGCGCGGGCCGTTGGAACTAAAAAAGGCGGGGCCATTGCTTTCCACTTCGGGTAAAGCTCCAAAATCCAATCTCGATTATTCGATGCATCAGACTTCCCCATGAACAAAATACGAGCTTTTTCCTTTCCCCTCTGAATGTCACTGTCACTGTCACCCCAGGACTCTTAATATGAAAGTTTAGCCCATTCTTTCCGATCTCACCTAATTCACAACAACCTCTAGCTCCGACTCTCGCTAAAATACCCTCCTCACCGTTCTCCACCGTTCAATCCATCTTCCTCCGATCCGATCCCGTCGTTCCACCCAACCAGCCAGCCAGCTACTATGCCAGTCTACATGCTCCATGGCTTCCGATGGCCCCGAGATGGTTTCACAGGAATAAGAGTCTACGTCGTACTTCACAATTTGGAAGAAGCAGCAGCAGAATACATCCAGCAACCACTTACGACAGAGCTGCTTACTGAATCCTTCCACAAGACACAGACTGATTTAGTATCGCGACTACCCCAACTGCGATTCATCGAACAATACGATCCATACGATGAAACGAGTAATACCGTTAGTCAGGACCATGCGTATGTCGCGTCGAAGGTCTTGACGATTCCAGATGGAGAATCGGATGCTTCAGGGCCGGGCGCAAATATTCAAGATTGTGTTGAGCAGGGATCTGGATTGTCGGGGGATGAGGAGGCTGCGTTGGAGGAATTGCGTGATCGCTTGGCGCCCGGTGAAAAGATTGGATGGTTTATTGTTTACAATGGGGATCCGGATAGATGGTATCCCCCGAGCGAGGATAGTGAGGATGAGGAAGGGTATTATGATGATAATCGCGGGAGCTATGTCGATGATAATAAGTCTTTGCCGTCGGAGGCTGCGACTGAACCTGCTACCCCGCAGAGTTATACGGTATGTACCGAGACTATTGATCTTTACTTATCTATTTTTGGTTTTGGTTTTGTTTTTGGTTCTGGTTTGCCTTGGATCATTTGAGGAATTATCCTGCACTGTCAGATATGCTAACGGTTGATTTTGCAGGCTCGTCTGACAAAACTCTGGAATCGAATGAGCTCATCATAGCTCGAACATAATTCCCCGAACCCCTTGCAACGTGCAGCCCGACTCAGTACATGTACTTGAGTCCTATCTATGAATAATGACCTCCTTCCCACCTTCTTAGTTCGGGTACATTACCCTCCCCCTCTCACCACGGGCCTAAGTTGTGATTGGAGCTTGACGAGTTCCATGCCTTATGCCTGTCAATAGCTTTTGATTGTTGAAAATATTTTGCTCCAGGCGCATTAGCTTCTGTGACTGCTGACGATTGGTCATCAAAAATATTTGTGTGTTTATATCATTTCAATGTTACCTAGGTATTGAAGGTTATCTTTTCTTTTGTTCAAGGTTTCTTGTACACATTATTCGAGTCTTAACAAAATGGTACGAGGCATTATCTGCCACCCAATTACTCTTTTCGCCGTATATAAGTAGTACCCAATAATATTGTATCAATCTAGGGATATCATACAAGATACCTTTGTACTATTTCTCCCATTGTCTGCCTTGACTTTCTATTGTCTATTGTCTATTGTCTATTGTCTATTAGCTATGAATAAATATTGCCATTCCACACCGCCACTATTTCGACCCCGATAGCGTTGAAAGCGGTGAATGCAGGCAGTATAACGAGGGGAGCTTGGTGATAACGGAAACCGCGGAGAAACTCTCGAAGCTGTGTTCATTTAATCAACGCAACTCAATGCCAGCCAGGTGAACAGCTACCAAAAATGGTCTTGTCATTTATTCTCGTTCAAAATCGCCAGTGAGCACTCCACGACATCAGCGACAGATCCCGTTCCAAGCTAACGAAAGGTATAGGGGCAAAACGCGCCTGGCGAAATGGTACGCTCCGTACAGTGTGAGTAACCTTCATTATCATGAGCTATCTAGGATATAAGAGAGACAATGCTAATTTAAAAACAGGATGAAGAGAAGGTGAAGCTTAAGGGCGAGGTCCGTTTCGATCCAATGTCATCAATCGAACCGTCTTACTACGAACCGGGACGCTAACGTCACATCACATCTACAGGTCCATCGCCTCGTCGCTCCTCGAGATCAAAAATACCAGTCCAACTTTGTTGAATTCCGGCGCAGTACGAAAGTAGTCTATCGAAGATATGCGGGGCTGTTCTTTTGTGTTTGCGTGGATGCCAATGATAATGAGCTCGCGTACCTGGAGGCTATTCACTTTTTCGTGGAAGTGCTGGATCAATTCTTTGGGAATGTGTGTGAATTAGATCTTGTATTCAATTTCTACAAGGTATGTTTGAAAGGAGTTTTTGAAAACAAATTATCAAGAAAGAAGGAGATACTAATTGCTCGTATACTAGGTCTACGCTATCCTGGACGAAGTATTTCTCGCTGGCGAGATTCAAGAGACTAGTAAGCAGGTTGTGCTCACGCGACTGGAGCATTTGGATAAACTCGAGTAAAAAGCCATTGAATGTGAATGGCAACGGGTGGACCGGACTTGATTCTACTTAGGAATTGGGGATGCATCAGCGCATATATATTACTATGGGACGGAGTTATGGAGTGACACATTTCTCTTTTTTTCTTTTTACGGCGGGCCCAATCATAGTTAATTGTTATTATACTTCCACTGTGTTATAGGTTATTGCGCTGCGGTGCGTCGCGTCGCGTTGCAATGCGTTATGCAATATGAACATACAGGAGACACATAGTGAGCCAATAACCTCAGGCATTTATTAGCGTCGAAAAGCCCTTCATTTCCGAAATGATGCCAACACTTTAGGGCGGATGTCGAAATCAGGAACCAATCTGATCCAGATTTATGCCAAGACTGAGATCGTATTGATTTCCCTATTAGACAATGGACCCTGGACAGAAAAGGGTCTTGATAGACCCATCCTCCACACTATGCTCTATCCTAACTGCCGAAAATCACTGCCGCAGTACAATTCACAGGCTGAAAAGGGCAAACCAAGGATGCACTGTTAAAATCAAGCTCCGCTTGGACTTAGATTAGATTGGAATAAGGGAATTGTTAATTTCAACCTCATGGCTTGGACTAACCCGAGATAATGTAGCCCCGCGTGAGGTGATTGTGCTCATCGATGGCGAACACCATGTCGAGGTCTTGGCGTCTCCCATATAATCAGCCTGGTTCGCTGCACAAGACCCTTTTCCCTGGAGACCCTGGATTTCCCCTATTTTACACTGTTTTACACCTGGGGGTTTACTTTCAGTTGTTGAAACTGATTTGAACTGATTTGAACTGATTTAAAAAGAAAAAAGAGTGTACTGGTCAAATTATATGATCTCAAGCATGCCGGGTTACTATGCTTATCTCGAGTGATCTTCACAGTCACTCCTTAGTCCACTAACCACTTACCATGACAGACCAGGGCACGCACAGTCGAACACACCGCAACAATACTCCTGATACTTGATCAACAATGGACTACCTATACCGACTACTTCAAACTCCATTCACAGTACTTTTTCCCGGTCGCTCTTAACAGAGACGGGATGATCACCCAGCCTTGCGACAAATGAAACTCCGATTCCTTGATCAACTGAGTTCACTTGCACGAGCAACACAAAACTCGGAAACTCTCCTGAAGTCTAATTTTGTGTCGAAGCATCTGCGAATGAGTTGAACCAATTACTTCTCACATTGCTCAGACCTTCTCGAATCCTTGGAAGAAGAACAGCCCCGCACCTCATCAACACGAAGTGATAGTGCCTCCCTCCTTTATGTCTCGTACTTGCACATACAGTACACGGAGTACCGTTTAGGGAGACCTTAACGGGATTTATTCTTGGCAAAGTGGGAACTCAACCGCGAGTCTCGACCAAGGACAACTCGTGGGCAAATGGTCAAATACAATCAATCCGCGAAACTAGTGGAGCGCCACTAGATGGTTTACCTGGACGGAACTTGGAACGCGATATTAGAACCAACCTTGGACCCAGAGGGATGAGGGATCGGCTCTGCAACGACTAGTCTTGGGGATGATATTCACGGGCACCCGACGGGGAAGACTTTTTCCTTCATCGATAACTACCGTTGAAGGTTGCAATACATATATGTATGCGACCCTGAAGTCGATCACTACAGATCCCAAGATCCCAAGAAAAGAGGATAAGGATAAGATACGAAAAGTCTCGCTTTTTGTTTCGTATTCGGGCTAGAACTTCACGCATACGAATCTACATTTTACTTTAATTAACGCAGTTTCGTTCAAGTTTCAGAGGCGCATTCCCCACCTTCCCAGGGACGCGTTGCCTTTCCCCGCTTTTTACCCAATCACGGGTAACCAAGAGCACGGATCGTCTCCCTACGACCCGGAAAATTTTCAATTGATCAACCACTCGCCGCAAATGACTGTCCATTGCCGAGTTTACGTGGATTTGGCGTGGGTGTTGGTCTTGGCATTGTGGACGAGGCCTTTCACTGTGTGACGGCGCCAATACCAAACATTACCGACTCCGCCCCCTGACTATCCTTTGACATCCCTGCGTCAGCCTGTGACGTTTCCCAAGGTTTTTTGCGACTACAAGTGGACACATGTATTTTTTCGAAGGTTCCTTTTCGGTCCCCTTGCGACAAAATTACACGAAACAACAGACGTTGGCGGTTGACGTATTCAGTTCAATTGTTACTTATGGCCACCCTTAAAAGAACATTCTATAAAAAGATGGAACCAGGGTTGATCTCGACCAAGCCACATGAGTACACGGAGAGGAAGGAAGGGATTGTCAGTTGGGATTGGGTGGACACATTGCCACTCGCGGGGGTTAATGGAAGAATGGTCCGCCCCGTTTGATTGGTGTCTGCGTTCTTGACAGATGCCCACTCTCCCAATTGATTGCAACTAATCAGCTCTACCAGATCGGAGAGGGATCAGCGTATTTTACTGATTATATTATTATTATTTTCAACATTTTAATGGAATTTATTTACGATTTTCTTATTTTATTCCTCTTTTGCTCTTTTTTCCATCTTCTTTCCTTCTTCCCCTTATCACCATATCAATCCTCCTTGATCCCCCTTCTAGACTCTTTCGATTGTCTGTCCCTTCTTTTTTCTTCTATATAATATCCACTTGGGATTTCTCCCTTCTTCAAATCTTTATATCTTCTTGCAGAGTTCGTCCATTACATACAATTGTATAATCTATTCAAGAACAACATATACACATACGACCACCATGTCTCTCCAACTCTCAGACAACCTGGCTCCTCAGCCTATGACCGATATCTTCACCGATGACACCAACATTGACCGTCGCAAGTGCCACCGCACTGTGCCTATGAAGGTGCTGGCTCTTGGTGTTGGCCGCACTGGTACTGCCTGTGAGTTTAGATCTATACAACACAAACTTAACTATCTTATCTTGTTGCAATATTGACTGTTTATATCACAGCTCTCCGCAAGGCTCTCGAGCGTCTGGGCTACGGAAAGTGCTACCACATGATGTGTGCTAGTGTTGAGAACCCACCCGACTGCCTGATGTGGCACGATGCCTTGAACGCCAAATACAAGGGCATCGGCGAGTTCGGCCGCAAGGAATGGGATCAGCTCCTAGGTGACTGCCAGGCCGTGTGCGACTGGCCCGCCTGTGCTTTCGCAAAGGAGCTCATTGAAGCTTACCCCAACGCCAAGGTTATCATGACCACCCGTGACGTTGACCCATGGCACGCGTCCGTTATGAAGACCGTCTTCTGGCGTGTCAGTGACCCAGAGCACAAGTTTGTTTCTAACTTCTCTTGGGCCGCTGGCATGTACTACCCCATGTTGAACAAGTTCTTCGAGACCTTCTTCCGTGGTGACTTCCAGGGTCAAGGTAAACAGGTCTACAACGATCATGTTGAAGAGGTCCGCAGCCTGGTTCCCCCCGAGCGTCTGCTGGAGTACAACATTAACGATGGCTGGGGACCTCTGTGTGAGTTCCTTGAGGAGGAAACTCCCGACACTGCTTTCCCTCGTGGAAATGATATGGCCGACTTCTACAAGCGCTGCAGCACTCGTAACCGTCACCAAATGATGAATGCTGCTTTGCAGGCTATTACTGTTGGCGGTACTATTCTTGCTACTGGGTTTGCTGCTACTATGGCTTGGAAGCGCTTCGTTCGTTAAGATGGGTTCTTTGAACGAAAGGAAAGCGAAAAGCAAAAACAACAACAAATCAAAACTACAAAAAGCCCTTGCATATCAGCAGCATTCTTTAATACTCCATGCAGTTTGTGCAGGCACATACTGATGGGAAGTATCCTGTGGTCCATTCATTTTTTTATATTGCTTCAGGATTGGTCACTTCATTGGTTTCTTTAATATTCCCCTTTTTTGTCTGGCGTGATTGCATATCATTTCAAAGTTGCAATCTGTTGATACTTCTTGCCGTACATATATTTATTTGACACTTATTCTCATCTATATTTCTTTTCTTTTTCAATAAGCTTTTCTGGTACTATAAGTTTGTGTTACATGTATGCATGGTTAGAGCAAGGCACCTTGAGGAATCCTCCAATTGAGGAATGAAATAAAACTAAAATTTACATCACATGTATAACATCTACTATGAATGGTTCAGGTCACGCTTCAAGTTCCAAGTTATTGTGCATTTTGAAACAAGCAAGGGGTTGGTTGTCCCTTACGACTTGGCTGTATGGAATACTGTATCGCATATCATGATCTCATTTGTAGCATTGGTATTCAAGATTCATGCGAATAGACAGAATTAATATTGATAGATAACATCGACACTGTACTCCCTCCACCCAAAATTACCCCAAACTTGTATCTGGCAAGTGTAGCACGTATAAGTCTTCCCTATGGATATGACCTGTACGATACACCCGTCAAACCCCCGCTATTGGCCCTCGTAGTCCACTCCGAAACTTCCCCCGAACAAAACTTTAACAAAAAAAGGGGTTGAGTCAAGTGAGGTAATAAAGTCACAAAAGTGCTTAGTACACCATGTGTTGACGCCGATACAGTACAAGAGCAGCGGTTAGAGGTCCGTTTCCAATTCTCCGAACGAAACGGACCGTGTGGCTCATACCCATCTCGTACTCGTAACACCGTGTGGCGGCATGCCATGCTTGGCTTGGCGGGATGGGGGGGAAGGGGGAGGCGAAGCGCCCAGAAGGGAAGGGCGGCACAAGCGCACCTAAGACGAACAAACCAGGCCAGCCCTCCACTCAGGTCTGTTTGCTTGTCTTGTCTTACCTCCGAGCTCCACAGTTTGCCCCGAAACTAAGTCCAAACTTCTTGCAAGTTCATTTACAGTTAGATCGCTTTTATGCGCCGACACCCCTGTGCATAGTAAAACGTACAGGTCTATATTTGTGCTTTGATTCGTTTATATGGCAACGTCACAGCTTGCGTGGGAAGACTTGGCGCAGGAGCTTAGCATCAAATAATGTAGAGTGGAATCATGGTTCTAGTTCAAGTTCTTTGTTCGAGCTTGAACACATGGGGCGATATTTAGTATGTATACGTATGATTTTTAATTTATTCAACCTGTTGAATTTTGTTCCTTGGGCACGGGTTTATCTGTACATTTCTGTTGGGGGCTTTAATCCCTGACTGATTTGTTTCTTTTTTAAGAATCGGGCGGGGTTGATCGCGGCGGTTTGGTTATACTACATACTGTACACATGCATACAGTAGACTGGTTTGCGGTACTGCCGGTTAATCACCTACGTTTCTAGTACATATCTATGTAGATAGGCATCGGGAACGAACTTGAACTTGCTTGAACTTGCTTGAACCCTGCTTTGTTTGTATCTGGGAACTGGAGATCTGACAGTGGGACAAGGTACGGGGTCGGACAAAAATACCTATAGGAATGAAGCGATGTGGGACTACAACCTCCGATTCTCAGCGGGACAGGACTGAAATTGTGGAATTACCATTACCCTGATTACCCTGAAAAGAAGGGAACAGGGTACAGAGATTGATTGATTACTAGAGCCAGGGTCGACTGCTCGGGCTTGCATCACCTAGTACGTATGTATGTATAGTAATGGAGTCTAGTCCACGCGTACATCATGATCCTCAGAACCCTGTTCATGTATCGGGTGTGGCGTATAATTTCCTACGGGCAAAAAGCTTGTGAAAGCTGGTCTGGGAACTCGCCACGAGCACACGTGGAATAATCGTGGCGCAGACGAATTAACTTCGATATTCATCAACTATGGGCTTTGAAAACTTTATTGATAAGTGATTTTTCTTTTCCAGGTTAGGAATCTGCTGGGACACAGCCCTGGATGGAATTATGGAATTCAGGATGCGTACGCCATCGTCGTACGAAAGATGGACCGATTTCCCGCCCCAGGGCTGCAGTGGCCCCTGGGGGGAACAATACCGTACGGTAAGTTATTTGGATTATCCATTCCGCTTCAGGTTGAGGATCCATAGAACACAAAAAGGGGGAAAGTTTCAGGGACTGGTTGATCAACCCTGGAGAAATGTTGAGAAAATGGGGAAGGATCTTGTTAACGAAGAATTCACGATGATCATTGTGATGCTTTACGGGGTATAATCTATAATATGGACGCAATAAGTAGTATGTATACATCCCCCACTACCTAGCCGACTAGCTTTCGCACTACGAAACTTGGCGCTCTTGGCAAGCACCTTGTCTATGACGATAAGCACTCTGTCTCGCTTTCTCGTGGGTGATGCGCTGCGTGATCCAATCATTGTCAATATTTCTTAGACTTAGTACTCCACTTTCTTCAACCTGCGGTGACATATGTGTGTGGATCGGCCTCGTACCCTTTGTTCCCTTTTGGGTTGATCTCTGTCTCCTGATGAATTGATTGTTCTCATGCTTCATGTCCTTGCAGATTTGTTTCTCCATCTTTGATTTTCCCCTCCATTCCTTGCCTATGTACTAGATTGCTGTATCTGTTTTGATTTGCTTGCTGTACGGTGATGTGAAGAGGATCATCCATGGCCGCAACCATTTATTCCTCTGTGAGGAAAATCCCCTCCCTCGCATTGCTATTATGTCTCTTGCTTTGTGCTGTGGTAGACGCCGAGGATCCTGTCGCGTTTTATAAGTCTGTAAGTGGTGACATACCTACCAATCACGCCATTAACCCTTGTTTGTTTCTAACTGGATTGCTTGCAACAGAGACCTGATATTTATCCTCCGGTTTTCAACATCGAGCATAGCGAAGTCGCAAAGCTCAGTCCTGGCTATATTTTCATTACGCCATATGAGGCGCAGAATCCGGGACCGTATATCTTCGATAACACAGGAGTATGATTCGGATTCTCTTGGCAAAACAAAATGACCGTGCGGAATGCGCTGACTGAGTTCTTGTTTAAATAGGAATTAGTATGGAGTGGTTGGGGTGTATCGGGGCCAGGAAATGCCCATGGCTTCCATGTATGCCAGTATAAGGGCGCCGATCATTTATGTTTCTTCCAGGGTAATCAACAAAAAGGATATTGTCGCGGTCATGGAATCATCATGGACAGCACATACCGCATTGTGCGATCCGTACAACCAGGCGGCGGAATGGCATCAAGCGATATGCACGAATTTATGCCTGTCAACGATGGGAAATCCGCCTTAATGACGGTATACCAGCAGCGCCAATTCGACATGACACCTTGGAATATCAAAACCGGACTCGGATGGTTGATGGAGAGCGTGTTCCAAGAAGTAGACATTGAAACGAGCAAAGTACTCTTTGAATGGCGATCTCTCGATCATGTCGACCCCTCGATGAGCTATACATACCCAGCTCACACAGATACCTCTGGAACAGGACTAAACGTCCACGAGCCCTGGGATTATTTCCATATCAATTCGATCGATAAAAACGCCGACGGCGATTATCTGATCTCGTCACGACACACATGCGCTATATACAAGATCTCCGGCAAAGACGGCTCAATTATCTGGCAACTTCACGGTGCAGACCCGACATTCCGGAATATCAACTTTAGTTTCTCGCAACAGCACGATGCGCGATGGCTCTTCGAAAACGCAACCCATACAGTTCTCTCACTATACAATAACGGATACAATGGCTATAACCAGACCCATCCATATTCAGCTGGTATGATTATTCTCATCGACCATTTAGAGAACACAGCGCTTCAGATCCGAGACTACCGTCCCCAAATAAGCGACCTAGTCAGCTCCAGCCAAGGCAACATGCAGCGTCTCCCGAACAAAAACGTCTTCATGGGATGGGGCAGTAACCGTTACATCTCCGAACACGACGAGGAAGGGAACCTAGTTCTCTGGGCTTCCTTTGCCGCAGCCCCAGTAATGAACTATCGCGCCATGAAATTCGAATGGGAAGGTAATCCTACCGACTCACCCGCGCTATGGACGTATTCACGAACTCCAGATCCATTCTCTCCCACAACGTTCTATGTTAGTTGGAATGGCGCCACACGCGTGAAAACATGGCGATTCTTTGGTTCTCAGAATATGACCGGTCCATGGACTTTGCTAGATGAAGCGTCGAAGACAGGATTCGAGACAGAGTATACGAATACAAGCTTCTATTTATGGACTCGAGCTGAGGCTATCGGGCCTAATGGGGCTGTATTGGGTCGGTCGGAGATCAAGTATACGTTTGTACCTTCGCCTGAGCTGCGGGAGTTCTGTCAAGATGAGACTTGTCTTGATGCGCCGGGGTATGGATTTCCGGGCGAAGAACAGGCTAAGCCGTTTATTCCGCCTGTTGGTGTTAGTACGGTGCCTTGGGTAGATCCGGATCATGATGGGGCGATATGGACATATCCCTCTGGGTTTCCTCATGTGTCTATTCCAGAGTACCATGAGAGCTGGAACTCTAAAAGTAAGTCACTACCTATTTCTTCCTTCCATTACATGGATTTTATGAGATCCATTTACTAAGTTTTACATAGCTTCGAGTTTCTGGGCTGGTACTATCTTATTATCACTCTCTTTTCTTGGTGGAGGGTACTATGCCTATCGGTATCGACGAAATCAGCGGCTGGATCCGCTGGATGATCAAGAGTCGGCTGAGCCGCTGAATGGTATGGTGGAACGGAAATCTCCGCCCCGTTACTCTGGTGATTTTCCCTGGTGGAATTGGAAGAGATGGATTGGAAGGGATGAGGGTCATTACTTCCCCCTCTCGAACCGCGCAACACATCATCGACGACAGCGGACAGAATGAGGAGTCATATTCTTTCTCTTCCTTGCTTTTTTTCTTTATTCCCCTTTCCTTCTTACTTTCATCATCTTGCATTGCATTGCTGTGTCGGGCTTGCGTTTTTGTCTTTCTTTTCCTTCTTTTTCCTTCCCTTCCACTTTATACCTCTCGTTTCTTTTCTTTTCTTCTTTTCTTTTCTTCTTTTCTTGTTTCTTGTCTTTCGAAATACCCATCACTCCCCTGTACATATACATACACGACGATTACTGAAACGATCGTCATAACAAGCAAAACGGAATAGATCATCTACAATTTACCGAAAAGACCCACTATTCTTTTTTATTCTTTACAATACTGTAAACCGTACACCGAGCTGAAGTAATCTAATTTAAAGCCGAAACACCCGGTAGTCAATTTGGCTATTGTCTCCGTATGTACGGAGTATTTTTCCCTTTCCCTTTTCCTTTTCTCCAGGGTCGATGTCAATGTCATGCATCATTTTCCACGCATACGCGTCTTTTAACTAATGCGGCGCTTTTTTTCAGCCACCGGCGGTAGAACTGCGTAATGTCTATGTACGTAAACATGATTATGATCATGGCCCCAAATTTCCAGAATAGATCTTATCAGAACTTAAAATAAAAGCTTTGCTCGGAAATCGCCCGTTCGACCCAGGCAACGAGGGGCAAACTGCTGTATACATGTACATAGGAGGTATTCAAAGTATACAGTGCCTATGGGGCCGACGGCGAATACTGATAGGTCTGGAGTTGGTATTGGGTTTGATTACCGTCGTTGCTGTGTAGATTGATAGGCAAGACCCCTTTTGCTTCGTACACTCCTGGCTACCTATTAGAGCCTGCTCCGGTGGTGTACTGTACATCCATTGAACTAATTTGAAGCCCTCATTTAATCATGAAGACTTCAAAGCAACATCAAGGCGGGGTTGATCCTTTACTGCGAAATTTATCACTCTTCTCAGCATCAGCGATCGCGATCATCACAGCAATCACTGTAATACTACTATGATGCTGATGTTGAAACGCGCGTCTCACGCTGGTGCCGCCGGCGCAGCAGAAGAAAACTCAGTTGCCAGTACTTCATTTTGGTTCTCCGTAGGGACTCCGTTCTGCGTTCCATTCTAATTTTTAGACTGTGACTTTACCAGTTTCACGGCAAAGACGATCATAGACGATCACTTTCCTTTTTGAGCTTGTCAACACTTGTCCAGTCCATGGTACGTATCTTTGTCCCGCGCTGGGGTGTGGTGCGGTGCGGCTGTGTACGTACAGCACTAGGTGTCGGCTATCGCTATTCTGTTCCTTGGTTTTACCCGGGTCTTCTTTCAAGGTTTTCCGTGAGACAGAACTATGTGTGTTTTGGGGGGGAGGAAGCGACGTGTGGATCGGGGGCGTTCTAAGGGCTTAACAGGGTAAAGAATTCGGGGCTTACAATAACGGTTTTGTAGATGTGTTCGCCGTTTGTACAAGTACTTTATTCTATGTATGGGGATAAAGATGATAGACCTTCCAGAAGATCATGATCATTCTAATATCCATACGGAGAAGACCCCGTTCCTCCGTGATAGTGTTTAATGAGGATAAGTTTTAAATTTTAAAAGATAGGATAAAATGAATAATAGAATCAATTCAGCCGTCTATGGGTCTTTTACAGAGGTAAAAAAAGCTTCCAGATGCGCTAAGCCTTCGGTCCACGCCAACTTTGGCACGGTCAGAGGCTTACGTAGACCCATTGCGGACACTAAGCCGATTTCCTAGACAGAAACGCTACTTAATACCCGGTATGGCGTATTGATGGTTTTGGTGAATGGTTAAATGGGGCTAGAGGAGTTTTATTATTTAATTTTGATTTTTGTTAGCGGTAAAAAATTGAAAAAAGTAAATAATACGAGATTTTAAATGAAGGCTTGTCTATCCACGACGGTTCGCTGGGGAGAATGCCAAGACTGACCAGGCCGGAGACGCACGGCCGACACTGGCGAGTCATGATCCAAGACCAGGCGAGAAACGGTGGGCTCGGAGTGCGGGTGGAGCGGTCGTCGCAAGCCTTCCCCCGGAGCTGTCGTTGATCGGTACGGAATGTATGGGGGAGTGAAATACGAGTTCCAATGTTTTTTTATGATTTCCTCTTGGCAGCTCGTAGAGATGTGGAAGGTATACGAAGAACTTGAAGTAGTAGAGATTGAATGGAGAAGAATGAATGAATGTGGCATCTACGGTTATAATATAGTATAGAGGCAAGTAAAGGATTAGTACATGTATATCATATTTGTCCCTGACATACGTAATTAGTCTGGGCATTCATCATAGTCTGAGCCCTACTCCATAGTACTGCTGTCCCCTTTTTCTCCCTGTGGACCACGCAATAAACTGTATGGGGACAAACATAGATTCATGGATCAATTCGTCTCCTTTCTTATTATTTTTTTAAGATTATTGTATTATTCGTTTCTCTCTCTCTCTCTCTCTCTCTTCCTTTTCTCTTTAATTAACTATATCCCAATTGCTATCTATCTGGGAAAAGCAGAAAAAAAGGCGGGTCTAAACGAAATTATTCCTTGGTAAATCAACAAAACCCACGGGAAAGCAATAAAGACGATCTTTGCTTCTTGTTCTTAATTCTTCTCTTCCCTTGCAACCTGCCTCTCTCGTCTTGACACCTCTCCTCCAAGCGGGCCAATTATACAACTTGGCAGACCCAGAAACTGAAAATTACGTGAAACGAAGGGGTGTCGCAGCCTGACGTCGCCCGGTCCCCATCGGCCCTTCTACACTAGTCCCGTCCCTCTCTAAGTGCTTACATACACATTCCTGGACCATGCCTACCAGGGCTCAAAGCCATAAACCGAGTAGTGCCCGCCACGCGCGTACGACTTCATGGTCAAGTGGCTTTCACCATATAACCCCGGGTAACGGCAACGGCGAACCATCCGACTCTCAACCACCCCGACGCCGCCGCGAGTCTCAAATCTCTCTCGCCAGTCTCGACGAGAGACCCTCCTCCCCCGATTCCGATTCCAACACCTATACCCAAAGCCCCGATGACCACGATATGATCCGGAATACTTCAATGGATATGGACGTTCAAAAGCGCCAACATGTTCGCAGCCGCTCCCACAGTCAGCCCCATTTCATGGGTATGCAGGACGTAGACCGGCCTGCTGCTCAGCCCTCCCGCCCTGGCCCCGTTACTTGGATGTCACTACCGCGGAAAGGACAATTGGCGCTTCTGGGTCTCTGTCGAGTCTTTGATTTCTTACAGGTCGCTTCGTTGCAGGCTTACATGTTCTATCAGCTTAAGTCCTTTGATGAGAATTTGTCCGACTCCGATGTTGCGACTCAGGCTGGTATTCTTCAGGGCGCTTTTACCGCAGCCCAGTTTGCGACGGCTATTCCTTGGGGACGGGTTGCGGATGCTGAGTGGGGCGGTCGTAGATTCGTACTGCTTGTTGGTTTGGTTGGTACTGCGGTTTCTTGTTTGGGTGTTGCTTTTTCGACGTCTTTTGCGCAAGCTGTGTTTTGGCGCTCGTTTGGTGGTGCCATTAACGGGACTGTTGGTATTATTCGAACTATGATTGCGGAAAATGTCAAGGAGAAGAAGTACCATTCTCGCGCTTTCTTGATTCTGCCTATTGGATTTAATGTTGCTGCATTATTTGGTCCTGGTGAGTTTCTCTGACATATGAGTTCATTATCTTTGGCACAGCATATACTGACTTTCTCTGCTTCAGTCATGGGTGGTATGATGGCCGACCCTGTAAAAAGCTACCCGCTCTTGTTTGGCCCTAACTCGTCTTTCGGAGGCGAACATGGTGTTCAGTGGTTGGAGAAATATCCTTACTCACTGCCCATGCTGGCTAACTTCATCTTCTTGAGTGTCTGCGCTTGTTTGGTGGGCTATGGCCTGGAAGAAACCTTACTGGCTTGCAAGGGCAAGCCTGGCGTGGGGTCGTTTATTATGAAGTTCTTTGCGCGCAGCGTGAGGGGAGTTGTTGGTACTTCCTCGCCTTTGTACACCAAGCTCCCTTTCCGCGATTACGATGAGGACGGTCCCCTACTTGCCGGCGCCATGGACCGCTCCGAGAGCTATGAAATGGAGGAGAAGGCCGCTAAGCCTATGCGCATGAAACGCGTGCTACCATTCAATCAAATCTGGACCAAGAACGTCTGGTGCACTCTCCTGGCCCAGGCTTTCTTCGACTTCCAAATGGGTGCATTCAACAACCTCTGGCTTCTTTTCCTGTCTACCCCTCGCTACGATCCCGCCGACCCTGCCAGCCCCGCTCAGAGCCTGCCTTTCATCTTCACGGGTGGCCTTGGTATGTTGCCACAGAGTGTCGGATTTGCAACTTCCATCCTCGGAGTAATTGGAATGTTCCTTCAGTTCACCATTTACCCCTCCATCAACGGCCGTCTGGGCACAGCCAAGAGTTACCAATACTTCCTCTCTCTCTTCCCCCTCGCCTACGCCCTAGCACCCTATATTGCCTTAGCACCATCTACCATCCCTCCACCCGGCCAGGCCAACGGCCCATGGGTCTGGTTCTGGATTATCATCGTCCTCTTCTGCCAGGTCACAGCGCGAACTTTCACCCTCCCAACCTCCATCATCCTCTTGAATAACTGCTCACCGCATCCATCGGTTCTCGGCACAATCCACGGTATCGGCCAATCTGTGTCATCGGCCTTCCGAACCATCGGCCCCATCTTCTCGGGTGCATGGTACGGTTACGGTCTTGATATTGGCATGATCGGGTTTGCCTGGTGGTTGATTGCCTTGGTATCCGTGTTTGGCTGCGTTGCTGCCATCTTCGTGTACGAGGGCTCCGGTCATGAGGTTCTTCTTCCTGGCGAAGAAGAGGACGATCTTGATCATGGTCATTGAGTAATGTGATACGTTGGTTCCTTTGTTCTTCTCACTTGAACTGTACATTGCCTCAACTTCATTTTGCATGTCATTCGGTGTCCGTGCGGTCGTGGGTTTCTGCTTTGATTTTGTTTCCCAAGTTATCGCTTTTGATTGCCTACCTGCTTTGCAGAATAAGGCTGCGATACTTCTTGCATGAATCTCGATGCGCCATCTTGCATTGTTCTGTCCTTTTTGTTTATTTTTCTTTTTGTTTCATCTGATACCATTTCTTTTCCTGCATTGTTTATTTGTCGTGGCCCTGACGCTGCATTTTCCAGTCTAATGTCCCATGTGGCGTTTCTGATTTCATGTTTCATATGTTTTCCTGCCGGCTCTCTTTTGATCTTTTTTCTTCTCCAAGGCGAGCCGTGAGAGGATAAATGACAACATCTGTGGTCATTAGAATATAAAGATTTGGCTTCGGTCATCTCTGATATAGGGAAAGATGCTCGCTCCCTTTGCAATATACCTCAAAAATGATAGACCACTCAACATCCATCTGACAATCTCCCTGCAAGTAACCAAAACATAGTAGATAGTGTTGTAAACATCTAAACATCTTCTTATATTCATAGCTCTCATTTAACTTTTCTAAACACTCAAAGCATCAAGGTATCATCACATGCACTAACAAACTCACGAGCTCTTCCCATAATACTTAGCATAACTAGCATCAAAAGTCGCCTCATCAACAGCAAACTGTCGAATATAATCTCTCTCAAGATCATGTGTCCTCCTCCCAAGAAGCACAACACTATGCAACGGCGCACCCATCTCAACCTCCGCCATCTCAGTCAAAGTACCAACAACAAGTTTCTGATCCGATGCTCCAACTCTCGCGGCACCCATAATAAGACTATCAGGCGAGTAAACGCCCTCCTTGCGATCTTCTTCAACCTCAAGCATCTGCTGCGCGCACTGTGCAACAGTCATGTACCGTGGTGGTTCGAAGATTCGTCGTCCCCGCGCTAGATTCTCCATTGATTGCTCCTTTACTTTGATGTCGAGCAGGACGAGCGTGTGGAGACCGATTGAGGCGTTCTCGCGGATACGGTCGTAGAATGAGGATGGGCGCCAGTTGTCAAGGAAGAATACCATGCTGACCGTTTGGCCGAAGTTGTAGAGTTGGAGGCCTGTGCAGCCAATTCCGGACATGATTGATGCGTTGGGGACGACGTTGGTTTGGATTCCTAGTTCGCGGGCGCGGAGCACTAGATCTGTGTGTGTGGTTGCGCTGGGTGAGGTTAGTTTTTGACCTTTCCTGCCCCTCTTCCTCTGTTTGTTGTTCCAGAATCATCATGGGGTGTGATGGGTACATACCCGAATGGATCACCAACGACGAGGAAGGCAATGTCTGCTTTGTCTGCTCCTGCGAGGATATCATCGCTGCCGCTCTCGACTAGTTCGCGGTCTGCCTCGATGACGGGTCGGCCATAGAATGCTTCCTGTGATATCAGGTATTAATTTTTGGTTTATCAGATTTGCACAGCAGGACAGGAGGCATCGCATCCCCATATCCAGAAATCGAGATCAAACTTACAAGCTTAGACTTGTCCACGAGCAAAATGGCAGTGTATGCCTCCAGATAAACCCGCTCGGCCCGCTTGACAATCTCCAGACCACGAACGGTGATATCAGTCTCGTCAGCGAGACCGAGACCGACAAGATGCAACATTTTGAATAAAAATAACAATCAGATCAATTGAGACGTATTAGCGAAAAGTAATTCTCCGAACAACTCAATAAAATAATTCGCTTTGCCCCGCGGCAGAATCGTCGACCGCTCGGATATGCGGCGGAAGTGAATCTCCGATTATCGCGTGGTTATCGCCGCTATCGAGACCCCAGACTTCCTTCCTTCTCTCCTTGATCATTGTATTTCGATCCATTTCATTGCTCATTCGCTAAGGGCTATATCTTTTTTTTCTTCTATATTCTATATAATTGCAGCGCCTGTCGAATTACCTGTCCCGTCCCTTCCCTCGCTTGTCCACTGGTCGCCAATAGCCGGATTCGTCTTAATTGTCGCATTCACGAGGAGCCGCTATCATGAGCTCCGATCGCCAACCGAAGTACCGGCAGGAGATTCAGCAGGTACGTGCTCCCCACTATAAAGCTACTGGAATCAGTAGTTATGGTTGTTTTTTTGTCTTTTGGTCTGTCTTTCTCTTGTCTTCCCGGTTTCGGAACCTGGGCGAGCTTCGGCGATGCGCATCATGGTTCACGCCTATTGCATTTCTCACGATGCAACGCTTGATGTCAACAATGTCGTGTCTCATACACTTGTGGTTAAAAATGCGCCTTTCGTCTTGTCGAATGTCTGGGGTATGGGATTGAATGTGGCAGAGGACAATGTTTGGGTAGAAGTGAGGAAACGAAGTGATAGAACGGATCCTCGTGGCTCAATTCACTGCCTTGGCTACCGATAAGACAGGACATAATCAAGGCCATGCTCTACTTATTCTTCGAACTGGTCTTCACTTCGCTTCCACAATTCACACTCAGTCCCAACCACGAAGCTCGGATCGATCTTGGCACAAGTGGTTGGTTTCTGTGAACGTCACTTTTGTCACCTTGAACCTCGCCGGTCTCAACAGTTGCAATTCCCACAACGTCTACCACCACCTTTCACCATTTTCTCGATTCGAATTATTTCGTCGTGGGGCTCTGCCACCTCTTCGCATGATGGCCGTTTGGCAGGATTATCGTACGGTGCAAATCACACCTGAAGACCGTGATTATGCCACATTCGGACTACCGAGGAACTCTCCATTTGGACATTTTCGTAAACCCCTGAAGGCCTTGGAGCTGGACGGCGATCTGGCCACCGCCCAGGAGCTGGCATGTCTATCTACACCATTCGACCATGTGATCAAAGATAGTTCATGTGAGGCCGACGATGAAAAAGACCCCGAAATCACACCCCGGATTAGCAAGCCCCCGCGAGGTTGCCCAAGGTCAATTCACTGTGATAGTGATGAATCATCTGACCTGGGTGAGCTTCAAACTCCGATTGACAAAGTTCTCCATCGTCGCATGGATACATTGAAAATCAAATTGGGACATTCGACTGACTCCGATGATACCCATGAGATTGGCGGAACCAATGATGCTGATGACGAGTACACGAACTGTTGGTCTACGGTAGTATCTGATGCCGATGAAGACAAGGACGAGACCGAAGACATATTCACGACCAAGGAAATTTTCGAAGCTGGGTTAGCTGACATGCTTCACCAGATGATGTTTGTATCTGGAGAAACTGCTGAACCCTCTATTGATACCACCACACTTATTGAAGACATTACCCGTCAGCAAGTCATTGAAATTGTTTGTCTACCTCTTCTCACAGATGCAGTTTATCTCGCTAATGCCCTTGCAGCTCACTCGCAGTACTCAATTGGCTACTCGCCGAGGATCACGTGCTATTTCCACCGACGATCTTATATTCTTGATTCGTCACGACAAAGCTAAAGTCTCCCGACTCCGTACTTTCCTCTCCTGGAAAGATGTGCGCAAAAACGTTAAAGACTCCGACGATAAAGGTGGTGGTGATGCTGCCGATTTCGCTGGCGCCGATGATGCTGCCGGCATAGCAGCAGGCCCACAGGATGTTGCCGCCAAACCAAAAAACAAGCGCGCTAAGGTTGGATTGGCGTGGGACATCCACAGTTTTTTCTCGGTACAGATTCCTGAACGTGATGATGAAGAGGATGAGGAAGAGGAGGAACAAAATTATGCTACTCTCCAACGCCTGGCTGCTGCTGATGAGCGCACTAAACACATGACAAAGGAGGAGTACGTATTCTGGTCTGAGTGTCGTCAAGCATCTTTCACCTACCGCAAGAGCAAACGATTTCGCGAGTGGGCTGGTTTCGGAATTGTTACAGAGTCCAAGCCTAACGACGACATTGTGGACATTCTCGGTTTCTTGACTTTTGAGATTGTTCAGACACTCACCGAAGAAGCACTCAAGGTCAAGGAACGTGAGGATCACGAAAAGAACCGCGGCGGCGCCGATACTACCGGAGAGAACGCCAAGAAGCGTAAGCGCGAAACTAGTCTCTTCGACCCGCCTGAGGAGGGACGCACGCCGATCGAACCTCGCCATGTCCGTGAGGCCTACCGAAAGTTACAGGCCACCCCACAGAAATCAGTGGCAATGCTGCTTCATAATGGACGACTTCCTGCTCGTATGAACTTGCGCTTGGTTAGTCTTTTCTTTTATTCCTTTTATTGATTACTTGCAGCTAACATTCTTGTAGATTTGATTACCCATCTCAAGCAGTGACCTGGATTTGTTTTTTGTTTGGCGGAGTTTCGCCTAATTGTTTACGAGCACGATACCCACAGTTATTCTCCTTGATGGTGTTTTTTTTGCCAAGGACTGGCGGACCTTGGCCATTGAGAGGAGTTTTGTTTTAGGAATTTGATCATCCATGACCGATTGAGGATTCTGGAACTTTGTACCCATTCCCAAGTAGATGCCTTCTGATAGTTTCTATAGTAGACAGCCGCGAGGAGAAGCTAGGCTCGGACTGTCTTGGGACCCAGCCCAGCCCTAACAGATGCTTTTTGTAGAGCTGCCCATCTATCACTTAGTCTATCTAAGGTGCTAGTAGTTTCTGCTTGGCTTATTACCTACATCCGGCTCGTTCCTTGCTAATTAATGAAAGAGAACGGAGTACATCCTCTAGGTGAATGACACTATGCTTATGGCAATGCCCATGCTACCGCAGATATACTCGAATGGATTAAAATGAGGCTCCTGGGGCTTGGTCGCGAGCTAGAACTCCCACGTTTGAAAATATTCAGTTCCGAGATCCCTATATACGCCGGGAATGTAAAAGTATGACTACATTCTTGAGAGTTCCATTGGATATATGGCATATCTTCGGGCTGTGATCGGGTCCAAATATCAAACTAGCCTCTTACTATCAGCGGGGTGCATGAGAAATGTATCCATTCATCGCAACCAATCCCTGTAACCCCGAATCTTGTACAACATTTGAACTCCGAGCGGCATATACTCCGAGTTTCATATCCGAGGATTCGGCAAGAGCTGTATCTTGAATTCTTACATCATGCTTCTGATGAATTGTTGTTCTTGGCCTTGCATCATCTCTGATCAATCAGTCGTATTGGGTACGATAGTAGTGTGTACCGCAGTCTTTATAGCATTATGCCAGTAAGATCAGTCGTAGTTCAAATCTTTCCATGAGCTTTTTCTTTCCTTATTTTCTTTTCCTCAAGTTTCCACGAGAATATAAACTACTTGAACTCATTAATCTTGCACTTCAGAGCCATGTTTGATTATCGCAACGCTTGAAATTTTATCAAGATGGGTGGTGTCTTTTCCAACCCAAGAAATCCTCAGGCTTCTCCTTCAAAGCAAGGAGTCAAACCTGAGGAGATCATTATCTCTGGCCTCGGTACACAATGGCCTTCAACAGTTATTACAGCGGATGAGCTAAGTAAATTTGCTCACGGGTTATACCCCGCAGATGCCCCATGGTATATCCCACTTTAACGTCTCACACAATTAAAGACTAACGTGATTATAGGCTTCAAGGTTTACTCAAGATCAACTCTCAAACCGGCATTGAGACTCGCGCCGTGATAGATACATGGGCTGATCCCCGTTGGTGCCAAAAAGAGCCACCAAAAGCCGAAGAGATTGATGTCGTCTGGCGTAAACATGGTGTCGAATTATCCAAGCAAGCCGCCGAGAAAGCTTTACGGGATAGCAATATCTCATCAAAGGACATCACACATGTTGTTGCAGTTACTGCTACGAATACCGGAAGCCCTGGCTATGATCAAATCGTCGCACGCGAATTAGGCATATCAGCTGACGCTGAAAGATTACTGATAAGCGGTGTCGGTTGTGCAGGAGGTTTAGCCGCTCTCAGAATGGCTACAAATATTGCTCAAGCAGCCTCGTACAAGGGAAACCAAGCCCGAGTATTAGTTATCGCTTGTGAGATTTGCAGCATTTATATAAGTTCCGAGTTACGCGAAGCGGAAAGCATGCAATGTGTAGGAATAGGACCTGCGCTATTTGCTGATGGTGCTTCGGCATTGGTCGTCTGCAATGCTCGAGGAATGTTACAAGGTGATGGTGAGAAAGAACTTCCTAAGCGATTTTCCGTTATTGATTATCGATCATTCATCACACCTGATACACATAACGAAATGGAATATAAAGTCAACAGCACGGGGTTTCAACTTCTGCTATCGAAGAATGTCCCCAAGCTGGCTGCATTGTCTCTTGCCAAACCATTCCAGAGTTTGATAAGGTCAAATGGCATGTCGGCTGAGGCTAGTGACTTTGATTGGGCTCTTCATCCAGGAGGTATATCTATTATCAAGGGAGTTGAGAACTCCATGAATCTTCCAAGTGATTTATTAGCTGCCAGTTATGAGATTTACCGGACCCGAGGCAATACGTCTAGTGTCGCGGTGCTAGCGGTGTTGGATCGGTTACGAACTATGGAGATGAAGAAGAGTGATGTGATTGCAGCAAGTTTTGGACCGGGTCTCGCTACCGAAATGGCTTTATTGAAACGCTTTGAATGATTTATGAGACGCGTTATATTGTATTGATTTCGTCTATACTTTTATACTTGTTGGTAGTATTTGTAGTTTGACCTTAGTGCAGCACTTTATTGGATCAGATATCTTACATTTTAATATTGTTTCAAATGACCATTTGTGTAGAATCCTTTTTTTTTATTTTCCTGTAGCTATCGATGAAGCAACCATGTATTGGTATAGAACGAGTTACATTTATCGACAAGTCATTGCGTTCATAATTTGCACGACTCAAAATCCGAGAGTGCAATTGTCAATTTAAGAATGAGGATCTTTCCCAAGATAACTTAAATATATCCATAACGCATTAATTTATTCCTTGTGTGTACGTCGCCCTGAATTGTAATCAGCACCAAGACCAGCCTAGAATAGAAATATGATACTGGGTGGATGGGAAAAACTTACACTCTGCCAGCTCCTCCGCGCTCAGTTCCCGAATCGAATTGATAGGGGGAACACTGCCTTGAACAGCTCCCTTTACCGTATCGACTGCTCGACCCAGGATTCCTTTCTGCGCAGCAACATGTGTCGCTAGCTTGGCTTCAAGCTTAATTACTCCAATGCGAGGATCGGAGGGACCTCCATCATGTACTTCATCGCCCATATCACCGAGCCAGGCCTTCAGTGTTGGAGAGTAATATTTCTGGACGATAGCTGGATCCGCGATAACGGATGCAGTGCCGGAGATCGAAGCCCAGGAGCCGCTTACAGGGTCCAGGAAGGACATATTGGTTTCTTTGGGGTGGAGGGTGAGGTCCATTGTTTTGCCGGAGAAAAGGTTTGTGTGGAAGATGAGATCAATTCCACCGTTTTCCTGTTATAAAGAAGCTATTGTAAGTAAAGTGTTGATTTTGGAGATACTCTAAAGAAATGGTCATAATATAGATGTTTTGCTTACCTGTGCGGCTAGAGCCATGCAACGAGAAGCCAAATATTCGCCTTCCGACTGCTTAGTTGTCAACATGCCGAACTTGACTCCTGAAATAAATTCGACTAGCTCCTCGATCTTCTGGGGAAGAGGTGGATCTTCGAAGTTCTGGGTCTTGTAAGGGTCCACGGCATGTTGGCCCGTGCTAGTGTTGACAGAGGGTGCGGCAGACATGATGTTGTTCAATAAAGAAGTTAAATTGAGAATGAATTGTTTCAATTAAGTTGATCTGTGAACACGTTTTGCAGGACATTTGAATCTTTTTATACAGCTATTGCTGTTTGATGCATGCGGACACGTCGTTGTGACGTCAGCGATAAGATAATCCGGTTAGGGCTCGATCTATGTGCAATGAGCTTGGGATCGGGCTCGATCGAGTAACAATACATAATATTTCGAGCTCGTAATTCGGTGGTCCGATTGTCAATTGTGTTTAAAATGGAGCCAGGGGTGTGGATCGCGGATTACATTGGTAATGGAGCAACATGACAAGAAACTTGTTTGACAATGGAGTATACACTAACAAATCGTTGGAGTGTGTCTGTCTATATCAAAGGAAGTACAAATTCTAGGGATAATTTCTCATCTCTCGGGTTTAATAATACAATTTTTATGTCAATTTTTTAATTTTTAGACAGTTCAAAGTGCTCTAAATTAAATCATGAGTTTCAAATCGAGGCTGTGTTCTTTGATTAAGATCTTGGATTTCCCACTATAGGGCCGGCCTATAGTAAAAATATGATATTTCGACCATTGACGCCAGGCTTTTTGATTCTTTGAAAATTGAAAAAGTTCCTGATACGAAAGAACAGTATTGGCAAAAGACCCTTTCTAAGTTTAAAAATTGCAGACATATGTTAATATGGATCAGTAGGTTGGTTGAAAATGCTGGGTCTTGTGGTTTTCAGCTGCTAGTGGGCTTTTTGAACAGCGCAAAGACTTATGAGCAGGGTTATACTAGAGTGCTAAGGTATTTAGGCGCGTCCAAGGCTGATTTTGGGTACTAATAGTACTTGTATGACTCATTTGCTTTCCTCGTAGGTACATATTAATTGTTCGTATGGATATCGTAGACCAGTGAGTGTTTCGATATGACACGGATTACGGATGTACCTTTTAGGTATTCGGATTTAAAATAGCTTTCCCAATCTCCCAAAAGCCTTGAGCTTGGGCCTCAAAGCAACCCCTAGTAGCGTTTTCTAAAGCTTTGGCCTATGTTGAGCTTTATAAGCTTGTGACTATAGATCCATGGGTATTTAAAGGACCGGTCCACCTTTCATTCAAGTTGATTTGATACCTTATAAGTTCAAGTTCCCTAGTACCAATACTTGAGATATGTAGACCATGGTACTATATCCATACCCAATTCAATTAGTAGAGTACTAATAATCATCTTGTTATTAGGTGTTATTCTGACGAAATGAGTGCAACCCCGCCTTACGATGAACCACCTCACAATAAAATGTCTCACGAGGAAGCATCTCACGATGAACCACCCTATGAGGAACACACTCTCGAAGAGCTTGAAACCAAGTTCACATCTTTAGATGAGTACGTGCTCAACATCAAGAAGGGATTTGTGGATCAAGCCGAAAAATGTGATCCATCAGCCAACAGTGTCATTAACCCTGCCATTCTCACCCAGTGGTGCTGCAAGAGATATGGCGCTATATCCATGACCAGGCTGGTGAACAGCCTTCCGCTTTTCCTTGATGGTTAACCCGAGTTTGGCTACTATGCCGCAGCAATTGATCTCGAACAGAAATCCGTGTTTGTTGCGTGTGACGTCAATGGAGTTGCTGTTATCAATTCTGAACAAACGCAACGCAGTGGAATCGACGCAGAAAGGATTGCGGAAATCACTGCGACCGATTCGGATCTATTCAGAAAAGCCCAATTTGCTCTTTACTCCCTAGATCCAGATCGCATCATTGGAGAGATGATGACCGTGGAGAAAAGATAATTTTTCTGGTGCCATTTACATGGGTTCATGCACTTGGCAAAGACTGGTCATCGCGTTTTCTCGGTGTACAAACACGATAGGTCCTACGATTCTCAAGTCCATGAGAATTGGCCTTTGAAAAAGATACCAAAATCAGAGTGAGCAGGATTTTTGGTTAGCGTTTTGTGATTTCTCTTTGAGACTGTATTTACAGAGTTCCTCCCGAAATGCTTGGGGTTGATGCGTGTTAGAGATCATTTATATTGAGAAATCCAAGAGTACTAATGATGATATGGTATAGTACAAATAATGTACATGTAGTAGACTCTATGAAAAGAGTATATTCGGGTTTTCGTTCGTCCCGGAGCGCAGATCAGTAGGGGCTTGCCTCGCGATGTGAGTCGGAATAGACCCATATTAGGCCTAAATTTTGACCATCTGGGAGATTAGGGTAATAAGGGACTTGTATGAATTATTATTGGGTACTTCGTGACATGTGTTGCTGTCACCAGAGAGCTGTGAAGGCCACGTCATATAGTAATAACCAGATCGAGGTAATTATTTTGAACTAATATGGGTTCTTCGCCTTCAATATGTTCCCACGACGAATACAATGGCGTTAAATGTAATTCTGCACCAAAGAACCCATGTTTCTTCAATGGAACAAAATAGTTCTTGCAAGATTTGGCTGGAGACGCCAGAGTTCAGTTTCCTTTATGCCGGCATAGATCCTATTACACGTTACGTTATAAGCCATCGCATTTCATCATCGCAAAAATCCAGAACTCACCCCATTATAAGTATCCACATCAACTGTAGATTTATGGCAATAGCTGCAACAATGATTGCTATATCAAGAAAAGTCAACAATCTACCATCCATCGAGAGGAAGATCTCAACACAGATGATAAAGGGATTCCAAGGTATCACTGACCTTCACATATAAAACCCCCCATTCGTTCAATCTTATCTTGCGTTCGATACAGTTTCATCCAAGATGATACCAGATCTTTTTGGCATGTTTGACCCTCGACGACCCAGCAACCGCCGGGCACAGAACGACATTCAAGATGCCATCGCCGACGCTCCATAATGCGACGGACCCTACCATTGCAGAAGGCTTCATCTGTGCGGAATGAACATTTTTCCATGGGACATTCGAGCTTGTGCTCAAATCGCTCGACGAGCCAATCAACCTTCAGGTGCACTCCTGTGTACACCATAGAGTAGAAATGGCGGGAGGTATGTTTTAAAGCCAGGGCATCTGGGTATGACAGGAGCGAAGCGATTTGCATATGAATTTCTGAAGGGAGGTCCAGGAGTAAGATAGCCTGTTCCTCAATATGCTGTGGGGACTGCATGGCGGCTCAAGATGGATGATAACTTGATGACAATAAATATGTGAGGCTGCTTGACGGGTGCGCTTTGCTTATATTCAAACTTAAAATATGGATGCCTGAGCTCCTGCCACGTTGAAGGGCTTTGTTTGAGTGTTGACTATCGTGGAAATGGTAACAAGCTACTGATTCTTGATTTTGTGGCGTTTCAAGACACCTTTGGGGGTTGCCTTGTTATCGTCTGACATGATTACGAGGAGGTGAGTGGGGAAAGCGAGGCCACCAAACCTGAGCTAGTAATGATCGTAATACATAATGTGGATGGATAAATTCTAGGTACCGGAATAATTTATTCCAGTTAGACTCGTACTGAAATTCAACCTATACAACACGGTCATTGATCTGGCCTTAATCCTCCAAGGCTGTATAGAGAAGAGTGTACATGTCGCGCGTCCCCACAGTTGAACCAAACTCCATCCATGATTAGCTAATCCAGAGCCCCATGGGTAGAATAGACACCGCCTTCCCTAATCCTCCATCCCAAGCTAAAGATTCAAGATTCAACATCGACTATCAATCATTTCCTTACAAACCTTCAACCCACCATGTCTCACAATTCAGGCGCCGGAGCCCCTCCGGCTTCAGACACAGAGTTCCGCAAAACCTGGGACCGCGAAGAATATGCCAAAAAAGCCGCCGACCAAGAAGCCAAGCGCAAAGCCGAAGGCAAAGCCCGCTACGAAGCAAAACTACTCGGCAAGAAATACCATGCGCCAGTCGACTATAGCTCCCTCGAAGCCACCACAGCGCGCAGCAAGCGGCTAGATGTGGCGTCGATGGTGGGCAAAACAACCATTGTACCGGCGGGATCGGCGCTGGGAAAGCGTGGACGTGGAGCGGGATTCTACTGTTCAGACTGTGACTTGACGTTCAAGGATAATATTCAACTTGTGGAGCATTACAATAGCAAGCAGCATTTGATTGCGACGGGGCAGAGTGGAGATGTAATGCGAGCTTCTGTGGAGGAGGTGCGGGAACGGTTGAGAATGCTTGCTCATCGGAAACGTGTGAGAGAGGAAGAGGAGAGGAGGGCTTGGCAGCTTGATCTGGGTGAGCGTTTACGCGAGCGTGAAGAGCAAGATGCTAAGGAGCGGGAGGAAAGGAGGCGCAAGCGAAACGAGAAGCGGCGGAAAGGTGGCGATGGTGTTAAGAAGGAAGATGAATGGGAAGGCCGACTGGGAATTATTGCTTGATTGGCATGTAAATGATGCATGGAATACAGATCTACTTTATGATACCCGTGGCGTTTGGGGGATTGATTTGCCTAGCCGTCTAGGTTTGTAATAAGGCTTTCAGAATTGGTGTTGAAAGTATTGACATTGATTAACCAAAATAATAAAGAAACAGTTATATACACTACCTATTATAGATTACTCTCTTAGCTATAGTCTTGTTTCTTTTCTCTCTCTGGTATTATCATTACTGTGCCATCTATCTTTATTCAAGAAAGCGATTGTAATAATTGCATGAAAATGGATATTATCGTAACTTTGAACCAAGCATTAAAGTTTACTCAATACACTCAATGGCCTCGAGCCGCTGCATGGCTCGACCACCCTCCTTCTCAAATTGACTGACGAGTCGCTCGCATTCACGCTTGAGTCGCTCCTCGCCATTCTTTGCATTCCAAATGATCCATTCCTGTACTGACATCTTCTTCTCAGGACTTGTAAGCCCTCGCTTCATGCCATTGAATAGCCCAGAAAGATCAGCATTTTCTTTGTCGCTCGGCTCTCCAAACAAAGCTTCATCAATGTCTACCGGAGTCCATGGGTGACTAGAGGCTTCAAATCCACCGTTGAAGTTGCGCTTCGACGGTGACGGGGTAGCAGCCGCCAGTGGAGTCCGGGCCTGCGGCTCCTTGGGCACGGATGCTATAGCCGGGCGTGAGATTGATGGTCGAGATGAGGGAGGTCGGTTTTCTGCATCCGACGACTGTGGAGACATTGATGGTGTGCTCTGATGAGGTGGCGGAAGTGGTGAAACGGGTCGATTTGATGATCGAGAAGTCCTTTGCAGGTCACTACCCCGGGAGCTGTGTGATTTGGTGATGGATTCTGTGAGATGCTCTTCAGCAGGAATGTCACTGAACCTCTTGGCCGTCTTTGGAGGCACGGGTGTTCGCTCTGTGCTATGTCGTGGCGTTGGCGAAGATTCTTGAGGGGCAACCATTTCGACTTGATCCGGTAGATCATCTGGTGTCCCATACTCTTCATCCACAGATGGAGACATAGGCTCATTATGTTGTCTAGCTAGTTCGTCTTCCATCACTACATCCTCGATCGGATCCTCCACCACTAGTTCCTCTTGGACGGGCTCAGGGGATGGAGATGGCACTTTCTTAGACTTCTTGGGCTTCTTTGCCTTGTCTGCCTTCTTCAGGGACTTCTTCGTCACTGGCTTCTCTGGGGAGTCGTTTTCAGGCTCTTGGAGTTGGGATTCAGGTTCAGGCTCAGATTCATGCATGGGCTCTATCTCTTGATCAGTGCCTTCAACAGACATGAAAGATTCTTGATTCTCCTCTCCATTCTCATGCTTAGTTGTTGATTTACTTTCCTCCTTCTCGGTCTTCTTGGTCTTCTTGGTTGCCTTCTTCTTAGAGCTCTTAGCTGCCTTGGCCTTGGGTGCCGGCTCTTCGGCTGGCTCTTCGCTTGCCTCCATAACATCAACCGCTGGCTCATGCGCGGCTTGTAATTGCTCGTCCTCAGATTCCACTGGAGGGTATTCCGGCTCCTGCGGCGGTTGCTCAGTTAATTTTGCCGCTGTTTTGGACTTTTTGACTGTCTTGCTCTTCTTTGAAACGCGAGCGGGCTCGGGCTCAGGCTCTGATTCAGGTTCGGGCTCAAGCTCGACCTGTTCAGGCTTATCTTCTTCGAGACCTGCTTTGATGGTGGCATCAAGTTCTGAATCCCGCGGGATACGGGCCTTGGATGTGCTTTTGGACGAAACTGAGACATCGGAGATCTTTCGATTTTTAGAGGTCGCCTTCTTGGCTTTGCGACCTCTCTTGGGCTTTTCTTCTTGAGGCAACTCATCCTCAGAGGGTGCATCTTGCACCTCATGGTCATAACTTTGTGAGAGGCCGCTATCTCGTGTTTGTGTGTTGCGGCGCTTAGTGGGTGGCTGAATTGATTCTCGCTCATGCCTTTCTGAAGAGACTAGCTCCGGCTCATCTTGTGTAATTTCTTCACTGACTCGCTTCTTTCGGCCACGTTTGGACTTGGGAGCTTCCGGCTCCTCAATTTTGGCAGTGTCAATTTCAACCTGATTATCCATCTCAACATCTTCTGGTTCCTCTTGTTTGGCTTCTTCGACGACCTTCTTCTTTCGGCCGCGCTTGGCCTTGGGGGGTTCCGGTTGCTCAGGTTCAACATTTTCGATGTCCATCTGGTCTTCCATCTCAACCTCTTCTTTCTTGCTCTTGGCAGATTTGCCTTTGCCCTTAGGTCCTCTCTTTGCACCCTTTGGCTTGGAAGTGGCCTGTGATGAAATGCTTTGGTCCATTGATTCATCAATGTCTATGTCGGGTACTTCAGATGCAACAGTATCGACAGACTGAGTCGAGAGACGGGAAGATGCCTTGGAAACGCGTGATTTCTTGCCTTTGGTGGTTTTACCCTTCTTCGTGGAGGGTTGTGCATAAACAAAGAAGGAGCAGTGTGGAGAGCGACGGTAGTGTTCCTCACTAGGAAAGTGTTAATGTCTTCATCTATTCCTGCAAGGGGAAAGAGCAAGGCATACTCACTATGGATCATCTTTGGGCTCCCAGCCATCTAAGGACAGTTTACAATAGGCACAACTGGCCAAATCTGTCTCCTCTTCTGTAGGGCAGAAATACCATCCAGCCTCGACCATCTGTCACGTTTGTAAGTGTGCGACTCAATAACAACCAACAGTGAAAAACAAAATCACCTTCTCTGATTGACAAATCCAACCGCGTTTTCCATCATGTGGCCATGCTGAGCCGAAGGTAGCCAAACGCGCCTGTGAAATGCGATCGCTGGTTGGATCTTCAATGCTGGAGGGGTTGGAACTACTCTGGTGGATATCCATCGTAATCGCCCACCCACATCCTGGAGAATGTTTGAGATGCTCGGTGACCGGGTTGTCTTCCGCCTCCCATCCATCGAGTGCCCGGCCGCACTCGAAGCATGTTGTGTTGTCGGGGTTGCTTTCGTATGGTTTGTAAAAGAATCCTGCGTGCGCGAGCTGACAGAAAAGTACCGTTAGATCAGACGAATGGAAGTCGTGGCGGGCTCCATATGTTTACCTCTGCAGGTGAAGGCTTTGAGTGAGGCCAAGCGACAAATCGAGGGCCTTTGACGCCGGAAGATCTCCGCTTTTCGGGCTTCAGCACAACCTCGAAACTGGCGAGACGTGCCGTAAAGGTGTCCATTTCTGAACCCATTATGGAAAAATATGAAATATGGGACAATGACTCCTCGTTTCCCAAGTCGGGAGTCAAAACTTGGCGCGAATTGTCGAAGGCGCGGGGATTGTGTTTGTCGGCGTTGATAGGGTCTGTTTACTCTGTTTACACTGTTGATAGCGTTGTTACCGTTGTTATGCGGAACGCGGTTTCACGTGATGGCATTATGTCATCATTTTCGACGTTAGATTCACGGGAGACCTTGTTGAACTTTGTGTTGAACCAGCGTGGGACTCGTTTCTTATTCCCTCTGCTCTTGTCATTGATTTCCTTCAAATACGCTCCATGATCCGAGGCCTTGGTTCTCCTTAACCCGTCTTCTTGAGCCGCGTGCTCCGCTCCTTCACCTCAACCAAACCACCAACGATGCGATCAGCCGTATGTCCGAGCTCGAACCCTAAAATTAAATCTAGGAGATGTTCTTTTTTGAAGATCGTCTAACAAACATTTTAACACAGATGGCTTTACATTGTAGAGGCGGATCTAGTCCCCTCTGGCGGTCTCGAGCCCTTTTCTCATGTCTTCCAAGGATGCCCACTCCTGTTCGTTGTTTCGCAATCGATTCTCGCCAGCACTTAGACTCTCCTTTACTACGACCTGCGAACTCCAATGTTTCAACCTCGTCATTATCATACAGCGCTCCCTCTCATTTATCACCATCCGCCTCTTTCTCAACCTCTTCTTCATTATCCGAGTCTGATTGGGACCATAACCCCAATTTGCAAATATCCAACTTCTCCGAACTTCCTACGAGGGATTTTGGAGCCAATCAGCATATGATCATCAACCAGGAATTCAAGGAAGCCTTACGACAAATCCTTTGGCAATTCCGTGCGCCCATAAGATATGCATTTGCTTACGGATCGGGTGTCTTTTCACAATCTGGCAGCGCCGCCTCCTCCACTCCAACCCACCCATCCGCGCCGGCCGCAATTAAGAACATGCAACAGGGATCGGGAAAGATGATCGACTTCATTTTTGGAGTATCCTACTCTCAGCATTGGCACGCATTAAATTTGAGTCAACATCGGGATCATTATTCCGGTCTCGGTTCACTCGGCTCGTACGCTGTTTCTCAAGTCCAAGACCGATTCGGCGCCGGTGTTTATTTCAATACCCACATCACAATAAACGGAACTTTGATTAAATATGGTGTCGTGAATCTGGACACATTGTGTGAAGATCTCACCCAGTGGAATACTCTCTATCTTGCAGGCCGCTTGCATAAGCCTGTCAAGATCCTCCGCGATCACCCCAAGGTGCGATTGGCAAACCAGATGAACCTCTTGTCGGCTTTGCGGGTGGCTTTGCTACTACTTCCAGAGCGATTTAGCGAATTTGAGCTTTATAGCACCATTGCAGGCATGAGCTACATGGGCGATCTGCGAATGGTACTCCCAGCCGAAGATCCCGGCAAGGTGCGCAATATTGTCTCTGGGCAGATGGCACACTTCCGACGTCTTTATGCGCCACTTATCAACAATCTCCCCAATGTCGATTTCCAAGATCCACGTTGCACCCAAGAGAATTGGATCGACAACCCCGATGCCATTCTGGCCATGGAACAGGACATGGATCCCAAGAAGCGCGGTAACATGGTTCGACGTCTTCCAGAATCCTTCCGACAGAAGCTTTACTTCCAATACCAGTCTCGCTATCAGATTCCTCGAGCCGAGTTCAATAAAATGTTGCAAGAAAACAATGACACAAAGCAAGACGTTCTTCGTCGACCTGAAGGTGGTCCCTTTGAGCGTCGTATCGCTAGTGATAACAATCTGCAGGAGGAAGTCTCGAACTCAATCTCGAAGACAATTCGCTGGCCCAGCACTGTCCAAACCATCAAAGGACCTTTGACTGCGGGCCTTGGCAAGAGCTGGAACTATATCAAAGAAAAGCGAGAGAAGCATAAAAAGTCCCAGACAATTGCCAAATCAGCCCCTGCAAAGTCTAACGCAAAGAAGGAGTAAACAATCATTTTGAAACGTACATATTTGCACGGCCCCGGGGATACTGGGAATTCAACCGGCAACCTACGGCGTTGTGGTGGCACTTGTATCTTATTCATTGATTCTGGCCTCTGCGTCTGAAGAAAAAAAAAGATAGTCATAAAGCATATAGACAAAGATTATCATCCAGGGGTTTTTCCTGCTACAAGACACATCAAATCGTCGTCAGTGTAGGTGTATAGTCTTCAATTGGTAAAAAAAATATATTCGCAGGTTGGAACAGCTGTAGAAAAAACGGAACTCGAAAATGTTTATGTATAGACATTTTGTTCAATGTTCGGTGTATTCATCTAACTCGATAGTAAACACAGCGGAGTATTACTATGTAAAATTCACAGATCAGAAATCCTCTTCCCTCCTCGCGTGGAAAATTCGCCGGTACGCCGTGCTGCCCATAATACAACTTTTTTGATTCGTTTGTGTGGTGCAGTCAAAAAGAAAGAAACAAAACTCCGTGCTCGATTCTCCCTGGCAGATTCTGCAACAAGTTCTGCCACAGCCATCAGAGCTAGGTCTTACAAGCCCCCATGTGGCAGCTATGGCAAGAATGCCGTCCGTATCTGAGAGGTCGAGACTGATATGCACGTGGGGTCTCTTGCCCAGCTTGGAAGTTTCCCTCGGTCAGATCAAAGGTAAGATACTTTCAATTGCTTCCCACCAAGAAAGCATGCAGAAACTTCATAAACGAAAAGCAATCCCAAGGTCCTTCGCAACCAATTTCTTTTCTTAGATAACCCATCGGTAAGACGCGTACCGACCCGCTGTCTCGGACTTGCGGATAATCTTGACTACCTGCCCACGGCGCAAACCCAAGTATCTAGCCACGGGATCGGAAACCTGCATACGGGGCAGCTGGGACTCCTTGAGTCTGTAGCGCTGCAACAGGCGAGCCTTCTCTTCGGGACTGAGCAGAACGTGCTTCGGCACAAGCTCGTGACGGGTGATGTTAACCAGCAGGTCCTGCTCCTGGAAGTGCTCGCAGATGCGACCTGGGACACCGCTCAGAAGGCGGACGGCAGAAGGAGAGATAGGGGTCTGTGTGATGAAGATGCCGGTGTGGAAGTTGCTCTCGTCGACAATGTGGTTGAAAGCGCGCACTTGCTTGGTTCCAACACCCGAGGAGTCGACACAGAAGTCGACGTAGATGGTTCCGCAATCGGGGGTAGGGTTGGGCTGCAGCTTGCTAGGAAGGGCTGTGTATTTCAGCTTCATTTCTTCGGTGGGGCGGGCTTGGATTTTCATCTTTTGACGCCTGGACAATTGAAGCTGCGTTAGCTTTCATTTTCATTTCCCGCTTTTTGGTGATATATGCCAGATTGGATTCCTGATTCAAGCAATTGTGCTCATGGCAGGTAATGAGATGAGATTGTGAGGGGATGCATACTCAGGGTACCCCATAGGATCGGCGTATTTGTTCCTGAAGTCGTTCAGCGAGATTTGCAGCTCTTCGTCGGAAACTTCGTAGCCCTATTTGTCACACCGGCGCAGTTATGGTAAGTCTTGGTTCGATTGGTGTATGCGACAGATACTCTGAAGCTTCAAACACTCATTTGAAGGACTTACTCGGTCTGAAAGCATCTCATAGACTGTCTTCCAAGTGCGCCAGAGTCGGGTCATCTCCTTGTCGGCCTCGTCGCCGCCGCGGTGCATGTCCCCGTCCATGATTGATTTAGCAAGCTGTAAATAAAATCAAGTAAGACAAGAAGATTAGAGAGAAAGCGGGACCCGCGATAACCCGAATCAAGGCAGAATCTCAAAGTGCTGGAGGTCGCGGAACCAAGAGAATGATAAGAGAAAAATCGGCGGGAACTTTCTGCCAGGCGAACACTAGTCAAAGCGGAGAAACTGACCGAACCGTTTTAATTCACCTTAGCCTCCTTTCCCCCTCGTGGGCTTCTTGGAATTTTTTTAAGGATTATTTCTTCATTGACTTTTGTTTTCTCTCCACCCAGAGAAGCTTTTCTTTTCTTTTCTTTCTTTTGCTTCTCCTAATTCATATACACAATGGCTGATACTGCCCCTGCTGTGGAGCCTCGGGTTAAGCCCACCAAGCCCGATGAGGAGGCCTACAAGACCAGTTTGGCCCAGGCTGAGAAGGAACACACTGATGCGCAGGAGAAGTTGGTAAGTGGCACTTGCCATTACTTTTTTTGACTTATATCTCTTGGTTCATCTTCACTTGGTGCGAATTGTGCGCAATCGCGGAAATACGTTCCATGACTGTTGCACTCGTGGCCTCATAACCAATTCTGCTTTATCACTTTGATATTTGAATTCCAGCACCTCGACAGTCTCATAAGTGATACGATACTAATTTGCGCTGAAAAATAGAACCAAATCAAGGCCAAGCTGGACATCGCCAAGCCCAACAACTCAGACTCGCCAACCGCCAAAAAGCAACAGGAACTCCGCGCCGAACTCTCATCCATCCGTCAGAAGCAGTCCGGCTTCAAGTCCTCCCGCTCCAGCACCCAGGAGAAGATCAATGCTCTCGAGTCCACCCTCAAGGCCCGCATTGCGGAGCAGAACAACTCCCGTGGAAAGATGTCATTCAAGAACGTCGAGGACGTCGACCGTGAGATCGCACGCCTCGAGAAGCAGGTCGATTCTGGTACTCTGCGTCTGGTTGATGAGCGCAAGGCGCTCTCTGACATCTCTCAGATGCGCAAGCAGCGCAAGAGCTTTGCCGGTCTGGACGAGGCCCAGAAGGGTATCAACGAGCTTAAGGCGCAGATCTCTGAGCTCAAGAAGACTCTCGACAACCCTGAGGCCAAGGCTCTGAGCGACAAGTACTCCGAGATCCAGAAGGAGTTGGATGCCATCAAGGCTGAGCAGGACGGTGTCTACAAGAACCTGAACTCCCTTCGTGACGAGCGTACCGCGTTGCGCAACGATCAGCAGAAGAAGTACACCGCCATCCGCGAGATTAAGGACAACTACTTCAAGGCCCGTCGTGCCTACAAGGAGTACGAGGACGAGGCTTGGCGTGTGCGCCGTGAGCGCCAGAAAACTGAGCGTGATGCTTTCGAGCGTGAGAAGCGCAAGAAGATTGCCGACAAGAAGCTCGAGGAGGCCTCTGCTCTGGCTTACACCGACGAGATCCTCACTGCTCAGGGTCTCATTCGTCACTTCGACCCCGCTTTCAACTTCGCCACTCTTGGTCTGGATGACAAGAAGGATGCTGGCAGCAACTTCCGTGCTGGTGTTGGTCGTACCGTCGATGACTCCGGTATCAAGGGTATGAAGGTTGTGCGCAAGGATGAGGAGGACTACTTCATCGGTGGCGGTGCCAGCAAGAAGGGCAAGAAGGGTAAGAAGGGCGGCGCTGCCGCCCCCGAGGCCACCAAGTTCAACATGAACGTTGGCATCATCGAGGAGTTCAGCAAGGTCAAGATCGATCCTCCCATGAACCAGGCCGATGTTCCTGCCGTCGTTGAGAAGCTGGCTGCCAAGATTACCGAGTGGAAGGGTTCCCAGGCTAGCAAAACCGAGGAGGTTAGTTTTAGTCCCTACTCCAATTTAGACACGATTGGACGCTAACATAATGCATCACAGAACATCAAGAAGGCCAAAGATGAGATCGCCCGCCTTGAGGAAGAAGAGGCCAAGATTGAGAAGGCCAGCACCAACGGTCGCAGTACCGATGCTGCCAAGAAGCCCGCTCAAGCCAATGGCGCCCCAACCGCGGAAGCCGAGCTGGCACAGGAGAACGATGCCGTCAAGGATGCCTCTGAGGAGCTGAAGAAGGCTTCTCTGGAGGACCAGGCATAGTTTATTCATAGGTGATTCTGTTGGTTCATTTCGCCTTTTTCATTTTTCCATATTTACATAGTTACAGTCTAGCATTGTGCCTAGCATTTGCCCCATTTCCTCTTGTCTCATCTGCATTTTAATTTTGCGTTCATACATTGGACAGCGTCCGTTCTGTTTACCCAAAAGCCAGAATCGATATCTCCTTTTCCTCAGACTATCCCATATTTCCCTCCGAATACCATATATAAGGCTCTATTATATACTGTTTCAAGTCTCCACGTCAATAATTCTGCTACCTAGTCCCGAGGCCCGATCATGATATAGACTGCCACCAACCAACCACTTAAAGATGGTGGCTCAGTCCCGAGGGTGCATGACTCATCCACTTGTCCCCGGAACTGCGCCACACTCCACTTTCTGCAGTCGATCCGCGCGGCTTGTACATCACCCTCCCTTCCAGCCTTTCCGTCCGCAAGCTTTTTTTCTCTCTCTTGCTTGCTCTTCATATCTTACCGGGCCACGACAAATCCTATTTACCTCGGGGTGCTGCATTTTACAGTCGCCCTCTATACCACGTTATAGATCTATATATCTTATCTCCACACCCGCAGATCAGTAAATCCTGCGACAGCGGCTCCACATTCAAGATCCTTCAATATGTCTTATAACAAGCCTGTACGTTTGACACCCACCACCGCCCAAGGTCCCCACCACATATCGGTTGATTCATTCAAAGCGCAAAGCACATTCCCATCTCATCTCACTAACTCAATGCTTTAATTAGACAAGCCCTCCCCCTTCCTACCCACAACCAGCCTACGGCAACCAAGGCGGCTATCAATCCCCGCCTCCCCAAGGCGCCGCAGGTGATTACTACGGCGGAGGCCAAGGAGGCCAAGGATACTACGGTCAACAGCAACAAGGCTACCCCCAACAACAGCAGGGATACTATGGCCAACAGCAAAACATGTACTATCCCCCGCAGCAGGGCTACCCACCTCAACAGCAAGGCGCATACGGCGGCGGTGATCGATTTGGAGGAGGCGGCGGTGGTCGTGGAGGCTCCGGAGCTGGTGGTATCTGTGCAGGTATAATGGCCGCGATGGCTTGTTGCTGCTGCTTGGATATCTTGTTCTAAGTGTGTGATCTTTTGATCGCCGGATGCGGATGATACGGATGTTCCTCGGTAGGGTGGGCGGGCTTAGGCCTGACTTGCTCATTTGGGATTGAGATGATATACGATTGATTGTTTTATGGGGTTTACGGTGAATACACTCTTGGACTTCTGTTTCTTTGGTTCTTTGGTTCTTTGATTTTTTCATTCGCTCTTTTGGTTTATCGGGCGTTTATGGAGACAGTTCTACGACTTTGGATTGCCCGGCTTGGCATTCTGTTACTTATCGGGTTTCTTTTCTTTCCTTTTCTTCTTTACCTTTTGGTCTAGGCACATATTTTGGGTCTATCAATTATCATTGGCGCAAAAAGACATGGCGTTAAACCCATGATTGGTATTACTACTCTTATACAATGCAATCGCAATCGCAATCGCCCTGTTTCACAGAACCAAGTGATATCCTCTTACAGAAATGTACGTTTACATTTACTAGTAGCAGTGGCATCGGTATGAAATGATACAAAGCCATTAAATCCGAAGGGACTATAAATTGTAAAAGAAAAGACATATATCCGCAACATGAATGAAATTACACAAACAATTGAATGTAATAAAACTTCCAGACAAGAAAATAAAAGGGTATCAAAGATGCCAAAACAATCCCACAAGTGAGCCTAATATCTACTCCCAAGCTCACTCTCACCACCATAATCCAACGGATTAATCGTCCTCGCACCAGACCGATGACTCCTAGCCCTTCGAGCCGGCCTCGTCGAAACAGACGAGATGGCAGAACTCTCCTCCTCCTCTACCTGAATGTAATCTCTTCCATCCGAAGTTGCAGTTCCAGTCATCGACTCCTCAACAATAATATTATCATCATCCCGCGGGTCAGGTCGTCTTCTATATCCGCCTCGTCGGTCCCTCTCCTCCACAACCTCGATGGCATCGTCTCGTCGTCTTGGGTACCGTCGTCCTTCTGTTACTACCACTTCCTCGTCGATTGATGATGAGCCGCCCCGAGCTAGACCGCCGGGGTTTAGGGCTAGGAAGGTTAGGTAGAGGATTAGGACGACGCCGCCTACGCTGCCGAGGACTATGCCTGCCACTGTGCCCGGGGGTGGGCTTGAGTTTAGACGGCCGTAGGTTGAGGGGATGGAGACTGTTGTGTAGCGTTTTTGGAGGTGGGGGGAGATGATGTTGTCGGCTTTTAGGGGGAAGAGGGTCGAGGGGGTAAGGTTTGTTGGGTCGAGGGGGCGATCCTCGGATGGAAGGGAGAGGATGTCCATTTTTGTGTTTGGATTGGAACTCGAGGGTTGGGTTGGTCGTTTGTTTGTGCTGGTGGGTTGGGTTGGTTGATCGGAGTAAGATTATCTGATAAGACTGCCCGGGTTGTATGTTGCACGGCTGAATATGTATGGATGCGGTGCAAGGTGACTGACTAGGTCTTGGATTATTTGAGAATGTCGTCTAGACCTGTCATTGAGGAAATAATGGAAGAAAAGAAGTGGAGGTGGAAGAAAAAACAGAAGGGAATGGGGGAAGATCTAGGATGTCCAAGTCGGTGGCTGGGGATCGGCAGTAGTGGGGCCAATTGTTTATCCTCGATCTATGGGGAACGACCAGACTCAACCCGCCTCATCTTTTCCAAGCAAATCACTCTCATTGAACTGAGACCTTCAAATTTATTTCTCTGCTCTATTTATTGAGTTTAAATCTTTACTCTCCCGGATACACAGTTCCACCTTGACGTCTAATCTCATCCATAATCTCCAGAATATGCATCGTCGTCGCCCACGGCACAATCCTGCTCTCCTTTCGTCCCTCAAGAACATCCAACGCAGTATTCTCAGCCTCCCACACGAACCCCCGTCCCACCTTAGGGAAAGTATATACCTTCTTCTCATAATCTTCTTTATCAAATAAAACCTTGTCCGCACTTCCGGGATCCTTTTGTCTCGCCCACACCGTAAACGACTCAGGAACAGAGGGCGCATCACCACTCACTTCAATATGTCCATTGGTACCATGGTAAACAGCAAAGATTCTGCTCGGAGCCCCCTTCGCCTTGGTAGTACAGCTTGATATCCCCTGACGACCATCGGGATACTCAAGAATAGCAACAGTACTAACCTCAATTCCATCTTCGTGTCTCTGCGAAGCCAGAATACGCGGCAAATCTGTATTCTCAGACCCCTTATCTTCAAGTCCACCCGCCAACCACGTAAGAGAGTAAACGCCAATATCAAGCAAGGACCCCGCACCAAGTGACAAATCCTTATAGCGAGATGTAGATGGTAGAGAGGGGATATCGAGCTCTACGGCGAAATCCGAGTAGACGCGGGTAATTTCTCCGATCACTTTATCCTGGTGCAGCAATTCTTGTAACTTTCGATATAAGGGTCTATGACGGAGCCACATTGCTTCGGCGATGTATACGTTCTTTTTCTTCGTCGCGTCGAATACTTCTCTCGCTTGTTGTGCGTTTATGGCGAACGATTTCTCACAGAGTATGTTTTTGCCTGCTGCTATGGCTTGCAGGCAGTCTCGGTAGTGGTACCCATGTGGAGTGCCGATGTACACGATATCGACGTTGGGGTCATTGTAGACTTTGTTGTATGAGTCGTAGAGCTGGGGGTTTTGGTTGGGGCAGTATTGTCTTGCAAATTTCTGGCCTTTCTCGAGACTTGATGAGCCGATTGATTGAATGATGTGCTTTACTTTGGCGTCGGGGCGGTCGAGGACGAGGTCTTCCACGAACCAGGAGGCTATTAGCCCGGTGGCTTTGGTGAGAGGGGTCAGTAATTGTTTCTCGGTGCAAGATGGGGATAACGGGATACATACTGATAATGCCCCAGCGGATAGTTGGTAGGTCAGCCATTTTGGATTGAGATCGCCATCTACTAGGAAGATTTCGGCGGTGATGAAGGAGCTAGGGGAAGACGAGATGCTTTTAAGCTCAAATTCGGGGGTTAATAATGGAGAAGTGGAGCTTTTAATGTAATCAAGAAGCACGAAGACTAATGATAAGCGTATTTCATTTCATTATTTTCTAATTGTTGGAACAAAATAATCGGAAAATCAAATCCGAATCGGAAAAGATGCGGGGAATCGCGTGGGGGTTTTCCCCAGAACAAGCGATGTCTACTATCTTTCATAGATCCTTTTTAAAAAGGATTGGCAATTGGAAAGGATCCACCCAAAGGTTCTGTTCACATTTTTATTTCAGGCAAATGAGGAAATTCTCTCCATTCCAGCATTGGAAGATGCACGATTCAAGGCCATTATTTCCTTATGCTTACGATAACCCCACATTACTCCAGTACGGGGGACAATAGCCATAATCGGGGGAAAGACCCCTTACATAAATGAATTTTACTGTCTATTATACAGCTACCTGAACTGTACGCTCTACATAGATAGAAAGCCAGGTGGAGAGACAAATGAAAAAGCAAATAGAAAGACAAATAGATAAATATCTTTTCCCCAATGAGTGCTAAAGTCCCCGTACTCGAGTCTACAACTGGAATCATTTAGGGTTACAAGGTCAAAATTAGATCACCTGCGCAGTAAGGCTACAAATCGATATTTCAATGTTCTCTAGATTGTAATTCTGTCATGTACTCGTATACACCTAGTTCAAGTTATGGTTTTTTTTAGTTGAACTCGGGCCGTAATGGAAGGAATTGTTTGGAATTACGGCTAAATTAAGTGTATGAACTGATGAGTATTGACAGAGGGAAAAAAGTATTGACAAGATGGTTACGGGGTTGGGTTCGTTAGTGAACCCGGGCGAAAAGCATTGATGGAGCCCAAAAAGCATTGACGAGGCTCAACTACCAATGACTGAGCTCAATTGCATTGGATATAAAAAAGGTAAAACACGAAAATCCGGTCATTGCTTCAAGTTGCACGCTACTAACTAAATTTCCTGTTCTGGCTCTATTCACAAATATTTCTTATCATGTTATATACGAATTCCATTCTCAGTTCGGACAATAGGTTCAATCAGTCCCTGATTGCCCCTGTGTGGTTTCTCGTTTCGCGGGTTTGATGCTATTCAGGTTCGTTCTTCCCGTTTAGGTAGCAGCCCTCTCCCATATACTGTGTTCCCAGCCACCCCCTCAGATACCAATACGTATCCCGATCTAGTATATCCGCGGATGTTTTTGAGAGGAGACAAATGCACCTCACAAAAGCGTCCAACGGATAAACTAAATAGAGTACAGTAACTTGTACATGAAGCGGCAACATTATAAAGGTGAGATTGCGCCAAGCGCGTCGAAGTCCCTGGCCTTTTATCTGTTCGTCCACTCTGTCCGTTCTACTCATTATCCGTCCGGTCTAGGTACGCATCTTTGTGCACCCAAATCCAGCAGAAAGCATCTGCCCATGTGATTTGAGTCCAAAGACGCCTGACCATATCCCGGACGAATAAAGAGTAGAACGCACAAACTGAGTGGAGTGAAGAGAACTGTTTCGACGGTTGGGATATTCTTTTGTTGTTTTTTGTATATGCTTTGTTCTATTCCTTCAAGTTACTCTGCGTCAATGCTGTACCAAAAGACGTGCAATACTATGCCTGAAGATTCGAGTATTATAGAGTATCCAGGCAGACTCTTGTGGGACTCGGGATGGGGGTCGGGGGGTTGGATAAGGAATAGACCAAAAAGCCCGAGTACGATCAACTGATAGTCCGTTCAGCCATTTCTGATAAGCGCTGTAACCCCCCGAGCAGGGGTCCGGGAGGGCGTAGCCCCCGGTAGCCTTGAGCGTATACCCGCCTGCCAGCATAGCCAGCCCTTCTGATGGGGACGCATCCGAAGGGCTGCTATGCTGGCAGGCAGGTATTCGGTCAAGGTCCTGGTCTGTTGTTTTGAGGTGTCGTCCTGGGGCGAAGATCGGCAGTAGGCTCCAAAATAAAATAAAAGTGACTGATCGATGGTAAGAATTAATGAGAGATGAAGACTGGATGGAGTGACAGTGAGCTGCTTAAATAACTTCCGTTGATACACTAATCGAGTATCAAGACTGAGTCATAGACGGATCGATTATTTGAGCTTTGTGTCTTATGGCGCAATTTTACTTCCTATGATTCCAGGGTTCTTTCAAGAGCATTCCGCTTACGACACTCGATCTTTGTTTGATAGAATTGTATCCTCGATTCTGGATAACGCTAGGTCTTCTTCCGGAATCTGGCTCGTAAGCGAAGTAAAGAGACAAAGAAGTTTCCATAGACTACAGGACTAATTCGGGCGACCTTTCTTGCTCGGTATTCCCATCCAATCGCCTCCGCAGTTTACCTTGATCCTAGTACTTGAATACTTGCCCAACAAGTCTTTCACTTAGATTCCACAATTTTTCGCCCTCGACCGAGTCCCGCGCCCAGCATTTGTAATTCTGGAAATCCACAATCTGGCTGTTTTCCAAATATCTTCCGTTTGCTATTATAGTTAGATTATTAGTGATTTAGTCATCAATGACAGCTCGAATTTGCTAGCTTACTCTCATTGGTAATTGAATCGTGAAATGCCGCAAAGACGTAAGTTGCAACTCCTTGTTCCTCTGTCTTGAATTTGAAGCCTCCATTAAACTGGGGCAGGCCAAGGTTGCACGCGATTTCACCTATATGGCTCTTTAGTAAAGGAATTCATGCGTTGGAATATCCTGCAAGATTATGTAGCTGTTCGTACCTAGTCCTTCCCAGTCACCTTTCCCAAGGTGTGAACTTAGATTAGTGCTTCCGATAGCACCTGGATGCAGGCTCACAGAAATTACTCCCATGTTCGCCAATCGTGCGGCGAGCGCTTGAGAGAAGAGAATGTTTGCCGATTTAGATTGACCGTAGGCGTACCATCGATTGTAGTATTGACCATCCTAGTAAATTGATTAGCTTTCCTCGTGAAGAATGACCTTGTGAGGTTACAAGATCACCAGATTGTCAGAATGGATGTACCCCGAAGTTCCAGTCTTCGAATCTCACACGAGACAACTCATGTCCATTACTCGAGACATTCACTACACGACTGGTGCGGTGACCATCTTCCGAGATCAACTTTCCGATGATCAGATTCGTAAACAAGAAATGTCCAACATGGTTCGTTCCAAATTGTAGCTCGATGCCCTCCACTGTTTTGCCCCACGGCACGGCCATCAAACCTGCACTATTAAGGAGCACATCGATATGAGGGACATCTTCATAGGCATTAACCTCTTTTGCAGCTTCACGAATCTTATCCTGAGAGGCCAAATCAAGAGTAAGCAGTCGCGTGACGACTTCAGGTGCTGTATCTTTGATCGAAGCGACAACTGGTTCTAACTTGGAAGTATCACGAGAAGCGAGAATGATCATAGAGGGTCCATGAACAGCGATTGTCCTTGCAAATTCAGCCGCAAGACTGGAGGGAGATGGGCCGGTGATTAGGATGATTTTGCCTTGAATTGCATCAGAGCAAGCCGAGGCAACTTCTTGGCCAGTGGTTTCGAAGCCGAAGGTAGACATTGTGACTTTGATATCTTAGATGGGAGTGGTAGAGAAATCTGAATAGATTGAATTGATGGACTGGATGAATATTGGAATCATACATGGGGTTTCTGGATGATTTTATACATTGCGTGCAAACGCTGGCTCTTTAGTGTCTCTCCATCTCACGTTCTATACTTCTGGGCCCTGGATAGTTGATCGACGATCATTTCCCGTTTGTGTGGATTTTAAGAGGACTGGTACCCTGATTGGGCTTAGCGCCTCGGAGCTAAGTTGTTAACTCCTAAAACTACGAGCGAACAATTATTCGTCTACTTCTTCTTTCGATCATTTTTTATTTCCATATACTTCCTAAAACAATCCTAGTAAGAACGAGAGCAAAGCATTATGTCCTCGACAGAAGTGATCTTTCCGGTGTGGCGTCTTGACGATAACAGTCCGCCTTGCGTCTTCCGCTACGATGCCGGCCCCACTGCTTCGAAGGCTCCGAAGAAAAGAGGCAGGCCGAAAGGTAGTACGTATCGATAACAAAGATTCTTCGGCTCTTGATGTCACATCATGAATGCTGACTGGCTCTTCAGGTACAAAGCAGCCTGTCGCATTAAAGAAAATTGGTCAACCAGCGCGATCGGGTCCAAGTCTCCAAAACAAGTTCCATTTTATCCAGGTGGATGGCCCCTCTGGTCTTGCCGATGCTGGCCATCGAAAGACCATAAGAAGAGAGGTCATGATCAATCATATCTACCGTGATACGAAACTGATTCATAGAGGAAAAGGTTCCTCAGCATCGGTCGTTCGGGATCCGTGTTCGCAGATCGGGGGTGTGGATCCGTTTAACACATTACCTATCCATTTCGAGCCATATATGCATGACCTTTTAAAGTACTGTAAGTTATGAGCACAGAAATACGGAAGATTTTCTGTGACCCCACTAATTGGGAACACAGACATTACTGAGGGATGGCAGAAGTACTACTCTATTGAACGACAAACCACATTCAACCCCATCACAGAGTACTGGCTTTCTCTATTTATGGAAGACGATGCATTTTTGCATACAATTTTGGGATGTGCGAATTCTCATTACACGCCTGCTGGAATAGACTATGATTCTCTCGCGACGGTTAAACATTTGAATGCTGCAATCGCAATAGTGAACAGACGCATTCAAAATGATGAAGTTCCTACTGATGCAACTCTCGTCGTTATCTCCACTATGGCGCTTATAGAGGTAATTTTATGGAACTCGTTTGTTTGTTTCATTCAAGCTAATACCGAATCAGAAACGTCGCGGCTATGAGGATCATTGGAGTATCCATATGAAAGGACTGCAAAAGTTAATCGGTCTTCGCGGCGGTTTGAGCTCGCTGAAGTCACAGCCTCTCGCAATGGGAAAACTATATCGGTAAGTATCCATCTCATTCATATGTATGATCTGCGTTCACTAACGAGTGTATGTCTTTCTCAAGTGCGGATCTAGTGGGCTCCATAGATGCGGTTCAGACTCCATACTTCTCCAATCCTGGCATTTTAATTTCCGTGGATCCACAAATCGACTCCCTCAGCATTGGCTTCCAAAGACTAAACGATATCAATCCATTGGGCGATACTTTAGTCTCGTGTATTCAAACTACAGCCAGCATCAAAGTGTCATTAAAGAAACTGAACAAGACAAGTGATCTTACTGAAGCAGCTACAGCTCGCTACTGGACAACAGCGACACAATACACGTTGCTCTCAACAACATATTCGAATCCGATTCTTGAAATGTGCCGACTCGCCTTACTTCTGTTTACAGAAGAGTTGGTGAATCAAAGTGTGCCATTTCTTTTCACATACGAAACTTTGATAGGGAAGCTTTTAGTTATTTATGCATCTTCTGCGTCTTCTGCGTCTTCTGCGCCAGAGTCAATATCTCATTCAGTGGGATGCTATCTTCCACCGGATCTGAGGCTTTGGGCATTTCTTCTTGCTGTGAACTGCACGACTGTGGAATTGACGCGCAAAGTCTGCCTTGGTATTGTTGCTGGCGCTTTGCTAGAGATGGGGATAAGCGATGACAAAGCTCTACGATTCACTCTTGAAGAACTTTTATGGGATTCTGCCCTCGAGCAGGATAAATCATTAGATATCTGGTCAGATATGCAACAGGATGAATATGAAAACCATAGATTTGATTACTAGCCTAGACTACCCTTCTTCAATACTAGTATGATCACAATGCCCCCAGTTACGCATGCATGCCTAATAAGCACCAGCACGCTTCGTCCATTTAGGCTGGTCAACAGACTCGATACTGCTCAAAGCAGTGAGGATCGGGTGCTCGCCCGTGAGTTCTAAGTCATCCAGCTTAGCACCATCATCACCCTGAGCCCATAAGCTCAAAGCAAGCCAGTTAGTACCATGGTAGTTAAGAATACCCTCAGGAACAGGGTAGGCAATCTGAGGACCGATGTTGTTGACATATTTTCCATACTGGTAGCCATTGACGTAAAGTTGCACGCGGTACTCAGGTGGCGGCGAAGTCGAGTTCTTGAAGTTGAAGGACAGAGGAATATCATAACCTTGTGGGAGATCCAGATCAAAACTGGTACTGTAGAATCGAATGCCGGGCGCCGAGAGACCAGTCCATGGGCTGCTGGATTTCCAGCTCTGGCTTGGAGGGGAGGGCTGGTGGAAACCTTGACGCTCGGCGTAGAGGCCACCCTCGTTGAGAGGACCACGGATAAGATCGCTGTAGTCCTCGCCACCTAGGTTACCTGTCAACTTCCAGGTGATGGCATCGGCATCCCGGCCGGAGAGTGTGTAGTTGAGGATACCGCGAGGATCCTTCATTTCCTCGCTGCCGACGGTCCAGTCCTCGTCTAGACCCATGTTGTCAATTACGACTGTGAGTACGTAGTTCTTTCCGGATTTCAAGGTTGGGAGTGTGTAGGTGGCGTTGTAGTCTTCTGAAATACTGTTGCCAGCCCAAGAGCCAACGAAAGTCTCGTTGACCCAGACAGAGCCGCCGAAGGCGGTACCACCCTGGAAATGGACAAAGAAGGATGACTCTTTTCCAGTAGACTTAAAAGAGCCACGGTAAAGAAGGTAACCGGTGTGGAAGCCGTAGTCAGATGAGTACAAAGAAGTGGGCGTCTTGAGAGGGTTGACGCTGTTGTTTGTGTATGAGTGATCGGCCTTGACCCAGGCAGAGTCGTCGTAGGAGTTTTGAATCTCAGGCAGAGTATCAATGTACTTCCACTTCAGGTTCTTCAGAGTTGGAAGCTCAACCTTGGGCGCAGTGTAGCTGACGCTTGTGGACCAGATGCCATTCTTGTCAGTCTTTATTTGTGCCTTCTTGCCATTGATGACAAGGGTCTTCGCTTTCGATGGTGCTCCGAACACCTCGATCGATGTAGTTGCGTTGAAGTCAGCAGTGAGATGGAGCTCACTTCCTGACAGGTAAGCTGTTCGCACGAGATAACCAGCATTGACAATGATAGATGATGCAACAGTCGCCTCGGTGCTGTATCCGGGGTTTGTACCCGAAGAGGGAGCCTGTGGAACCCAGTAGTTGTAGGCATCGGAGCGATCTTAATCCCATTCAATTAGCAATTTTTCATTTGTCAAGGGCGACCGATAATGTCTGACTTACCAAGCAACAAGACCTTGAGATCACCAATCTGGACGATACGACGAGTAGCAGAAACATCCCAGCCAACAACAATTGCCTTGCCCACTTTCTTGGAAGTGATACCAGATGATGATCCCTCTACAACAGTAGCCTTGGATGCACCAGAGACTGCAAATTCATGGTGCTCACCGACGTCACCGTAGAGAACAAGTACCTTCTCGTCGTTGAAGGACTTCCAGGTGAACACTTCACCGGACGAGTAGAGGATGTTAGTACCCGCCACATCGTAGTCCACAACGTGGATCTTCGAGTCACGGTTGCCCAAGGTGAGGCTACCACCAAGCTGGGGAATAGTAACTTGGCCAGCACTAGTGCTAACCTTCAGCTTGTAGTCAGTGGACGATTCGCTAGTATAATCGTTGTGTCGAACGACATAGAACGAAGTGTCCGAGCTACTGTTTCCAAGCAGAGGAGTAACAGCAATATCTGAGCTTGTTGTGTACTTGGTGGTACTCAAGTTACCAGGAGTCGTCGTCAGATAAGCAGGAGACACCTTCTGGAAATTTCCGATGAGCTTAAGCTCGCTGTACTTTTGGCGAGTGATGTTGCGAGTCTCGGTAATGGCAGAGCCATAGTCATAGGATGTGTAGCCCCCGGGGTGGCCCAGATTTCCCCAGTTAGTTCCTCCGAAAATCTATGAAGTGTTAGTTTTGTTATTAGTTTTGGTATCGGGAACCTCATGGATAAGTCATACCATGTAAAGATTCATGAAAGCAGCACGGAAGCTGAAGTTGTTCTTGTAGAAGACCCGCTCAAATTGATAGTTCAGAAGCTCAGAGCAGGCAAGGAAACCACTACCTCCCCAGGGGTCGAAGGCGCCACCTTGAAACTGTGCGTTATTAGCATTTTTCACTCCCCACCTATCTGTGAGATAAAACATACCTCGACAAGGGAGTACGGGGTGCTCGGGCTTTGCTCCTCATGCAAGGTCCAAAAGTTGGTTGGCAGACTACCACTAGGCCAGGTGTATGGGTTGGCACAGTCGAATCCAAGGGGGTAGCTATCATGACCATAGATATCAACGGCTCCTGCTCCACTTCCAGGAGCATCGAGTCCCTGAGGCGAGGCATCGTTGCTCATCAGCGGGACGACGATACCAGCATTGCGAGCTTGATTTTCAACATATTGCATGTATTCCCCATCGGGGAAATCAGTGTCACCACAGCAGGCCCCCGAGTACTCATTCTCGGGTTGGTAAAGAATGATCGGACCGCCATTGGTAATCTGAGCCTTGGCAACAGTAGCAGCGGCATTGGACATATAGCTATAGACCTTTTGTTAGCACTAGTATTTTGTGAACCGAGTCACATCCCATACTTATCAGTTGCTTCCAGATAGGCAGGAGAGCTTGTTCGCAGAGTCCCATTGACTCGCTGTAGCCAACCCGGGAAACCACCTCCTGAAACCTCAGCATTGATATAAGGACCAGGGCGAGCGAGCAGATAAATCCCAGCCTCGGAAGCAGCATCGAAGAATTTATCGAGGTCAAAAATACCGTCAGCTCGGTAGTGACCAGGCTTGCCCTCCAGAAGAGCCCAATCGATGTAGAAGGATACACAATTGAAACCGAGGGCCTTGACCTTTTGGAAAATATCAATGTATAGCGATGCAACGGGGAGACTGTAGTAAAAGGTAGGTATTAGCACTGTAGCCAAAGAGGATGTCCAATTCAAGGCTATGAAACTTACCGGTAGGGGTGGATTTCTCCACTGAAGAGCATGAGTCGCTCGCCATTGATGAAGAGCGACTTGTCATCCCAAGTAACCTGAAAAAGCCACGCGTTAGCAAATAAAACCGTAAACAAGACAATGGCATTGTATCCTCAACCCACATATTTCTGGAGCAAAGCCCGTTTCTCAGGATCCGGGTGCTCCCTAATGCTAAACCCATTCAGCTTATGGCTAATAGCAGCGCCAGCAGCCTGAGCCGCCAGCGCCGACACAGCCCAAACGGACAAGAGCTTCATCGCTGCCCGAATGTGAATTCAATCAGACGATTGAGAAGACAAACAAAGAGGGCGGGATTTCTACTTTTTTTCCCTTTCCTATTCTTTTCTCCGAGGAATGCATGCAAGGGATCATCGCCATTCTTATTTATAAGAGAGCAAACATCGTCGCATGGTACTTTGTGCTTCCATCTGGTCAAGATCGACAAACAAATTCAAACTAGTCACGGATAATTACCACTCGGGGGATCACTCGGAGGATCGAATGCCGATGGACGAGCCATTTTCATAGCTTCTAATGGCGGCACGTCCTTCATCGACAGGAGTAAAGCGGGGGTGGTGCTGTGTTCTTTTGCCGAGCTCCGCTCGTGCATGCAGGCTAGAGCATGAGAAATACACCGTCGTAGAGAAGTGGAGTGCATGAGTGACGTGCAAGGTAACCGGGGTGAAGATCGGTCAGCCCATGTCTGTGCTGCGGGGGCTCCGCTGCAATTTTTCCGCTTATTGCATAGTTTGTTTTAGGGTCTGAGAGCTAATTTCAGGATGAATTGGAACCTTTTGAATTGGATACATTTTGATTTATCGAGTTCCTTGCAGAAATATTTTGATCTGCAGTACACATGGTGTAGATTTGGGAGATGCTCCGAACTAACCGAACTACAAAAATCCTAGTACATATTATAGTAGATCTATACACAGGATAGGTACTACTAGTAGATATGCCCCCCATGTTTCGACGAAAAGGGCAATGTTTAAATCTCCGTTGAACCCCGCATCATGATCATACTTCGGAAACAAGAAACGGTCCTTGCACCATATTTTAGATTAAATGGAAAAAGCCCCTGCGGGGGACGGAGAGAATAATATCCTCACGAAATTAACCGGGACCGAAGATTCCCCGAGAAGGCATCCCACGATGCAGATCGCTTTGACGCGAGCCCGGGTAAAGTTTTAAGGCATCTAGATTTGATGCATACTAAGAACCTTAGAAGAAAGGCTCTCAAACTTGAAGGTTCTGAACTTCGGGGTATATAGAGCAAATTCATGCCCAAGGGTTTAAACCTTATATTTCTTTCGTCTTGGTGGAAATCAATGAAATTCAATTAAACCGCGTTTTCAAAGCATATGGAAATCATATTTGATATCAAGACTGTAAATGTGCAAGACTTTTCTGCAAATAAAAGAAATTTCGTACATGTGTATTCTAAACAGTTGTGTTGAATCGATCCTCCTCATCATTGGCCTTGCTATAGGTCTCACGGCTCTCTACGTGCTCTTGCTCATCCTGTCCAATCTGAATGTTCTCGTTCTTGAGCGCTACGTCCTCGGCCTCAGCGGTAGGCTCGACAGGTGTCTCCGCACCTGAGACCTCCGGAGTCGAGGTGTTTCCAGCAGGCTTGTTCTTGGGGAAGTCGCCCGCTGGGTTAACAAGGGGAGTGGTGTCGTTGTAGATACGCAGCAGCATCGCACGACGCTCCTCCTTGGGAAGCATGAGGTTCAAGGAGAAGAGAGAACGCCACAGAGGCAAAACCATGCGTTCACTGTAAATGTCAGTACTTATTCGTAATATATTTTTTTGGATTGTAGATGCAAGGAACTTACGTGAAACCATCTGGCTGGCCATTAGGCTCGACGCGAAGGATACTGCAGCCCATTGAGACATCGCGCACACGCTCGCCAATCTCGCCCAGGTTCTTCCAGCCATCATCGCTGATCTTGGGGAACATCTCAATGAGAAGCTTGCGAAGAGTCTCCTTCTGTGTCAGGACGACGGAGCGGGCGGGACCCAGCCAGGGCTCGATGATCTTCAATCCGTCGGTCTGAATACGCCAGCGGCAGACATCCGAGCGCTGAGCATCTTGCTTCACGAACATCTTCACACCGCAGTGGACGAACTTCATACCGGTTCCCTCGTTCATAGAAAGGATCTCACGTGCCAGAGCACTGGTGTAGTAAACTGTTCTTGAGGGGTTGGCTTCAGCATTGCGAACCATGAAACGATCGCGAGGGAAGCGGTCAGAAAGCTCGTAGAACTTAAAGATTGGGTCAAGTTCTTCATGGCTGGAATCCAGGTATTTATAAGGATCCTCCTGGGGCTGCTTCTTCTTCAAAGGCTTATCCGCCAGGGGTGCAGCTGAGCTGTCGCCGGCATCGCCAGTTGGCTTGTGAACCGGACGGTCGCCAATAAGGGCTTCGGTGCCATCTTCGAGCTTGGTCTTCTTAGCTGGGAGCGCTTCCTCCAGGTCCTCTGCGCCACGCTTAACGGGAACGGTAGCTTCGGATGCATCAAGAGTTGCAGAGTACGGGAGCTGGTTTGTTGCTTCAGCCACGGACTCGTTCTTCGCAAGATCTCCCTTAGTCTCCGGATCAAGCTCAGCAACACCATCAAGGGAGTCGAGCTTCTGGTAAGGCTCGCTGTCGCTGTTCTTGCGGGCGTCAAGCTCCGTGACCAGAGCAGCCACTGGGGTCTTAGTGACCTTAATGACGTTAGTGGTGTCCTCAGGCTTGGCCTTAATCTCAGCCGCCTTCTCGAGAACAGTGATGAAGAAGCCACCAGTGTTCTGCAGGTGAGGGTAAACACGCATGCAGCGCTCGAGGGGCAGATCGGCAGTCTCGCCACTGGGCGGGAACAGGCTCTCAGAGAATCGGGCTAAGCCCTCGGTTCCCTGGGATTCCTTGTGGTCCACGACCTCATTCCAGTTGTTCCAGATACGACCTTCGCGATCCATGACCTTCCAGCTCTTCAGACCATTCTTGCGCTTCAAGCCGGGCAGCTCTTGGCTACAGTCAATGATCTTGACATTGACAGCTCCACCGCAGCGCTCAATGGCAGAGGCAACAACGGCCTCGTTCTCAATGGGGTTCAGACTGCAAGTAGAGTAGACAACACGTCCACCCACCTTGAGCATTTGCAAGGCACGAACCAAAATGCGCACCTGTGTGGTGTGAAGGCCAAGACCGTTGGAGGGGTTCCAGTCCTTCCACACATTATAGTTCTTACGAGCAGTACCGTCACCTGAGCAAGGCACATCGGCAAGAATGCGATCGAACTTTAAGTACCGGTTCTTGGGTGGCTTGCCATCCGTAGAGGGAGTAGGAGTAAGCTTGATAGATGGGTACATAGTAGCATCGTGGTTGGTAACGATCAGATTGGGCGAGCTCAAACGCTTCATCTGGTGAATAAGCATGTGTGAACGCTTGTAGTCGCTGTCGTTGGCGATCAAAAGACCAGTGGTACGACCATCGTCGTTCAATCCCTCCGGGCCCAGAGGCTCGGGACCAGCAGTGCCCTCACTGATCTTCTTGCCAGCAGCCAGAATAGAGTCTTCTTCACCGGCGTGGATAAGCTCCATCAACTGGCACGACTTGCTACCTGGGGCAGCACACATGTCCAAGCAGGTCATACCAGGACGGAGATCCATGAGGAGAGGAGGAATCATGCTAACAATCTCCTGACGACTGATGTTTCCGACTTCGGTCTCGGCGACAAGGAACTTCTGGAAGGAAGAGAAGGGAGCAAAGCGGCGAATGACTTGCTTGGGAGTTGTCATAGACCAAGCAAGCTGATCAGGGTACCATGAGACTGGCTGCGGGGGCTCGACGAATTCACCCTCATATTTGATGGAAGTGATCTTGGGAATGAAGTGGTCTCTTAAACGTTCCTGGACAGCAAGGGCGTGTCTATAATAAAGCGTAATGGTTAGAAACCAGTCAAATGTTGCGGGGGCAGTATCAGCGTTAAAGTGGGATGGGAGACTTGGAACCTACCCACGAGAACCTGTAAAGCGGAAGCTGTTGGGCAAATCGCGCTTCAGAGAGGCCCAGAACTCCTCGCGCTCTTCGTCTGGAATGAATTCCGGCTCATTGTAGTAGCGCTCGAACTTCTCGTTCGATCTTTCGGCCGTGGCCCAGGCGATGCGACGGTCGCCGCCGCCGCCGCCTCCACGGTTACCACCACGACCGAACTGGACAAGAAACAGAGATTAGTTGAACTGGACACTGATATTCGAGGAAAGGGAAGGATATTCATACCTTTTTTCCGCCTCGTTTACCCATTGTGAATGTAGATTGTTGAGGATACAGACAAGCTCTACGTCAAAAAAAATATCGGCGATTGAGATGATGCGCTCGATTAGGTAATCGCGACATTACATTTTGTCTGCAATTTCTATTGAGGAACATTTCTAGCTGAAAAGTAGCTCATAGATTAAAGAAAATAGAGAGAAAAGAAAGGCTTAATAAAAGGTCTAGATAGCGTTATATGTACGAGATAATTTTGATTGAGACGCAGTTCACAACAAAAGAAACAAAGAAGATAGTTTCGCCCATCACTTCGTCAGTGACAGACCGTATAGTCTACTATGGCAAACCATTAATTGCTATTTCACACACAAATCAGGGTCTAAAAACAACCCAGGGCAATGATTGATAGTACATTCAAACCAAACCCCAAAAGCAATCGCTAAAGGGCTGTCTTTTCGCAGTCACAAGCATCGGAAAACTTAAGAAAGGTTACGAGACATATCAGCACGGATGCGCTGGTAGTCGAAGATACCCTCAACGCTGCCGACAGCGCTCATGGCAAGATCGCGGTCCCACAGCTTGCGGGTGGCGAAGTCCATAACGTCCTTCTCGGTGATCTGGCTGACGACACGCTCAACATCCTCGGGGCTGAGGCGGCGGCCAGTGGTGATGATTTGACGACCAATGTCCTCGGCAACGGCGGTGGTGCCGTCGAGAGAGAGGAGGATGGAGGCCTTAAGCTGGGCCTTGGCGCGCTCAACCTCGGCGGGGGTGACGCTGTTGCACAGACGAGACCACTCACGGAGAGTGAAGTGGATCAGGTCATCCAGCTGGGTGAGGTTCTCGGAAACCAGGTAGATACCCCAGAGACTACATTTCAATAAAAGGTTAGTTCTTTTCCTTGTAACCACCTGCGATGTTTGCAAACTTACCCAGTGTCGCTGTAGCTGGTGGAGAAGCTCATGAAGCTGTTAGCGAGCTGGTGCTTGCTAACGTGGGAGCTGAGCTTGCTGCCCAGGAAGGGGGACTGGCCCATAGCACGGTCCCAGTTTCCGACGATGGCCTGGGTGACCAAGGCAGTGAAGTAGTCGTCATCCTTCCAGCTAACACCCTCAACGGCGAGAGCGATGTGAGCGGAGGGAATGGTGTCGTCACGGAGACGGACCTCGGAGCCAATGAACTCGGGGGTGCGCTTCATCTCAGCGGTGAGAGCCTGGGCAGCAGAGGTAGGGGGCTTGCTGGGGAGGCTACCGAAGTGCTCCTCGGCGAGACGGACAAGCTGCTCGTGGGGGATACCTCCAGCACCGACCAGAACCATGCGGTCAGCAGTGTAGTTGGTCTTAATGTAGTCGGTCAGGTTGTCACGGGAGATGGTCTGGATGTTCTCCTTGGGGCCGAGGATAGTGCGGCCAAGGGGCTGGCCCTGGTAAGCAGTGGCGTGCAGGTGGTCGAAGACAACCTCCTCGAGCTGCTTGTCAACCTCCTCCTGCTCGCGCAGGATCACATCACGCTCACGCTCGATGGCGCCGGACTCGAGCTTGGAGTTCTGGAGGATATCGGAGAGGATGTCGACGGCCTTGGGGACATCGGCGTTGAAGGACTTGGCGTAGTATACGGTGTTCTCGCGCTGTTTTCCTGATTAGCGTTGGTTTGATTGATGTGCATATTAGGCTTTCCGGTCGTACCGAGGTGTAGGCGTTAAGGTGAGCGCCCATGTTCTCGATCTCGAGCTCCAATTGGTGCTGCGAGCGCTTGTTGGTACCCTATAACATCCATGTTAATATTATTTCTATTTTCGTCTTCGTAGGGATCGATGGATTCGAACCTTGAAGGCAAGGTGCTCCAGGAAGTGAGCAGTTCCGTTGGTCTTGTCAGTCTCTGACCGGCTACCGGCATCGATCCACACGCCGACAGTGGAGGTTTGAGCCCATGGTGAGTGCTCAGTGGCGATCTAGAAGTTATTAGAGATGCATTGAAGGCATTGATTCGGGTGTCCGCGCATACCGTGAATCCGTTAGAGAGGGTGGTGGACTGAGTGGTGGAAGGCAGAGTAACGGGTGAAGCAAAGCCTCGCTTGACGGGCTGGATAGACTTCAGAGCCGCCTTGCTCCGGAGAGCCTGGTTAAGGTTGAATGCTAGGCGCCGGGAAGCCATTGCGGGTGTATAGAGTGGGTGGGAGGGGGGATGGGGATGGAGAAAAGAGCTGGAGTCGCCCTGAGGTTGAAGTTCGGAAGTCAAATTGTTCGCCCGTCGCGCCAGCCAATCACATGACCCGCTTTTCCAAACCGCCATTTTCGTCCCGATTACTCCCTTAAGTCTTCGTTAAAGGTGTATATATTTGATGGAAATTACATTTTTGAGTTACTTGGACTACTAGGAACATCCAGTGTTTGTTTTTAACAATATTAAACTCGGATTTAAGCAAATTCGTCGTTTACTCGACGTGCTATGCTAATCATCTCATATCCGGCCATATTCATTGGTTCTCCGGTCTCGCTTCTCCTGAACACTCAATTCTAATCATACAAATGCACTAGCAAAGTGCTTCACATTTTCCTCCATGGAGATATCTGGTGAAAACCCAAGCTTGAACGCTCTCTCATTAGAGAACTCAGGTGTCCACGTTTGCACAATCTTGTCAACAGCAGCATCATACTTCTCCTCAACCAGAGCCCGGCGCTCCTTACCACCAACAGCCTCCAGCGCATCCAGCATCTGCTGCACATTAACCTTCAACCCAGGAAGATTGACAGAGCGCGAGATACCAAAGTCCTCGGCAGGGACGTCGCGTGCATGAATTAAGTTCTTAACAATAGTATGCGGCGAGCAAATCCACATCTCAACGTCCCTCTTGACTGGCAAAATAGCTTTCTTCCCATGAAACGGCTCGCGAATAATGTCGCTTGCAAAACTGCTTGCAGCTTGTGTTGGGGCACCCGCGCGAACGGTTACGGTTGGAAGTCTCACTGAGCGGCCATCAATGAACCCACGACGAGAGTAGTCAGTTACCAGGGTCTCGATTATTAACTTCTGTGACCCATAGGAGGTTGAAGGTACGGGCGGGAAATTGAATTCGTCGGGGAGGAGCCCGGGTGGCGCAAGTCCGTAGACGGCGAGGGAAGATGTGAAGACTACTTTCACGCCGGGCATGGTAGTGCGTAGTCGGTCAAGAATGTATCGTGTTGAATCGAGGTTGACTCGAGTTCCTAGCTCGAAGTTCGCCTCCGCGCCGCTGGACATGATTCCATGAAGAAGGTAGACTGTCTCATAGGGGTGCGAGGTGCTAATTAATTCGTCTACCTCTTTCGGTGAGGTGAGATCTGCGCGTACGCAGTTCAGGCGATCGGCATGCTGTGTTGCAGACTTGGGAACTGCGGGCTGGACAACATCGGTGATCGTAACTGTAGTGGAGGAGGGCGTTTGAGCGAGGAAAGCAGCGGCCAGTTCTTGTCCGACGTAACCACCGGCACCAGTAATTAAGATAGACATATTGGGGTTTGATAGACCAGCTATGTGATGTTCAAAGCACAAGAGGGTCGGATAGAATCAATCGATTCGGGTTGAACACGAGCGCATCCATTGCGTTATATAGTGGCACTCGATGAGAACCCCGCGGGGGTCCTGCGGTGGGACCGAATCCTCCCCCACGTTCACTATTCTCAGTTGACATAATATCAACCAATGAATAATGCTCTATGTTAGAATCTAAGCTCGGAGCCTTCGAATCTCCTCATGCACGCAGTATTTCCGAGCCTGTGACTGGAAACTTGGCCGGTATTCGATCTCGGGGAGAAAGCCGAGTGCCGAATAGTTGGCACTCCTCGCGGGACAAGTCCGAGAAGGTTTGGCCTTCTTGCGCAGTAGTCGAGATCTTGAAAGTTTACTGACAGATGATGAGATCAAAATGGAAAATTCTAAGGAGTAAGATGTTTCCACGTAACACGATGCTTTCCATGAGACTGTGCCATGGTATTGGGCCCAAGACTTTGTGGTAGCTATACTACGGAGAGTATCTTTATAAGACTATTTATTATCTTCTCTTCGTTTTAATTCAAGTTAGTTATATACTATAGCCATCTCTAACTAGCTCGCCAATTTTGTGGTATTTTGTATCTATATATTTCAATATATTTTTATAACTATTGTGTAAGACCATAGAGCTGGGGAACCCCCAAGGACATCAAGTAACATTTTACCACTAGGGCAAAAGTCTACTGTATCTGGCTTCTGCCAGATACTCCCCAGGTCCACTATGAATACCATACTTAGTACATATCTTTCCTGTAGGCCACCCGTTATGGCGTGTCCTTACATATTGTTTAATATAATAGATCTTGTATTATTGTAAGAACTCGAGAAAGAAGATAACTTTCTGTGTATCTAACGAAAAGCTTGGAAGTATTAGAGATGGAAAAAAGAAAGAAGGGAGGAAAGCTCCCTCGTATTATCGTATAGAAAAAAAGGAATAGACGGGTTCTGGGTCATATAATAAACATGTAACGTGACTGAAAGCGATATATAAACTATCTTCATGTTTTCTTCCTCCATAGTCAATATCATCGTATTCGTACACACTACTTTCGGTACTGCTAGTTCAGACCATCTAACACTCAGGGAATTAACTCCTTTTCGCTACTTTTGCATCCGCAGCTTTGCTTATGATGGGATGAGAGGGTGCATCCATGCGCGGCAGTAGGCCGGCGGTGCATTCTGCCCGCCCTTCGGTTAGATAGCTAGTGAGAGATGGAAAGAATAGCTTCCCACCACGACCACCATTCCGAGCATCGAAATACAGCCGTATCTTCCTCGGTTTTCCTCGCCCTACGTACATGCATAGTGCCTGTTACTAGCGCCATCAGCTTAGCTTAGAATCTGTCTTCTAGGGGTAGCTTAATCAATACGTTTCCCCCCGTCTTTCTTTCTTTTTTGGGAAAACCAGGTAGGCATTTCAGTAGTAGCTACACCTCACGAAACGCGACGTCGAGACTTGTATCTGACGACTACTACTACTACGTCCATCTTGGACTGCGACATATCCTCAAACTATCCGCACTAGCGTAACCCTCGCTTACCTTTCCTTAACTTAGCTAATTTATACAGTTTTATTGAGTATCATTTACTAGGCTGCAATATCTGTAACATCTCAAAATTAATATCTTAATATCTTACCCATGCTGGTGTACTGGAATACAAGGTGGAAGCTACAAAGTAGGCACCGAATACCCAAGGCAACATGTTATCCACAGCATATAAAAATTGTTATGACTACTAGTATGTTTTGCAAGAAACGCATATTACTGGCGTCTCGTGCTCTAATACTAGAATAATTTCCTCGGGCTTCTGAATACCTCGACTGTTATACAGCAGACTTTACAAGGCCCCGTACTAGCCATTATGAGGACACTTCATCAATTCAATGTGTGCATTTTTTCCGACGTGAAACCTAAATTTTGTGAGGCAAGCAAAAGTACATAGGCAGAGATAACCAGTCACAAGAATAGAAGCAGTGGATACATCGCATAACACAGGACGCCCGAGGAAAAAACAAAAGGAAAGAACATATGGGAGAAAGACATAACCACCAATCAATTAACTGCCACTTTATGACGAACGGCTGTAGATACCACCAACGATACAGTGGTCACGCTCGAAGGGCTCCAGAGTCAGCTGCTCCTTGGGCTTGATCTTCTCCTCGCGCATCTTCTGGACCTCACGAGCGAACACAACATCGGGAGCGGCTGTGGAGTCGATACAGCTGGCCTTGATGGAGATCAAAACACCACCCTGGTCCTCGAGGAACATATGGGCGTTCAGTCCGACAATACGAGCTTGACTAAAAGATTAAACAGATTAGTGATGATTCAGGAATGAATGCTAATCATAGAAGCGATTGACTTACTCTGGCTGAGCCACGTCAGCGAAGATCGTCTGAACCATAGGCAGTAATTGCCTATATCTCAAAGGATGTCTGGCATCGTCAACGATAGGGATAACGTTGGTACGGTGGGTAGCCATGCCGATCAGGTCACGACCGGAACGGTGGGAGAACTCGACGGCGTAGACGGTACCGGTGGGTCCGACGATGTCAGCAACGTGACTGACGGAGGTACCGGAGGCAGCACCCAGGTAGAGAACCTTGGAGCCGGGCTTGATGTGGATGTTGTCCAGACCACCCAGGATACCAGCAGCCAGCTTGGAACGGAAAGGGTTCCACACACGGTACTCGACCTTAGAAACGGTACCATCTTCACCGGCGACACCCTCGACGGAGATACGCTTCTCGCCGTAGACAGCCTGGCCAGGAGTCAAGTTCTTGGTGACGAGCAGATCCTCCTTACCACCGCGGGCAACGAAGACACCAGCGTGACGGTGGGGCTCCTGAATGAAGAAAAAAAATATGGGTTAGCGGGTGATTTGATATTTTCGCGCAAGGCGACGAGGAGAGAGAGAAAAAAAACTTACAATGATGACCTTAGCACCACCCCTGGCACCTTGGGCACCACCACGGCCACCACCACCACGTCCACCACGGCCACGGTCACCACCACGACCACCGCGAGGACCACCACGGCCACCGCCACGGCCACCGAAGCCACCACGGCCACGGTCACCACCACCACGGCCACCGAAACCACCTTAACGAAAGAAGAACTCAATCAGCGAAATGAACAAATGAAAGTGTAACAGACAGAATGATAACGAAGTAGTCTTTGAACCAAAGAGGTCGGAAGAGGACTATCCATGAAAAACTGCCTGCAAGGTCAAGGTCAAAAATTGGAGCACAAACCTCTGCCACCACCACGTCCACCACGATCACCACCACCGAAACCGCCACGGCCACCGCGGGGGGCACCACGGCCTCGAGGAGCACCGAAACCCATTTTGATCTGATGTGTTGTTGAGAAAGGTTTGAGAGGAAGTCGAAGAAATTGGATTGAGCTAACTGAATGCTCAAACCGCGGGAGTTAGGAGTCGAAAAAAGAGTTGGGAAAGAGAGTCGACTCGAATTGGAAGAAATTGACACAGTTTTTTTTTACTGAGTCTTGCAGCTGCAATTTAATTGACCGAGAGTGCTCTGTCGAGTGCGGGTCAAGGCCGATGCTGCTCGTTGATGCGGTCGAGATTTTTTTGCGCTCGTTGGATCTTTCAGAAAATCAGAACAGCGCTAGTCCGCTTATAGTTAAGCGTGGCTGACCTGGTGGATTGGGTCACATGATCTGTTTGTATAGCGAGATCACGTGAATTACGGGAACCCTGCAATAGGAAAGGAGAAGGATCAAGTGAGATTTACCAATATTTATAAATACAAAGGATTGTATATGTTTGAATACGCTGGATTTATTTGGAAACAGTTGAAAGTTCAAAAAATGTGTAAATTTGCTCGATGGGTCATGAAGTCATATCCACCCAAAAACAGAATGCCTCTCTATGTACATACACATAAAATAAATAGAAAATAGAAGAAAATATTCTCTGCAACTTCCTAGCTGTAGAAGTAATAGACAGCTGAATATTGAATCTCAAATGCCGAGGACATACCCTTGCAGGTAGCTGGGGCAGCACCAGAAGCAGTATCGACACGATAAACGGCCTTGTAGTCGCCGACAGTACCGGTCTTAGTAGTAAGGTAGAGCCAAGTAACAGCACCGTATTGTCCCTGGGTCGCACTGGATGGTGCATTGATCGATCCTTCCTTTGTAGTCATGAGGATACCATGTTGCTTGCTTGTGGTGGTATCAAGGTTGAATTCCGGGGTGGTAGCGTCGTAGAAGAAGTGGTGGCCTAGTAGTTCAAGGTTGGCGAGTGGGAATTTCGCATTGGTGTTCGTTGGGAGCGCGATCTTGTATGCTACGTTTGGCATCATTGCGAGCATACTGGGCCAATTGGCGGCGATGCAGGTAGCGTCGAAGAGGCTTGCGACCGCGCCGATGGCTGTCGGGACGGTGTTTGAGGTGGAATCGGCACAGGTATAGTTCTGGATGAATGTATTAGTAGTGAATTTCTTTTTTGGGAAAGATCAATTGATCAAGTATATCATGATGTACATACCTGGGTGCCTCTTCCTAGAGCAACATATGTAGCAGTCAGGCCATCTGGGGCAGTGAGGCCGGATGCATATGATGGGAGCGAGATCTTGGATGTATCGCATGAACTGAAGGAGTCTGGCGATCTGCTCTTTGTCGATTTGATATCCTCGCTCACTTTCGTGAAGTACTCTGAGAGTTCTTCTGAGAAGTCATAGGCATCATCAAAGATGTTTGATGGGGCAGCAGTTGTTACTGCCACCAAAGATACTAGCCAAGGAAGAATATACATTATGATATTCGAATATTCGAAGGGTGGATGTCGTAGTAGTAGAAGGAAGAAGGATTAAGGATAGTTCGTAGATAAAATGCTTTTTTTGTTTCTTCTCAATGCCTCAAATAAACAGCACCAGGCTAAAAGTATGGCAGTTTGAGAGTAGAATAAGAATTGAAGGATTGAAAGGAAAAGGAGTGAAGTGAAGTGATTGAGGGCTGGAGGATAACGAATCCGTCCGCGAAGAAGGCAGGTACATATAGATACGGTGCGGATTGTAATCAGTCAGTTGCTCAAGAATAGCAACAGCTAATTCGAAACATTCCATAAGCCTAATCCCAATCTAAGGAAGTCTACAAAAATAAAAAATAAAAGGATCGATGCACGCCGTAGCTATTAACAGGGATGGGTGGTTAACGGGGCTTCATTATTGGTGCGGGGACGCGCCGAAGACCGACGGCCCAGCCACTTTGGACTGTGATTCGTCGCATTCACAAAAACAACTTTGACTAAATGCAGAGGGCATCGCGCTAACCCAAACACTGGCTTTTCAGTGGGCGGCACCAAGTCCACGGTGCTTCGACCTGGTGGTAGCAGGTAACAGGCTAATGCAGAAGAGCTCTAGAAATCCTCCGCAGCTATTAATAACTGTCCAATCTGGGGAATCCTGGGAAATTCTTGCCATGTGTGTTGAGCGGTTAGAGATGTACATGAAGATTGCTATTAATGGTTAGTGTGCAGAGATGCAGCAGGGGTGAGTGTACATATCAGGGACTAGGGAGCTCAGTGCTTCCAAGGATAAAAGCCGAAGCGCCCTGAATGGTCATGTTGTCAATAACGACATCATTGGATGGGGATCTGGAGCAATAACAGCCTGAGTAACAAATATAGCTCTAATTATATAAATTTTTTGATTTATTTTTATACTCTCTCTCCCCTTCTGGTATTTCCTCGGGCAGCCACTTCGTGAATGTACCACAGATGACCGTTGCGGGGAGGCTGGCATCTTTTGTGTGGCTGTCGGCCACTTTTCTAATTCGAGTCCTCACACAAGGTTACAATACCACACACACAGAAGATAATCAATCTTGGAAGCGGAGCACAAAAAGTCACATTACTTCTTCATCACCGAACTAAGGCAGCCACAATCTCCATCATTATGGTGAACAATGGGGGGTCATTTAACCGACCGGGGGCCAGGAGCGGATCTAACCTTGGAAGATGCACCCCCCGTATCCCCGAGAAGATCTGAGCTCGAGCAGGATTAGGCTTGGCAATGACTCGGAAGATTGATGGCACTGGAAATAAGCGGAACTATAATTGTGCTAGGATGGATCAGATCTTGGATCCCAAACCTCATTCTAGATAGGGAAGGGCCATAGCTCTGGAGACATCAACCGACCTGTACTATGTACGCCGTAGTACGCCCCCCTCTTTTCTAGACCACTACCATGGCCGATAATCCGCCGAAACGACCGCCACAAAGCCAGGAAACTTAATTTATGAACTATTCATGTTGAGAACCTCAAAAATAGCTCTGTGAGTCTGTCAGCAAGGCCGCTTCGTAGTAACCTGACCCGAGCTTGGTCATAACGCGCGATGATATATCCAAGTGTTCAAGTTGCGGTGGATATTTACAATAAATCGTGGAAGAGCAAAGCCAATAGAACCTTGGAATGAACAGGGAGTCGATTTGAAGACAGATCGGGCATCGGAAATTATTCGAAGACAAAGGGATATAAATATCATTGTTAGCCTGAGGGCTTGATTGGCTGTACACTGGATGATCGGGATAATAAACACAAAAATCGACCAGCCAGAACAGGACTCATCACCGACGGAGGTCCATATGCGCCCAAACGCCGAAAATAGAATGATCATTCATGATAGATAGAACAAAGGAAAAAGAAAAGAAAAGAAAACTCCGAGGCCCTCGCTGTTCAAACATCAAACACACCTATGTAGAGCAAGCAGACAATCACACGTAGTGCGAGTAATGGAGTCGTTTAACCTGCTTCATTAAACCCTTCTTGCTGCCAATCATCAGCTTGTAGCCAACCACTGCCACTGCCTGAACCACTTCCAGACCCACTATTGGCATAGGCCGCAGCTGCAGCATTGCCAACAGCACTCATGGCACTATGCTTCTCTATCTCCGTTGTACTCATCATATAAAGGACAACAAAGAGCAGGACATGGATAGCGAAACAGTACCCAGCAAATAAGTTTCGACTGGTCCTATTTGCCATGATAATGCGGGTCAGCGAGAACACTATCCGTTCTGGTAGGTTCATACGCTTATACGCACGGGCGGACTCGCGACCTCGGAAGACAGCAAACGGGGAGATGCGTGCCTCGTAGGCTGATTGGTACCGGTCCAAAGACAGCCCGGAAGGTGTATTCGCGGAATGAACAGTTGTGGAGCTTGGTGCATTCCCGAATGAGGAAGCAGATGTACTTCCGCCCTGGCCGCGGTTGTAGGTCGAAACATAACGAGTCTTCTCATAGAGACCCAAGTTATCTTTCTGTAGCGTAGCTACTTCTTGTCTCAGGGACTTGACTGTGCCATACAACTTCGACAGATCCTCTTCAAGCTCGGCGTTCTTCTTCTTGAAACGATCCCGCTGGGCCTGAATCATTGGCAGAAGACCAGAGCCACCGCCTACAGCCTCTCCAGCGCGAATGGCATCCATGGTATTGGCGGATGCGGCACTCTGGTCAAAGCCAGAGATAATTGACGAGGTAGGGGACGCTGCTCCTCGTCGAGAGGAATGCGGGTACCGGGAAGAGTAAGTACCTGCAACGGACATGGCTGAGGATGGGAACGCATTGGCAGCCTCTTGTTGAACACGCAGGAGATCATTTTCCAGCGTGGTAGACAAGCCTCGAGATTTACCAAGTTCTTCTTTTGTCGTTGCAAGCTCGCCACGCATAGTTTCGAGTTGTTCTTGGATATCTCGAGACGAGACTCTTAGCACAGTAAGCTCATCCGTCAACTTCTTGTTTCGAGCCAGGAGAAGCTGTTCTAAAGAGTTCTTCCCCTTAGTCTTCGTAGCATCACCATTAGTGTTGACAGTATCGTCGTCAGCTGTGGTTTCGCCCAAATCATCGTCATCACCCGCTGTAAATTCAATTGACTTGATCATTTCCAATTCTCGACGAATTTCGTCGTAGTCTGCAACTTTGTCAAGTCGTGATTTAAGTTCGTCTCTTTCTAGTGTAGCCTTCGATGCATTTCTCTCGGCCTGGTGGAGCTTGCCTTCCCAGGTGTGTCGAGATGAATCCTTGTCAAAGCGTGCAGCATCTAGCTTACGCAGCAAAGAAGAATTCTCTGATTGAAGGCGCTGGTAAGATGGATCATCTTCAACGGAGGTTGATTGGTCAGAGTGCGAGTGAGATACGGCCTGGGCCAATTCCAGCCGTAATTGCTCATTCCGTGCTTCCACATCTGCTAATCGAAGACTGGTCTTTTCCAAATCGGTCGACACAAGCTCCAGTTCTGCAGCGGTTGCGCCATTTCGTGCATCATCGTTATCCTCATCTTCACCCATACGCTGGGAAACCTCATAGCTTGCTTTGAGCTCTTTGATTAAGCGGTCCTGGTTCTCCACTTTTTCTTCCAAGCTTTTCTCTTTGGCAGCCCAATTGCTCGACTTTTCGGACAAAACAGCCTTCCAGGATGTTTCAATTTCCTTAGCTCTTGACTCTTGGTTATCCTCGAGCTTCTTCCTTGCTGCACGTTCTTCCTGTAGACGGTTCTCGGTTTCTTCTTGTTGTTTTGTAAGACGGTCGACGGATTGTTGCAATTGATCTCGTTCGGATGTCAACTTTGGAACTGTCTCTTCAGATACCACGAGGGAATCTACAGAGGCTTCGAGGAGTGGGTAAGGATCGGGTGCTTCGGACAGAGACGAGTATAATTGTAGGAAAGATGATGACGAGGATTTGCCTTGGTTGGTCAAAACATCGATAAATGACTGATAGGCTTTCAGTAATCCCTTGTACTCGGTGAGTTTGTCCTGATCCTCCAGCTTCTTAAAGTCTTTCGTCTTTTGCGCCAAATCCTTTCTTTGGACGAGGGAGTCCCGCTGGTGTTCGACTATTTCGGAGGCAGATGCATCGAGTTTCGCAATGGTGCTAGCTAGGTCAATACCTGGTGTGTGTTAATTGTTAACGATTCTCTGGTTATATCATTATCAGGCCACTTACCACGCCAAGCAGCGATGGCTCGCTGGAACTTATTTGTCTCCTCCGACAGCTTAGTGGAGACTTCTGGAGGGACATCTTGTTGCTCCTGGGCGGCAAGGCCCTCCGTAATGGCAAAGGAGTCCATAAACAGCGTTCAACCTGGGGAAGCGCAGTTCACCCCACTCCGATATACACGCCAGATGGTCAGAACGGGGAAACCGCGCGGAGCTGTAACAGGACACGCGGCGCACGGGCCGATGTTCTTCCGATCTAATAGATCTCAATGCAATGGATGATGGAGATAATGTTGTTAGAGAATCAAAGTGTCCTAATAGTTGTTATTCTTATTTCCAGTTTCCCTAGTGTTTGGTCTTAGGTGTTTCCAAGGGTGGTTGCCTTGATAGCCGTTGACACCCGAGGCTCTGTTCCTGACTTAGTATGGAGAGGCCCCTGAACCTTAGCTTTGGCCCCAGTCTGACCGCCTTCTAGCTCAACTTCAATGCTGCGCGGGGACAGCACTTCTACAGGCTAGCCATGATGGCTTCTGATGATGGATTCGGTCCTCGAAAGAGGCGCAAGATTGGTCCTCCAGGGACGGATCCTTATGTTTTGCGATCTTTATTTGAGAACGTCCCGGTAGAAACCGAGGACAACCGCGACGTTTACATCACCTGCGTTGAATACTGGGGTAAGCTACTACCACGCGGGGTTGGTAGACACTGTACTGACTATATGACTATACTTTTATAGACCAGAACTTGTATATCGGAACTTCCGCGGCCGAGATCTTGCACTTTGTTTGCCTTCCACCAGCCGACGGCGAATCAAATGAGCCCACCTTTATACTGGCATCGCGATTACCTATCCCATTCCAAACTACACCTTCGGACATCGATCGTGTAGGCGTCCAACAAATCGTCATATTAGCTTCGGTGAATAAAGCTTGTGTTCTTTGCAATGGAACTGTCACATTCTACATGCTGCCAGAGCTCAGCCCGGCATTTGGAAATACCAAAGTCAATCATTGCCGATGGATCGGCGGGCTAGATCTCGACCGGGGGGCTGAATCCGAGGGCAACCCCGTCGTGATGATCGCGGCACAGAATAATATCATGCTAGTACAAATCGGAGATGAGGCGCGGCGCATTAAGAAGATCGGATTTCCCGGGTGCATGGTCGCAGCCCGTAGAGGCACCATTGCCTGCGTTTCGGACTCTCATTCATACTCTCTGCTTGAAGTCGAACATCAGCAGAAGATTCCCTTGTTTCCAATTTCATCCTCGAATGAAGTCTTTGAGTCTGGAAATTTAGAAGATATCGTTCCAGGGCCTCAGACCCCTCTTAAACGATCCCCTTCTTCATCTTATCCAAGCTCTCCTCCTAGTGATTCGCGTGAACATGGCAGAAGCAGCAGTCTAAATGCATTCGTGGGAATGTTGCAACCGCATGCTCAGACGCCTCAGAAGGAGCGATCACCTTCGCCATCGGGAACCCCAGATCCTTTCACAGCCACCGGGACACCCCGGCGATCAAGCTCGGAAGAGAGAGAAGACAATGACGAAACACAAGACAAGGCTATCCATAGCCTGCAGGATGAATCGCCCACTGAAGCCCCCGAAGCTACAAAGCCATTGCCTCCCTTACCGCCGAAACAAATCTTTAAGCAGTTGCAACCTCATGTGGTCTCTCCAACACCATCAGAATTCCTTCTGGTAACCGGAACAGAAGAAACGGAGCCCGGTGTGGGTATGTTTGTAGACTTGGATGGAGAAGTTGTGAGGGGAACCATCAACTTCCATCGATATCCGAAGTCGGTTGTCATAGATGCTGGTGAAGATGACCAATCCCTTCAACCAGACAACGATGCCAAAGATGAGTTTGTCCTCGCTGTGATCAACGAAGGCGAAGATCAAAACCGGCTAGAAATTCAACATTGGGATGATGACCCCGCGGAGATTGAGCGCCAGAAGCGTTGGCTCGATGTACCTTCAGTAGGGGAAAATGGCGGCCGAGTTGGCTTAAGACATACCATTACTCCTAGTCACATTGAACTCGAAGACATCGGCCAACTCCTGCGCATGTCTCGTCTCAAAACGCCTTTGCTTTCACCGCATGTTCCAACTGCAGACCCTCGAACACAGGCCTCCATTGAGCATTCACAGAAGGAAAAGGAGCTTTTCGAGTCTCAGGAGTTGACAGACAGCGACGGCTCCAAGAAGAATGAAAATGGCTCAGAGTTGGAGGCGCAGCGCGATGCTGAGGAAGCAAAATTTGCCCATGGATTAGGCAAACTACAGAGCAGCCTCATCCTATGGTCAGGGTCTCAGATATGGCGCATTGTTAAGAATCCCTTGGTGGTTCAACTGGAGAAGGCCTTGCAACAGGCGCAGTATACCAATGATAGTGGTCATATAATTTTGCAGCGAGATGCTGTCTTGGAGTTGACCATGTCAATTCAGGATATTGAGCCCCAAAATGAGTCCGAATTCATTGGCCTGGGCTATGTGAAGCAAAAAGCAAGCTTGTTGCTGTATGCAGATCTACTGTTCATGCATCCCGATAACCGAACTGATAACTTTATCACGCAAACCGAGCAAGCTCTGGTGGCCGGTAATCTAGATCCTCGTTTAGCTTTGCTATTCATCCCACTGCTTCAGTCTGAGGTCCTGCAAGGCCCACAGGGCATATGGATTCATTGCGGTCTCGCAACCTTGACAGAGAAGTACATCCAGCAAGTGGAAAAGATAAACAATGAGTTATCCAGACCAGCTGCTACTCAAGGTCCCGTTCTGAATATGTTGAAGCGATTCCTCTTCTCTTGGCAACAAAAGAGAGGCTATGGTAGTATTACGGATGAGACCTATGTCTTGGACAGTACCGATGCTGCTCTCTTGCATTTAGTGCTAGAACAAGATGCTCAATTAAATGCGGAGAACCGCGCTGATGCACAAACTCGCGTCGAATTGAACCGACTTGTGGATCGTTGGAAAGGCAATTTCGATCGAGCTGTGGCGCTGTTAGAGCAGTATAAGCGGCTCTATACCCTGAGTCGTCTTTACCAAAGCCAGAAGATGTCTCGCAATGTCCTCAAAACCTGGCGACGAATCGTTGACGGGGAGTCTGATGCTGGTGGAGAGCTCACGGCAGCAGGCGTTGAGGTTCAAATGCGCAAATATTTGGTGAATATTAAAAATTCTCAGCTCATTGAAGATTATGGATCCTGGCTCGCAGGGCGGAACCCCAGTTTGGGAGTCCAGGTTTTCGCGGACAGCTCTAGCCGTGTTCGACTCGAACCTGCAGATGTAGTTGTCTTGCTCAAGGAGCGCGCCCCCAAGGCCGTTCAACACTATTTAGAGCACTTGGTTTTCGCTAAGAATGTGAGTAAATGGCTCCTGAAATTTCCTAGGATCATGAGACTAAGAATATGCAGTACACCCAATACGCCGATGACCTCATCTCATACTACCTGGATGAAGTACTTTCCACTCTCGAATCCTCACCCGAAGCACGGACTTCCCTTTCAGAATCCTACTCAACTTACCGGGCCCTATGTCCCCCAAAGCCAACATACTTAAACTTCATCACGGAAAACACTCCCAATGAACAATGGTGGAAGTCTCGACTTCGTCTACTACAGCTGCTGAGCGGCACCTCCGGCACACAATTCTCCTCTACATCCGTCCCATCGGGCATCAGCTACTCCATTCCCAACGTGCTGGCGCGTATCGAGCCCTTTCAAGATGACCTTGTTTCCGAAAGCATCATCCTAGACGGTCTACAGGGACACCACCGTGCTGCTCTCCGACTCCTCACACACGGTCTAGGCGACTACGACTCCGCAATTCGATACTGTCTCTTCGGTGGTCCGCGTAGCTCTTCCTCCTCTACAAGCGTCGAGCCCGAACTTGCCGATCATGATCTCCAATCTGAGCTTTTCCGCCATCTATTGGATGAATTCCTGCAGATCCAAGATCTCTCAGATCGTATCGAGAGAACTAGCGATCTTCTCGCTCGCTTCGCGGCTTGGTTCGACGTGCGAGAAGTGTTAGATCTTGTTCCAGAGGATTGGAGCGTTGATATTTTAGGTGGTTTCCTCGTTCATGTCTTTCGGACACTTGTCTCTCAAACGCGGGAAACTCGTATACAGCGTGCTCTTAGTGCAGGGCTTAATCTGCGCATTGGTGTTGAGTATAATGATAACATGGAGAAATCTGGGCCCTGGGTGGAAGATGGGGAAGGGCTTCGTCGGCTGAAGGATGTTGATACTGCTCAACCGCCCTCACCGTCGGAGGCTGATACTAATGGTCCGGTTCCGGTTGAGAATGATGATTTTGGGGATATGATAGTGCCTGGACCAGGGCAATAGAAGATGCTCAATTGTACTTTTTTCCCTTTGGTTTTCTACCTAGAATCGATGATACCTACATAGCCTACATTCATTTCAAATTTGTTTACATGAAGAACCGAACCTGCGTATATAAGGTTGTCCGAACAACAATGATAATAGCCTCCTGGCAAATATAGTCTTGTTTTAAGATATCTCACTACTGTCCCCAGCCAATTCTTTTTGGCTACCACAACATTATGGTCCGTCTCGGGAGATAGAGCCAATATCATGACACGAGATCTTTATCATACATTAATTTCCAGGGAACAGATTTTTCAAAAGAAAAAAAAGGCTTCATGGTGTATTCATTCCCTTCGTAGCTCTAATTAGCGAGCGCCCCGCCAAAGAGCCAGGGTCCATTTTTTTTGGATTCAGGCGAGCTATTGGTATTTTCCAAGAGTGCCAGTTATACAGCAGTTATTGAGTCAGAGGCAAAGCTCTTTATTCCTCAGGCTGCACGAATGGATTAGGGATTTCCTCGCTGCCATCAGCGGGGGAGATGAGTACGATCAATGTGCCACGGGCGACGATTAGGCCCAGTGAGCGGGTGGTTGAGTTACCCTCGTCATCTGTAGTTTTAGTTAGCATGGAGTATTCTTTTGATGGTCATCTGCCAGAGTGAATTAATTGGATCGAGTTGAATAACATACCCCGCATAGACTCCTTGACATCATCAAGAACCAGGTTCATAAGCTGATCGTAACCCTTGAGGGTTCCGGTAACTAAGCAGGGTTAGCAATTGATATTCAAATTTAATATTGATATCGATTGAGGCTATCAGCCTTAAGAGGAAAGAAGGGACCCACCTTCACGACCACCATTGAACTTCACCTGGACCTCCTTGTCCATGTACTTGTTGAGATCGAGGATATTCTCCTTCTTAGGTTTCTCCTGTGCACCGCCACCACCGCCACTTTTCTGTTGGGGCTGGCGACCACCGCCGCGCCCACGACCGCCGCGGAATGAACCTCGTTCGGACATGATTTGGCGGGGTTAGGGAAGAATGATTAAGAGGTAAAAAAGGAAAGTGAGTTCAGGTGACTAAGCCTGATTGGAGATATCGCGAACCACGATAATGGAGAAGAGACGGAGTGACCAAGTGACCAGTCAGTGTGTAGTTGGCCAGGTTGGTGTTAGGGTGCTCAATGTGTTAGGGAAGGGGCCGAGTATGAGGGATTTTCAGGGAAGGAACGGTGGAAGGTGCTTGCCGTTTTGGTACGTTTTGGTACGTTTTGGTTTTTTATTTTTATTTTCTCCCGCCGATTTCCCGCTGAGACCGTATTGGTACTGTCACCGGGATCCCGGGCGCGGGGGGCGGAAGAATGTTTTGTATGGAGGAGGTACCTGTGAGCGGCTGTATTATACCAGGGCGGTACATAGCGGTACGATGGCGGTACTGTGATTGTATTATACCGTGCGCTGATACCTGCGGAGTACACGACATCATGTATCTGAGCTTTGCTCCAGGCATCCACGATACTTCAAAAAAAGCAATCAAACTAACCTTGGAATGTCATAAAAGTGGCCCCCAGAAGGCTTGTTTCAGAGTGATCGACCAAGATCATGTATACTAATGGAACTAACGTGGCTTGTATACATCATAGTTGCTGAATCTTCGAACCTATCAAGCCTAGTAGGGCCCCAGTAAAGATCCAGATGTCCCGACATGGTTGTCCCATGCCTCAGCGGAAAGGACCGGCGGGACTCCGCTGTCTACGCTGGTTGGGCGCTGACCCTCCCCCCTCCCCCTTCCCATTTTCCATCTGGTTTTCTACTTTCTTTTCTCATTTCTTGCTCGGATGTTGCCATCGGATCAGGGGTGAACTACCTACTAGTGCATGTATAATATACATGGTTCTCGATTTCCCCGAATCCACACCTTCCTACCTTCCTATCCCTCCATGTGCTCTGACCCGCCCCATTCACTTGCGTTCCGCCCTGACTCCGCCGGGCTAATTTTGTAGCCTTACCGTCGCGGCCCCTGTTCTGTTCCTACGCTTTTTTTTTTTTTTCTCCCCTTCTCCTCCAACACTCTTGACCTCTTCTTTCCTACTCTCTACATATCTCTAGGAGATCAGAGCACACGAAGCGCTCACTTGGTGCCTGGCGCCAATTCCAACCATGGAGTCCCACGGCGCAATCACCGAGCCCTCTAACAAGAGGCCTCGATCTCCTACAAATGACCATCCGCCACAGTCCAAGATGCCCAAGACATCTAACCACCTCCAAATCAACTATCTTGCTCGCCAGTACCCGGATAATCTACCTTTGGTTTCCTCCGATGATAACATGCCCGCTATCATTCACCTTATCGGAGAATACGATGGAGTCCTCCACCGCCATGAGAGTATAGCTGGGAACCTGGGCGCATGTCCACTGGGTCCCATTTTGATTAAGAGGTTTGAGCGACTATTCGATGGTCCTCCACGCGTGCTCAAGTCCCATGGTAAAGATGGTCCAACGGTGACCTGGTTGGATGTGGTGGAATTCGCCAAGAGCAAGCCCGAGCAGTTTAATCTGGAAAAATCTCGCAATGGGGTCCGCGTCTGCCAGTTCTATACTAAGCAGTGTCGTGTGGAGATCAGCGAGGAGGATTTCGTGTTGATCGCTTCCGGCATGCCTCAGAAGATGATTCCCCCGCAGCCGATCATCGAGGATGAGGAGAAGGAGCTGGGCGGACTGGAAATACTGGAGAGAAATTTGCAGCAGATTATACAGATGGCAGATCAAGGTATGTGCGAAACTATATGTATTTCGCTCATGTACTCCTTGTAACAAATTGGACTAACCTTGGCTCCTTTACCTCTTTAGTATCTGCCCGAGCTCGCCAGCTCAGTTACCGTCTGAAGAACCGCCGCACCGCAATCGTCAGCCGGCGAGAGAACGACGCAAATCTACACTCCCGCCATGCCGGAGACCCATGGCGTGAATACAATGGAAATGCCGTATCGAACGGCCATTCATCCCATGGCTCGCCTGGTGGCTTTGTCGCCGTCAACGCAGCTCGGGCCGAAGCCGAGACAGCAGAAGACCACAATCTATCTACTGCGCAATTCGCATTCTCCCATCCCAGTACCGAGAACATTACTATCATCAACGGAACCTCGATCAAAGGTGCCTCGCCAACCACCCGTGCCGAGCTGATGAAGAAATTCTTCACCACGGCCGATCGCCAGGCGCGCGGCTACGACGATGCAGCAGGACCGATCAATCCTCTACCTCGTCCTCTTCCACAAGCCTCCGAACAACCAGAGTATAATCCCTCCAACGCAACATCAACGCCAGTAGCTATCCCCAGCACTCCATCCTCGCTTCTCCCACCACCAAAAACAACACCTCAGGAGAAGGACGACGGGGGCCCTTTTAAATTGGAAATGGTAGCCCGCATGGAAGAGCTACAACGCGGTGAGCGCGTAGTACCACCCTGCGACCGCTGTCGTCGTCTACACATGGACTGTCTGAAGAACCTTACCGCCTGCATGGGCTGTACAAAGAAGCACGCTAAGTGTTCCTGGCGCGATGTGAAGGAAGACGAAGTTCGCGCGGCGTGGGCGGGATCCTCCGCGCCCCGGCCCAGAATAGATGACGAGCATGCCGCCGCACTACAATCCCAGAATACACCGCCCCCTCAGAGATCAGTAGAGCGTTCCGAACCATTTGATCCTGTCTATGCGCATCATAATCGTCGCGAGTCAGCACCTTCAGCTCCTCATATCGCGCCGGGCGCGGTGGTTTCCAGACCGCTTCCTTCTCAAGATAGTTCGCCGCGTAGAGCTGTGAGCGAAACCGAAGGCAGTGGGCGTCCGCAGAATAGACCGCCGCGAAATGCTGAGGAGGAAGATCCAGATGCTAATCAGAGGCTCATGCAAGCTATTCTTGATACGGTGGATCATCATGCTCGCGTTGCGGCTGCTGTGCAGGAAAAGGAGCGGGGCGCTGAGCGCGGACCGGAACGTGGTCCTGAGCGTGGACTTGAGCGTGGTGGAGAGGGACCTCATGATCGGGATGTTAATCGAGATCGTGAGTGGGAACGGGAACGGGAACGGGAACGGGAAAGAGAACGCGAGCGAGAACGAGAACGGGATCAGGATCGGGATCATGATCATGATCATGATCGTGACCGTGAGCGGCGCTTGGTGCATATTTAGGCAGGCTCCTCTTTGCATTGGTGTACATTTTCTCTTTTGTATATGTAGTTTACAGCGTTGGCGAATCTGGGTTTCAAGGTTGGTTGGGGGTATTTTATTCGGCGTGTCGTATATATTATATCCATGGAAGTCAATGTTATGTTATGTTATGTTTGATCTATCTATTTTATTCTACTTATTCTATTTAATCCCTCAATATACATGTATGTTGGTTGAAGCGAAGAATCTGCAGTCTGTTGCGGCCATAAACGCCGCCATGATCCACTCAGTCTACTACTCTACCCCGAGCCGGTGGGGGACATTGACCTCGATCTTTGCTGTGTTTACTTAATTAAACACTTACCGTGTGCAGGTGTCTTATTTTCTTGAATTCCTATTCCATTTGCATGTTTAAGCATTTATTGACATGCCAGTCTTTATTTCATTCCCCGAGAATCCAGACCTTTCTTCTCCGTCTAACGACCGTCCTCTCAGCATTACCTCGGTATATCGCATAGTTGATTCTTACTATGTACTTGTTTCCCCAGATCACCCCACACGGAACGGATATAACTTTCCAAGATTCTATAGCATGATCTTCGGACTATTTCCTCATAAAGTTCAGTAGAATACTTCCGGATATCCGTACTAACACCCCCACACTATTCTCATTTTGACCCACAAGCCTACAAGCTAGTAAGAATCCTATATCCATTCCCATCAGGTTATAAGCCTTATATTCAAGACACCAGATTACTATGTAAACTATGCTAGCTATCGTGATTAGCTGTCATGTCTGACTAAAGCATTACCCAGTTGCTCCTCAAGCAAGGCAATTTGCTTGTCAAGGCGCTCAAGAACATCCACCGTATCCCTATGCGACACTGCCTTTGCAGCTGTATCCCGTAACAACCTCGCATTCCCAATATAAGGTATCATCACATGTCTCTGTACCCGTAATGCACGGCACATAAATTGGTGATAATGGTTGTTACGTCGTGTCGATCTGACCTCTTGCAATTCGCGCTCCAAGATGAAATCATTCGATGACGCGATGTCGATCGCAGATGGCCCAACCTTTTGGTCAGTCAACCACAGAGGTGAAGCCAGGTCTCCCATTGTGGGGAAGTGAACCAGAATATTCGCTACCCTCTTCTTTCTTTGAGTGAGTGCCATATAAAGCAGACTCTCGCCAATATTAATGTAGTATGACGGTGCAATTGTGCAGTTGTGAAGAAGGAGCCGGAAGCATGAAGGATAATCATAAATTATTTAAACTCGCTAATCTGGCATCGTCAACACCCATGATCTCATCTTCCTCAGGAGCACGACAGGTGAGCCCAGGAATGAGACTCATGATGAAGAGAATGATACCAGTTCCGAACAAGGAGTATGCAGCACTACACATAGGGTCAGCAAGCTGGTATCCCAGCTGAATATAGTTGTGGCTAATCGAACCACCAGGGATATCAGTGCTGCCATCAAGATGGGATAGACATTGATTTCTTTGGGGGGAGCGGCGTGCGAACTGTGGGGAGATGAAGAGGAGTAAGAGCGAAACGAAAGTTGAGGCTAGCTACGTAAGCGCCAATAGTAAAATGGCGAAAGCCATTAACCTCAATTTATTCCTACTTCTAACAGTCGTCTCGAGATCCTCGTGCGAGGGGTGGCAGACATTTCACGCCAGACAGCATGCTAAACAAGCTACTCCCGTCCACTGGCTCGATTCAATGGATATTGGAATTTAGGTGATCTCAAATCTCGGCACTCAAGGGCTCTGGTAAACATATCCAAATTCCTTTTGCGCCTTCTCTAAGGCCTCCCTTAACGGCCTTTCCCTCTCCTCCATCCCCTGCGGATCCTCCTTTGCCTGTCGCTGGAGCACCTTCAACCCATACGGGAATTCTTGCCCACTTGGTACCATATTGCCCTTCTGCACAGCTGGGCGCTCGCTAATACGATTCCACCACTTGTACACATGAGGGAAGTTTTCGAGTTCAATGCCGGTAACCGCAGAAGCGTTAATAAAAGGCCAAATGGCGATGTCGGCTAAGCTGTACTTCCCGCCCCCTGGGCCAGCGAGGTAGTTACGGTCCGCAAGTCGGGTATCGAGCACACCATAGAGGCGCTCTGTCTCACCCACAAAACGTTGGGTCGAAAAGGCATAGCGATCGGGGTGAAAGCGATAGAAGAAGTTAGCCTGGGCTTGCATGGGGCCTATGAAGTATCATGAAGGTCGTCAGCTCAGATTCTAAAGCAGACAATTACGCGGACTTCGACAAAAATATGGACTACGCTAGGATAGGAGCTTCAATGCCTACCTAGATTACCATGCTGCCACGACATCCACTGCTCGGCGGTACAGGTATCAAGCGGGTCCTTGAAGCAAAACTTGTGCTCTGGGTCGTAGTGCCGCGTCAGGTAATTTAGAATGGCTACGCCTTCCATGATGGCGTATCCACCGTTGTCGTGGTCGATAAGGACTGGAATGCGCCCATTTGGTCCGAGCTTGGTAAACCACGGGTCCTTCTGGACGTTCTGGAAAATATCGATATTTTGGAAGGTGTACTCTGTGCCATATGTTTCCTTCAGCTCCTCAAGCAGTATCGAAATCTTCAGGCCTACAAAATATGTCAGTAGGGAAATAACCTTAGATGAACTAATGAGCGAAGAGAGATACAATATACCATTGGGCGTGCCAAATGTCAGGAGCTCCAGGCCCTTGTTGGTAATCAGGCCGGCTGGTCGGTCACTATGAGCCATAGTTGCCGCTCAAAGGGAATGTATTTCAACCGTAAGCCCGCGAGTTTATTCTGTGTAAATGTTGTTACGCCCTTCGGATCAGGATCCGATAATGAGAAAGTCTTGATTATTATATATTGATTGACTAGGGGTCACATTCATATATGTATGTCATGAGGTGGTACACTATCTGAGGCTGGTTGTTCCGGGATACATCAGCCAGGCTATTCTCGTCTGAAGCCGTTCACTGGCCATTTGTAAGCATCGGGCTCGTAAAGCCCGAGTCGGGACCTGGAGAATATACTTCCTAGATTATTTGCTAGCTTTATCTTCGGCTTAAGTCTTTTGCTATAGTAATCCGGGTTTTGACAAAACCCGAACCTCAAAACCCGAACTATAAAACCCTACAATAAGGAGAAGCCTTGTATTTATTAGTAGATTGGCTAACCAATGATATTTCATAGCTAACCTGAATAATTACAGTATCTATATCACTTTTTGTCTCGCTTTCAAGATCTATTTCATCTTCAGTATCGGCATCCTGGTTTTTGGGAGGCCCATATTGTTTCCAGTATCGACACTCCACTTCATAGACTAGCTAGTAGATATCCATATTTTCGTCTATAGAATCCTACGACCAAAGCTTCTCTCTTCCAAATAAGTGGTTCCATCTTGCCAGAGAATTATTAACCGAGTCTGTGGGTATATATCCCTCGCGCCTAGCTCGATTGTTTTCTTCCAATCTATGCCGTATTCCCTGTCATCTTCAATTATAAAACCGACTCCTAAGATAGTTTTGACGTCTACCCATATATATTTCTACACTTCGGTTTGTAAACCATCTTTGGTCATGATGGTTTTTGCGTGGCCGCGACAAGTGGAAGGAAGAACTTGAGCGGTACTTTTTTTGTCGTAGAGCTGGTGAGAACCTGCTCTGATACGATAGATAGGACACGATTGGTCACCGTATTGAACAAAGGTCTGTGTTCCCACCCCCACACGCCACCAATAGAGCACCTCTCTGTAGGCCAGGGGACGTTATTCTGTGGCAGCTCTTACATCTATACTGTCGAGATCCCCAGCAAGTTGAGTGGGAAGAAAACATTCATCACTGATGGTTTCCGTTGAGACTTGCTTTTGTATGATAGACCTCATATCTGGTAGAGACTCAGAGTCGGAACTTCTTCAAGGTCCTGGTGAGATGGGCCAGGTCCAATCACCTTCTCCATGGCGTCTTTTTCAGGTTCAAGTCCTTCGGGAGACCGTGTCGTTTATTGAAATTCTTTCAATTATTATAGGTACTGTGGAATATGTCCCATGCCGTTCGTTCGTGGTCCCCATGTTGCAAATCTCTTGCTTGAGCGATCGCGTTTGTGTATCCTTGGTATATGCCAATATATCCTCCTTCAGGGATCTGTCCGTTCTCAATGTTGGATGCATTGTGAAGACAGTTTTGACCTCTAATTGACGCGGTCAACTCTTCAAAGAACTTACGACAGCCGTCATAGTCCGGCTTCTTGTCAGAAAAAAATATTTGCAAAGAAATTGGTCATATTTGGGCCACATTCCCTGCATTCTTGCCAAATTATTGCTTTGACCCAAAGATAAAGAGCGTCCGGTTCATCCTGGTCCATCGGCTCTGGATTGTCGCCATCATCGTCGGTTGTAATATACAAAAAAATCATAAATTAATGCAATGGCTTGGCTTGGCTTGGCTAAATGGGCACCCTGTCCATGGGCAGATAGCCAGATTCCGGCCCGTGGGCCGCCCATTGCACAGGTCTAGCTGTGGCTGTTGGGGCATTTGTGGTCTTCGGTCCGTCTTTGTTTTTTGATGATGGAAAGCAGGATGAAAAGAGGAAGAGTTCACCGTCGTCTGACTGTGTTCCACTTGCTTAGCCCTTCGGACGCATTGTATAGGAGCAATTTAGTGAGTGCTTCTTGCACTTCTCGACCCAGGCTATCCTCAAAGTGTGATTTGCATCCTACCGATCCATGCAACGAAAACAACCAAATAAAACCATTATAAAATACTGTATAGCGTTGACACGGATATAGTAATCCCCGATTAGTTCTCTTAATTCAATATACTATTTAAACTCTGACTGAAAATCTGGGGTGGCCATAAAAATCGGAAATACTATGCCAGCCAAGATTGATACTTCTCTAGATAATAAGCTCTTCGGATATATCTCAATCGGTGCCCCACTCTCTCGCAGCTTAGACCAGCTTAGACGATGCTGACCAAGAACCAGGAATTTCTTCCGCGACGTGGGGAAGCTCGGATATATTCTCATCCATATATGATCGCATCGAAACCTTGGAAGATGGTGATGTATCACGATTATTGTAGATAAACCACAGCTTCAATCAGCATAATTATCTTCAAAATAAGCACTGTATGGCAGTATAGATCGGTTTCTCGTCTTTCGGCATAGATTTTCAAGCTGATTGCCGTGGTGGACTATTCCCGGGGTTTGACTTTCGTAGCATTGTAATTCCGCCGCGCTGAGTGGGCGGAACTGTCTCCTCTGCGGGGTGAAATCATCAATGGATTCCACTCTTCCCCTCCAAAAAACATGCGCGTATAGACAGAAAAATACCATGAGCTAAGTGGACAGCCAATACATTGCATGGTCCATTTTTTAATAGAAAAAAAAAGTGGGAAAATCCCCCACCAACTCCCGCCGAAATTGCCGACTGCTCCAGAGTATTAAAGCGCGCCGGAAGTGCATGACGATATAAACTCTCCCCGGATTCGTTTTCATCTGCTAAATACTATTTTATTCTTTTTTCTACTGTTCTTCCTATTCCATTCTACACTTATTCTAAGCATTTGATACTACCCATCTCCCCAATCCTCAATTGCTCTCCAACCTACACCATGGATCCCTCACAGGTCAACATCCCCCCAATGAAAAATTTAACAGTCGACAATATTACAGAAAATGTCCACACAATCAACTCTCTCTGCGAAGACCAGCGTATGAAATACATCCTCGAACGCCTAGTAACTCACCTCCACGACTTCGCCCGCGAAACCCGCCTCAGCACAGATGAATGGATGACAGGTCTCCGCTTCCTAACGGAAGTAGGCCAAATCACCACCGAAGTCCGTCAAGAATTCATTCTCCTCTCCGACGTCCTCGGTCTCTCCATTCTAGTCGACTCTATCGATCACCCCAAGCTTCCCGGTTCCACAGAGGGAACTGTTCTGGGCCCTTTCCACACCCATGATGCGGAGGAGATGCCTGCCGGCGACTCAATGTCGCATGATCCGAAGGGTGAGCCTTTGCTGGTTGTTTGTACGTTGAAGGATATGCAGGGAAATCCTGTTGAGGATGTGAAGATTGATATTTGGGAGACGGATTCGTCGGGCCATTATGATGTGCAGTATGCGGGGAGAGAGGGACCGGATGGCCGGTGTATTATGCGCTCTGATGCGGAGGGCGTGTTCTGGTTCCATGCTATTACGCCTGTGCCATACCCCATTCCCCACGATGGCCCTGTTGGGCAGTTGTTAAAGAAGTTGCACCGTCATCCATATCGCCCTTCGCATATGCATTTCATGTTTGAGAAGCCGGGCTACGATCATTTGATTACGTATGTATTTCCTTTTTTCCTCTTCAGGGAAAGTTCTTGTTATTTTTTGCTTGGGTTTTGTTTCTGACGTTCTGCATAGGGCTCTCTATCTTCGTAATGACCCCTACGAGACCTCTGATGCTGTCTTTGGTGTCAAGGATTCTCTTGTCGTGGACATTGGAAAAGCTGGTCCGGAACTCGCCAAGAAATACAATGTGCCCGAGGGCCATGCGTTGCTCACCTACGACTTTGTTCTGGTGTCTGATGCCGAGACCTCTGAATTGCGTGCAAAGAACTCGAAGATTGCGCTTGACAAGCTTGGCCGCAAGGTGAAGATTGTGAACGGTCTCCCAATTCCGGATCTGGATTAAAGAAACACACACTGGCGAGAATGGACTGTTGTACATGAGCGTATATCTATATCCGTGGATGCGAAATATGAATGATGTTAATACCACGATCAAACAAGGAAGGTAGACCATGAAGTACCTGAAATCACCTTGGAATGCAGATCATAAATAAATAAATAAATAAAACAATTCATACACTTTTATGTTGACTCGATGATTGTTAGACCACCACTGGCACATGCGCAGTGTCACCCGCTTGCTCTGGTTGTTTGTTTGCCCTCGGTTTCAGTCAAGGATTGAATCCGAAAACGCAGAAAAGACAACGATTATTGGATAGACAACTCCCGTTTGCTTTCTTGTCATTTAAGCCATCATTGTATCACCAGGAAATCCAGTCGTCTATTCAATACGTCTGAAGACAACATCATTAGAGCGAGCGATTCGTCACACCCATTACTATGACCTGAACACCCGTGCGACTAGGATCAAAGCACTTCATAGTACGAAGCAGGGTTCTATAACATCTTCCTTGTATCTTCCAATTTTCATTTGTTTCCTACGATTCCCCATAAAATCCAAATATGAGGATTCTGGGCTTTATTTTTACAGCGGCTTCCTGGTGTTCCGCTTTAGTGGTCCCTGACCAGGAGACTCTGCTCAATGCTTTCTCGCAGAACTCTCTCCAGACAGAGCGAGTAGAATCAACTGAATCCATCGGTAAGCATGCTTAAGACCAGATTGAAGATCTACGCTTTTCTTGGATTGCTCTTAATACTATAGCCAAACAGGTCGTGACTCGCTCGTTCATTCGGCATTGGGTTTGTACAGACCTGATGGAAGTGCCGGAGATGATACTATATTCCAATATGGCGATCAGCATGATGATACACAATGCTATTCTTCACTAGAAGACGGGCATCACTGTCCATACCCATGTCCAGATTCCTATCCAGGCCATCCTCATCACCCCCATCATCCGCACCCATGGCCTCACCCAGGTCATCCAGGCTACCCAGGCCCTCCAGGTCGACCCGGGCACCCAAAATGCCCGCATCCGGACCCGCCAGGCCGACAGCCTCCATCTGGTGGCGGTTCTCCAGGGGAGCCGTGTGATCTTCCGCATCCTCCAGGTCCACCAGGTCGAGAACCGCCTCCACCTCCGGGAAATCCAGGAGCATGGGACCCATGGCCACCGGGTAAACAACCACCTTCGCCTCCAGGCACTCCTCCAGGTTACCCCCCCAGGAGAACCATGCAACCCTCCATGGCCGCCAGGCCCACCAGGCCAAGAACCACCTCCGCCCCCAGGGAATCCAGTAAACCCTCCAGGACCTCCCCAGGAGACCCTAGAGAATCATGCGATCCCCCATATCCCCCAGGCCCACCAGGGCATCAAGATCCACCCGGTGGCAGTCCTCCAGGTGAACCATGCCATCCACCAACTCCCAGCAATAAAACAATCTGGCAAATGATAAGCCAAAGCCCTCAAACCGCACGCCTCGCAGATCTTCTCAGAAAACATAGCGACATAGTCAATCTTCTCAGCAGCACAAGTGCAAACTACACAATCTTCGCACCAACAAATCATACCCTGTATTCCCTGGGAAGTTCTCTTGAACTCCTATCTACGGAAAATATTCTGAGCTACCATGTTGTTCTGGGACAACATCCTTTCTACAAGTTGCGGGCTGTTGAGCATCAGACTCTTGCTACGGGTTTGAACGAGTCTGCGCTTGGTAAGAGGAAGAGTTTGAATGGGTATAAGAAGAAGGATAAAGATAAGGACAAGAAAAAGAAGAAGCATACCGAGTACCCGCAACGAGTTCGAGTAGATGCTGTCCGGCAGTCTGTACTACTCAACGGGGCAAGTAAAGTTGTCAAAGAGAACATAGTACGTGGATCTCCCTTATTCTTAGTCTGTTATTCTTGATTCCTTATTATTGTTATTAAAAACACACAGATGGCCAAAAACGGTATAATCCATTACATCGACCTCCCACTTACTCCGCCACCAAACACAAGTGCTCTCCTCAGATCACTCCCAGAAGAATCCAGCACATTCACCCTCGCACTCTCACGCACGCACTTAGAGTCCCACTTCGATACTTCAAGTCGTCATGGCGGTACAACATTTGTACCTACGAATGATGCGTTCCGAATCATGGGCCCCGTCGTGAATGCATACCTCTTCTCGCCACAAGGAGAAGAATGTCTACGCAGTCTACTCAGATACCACATTTTACCTGGTAAAACTGTATACTGGGACGTCGTGTACCGAGATCAGGAAGATATGGATGCATTCAGTGAGTTTGGATTGTATGAAAAGGATACTAAGTGGAGGCCGAGGCGATATCCGGTTGTGCGTGTTGATGCGCAGACATTGCTTGAGGGGCAGGGAATTAATTTGCATATGATGCGGAGGGAGATGGTTTATAAAATGAGGGTTAATGGGTTTTGGGAGCCGAGGGTTGTGGATGTGTTAGCTGGGGATGGGGTTATACATGTTTTGGATCGGGTGTTGTTTCCGCCTAAGGTGGCTGGGAAGGTTAAGGGTGGTGCGGCGATGGCGGTGGATGAAGTAGGGGTGATGGGAACGTTGAGGGATTTATTGGAAGACTGTCGACCGAAGAAGGAATTGAGCTTGAGGATGGAGCTTTGATAAAAAGTTACGGTTTTCTTATACGTTGATTATTACGTTTACCAGAACGTGCGATGATATCGGATTTCTTCATTCTTTATCTGTGTTTATTTCCCATGAGATGTGCGTTCCGTGTGGCTGAAGGATTGCTTCAAGCAAAACAAAATGTAACGAGACAACGTGCAGTCCTCCAGAAGGCTGCATTGGTGAACCCAGAGTCCGGTAGTATTTGACCTAGGCCAGAGGTGCATGCGCAAAGAAGGATAAAAGGGGATGGGAAGAGGGAGGTGGGAAAACAAAGTCAATCAGTAATTCTTCGGAGGTAATGGCCACTGCGCCTCTTAGTATCCAGCACAGACACAAACTATGATAAAGTTAAGGTCGGGGACGTTTAATGCAGCCTTCTTGCCGGCTTCATGAGAGCCTGAAAAGAGGATTCAAGGGCTTTCTTGAGCTCCTTATAACTGACAATGATGCAGCTCTGCTCATCCCGACTTATCAGAGTGACCTTCTCATCACTGCCTGCATCGAGCTTATTCAGACAGCTCAGGATATGTCCGAGGTCCACTGCCGGGTCGCCATGGGCATCAACTTGGTGGAAAACGTAATCTCGGAAAATCTTCAAGTAATAACGCTCTCCGTTCTCGGACCACTGTCGGTCATGTTCATATTCTGGACGTTCATTGACGAGGTTCAGTTTAGTCATCAGGCGTACTAAGCGTCCATTCTCGAGCTCACGGCTAAGATCAGAGGTCAATTGATCATCCAGATGGAGTGCAGAATCAAAAGTCGACATCAGCTGGGAAGAAATTCCAACAATGAATGTGTCAATGCCTCGTTCTTGATCCTTCTGGAGCGCGCCTAGCAGCCAATAAACTGAATTCTTCATCTGCGGAGTGTAGGCTCGTGTGAAATGTTCCATGGCTTTGGTGGGATTGTGCATGACATTGGGCGAATTAGAGCCAAGGGTGACGATCAATTGACCAAAGTTGACCAGGTCTTGTCGCTGCAAGTCGACGAGTGTCCGCTGGGAGTCAAATTGAACCACATCGAGAATGGCACAGGAGTTTAGGCGAATTCTATTCTTCCCAGTCAGAAGCACTTTACTAGGTTCCAGAACTCGTGCAGCAAGGCCATTAGTATGTATCGCCTTCAATGCATTTGCGATCTGGGTCATGTAGCCCCAAAGAACCTGCTCGGGGATGTGCGTGGTGTGGCGGCCTTGGAAGCGCGCTCCAGTGCCCAGATGCTGATCAGCCAGTGTTTTGGAAAGAGGATGGTAGTCGGTAACAAAGATAAGGGAGCTGTCTTGGAAGCTTCGGCTGGTGAATGCATCGTGAACCGTCACTACACTGCCGTTGCACACACGCTTCCAGGCCTGAACAGATCGGATAGCTTTCTCGTTGGTCAAACGGAAGCCTGATTCAGAGTTAGTATATCATTTTTCTCATAGTCTGGTAACATGGTTAATTCCCATACCTTCAAGTCGACGAAGCACGTAGAAGTTTCCATCTTTGCTCGACTGTGCTTTGTAAACCCAGCTAGGGTAGCCAAAGGTTGCTGCGTTTTTCTGATGGCTCAAATCCAGTGGAACTAGGGAGTGGAAATAGTCGACTTGGGCGGGTAGTTGTGTGTCTAGAAAAATAACTTGTCAGACAGACATTCATCCCCGTGCTTCAGAAATAGAAATAACTCAACATACTAGGGAGTGTTTGTAAAGTAGCTGCAGCTTTCTTCTGCAGCTCTTCTCGAAAATCGTTGGGTAGAAAAAGGTCGTGAACGTTACGCTGGTAGGCAAGTGTATTCTGATTATGAGGGCCGATGGGTGCATATAGGTGATATTGAACCTGATTCGAAATTAGAATTAAGCCACGTGGAGCTTCATGGAGCTTCAAGTCACATACTGGTTGCTGGAAACCTGTCTGGTTTGCGAAAAAGGCTCCGCCCATAGCAGCTGCGGTATCGTGGGCATATGGATTGGCAGCGACAGAGCCAACAGCTCCTGCTGCAGACAAGGGAGTTGAAGCTGTCACAAAAGGATCGAAGCCAGCTGTGGCAGTAATTGCTCCATTGCCATTGCCCTGAAGAGATGCCTGGAAATATGTGTCAGCTGGATAAGATTCCATACTCGAGCTGCCATATCTGTATCTATGCCGATCGGATGTTGGCACAGAGCTCCAATCGTCAGATAAAGCACTAAGGCTTTTGCTAGAGCGGTTGCAGTAACATGTCCACATGTTTGCGATATAATGATTCAAGAGGATCAAGATAGCCAAGATGGTCAAAGAAAACGAGGGAAGGCATGTACGTCTACACACAAACAAGGAAGGTACGATGGGTGGGATGGACCTACCACGTGAGAACCATCAAATACTCCCGGGACAAACTCCTGCACGTCCGCTACTGTCCAGTCTGGGGTTCCTGCTTCTTGTCTTGGTGTAGTTGCGTTGGAGCCTTTTCCAGTCAGCGGAGAAGTCCATGGTTCCGGATCAGAGGCCATACGGGATGCGGCAACTCGGGGTTGAAATGGGGCCGCGCTCGCGGCTTTGGGGGAGATGGTGGTTGATTTCTTGGGTGTAGAGGTGCCGTTGCCAGATAAGAGGGATGGGGTGAAGCTAGGCGAGTCCACGTTGAATCGTTTCCTATTGCTAATACGAGTTCTATCGTTAGATGCGTGTCTTGCGAAACTGAGTTGATGGCTGAATTTACCTGTCGGCCTGATGCGCCGCACTGAGTTTCTGAGGATCATGATTGAAAGCACAGCCTGATAAGAGACCTATCAATATCGCGAATCACCCCACCATATTCCGATAAATGATTGGGATACCTTTATCTTCATAGCGACACCGGCCGTAGATGGTCACATTGCGACATAATGTCTCTTTCGCGTTCTCTGTTTCTCAGTCCTTTGTAAGCCACCATCCAACCGTGGTATCGGCCCTCATCTCCGGCAAATTCATCACATCTGCCCTTCTATCCTGACACGGGCCTTGGATCGTTTGCGACGAACTCACCTCGAGTCTTCATTTTCGGCGATCCCGTGGTGCGACGGGAATCGTCCAGAGGGGGTTTACCAGAGGAGGCCATCGTGGAACGGCTAATACCGAGGATACAGGGGGTATCAGCGTAGTGAAGTCTCCATCGAAACGTGGCGAGGAACGAAGTGATAGGATTGTCCGAGAGGAAGCCACATTCCTTGTGATGTGACACCTATCCTACGGCAGTTGGCGCGTTGTGATCGTCAAGAGCGGGTCAATGGGGCAATCGACAATAAGCGGGGACGAAAAGATATTTATCAAAGCGTACACCACACCAGTAAGGATATGGGACCCAATGCGGCTCCTCCCACCCGATTGCTAGACGAGGAGGCGATACAACTGATACGAAGAGACGCGGGGCGAAGGTGAACTCGAGAGCGAAGGGGAAGTGCACGGACCAGGCGGTCAGGCCCGCGATCGAATGGGATCTATACTAAGTTCACTAACTGGCACTTGACTCCCTTGGAGGCATATCAAAAGCTAATTTATACTAATATATGTTAAATATCTGGGATAAGAGAATAATAATTAATGATGTGATCAGATATTGAAAAATATTGCACTGGCTCTATTTGCTGTGTTTATCGCGTCCCGAGGTCCTACTGATGTTGCATAGTAATTCGAGGCCTAATCTACAGGTTTCTATAGTTCTTGAGGAACGTCTTCTAACTCAAATGGCTACATACGATGGGAACACGGGTAGATACGCTCGGCTTATGCACCCCCTGAGACTCAGAACTGAGATTGAATTCAACGCGATTATTCATGGGATATACCATAGTACAATGTTTGCCAGATGGTGGGAACATCAGCTGGGAACCAGCCCAGGAAGACTCATTCTCCCAGGGCAGGTTGTCGGTGATCGGAACACTGAAGCATGCAGTCAAATCCGAGCTGCAATCCACGCTCGTCGAATCATGAACAATGACATTACTGGTATCGACGAGGACTCAGGTCGTCTTCCTTGATTGATTTGGCACCCATTGAAACTCCAGACGAGATATTTGAGAAAGTTCCGTCCATAAAACGACGGATAGCAGCTATAAGTGTTATGTGTGACTATTCAAACCCTTTCCGGAAGCTGAAACCTCCCCCTGTGGAATCTCTGATGATATTTGCAAAGCGAAGCCATAATCCATTTCCTTGAAGTACTTAGAGGCGGAGGCAGCGAAAGGTACACGTGGCATTGCCTTGGACTTCATAAGAGATTACAACAACGTGGAACCAAGTTTGAATAACGACATAGAGCCTGGGTCAATGGTGGCGGCCCACACTGGTTGTGTTGTCTAGTATCAGTCTATAGATGATGATTACTATGGATACTCCTCTGGTAGTATATATGGAGGAGGAGCACCAGCGAGGGCTGGAATGGTAGAGTGATACGCCTGGCTATCTACTGGGGCTGCACAGAAGATTAACGATGAATGGAACGGGTCGTTTGAGGGAAATGAAAAGAGAAACCAGAAAACTTGCTAGGTGTTTTGACCAGCATAGGATGGAAACCTATTTTTTCAAAGATAAGTGTATTATACATAGTAAGAGCATGCTTACATATGTGCCGAGCAAGTTTTTCTCGACAGATGGACCGCTATTTTGATATTCTAGCGTTGCCATTTTCTATGACTAGTAGTATGTGGGTATATTTTATTAAAATGAAGATATTTGATCTTTAAACATATCACTTAGAACATATTTAATCCATACCTTTTACTGCCACGCTGCTAAGTGGCTTATCTTATCTACGCCAGGTGCACATGTGCGCATGATGTAATCTGCCATGCGTCGGACTCTGGGGCTGCAGTACTCTTGTCGGTATCATACAAATATCAACATCCTGTGTTGTAATATTTGCCATACTATTATTTTATCTTATTTTCTGTAAGTATCTATCATTTCTAGTAGTTTGAGAATTTCACATATATTTGAATCAGATTAAGCTATTGAAGGTTGTTGTTCATAGCTGAAAGCGTTTGTCCAAGGCGGTATGACTGGCGGTGTCCTCATTCGCCCGCCTGCCCGGTCCTTCTGAATAGCTCATGCCTGTCATCTACTGCCACATGCACCATGTCCACAACGGATCTCGACCTAGATCAGCTCTCGTCAAGTGAGAGGACTGCTCTCGAGACATACACTACTGTGACTGGTCAAGAATTAACAGATGCTATCCCTTTATTGCGTCGGTCTCAATGGAATGTCCAGGTTAGTGCTGTTCCCTCCAAGCTTCATTGATCGAGCTACATTCTCATGCTTCCCCACAACAGATTGCCATAGCAAAGTTTTTCGATGGAGAAGCCCCGGATCCTGTTGAAGAAGCCCGTGCGGCGCTTCCCCAATCTCCTCCTCAATCAAATCGACAAACCCGAAACTTGATGACAGAGGACTTGACTGAACAACTGTCCCTAAACCCAGTTGCGCGTGCTTCGGATCCGGCCCCCAGAGTCACTACCCAAGCCGAAGATCAACCTGTTTATCGACCGCCGTTTATCATCGCTCTACTGTTTACACCATTTAATTTGGTTTACCGACTGCTGTATAACTCTTTCCGTCTCTTCGGCACGTTGTTTCCTTTCCTACCCCGACTATTTAATGCCACAGCGAACCCAGCGCTCCAAGGGACAAGGCGAAATACAACAGGTCGTCGCACACTTGGCCCTAAGGATACCGCTGCTCGCTTCATCCGCGAGTTTGAAGAGGAATATGGGTCTCACCCCATCCCGTTCTTGGAGAACGGATATAATATGGCGTTGGAGAAGGCTCAACGTGATTTGAAGTTTCTATTGGTAGTCCTTTTATCACCTGAGCATGATGATACGAATGAATGGGTACAAGATACTTTACTAGCACCGGAAGTGCTGGAATATATCAACGACGATCAAAATAACCTCTTGGTCTGGGGAGGCAATGTTCAGGATTCCGAGGCCTACCAGGTGGCCAACTCGTTACGGGTTACCAAGTTTCCCTTTGCAGCTGTGGTCGTGCATACCCCTAGCGTCTCATCTACCGCCATGTCGGTAGTGAGCCGCATTGCAGGCTTTACACCGCCAGCCGAGTTCACGAACAAACTTCGCACCGCCATCTCCTCAAACCAAGGACCACTGGAACGTATTCGCTCATCTCGCGCCGAGCAACAGGCATCTCGAAGCCTTCGTGAACAACAAGACTCCGCCTACGAACGATCACTAGCAATTGATCGAGAACGAGCGCGCCAGCGCCGAGAAGCAGAAGCCGCTCGACAGCGCGAAGAACAAGAGGCAGCCGATCGCCAAGCTGCAGAAGAGAAGAGAGAGCGTGATCTGGCGCAGTGGAAACAATGGCGAGCACAAACCTTGCCTGTGGAACCGGGTACTGACGTCAAAGATGCGGTGCGAATTAGTGTGCGATTACCTTCTGGCGAACGGATTATGCGTCGTTTTGCAGCTGATGCAGAGATCGAGGAACTCTATGCTGTTGTGGAGTGTTACGAGGAATTACAAGCGGGGCGGCTGTCGGAAGTGTCAAAGCCCGAGGAGTTCACGCATCAGTATGGGTTCCGACTGGTTTCACCTATGCCTCGAGCGGTGTATGGGGTGGAAGATGGCGGGACGATCCGCGATAAGATTGGGCGGGGAGGCAATCTGTTGGTGGAACCGATTGAGGCCGATGAGGATGAAAATGAAGTAGAAGAGGAAGAAACTGTAACATGATGTGTATAGAGGATTGCTTTATGACTCAATTCAAGTGACACTTAAATTCGAACCTCTCTCAGAACCAAAAAATAAAAAATAAACAAACCTCGAAACTCCTCCACGTAGGTATGGCTTCGTTGTGATCCTTGTAAATATGACACAAACTCGTATAGATTGGGCGCCTGAGCCAAGCAGATAGTATGCGTAGTGTGCAGATAATCCTGAGATATTATGATATTACAACCATTTCAATAAACTCGAATCCATCTACGTAATTTCATCAGCTGCCGAGCGAAAACATCCATGTCTCATTCAGGCATCCACGCAAGCTGACGCAGCCTTAGTTATAGATATGTGTACTAACTTATGTATGATGTATCTCCCAGTCCTTGTTTAGAACCCTGCAAGCCCTGCGACGGAAACAGAAAAGTCAAAACCAAAGCCACATGTTGGCATGGACGAATCGGGTTCTAACGGTTTCCAGCAAGGGGATCTTGATCTTGATCACATCCCATTTTAGAGATTTACATTTTGTGAGAGTTTAATCAACCTCCTATCAAATCAGAGATTAGTTTCCTTTGTTTCAGCGTACAATCTCAGTGGTCCGAAAGTTGGTCCGTTGATCTCTTGGACGAATCCGGACGAAGGTGGATGAGTCAGCGGACCGGATGTCCGGGTGTGAAGTATCCGAGCGGATGAAATGCAGGCGAAACGGGCGAAGCAAGCAATGCATTTTTTGATTGTGGGGCGTGGAGTCGGAAACGAGGGCCTCCGGTCCACTTTTCTCGTGTCAATTGGAAAATTCTATTTTTTATTCTATTTTTTATTCTGTTTTTCTGATTTTTATGTTTGTTATCAGGTGAAACACGTGAAGTCGGGGAATTTGCCATATGTTTTCAGTTAAGAGTCATAATGAGTAATGTCTATTCTTTTTTCTTTTCAAAGGAATAAACCATCTTTGTACGTACTATAATTCTTTTTCATCATCTTCCCCTATCACATCTTCTCTATATCTCACGGTAAAGGTAGAAACTGGGAACCACCCCTTAGCATTATCTACAATAGGACTAGAGCCCGATCCAGGGTGTCAGCAATAACCATCCATTAGGCAGCGTATCGATAGAACCAATAGAACGAATCGAATCTTAATGTTTCCATTAATGTTCTTTCATACTTGTTATAACTTGACACTCGGGCCCCCCTCGCTCCACCGGAATGCCCGTCTACCGTGCTCTATCCGTCGGAGGCAAAGTCTGGATTCTTCCCGAACCCGATTTTTGCGATTTATGCAAGTTGGCGACTCCTATTTATCGTCTTTTGGCCCCCGGATCCTTCCTTTTTGCTGATCTTGAATTCGCGTTTTGAGTCGTGTCGTTGATTCCTTTCTCTCTTTTCTTCTATTATTGCCTCCCTTTCTTCATCTAATACCCTAATACATCTACAACCACCCCTAATCGGTATCATCAATCTTTTAATCTTATACTCATATTTCCGACGCCAACAACAAATTACCCCCTTATTGGTCCGCCTCTCAACACCACCAGTTCATGGTGATTTCCTAACTACTTATTCGCGACTCTGACACTGGGTCATACTTTAATATCTACGCCAATTGCGCCCAGGTAGCTCGCCATGTCGCTGCTGGGGACGCTAAATTCCAACGTGACGGAGGTCCAGGAATCCTCCGCATCGCGCGAGGCTCGTCGTCATGACCCTGCCGCTAGTGTGAGCACGGACGAGACAATGATGGGCGACGAAGAGAAGGTCGAGGTCGCCAACGAAGACCAAATTGAGGAGGAAGTTACTCGTCTTGCTCAGAAATTAACCCGTGAATCGACTCGCTTCTCTGTGACTGAAGCCCAAAATACTTTCCTTGAGACAAAGGAAGATTCGACTCTCAACCCTGCTAGTCCTAACTTCAGAGCTCGTAACTGGATGAAGAACTTGCTTGCTATTACTTCGCGGGACCCGGAACGCTACCCATCACGCCAGGCTGGTATCTCCTTCCGTAACCTTAGTGTACATGGATTTGGAAGTCCTACCGATTACCAGAAGGATGTTTTCAATTCGATTTTCCAGATCGGTGCTGTTTTCCGTACGTTGACTGGTACTGGAAAGCAAAAGATTCAGATTCTGCGCGATTTTGACGGTTTGGTTAAGAGTGGTGAGATGTTGGTCGTGCTGGGTCGTCCTGGTAGCGGTTGCTCTACTTTCTTGAAGACTATGGCTGGTGAGATGAATGGTATCTACAAGGATGAAAAGTCTCAGATGAATTACCAGGGTATCTCCGATAAGAAGATGAAGAACCAGTTCCGTGGCGAAGCCATCTACACTGCCGAGACTGATGTTCACTTCCCTCAGCTGCTTGTCGGCGACACTTTGAAGTTTGCTGCCCTCGCTCGTGCTCCGCGTAACCGTCTGCCAGGCGTTTCGCGCGACCAGTACGCTGAGCATATGCGTGACGTTGTCATGGCTATGCTGGGTCTGAGCCACACTATCAACACCCAGGTTGGAAACGATTTCGTGCGTGGTGTGTCTGGTGGTGAGCGCAAGCGTGTCAGTATTGCTGAAGCCACTCTGTGTGGTAGCCCGATTCAATGCTGGGATAACAGTACCCGTGGTCTGGACAGTGCCAATGCCCTTGAGTTCTGTAAGACTCTGAACCTGATGTCAAAGTACTCCGGCACTACCTGTGCTGTTGCTATTTACCAGGCTTCTCAGAGTGCCTACGATGTATTTGACAAGGTTACTGTTCTGTACGAGGGTCGCCAGATCTATTTCGGTCGCACTGATGAGGCTAAGCAATTCTTCATCAACATGGGTTACGATTGCCCGGAGCGTCAGACTGATGCCGATTTCTTGACTTCCCTTACTAGTGCCTCGGAGCGTATTGTGCGCCCTGGCTTTGAGAATGCTGTTCCCCGCACTCCTGATGAGTTTGCCGCTGCTTGGAAGAACAGCAAGGAATACCGCAATCTGATGAAGGAGATCGAGGAATACGACCAGTTATATCCCATTGGTGGAGAGTCTTTGCAAAAGTTCATTCAGGGTCGTAAGGCTATGCAAGACAAGAACCAACGTGTTGGGTCTCCATATACTATGTCGGTTGTGCAGCAGGTTAACCTTTGCATGATTCGTGGATTCCAACGACTAAAGGGTGATGCCAGTTTGACATTATCTCAACTCATTGGTAATTTCATTATGGCTTTGATTATCGGTTCCGTCTTCTTCAACTTGCAAGAAACTACTGATAGTTTCTACTCTCGTGGTGCCCTTCTCTTCTTCGCTGTCCTGCTTAACGCATTCTCCTCTGCCCTCGAAGTAAGTTATAGAATTGACTTTTTACCGCTCATCATTCTACTTTCTTCTTTGACTAACAAAATCTTAACTAGATCTTGACCCTTTACGCGCAACGTCCTATTGTCGAAAAACAAGCCCGTTATGCTATGTATCACCCCTTCGCCGAGGCCATTGCATCGATGCTGTGTGATATGCCTTACAAGGCGCTTAACGCTGTGACCTTCAACGTGACCCTTTACTTCATGACGAATCTGAACCGAACCCCTAGCGCCTTTTTCATTTTCTTGATCTTCTCCGTTGTCACCACCTTGACCATGTCCATGGTGTTCCGAACAATCGCCGCTTCCTCCCGTACTCTCTCTCAGGCCCTGGTTCCCGCTGCCATCCTGATCCTTGGTCTGGTCATCTACACTGGCTTCACGATTCCAACTCGTAACATGTTGGGCTGGTCTCGCTGGATGAACTATATTGATCCCATTGCCTATGGATTCGAGTCCTTGATGGTCAACGAGTTCCATGGTCGGACTTTCGAGTGCCTCGAGTCTTCTATGATTCCTCATGATGGTCCTTACGCGGCTCTTTCGGATGCCTATAAGGTCTGCGGCACAACGGGTGCCAAGGCTGGTTCAAACATTGTCTCCGGTACCGACTACCTTACTGAGAACTTCCATTATTACGACAGCCACAAGTGGCGTAATTTGGGTATTATGTTCGGTTTCATGGTTTTCTTCTGTGCTACTCACCTGCTTGCTACTGAGTACATTTCTGAGTCCAAGTCTAAGGGTGAGGTCTTGCTTTTCCGTCGTGGACACGCTCCCAAGTACGCTGAACACGGTGACGAGGAAAGCACTGAGGTTATTGGCTCTGCGAAGAAGACAAATGAGACCGATAGCCAGGAAGTCACTGGTGGTATTCAGCGTCAAACTGCTATCTTCCACTGGCAAGATGTCGTCTACGATATCAAGATCAAGAATGAGGAACGCCGTATTTTGGACCATGTCGACGGTTGGGTCAAGCCCGGTACTTGCACTGCTCTGATGGGTGTTTCTGGTGCTGGTAAAACTACTCTCTTGGATGTTCTTGCTACTCGTGTTACTATGGGCGTTGTTACCGGTGAAATGCTTGTTGATGGTCGCCAGCGCGATCAGTCTTTCCAGCGAAAGACTGGCTACGTCCAGCAACAGGACTTGCATTTGTACACTACTACCGTGCGTGAGGCTCTTCGATTTAGTGCTATGCTCCGTCAGCCCGCCCACGTCTCCCGTCAGGAGAAGCTGGACTATGTTGAAGAGGTTATCAAGCTTCTTGGTATGGAGGCTTACGCTGATGCCGTTGTCGGTGTGCCCGGTGAAGGTCTGAACGTTGAGCAGCGTAAGCGTCTCACCATCGGTGTCGAGCTTGCTGCCAAGCCTCAGCTGCTTCTCTTCCTGGATGAGCCTACTTCCGGTCTGGACAGTCAGACTTCGTGGTCTATTCTTGATCTCATCGACACTCTGACCAAGCACGGCCAAGCTATTCTCTGCACTATCCACCAGCCTTCCGCTATGCTTTTCCAGCGTTTCGATCGTCTCTTGTTCCTCGCTAAGGGCGGTAAGACTGTCTACTTCGGTGATATCGGTGAAAAGTCCTCTACTCTCTCCAACTATTTCGAGAAGAATGGTGCTTCCCCGCTACCCTCTGAAGCCAACCCTGCCGAATGGATGCTCGAAGTTATTGGTGCCGCACCTGGATCCCACTCTGATATCGATTGGCCTGCCGTCTGGAGAGATTCCCCCGAGCGCACAGGAGTGCTCGAGCACCTTGCCGAGCTCAAGACCACACTCTCTCAGAAGCCCATCGAAGAATCCAGCAACGATCCATCCAGCTACAACGAATTCGCCGCTCCTTTCATGGTCCAGCTGTGGGAATGTCTTGTCCGTATTTTCAGTCAGTACTGGCGTACTCCAGTCTACATCTACTCCAAGGCCGCTCTCTCCATCTTCACTGCTCTCTACATCGGTTTCTCCTTCTTCCAGGCTGAAAACAGTCTCCAAGGTCTTCAGAACCAAATGTTCAGTATTTTCATGCTAATGACCATCTTCGGTAACCTGGTCCAACAAATCATGCCTCACTTCTGTACCCAGCGCTCCCTCTACGAAGTTCGCGAACGCCCCTCAAAGACATACTCCTGGCAAGCATTCATGGCCTCAAACATCATTGTCGAACTCCCCTGGAACACTCTCGCCGCCATCCTCATCTTCGTCTGCTGGTACTACCCCATCGGTCTATACCGTAATGCCGAACCAACAGACGCAGTCCACACCCGCGGCCTGCTAATGTTCCTGCTCATCTGGACTTTCCTCCTCTTCACCTCTACCTTTGCACACATGATCATCGCCGGTATCGATCTCGCAGAAACAGGTGGTAACCTTGCCAATTTGTTCTTCTCTCTCTGCCTCATCTTCTGTGGTGTACTTGCTACACCATCTCAGATGCCTGGCTTCTGGATCTTTATGTATCGCGTTTCACCATTCACGTACCTTGTCTCAGCTATGCTGTCAACAGGTGTCTCGGGTACAGACGCTGTCTGTGGAGCTGTTGAATACGTCACTCTTCAACCTCCTAACAACCAGACTTGTTACCAGTATATGGAGACCTATATTGATGCTTTCGGTGGATACCTGAAAGATAAAGATGCTACTTCCGATTGCGCTTTCTGCACAATTTCTAATACCGATGCGTACCTTGCTCAAGTTGGAAGTTACTTCTCTGACGCTTGGCGCAACTTCGGTTTCATGTGGATCTATATTATCTTCAATATCTTCATGGCCGTGTTTATCTACTGGCTTGCTCGTGTGCCTAAGGGAAGCCGAAACAAGAGCAAGAGCTCTTAGGGTAGGGTGTCGTGGCTTCGTTACCATGCTCTCTTCTCTTTCTTTTTTTTATTTATTGTTAATACTAAAATATTCCTGTTGTTTATTTGAATCTGTTGAGACTTGCTTGTTATTTCGAGGCTTGCTTGTTCGATATTAGATTTGCTTTTCTTTTCGTTGTACACATTTACACTTTCCACTCATGTTGACATTGTGACTCTTAGAGAGTTCTATCTAGATTAGATATTTGAAGATAAACCAAACATATTCATCATTATTTGCCTCCTGATTTCTCCATTCCATCTTGTACAGAAATCATCCACGGATGTAATATTTTGAAATATGTAGGTATTTATTTTTGTCTACTCCGGTCCCCTCCGAGTCCAGTCCCTTCAGCCGCTCCAGCCGCTCCAGACACTTGATGTTTCAACACACGGCTTCCAAGAAATAGTGCCGATACTTCTCCATCATGATGCTGATATTGAGACTTACTGGGCCAATGTAAAACTTGTATAAAAAACACCAATTATACGGGCACAATCAGCGACTGAAAGCAAAACCTCGCTGCAAAATTTCCAGGAATTGGTTCGAAACATTATAAATAGTTGGCATAGAACGTATCATTGTATCATCGCGAGAACAGGGACGTGAATCATCACAAGTTTCTGCTGTAACAGAATTTTGCAAGACAGGGGTACGGCATAGATCGAAAAGGATCCGATCAATTGAGGACGGGATAGGTGGAAGCCCGTCCCAATGATAAAGTGTAATTACGATAGAAATCATTTGAGACAGTGGGGATATCTGTTATATAGTCAAGTAATTTATGCATTCGTTAAATAGGTATAAGCGAAATTTATCACAGAGAAGAAAAGGCTAAGAAATAAGACAAAAGGTAAAGATATGATGTCAAATCGAGAAGATTTGATAAAGAAGCAAAAATCTACCACGTAAAAGCCTCCTCCACAAAATCAACAACAGCCCCCCTTCCAATCCTCTCCCTACTCGCCATTCGAACCTCATCCGCAAATGCCCCAGGCCCACAAACCGAAACAAGCGTTGCACCCACCCTCTCCGGCAAAACCTCATCAAGGACAACATCAGGTCTGCATCGTCCTGAATACATCTGCACCGTCTTAGACGGAGAGACTATATCGGCTGCACGCCGAGGCTTGGAGACAAATAGCTTGATAACGAGGATATCGCGACGCATGGGCAACTTCAATATCTGGTCCATCCATTTGGTTACCCATGCAAGATGGTCTGTAGATCTTATGGACCAGATAAGGTAGACGCGGCGGGTAGCTGCTGTTTCGGCTGCGGCGCGAAGAACAAGCTCTCGCGTATAGAGGAGATGGTGTGTTATTCCTGCACCGGCTGAGAAGAGGACCGTCGTGCCGTAGCTTTTGGGGTTTGCGGGGTGTGAACCGTATGGGCCTTCGATGAAGCCTGGTCCGGTGAAGGTGCGATTTGGTTTTGATAGGGCTAGGTCGTAGAGGCGGCGGGTCATGCCTTGGCGGGCGCTGATTATAAGAGAGACCTCTGTTGGTTGGGGACGGTTATCTTGGAGGTTGTCCGGGTAGAAGTTGAAGCCTTGTTTTTCGAGAGAGGAGGGGGTGAGGGGCGGGTTGTTAGATTTGGAGTCGATTTGGGATTGTGTGTTCCGGGGCTCGGCCCATGCAATTGAGAATGGGTGGGACATCCACCATGATACGCTGGGGATGTAGGCAAAAACGTGACACCCTGGCTGTATGTCGACGGATTTGGGGAGGTGAAAGGTGACTCGGCATGCTTCTCCTTCGAGAGCTTGGATGGTCATTCGGGTACAGCCGTGTTTGGGGGAGAGGTTCAGGTATGCAAGGCGAATAAGTCGTGTGGTGCGTTCGATGAGCCAGATTGCGGCGACGGCATGAATCCAGGGTTTTTGGGGGAGATTATCCAGGTCTAAATGGAGGTATACGCCGATGAATGCTAATAATGCGAATAGTTGGTGGAGATGAAGGAAGGTCTCGTAGAAGGCATGCCGAATTGGCGAGGGCGAGTGCAAGGACAGAGCTACCATTGAGCAGGTGCCTAGTAGACCCCAGGAAAAGAAAGGCGTATCTCTCAAACGTGCGAGCATATCGGTGAAGTTTTGCTCGGCGCAGGCGTTGACTGCCCAGGCTGTGGTATGGGTGACGGTTTCTAATACAACAATGCGGCCCAACCATCGGTGAAGAAGATTGTATGTGTCGAAACTAATATGTAAAATAGATATGAGGGGATTATTGCGACTCGCCAGGAGAAAAAGCGGCACCATGTTGAAAACTGCCAGAGTACCCGACCGTCCGCGCAGTTCTGCTATCAGCGCCTGCTTTTCGTTGACCTTGTAGTCTAGAAACAGGCAATACACAACCTGACTTGTAAGATACAAGGAGACTAGTATGGTCTGAAACCGAGATGGAAGAGTGCCTATTCCTACCGCGGAAGACAACTGGACCTCTCGGTTATGTCTTTTCCTGCCCAGAGGGGCGTATAGGACGTTTTTCTTCAGCCAGGGCCACCATTTGGATTGTTCTTGGCTCCAGTACGTTTGTTGTCTTCGACTGGAGGAGACAGAGGTAATCTGGCGAAGATATGCATGGCTTATCTGAGCGATCCGGCCGCTGAATATAATGAAAGCCAGGACAATGACTGAGGAGTAGATGATCCGCGCAATGAGTACATCGAGGGGGACATTAACGCCATTCAGCCCTCTGGAATATTCATATATGTATGTCACATTCGGTCCGTAGTTTCGTATCGCGAGATGCGAGGAAGGCCCGGCCATTGAAATGCCCCAGACTCGCTGAAAGGCTGTTGATGTCGAATACTCGGGTAGTCGTTAGGGTTTATGGGAATATCCTGTATGAGTAGATGGGGTATGTGTCGAGAAAGAGAAGGTCCAAATCGCAGATCCGTTTCACTTTAATGAAGTTCCGTCCAGTTGTCGAATCGGAGAGGTGTCTAAGTATGCAGTTCGGTTCTTTCGTTTCGAGGCGGGCCGTGGAGATGCGAAGACGAGCCAGCGAAATGGGGTATAAACAGATCAGGGCCAGCGATCAGAATTGAATAGAAGGTTTAAGCAGCAAACAGGAGTGAACAATGGACTGTTGTAAATGTGGAGGCAGAAATGTGTCAATGACCGTTCAATATGGCCCTGAGTGAATGACGCTGACAATCAGATGAGAAGCAAAAGCTGGTAAACAAGCGCTAAGGTGCATATGACGACAGCTAAACAGTTGGTCTCTGGAATCCGGCAAGACTCAACGGATCGCTAATACACAGATCTGCAGTTGCCTATCTCTTCCAGGCATCGTCCAGGGCTGAGGAATGTAGGAATCCGGGCAGGCAACAGGTGGAAGAGGCGAACACGTTTTTACTCCTGGCCAGAAAGGGAAAGTCCGAGAAATGAAATGAAGAGAATTCAAGTAAGAAGAAGATTCTAATAGAAAAAGAAGAAGAAAAGAAAGAAGTTGAGAATCAAATCAAGTGTAATTTCGCAATGTAGTGGAGGTTGTCTATAGAAGATGCACAATCAAGGGACCAGCCGCTCTGAAGGGGGAAAGGAGAAGGAAAACCAAACGAAAATTCGAAACTGAAGACGAACTGTTCTGAAAGCCAAGCTTTCCAGCGGCCAGAGGTCTTTTTAAAAATAACAAACCTACAGGGCTCAGATGCATCATAGATGACATGCCATATCTGAGAATGCATTGTTCTTCAGCCACTGTTTGGCCTAGAGGTGGTGTTTGCCTTAGCGCCCAGCACTTTACCCGGGCCTATCAGGGCTTCCCCTTTCATGATCAGGGGGTAAGACCGGTTAAGACCAGTGTTTCTGCAAGATGCAGGCATCGCGCAAGCCAGTTCTCTGATTTGTTGGTTTGATTGGGGCCCAGAAGCCCTTGCAGATCTCTGACCAGCGTAACGCCCTGGATGGGTACTGGCAGGGTCCAAGCTGGAGCGGCGGGAGCCTGTCATTTCACACCGAATGGATATATCATAGGAGTATTCCATGTTTCTGAGAGTCAGATAAGCTAGAGAATATCTGTGGACTGTTTCAATTAGTAGTCAGTGCCAGGTGGGGTTGGTGGATGTTTCAAACATGTCATTTGGAAACCGCCGACCGTGCGGTTCATATTGATGGCGGGCATGGAAGACAGTGCATTGCTTGGCGAGTTAATAAGGTCGTACGATTTCATTTATTCTGATACAATGGCATTTGACCGGATCCCACAATGCTTGAATGGCTGATTCAAATAAGGTATTTTGGCTTATGGTTCATATTAAGCCTGTCATCTTATCGGAGAGAGAGAGAGATGTTGATGCCCTGATGCCTGAATTAAGGGGTGTAAATGGCACGTGCTCACAGCAGGAACGAACCAATCAAAAGGGGGCATCTAATTATATAGTCTCAACGGGTCACTGTGCGTGTTTACTTTCAAAAATCCAACCTCCCAACGAGATATTGAAGTACTTCGTGTATAATATATAAATCTAAGGGTATCTGGATCATGATCATACATAATGTTACAATGAAAGAAAATCAGCACCTAGAGCACGTACTCGATGCATGCCTATTGAACAAACCACCCACCCTTCTCCCAATCTCGATCTCCATCGGGACCTCTGCGAGCCTCTGGGTCACGTACACCATTCAAAAGTATCTTCAACCTTGCAAAGTCTATCGGTTTCATGACCCAGCCATCAAAACCAGTATCGATATAGGAGGTCTCATCTCGCTCAAGAAGAGATGCAGACACCGCAAGAATGGGAATCCGGGAGTCAGACCTCTGGAATTCGATATCGCGAATTGCTTTGGTTGCAGCCATTCCGTTAAGGATCGGCATCTGGAGTGTTTGGTCAACATGGAGCACAATTATTTACTTTGAGTAATTTGGCGCCAACCTGAATGTCCATCAAAATCGCATCAATAGTCTCGCCCTCAGACGCTAATGCCTTCACGCATGCTTCTCCATTGCTGGTCGACTGGACTGTATGTCCGAGTTTGCTTAATCGTTTTTCCATAATCTTGCTGTTGACCGGGTTGTCTTCCGCGATCAGAATGTTCAAGCTCGTATCATTTAAAGATGAAACTGGTGTATCAGGCACGGCGTTATCAGAGGTACCCTGAGAGTTCTCTTGAGCTGATCTGTGTTGCGAATCTGACGTAGGAGAATTTGATTGCTGGGATCTGTCGACAGGTCGTATGGGAAGGCTCAAGGATATTTGTTGCTGTTGGTCTGACTCGCCCTCTTTGTCAGGAGAGTCGTCCTGTAATTGCAATGGCTCAGTAGACCGAGGCTTTCCATGTCTGAGATAACTATCAGTTGAATCATTTCCGGCGTTTTGTCGACTGTCGCGCTTATCGCTTTTCATCAGGATAAAATCTCCCTCTAATATTGATGGCGACTTCGGCATTTGGAGAAGACTGGATCTATTCGAATCCTGCACTGGCAATGAAGATGCCTCTCCCGGGATCTGGAATGGAAGGATAACCTTGAAACGGCTGCCTTGGCCTTCTGTAGACTTGACAACCAACTGCCCTTGCATTGTGTGGACAATGCGAGCCGCCAAAGCAAGGCCAGTACCCAGCACACGTTTATTTTGACTTTGGAAATGACCTTCGTCGTCGTCTCCGGTTAATTCCCTGTCTGCATAGACCTCTTCAAGCTCTTGGAAAAGGCGCTCCTGTGTTGATTTCGGCATCCCTGATCCTGTGTCTATAACTGATATTTCAACTGAAACCCGATCACTTTTTACATCAGATGTAGATACTTGAACAGTCACACCACCCTGTGACGTGTGCTCAATGGCATTTGCAATAAGATTCACAAAGACTTGCCGTAATCGACGCTCGTCACCCAGCACCACATCTGGAAGCCCGGGATTCATTTTAAATTTGTAGGAAATACCTTTCGTTTTGGCCTCACTGGCCAGCAATCCAAACGCGTCGTGTAACGTGGGTTCCAACTTGAAAGAATCATTCTTGATGAGTTGTTGTCCATTTTCAGTGGCGAGGTCTAGAAGATCATTCATGATATAAACAAGTGACTTGGAGGCCGTGTAGGAGCGGATCAGGTTTTCACGAGTGTCTTCATCTAGAGTGCTTTCCATGGCAATTTCCAAGTAATTGATCACTGCGTTCAGGGGTGTTCGAAATTCATGGGCCGAGTTGGCCAGCAATAGACGTGTAAGCTGAGAGTTCCTCTTGAGAATGTCCTTCTGTCGCCAAACTTGAATGAATTTGCCGTAGACCGATCCAAGAATCCCCGCCGTAGAGATGTCAGACTGAGACCACTCTTTTGACCGACTGAGGGTAATTTCGCGCCATTCTTTGAAGCTTTGACGTGGTGTCAGAGGCCCTATACCGCCACCAGAAGACTTGTGTGGATTGCCAGCCCATCTGATGGTTTTCACTTGACCAAGACGGAAGAAAATGATAAAATCATGTCCATTGGGAGATATTGGGACATAGAGCAAGCCTGAGAGTCGCTTTAATCCAGGTTTGTAGACTAAGTCGGAAAAGTCTTGCCCAATATCATGCGATGCCAGGATTGAGGTGACTTTTCGTTGACGAATGTATTCCACCAGGGCAAGGACTTCTTGAGAATTTGTCTCGCCGCCAAAAAGCTTCGCTTCGTTTCCAATAGAAAGAACACCATAGTCAGCTTGGAAGAGTTTTAATAAGTCTTCTGAAGATCCCACGATATATTTTGATGGATCTGCTTCTTTTGGAACCGAGTTCATCATAACACGTGTTTGAAGATCAGAGGCGCGATTAATACGCTCGATGTTTCGAGCTACAGTATCGCCGACCAGACGGCAAAGTTTACGTATCGGGAAAGGCACACGTATACCATCTTCACCGTACCCATGACAAGATATCAAGCCCCAGAGGTTATCATAGGCATTGATGCTGATTGACATCGATGAACGCACTTTCATGTTTGCCAAATATTGATTGTGGATTGGCGACATCGCCCGTAGGTAGGCGTGGCTCATATCAAGAGGCGTTTCAAGATCCTCCAAGGTCCGACATACCAGTCGTGCTGTAGGATGATCCCGGTTGTATAATAATCGGACTTTATTGATCTTGTATAGCTCACGGGCCTGAGCCGGGATATCTGAAGCGGGGAAATGAAGACCTTGATATAGATCTACAGTAACATTGGGATCCATGATCTCAGCTACCACCCGACCGTTTGCATTTTCATCAAATTGGTAAACCATAACTCGATGGAATCCAACCAATTCTTTTACCAATCCCGCGGTGACTTTGAGTAGCATCTCTTGTTCAACCACCTCCGAAAGCTGTGCCTGTATCTGAGAGAGTACACCAAAGACCTGCATTGAAGCAGCCTCACCCTTTCTCAACCGGGCTTCTCGAATAGAACGCACCGAATTGCTTGCACTGATTGTACTTTCGGCATACTGAGCTGCACTTGGAGTTGGCGTGGTTTGTAAAGTACTTATGGGAGTATCAGGGGGCTTTCGATCCTCAACATTCAATGGGTTCAGTGTGTCTGTCTCCAGTTCAAACTCGCAGATGATTATAGCCTTGTTTTCTTGGTTGACGTGTGTTGCGCACCAATACCGAGTGTGATTGCCGGACGGCTGTTCAATTGTCAGGAGGAAAACCTCGGGACCATCGATGATCAAGTCATATGAGTCATCTCGAACATAGTCAATATGTTCCAGAAAAAGGCCTCGTTGTTCTACACTCAATATATCGGTGAAGCTTTCCAAGGCAAAAAGTTGTCGTGGCGAAACCCCCATGATTCGTCTCGAATTTTCGCTCACCACACGAACGACAAGCTGACCAGGGGACTCCTCTCTTAGGGCAATCATCACCCCAAAGCTTTGAATTGCACCTGGGGTCCGAATTGGCTCATCTTCACACCGCTCAATGGCAAATTTGCCATCTTCAGACTTTACAGAATGTCCGTTCTCTGTGAAAACATGTTCGAAGCGGGAGGTCATTAAGGATTGATCCTCAGTGGGAGGTCCTTGGGACGGTGCATCCAAAGGGCCGACTAAATCTGCCGTGTGGTCCAAATCTCCTGTAGCAGGCGTGTTCGAAGATATCTCATCGTGAACAGAAACACTCAGGCTATTATGGGAGACTGCATGGTCATCTTGATTTGGATAAGGAACTGTTACCTCAGGCAGCGAATGTATCCTAGAGATTGGCGTGTCCGCCTGATTCAGAGATTCCTCTGATTCATCAATCGCTGGTGGTGGAGACGCATGAGAATCACGCGCCAGCTTCATCGCGACAAGCGATCGGATTGGATATATTCGATCAGAGCCACTGAGGCTTGTGCCAGACATGCGACCATCATTTTGGCTGCCAGATCCGGTGCGTTGGCTTTGAGAGGTCTGAATAGAGTTTTCTAAGCTTGTCTGTGATGTTTCTGGACCACTGCCGGAGGAGTTTTGCGATGTCATGGTCACGGACGAGGTGGAATACTAGTATTAAACAAAAGTAAAATCTAGAACAGCAAAGGTGACGAGTTTTTTCGGGATCCACTGTATATCATGGTAGGCGAGGAGCCAAGTTGTGTGCTCCTGTGGTCAGTATAATTGTGAGAATCCAATTGTGCCAATTTTGCAGTAATCAGCGAAGAACAGTAAAGGACACCTCTAAAACATTTCGGGGCTGATCGTTGTACATACATCTATATCAAAATTGTCGATCGCAAAGTGTACCCCACAATGACGCACAATAGATGTGACGTCACGTACCGCACCAAGTCTCGAGTCTTGGCAAAATAAAAGAAATATTTATGGGTCATGGCTTGAAATCGATGTGGTCATATGTGGGATTAGCAGTAAATGATCCATTTGGAACCTTGGAATGTTCAGAAGTGCGTGGGAAGGAACAGCCCTGGGGAAGGAGTCGGAATATGAAAGAAACGTGGCAGCACCAACCCCCCAAATTGCACTGGAATTCCTTCAAGTCGATGGGAATACAGTTTATTTTTTCAGACCATTTTAACAAGTCAAGTCCGCCCATGAGTTTCCTATTTCCCGAATTTGTCTCCTGCCTTGCAGCGTAAAAGGCAAAACTATGTATACTTGGGATTTGCTTACGGTAGAAGTTGAAACCAAATCCGTGCTCTTCAGGCACGAACGCGTTCAAGTTCTTTCCAATGCCCCACTCAGAATAAGGGAATAAGCTAAGCATTAATTCGGCAAGAGACATCTAGACCTTGTTCGAGACTTCCGGCATCATGATTGGCTATACGAGACGGGCTTAACCCGCTTCAAAATTCTTACTATACATATGATCTGTCTTCAAGGTCTATCAAATGAACCAAGGAACAGCTCCCTTTGAATCAACAAGTAGTGAATCCAAAGAATTCAACCAACTTGGTTGACTGCTACGCGCATCACAGTCTGCAGCAAGATCTTTCTGCTTCCAAAATGACTGGATGATCTCCCTCAGAATGAAGATATTACCAATACTGCGTGCTTCATCCATATGGTCCAGCATACGAATGATTACCAATCTTTGTTCGTCCGAGTCCGCTTCACAGGCTATGACGAACAATGGCCATGGACTTGTGCAAATAGAGAGGCGGTTGAAAATATGGAATGCCTGTGTCAAATATGCTTCTCTCTCGCGGCGCCGATCCAAATAATCTGCATGGATACGCTGGTGATATAATAAAGCTGATAATCGGTAGAGCTCGGCAGTCTCTATAACCTTGCGGTGCTCTTCGATGGTACACGTTTGAGACTCAAAACCTTCGACAGGGGAAACATTTTGCGTTAGGGAGGTGAGTCTGCCTTCTAAGATGAGAGCTTCTGTAATATCGGGAGGACCTGACATGATTTTACATCGTATTTGATTTAGACCATGAATTGCCTTTAGGACCTCTAGAGAACATCCAAGAGATCCAATAACCTAGCATCGACAGTTAGACAATTTCTGATCAGCAGTAAAGGTTGACAAAGTATCGCAGAACTCACAACTGTTTCATCGAAGCTGTCATCTGCCAAAAGATCAATGGAAGGTGTTCCTTTTTGAATGAGTTGTAGAGGTTGACTGGCGGCACCAAGAACTTCATGGTAAACTAGCCATGTATAAAGGAATTGATATCGAAGATTCCCCCCGGATACATTCCATAGATGATACAACATGGCCTTTGCTCCGTCTAGGTGAAAATACCAATTTTCCTCTGTCTCATCGAAAACCTGAGGTTCATGGTTAGCTTATCGAGAAGCCTTGCGGATGAGAACAAAAAAAGGTAAAAAAGGGGGGTTTACACTATAAACACAAAGCATCATCGATGCAGCAAGTTGTGTATTAGCAATAGCTGTGCCGCTGTGTGTCTCTGACGAAAGTGACGATGACAACCAACGTACGGCCTTGGCTTTGAACTGTAGGGCGGCTGTCGCTCCATATCTATGGAAAGCCGAGACCGCCATAATAGCGTTCCGTAGAGCTAAAGACGCAGAACTGGAAGAAGCGAGTGCCATCGGCATGAGCTCGGAGCGAAACCCGTTAGTCGCGTCGATGGTCGATATCATACGCGATATTCGACTTTCATCTTGGATAATAGATATATGAGCAGTTGATTAAATTAATGAAAGTTCATACAGTAAAAAGCTCACAATATTCTAAGATACCCAGTTCGTTGCCAAGCAGCTGAGGGTAAATGGACAGACCAGCGGAAGGGCGACAAGAGAGAGTGTGGGCGGCTGTGACTCGATTAATAATGCCATTGATATTAAGCCAGGAGGGATGACGAAGGTCATCCATAGTGGTGTTTAGAAACTGTGATTCTTTGAAGACTGAAAGTAACGGAGAGCACGGGTGATCACTGTAATTCGTGGGACATGATCGGCGTCTCCTCCCGTCGGACTGTTCAGGCCAAATGAGACGCACCCCGTAGCCAAGACACTCTCTTCCATTGCGTTGGCAGTTATTACATGCCGGGGTAATTTTGTCACAGCTTGTTTTCCGCTCTAATTATTATCTCTATCAGCAACCCCGCCATCATTATGTGGGGAACATCAGGAGGGGAAAAAGGGTGTGGCAGACGCACTCTTACATGTCCAACACCTTTGCTTAGCTTTTCCAATCGGGTTTATTTCAGCAGCTCGCTTTGCAGCTGCTGTCATGGCTGAAGCTATTTGAGTGGAGTAGTTGAGTAATACAAAAGGGTGCAGCGAGGGTATAGCGATCCGGGTGGTGCACCGTGGTCACTTCGATGCCTGATTGATGCCTGCGTCTGACTGTGCTGGATCCACTTGCCCCACAATTCAAGACTGAGGGCAATACTTTGCGATCTTCTATCAAGTAGATTGTGGAGAAGAGCTTCCGAGGGGATTTAATACCGAATATTAGATAAACTTTGCGATCGAAAGGATTTCTTCTTAACCAATTTAAGAAAGTAGATGCGGTTGCAGCAGCCTTGGAGGTATGGAGCGCAGAAAATGGCCGGTTGTAAAGATCGGCTGGCACTATATAAGGTGGCAGACCACGCACATTCAGTAATGGAGTCAAAAAGTTCAATTACCACCGGCATTTGCTCTTTCAAAAGACAATCTTACCGTACAAAACCAGTCTACTATGGCTACCTCCAACAAAGTTCGTCTAGGTGCCGTACAGGCAGAGCCAGTCTGGCTCGACCTCGATGGCAGTGTTGACAAAACCATCCATCTCATTGAGAAAGCTGCCTCAGATGGAGTTCAAGTACTTGGATTTCCCGAGGTGTGGATTCCGGGATACCCATGGTAAGACTCGATCTCTTCCCAATGAATATTTTCAGATCTTAGACTAACAGCGAACGATCAAGGAGTATGTGGACATCTGCAGTAATCAACAACACACACATCATCCACGAGTACATGGCAAACTCCATGCGACGGGACTCAGAACAAATGCGTCGCGTCCAAGCTGCCGTTAAAAAGGCCAACATGTTCATCGTCCTCGGATACAGTGAGCGAGAGGGTGGCAGCTTATACATGGCGCAATCATTCATCTCACCCGATGGAGAAATCGTGCATCACCGCCGCAAGATCAAACCCACCCATATTGAACGCACTATCTGGGGAGAGGGCCAAGCCGAGTCCCTCAAATGTGTAGTCGACTCCCCATTTGGAAAGATCGGTGGCTTGAACTGCTGGGAACACCTCCAGCCACTGCTGAGATACTATGAGTACTCGCAAGGCGTGCAGATTCATGTAGCTAGCTGGCCGGCTGAATTTGAAATGCCTGACCCGGCAAAGATTAGCTGGCTGTATCATGAAACGGGAGAGGCGAGTTCTCGAGCAAGTCAATTCATGGCTATTGAAGGACAATGCTTTGTGCTTGTCGCATCTCAGATTTTAACTGAAGAGAATCTCGATAAGAACAATTTGACTGGGAATCCTGTTACTAAGACTCCGGGTGGTGGGTTTTCTATGATTTTCGGACCTGATGGGAAGCCGTTGTGTGAGCCCATTGAGGCGGGTGTTGAAACTATCCTAATGGCGGATGTGGACCTCAGAGATATTGACTACCCAAAGTCTTTTATTGATGTTGTGGGCCACTATGCTCGGCCGGATTTGCTTAGTCTACTGGTGAATCCGAAAGTGGACAAGCATGTAACTATGATGCAAAAGTAGCTATACTTATGTCTCTAAGTGAGCTCTACCCCCAGAATTTCATAACTAATTCCCGTTGACAAGATACTTCATAACACTTTCGATCCAGCTTAGCTTCTCCTCTGCGGTACCGTTGACTGGGATTGGCACAGAAGATGCAACAGAGCTAGGGTCCGCTGATGGAGTCGCAGACTCACGAGCCCGGGTAGCAAAGGTGGTAGTAGCGACTACATCCGCAGTAGCCGAAGATGTCTCAGCGGTGGTGCTAGTCTCAGCGGGAACAGAAGCCTCAACGGGAGCAGAAGTGGAAGTTGCAGCAGGGGGGGTAATCTCAGCTGGAGCAGATGTCTCAGAAGAGACAGATGAGCTAGTCTCAATAGCTATACTCGAGGTAACACTGGACGATGAAGAGGAACCAGAGCTCGAGTCCGAGCTGGAATCAGAACCCGACCCATCAACAGTAAAATCAACACAAGACTCATAAGTCTGATCAATAGACTCAGCATACCAATACCACTGCAACACACATTCACCACCAGTAGCACACTTCCCACCCAAATCATCAGGAATAGTAACCGAGAACTGGGTATTATTTGCCGGAATCGTAGTAGAAACCGAAGCATAGACAGACCAGTAAATCAACGGATCCCCAATAACAGTATTGCTCGATGTCTCAACAACAGAGACATTCGCAATGCCAGTATGCGGAGCATGGATAGTAACGTCGAAGTCAACAGTTTCACCAGCCTTGTACGAGTAAGTGACGTTGTTGTCAGCGTACTTAAAGCCCTTGCAGAGCCATGCATCACAGCTAGCAGCGTTGTAGTCAGACTGTGTTGATGCGACCTGTAGCTCGGACTGGATGTTTCCGTATATATCGGATGTTTCGGTGTCGTAGGCTTGTTGGCCGCAGGCGGCTTCGAAGGCTGAGCCGGGATAGCGGGGTGTTGGGCTTGAGACGAAGCCGTGGCCGTGCACTAGGGGGATGAGTGCGAAGAGGGCCGATGCGGCGGAGAAGGAAGTTGATTGTTTCATTTTGGTGATTTCTTCTTCTTCTTTTTTATAAGTCGAGAGAATGACTGGGAGGTAGAATTTGAATTTGAATTTGAATTTAGAGATCGGTAGCCAGTACCGAGTAGAACGAACGAATGGATGTTTAAAAAAAATGCACGGTCACAGACCGGAGAAAAGATCGAATGGAAAGGAATGAAAAGACGAAAATCAACGATAGACCAGCTTGATACTCTCAAAGCAGAAGACAGGGCCATGAACATACCTTTATATCAATCCTGTACCTGACCCATACTCCAACAAATTCAAATTCTAGACCCTATCAGAACCAGAACAACCCAATAAACCACAAACAGCCTAAAAGATCCAGGTACCAGATCACCACAGAGGTGCAGCTGTCAAATGCTCAAAGTTTCCAAAAAGACGCACTAATATACCCTGAAACAAGTAACCGCCTCCTGATAAGCCCAGCACCTCATCTCTCCACTTACCATGGACCAGGAGGCGCGTTGTGAGACCGGCGGTATTACTCGATCCCACGAGGACTTAGGGCTTTCTCGGAGTAATTATTATTTTCGGAACCTACGAGCCGGAGGACTTTAATAGAGCCCTACTGCTGTACTATACTTTATCCGAGACAGGGCCGATGTGCAAATGTTCCGGGCTTGCCAAGGCTTGCTCCACGCGCCGGCCGGGTTTCAAGTTAAATGGCAGCATGAGAAGTTGAAACAAGGCACTGTAGGTATTTGGTGATTGACGGAAATATTCAAGAAACTGAAATGAAAGCTTGATCCTAAATGTAATACTGCATTGTATGCAGGGTAGTCAATTTGGCATCATCCGAGTATTCACAGGGGAGAAAGTGGGTCGTACTTTTTTTTTCGGATGACAGGGGTTTTGAAGTGAGACTAGGAGATTGGAGCTGTTACTTACGAACGTCGGATACTTGGGATTCTTAATGGATGTTATTGGTGGTGTTCAACTTATATGTTGAGTAGGTATTTTTTGGGAGTGGGATTTAATTGTCTTATGGCCGAATGTTGCTCAGCCAGGCCCCATACAGGTTGGTCATTGCAGAATATAATGACATCAAGCTACTAGAAAGGAAGAAAAGCTAGGGATTAGAAACTGGTCCAAGCGCAGTCAGAACCTTAGATGAAGTATTCCAAGAAATAAAGGCTTGCAAGATCAAAGAATTGGGTTTCTATCAACGTAATACCAGGTGCTGGCTATCATGATCTGATGAAGACTACCACGCGATAACTTCACGTCAAATAAACCGTATCTGCATTCGGCCAAAAGATATCAGGCCAGATAACCAATGCCAGGTATAGAAAATACAATTCAGCAAAAGCCAATAAGTACCTGCACACAAGCAGCAAGAAAAGAAAGGATATAAATGCTATTGAAAGAAAATGCCAATAACCAAAGACATAGCGCTCAGAACGAGGGTATCAATTACCAAGCACGAAATAGAAAGCAGCTCGCTCAATGACTGCTTACGCATGCTCCGCAGAATGAGGCTGCACACGCCCACCCTGCTCGCTATTCTGTGCATTATGCGCTCCGCCAGCCTCGTGCGTAGCATAATCATCAGCAAATGGATTCTGCACCTCAAAATCCGCCGCATTATACTCGTACTCGGCTTGGGTATCATCCCTGACATTCGTAATGCGACCACCAGTCATGGCAGTGTTCCCAGACGCAGCATTCTCACCGAGAGTTGGAGGCGAACCCCTCGTGGAGCCATTGCTGTTCCCGTTCCCATTCCCATTGGAGTTCGCAGCAGGACTCACTGAGCCCCGGGCCTTGCGAGCCTTAAGCATAGCCCGTTGCTGCTGCGAGAGCGCAACAGAGATCTCATCATTACACTCGATCAAAGTAAGAAGCGTCTCCTCGTCTGGTGTGGGATTCGTAGAATGAATATACGACTGTATAAGCCTCGAAGAAGAACGACAGCGATCAATAAACTCCTTAATTAGTTCATTTCCATCCATCTCCGCCGCAGGCGTAGTTTGCACAAATTGTGTAAGCAATTTCGCAGAGTTCCTCGCCTCCTCTACTCTTGCTGCAAGCTCACCCGGAGTAGGAAGAGAAGCAGTCGGCGCAGGCGGAGGCGGCATATAACGAGATGACTGATATCCCGCAGCCCCAGCAGCATTTGGTGCAGTGCTACTAGTTGCGCTCAAATGGGGGAAGCGATCCATCTGTAGAATAAAAGGAATCATTGTGAGCATTTCATCAGTGCAAATCAAGGTGAAAACATACTTACAAAGGACCTGTCGCCCTTGGTTTTCTCTTTCGCCCACATTTGCAGTAGAGGTTGGAGATCTGGATCTTCGCGCTTAATTCCTTCGAGAGTGTTTAGGTATTGGCGCAGATAGTGCTGAACGTGCCAGTCGCGACCAGTGCGGAGGAGGTCTTTCATGACGGAGACGAATTTGGTATCGAAGTTTCGGGTAAATGTGTGCCCGGGGTTATCGACTAGGATGCGCATGACCATGATCGCATTGTATTGAATGTGGTTTGGAGTTGTTTGGGGGGTAGAGAGGTATTTGCGAATGCGGTAGGCGGCTTCTTGAGCAGCGGCGGGGCTTGATTCAGCGATTTCGACGATTCGAGGGAGATGAACGAATTCATTGCCTGCCTATTGTAAATAAAGAAAGAAATGTATTAGGCTTGCTGTCTAAGACACGGGGGACTAGGAGGATAACATGGCGGGCGCATACTGAGTTCTCGGGGCTGCTGCTAGATTCGCAAAAGGTTTTCTGTAAAGCGCGCACGGGGTTAGTCACCAGGAATTAATTGGACTGAAGGTTGCGATGAAAGACATACCATTTCCCGAAGGAGATCAGCGGCTGGTGAGTCGTCGGCATGTTCGGGGGTCACATCTCTGCTTGTCGCTGGTGAGCCTGGTAGCGGTCAGCAATTGTTGCGGGGAGAAGCGAGCGTGGGGAGGATAACAGACTGTCTCGGCGGCTCAGTTTCCCCAAGAAGCGATTCATGGTTGTAGGCATTCAGGTATGTAGGGTGATATGAAATTTGACAAGGAAGAGAAACAGAGGCAGGATTTAGGAATTAGGATTTTTTTGAGTCTGGAGAACCGGGGACGGGGGGCCAGAGACAGTTATAGGTTAGTTGGGGGTTGTAGCCTCGCGTAGGTGCAGGGTCCATGCTAGGTCACACTGTCATTCGCGCTTATAGCTGGTGGCGGCTTCACTATTAATTACCCTGATTTTTATTTTTTTTTCTTTTTATTTTTCATTTCTTATTTTCCATTCTGTTCTACGTGGCAAACCGTCTTCTGACGTGGACTTGCGCGTCAAATTCCCGACGATCGCACATTTTCTTCCATGGATGCAGATGTTCATGTCTATTTCCGTCTCTGAGGCTCTTTGGATCGCTTCTATACTTACCCGGTTCACGGACAGGAAGATCGAGATCAACCTGTAGAACATACAAATGTGCAAATTTACAAATTTACATTAAAACATAACAGTATAATCCAAATTACCACCTTCAAATTTCAATTCTCACACTCTACAGTACTTAATCCCCTCCACATAAAACCATGATGATGCACCAAGTGTGGCTGAGGCAGCAAGATTAGCACCGCCAAGACTACTTGGCCCTCCTATCCGGGCAATGTGGCTGCATATCCTTTACTGAAACACCATCGAGACTCTGCACCAAACCATCATCTCCAAGGCAGCAATCACCTTAATTAGGATTTCACATTCTCCCAGCTGCAAGGCATCACCATCACCCATGGCCCCGAGTGTATCAAAGAGCCAATCGGAACTTCTTCTCTATTTCCCATCAATCCATCGTAGCAGCCGGTCTCGCAATCCATACTGACCTAATCCCCGCCCGCCGCGCAGGCTGATGAAGTGATTTTGTGTGTTTTTGTAGTAGGTGTAGGGTCAGATGCCTAGTGATTCTCCGAGTTGGATTCTATCAGTATTCATTCGTTTTGCCTTGGAGCGGGTAGACCTACGCGTTGGGTTATGCGTGGATAAACGGTTTCGAGGAGCAGGAGGAGTATGACATTTATACTGTATGTAGCGTGCGATTTTGTTTATCTTCCAGTTCGTAGTATATGGTCAGTACTAGTTGCTTGCATATAAATTTCGAGTTATCCTGGGTGGTTTGGAGATTTGGTTGCATTCAAGTTGTCCACGGGTACTACTAGTAACGATGCCGCTTTCCCGCATGTAAAGTCGACTTGAACTTGAATGAGTATACCAGACATCGAATAGATAAAAAAGACAGAGTTAAGAGCTAAGATTTATTTATTTTTTGTATATATGTGTGTCGTGAAGGGTAATTGTTCGAAATTCTAAATGTTCTGCCCCGGAGAGATTTGGAAAAATGGTACAAAATATGTAATGGTTTTATATATATATTAGCTCCTCGTGCGGGGCTCGCCGCTCGCAGATCTTCCAAGATTTCGGTTTCTGGTCTTGATATTGCATAAAGAACGCAGAAATATATACGATTGCATGCAAGTGAACCAATAATGGCCAGGTGATGTTCAAGTTGTAACGTTCAAATAGATTTCGTGGGCTCTCCCAATAAAGTCTACCGTGTGAAAGAACGCAAGTGACACTGACACTTAAACCAAGTCCAGAAGCTTGAAATTACATACTCAATTCAACATGAAAGACCAACTTCAACTAAAATTATAAGACCAAATCCATTTGAATCGTAAAAACCATTGGGATATTATTTCAGATGGCCGCGTCCCTACCCGCTATGAGGAAGTACCTGAAAGTACATGTATACAAGTCTTATAGGGAAATGTTTCACAGAAGAGGAACCACGTTTGTATCATGAGGGATCGGGCAGTACAGAATCCTATGTCCATCGTCCGGAGCCGCGCTTGTTTAAACTTTTTAATTTGGTTCTTCCTCCGTTGGTACCATGACCTAAAAAATCTTGTATGATCCGGTAATCATTTTCCGTTCCAACATACAGATGCGCAAGCAAAGAACTCCGGCCAACCCGTCCACGGCAATCCTTTTTCTTTCCTACCACCGTTCAACATCCCCTTCCCCGGTGATCGTCGCGATCATGATCCGTTTATGCCTCAATAAGAGCCTGGCGGATCTGAGCGCCACGCTGGCGGGAAGACAGACGACCGACCTCCTTGGCAGGGGCCTTCTTGACCTCCTCATCGGCCTCGGTGAGGATGAGCTCGATGTGGCAGGGGTTGGTCATGTAAGGGTTGATCTAGAGGGTTTATTAGATAAGAACTGGAGTGAAAAATTGGAAAAATTGGACGGAGATGGAAAACATACACGACCGTGGGCACGGTAAGTACGGCGGCGGCCCTTGGGAGCCTGGTTGACCTGGATGCGCTGGACGACCAGGTTGCTGGTGTCGAGACCCTTGGTGTCGGCGTTGGCCTCAGCGTTCTTGAGGAGGTCGAGCAGGTACTCGGCGGACTTGACGGGCCAGCGGGCCTTGGAGACACCGAACTGCTTGCCTAGGATCGAAATATATTAGTCGATTGTTCGATAGCCCACAGATTCATATCCCATGTTGAATTTTTCTTCAGCGGCAACGGTATCCACCCAGACGAGAAAAGACCAAAAAATCCATCTGCGACATCTCCGAAATAACCCATTCATTTTTTCCAAGCCCAAAAGCATCCGAAATAATGCCGACATTCCAATATTCGATAATATCCCATCACAAGCCCCCTTGAAACACCGTTGCCACCAAAGGATATATCGAACACATAGAAGGGACAGAATTTTCAGAATCGATAACTCACCCTGAGCGGTGCGACCGGTAGAGCCAGCGTAGCGGCGCATGGGAACAGCCATGGACTTCTTGGTGACGTTGTCGAGGTAGGTAAGAGCCTTCTGCAGCTTCATGCCGTTGATAGCCTGAGCAGTCTCACGGGTGTTCTTGAAGCTGACGCGGAGGTAAGAGCCCCGGGCGCGGGCGCTCTTCGCGTTCTGAATCTCCTGGGCGGCGTAACGGACCTGCAAGCGATCGAACCTCGTCAGTAATCATTGTTGAGACGGATGGAAGATTGTGGTTTCATTTCGAGATGCAACCGGACCCAGTCCATGTATCCAAGCGTTTTCAAGGGTATCGAAGTTGAATTGGACATGAAAGGGCCTCTCAGGAATCGTCTGGGCAATATCGAAAGAAAGGTAGGTGTTGGACTCACCATCTTGAAGGAGTTGGCGAGGGGAAGTCGATGGTCCTCGGTGTCGGGATGATGTTGTCGCTTTTCGTCTTCGACCGCTGACACTAGAACACCAAGTTTGGTGCGGTTTTTTTCGCTCTTGGCGCGCGGGCCCTAAGCGAGCCCTAACGCTAGCTTCCTTGGGAAGGTGTATTATGTCAGCATTTCCATGCATGTGATTAGTCATTCTAGACTCACCGGATGAAGAATGCGCTATACTGAATCTGGAAGTATCGATGCCTGAGAATTAGACGACGATTCACACATAGCAAGCAAGTTTTGAGACTTAGGTATTCCCATCTATACATGAACATGTTCCAATGTAAAACTGATCATTGATATCGCATTATTCTATCTCTAATTGAAACCTATACTCATATCTCTATATCATTCTATTTCTTTTGCTCCGGAACCTGTGTAATCAACTCGCCCTTCTCCACCGCAGAGCGGAGGTTATCCAACACCAAAATCTCCATCTCCTTTTGTGTCTCATAGGTCATTGTACCGATGTGAGGGAGCAACATAACCCTCGGGTTATTCACAAGACCAGCCTCAACAGCTGGCTCATTCTCATATACGTCAAGACCGGCAGAGCGAACCTATCACCAAGAGACCTGTTAGTTCAAGATTTTACTTTAACCAGTTAACCAGTTGACATATCCATACCTTTCCGGATTCAATAGCCGCAACCAATGCCTTCTCATCAATCAGAGCTCCACGAGCAGTGTTAACAATCACCACGCCATCCTTCATCTTGCCGAACTCCTTTGCAGCAATGATATGCCGTGTTGAGGCGTTCAGTGCCAGGTTCAAGCTGAGAACATCGGCGTTGGCCAAAAGCTCATCAAAAGAGACATATGTTGCGCCACCCTCCAACTCTGCGGGAAGCTGGGAACGATTGTGGTACTGGATCTTCATGCCGAAGGCTTTGGCTCGAACCGCCATTTCCTGAATAAAAATGTTAGTCGGAGTTATCTAGGTTGTTTAGTGTATACTCACGCGTCCGATTCCGCCCATACCCAAGATTCCGAGAACCTTACCCTGGGGGTCATTGCCCAAAGTAGCCTGTCCTTGCCAGGTACCTTTAAATGCCATTAGATTCTAGCTCTTAAGACCATATTTTTCAAGAGTATCGTATCATTCAACTCACCAGCCCGGAGAGCAGCTTGAGGCACATAAGCCTGACGCAGCGCACCAATCATTAGGAAAATACCAACGTCCGCGGTGGCATTGTTGACGGCAACAGGGGTGCTCGAGACAGCGATGCCCTTCTCGGAACAAGTCTTCACATCGAGGTTATCATAGCCAGCACCATTGTGGCAGATGTACTTGACTGAAGTAGGAAGAACGGCGAGCAACTCAGCATCAAAGTTACCAGTGTACTGCGATAATTATTCTTTTTAGCCTCGGCTCCAATTGTTGCCCACGTTAAAGGGTAGTTACGCACCTTGTTGGAAGTGTTGGATCGATAGATCGCGACCACATCGTCATAGTGTCCTGCCTTGCAGTTCTTAATGAACTCCTCACGGGTACCAGTGGGGAATTCCTAAGTTTGTTAGCAAGCTAAGCTACCTCGATACGTCGGATTATGCATTGCGCGCACTAACCTTAAGGTTCAGAATGGATGAGATACTTTCCCATTCTTTGCGCGCATGTGTAATGGCTCCGATGAGAAGAGCGGATTGGGAAGGCATTGCGGGGAGTTTTTCTGTTTGCGCGATTAGCTTGATCCATGATGCAATGAGGATGTTGTCGCTGTCGCAAACTCACTCTGAATTGAATAGAGCTATAGATCGGGACTGGTCAATCGCAAAATGTCAATTGTAGGTAAGGTAAGGTAAGTCAAGTTAATGTAGGAGAGAGAAAGATAAAAGAATAAAATAAAAAGAAGAACAAGAACAAGAACAAGAACAAGAACAAGTCATCATTAGCCTAAGTACAATCTACCGCAGAACCCCCGCAGTCGTGAACCGTGACCAACCCCCATGTGGATGTGGAGCATCATAATCACCGAAGTTCAAGTTTTGTCTAGTCTACGTCGTAACCCAGTCCCATACCCCAGATGCGATGGAAATGTAGCATTACTTCTAATTTAAATCTAATTGACAATCAACATATCTCCTATAGCATAGACATGTTTACTTCATGTTCACCACCTATTCCAACATGTAAATCAAGAAATGAAACGCATACAAAATAATTCCGGCAAATGACTTTACCCCCACGTCTAGTCTGACGGTTAATGACAATTTCCTCGTTGGGATCAAAACCCGACCGGAGCAAATCCGCGAGTGATGCCCCACTCAGCTGCCGTGGGGGGGAAAGGATGAGGGGGAACTAGAATTCCAGATGCCGGAATGAAAAGAGCTCCTCCATTCCTGAATCTCTTCATTTCTAACTCATGAGATACTCACTTATATGCTAACCTTATCATTGATTCTATTCCCAATACAAAATAAATCTTACATCATGACGGACACCTCCGCTACCGTCCTCGTCCTTCACGGCGCAAAGGATCTCCGCGTGGTAAGTTCAATCAATTAATCCTGCCACGAACCACCCCCACAACTAACACCACCAGGAAAAACGCACCGTCCCAGCTCCGCAAGGAAACGAAATCCAAGTAGCCATCCAAGCAACCGGTCTCTGCGGCTCAGACCTACACTACTACTCCCACGGCCGCAACGGCGACTTCGTCGTCCGCGAACCATACTGCCTCGGCCACGAATCAGCCGGCACCGTAACAGCCATCGGAAAAGATGTCTCAACCCACAAAGTCGGCGACCGCGTCGCATTGGAAGTGGGTCTTCCCTGCCGCAAATGTTCACTCTGTCTACAAGGACACTACAACATCTGTCCCTCTATGCAATTCCGCAGCAGTGCAAAGGTCTTCCCCCACCTCGACGGCACTCTAATGGAACGAACAAACCACCCCGCAGACATGTGTCATGCTCTACCCGACAACGTCACCGATGCGGGTGGTGCACTTGTTGAGCCGTTAGCAGTTTGTTTGCATGCTATTCGGCGCTCGAGGCCTCCAACTAAGGAGGTTGCTGAGATTTCCCGATCAACAGGTGAAGGGACCGCTGCACTTGTTTTTGGTGCTGGCGCAATTGGTCTCCTTCTTGCTGCTTCTCTCGCTGTAAATGAGAACTTTACCTCGATCGTTGTTGCTGATATCGATGCTTCTCGTCTTGAGATTGCTGCTTCCCTCGGTCTGGGTCTAAAGACTCTCGTTATTCCACGCGGTGATCCTTCGAATCCCCCTCCCGCTAAGGATGCACCACAGTCAGAGCAGACCGCTTGGGCATTATCTAATGCCCAGAACGTCGCGGCGAAGTTAACTGCCGCCGCGGCCATAGATGATGGCCTTACCGTTCCGGGCTTTACTCGTGTCTACGACTGTACCGGTGTGTCTTCTTGTGTACAGGCTGGTATCTATGCTTCTCAGCCCGGTGGTGTCCTTGTACAGGTTGGTATGGGTAATCCTATCCAGACACTCCCTGTTGGCGCGGCGGCACTTCGTGAGGTGGATATTATTGGTACATTCCGATATGATGGACATTCGTACCCGGCTGCTATTGCCTTGTTGGCTAGTGGGAAGATGCGGGTTACTGAGGAGAAGGTTGTTACGCATCGCATCCCGCTTGAGGATGGGGAGAGGGCGTTCTCGTTGGCTGGGAAGGGTGTTGATGAGGCTGGAAGACCTGTTGTTAAGGTGATTATTGAGGGGCCTAGTGAGGCTGCGAGAGCTAGTTTGTGATTAAGAATTTGTGGTATAAAACTTTTTGTTTAGTTGAGGTTTGGATGGTTTGTGATGATGATGATGACTTGAAAATACCCGTTGTGAGATAGATCGTGAGATTGTGATGTAAAACTGAACTCACAAGCTTGGGAATTGCATTTTATTTGCTATATGACTCTTTTATTTGTATTTCTCAAATCATTTAAAGATTGAGAGGTCCAAAGATAAATAAAAGTGTGTAGTCTAGACCATTTTGAGGGATAGACTTCAAAGTGTTCAGGTACCAACACAAAAGTATACTACGGAAATGGATGCGATGAAGCGGTAGACTGATCGTCTAGAGATTCGAAAAGTCTGAAATCATTATGTAAGTATCTGTTCTTAACTCTTATTTACAACTTATTTCAGTCCGCCAGCCAGCAAGAGGCTCTGGCCAGTCATATAACCAGTAGTCACGAGCATGGTAACAGTATTCGCCGTCTCCTCTGGGGTACCCAAACGACCCAAAGGAATACCAGCAGCAACTTCAGGAATCGCCGCAGCATTAGGGATCATGCCAGTATCCCCAATCATAGCGGGCGCAACATCGTTGACGCTAATATTGTGTTCTGCCAAACGAGTAGAAAGATTTTTCATCATACCGGTGAGACCACCTTTAGACGCAGCATAGTCTGTGAAAAGCGCAAAGCCAGAAGTTAGAAAACAAAACAATAAAGAAGTCATTTTGTTCTTGTTGGGAGCTGAATACTCACGACATCCATTGATACCACCTCCCTGTGCTGCGATCGACGACATGAACACAATGCGACCCCAACGCTGACTCTTCATATGCTCTACAACACCCTTTACCAAGATGAAAGAAGCTCGGAGATTAATGTTCAGCGTATAATCGAACTCTTCTAGAGTAATGTCCCACACATTGGGGAATCGCTTGCCATATCCGGCGTTTGAGACTAGGATGTCAGGTCGTTGATTATGTTGAGCATCGATTTCTTGAAACATTTTCTCGATTTGATCGGCTTTTCCCACGTCAACTTGGTGGATTGAGATTTTTAATTTGTTCTCGGCGTATTTAGATTGGAGATCTGCGACGATCTTGTTCATCGCGTCTAGGTTGGTCGCATAGGTTAACGCGAGGTTGACGCCTTTTTCAGCGAGTTGTTCTGCGCAGGCGGCGCCAATGCTAAAGATTCAAATTAATCGTCAGCTTATGTTTTTTTGTCGCAAAAAAAAGAGAAGTAAGCGCTGAGCTTCTAGGTAAGACTTACCCTCCAGATGCGCCAGTGATGAGGGCTAGACGACCCCGAATCTCGTTGAGCGACGACATTATGTATGGTGTGTGATTTTTGATGTGTAAACTTGTAGAGAATTTCGCTATTTCAAGAAATACCACAGACTTGAACACTGCATCAGCTCAAGAAAGAACAATATGGCGTAAAAGAAGTGCTCGTCGTGGCTTCGGTTACCCCTCTCGGCGCGAGATCGGGAAATTCCCCGAGAGGAGCTCCGCAGCCCCGCATCAATTGCCGTACTGCGGCGAGCGGCTTTGGACCGCAACGCCACTCCACTTAGATTAGAAGAGAAGATTGCTGCTCATATCTCCAAGCCAAGTAGACGATTGCCAATTTTGCGATCGATCTTGTGCTGACTGAAATGGGTCTGATGAATTTTGGAAGGCATCCAGACCCAAAAGACCTCCAGAAACTGGGTCGCCTGAAACATAATCACCCACAGCCTCGAGATCGAGCCACGAGAAATCGTTCGCAGGGCTGAAATCCATATAGGAGGGGTCAGATACCGGGTTACTTAACGCTGCTTGCATTGCAAAGTCTGTGCTTTGGGGTGTTTCGCCGGGCGTTGTTGTTGGCATGTTGGTTGGCTTGCCTTTCCAGAGAAGCTCGAGAAGACGAGAGTAGCGCGATCCAATATCATCAGGTCCAGCACTTGCTTGCTTGAGGACTTCAGTGGTTCGAGCTACTAGGCCTTGGACTTTTGCTTCTTCGGACGGGACCATCATTCCGAATGAGCGAGCCTTGTAAAGAAATACTGCAGAGTAAATCCCATAGCTTGAAATTCGTTAGTTGCTAAAAGGCAAGAATAAGGGATGTTCCAGTTCGAACTTACAGATAAAATCTAAGTGGCATAAAATGTAAATGCCTCTCTGGATCTACCGAGTCTACAAGGATAGTCAAATAGGCTTTCGCTGCATCGACGGACTCGTAGATGAAGCGAGAATCTTGCATTGATGCAACATTTTTGAATGTAGTTCTCAGTTGGTCTCGATGAGAGCCTCCGTCAACCTTTGGCTTGACCAAAGACTGAGAGATAGCAGCTTGGAAGGCAAAAGCAGTTGTATAAAGTCGTAAGTACTCATATGATAGTTGAAGCGTGGCCCGCATGGGCGCCGAGCCTGTTATATGTGAGATTTGAAATTCAAATATGATAGAGACAGAAAAGCAAACTTACAGTCCAACGGTCCCCAGAGAGACTTCCATCTTAAAATAGCCAAACGAAAATCGTCAACATACTTGACGTAGTCTCCCATCAACATCATCTGGTTACTCGTTCGCATCCCGGAATACAGGACTTCATGGACATTTCCGTATAGCTGTGTCAGATCAAGCATGGCTTGAAAGATCTTTGAATAATCTTCGTCGCCTTCCCTCGCTGGTTGCAACGATGGGAAATCCTGACTGACAAGACCAGTCATCGGACCCGGTCCACGCGACCAGAAAGCACGTCCAATACGCACTGATATTAAGCGATCAGAAACATAGCAACTAGCCCAAGCTAGTCGCCTGCGAGCTTCAGTAGCCTGTTCACCGTAAGGATCACCTCGGAAGGAAGTGCGGTCCAGGCCAATGAAGTAGCCCGAGCGCAATGCTAACCCAACATGCATCCAGGCCGCACGATCCTCCTCCCCACGACCCACACGCTCGATTCGAGACCTGAGACCATGAGGCTCCCACTCAGCCAGCAAGAGAAGAGCCTCAATAGCATCAACATCACACTCAGCCCCAGCAGAGATGGCCGAAATCAATTCGAGCATGTACTTAGAACAACATTCGTGAATTTCAGGCCGATCAAGCAAATCTTTCGAGGCGATTGTGATAATGGCAGTTAAAAGATACTTCTCATTATTAGCGAATTCATCAAGCGCAGAGCGCTCAAAGTATTTTCTTGGAACGAGCGGGAGATATGGATGGAAATTCTCCGCGTATCGATTGACCAGTTGCCAGACCGTTGCGGGGTCCAAAGCCCGCGAATGAACTAATCGGTAAGCTTTAATGCCAGTATTCGGAGCATTGAAATCTGCAACAATGCTATTGCGTAGACCGTTGTGTGCTGAGAAGCTCCCAGATTCCGACCGTGCGTGGTGGTCGCGTGGTCGATCTTGGGGCACGCTCGTACTCTGCGTAGCAATACCCGTCAAACATTGCCAGGCATCGGACGGATTGCGCGGTACAGAATCAATTGCAGTGTCTGCATCTTCCACAGCAATCGAATTCGACGTCGCTGGTGGATTTGGGGGCAGGAAAACCACAGGTCCGGGGTACGATGCGGAAACGGATGGCGCGCGGCGAGCCTCAGAGCTTTCAGGGCTAGACGATTCTTCCCAATCTTTCGTAGGCGATGGATTTGTCGCGGGAGTAAAATTCTTAATCTTATTCTTGCGGATTCGTCGTCCGCCACGATTCGAGCCGCCAAGCACACATTCGCGATTTTCTCGGACACAGCGCTGACACGGCGGTTTTCCTGGGTTTCCGTTGCTATCACTGTTTACAGAGTCAGCTAGCCGCAAGGGATGCAGATCCTCGGGGAAATGTAGGAAATCATAAGGCGATTTGATTTGTAGCTATTGTACTTACAGGTCACATCGCGATTTGCGTTGGCGGCAGTGCAGACAGGCCCGGGATACGCGCTTGAGGATATTGTCGGCTCGGTGCGGCTGGGAAGCGACCTGCGACGGAGACTCCATGTCGTTCGGCCGCTCGAGATTAAAGTCGACTATACTGGCATGATAGGGAATGGCGAAGAGACAAAGCCCGACCTCCTCGTCAGACCCACAGAAGAGCAGAGCTCGGGGCCTCCATTACTCATCTCTCTCCGCGTGGTTGATGGGATTTTGTGGGGAAATCAGTTACTAAACTTTTTTTTTCTATACAATGATGGTACTACATGACATGCATTAAGGGGGGTGAATTATGTTTATCCAGTAACTGTGATTTCTAACACAGCTTCTGTTATGTTTGAAATGGTTCAATTTCTTTTTTTCTCCAATGTTCCTGTTATCCTGCATCATCGTGGATATGCACTTAGCCTAAGCCTAATCCATTTACCGACGGTTATTGACGCGGCAACGGAAACTGCCTCCTTGAGAAAATCACCCCGCGCGTGGGGGAGGAGTGGCTCTGCGTCATATGAGTTATTTGGTCGCGTTTTAATCTCGCAATTTTTATTTTTTTTTATTTTTTTACTCTTGCGTTCTATTTTATTTTCCGGTGAATAATTACACAACAAACACAATGGCAGCAACAGTGGGATCTCTCTTTTCTCTCAGCGGCAGGACTGCCATCATTACTGGCGGCACACGAGGCATTGGCCAGGCAATGGCCTTTGCCTTGGCCGAAGCCGGCGCGGATATTATTCTGATCCAGGTACGAATTACTTACTTGGAACTGAAATCCATGAATGATTCAGCAAGAGAGAAGACTAATTTCTCAGTAGCGAGATACCTCCAATACATCCACCAAGGACGAGATTATCAACCGCATTGGTCGCAAGGCTTACATCCACGTCGCCGAATTGTCAGATCGCAAGGCTGTGAAGGAGATTATCCCAACAGTAGTCAGCCAAGGACTCAAGCCTGACATCCTGGTAACATGCGCGGGTATCCAGCGTAGACACCCAGCTCACCAGTTCCCTGACGAGGACTGGGATGAGGTGAGTACCAATCCACACCCAAGTAAAAAACAAAAATAGAAAAAGTCTCTAATCTGTAGTAAAAAAAACTCTAGGTTCTTGAGATCAACCTCTCCTCCGTATTTCTGATCTGCCGTGAATTCGGCGCCTATTTACTATCCCGCGATGCTTCTGAGTTCCCCTCAGGCCGTCGCGGCTCCATCATTAATGTCGCCTCCCTCCTGACTTTCCAGGGTGGTATCAATGTTCCTGCCTATGCAGCTTCCAAGGGAGGTATCGGGCAGCTGACCAAGGCTCTCTCAAACCAATGGGTCGGCGAGGGTATTAATGTCAACGCTATTGCTCCGGGATACATTGATACTGATATGAATGTTGCGCTCATTAATGATGCCGATCGCAATGCTGGTATCATGGCCCGAATCCCTGCTGGACGATGGGGAAAGCCGGAGGATTTCAAGGGTGTGGTTGTGTTCTTGGCCAGCGCTGCTAGCAGCTATGTTTCAGGAGATGTTATCACAGTTGATGGTGGGTGGATGGGACGGTAAATGCAAATACATGTGTAACTAAGAAATTTCGAGATGGGGTAGGCTTTATCAAGAAATAAAGCCTACCTATCTTTAACAAAAGATACCAATACCAATTACTCTGAATTAGAAATACTTGACATTAATTTATCGATTACAGGTAAATTAACAAAATCTTGGTTTCTAGGATCCTCGAATATTAGAGGCAATGGGCCCAGTACGGGGGACAATAACGATCATCGGAAAAAGGCTTACCTACAGAGGTAGAGGTCCTTTTCAGTTGAGATGTCGAGGAAGCAAAAGAGATTTACTAGGGAATGCGAAAATTATACGTAGAGAGACAATATCAAGAGACAGGGGCCGCTCAATGGAAGTGAAGAGGTGCCAGCTGCTATCCTCTCATCTGTAAGCTGATACTAGTATACATCTGCCCAGGTGTGCTCAGTCATACCAAAGTCTTGTCCCATTACTAGGCTAGGTAGTCATTATTAACTGTGATTTTACCGACCGGGCCTTTGAGAAGTTCTTTCGCCCCTATTTTGATGGCGTAAGTTCGAGGCTATCTGATCTGATTTGAGAGAACTTCTGCTAGAGTAGACGTTCTCTGTTCACAACTCGAACCGTTGCAAGTCGCCAATTCCTTCATGAGGGGAGTCATGAAATGTCCCCTCCTCGAGATCATTTTGAAGAATTACAGCATCCCTGACCCTATGCTCGCAACTTTAATTTGCACATCAGGGGAGGTTTATCCCAAAGGATATAAGTTCTCTGGTCTTTCCAAGCCTGGCTTTCTTGGCAAAGCTCCATGTCAAAATTCCAAAGAACACGGGCAAGAATCATACGGATTTCAGCATAGGCCAAGTTCTTTCCAATGCAATTACGAGGTCCGACTGAAAACGGCTGCATAACGTCGCGCCTATCAGAAAAGAATGGTGAAGATGGGTCGTTCTTTACATTCGGTAACCATCTCTCAGGGATAAAGGATTGCGGCTCGTGGAAGTTGATTGGGGACCAGTAAGCTGCAGAGTGATGAACGGAAAGCCTAGTCTAAGCTCCTGATTAGCCACACTCATTTCCTAATGGCGCAAGGCGGACTTACTCCGGGCGGAATGTCGTACCCCGATATCTGGCACGGAACAACAGCGCGGCGCTGTGAACCACTAGGTAAGGGAGGGTACAACCGTAACGCTTCTTCAATACAAGCATTCATATACGGTAGTTGATTGGTGATATTATACCGGTTGATCTCAGCTTCTGTCGGTATTGCGCGAATCTCAGAGGTCACCTTTGCGAATACCTCCGGGGATTTCAGGAGCCAGTACGTTAAACCTGATAGCAAAGTGGCAGTTGTCTCACTACCAGCAAAGACCAAGAGTGTAGCGTTAACCTCTAATTCTTCATCACTCAGCCCATAATTCTCGCCACGATTTCGAAGCATAGAATCAATAAAATCACCCCTCCCATATGCAGCCTTGTTGTCAAGTCTTTTATGAACGGTTTCCTTCGCATATTGAACCTGCTTTTTGTGCGTCTCAAGGAATCTCTTGGGCAAAAATACCATCAAAAGAGGAAGAACGACCGGGTATGCATCCTTAAATTTCAGAAATGGAACAACCTTGACAAAATTAAAGATTGTTGAGACCCAGTAATGATATTCTGAGCGATCAAGGCCACCGAATGACTGACCAAAAGCAAGGTCGCCGATCAGATCGAACGCAGTTAGATTATACCATTTCGCCATATCCAACGGAAGCTGAGATTCAGCGATTCCCTTTAAACGACTGATCAATTTCTCCACATAGACGATAATATGAGGTTGTAGCGCTTGAAGTCCCCTAGAGGAGAAGGCGGGAGAGAGGGCCTTGCGGTATCGAGAGTGGTTGCGATCATCAGCACTGAGAATATCAATCCCCTTACTCCCAGACATTGAGACTCTTGGCAATTGACCATATATGCTCTTCCAGGCGTCTGGTGTAATAAAGGATACCTCGTCGGGGCCAAAACGAACAGTCTCGCCATATTGCGTATGGAATCGACGCATATCAATGTCCAGTCTTCCACGAACACCGGATATATGTCGCAGTACAGGAAACACAATCCATAGCTTTGGTCCCGGGACACGCCGTAAAGCGTGGAAATAAATATTCCAAACCGAAACGAGGACAGAGTACAGGAAGAAGAATGCTGTACCAGCTGCTAAAAGAGCTCCAATTGCCATTTTGTTGTGGTGGAAAGTGGGAGTGTACGCCTAAACGCAAGAATCTCAACACATGCCAGTGATTCGACCGCAAGCAATCACGCAAAAGTTAACCAACAACAGAATATTATTCGGTCAACAAGCATCTAACAATTTGATGAGCTAGATATGTTTCCAGTGCACAAAGGCTGCTGTGGTAGTGTTAATACGTGGTATCACACATAATGAAGATCGACAATTCTCCATAATCGGTTCCTCGTGCAAAATCGTGATCGCCAAGCTCATTAAGGTGTGCTCACCGTGTGTGATCTGCAATCCTTTCTTGTAGAAGAATTGGCTTGCATATTGCGTAGTATCCGCTCCTGCACATCCATACTAGTAACTCTAGGGCTACCAATAGTTGTAATTAAATCATGACAGACACAAGGAATTGGTAGAGAGGTTCACTCTCGAAACCGGATTTCGTCAGTGGCGCGTTACCACTCTACCCTTTTCGGCCTTTGTATCTCGTCATCTTGAAACCAATTCGTGATCCTGTATAGCTGAGATTCATTTATTACCGTTTTGTTGTGTTTTATTATACCGCTATTGGGTGGGGCGATAGACCCGCTGACAAAATCTAGTGCCCAGGTGTCGAGATAGGTATTTTGATTACAAGGGCCGATATGATATCTGTCATGAAGATCCGATACATAAACAAGGCGGATACTGCGCAGTATGCAGGCCAGGCAGGTCATACATGTACAATGCTCTGATAGAGGTGTGTTAACCTTATCTCCGACTCCACTCACTAGAGATTGTGCACCCTTGAGCTGCCATCTGCATAATTGTATCCTATTTATTCAGAATAGTAATTCTCTACTCTGTAATTGGTCCTGCTCAGCGCACTGACTACCCTGCAGGCGGAACATGAGGTGATTTCACAAAAGATTACTGGCCTTCTCGAGGCGATAAGGACTAAAATGCCGTAAATGAGGAACCTAAAAGATGGTTTGGTCATATTGGCTAAGTGCCGAAGGAGCTGGTCTCTGTACCAGTCAGATTTCGGGAGTGGGGGTATTATTATCAGGGAGCTCTGCTGGTAAGCTCGCCCCATTCTCCAGTCCTTCTCGGCTTCTCATGCACTCTCTCGTAGTGAAAGCCTAATACTATAGCTACAATACATGAAATAGCCAATATGAGAGCCACACGATAGAGGTAAAATTCACTCAAATATAAATATTAGGCCTTGGAAATGATATAATTATCCATATAAAAGACACGTAGGGTAGTATTGCTACCATGAAGGCCAAAAAGCCAAAAAGGCGGTTCAATCGCATGTCCCCTCACATAGCAAACTGACTTTTTAACACAGTCTTCTGAATGATTTCGCTAAACCTCTCATTATCATCCCATGACTGCGGAAAGTCATGGCCGCCATCGTGCTGGTGGGATGTGGCTAATTCTGGGTCACACAATTGAAAGAACTTTCTTGATTGCGGATCGAATATGTCGCGCTCTCCCCAAAGATGAGCTGTCGCCAATTCAAGCCGGTCGTCGTATAATTCCGGGTGGAAGCAGCGTGGTCTCAGATGGTCATTTTCCTTTCTCACGACTGTATCGATAGTAGCCCTCCACTTCAATTCGACCTCGGGATTAATATCAAACAGTGCATGCTCTGCGACCAGTTTTAGCGGTTCTATCTTCAGTTCATAGGAGGGACTTGCTTTTTGCCAAGCTTCAACGTTTGTGTCAAGAGGATTATCGCTTAAGAAGACATTCGTGACGTCGTGGCCGAGCTTGGGTGTCCACGAGAATGGCAGCCAGCTGTTGATGAAGATGGCGAATTTGAATGGAGACGGCGAGTCCAGATATTCCTCCTGATGTTTCAGAATCACCGTCGCACAGAGGCTCGCACCCTGTTGAACCAAGTTAATGAGCTGCTAGATAAATTGAAACCGCTCACTAGCATGCAACCATCACGGAGAACGAACCTCGCAAATACCCATGACGCCATCAAAAGGTCCGTGATTTCGGATAAAATCCTCGACTTTGGCTACTGCGGTTGCGACACCTTTTGTTGTAAAATCCCCCAAATGTGATAAATATGGGCCAGGGTATACGTCCGAGAGTTCTTTCTGGGCAGGGACGTGAAAATCTCCATCCATCCATATGAATGTATAATCCGGTGGCAAGAGAGACCGTAGCCGTGTTGTCTTGGCCTGGAAAATGGCGCTATTGATAGCACTTCCGTGCATACATAGAATGCGCATGATTGCACAGGTTGCAATTGGCAGTGATAGATAGCAGGATTGTTCAGCTTTGGGGATATGAGCAAGTCGATGCTGCGATTCGAGGGGACCGCAGAAAATGTCAACCGAGGTGGATCTACTCTTTTATCCCCTCTGGGCTGCAACGAGTGCAACTTGAATATCCATAATTGAGGCTAACTGAGTCTGTTTGAGGGTGGAGTATTTGACTGAAATGTAATATAAACCCGCTAAATCATTTAAAAATCCGAAAATAATTTATGATGTATCACGGTTTTTCCGTGTATTAATAACAAACATTCTTATGCGCAGAAGTGGATACCACGTTCCATGCAAGCGAGAGGGGTAATTATTGTCTAGAAAGCCCCGCAATATCTCTCGTGATAGCTGTTCTACGTAGCTGAAAGACAATTGAGTACAGCCCTGGAGGGGCCCTGATTGTTATTGCAAGGCAGAATTCATGTGGCGCAATCCGCATCGATACAAAAAGGTAACTTGAGACTTATGCAAGGGTTAGAAATTGCAAGAAACATGACACGTCCAAGACTTCGGGGTTTTCTTCTTCTTTCTTCTTCTTTAACAGAGATACCAATTTAGATTGCGCAGTGGGAACTTTGACGAGAGGGCCACTTTGTGAAGGAGGCGAAGCACTCTCTCGTCCCCTTGTAGAAACACTGGCCCAAAGATAAAATTGACTAGCGGAATACTATTTACCACTTTTGAGTCTTAGGAATTAAGGGTTGGTCTCTCGCCTGGTAAGAGACCCCATAATTTTACAACTCTCTTCGCCATAATTCCCACAAGACCTTGACCAATCTCACTTTTACGAAGACTATTGCAGTGACTATGACACGAATCTTCTCCCAGGTTTGGCTCCAGAAAGTGTTCATGCCATAAGCGGTAGAGGACGAGTCGTAGATGGTTGCCCTTCGCATATCCCGAGCATATCGACCTTGAAACGAGCCACCGCACGCCTTGTGCATGACGCAAGTATTGTCCTTTTGGCTTTGTCAGAAAATAAAATTAAGAATTCGAAAATAAAATTCGGAGAACTCACCCACATAACGATATCACCTTCGTTCTGCCAATTGACTCTAAACACGTACTTCTCCTGGCTCGCATGTTCCAGGAGCCGTTGGATCACCGGCTGGCTTTCTGCTTTACTTTTTCCTTTAATACTATACGCATGCGACGCTATGTATAGATTCATGCGACCGCTCGGTTCGTGCAGCTGTACTAGCTGGTGGCGACTCATTGGCAAATCCTCCACATCCAACATATTGAGAAGCTCGCAACTTGGGGCAGCAGCTTGTCTACTGTGAAGTATAGAATGCCACAGAATAATATCCTTGATATCTTGCTTCGTGCCGCTTTCAAGATCATGATAGGCCGTTCTTGTGTCTGCGAATGCCGTTCCACCACCTGTACCCGGAGGAGGGAGCTCGTGGGCACGGAGGATGGAGTAACCGGCACGACGAGCATTGTAGGAGCAGTCAACATGGAACTGGCCATTACCAAGGTTGATCTGATATCTCAAGCTGTCTTTGGAGACTAATTTGCCATTTGCGTCCAGATTGCCCGCATCAGCGAGTTCCATATGTGGCGCCAGCCGAAGCTTTTTGGCAGCGGTCGGATTAACAGCAGAAAGATCTGGCTCGCCAAAATTTCGCGCAAATGCTTCGTGCCTGGCATCATCTAAGCCCGTGGCGCGAAAGACGAGCACACCATACTTTGCCATCCCAGTACGGATTTCAGCAATGCTCTCTTCCGTCAACGGTTTTGAGAAGTCGACTCCAACGCATTCGGCCCCAAAGGTCGGGTGTAGCGGCTCAAATGACAAGATTGGCATGCCATTAGATGCCATCTTCGAAGACCTACTTGCAAGTAGTGAAACAAAACGTGCCAATGCCAACAGTGCAAAAGACGGTGGGGATTTAACTTTGCCAGTGTTGAGCAATGCTCCGGAGTAGCGTATAGAAATAGAAGACTTTGGGAGTATTTGTGTGTAAGATGGCAATTTTTTCTAGGTTGCAGGGTTGACAATCGCATGCATTAAACTGAATTTATGAGAGAGGCTACTATCAAGTTTGGAAGCGAGGTGGGTGGATTGAAAGACCCAGATAGTAAAACTAACATGGCCGTACTAAGTGGGAGGTGGAAGTTTCAACCCCTAAGTGGTATTGGCCTAGGAGGGATAGTTACAATTAACACCTAAGATGATATTTCGTTTGGGGCTATCTCCTGTATTTTTTAGTATATAATACCGTTAGTAATTCCAACTATTTTAGGTTGGTACTATGCTTCCCTCGATTCTGACATTTCACTGCTGGAAACAAAAGGCTCCATAGCGAGGGTGTTAAACTTTCTATTGGGACTTAAAAACCCCAAGTTGACTGATCGTATGCACAACTACGGAGTACGTATGTCTACCTCATCGGGTATTATTTTGCACTCAGCTGCGCCACGTTGATGTGATCGGCAGAACTAGCGACCTACCTTTCCTCTAGTTACTCGTACACGCCCCACCTGGCGATTAACTACAATACCTGAAGACCACGCTTTACTACTTTTGGCCTTTGTGTCCGGTCATCTTGTTACCGATTTAAGATATTTTATAGCTGAACTTCATTCATCACCGGTTTGGCGAATTTTATTATACCGCTATTGGGTGGGGCCTCCCACTGACCAAATCTGATGTTCAGGTAGTGTGTCTCTCCCAGCCGATCTTTGGAAACTATCGCCTCGAGATAGCCCCGCATGGCAAAAATTCTACAGATTTACTTCTTTTTTCCCATATCAGACCTCGATATGGGTACCAGAGCGAGAAAGACCGAGAAAGACCTTCACCGCTTCCTCCAAGCTGCCACATGCCACCATGGTGATTGACACTTAGATTGAGGCGAGCTCAGCCGCACCGGGTAAGTACAACATGCTTTTAGAAGAGCAATAAAAATCTCGAGTTTGAGATCAAACCAAGTCTTCTAGTTCAAGTTTTTTACAAGTTTTAAGAACTTTCCGCTCAAAGACCCATCCTCCCGCGGTCCGCACCCAGCTCCATCTACCAAGAATATTTACAGAGGAAAATGTCCTCTTCCTCGGATGTAGCCATCATAGGAATCGCCTGTCGATACCCTGGCGAGGCTAAATCACCTCAAGGCTTTTATGACATGCTCATGAGAGGTGAAGATGCCTGGTCAGAGGTCCCGCTTTCCAGATTCGACGTGAACGCATTCCACCACCCATCGAAAGGACGCCAAGGCAACACGGTACGGCCATGGAAAATAGTGATCAGCCTCTGAGCATACATTGGCTAATTTTTATTGCAGGTTGCTCGTGGTGGCTACTTTTTAAAAGAAGACGTATCGAAATGGGACGCCCGCTTCTTTGCTTGCTCGCCATTGGAGGCTCGTGCCATGGATCCGCAGCAGCGTTTACTGCTTGAAGTCGCCCATGAGAGTCTTGAGAGTGCTGGAATACCAATAGAAGCTATTGCAAACACAGATACTGGTTGCTATGTCGGTGCTTTTGGGTGCGACTACAAGACCATAGTAGGCCGCGACATTCGAGCAAAGCTGCCGTACTCTATATCGGGGTGTGCCTTGACAATCTTATCCAATCGTGTTAGTTGGTTTTTGTGAGTCGCCGTGAACTTTCAACCAATATTGAAAAAACAAGGAATACAGAGTACTGATTTTGTTCTAAGCAACCTTCGTGGTCCGTCTTTAACCCTCGATACGGCTTGCTCAAGTTCCATGACGGCATTGCATCTTGCGTGCGAGGCAATCACGTCTGAGTCGAACAACACAAGATGCGCTCTTGTGGGAGGTACAAATCTTCTTTTGGATCCTGATGATTCTTGTTCGCTCAGTGCACTCGGCTTTCTGAGTCCCGACAGCCGATGTTTCTCTTTTGACTCCCGTGCCAATGGATATGCACGTGGTGACGGTATATGCATGCTAGTCGTCAAGCATATCGACGATGCCATTAGGGATGGCGACCCTATTCGCGCTGTGATACGGGGGTCGGGAATCAATTCAGATGGCAGAGTATGCGCGATTCTTTCTCATCTCCAAATTGCCCCCCTGGCGCGAGTTTAATTCAGGCTAATGCTATATTTACAGACTGCTGGTATTACGCTACCCAACGGAGAAGCTCAAGAACAGTTGATTCGCAGAACATATCAGCTGGCAGGCCTTGATTTTGCTGATACGCAATATGTTGAGTTCCATGGTACTGGTACGAAGGCTGGTGATCCCATCGAGATGGGTGCCGTGACTCGAACAATAGCGGGAAAGTCGAGGTCTACTCTATATGGAGGATCTGTGAAAACCCAGGTTGGACACACAGAGGCCGCAGCTGGTCTTGCTGGGCTCGTAAAGTGTATATTAGCCATGGAAAATGGCATCATGCCGCCTCACTTGAACTTCTCAAACCCCAACCGCCGCTTACGCCTAAGCGACTGCAACGTCGTCCTCCCAACATCACCACAGGCGTGGCCCGAATGCATGATTAGACGATGCTCTGTCAACAGCTTTGGGTTTGGTGGAACAAACGCGCATGTTATCATTGACGAGGGGCGAGGTTATCTGCTCCATCGCAGTAACAACAAGCTTGTCACAAATGGTGTTTCTCTCCACGGGCCAGCCGTCCATGGAAATCTTTGTCTTGATGGGATTCCTGAAACTGAACCAGCTCGAGTTTTTGTCCTTTCTGCCCCAGATCGCGATACGTTAGCACGTCAGCGACAAAGCTACGCCGGCTACCTAGCAGCAAAAGGCTCCAACCGACTACTTGCTGATTTGTCCTACACCTTGGGAAATCGCCGTTCCACCTTTCAGTGGCGCCATGCTGTCACAGCTACATCCGTTGCCGATCTGGAGCGGTGCTGGAGAGACGACAGCTCTCAAGCGGTGTCAGCCAAGCCCAAGCCCCGAGTTCTTTTTGTGTTTACTGGTCAGGGAGCGCAGTGGTACGCGATGGGCCGAGAGTTGATAAAGTATGACGTCTATGCTTCTTCGATCAGAGAGTCTGCAGCCTATCTGAAAGAACTTGGCTGTTCGTGGGATGCCTTGGATGAACTCATGTCCACAGAAGAGACATCCAACGTTTACCTGCCCGAATACTCTCAGCCTCTGTGCACAATTCTTCAGATTGCACTTGTGGATTTGCTAGCACATCTTGGAGTTAACCCATCTGCCGTTGTCGGCCATTCCTCTGGGGAAATTGCCGGGGCGTACGCTGCAGATGCGTTGGCAAAAGATGACTGCCTCAAGATTGCGTATTACCGCGGCGTGGTATCTAAAAATGCCCAAGCTCAATTTCCTGGAGGTGGAATGATGGCTGTCGGTTTATCGGCTGAAAGCGTCGGACCGTATCTGTCTGAGTCCAAGGACTTGGTGTCTATTGGGTGTGTCAACAGTATTACTAGCGTTACTCTGACCGGAGACAAAGCCGCGTTGCTTGCATTGAAGAGAAAATTGGACGCCGAAGAGATATTCTGCCGTCTGCTCGCTGTGGAGAATGCATACCACAGTATGCAAATGCAGGGAGTGAGCGAGGAGTACCGAAAGTGCATCGGCGACTTCACCCCGCAGAGCCCTACAACGCCCATCGCATACTACTCTACGGTATGTGGAAAGATGATAAGCAGTAGCCAACTTGGACCAGACTACTGGGTGCAAAATCTATGCAAGCCTGTGGAGTTTGTTGCTGCATTAGATGACATCATGTACGCGGACCCCGGCAAACAGTGGCTGAAGAGCGAAGACATGTTGCCAAGCGTCGTGCTTGAGATTGGCCCTCACTCGGCTTTGGGTGGTCCAATTAAGCAAGTCAAAATAGCTCGTGGGCTCCTACAAGGCATGGAGTATTACTCTATTCTCTCGCGTGGGAGTGATGCGTCGCACACATTCGCCGCGACGATTGGATCTTTATGGATGCATGGGGTAACAATGGATCTCGACAAGGTACGCTTTCTATAATATCACAAGATAAACGAAGTTAAAATCAACTAATGCAATATCTAGTTGAACCGACCGAGTAGATCGAGTCAGCGTCCACAGGTTCTGACAGACTTACCACTGTATAGTTGGAATCATTCCACGTCTTATTGGCATGAAATCCGAGCGGTGAAAGATAACAATTGGCCAGAGGCACATAGGCATGATCTACTAGGGTCCCTGGTGAATTCTCACGATTCATTCCAGCCTATATGGCGAAATTGGCTACGGGTCTCGGAATTACCTTGGCTCAGAGACCACCAGGTTCAGGGCGACGTAGTATTTCCCGCGGCCGGTATGATATGCTCTGTAATCGAGGCACTTCAACAGCAGTCAAGACGGAGTGGCAACCAAAGCACTATTTCAGGGTTTGAACTGCGTGAAATTACCATCCCGGAGCCCTTAATTATTCCAACCGATGATATCGGCGTGGAGATCCAGCTGAAGTTGCATCCAGTCAAGCAAAGCAACTCCGCTGGATGGTTTACGTTCTTCTTTTCGTCATGTTCCCAAGGGAATAAATTTGTACAGCATATGCAAGGCCTTGCTCAGATTCGGTATAGCGGATCTACGACGGAGGTTGACGGAGGTAAGGAATTAAGGGAGGAAGCGCTGCAGTTTCAGATGCAGCTGCAAAGCTGGCTCGCCAAAGACATCCATCCCATCACGAAGGACGAGTGTTACGAGACTTCTAAGAGACAGGGCATCAGCTACGGTAAGGAGATAATTACTCGAGGACCCCAGCCAAAGCTGACAGTTACATCTTTCAAGGCAAAACATTCCAAGGCATATCAAAACTTTATCAGGATGGTTTAGCATCCTCATTTGAGCTTCAGGTTCAAGATGTAGCCTCCCACATGTCGGACTCATACGAGAGCGATTATATCCTTCACCCCGCCACCTTGGATTCCATGCTCCATCCAATTTTGACTGCCACCGCGATGGACTTTATCCCAACACAATCCTGGGTTCCCACCTCGATCGAATCTTTGCAAGTGTCGAACAGTATTCCAAAAGCGCCTGGTACGTCCTTGCATGGAATTTGCACACCTCGTCTTGTCCACTCTGGGGAGATGCTTGTGAATATCTTGGTCGGGCATGGTGCCGCTCTCGACTCCCCGCCAAGGGTCGTCATTGATGGCCTTACCATGACCGGGCTCGGGGCTCTCCACGACTCTCCACAGTCCTTTGAAGAAGGGAATGCGGCCAAATTATACTCTCACCCAGTCTGGAAGCTGGACCCGAACCTTGTCGGGCCATTAGAACTCAGAAAATCGGCCGATGAAAATTATGGGCGGGACCTCCGTATGGCCGAGTTCTGCTCGGAGAGCTGGGATCTTGTCAACGAACTGTGCCGGTACGCAATTCAAATGGTTGAACCAAAGTTGAAATCCACATCATTGCCCCCTCACCTATACAAATATTTTGACTGGATGCAGCGACGCTGTGGGGTTATGGATGGCATCAAAATTCCAAGTAGTGGTGCAGTTGACTCATCTGCAAGTCGGCAAAAACGGATGAACGGGACAGACCATCCTAACGATGACCCAGTGGGCCAAAGTTTGACAAATGGCATAACCCATTCCGGAGTTGATTCGATCACTCAAAAACTGTGCACCTTTCGCCAGAAGTATCCGGTTGATGGAAAGCTTCTTGAGACTGTTTTTAACTCCCTGGGGAGCATCTTCTCAGACGAGGCTGTGCCCCTGGCAGTTCTAATGGCGGATGACAACCTCCCCGGGCTTTATCGCGAGGCCTATGGCCTACCTGTGAATATGCAGATATTCAGAGATTGGTTTGATCTGAAAGCCAACAAGACGCCCAATATGAGAGTAGTTGAGATTGGAGCCGGCACTGCCTCGACGACCCTGCCAATCTTGCAAAGGCTAAGCGCCGGTGCATCCACAGCGTGTTTTTCCAAGTGGGTATTCACTGATATCTCTCCTGGATGGTTTGAAAAGGCAAAAGCGGTGCTTGGCGAATGGAGTGAGCGAGTGGATTACAAGGTGCTGGATATCGACCAGGATCCTGTCGAACAAGGGTTTGAAGCCGAGTCATATGATGTCTTGTTGGCTGTCAACGTAAGCATACCCAGCCTCATTCTCCTGATTATTGCTTTACCTCCTATCTATTGTTGTTCGTTCTAATGAAATTTCATAGGTACTGCACGCGACAAAGGACATTGCTAGGACTCTCCAGCATTGCAAGCAGTTGTTGAAGCCTGGAGGTAGCCTTGTGCTTGGTGAATACACAAATAGGGATGATCCAATCAATTTTATCACCGGTATTCTCCCAGGGTGGTGGGCTGCCGAGGATGGTAGAGAAAATGGGCCCTTATTGCACACGTCCGAATGGGAATCTGCGCTCGTGCGCGCTGGTTTCTCCGTTCCTGAGATTGTTTTATCCGACAACGATGACGAAAAGTTCTACAGACTATGTAACATTGTCAGTACAAAGGTGATGCGAGAAGGTCAGACGCCTTCCAAGAGTATTACGGTTATACTTCCCGACCGCACCCCCGATCTCGTTAAAGATCTTGCCAGCTTGATTTCGGCAGCCTTGGCACCACTTGGGATGGACGTTGCCATCTCAGGGCTCAGTGCACTACCTGTCGGTGCAGATCGCGGTACTGTCCTCTCCCTTCTCGAATATGGTTCGCCTCTCTTTGAAGAGATCGATGAGAGTACATTCCAAAAAGTCCAAAACATACTCCTCCAATGCAAAGAGATGCTGTGGGTTACAAGATCAGACGGAAATGATGGAGTCAGTAATCCCAGTACTCGCATGATATCTGGCCTATTGCGCACCGTCCGCTCTGAAGACACATCCCGCCGGCTACATGAACTGCACTTGGCAAGACAGTTAAGCAGCGACTTCTTGCAGTCAGCATGCTCTGTCATCTGCCATCGCCTGCACAGTCTCCAGCATCCCGTGCCGAGGGAGCTGGAGGAAGTGGAAACCATGGAGCGCGATGGTAACTTCTTTATCCCTCGTTATATGCCTGAAAGCACCATGAATGATAGCTTGGCGAGGGGCAACCAGCTGAGTGTGGCGCCAAGGACTGCGAGCCTTGTACAGGCAGGTCGGCCTTTGAAGTTGGCCATCTCGCAGCCCGGCAGGCTAGACACACTCCAATTCGTTGACGACAATTCCGCTTCTGAGCCGTTACGCGGCGATGAGATTGAAGTTGAGGTGCAAGCATGTGGTTTAAATTTCCTGTAAGTCTGAGAGGTTTGGAAACGGCAGTCTGCCATTGAAAAGACACAAGCTAACAATCGAAGTGATGTTATGGTCGCGATGGGAGAAATTCCACGATCTAATTTCGGCGTTGAGGCTGCTGGCATTGTCAACAAAGTCGGTGTCAAAGTAGAGGATTTCGTTGCCGGCGACCGAGTTCTGATGATGGCGCCAGGCGTGATGCGAACCGTAATGCGCGTACGCTCGTCCTCTCTACACAAGATACCAGCTGGTATGTCTCTTGAAGATGGCGTCTCCATCCCAGTCGTATATGCAACCGCCTACCATTCACTTCTGGAACTCGCGAGGCTACAAGAAGGCGAGTCCGTACTAATTCATGCGGCTGCTGGAGGCCTTGGCCAAGCCCTAATCCAAATTGCCAAGATGCTGCGAGCGGAAATATACTGTACCGTGGGCAGCGAGGCCAAGAAACAGGCCATAATTGCGCTTGGTGTGAAGCCAGACAACATATTTAGTTCTAGAGGACTCTCGTTCGAAAAGGGAATCAAGCGCGTAACCCAGGGCCGCGGCGTTGACGTTATCGTCAACTCACTCGCAGGGGAGGCGTTGCGGAGAAGCTGGCTCTGTCTCGCGCCATATGGCAGGTTTGTAGAGGTGGGCAAGATGGATCTGATGAGCAACAACGGGCTCGAAATGAGACCGTTCTTGACCGGCACGACTTTTTCGGGCTGCAACTTGGAGTACATGATGCTCAATGATCCACTCCGGGTAGCGGCTCTGCTCTCGAAGGTGATGCAGCTGTTTGAGAGTGGCGCCGTAGAGCTTGTGCGGCCGATTACCGTCCACGACTTCTCAGACGTCGAGCTTGCGTTCCGTGAGCTACAGCGGGGGGCGCATATCGGCAAGCTCGTTCTTCGCGTCACGGCTGAATCTCGCGTTCCAGTCCTACCGCCAAAATCCGTCGACATGAAGCTCAAGGCAGACGGCACCTATGTGCTCGTCGGTGGTCTCGGCGGTCTGGGTAGAGGGCAGGCGTTGTTCATGGCGAAACATGGTGCACGTTATCTGGGATTTATCTCTCGATCGGGAGGCGCAAGCAAGGATGCACAAGCCGTGATGAAGACCCTGGCCGAGCAAGGTGTTCAGGCAAAGGTATACGCGGGCGACATCACTGACCGAGCTGCGTTGAAAGTAATACTGGATGACATTTCCAAAACAATGCCACCAATCCAGGGAGTGATACAAGGCGCCATGCAACTAGATGATTCCGTCTTCCATAAAATGAGCTATCGTCAATGGGTGGCTGCAACGAGACCCAAGGTTCAAGGAAGCTGGAATCTGCACGAGCTATTGCCTGATAACCTAGAATTTTTTATCATGCTCTCCTCCTTGGCGGGAATTATTGGCTCTGTGTCGCAAGCAAACTACGCAGCCGGAAACACATATCAGGACGCGTTGGCCCATTACCGCCGCTCCAAGGGACTACCGGCCCTGAGTATTAATCTGGGTATAATTGGCGGACTGGGCTATGTGGCCGAGCACGAGGATGTGGCCGCGCGCCTTGGGCAATTTGGGCTCGCCAGTGTCAACGAATTCCAGTTTTTTCATCTCCTTCAGTGTGCTATCGCAGGCACGGCGGATAACCAGAGCCGGCTGCCTGACCAGCTCCTCACCGGAGCTGGCTCTGGCGGCGCTATGCGGGCCGCGCAAAAAGCTGAAACGGAAGTCAACCTCTCCTGGTTAGACACTCAGGCCGCGTTCTCCCACCTGCGCCGTCTGGGTGACGAGACTACGAAGGCGGAGACGGAGGGCACCCAAGACGGGGGCAAGACGAAGCAGCTCGTCGGAGATCTAGGGCGTGTCAAAACCATTGACCAGGCCGCGCAGACGGCGCAACAGATTCTGCTGGAGAGGATGGCGCGGGTCATTTCAATTTCTGTCAGCGACATTGACACGTCAAAGCCTGTGTATGCATATGGCGTCGATAGTCTCGTGGCTGTGGAGCTGAGGAACTGGCTGGCTATGGAGCTCAAGAGCGAGCTGAGCATCTTTGATTTGACTAGCAATGCTTCGATTAGTGATGTTAGTCTCAAAATCGCGAGTAGGTCCTTGTTGGTGCCGGCGGACGTGAAAAGTGGGAAGTGTGAATAAGTGTGTCTACTAGCTGATACACAACCTGGAGATACATCATTCTGTAAGCTATATAGGCCGTCTCGTAATCTTTGTGCCTTGATAGTATTTGCATAGTTTTTGGCAGCTATTGTGCTGCCACTGTACAATCATGTATAAGTGATAGTAGGTGTTAAGTCCGTAGATGCGGCGAATGAAGCCAATACAGCAAAATAGGCAAAACGGACATGCATGCGATAATAGAAAAATTTAGTTGCCACGCAATTCCCCGGGAAATAGCCGGTTCTGAGGCCTGCTTGGCTCAGCTCAGCTCGCAGCACCTACTCATGCATATAAATATGCCATGCCCCCCGCCCAGCATATGCCTCCCGACCCCCGTTCTCCTTTTCCCTGCCCATCCTACCTTGACCCCTCACTCCAGGGCTATCGACAGAATAGTAAGATACAATGGCCCTTTCATGGCGTAATATGGCGGTTATATCTCTGGCTTGCCATATTTTCCTCTTATTCCTCTTGATGGTTAGTGAGGGAAGGTGGAAAGTCGTGTCGACGGTGCCACGCTTTGCTATGTCATTCGTAACACAAGCTACGGGCTGGCTCCTCTGGTCTGTATTCATCTATCCGCACTTTAAATCGCCACTTCGACACCTCCCTCAGCCAGGAACGTCCCACTGGCTTCTCGGGCACCGTGCCTGGATGCATCCCACAGATATTGGCATCGACGCAAAGAAATGGTAGGTCTTCATTAACATCGCAAACATCACAAACATTTTATATTTGCTAATAGATTAGTGAACAGGGTCAATGAGATGCCCCATAAACACTTTATCCGCTTTTTGGACTACTTTAACCGGGATTGCCTACTCGTGACCTCGGCGGAAGCCATAGGCGAGATCCTTGCCGAAAAAGACCACATATTCACGCGGTCTGCCCAGTTTCGCTTCATTTTTAGCAGATATGTGGGCAAGGGTATTGCTGTTGTCGAAGGACGCGCGCACAAAGCGCAGAGACGAGCGCTAAGTCTCGCCTTTTCCGGGCGGCACGTTAGGGACTTGTACCCTGTCTTTTGGGACAAGGGCTCCAAGGCGGTGCGCGCACTCGAGGCGAGAGCGGTCGTACAAGACTCCCCGCTAATTATTGAATGTCATGAATGGGCAGTACGTTGTGCACTAGATGTGATGGGTACGGCGGGCATGGGTGTGGAATTTGGCACAATAGAGGACGATAAGCATATATTGCTGCAGGCTTATGAGCGACTGAAGGAGTTTTCATGGCAAGACGCAGTGGTGATACTGTTTGGGACTTATATGCCTGAAGGTATAGCAACGCGCCTCCCGCTGCGCCGCAACCGAGTTGTTGAGAGTGCGCTGGCTGATATCCGTAGGGTATGTCGGGATGCTATACGCGCCAAGCAGAATGCGATGGAATCTACTGAGAAGGGGGCACATGTGAACATTTGCTCGGCGATTGTAGATAGTGGCATGTTCAGCGAGGATGAAGCGGTGGAGCAGCTCATGTCGATGCTGTTTGCGGCGCATCATGCGCCAGGTCGGACAATGACGGCAGCTGTCTATACGCTATGCCGGTTCCCAGAGAAACAGAGGCGGCTGCGAGAGGAGGTGCACCGCTGCCTACCCTCAATTGAAGACTTAGCCGATGGTGCGTCGAGCGCCTACATCGATGGCATGCCATACCTCAATGCTTTCTGCAAGGAAGTTCTCCGCCAGTACAGCACGGGCGTCTCGTCGCGCCAGGCGGCATGCGACACGACGGTACAGGGCACGCCTATCCCCAAGGGAACTACTCTTAAGCTGTCTGTGGCGAGCGCTAATGGCGATCCTATGCTCTGGGGTAGTGATGTGAGCGAGTTTAAGCCCGAGCGCTGGTTACCGGGCGGAGGCAAAGAGACCGTTATGGGCGCAGACGATGAAAACAGAGATGACGCAACGGCACTGGGGGGAGCTGCAAGCAAGTTTGCGAACCTGACATTTATGCATGGCCCGCGCAACTGCATTGCGGCGCAATTCGCCCATGCTGAGTTTGCGTGTCTGCTCGCAACTTGGGTGGGCAAGTTTGAATTTACGCTGGCGGACGAGGAGCTGATGGATGAGAGTAAGCTGCCGGCGAGGGCGTTGGAGACGAAGCTCAACGTATGTATTCGAGTAGTTAACGGGTGGTGATGATGCCTACTACGTTGCCCTAAGCAATTTGTCTGGCTTTTTAGTTTGGCCGTAAATTTTCAAGCCCTACAAATAAATCAAAGTCAGTTGGCAATTTGTGTTCAAATGTTTATTGTCAACAAAAATGGTCATATTTCATACACACAAGGTAACTCTGGATTGATCATTGAATGAATGCATGAGGGTCTGAATCCTCGAAATATCTCTAATTTACTCTGCTTATGTATTATATCTTTCCACGGGTTCGATTGGATCCATCGGACTCGCAATACTTTATATACTAGTCGAAACCTGGTCAAAAATAAAACTTTCAGAATGCTCAAGATACTGTTATAATATGGCATTCAAACTTGAACTATGATTCAGGGATGCGTTAAATACATATTGCTTAATTTCGCTCTAGATACCTACTTGAACAGTAACCCAGGATGTACAGCTTTTTTTACTCTAAATAGCAAGTTAAAAAACAATGACACATGAATAGTCCTTCTGTAAAGGCCCACGAAAGCTCAACGCAGACTCCACTCATACCACTAGTGGGCTGCGCTTTGGCCCAATAATCGGGCTCATAGGCAGCGATCGGGACCCCGCGATGGACCGAAAATGCATATTTTTGCTAAGTGTATTGTGTATTGCCCTTTTGGTATAGATATGCTGGATTTTTTTAATCCTTCTTAGTCTTCCCTTTTTTTTTTTTTTTTTTTTTGACCTGTTTGGGTTCTCCCACTTCATTATTAAAAGCAAACAGCGCGGATGTTAGGGATTTGGCACGCTGTAGCTTCATTTGAATTTTCCATGATGAATGGGAGTGGGTGGGTGTATTAAGAGTGAAAACTCATCACTGCGATGATAATTATCATTAAATGGGGAGGCTCACTAGTAGGGCACATCTATGTATCAAAGACTAGTGATAGCGCGACACTGGAGCTGAAAATTTGTGGATCTAATTCGTATCTATGGTGATCGCATCCTCGTTGGATTACCTTCGTTGCCGATCAATACAGATACAAAGACCTTTGAGACACGCGCAGAAAAACAACAGTGCAGGTAATATACAGGATTGAAATAGTGTAAACACCAAACGCTCTTCCCTGTCTTCTAGATTTGCATCTCCTCCTAAACTTGATGATATCCATTACTGCGTCCGACGCCAGAGATATAGTACTTATGAATTGGATCTTATTTAACCTACCTAATTGCTACACTATTAACGCTAGTGGGAAGTAAATCTGAAGTAGAAACAACTAATCAACGGTTCAAGGTACATGATCGATAGGGCATAAGATCTCAGGGGGATAGGGGTGATAGGGGCGGTGAACTAGTAATTGGGTGGTCGATCCGGCGAAGGCGGGGGTCCGCTGTTTTGGAACATACTATCACACCCCAAGACAAGTCCTACAAGAGTCAACCATGACTGCTGAGGAATCGAAATCGACATATTCCGGCACCTCGGAGTATGGTGGCCATCCGCCCTCTAGCATCACAGAGGACATATATCCCGTGCATACTTTGGATGACATTAAAACACTCCGTATGTTCATCAATTGGACAATGTGCTTTAACGATGTTCTTGACCCCGAAAAATTACACAATTCTTTGTCGAGACTACTCAACATTGGGGACTGGAGAAAGCTTGGGGGCCGGCTTAGACTCAAGGTATGGAGAAGATATGCCACTTCTTCTAAACTAAACGAAATAGCCTATTGATAATATACAGGATGATGGAAAGCTCGAGGTCTATGTTCCACGTCCGTTTACAGCTGAACAGCAAGCCGTGACATTTACTCATGCTGATTTTGGTATGAGGATAGAGGAGCATCCGGTGGCCTGCCGTTTCCCAAGGCCAACTGATCGCCCGTATATTCAACATATTTCTCAAGACTTTCTGCCCTTCATGGCACGGCAGAACTTTCCAACTACGATTGAAGAAATGATACGGCAGAAGTTACCTCAAATATCACTGCACATCTCTTCGTTCAGTGATGCAACGCTTGTTGCTCTTACTTGGCCTCACACCATGATGGATGCTATAGGCCAACAGGATTTACTACAAGGATGGTCGTTGGTGCTAGCTGGCGAGGAGCAAAAGGTCCCACCATTTCTCGGCGCGCGAGAAGACATTCTCTTAGAGGCAGAAAATTCAACCAACTATAAGGATCAGGGAGAGTTTTTGCTCGAACGGAATCGTCTGACGGGAATGAGCAAGCTCATTTTCATAGTCCGATTTTTGTGGGACAAATTCTGGAACCCTCCCAGGGAATATCGATTGGTATTTCTTCCCAGAGATACCTTTGAACGACTGCAAAGGCGGATCCAAGGGGAAGTCGCCGAAACCGCTCAAAGCGGTGCCCATATTCCTTTCGTCAGCGAGGGTGACATTCTCACAGCATGGGTCACTCGCGTAGTAGCATCATCTGAGCCAAAGCCACGTCCCATAACTGTAGCGATCATCTCGAACGCGCGGTTCCGGCTTCCGCTACTGATTAATTCAGAAGGTGTATACATCCAGAATATGTTATGTCTGGCATTCGCATTTATATCCTCTCAGATCACTAGAGGGGCTGCTGGACCAATTGCTCTCAGCCATCGACGTCAAATCGCCGAGCAGATGACTGAGGAACAAACACTTCATTTGTTGAAGACCATGCGCCGGGATATCGAGTCTCGTGGAAATCCGAGATTCGAATTTGGAGAGTCGAACGCTGGCATAATTGTATTTAATAACTTGACCAAGGCCGACATAATCAAAGCTGCCCACTTTGGCCCAGCAGTTTTACGTCAAGGAGAAGCAGAAAATTCGAGGAGCAATCTTCCAGGGACTATGAAAGCATTCTTTGCCCGAGATCTCAATATGGCTGTGCCTGCGGTAAACGATTTCTCTATGCTTGGTAAAGACTACGATGGGAACTATTGGCTCAGAGGAAATCTCCTTCCGCGGGCATGGAAAAAGATGGAGGAGGAACTGAAGAACAGTTGGCGAACTGATTGATTGATTTTCGTGTATTCTGTGGCTTTTGTTTGTTTTCCTGTGCCATCAACAAGTTATTGTGCTTAAATCTAAATTTTGAGAGGACCATTCTCCAGAGGTAGTATATAGTAGTTTAAGGCTTTCTACCTACATCACCAAGATAGTATACCTATTATAATACATATAGTATGTTACTTTTCTGCCTATAATCAGATATCGTGAAAACGAGCTATGGCCACTCTAGTTCCCCACTTTGATAAACTTTGTCAGTGATCACTAATTCTAATTTGGCCCCACACTCTAGATCTTGACACCGAAATTGTTGTCATCATTGTGAGACGTGAGAAGCATACCCCTCCACAACATGTAAATGTTCATTTTGGAACCTTTAAATCGAGGAAATAATATTAACTACAGGCTTATCTAGTCTATCCAGCAATAAACTTCATAATATCAACATTATTGCATACTGCAAGTAATAAAATCCCCGAATGCCAAGAGCCAAGATCAATATCCCGATAAGCCGATAAGCACTGCCTCAATCACTTTTTTTCTCCTTCAGCGACTCGGTGCATGCTGTTTGCTTTTCCCCCCCCTTTATCCCTGCATTCCTCGACATACCAATTCACAATGGAAGAACATATTCGCCAGTCTCTTTCTAATCACCCGCATGCTTTCCAGCATTTGCATAGCAGCAGCAGCCCCCACCCGTCACAACGATCCTCCGACAGAATGACGCCCCTTTCCTACAACGAAGGCACCTCGACTGCCCTCGAGCACGAGTCGAATATGGCTCATAAGCATACAGGGAGCCCCGATGAGGAAGGCCGTCTTCCCCCGGTTTATACTGCGGACAGCGATCCGTTCCAGCTCGCCTCGAAGCTGAAGTCCGAGGAGGAGATCCGTCAAATGAAAGCCAACACGTCACGAAAACGCGATCCGAGCGCCTCAGGAAACAATGATGTGATGGAGATGGTGCGCAAGCCAGCCACGAAGGGCAAGCAGGCTCTTACCACTCGTAAGCTACAGGGATTTTATGAGAATCAAAATGAGAGCATCGAGCGCATGTTGAAGCCTGTCGAGGAACATGTCCGGGCAGCCCGGGAATTGAACATCGAGAACAGTCTCAAGTATAAGATTGCCGTCTATGCCAGTTTTGCTGCCAACATTATTCTTTGTGTTGTGCAGGTTTACGGTGCTGCTTCATCTGGTTCTCTGTCGCTGTTCACGACCATGGCTGACGCTATTTTCGACCCCATGTCCAATCTTACGCTGCTTCTGTGCAACAAGGCGGTTAATCGAGTCGATCCTCGAAAGTTCCCGGCTGGCAAGGCCCGTATTGAGACTGCTGGTAACATTTGCTTCTGTATGCTCATGACTGCTGTTTCGATGATTATTATTGCTTTCTCTATCCGTGAGATTGTTGAAGGCTCTACTACTTTGAAGGCTTCTTTCCATTTGCCTTCTATCATTGCTGTCTCCATCGCTTTCTTCACTAAGCTCGGTCTCTTCATGTACTGCTTTGCGCTGCGCAACCAGGTCTCCCAGATCCGCATCTTGTGGGAGGATCACCGAAATGATCTTCTCATCAACGGAATTGGTGTTATGACTTCTATCCTGGGTAGTAAAGTTCGCTGGTGGATCGATCCCATGGGCGCTATCATTCTGTCGCTTATTGTCAGTGGATTGTGGTTGCACTCTGCATATGGCGAGTTCCAGCTGTTGATCGGTGTTACTGCCGATACCAAGATGCAACAACTCATCACATATATATGTAAGTTTCTCCCATGCTTTCTAAATCGAATTCCTTCGTGGAATTGGTATCATGATTCTAACAATCCTTATCAGCTATGACCCACTCCCCCTTCATCACAGCCATCGATACCGTTCGTGCGTATACATCTGGCCCTCGCCTTCTCGTCGAGGTTGACATTGTCATGGATGCCAATGATACTCTTCGTGCTACTCACGATGTTGCCGAAGAGCTTCAGATCAAGCTCGAGTCCTTACCTGATGTTGAGCGTGCTTACGTTCACGTTGACTATGAGACCACACACAAGCCAGAGCACTTCCTCAAGAAGGAGCTGTAATTTGTTTCTCATAGCTTTTGTGGTGGCTAAAATTATCCTATTTGTACAGACTTATATACATATCTTCTGCTTTCTCTGGTCGATTGTCAAAAGCACAACATCTTCAATATTATTACTTAATTTCCACGCTAAGCTTTATTCAGTAGGAAGCCCGAGTAAAGTGGAAAAATATCGTACTCTTATCGTGACTCGTTTAATTGGTGGCTGCCTTCTGGTTATCTCGAGAGGGCTTAGTGGTGCTATTGGTCCTCGTGCTTAGGTTGAGTGTTCGAGGCTGCATGCACTAATTGTGCAGGGGTATAGGTACCAATCAGTCAGTGCTCGGGGCTCGGGGTTCGGAGTTAGAGCCGCCATCGCGTGGCTCAAGCCTCTGGCGTACTCAGCTAACCACCACAATCAAAGAAACCACTCTGGTATGATCTGGTGCGCCATATTCAATTTATCGTTGCCGATTGCTTCGCGCGAAATTCGGTGCTTAAGATGTTGTCATCTCTTGCCAACCCTTCAACTACCATCGACTGATACCAATTCATGGACGATCAGTATGGCATTCCCGATATGTGTAGATGATACCTCCTTTGGCCCTGTTGTGGCAGGGTGTAGAGACAACTTCGACTTCAGACTGAAGTTCGAGAAAATCATACTTACCATACTACCGTCTGCCATTTTCATCGCACTGGCAATTCCACGGGCCGTTGTTCTCGCTCGTCGACCAATAACAGTAGACGGCAACAGCTTCAAATTCACTAAGCTCGTGCGTTCCCTCTAGGCCCGGTAGTTCATGATAGTGTCGAGACTGACATGCCTTGGGAATTGCAGATAGTATCAGCTATATACGCAGCCCTTCGACTCGCAATCCTAATTATTACCAGCCTCAATACATTCGAGCTTCGCACATTGTCATTCGCAACTGATACAATATGCCTTATTGCCGCCATAGTAATACCCGCCCTAGGGTTTTTTGGCCATTCGCGTTCTCCCCGACCCTCCATCTTGCTCAGCTCATTCCTTTCCCTAACCACACTGTTAGATATTGCACAAGTGAGAACACTATGGCTGCTGGCTAAGAGCCCATCCGAATTGAATTATGTCAAGCTTCTGACAGTAGCCGTTGTGTACAAGGCTGTCTTATTCGTACTCGAATCCTTGCAGCGCAGAAGCTGGCTCAAATGGGACTGGAAGATACACAGTCCTGAGGAAACGACTGGGATTTATGGTCTTGGGAGCTACTTCTGGCTCGCTCCTATTTTTGCGCAGGGTTACAGGAAGATCCTGGACTTGTCTGATCTTTACCCCCTTGACCAGAAGGTGGCTGTGGAAACTCTACAGCCTTCCTTTGCCCGTTATTCTAAAAATATGCGCTTCAACGGAGATAAGAACAGATTGACCAAGGCGCTCGCTCGTGCTTTACTGGTCCCTTTACTGTTACCAGTGGTCCCTCGCGTTGCTCTACTAGGATTCACACACTGTCAGCCTTTTCTCATCGAGAGCATTTTGAACTGGCTCGAGGAGCCAAATAATACGCTCAAATCCGATAAAGGCTATGGTTAGAGTTGGCACCGAAATTATTTTATGTCTCTGGATTTGAGGGTCGGGAGGGCGCGTCCATATCGAAAAGTGTTCGCAATGTGTGGAAAGTGAGTGACTTGTTTACTGACAAGTATCATGATAGTCATTACCACAGGCCTTGATTCCAATAACGTTAGAACTTGAATAATATGAAATGACAAGAACTCTCATCTATTCACGATGATACATAATGGGTTTGGAATATAACACTTCTGTTTAGCACTAGAAATGCATCAATGACATTCTATCAATTTGTTGATGCTCAGTAACTTTTCTCCTGTAAAGGTTAACATACATTCTATTTCACTAGTTGAAATTACACCTATATTCCACTGCCGCCCAAGAGCTCGAAACGAGGAAAAGGGCACTTCAGCCAGATACACGTGTGGGTTGATGCATAGTATGGGACAATAGCGCTCAACGGGGATTTCCAGCGCCAGTGTCAGTGTCAACCCCCGGAGGAATCTGCAAGAGTCTTTGGATAGAATTATCCGGGGCTGGAATGCCCTGGAGAAGAGCTATCACTAGAATCAATGAAATAATGGAATTTCTGGATATAATATGCATTTTCTAGGTGAAAAAGCAACCCCAACACATCACACGGGATGTGAGGTACGTGGCTCTTCATAGCCATTTATATAGCCAGACTCATTGACAGTTCGTGCTAAAGGGCTTTGAATTGCCCGATCATGATGCCGGGGGCTATCAGTCTTCCGGGTTAAGTAGATCTCGATCCGACGATACCCACATCGAATGCTGAATGACACTAACATTGAAGTATATGGGTACTAGATGAGGGCCAGCAAAGCTGTATGAATAGTAGGAAATAAATAAATGAGATACTATAGCGGTGTATAACGTATAGAGATGGTAGCAAATGATGAGATATAAAACTAAATATCGAATTGTAAGAAAAACTTGAAGAAATGGTATTGTGGAAGAATATAAAGAAGAGTAAGTTTAGTGGAGGTGAAAGGAATTATTTTATATCGAATAGTGGTAATACTAGGCAACTGTATCTAGCTACGTATAGTATAAAAATTATTAAGTTGTTTGATATGGTTAGATAAACTCACAAGTGGCCATTTATCATTTATGCTGTCCAGATAGCACAAGAGAATTCAAAATGGAAGAAACCAAGTCAATTTCCACTGCTTTGAAATTACATTGAAAATGCAACAATATCCCATAAACTATGCCTGACGATAAGACAGGCGATTAACTGTATGAATAATTCTAACCAATCAAAACTCTTTCATGAATACGCTAATCTCATTTAAGATTAGCCCCGCTTACTAAAATTCTGGAACCCCCGGGATTTCATTCAGCCTCAACGTCGGGTGAGAAAAGAAACAGAAAACCGTTCAGAAAATCTTGCAGAACCCCATACTCCATACTTTATTCTCCGTATCTCAAAGATCCGGTCATTTCCTGACTGGGTTCTTCGTGACCCCGTCGGATGGGGACATGTCAGAGCGGTCTGTGCAACTTCCCACAAAAGGTAACCGTTAGTTGTCCCCACCTCCATGTGCGTCTGTCTAACACCATAATCAGACTGTCCGACCTGTCAAAGGCGACGCATAAAGTGTGATCGCGGTCTACCTGGATGCGCAAAATGTGCTAAGCGCAAATTTGACTGTCCTGGCTATGGTCTCCAGTTGAAATGGGGCCAAGGAGTCGCTAGCCGTGGTAGATTGCAGGGACAAGCGATCCCGGTGCATGAGACTAATGCATCGAACTCGATGCTTGTCAGTAGTAATGGGAGAAATTTATCAAGTGATCTTCAATTAGGTTTAGGGTCTGGTGTGAACTTTTTACGTATCCAGCCTACTTCGCCTGCTACGCTTTTAGGTTCGCCTTCTGTTGATTTGAGTCTATCGGGTCCGAGACCTCCACATGCGTCACGGTTATTAGCCTGGTTTAAGGAACGCGTCGCACAGAGATTAGCGTGGATTGATGGGCCCCAGAATCCATGGCGACAAATTATTCTTCCATTAGCCGAAAACTCGGAGACGGTGCTTTCTTCCGTCCTGGCCCTTGCCGCTCATGATCTGGCTTCGCAATACCCCCAGCATGATCTGTGGTTCGTCAAGTTCCAGGATATCTCAAATGCATACCAGAACAAAGCATTATCTCTCCTTGCGAAAGAACTGGGGACTCTTACCGCTTCGTCTTCTTCATCTTCGTCTTCCATCGTACAATCCACACCCGACGCATCAATGACCCTCGCATCAGTCATAATCTTATGCAACAACGAACTTCTCAAAGCCCAATCTTCTGGATGGAAAATTCATCTTCAAGCCGCTCGCGAACTTATTCTTGTCAACTCAAATGCAAAAAGCTCATATCTCCAACAACAACTTCTTCGCATTCAAGAGTTCCTTTTACAGGAGTTCTATGCTACATCCGTCTGGACTCAGCTAACTACCTTCGACGACATGAATGTAATAAATAATATCAATACAGCACCCACAAGCACCGAAGATGCAGCCGTCGCAGATTTCATCCGCATAATATATCAAACAAGTCAACTTGAGCGTTCGTCACGTCGTTCCGAGACACCTCTCCCCCTTTCACAAATTGAAGATATCCTCACTCAAATCGAATCAGCGCGCATAAAAAGTTTTCGATTATCTGAGAAAGTCGATTTCTGGACTGCCTCTGATAGAAATGACTTCGAGCTTGTGGTTTGGATGTTTTATCATGCCAATCTTGTTTATTGTGCGCAGGCTTTTCCGGTCCTGAGAGAAAGTGGTAGAGTTGATGTTTTTGCTTCGAGAGATAGGATTCTGAATCATGTTAAGGATCTTTCGGAGACGAGGAATGGAATGTGGGCGCAGGATTTGGTTTGGCCGCTTTTTATTGCGGGTACGGAGTTGAGAGGGGATAAAGCTGGGCAGAGGTTTGTGGAGAATGCGTTTAGGGATGTTATGAGGCTTAGTCGGACGTTGGATCGGGCGAGGGTTCTTTCGTTTTTGGGGATTTGGTGGGGTTTGGAAATGGGGGGTGAGGATGAGAGGTCGGGTTCTTGGATTCAGTTGGCTAGGGAGAGACCTCAGGATTTCAATTTTATGCTTTTATGAGGATTGCTTTTATGATGTCAGGAGATTTTTATGTTTATGTATATGTTTATGTGTGATGCTTGGTGTATATGTTTATGTTATATTAGCGGCAAGGGTTTACTACTTTTGGAATTGTCAGAAAAACATTATACCGAACTTGTCATGTTTCAATTCTTTAGCATGTCATGTTACATTGAGGAATTGTAGGGAGTAGAAATTAATGGTATGACTGATTTCATTACTCGGTCACATATCTATTATTGTTGGCATTTAGCAAGATCGGTGGTATCATGCAATCCTCTATGCGAAACCATATCTTGTGAAGTTCCGAGGTCACAAGTACAAACAAAATTCAAGAAAATCCACCGTATCAGAAGAAAGAAGAAAAGAAAACCTATCTATTTCAAAGACAGAACAGACAGGCAGTAAGATGGACATGCAAATGATGAAAAAAGAAGAAAAGCAAAGAAGAGAAGAAAGAAGATATGATGAAAATGAACTTGAAGAAACGACAACCCACCCAATCTTGACACCGAAATAAAAACCCAAGGTTAGACTTAGACAGTCTGCTCGAACAACGCAATGGTCGAACAGTAATTACTTTGGTTCGGAAGTTGAGGAACCATGCTCTTCCCGTTCGAAGAGGTAACCATGTTAACAGCTGCCTTGGTACTAAGACCATAAATGTGAACATCAGAACAATCAACCTCAACTATATTCTCCTGACAATCCTCGGAGTTAAGGCAGGTTTGCGCATAGTTCTCAAAGAAACTGTACAATCCGGCGCCGTAGACAAAGAGATCCGACGAGTTGATAACTCTTAGACCCCAGGACTTGCGGCACGAGGCAGTGGTACATGTTGAGAAGTCGGGGTCATTCCACTTCTTAGGTTGAGGAGTAAATGGTGTAAGAGCACTTGGATTAGACTGGTAGTATGGTGTCTCGGTTTGGATGAGACCCATGAAGACGTTCTTCGCGTTCGAAACCTGGTAGTTGTATAGCTGGTGGTGCTCGGATGCGGTACCCCATAGCCAGACGGGACCTTGGGACTCAATGAGGATTCCACGACCGGTGAAAACGTTGATCTGTGCGTGGTCGGCGAGATCGAGCTCGTGATCTGCTGTCCACATCCAGGTGTTCTCGAGGTATGCGCTTGCCTTCTCGGTAACGTGCAGAAGCATGAAAGCGGCGATACATTCGGACTTAGGGGTTGTTTTGACCTTAGGTGTCTTGTGGCAGGTATCGCTTTGGAGACCGGAGCCGGCGGCACCACCGATGCGGAAGTGGACGTCCCACATACCGGCTGAGCCTTGGGAAGAGGCAGCGACGTTCCATTCCATTAGGATGGCGCCTGGGGCGGAGCCCTTGGTCATGATTACGAGGTCGGACATCTCGACGGAGCCGGACTCGCCCTTTTGACCGATTTGGATGGCGGGAATGGGGTTTTCTTGGTCGGAGAACTTGTCGCCGTGGGCCATGATCATGGGCCAGATTTCACCGGTGATCTTGATGTCCTTTGGAACCTTGATAGTGTCGGTGATCACGTAGGCACCGTGGTCGAAGTAGACGACTTGGTCGATGGTGGCGCTGTCGAGGATCTTCTGGATGATCTTGGTGTCGTCAGTAGAACCGTCACCCTTGGCACCGGCGGACTTGACGCTGATGAAGGAGGAGGCGGGAAGATCCTCGTAGAGGGGCTTGGACTTCTCGAAAACAGCGCCGTCTACCAGGAGGTCGGAAGGCTTGTTCGAGCCATCGCGGGTGGTTTGGGTGCGAACGGACTCTACGGCTTGGTTGGCAGCGCAGGTGCCGGTGCTTTCAACAGTGCCCGAGCCAGAGTTGACAGCATGCGAGGCTGATGCGGAATGAGTGGCGTGAGCTTCGGTTGTAGTGCCTGTGGGGACTGCAGTTGCCTCGCTCTCGCTGGACTCAACGAGTGTAAGTTGCTTCGTGGTGGTGGGCTGGGCGTTTTGAGCCTGAGTGTTGGGGCTACCAGTAGATCCCAGGATAGACTCGAGCCAGCTGCTGTTAACGTCGGGAATGGACACTGTAGGAACTGAAGCGATGGATCGGTCTGCACTGTCGGTGCCAGTAGGGAGAACAGGGGTAACATGGGAGGTGCTCTCTCCGACAGGCACACTGTTGGAGGCAAGAGTGGTCTGTGAGCCATAGCTGGCGGGGCAAGCCTCGACAGTGTGCATAACAGTCTTGGTCACGGTAATAACATCTTCATCGGCCTCGACGGCACGCTTACTGACACCGGAGGATGGGGCGTAGGTGTTACCCTGGACCCAATTTGGGACGACAGAGCCACCAGCCAAAATCTTCTTGCCATCAACACCAGCGACAGCGATCTTGGAGCCAGAGAAGTCGACATTATCCAAGACGAGAGTACCACCACCGACGGGAATGCTCTTCTGAGACCAGGCAGTGACGATTCCAATGGGGGTGTTGGTCAGCTTGCTGTCGAGCATCATGACGGAACCGACGGTCTGGTTAGAAGGTGAAGTAGACATGTTCAAACCGACGTCGCAATTGTTGATGGTAACAGACTTGAAGGTCCATGCCCAGTTCCAGTTCATGAAGATAGCGGTGTTGCAGTCATTGAAGGTCAGGTTGCGAGTAGTGAACTGCTGGTTTCCAAGGAACATGCCGTAGTTACCACCATTGAAGGTCAGGTCGGACATAAAACCACCGGAACCGTTGTCCATGAAGATACCCTGCTGCTTGTTCGCATCGCCGCCACCCTTGACCATGTTGAACTTGATGTTTTGAAGACTTGTTGCCTGTCCCACCTGCCAGTGGATACCAGCACCAGAGCCCTTCGGCATAGCAGTAAGATCGATCTCCAAGTTACGAATAGCGCGGAAGAAGTTGTTCTGGTTGGTGAACCAATTATCACCATTGTCCTCGTATGGGTCGGCGTCAATGACAGCCATGCCAGCGAAAGCGGCGGCAGCCTTAATAACGGGGAGCTCGACAGCATCTCCAACGATCTGAGTGTAGTAGTACTGAACGATAGGCTTGGAAACGACATAGGTACCAGGTGGGAAGTAGACGATAGCCGGCGTAGTGGTAGAAGAGTCACAGCCCTTGCCACAGCGGTCGCCAGAGGAGATGGCCTTGTTAATTGCGGCAGTATCATCGGTAGAGCCGTCACCTAGAATATGATTAGCCACGATACATGAATGATGTATTTCAAGGTGGGTTGCAGCTTACCCTTGGCGCCGAAATCCTTCACGTTACGGAAAACCTGGTACTTGGGGTTGCTGTTGAAGGGAGCGACACCCTGGCGCTTGATATTGGCCATCCAGAAGCTGGATGAGGCCCGCTTGGAAACCTCAAGTTCGTTGGAGACCGGGGTCACTGGGACAGCGCCCACCAATGCCGTCGGAAGACCCAGGAGCAGAATGAGATGCGCTAAGAATAGCATGATTGAGGATTGAAACTTGGCCATTTTCAAAATGAATATCGCTGGACCTGCAGCGGGAGTATGAGATCGGATGGAAAGACGAAAATTCCTATATCGATGAAACAGTTCAGTAACCAGTACTGTAGATGAATGAATAAAACTGGGATGATTCTTTGAAAATGAAGAAAAATCAACCAAGTCAAAAAGATAGGCAGAAAGACAAGAAAAGACTGCGTTCACAGAACGAGTGAATACGAAGGCAGCACCAGGCTGTATAGATTGGGATCTATATTTCCTCCGATAGGGAGGGGGAAAAGAGTGAATGCAGGAACAAGTTGCTCCAACCACGAAGAATGAATGAAGAAAAGAAAACGGAAGAAAGAAAAGAAGAAAAGAATCTCTGCTGGTGAAAGAGACCCTATTCAACAATAAAAAGTAAAGGGAGAGACTAACGCTGACTTGACTTGGTCCCTGCACAATTGTGCCTGAATCACTTCCGGGCTCCGCCTATCGCACGCGCCGGCGCCGTAGTTCAGTCAACACCCACCAATCACAACGCCCCACCCAGGGACTGGCGCCGAGCTTGAAACGCGATAATCAGGAACTGAAACGCTGGAGCAGCTAATCACTGAGCTAGATTGTCGCAGGTTGACTGGACCCTGGTGTAACTGGATATCAGGGGTAAATAGTAATAGGTTGAAAAGGGAAAACAAAAACAAGAGCTGGCTGGATTGGACCCAGGGGAGTTGCGATTTGCAATAAAGTGGAAATCCGGCACGGGATCAGTATATTGATCTGCGAAGTTTTGATATGCACTTCAAATAGTAGTGCCAGTGGAGTGGAGTAAGTGCAGAACAGTATCCAGAACCCAGCGCCAAATAAATTCAACGAGGCAAAAGGAATCAAAAGTTGTGAGTCAGGGTTCTACGTTGCTATTATACCATTGCCCTGCCCCGATCCCAAACAGGGTATGCCGGATCTTGCATTCTTGGGTTTTTCCCGTCGCATGGAAGGGACGAGGTGTGTATCCATCTTCCAGGGGTTGTCTACTTAGCGCTAGCGCCTTGATCTTGCCGGATTATGTGTTGTGGGACATGTCCCTGCTTTTTCCCTCCCTGGTATGGGAAGTCAAGCGCGTTTCTCTGTGGATCCCGCTGCCCCTGCAGCAATAGAACGGGTCGCACATTACCTGCCTACTCTACTGGTTGAGGTAGGATTGGGATTTCCGTCTCTGCATCTAGAGCGAGCGCCATTCTCAGCGTGATCATTTAGGTCTCTGGTATGGTCGCAGTGATCGGTTACTGTAGTTAGGAACGGTCGGACAAGACTCGGAGTGCACAGTGGGCGCGTTCATTGTTTGGTTGTCAGGGGTGCGGTGTTATGGATGAACATTCCACGACGCGGGGATCGAAGACGTAGAGATTCTTGATGACGGAGTTACGGATGATAGACAAAACAGACAGCGGCACTTGATTTGATATGGATTGTTTGGACCTGGACTGGGATTGGCTATGGTGTTGGGGAATCTTCTAAAGTGATGGGTTTGCGGCCAAGCTTTCGGAGCTGGAGTTGCAGCCTGAGGCGGTGACCCTAAGGCTGCTTTTAGCCTGGTCAGATGCATAATGAAGGGTCTATTTATGCATGAACACCACTATCTCAATAGTTTGTGGCGCTATTGTGTAGTTTGTTCTTTATTCCTTGCATCAAAGCTTATATGTAAATTTCTTAGAGTTTAGATGATGAGTACGCAGTATATGAGATGAAAATGCATAAAATATGCCTCTGGATGTATAGTGGGGAGTATGTACCAGGATATATTATAGCATGGGCATTCTCCCAACTTGAATAGATAAATACACTTCAACCTTGGAAATTCAAGTTGAAATTATTTCATTGTCATAAAATATTCGATTCTCATTCACCTAGCATCGGGCGCAATCCTCTCTAAGTGTATACCCCATCACCACCCACCTCAGGCTCCAGTCGCGGCTAGTGCCTAGTTTGCCCCAAGGCCACGCGTCCCTGTCTAGAACGAACCACCCACCCCAACAACTAAACTGCACAGGGCAACAAGATCCAGAGTTGCCCCATCTACTAAACCATCCGCTCCACAACAACTCCCAGTCTACGTATCCCCTCACTAATGTGGCTGAGCTCCTCCCACGCAAAACAAAGCCGAATATTGTTCGTGAACCGAGCCGGATCAGCCTCCGTATCCCCAACCACTTGAAATAGTTCACCAGGCGCTAAGCGCAGATTTTGCTCGCTCGCAGCCCGCTTGACTACACTCGCCGCGGATAAGGGGCTCGGTAGCGTAATCCAGATAAAGTATCCACCTGCCACGCGGGATGTGCTGGTGATAGCGGGCAGGGTGACTCCAAGTGGTACTAGGTGTTTTTTGATAGAGGATATCATTAGATGGTATCTTTCGTTGTAGGATACGCGGAGTGTGTCGCGAATGTGAGATTCTAGGAATCCAGTCGAGATTAACGAGGATATTATCGCTGCGCATAGTTGGGATGGTGCTCCACCGCTGCGGGAGGATCCTCTGTTTCACTTCCGTCAGCTTATCCACGTTCGTGCATAAGGCCAGAGTAGTAGTGCAGATTCAGTTTTAGTTACTAGGTAACAACACGAATGATGTAGGCTGTAAAGATTTCTAGCCTCATGGAGTGGAGTGGAAGGCAACGTACACTTGCGATAACCCGTAGGCAACCTTTTCAGATGCCTCTGCCCATCCGGTACGGGTTCCAGGCCCAATCAATTTACTGAAGCTGCCATTACTTAGTGCGTGGCCCCATTCGTCAATTGGGCCACCATCAAGGTACCGGTCCACGTCAATTAGTCGGGGAAAGAGTGAATGCTCGGTTGATGTTGTTTCATCGCCTTCTGTAGATGGCCACTGTAATGAATCGTATACATCATCTGAGACCAGGAGAACATCATATTGCCGTGCTATCCTCACGAGTCGTTCTCGATGACCCAGCGACATGATTTTGCCAGAGGGATTAGCGAAGGTAGGCACCAAGTACACGATGTGTTTGTATGTTTTGCGCCAAGGTCTGGGCGGTTTCATCTTCTGTAAGTATGCACCGCGTTAGTTGAGATATTTTTTATTAATTTATTTATAATACTGTGTGCAGAGCAATTATACATGTGTATGTATGTTTGCCCACAACACTGTATTTTCAATGATTGAAACATTGAAGAGACTGGTATTAGCATGTGCAATTACCGGTTCTGTATTTCCATCCGTGGTAGCCTTCTCCTCTGCGGTTCGTAATCCGCCCTCCAAGAAATCTAGATCAAGCCCTTCCTCGTCCTCAGGCACGCCACGTACCCGGGTAGCGAAGCCAGAGTCATCTATCACGCGGCCCGCGAGATGGAATGTGGGATCGACCATCCAGACATTCCGGGTGTAGATCGGGTCAGTAAAGACCTGTAGTACACAAGCGAGGTTTTGGCTAGCTCCGCCCGAGATACAGATGCGTTGGGGCGAAATAGGGGCGCAGGGTTGATAGAAGGTTGTTAGCCATTGAGCGATGTGGGTTCGAAGAGGCTCCCAGCCTTCATCGGGTCCATAGAGTAAGGCTGGGTGGGCGATAGAAGGGACGGTCAACACATCACTGGCGGAGCGGAGAAGATCAGGAGCGGGGAGGAGCGCGGGGTTAGGCCAACCGCAGAGTAGATCAATCTTGTTGGTAGGAATGGACATGGTTGATAGGTGGGCTGGATGGGCTTGGCTGGATTGTGCAGTATTTGTGGGTAACCGGTTTAGGCAAATAGAAGTAATCTGTCAGCCTGAGTCAGGATAATCACAGGTGACAAGCGTACAGATTACGATTGCCGATCGCGATGGCGGTACTAGCAGTTGTTTTTCCACGATAGTTTGCGCGGATCCGAGATCGGGCAATGTGTGGAAGCGAGTGCGGAACCAAACCGTGAATTGCGTGCGAAACAGGGACAAGGTACAGACAGGTACAGACATAGTCACAGGCACAGGCACAGGCACAGGCACAGGCACAGGCACAGGCACAGGCACCACTATATCTGGTGCGACATAAGAAACATTAACCGTGCCATTTTACTTACGGGTATATCTGAACATTGTACATTATATTCGGTGGCCTAATGCTCAAAAATTTATAGTAATTTGAGTCATTACCTCATTGTGGATATATTGGGTATATCGTGCACCATAGACAAGCTTTTCCACAGTTTGGATGTGGCAGATGTCTCAGTTCTCCCTATTGACCCAGTCAGCGGGTAACACTGGCTAGATAGTAATATACTTTTGACATTTGAATAACAAACAGCACCCCGTTGCCCCGTTACTTACTCGGGTAAGCCTCGGTCGGGTCAATGCGGCAAGCAAGCGTGGCGTATAAATCCCATCCAATTGGATGCTCCCAGCATTCTAGGTGCTAGCGCAGGCAAGGAACTTGAAAATGGAAGACTCGGATTGAAATCGACTAGTAATTTGTCCTGAGAAGCGAAAGCTACGGGGTTTTTACCGCCACAGCATACCTACATGTCTCCAAATATGTCTGTTGACTATTTCAAGTTCTCGTGGGTTGCAATATATTTTTTGTCTATTTCGGTGACAGATGCAGCATCCGTGACCCTTGGCAACTGGGCATAGTAATTTATACTTAGTACTGAGACTGTTGCTCCGTGAAATCCATATCGAAATGTATGGTATTTGCTGGTTTTATACTTCGTACAGCCACAGCCCCGGGGTCCGACAACGGTCAACTTTGCTAGGATCAACGTCAACCCAGGCTATATTATATGCATTGTACATAAACTATGAATAGAATCGTGATCAGCCTAGCTTGGCCCCCAATATTTGAACTAGGATCGATATAGAAATACATTCATGAGAATTTGAACATCAATACTCCCTCCTTTTTCTATAGTTCTATATTCAAGTTCGAGTTTGTAATTAAATAATAGACACATCAATTTTTTTTTTTTACATCTTTCCATAATTTCAATCTTCACTACCACAATGAACCCATCATAAACCCAGCAAATACCGTATTGTATTTTATTGGATATTTGGGGGATCCACACTGTGACCTGCACAGCCAAGGAACTCCATCTTGGGGCCTGCGAAGAGCTATTATTGGCATAAGAAGGAACCGGATCGAAGAACCCGTTACGGCGCTTTTCTTCTTTAGTCTTGGAAAAATCAAGAGAAAATTAAATTTATTACAATAAGAGAGAGAAAAAAAATCAAGAGTTTAATGATCTTGAATTTCTCCTTAAACCACTTCTTCCCCTGATTGAGATCTTTTGACTTCCTCTCTCACAGTCTGTGTGTGTCTTCAGTGCGGGCTTCTCATTCCCTACGGCTCTACCGTCTCTCCCTGCCATTCTTCCAATCCCTCCTGCCGATCCATTCCCCGAACCCAACCCTGCCCCCCTCTCCCAAATCTACCTCTCAGCAACTTGCCTCATTCCATGCGTCGCAGGGCCTAACTTCACCTCTTCCTCTTTGCCCTGCGCCCTATTCAAACTTCGACCTCCTTATTCCTCTATACCCACCCTCCTAAAACCTTACCCTCAAATTCAACATCCGAAAAGATGTTGTCGGCTCCCGTTAAATCGGCGAAGCGCATCTCGTCTCTGTTCTCTCTGGGCAGCCACAAGGACCAGAATTCACCTGGTCCCTCACCCGGTCCATCCCCTAGTTTCAATCCATCCGACTCTGCAAGTGACCGCCGAAAACGCAGCAGTTCCCGACCAACTCGTCACGTCTCAACTCCCAATGCTGTCTTCTCTAACGAACCTCGAACCGTCCCCAATGCGCCCCTGGATTTCGACTTGGAGAGTCTTCCGCCACCTCCCTCGTTACTTTCCGTGAACCATGATCTGGCGAGCAGCGCGCCCAGCTCTCCGACTACTGGACGACCACAGAGCAGGGGTAGGGAAATGAGCCGTCCCTCCAGTTCCGCGGGTTTGGTGATTCCGGGCGCTGCACCGGACTCGAGACCAGGTACCCCATCGAAGCGAAGGAGTTGGATGCCGGGAATGGGTGCTCGGTCACGAGCCAGTTCAATGGATAAGCGGCCGTTGGCACCATTGCTGCCAAGCGCTTGGATTGCTGGATTAGACCAAAAGGTGGTATATGATCTTGGACCACTTATAAGAGGCGAACAGGTATGTCAATCAACCCATGGGGGATTAAACACGAGAGCCCTTTTTGCCCCTCGGATACTTCCATATTTTTTCTTCTTCTCTTGACTTGCTGACTTGAATGATCGGGAAGATCCAAGAATTGTGGAACGAGCAAGGTGATACATATGTCTACTTGTTTCCTCAAAACACCGGCCGTTCGCCCTCCTTCAAAGTCGATTCAACAATCTTTGCCGAATCTCCCTCTCTCACATACCTCGCCCGCGGCACAGATGCGAAAACGAATGGACTCGAACAGCCAACTCGCACCCTCTCCCTCATGAGCCCGATATCTCCTCCATTGACCCCGCAGGAACGGTTAGCAGACAATGACAACGATAGCTCGGGCAGCCAACGTATGGCTTTCGACGATGGTGCAGATGAGGTCCAGGAAATCCACCTCTACTTGCCGATTCCCCTCGACAGCGACGTATCCAACCCACAATGCCGCTTGACCCAACAAGACTCAGAGACCCTGTTGTTGTTCCGCAATCTGTTTGCTTTCCTACTCGGCCAATCGCTCATTGCCAGCCCCAAGTCTTCATCCCTCTTCAGCATTTTCATGGATGTTGCTGTTCTCCTGGCTCGATTCGAGTTCTCCAACCTGGATGGCTCCAACTTTGGTGAAACCGCCACTTCCAGTTTCAGCAACTACTGCGATGAACTGCGTCTTGCCGATGTTCGCAAAAGTCGCGAGAAGACAATTGAGGCTATTGTTCTTGGTGAGCGGCTACGTTACTTCCCTCTCTACGTGGAGGGATTTGTCCACGGTGTTGGAAAGTTGGACGAGATCAAGCAGCTGCGAAGCCCGAAATTCACCTTTATTCACCCAGTGACGCAAAAGCGCCTGGAAAGAGGTTTCATCGATCTCGACACCCGCCTGCGTGGTTTATACTCCAAACTGGAGGATTTCGATTTCCCATCCGTCTTCTCCGGATTCGCAAACTCCACAACTTCCATCGAAAGTAAGGTCATCCGATTCAAGAACTGGAAGGCTAGCTTCCTCGAATTCCGTCGCTTCACCATGCAGTTCTACAGACAGAAGTACGGCAGCTGGCCTCCTAAGGCTCGCTCAAAGAAGAACGAATTTGAAGAGAGTGGATTGAACCGTCAGCTCTTGCTGGACTTGTATCATGACTTCACTGATCTCTACGACCTGCTTGTTGACCGCTCCGCTCTCACAACCCGTACCATCGATGCGTCCGGCGCGGGCGGCGACAGCTCTTCTACGGACATCAAGGATGTGACTGTTCGTGCCCTCCGACACGTGCTCAGCGAGTACGATCGTAGCACTCCACCTGTCCTCCCCCCAATTCCGTTTGATGTTCCTCGGGTGCCTTCGTTGCAGGTTCTTCACCGAAAACCCCTAGAAGCTAAGAAGGAGAGCAAGTTGCGAACCAAGAAATTGAAGAACTCTGACATTAACGCTGTTCTGATGGATTCCTACACCCGCGAGAGCATGCGACCCACCACCTTCATCGAAAGCTTCATGCAATTTGAGCGTCGCCAAGCGGCCGGCAAGAATCTCGATGACATTATTGATCTGCGCTCCGGTCAATGGATTTTCCTTTACGCTGTTATTCAATCCCTCCCTATGCTGGTTGTTGATGTTCCTGAGATTCGCTACAATGACGCTGTTGAGTACTTCCTTTGCATTGCTCCTCGTGGTGGCGCACCCTGGATTCAGAACGACACCAAGACCGCTCGCAGCTGGTTCGGTGTCGCAGGTGGTGCAGGTGTCGTCAGTCTCCCCTCTGATGTGGTTATCAACGGTGTGGAAGGTGTCTATCGCCGTAGTCACTGCTGGCAGGTGGCTGAACAATGGGCCGAGGACGGTGCTCTTATTGGGCCCTCTGCGCCCGTGGAAGATGGTTGGGAAGAGAATGAATCTTCCATCTCATCCCCTTACCAAGCTCAGCAGTCCTCGACTGGATCCTCTTCAGAGCAACAACCTGGTCATATGCAAATTCCTAACGGTGGCTTAACACCACCTCCTCCCGCCATTCCCCGGCAACGCTCTCCCGCCGCCGGTGCACGGGCAGAGCACCGTCATTCCATCTACCCTGGATTGGAGGCCCTCCCCCTGCCTGCTGGTATCGCTCCCATTGAACCCCCCGCTCGCCCCATTAGCCGCTTCAACCCGAACATGAGTTTCGACGATATCCTCCGGGAAGTCCCTAAGAAGGACAAGGGCCGCAAGCACTAAGCATAAGTCTTCCGCCCACACTATTGTTTTGTATCTTTGGTTCTCCCAGCATCGTGGTCTTATTCAACCACGACAACCCGGATCCTATACGATCCTCTGATGCTTTCCTTTTTCCCAATGTTTCTTTTCTTTCCTTATTTTTGGACTGTTTGTTGATAGGCGCATTTTTTTTGACATGAACTCACTCGGTTGGAAAAGGCGCGATATGCACATGGAAGCGAGGAGAATAAAAAGCAAACCATTTAATGTACCGGGGACGCATGGAAGAAGGCACAGCATTATCATAATTATCAGCATATCAGCATATCAGCATCAGCATCTCCGGTGGAGGACGTGTTCCTTGTGTTTTTCAGGGCTTCTGTTCTCTTTTTCTCTTTCTTTTCTTTTTTCTGTGCTGGATTCCCCCTGCTTCTCGTAATATTTTTCCTCTACTATTTTATTTTGATCCTCCGGAGACTGCCTGATAGAAAACAGAGATCCTAATATCTGTATAATGGAAGAGATGTTCGTGTTGTGTTTCTTCCTATTTGAGTAGATGTAGACTTGATCTAACCATGGGACTGGACCGGGACATTCAATGTAGATAGATTCAAGTTTTGGTAGCATATTTGGCGTTCCTTTTCCGTTCCAGTGCTCAGCCCTCGCCGCTTTATGATCACTGAGTAGAATTGAGTACGAGCCTGAGCGGCCTAAGCTGGTCAATGATCATGTTGTCATGAACCTGATCCAAAGCAGCGGCAGTCCAGACAGGAAAGCCCCGGTGTGTATAGATACCAATAATTAGCTTACTTCTTTGTACTACCGATCAAGTAGGTATCTATAATATTAGACCTCATATAGACATCCATTCTTCGCCAATAATTCTAGTACTGTCTCATCTGGTCTATGTAGCGTAATGCAAGTATACAAAACGTGAATGACACAATCGGGTAGTGCGCCGATCTGCATCAACCCACAAAAAAGGAGGCACAGCAGCATTGAATACGAGGCTCGCGCCACACCAAACAGGGTCCCTATTCGGCCCCTCATTATAACGAAAAACTGTTGTAACAATACACCAACATCCTTGATCCTGCCATGTAAAGAATAGACTAATCCCTCAAGCTGATTGATCCCTCTTACCTAATTTAGTCTGGTCTATTCTCAGATTGGCTGAACATTGAAGAATCTTAAGCTTATTGTCTCAAATCCTCCGCTATCTTTATCTTTTATCTTATCCACTCCTTTTCACTCTGGGGAAATCAAAGAAGAAAAAAAGGGGACAAAGCTACCACCTTCTCAGCAATCAAGCACCACCAGTCACAATGTTCGAATAACGCACTGCAAACCCAAACACAAACAATTCACAGAAATATAATTATTCCCATCATCCATCGCATCGCATCGGCTAAGAAAACGCCAAAATGCCTCCCTCCCGCTCAAGCATAACAAGCGACAACCCCAACCACGAACGCCTCGAACCCCGACTCCTCCGCGCAACAGAAAATGACGACATAAACGCCCTAGAAACAATCCTCACTCTCGCAGCCTCTCAAAACCAACTAACCGACACATTCCTCCGCACAGCATTAATGCGCAGCGCAGAACGCAACAAAATAAAAGCAACTGAATACCTCCTCTCTCACGGCGCAAAACCAGATCTGCCTCTACCTCATACACATAGTAATGACCGCTTCTCGCCGCTCCTGCGCGCTGTAGATCGTGATCACTGCCACATTGCCCGGTTATTGCTTGGTGCAGGTGCTTCGCCCGACTCTGCGGATAAAGAGGGACGGAGCGCGCTTATGACTGCTGCGTGGAAAAATCATGTGGATCTTTTGGTGTTGCTTCTTGGTAGAGGGGCGGATGTTAATGCGGTTGATTTGAGGAGGAGGAATGCGTTGCATAATCTTGCGGCTGATAGGGAGTGTAGGTTTGGTTGGGATGAGAGTGTTGTGGGGATTCTTTTGAGGGGAGGTTGTGATGTTAATGCTGTTGATGAGCTTGGGAGGACGCCGTTGCATTGGGCCTGTGCTACGGGTAATTGGCACTTGGCGGAACTTTTACTTGGGAATTCTGGTTCTTCGCGGAATCATTCAGGGAATGGAAATGGAAGGAAAGCAGAGATTGATGCGGTTGAGTTGAGAGGAAAAACGGCATTACATGTTGCTACTGCGCATGATCGGACGGATATTGTGCAATTGTTGCTCTTGCATGAGGCGTCGGTTAATGCGTGTAGTGATGGTGGTTGGACACCGTTGCATAATGCCTGTGATAAAGGATGTGAAGGGATAGTGAGGATATTGCTTCGTGCAGGTGCGCATATTAATAGTCAGCTTTTGAATGGGGTTACGGCTTTACATCTTGCGGCACAAGGGGGACATACCGATGTTGTGAAGTGTTTGCTTGAACGGGCAGATTTGAAGAGAAGGGTTCGTGATAATTTTGGATCTACGCCTTTTCTTCGAGCGGCGCAGTTCAAGAGACGGGATATTGTTTTGCTGTTGGCTCCGTTTAATAATGTTGAGTCGCTTTCTGAGGATGTCAAGAGTGCTTCTGCTGCTTTTGAGAGTACAGTTGTTGATTTTGGAAATTTTCATAATGAGAATCGGGTACAGAAGATGAGTGTTTATAATTTGCTGTATGGGAGGGATGTTGAGAATCCGAGAAAACAGGCTGTTACTACTGTTCCCAGTCCGGATGATAGTCGGGCGACGGATTTTCGTTGGATTCATCTTCCGGCTAATAATATGGCGTGGGTGGAGGCTTTGTTGACGAAGTCTTTTATTGAAGAGGGGGCTCATGATGTTGATGGGTTTAAGGGGTTGGAGAAGTCCTTTAACTATCAGCATCGGGGGCAGAAGATTCATTCTCATTTTATGAGGCCGCTTTGTCAGAATACGCCTAGGTCGACGATGCTGAAACGACGTGAGGAGGAGAAGGTGGATGATCCGTCGACGGATGCTCAGTCTGTTTTTACTGATAATAGCTCTGTGTATCAGAAGCAGAAGGGGTTCAGTGGGAAGAAGGGTGATCGACTTGATTCGATGGATGAAGGGAATGGGTGTGGGAATGGAGGTTCAGCAAAGAAGATCAAGAACAACAACAATCAGAAGCGAGGCAAATCAGGGAGTAATCCTGGAACTCCCAAACTTGGAGAATCCAAAACGAAGGGATCATGGGGGATGGCTGATAAAGGTCGAGGAGCGTCACATTTATCATCGACCAGTCTATGCAAAGACCCTCATACTCTTACCTCGGCCTGCAATATCTGTGTGTTTATGCCATATCTTCATTTCGAAACAGAAGAACGCAGAAAGAAAATGCAGGCGGCTATCTCGCGCGCTGAGAAATTATGTTTTCAGCCTCGGAGCATTCAACGAGCACGAACTCGTGATGAGATGCTGATTGATGCGCATCTGTCATCTTCAACCACCTCACTCCATGTTCGCCGGACGCTTGATCAGTTCTTCTACCCTAATATCGATACCCAGAGCCGTGACCAAGATCAGGTTGTATATCGATACCAAACAAAAGGCCCTGGGCGTGATAGCCTGGTAACCGATCCTAAGATCTTCATGGTTGACCAGCTGTGGGTGTGGATATTAGGAGCAAACCTGATTGTCACTAGCTTTCCTCAACGATGGGATCAACCGAAGAACGACCCACTGAATGTGCTAGATGGGATTATTGAGGATATCAATTCCAAAACTCGCGATCCTGTAAAGTCTGTCTATGACCTGGCAATTATCATCACCAACCGGTGTTCTGGTGTTTTTGACCGACATCGTCTGGGCGATGACGAATATCAATTCCTAGATATGTTCGAATCTTCAATCGGTATAGCTACTGACCGAGAGACACTCCTATTCAAACGATTCAACCATGCCTCCGCACAAGCATCAAGCTGGCTGAAAAGTCACCGAAAATTGAACAAATTCTCCCAAAACCGCCCATCATCTGGACCGAATGGAGTCGCGGAGCCAGAAATTCCCGACTCAGATGATGAGTATTGTCACGGAGATGGATCCCCTCTTTGGGTCGACGATTTGCTCGATATCGGCGAAGAAACTGATCTTCTAGCGGAGACGAAAGATATCCGCGATGAACTGAACATGATCCGCACTGTTTTGGAGCACCAGAAACACGTCCTTGTCGACTTCCAAGAGGTCATTTGTGAAGTTTACCAGGGTCAACACCGTTCTCAGTACGAGGTTAAAAAGCGTTTCAAAGATCAACAGCGTATGATAGATATGCACCTCAAAGATCTCGACCGCATGGATAAACAGGCCGAACGAATCTATCACTCTATTACCGATTTGCTTGATCTCAAGCAAAAACATGCTAATGCCTTCGAGGCCCGTTTCGCCCGTGACCAGGCAGCTGGAACATCCCGACAAAGCAAGACGATCATGGTTTTCACTATCGTCACAATTGTCTTCCTGCCATTATCCTTCATAACATCCATTTTCACTATCAACATGAAAGCATTCAATGATCTAACCCTTGGATACGTCGCAAAATATACGTTTGGTATTGGCTTTGCGATTTCAATCCCCCTTGTCTTTGTTGCGCTTTCATTGGATGATATCGGTGATCTCTTCAGCCATGCAAAACGCATGTTATCGCGGAGAGGTCCATCCGAACGGAATGATGGAAATGGAAATGGAAATTCACAGTCGTTGGAAATTGAGAAGATTCTTAGTCTGGCGAGATCGCGCAGGAGTGCGGAGTTGGATTATGGGAATAGTTTGTTGCCTGTTTCTACTCGTGGTACTGCTGCCTCGAGGAGGTCGGGCCTTGATGCTAATGTTTTGGCGAATGGGTTTCCAAGAAAACAACTATGAGTGCCCGGAGATGTGGAGTATACGCCGCTGTACTCTTTTACGATAACATGATTTATGACTATATTTAAAAATTTCTTTCTTTTGGGTCATTTGGAATCCTACTTGAACTATCTTTTGCATCCACTTTCATCTGGCATGGATTCCCTCGTCAATGCATGATATACAAATCACAAAAATGTGTCAGACAAAACAAAAAAAAAACTACGTATTTAATAAAATCGCTATGCCAATTAAAAAATTCGAAACAATCTATAAGTTCATACCAAATGATCCACATCATCTAAAGTTGCATACCCTCATAGCCTGAGATGCTCGAGCCACTCTTTCCATCCCCAATAATAACAGCGGGGTGATAAACGTTCATAACAACCATAGCGATGAACATCATAACCGCATCAAAGATATAAGAGAAAACCTCATGCGTCATAATATACCCATCAAATCCATACTTGTACTCGATGAGACGGAAAATGGACCGGATCAAAATAAGCGCACTAACAATGTACAGTGCCAAAAGCACTGTAGCCCAATTGCGCTGCTTCCAGCCCTTTCCAACAGCCATATGGCGTTCCGAAGAGGCTTTAGCTGTGGGACTTCTATTGATACGGAAATGAAAGATTGCAGCGACGATGACGAAGAAGCCGAAGAAGAGGAGCTGGACGACCAATCCACCGATCACGACATTGGAACCCAGGTTACGGGTGCTGGTTTTCTTGCTGGCCATTAAGCCGCCACCTATGAAATCGGATATTAACATCTGGATTGAATCATTGTTGATTTGGAAGGTGTTGATTGGAGAGTGAACTTACCACCTGCTTGGAGTAGGAAAGAGAATACATCGCCTGAGACGAAGATCTTCGTCATCCATTTCACGGGGACAACGCTTAGTTCTTCGGCGTGTAGATAACGCACCAGTCTTCCGAGAACCATGTATACCGATGCAGCGTATAGTGGTGGAGCCAGGAGAATCAAAACTGATTGCATAGCGTAGATAGGGACGGAGCTGAGATTATTATGTGCGATGACTCGGCAGATGTAACCGATGACTTGGACTATTTGTTTTGTATTAGCACTTTGGGTAAATTCTTTGAAGGGGAAGACTGAAGTATGGGATAACATACAGATTCCACCTATCACGAAGGGAATGAAGTACCAGCATCGTGCTTTCGTTAATTGCCATAGGTGATAGAGTGTTGAAGCCGCGAAAATGATGATAAAGATGACACCCGCCGCTATGGAGGGCTCATACCCGTAAAGGTTGTCGCGATTCATGGTAGGGTTTGTTGGAATTGACGTGGGATGTACATCTTAATTGAGGAAAGGGGATGGGAGGATCTTTATATCGGCTTTAAAAATATTCAATCAAAGTCCGCAGCGTATCCATGTTCTCAGCCACGTTACCTGGCCGTGCCAAGCACTAAATTAATCTAGATCCACTCGGTTGTAGGGTCGGCTTACAAGGCGAGGTCCGTGGGGATCTTGCCCATCCAGGTAGTTTAGATCTATACAGTCAACGTAATTGGTGGATATGGATTGGATCTACAAGCTAGAGTTTCGGAGAATCTATTCCAGCATTTAGGCAGTCATCTAAAGAAGATTATTGTACTTGAAATAGAACTTTTCTCACTTCTTTAAACCTATAACGGTTCAATGTGGGGCGCGGCTAGCGTGGAGCCGAGTCGAATCCGTATCCGTATCCGCGAACCTCCGTACCCGTATTCGAATCTGACTTAATATTCTGCAGGACCCCCATTCTCACCTTAAAACTAAGCTCCCGAGCCACTTTATACAATGGGACCGCGGAGAACACACCGAAAGAGCCGCAATGGATGTCCCCAATGCAAGGCGCGGAGATTAAAGGTTTTTTCTACCCGGCCAGCTACCCAGCTACCAGCTACCCGATTGATCCGAACTTCTTCTCATGATTCAGTAGTGCGACGAACGATACCCATGCACTAACTGCGCCAAACATAATGTTCACTGTGAATATGTTGCTCGAGCTGAGTCGATTACCGCGGACGCTGGGACACCCGCGTCTACCGTATCGCCGGTTACTCAGCCCCAAACACAGACACATATACAGGGCCAAACACAGACACAGCCGCAGACCAACCCTCACCCATATGCAGACACACCTAGTTCAGACTATCAGCGTACACCTGATTCAGGGACTGAAGTGGAGCAAAGGCTAAATCTACTTGGTATCTTACCGGGCTCACGGCAAGATGACGCCCCCATCCACAATTCAGATGATTGGTCTCTTGATTTGGAATTGATGCACCATTTTTCCACCGTGACTTGCAACACAATGGCACGTCGTGAAGATGTACGTCATGTCTGGCGAGTCATATTTCCATTAGAAGGCTATACAAACAAATACCTCATGCATGGTATCTTAGCTCTTGCTGCCTTGCACCGCGCATATCTTCTTCCAACTCCACAACAGAAGGAAAAGTATGTCAAAATTGCAGCCTATCATATATCCACTGGTTTGGTAGAGTTTCGAGAACTCATTACCTCGCCTGTAGATCCTAAAAATTGGCAACCGGTCTTTTGCTTTACTAGTATAATCAACGTGTATCTTCTTGCCGTTGCGATTAGATCAGGCACCGGCAGATGGCCGGCTCCTATCTCGAATCTGATTGAGGCTTTCGCAAGTGTGAAGGGTTTACAGGCTCTAATGGGGCCTTTCCTACATTCTATTCGAAAGACTCAGCTTGCACCTCTTGTCAATGGAATTTGGCTTGTAGACCCTGAAATAATTCCGAGGTAAGGTTATTTCCCATCGGCAGATTTACTACTTGTCGACTAAGAAAAACCTGACTGACTTGAACAGCATTTCGCAAACATCACAATCTTTACTTCCACCCGATACCTGGGTCCAAGCTTCCCGACTACATAATCTCATCGATAACTATGTATTCCCGCTACCAGGCCCAGGATCAAATACTACGTACGAAGATCGAAACGGCTCCGAGACGATTAATAATCCACCAGAGCGTCGAAAGGACTACAAAACAGCCCTTGAATCACTCGAACGCTCTTTTCGAGCGGCAGAGATCGCTGGAATGCATATGGAATGTGGAATAATCTTCTTGTTTGCGCACCCGCTCAGCAAACAGTTTCATGACGATTTGGAGGCATCCGAGCCTGCTGCCCTGGTTATATTGGCTCATTATTGCGTTCTTGTGCAACTTGTTGATCAAGTTTGGTATATGGATGGACTTGCGTGGCAATTGTTGGAGGATATTGAGAATAATTTACAGCCTGGATTTGAGGAGTGGCTTGTTTGGCCGAAACAGTGGGTTTATCGGCGACGATGAATGTTTTTGGTCTTGAGATTAGATATCCTAACTGTGTATTTCGTTCACTTATAAACCTTCATGATAGAAACTGTTTTCTAGATGTTGAAATTTGGAGTTCAAATGTTATCAAAAGCCGATGATAGCAAGAGTCTTCAAGTTGATAGTATGACTATTCATTCAGAAACAGTTGCTGCCTTTGACTTTTGTTCTTTCTCCCACTGCCACTTGAAGTTATCAATTTTCTTCACTTCAATATCAATTGAAGTTTTCCCCTTCTTCGTATTTGGCCATAGGATCAAGCCCCTTAGCCCGGAGCACCCGGAACCAATGCCATGCAGGCCCATACTCTAACCCAGCCACCAAATACAAAAGTTTTTAGCCAACGGCATTAGTTTCCTGGAGAGGATAGCCTGCTTGCTCGAATTGGCCAATGACATCTTCGCCGATACCATAGTATAATTCTTCATATTCTCCAAAAATCAGATACTCGAGCCACGTCACTACTTATGCAAAATACTCCATTTTTCGTGGAATCGACAAAAATAACAAGAGTCAGAGATTCAAGTGTTCGCAGAACGGGCGCTAAATACCCATACCCCTGCACACAAATTGAGGTGACTAATTTGTTATGACACACATTCTACCATTTCAAGCTTGAGAATCTGTTTAGGGATCATATATAACCGATTAAAAGTTGACATTATTTTTGGCATTCATTCATTGCACGGACAAAATATCATTGACATTTCGCTTGGACGTTTGTGCTTGCTCTGGGTGCAATAGAAGGATAATCGAGGGCGATCATTTACCCCTTCAGGTAGTATACACTTATTTGTTTTATACTAATAATTTAAAACTATACTGGTCTTTGATTCCTGAATGGCTTATTAAAAATCCCGATATAAAAGTTGCAACTTCAATCTGCGGAGCTGCAAAATTGAAACAGCTGCCTAGCACGAGATACCATGATGATTGTTGCAAACAATCTATCATTACTATCAACCACCAATATTTCAACCTTCATTTCTTTTTAAATGTTCAAGTTGCTGCCTTGGCTGTCTTGAATATAAATAGGCCTCCACCCTCTGCGGAGAACTTACCTTTTACAACACCCCGACTTTCCATTCATCTCTGATCAAAGGTTCATTCAATACTTCCTATACTTGATTAAGAAATGAGTTTGATTTGACCCTTGAAATCTACTATAAGAGGGCTTCTTTATGAACTGTGAGTATACTGAATGAGTTGATATGAAGTGGAGTGGTATTTCACGGGAGACGGGTTAAGTTCATATCTGGAGGATCTAAACGATGTGAATCTAGGTGAATGGAGCGAATTCTGAGACGATGATTGTGCTAATATGGCTATTCAGGAACCTAAGGCTTACATCGATGATATTGAAGTTAGTGAACGAACAAATACCAGGGAAAAGCCCAATGCAAACACAAGTCAAATTCCACGTCATCATTGCATGGGCTCAAATTGAAGTACAATGCGTTAATCAGGAATGGTACATTAAATTTTAATGGGAGACAGAAATTTTTGAAAAAATTCAAGCACTTGACTGTTTCGTGGACGAGATCAGCAGACTACATGGCCTTATTCATTGTTGCCGCGTGTCAGGTGACCCCCTTTCCTTCTGCCTCGCAAGATAGCTTAGCTAGTATGAATAAGACAGACTTCCCCTGATTCCTTGATTCCCAGTAACATTCATGGAGAACTTGATCAACACCAAGGCCCTTCAAAACACAATAATTGAAAGACCGGGCTTTGAAACTTCATACGAGTCAGACTCAGAATGGAAAGGAGGTTTAGGCCAAAGCTTGCAAAAAAGGGCGCGCGATTACAATCTTGATGAGTGCAATGCTTTTCCATGCCTCATCTTTCATCCAAGTCTTCCTATACCCTAAGGTATACATGACCCCAATCTGACCATCAGTCTTATCAACCTGAAGTTTCATTTATTCATTGTAAGCATACAAGATACTTTGACACGCAAAATGGATTTCTATGATACAAGTGACGCGTTGAGCTCGTATCATAAAGATCATAAGAATGATGAGATGTGGTTTTGACGGAATGGATCAAATCAAGTAATGAAGAGTTTCCGATTGTCCCTGAACCAAGAAGGTGAAATGGGATGAGGACGACAGCCGTGTAATGAACAGGCTATTCAAGGCTATTCAAGGACACGTCGTTGCCACCGGCGACAGAATAGTTAGTTTAGCTTAGTGCAGGAGGGCTCGCCTCCTTTGAAGGAATCAAGTTCTTTTCTCCTATTTTTTTTTGCTGTGTTCCAGTAGCCCGGTAACAAACGTTCACCTGCATCAAGCTTTAGAATCAAAGGCTTATACCCACGAGATCAATGTCAGGCAACCATCGAGGAGTTTGTAGACTAGTCTGCCGTTCGGCACATCCACAGTAGTTCATAACCGGTTACAGTTTAGTGACCTGGATGACTTCCATGTAGTATAACTTCAATGTTGGTTTTAGCATCAATTTGATCATAGTTGCCAGCATAGTCTTTTATGGGCTGTTTGCCCGGGATTCCATTTGTTGTCAGTCTAAAAGTTGTTTCTCTCTTTGAAGGTTATTCTTGGATCCCTGTGTCGGTTTGCTTTAGGGTTTCTTATAAAGTTTGTAAAATTAAAGTTGATGAGAATGGAAATGGAAATGGTAGATTTATGTATACCACTCGTGTACACTGAGGCAAACCCGAGTGGGGATTTCTCATTGAAACGCAAAACGATAACTATAGAGCAATTTCACTAATTAAAATCCCAGAACGCCAAAATAGAAAATAATCACAATTTAAATGACCCATCCTGTCTGGAGATTACTCCACAGGAATATTCACGTATCCGTTCTCCTCAACCTCCGACTCGCTTTCCTCCTCTTCACGAGCTGCCTGATTTTCGGCATGATGCTCATCTAGCACCATACCGTTGTCCTCCTTGGAAGCACCCCAGCTTTCCTCATTGTAACACTCCTCACAATTGATTGGGATCTCCTTACACAGGGCTCCCTTGTTTGGAAGCTCCTCCTTCGGAATGGTGACTACCAAGACACCATCCTCAAGGTTGGCAGAGATCCGATCAACAAGGACAGAAGCGGGGACATAGGGAGTTCCAAGACGAACGACTCTCTCAAATGCACCGATTTCCTGGGAACGCTCCTCCATAGCAAGAGTCTGATGCAGCTCCTCGTTCATACCGGGTCGATGAACGATACCTGAAAGGCGTAGAACTGATTCCTCAGGATCGTATTGGAGGTTGAGATCGCTCTTCTTGGCACCGGGGAGAGAGACGTGTACGATGTAGTTGTCGGATGTATCGAAGACATCGACGGCGGGGGTGAAGTGAAATGTGTTCTGGGGGCCTGAGAATGGTGATCCAAATGGCCATAGCATATGCTGAATGGCGTGATGGTGTCGCATAGCTCCGGGGAATCCGGGTCCATGATGTTTACCATGCCACATGCCGTGACCGTGACCGTGACGACCTCCCTTGTGGTGGCCCTTTCCGTGAAATTCACTACCAGCACCGGACATGTGATAGGGGTGCGCGTGTGGGTGTGGGTGACCGAATCCGAATGCGTGAGGTCCATGGGGTCCACCATGACCACGCTTACCGAATTTACCGAAGCCACCTTTGTGTCCTGGTCCATGACCGTGGCGACCCTTGCAGCCTTTACCGCCGCGCTCGGCTTTGCCGGCGCCATGACGACCCTTGTGCTTATCCTTGCGGCCGTGGCGGGGCTCACCCTCAGAGTCGGAGCTGGTGGGCGTGTGGATGTCTTTCTCCTGGTCCTCGGGGGTCACAGTTTCGGCGCGCGATTCTACTTCGGCACGTTCGCCCATTTCGGCGTCCTCGTTTTGATGGTCGTTGTTCCATTTGTTGCGGCCATGGTGACCATGGTGACCACGGCGACCGAAGCGGCCCTTGTGCTTCTCCTTGCGACCATGGCGGCCCTCGCCGTCGGAGCCGGAGGCGTTAATATCTTTCTCCTGATTTTCAGGAGTCAAAGTCTCGGCTGATTGTGTCGCGTCACCGGTTTGCTCTGCGTCGGTATTTTCGTCGTGCCACTTGTGGCCATGGCGACGACCGCCACGGCCGTGGCGACCCTTGTGGCCGTGTTCGGCGGGGCCTCCCCATCCCCAGGCTGAAGGGGGACCATGGTGGTAGTGGTGGTTGCGACCGCTGAAACCCCAGGGAGCAAAGTGGGGAGGGGGACCATGGTGGTGAGGGCCGGGGCCATGGTGACCTCCGCGCGCGAAAAAGGGTGGTTCTCCAGACCAGTTACTGGAGATTCAAAAGATGACCACGGATGGTTGAGATCGTAGATGGAAGCCATCTTGGTTGGGTGGTGATAGATGTCAAGCTATCCGTATTTAAATCTATGGTGATAGATTTGAAGAAGTCGGATAATATGATGAAAGTGTAAGAGGGAAAAGAAAAGTCAAGACCAAAGCAAATAGTGCGATGTGAGTTGATGTAGAAATATGGGGAGATGGAAGAAGGCGAGAACTTATATAGTCGTGAGTCCAGGCATCCAGCATTGAAGGTGCATGAATAGTCGTCACCCATACTAACCCGTAATAGAACTCTTGTTGCCTTGAATTTAGTCCCTGAAACTATAACGCCTCCGCAACTGAGTCATGTCCGAGATATTCACATTTCCAGAATATGCCGGACCCAAAAGGATGATATCCGATGACTGCGGAGGATTTAGAGCTCGGGGAGGCAAAAACCAAGGATGCTGATCTCTCTCAGCCTGGTCGAATCGGGGATTCAAGTCCGAATTGTGTGCTGAAGTGGAGAATAGTGGGTCTGTAGCTCGGGCGATGGATGCACAGCCACATACCAGCCACGTAGCAGCCATGGCTGACTCATCTGCTTATATGTGCCGGGGAATCGCGGGTTCCAGTTATGTATGTGTCTGATTTAGTTTCCCGTGTAATTCCGAATTCAGCCACACAACATTTGAACATTCAATCTTTCCCATGTGTCTAAATAATGCTATGAATATTACTAATTCTATACATTTCTTTATTATTTTGCCAAGCTACTATGTATAAATGGAGGTTTTTCTTTCCACGTTGAACCCCTAATATAGTGGTTCAACCCCTAACACCTTTACAACCATATGTATGGTGTTAAAATGGCCAAACTACTGGGATGTAGCGCGCTCAATATTTTAACAACGCCAATGACACAAATCTATCCGATGAATTACAGGCTCAAACAGGAGACATAAATCTCAGGGTAGTAATCAAAAATGCTTGAGGGAGTACGGAGCGATCTATGGGGGCCCTCGAACACTTCACTGCAGACAGGGTAACCTCAGATACAAGTGTAAACGCCTTGTTCCCAACAATACTACTTCACAAGTTGATTCCTGTACTTCAACATAGCGCGCCGGCACTTATCATAAATATCGGCTTGCTTACAGATATGGGTATCGCGCTGACAGGATACTATGCGGCGAGCAAGGCATATCTAATGAAGTTGGCTGAAGTGATCAGTCGTGAGATGAGGCTGGGTCATCACGATATTGAAGTACTGGGTATTCGAGTTGGGGGTGTCTGGAGTACAGGACAGATGGTCGCTCCTGCCAAGGGATTATTTGCGCCTGATGCGGTCACGATGGCTAAAGCTGTGCTTGCGCGTGTGGGGTGTGGAGGGATTGTCGTTGTGGGACATTGGGCGCACGCGTTACAGTTTGAAGCTATCTAGCTTTTGCCGGGATTTATTCGGGAGTACTTTCTTACTCATGCGGCTAGTGATTGGGAGATGGAACAGAAGAAGAAAATTTGATATGTGGAAGTATCCTTACAGATTATTGTAGGGCTCTATTGGTTCTATTGGGTCGAACTTGTATGGCCTTTGCACGGTTCGCATGAGGTTGTCGGCTATCGAGCGTTGAAGAATCCAAGGCTCAGTGCCCTATTATAACACCCTGGAAAATTTAGGGCCAAATACGCATAATTAATCTAGGATTACTGAGACATTAGAAGTCATGTTATCTGAGTATCGACTTAAAGGACAAAGTATTGGCTTATTAAGTAAGGGCATTCGAATTATTTCCATTGAAATACGATGAGACATTTAATTATTAAATGCTATAATTTCAACTCCAAATGAATTAAACTCCATTTACCGGCCCACATACTTCATCTCCAAATATCTTGCCGGTATGTATGTCAAAGCCGTCACGACAAACGTAAACTGGTTAGCGACATCGCCTCCAGCATCTCCGATCAACTTAGCAAGAGGCCCAACGAACCATGTCTCATCCATACCCATGACCCACGCGACAATTCCAAGCCCGAAGGCGACACCAGCGCCAATACCCAGGGGCAGTCTGGATGGATCATTCCATCCTTCTAAATCGTAATTCTCATATCTGCCCTTACGGAAGATGTAGTGTTCCTCAAAAAGAATCACAGCATAGCTGGTACACCAATATCCCAGCAAGCTCAGGAAATCCTGTAGATAAGTGTTCAGCTTCTGTCGGCCGCCAATGGATAGGGCAAGAATCAAAGCGAAGCAGAAAAGGGTCCAGATGAATCGAGGGATACGAGCGAAAGGTCTTGAGATTTGTTGGAAAGAAATGGCGGAACTGTAGATACTGATGACGTTGACGTTGATTCCGGAGAGAACGAGGAGTGTGAGGAGGAATTTTGCAAAGCCATGAGGGTAGAGCATTTCTTGAATCAGATATCCGACTCCTTGATTGTCGTATGTATCTGCCCATTCGGGCTTGTTGTTCAATGCAGAAGCGACGACACAACCAGCTACCATGCCGATGGAGGTGGGGATACAGATACCAAAGGTAGTCATGAGGAATACCTTGACGCGATTCACGTTGGTGGGGTAGTGAACATAGTAGTCACTAGCCATTGTGCACCATGAGGCGCTGGATCCATAGACAACGGCAAAGAGATTCAGACAAGCGCCTGAGAAGGTGAGCCCGCTGACGGTAGGGGGCGATGTGTTATCGGCATATTTTCCAGTCTGGCCGAAGATGATCATGAAAATGATGAAGAAGACAAACCAAGCATATCGTTCATAGATGAGAATAGCGTTCAATCCCACAAATGAGATGAGTAAAGCCACGACGGCGAGAATGACAATACCCAAGATCAAAGAGACGTGCCCATCAGACACGGCGGTCAAGGCTAGACCTCCTGTAATACAGGAGACAGCTGCCCATCCAAGTTGTTGAATACCATTCAATATGGCGACCAACTTATTTGGCCACCAACCGAAACTGTATCGACTCACACTGATCTGGCGCAAACCAGTCGCGGCACCAAAAGTCGCGCAAAATCCGGTAAGGCAGGAAGCAATCATGGAGGCGAAAATAGTGAGTAGAATTGATTGCTTGAGAGTCAATCCAAATTCCCATCCAAGAAATCCAGTCGCGAAGCAAGAGGTGTTCATGGTACCACTGGCCCAGAGCAATGCCATGGATAATTCCTCCACCCAATGGACCTTTCTCTTCTCCTCGGGCCGTTTGCGAGTGATGGCCTCAGACTCAATACCCAATTTCTTGTCCATTCGCGCCTCAAACGCGCGCATCCTGGCGAAAGGGCCAGTCCCCTGCTCGAAAATTTCATTATCGGCGGACCTCCCTGAGGAATTTTCGTCAACGGTGGTGATGTTAGCCTCGTCGAGGCCTTTTTCCGGATCGTAAGCCATAGTGAGGTAAAAGTGCTGCTGGCTAGCTGGCTAGAGCGACGGAGATAGCCAGAGAAGAGGGAGCGCCAGAGAACAGCAAACAGCTTTTTTAGAAAAAGAAAATTGAGTGAAGGATTGACTATCTCACGTGGGTCTATTTGAAGCGATGCGGGGAAATTAGCCCTGGAGATAACACTTTCCCATCTACAAACTAGTTGATTTGGTTGGAACCAATCAGCAATCCTTTACGGCCGGAGTCCGGTTTACTGATACACACTGTATGCCGGTCGCGCTTGCCACCCCAAAACTACACACGGCACAGCTTATTGGTCAATATTGGTCAATGTGGTCGGGAGAACCCTGCGAAGGTAGAAGCGAGGAGATTCTATAAGTGACAGGGTATATGATAAGAACCTCAATCTCTATAAATCTCCTTCATGATTTATTCCACACACAGAGGAATGAACTATCCCCACGGATTTACTTCAGACGCGTGGAATTTTTGGTTTTGCCTTTTCCAACCCACAAGTCTCGGGCGGATCCAGAGTTCCAGAAGGCTTAGGAGAACCTTATCTCCCAAGAGATAACTGTTTACCCACATGCGACTTGGCACCTCGACATGAACATGAAGTAAGGAAGAATTCGCCTCGTGGACATCAAACATACACACCAGACCGCTTCAGTACTAGCAAGATATTCCCTGCCACCAACCGAACATAGCTGAAGTGATTGCATTTATTGGGACATCTGGATCATTTCCTTGATTTCAGTTCAAAGGGTTGACTCGGGCTTCCCGACAATCACCATCTCCGAATCGCGCTAGTCATAAGTCCACAATGTAACCAGCCTCCTCACTGCCCCCCCCCCCCCCCCCTTTGGCCTTTTTTTTCCCGTCTTGAATACGAATTAGGGTGCGAGCGCCGTTCTGTCTTGTGGGGCTGCCCGGTTCTTACCCACCAATAGATAGTGGATTGGGGGGTTGTTCCCCCATGAAAGTAAGACAGCTGTTTCGAAGGATAGAAGAACCTTCGAAGTATCTGCCCTACTGATTACGGGGTAGGATGAGCCAAGACATTCATTCCACAAAGAGAAAACACGGAGGTAGATACGAGATACGCCACCGGATCCTAGAAGTATTTGTCTTTGGGGAATTGGGACGGGCGACGGAGTACTCCGAGGTCATTCACAGTATTAGCTTGACTGATTTGACCAATTCCATTCCAGCATTCTGGGACCACGGGACTGTAACTCCATAGTAATATCTAGCCTTATCAGGTGTGGATTACTGTATATACTTGCATCTGGTGAACTTGCATCTGTGTGGCATGACTGTGATGCCTGAGGTGTCGAACCTGTATCACCTGACCCTCAGTCACTAGTCTATATTTTGATGTTCGCATTCCTCGTCTTCTCCCTCTCTTCCAACCCTCATGAAAAAGAAATGTTGCTATCTTTCGGGATTTTCGAACCCACATGAAGAGAAGGGACCATGCCTGGTTCTTCCGATCGACCTCAGTGGCACGTGAGATGAACTTTTCACCGATGACTCCGAACGGTTCCGGCTTTCCCCTTGAGGATAGTAGATCGACTACTAGATCTCAACCCTGAGAGAATGGATGTTCGGGAACATGAGAACCCGATACGATGTGGGTTCTTGTGGATCTGAACAGAGGAATCATCCCTTTGTTCCGATCCGATTCTATCCTTTTCACCATGTAGGAGAGCTTCCGAGGATGAAATGAAGTCATGAATATGTCAGCCGGAAGTCTATGACAGAACTACTTAGAGCTTTTTTCTTTAAAACAAACAATGGATCCCGTTCACAGAGTACTTGAACTGATTATTTAGGATCTACTTGCTCCACTATTTTCACTATCCCATATATTCAATTCCTATTATGCCTCCCCGGCCGATGGGTGCTTTGCGCCCACGGCATATCTCAACCGCAGCATTGCGCTCCCCAACTCGCACCTTGAGCTTTCCTAGATTAACGCCATCCCCGTTCTCTCTTCTCGGCAGAAGCTATGCGACGCAGATCGAACATACAGAGGCTTTTCACAAGTCCGATGCTGGAAAAGAACGCGTCGTGATTCTGGGCTCGGGTTGGGGTGGATATACCCTCTCACGCTGCCTTTCTTCGAAATCATTCTCTCCAATCGTCATTTCCCCGCGTTCCTACTTCGTTTTCACACCCCTTCTCACCGATGCCGCGAGCGGTTCTCTTGATTTCTCCAACATTGTCGAACCTGTCCGGGACCCACATTATAAGGTGGACTTCATCCAGGCCGCGGCAAGATCTATCGATCTGAAGAAGAAGACTGTGTTATGCGAGGCGACTGTTGTGAAAAGCGGCGTGACGGAAACACCTCGTATCCCCGAAGACGAAAAACGAGTCACGGACGGCTCTTCGAAAAAGCCGCTGGACCCGGCTCAAGGATACCGTTGGTGGGAACAGGGCGAAATGTTCGAGGTCCCGTATGATAAGCTTGTGATTGCGGTTGGAGCAGTTAGTCGCACATTCAACACGCCGGGTGTTCGAGAGAATGCCATGTTCTTCAAGGACATTGGTGATGCGAAGCGGGTGAAGCGACGTGTGCGTGAATGTTTCGAATTGGCCGTTTTGCCAACTACAACTTCTGCTATGCGAAAGTGGCTGCTGCACTTTGCCATTGTTGGAGCTGGCCCAACTGGTACTGAACTTTCGGCATCGCTTTACGACTTTATCTCTAAGGATATGATGCCTTTGTACCCTGCTCTCAAGGGGATACCTGAAATTAGCCTCTACGACGTCGCTCCAAATGTTCTTTCTACATTTGATGAATCGCTATCCCGATACGCCATGGAAACAATGAAACGTGAAGGTATCGATATCAAAACATCCCATCACATTGAGAGTTTACGATGGGGTTCACCTGGTGATCCGCCACCATATGAGATGGATCCGAAGCGCTGCATGACTCTCAAGACTAGCGAGGAAGGTGAAGTAGGCGTCGGCATGTGTGTCTGGGTGACCGGAAATGAGATGAACAAGTTTGTCAGTAGCTCTCTCGACAAAGTGGATGCATTTCCCACGGAATCTATCCGAAAACCCTCAAACCTACCAGCGTCGAAAGGAGATTCGCCATGGAGTTACAAGAAGGTCTCAAAATCCGGTGCTCTGCTCGTTGACGGCCATCTTCGAGTCCAGTTACAAGATGCTACGGGTCGCACTGCCACTCTCGATGACGTATACGCATTAGGTGATAATGCTGTGCCAGAGACTGTATCTCCTCCCGCAACGGCACAAGCTACTTCCCAAGAAGCAAAATGGCTGGCAACGCATCTGAATCAAAGGGATTTAGAAGAAACACCACCCTTCTCGTTCCGTAACCTGGGAACAATGGCATATATCGGCAGCGAGAAAGCTCTCATGCAGATTCCGCACGACGAGAAGACTGGAGATCGCCATAAATATCTTCCCGAGGGTATTACGGGGCGAATGGCGTCACTTATCTGGAATGCAGCGTATATTACTATGAGTATCAGCTGGCGCAACAAGCTGAGAATCGTTTTCCGGTGGACTTTGAACAGATTGTTTGGTCGAGACATATCGCGATTCTAATGACTGAATGGTATATCTTGAATAAACCGGAAATATTCGGAGCCTGTATTCTACTTTGTAACAGCATTTGAACTTGAATTGTGAAGAATGAGAAATTAGACATTATTATGCAAAATCACTGTGTCAACTAATAACAGACAGCTGACTACCCTTGTTATCGAATGCCTTCTTATTGGAGACCACCATCTTCCCCGCGGACAAGGGTTCGAACTGGAAAAGCAGAAATACTATGACGCCACTATCAAAAATCGGCAAATGGCCCAGCGTCAATTGGTTCTCTTCAGCCGACCCGGAGAGGGGATTGTATACAATCGTAAGGTCGGCAAATCCATATAGCTTGATTGGACCGAGCACATAAGGTTTATCTCGGCAATGGATCTAACCCCGTATCGCTTGACAGGTGCCATTTTATCCATCAAAGAGGAGCATAATGATCGCATTATGAGCATTATAGACTGGACAAACAGCGTATACAGAATGGATTAACTCAAATACCCATTTGAGAGCCCCATGCCCGGCGGACTTGTACGATTATGCATTGGATGCTGAATTATGCAGGAATATTTTGCGCCTGAGATTTTGCCCAAGGAAGATCAGACCGGGATAATGCAAATAGTATAAGAAGTGCGACGTTCGCTCACTCAGTATCAGATGGTTACACGGCTTATGAAAGCGACATCCGACTCTTTCCTTACTTTTCTCGGCCGTCAAACTTCCTTCCTAACATCACTTCTCTTCTCTTCTTTCATCATCACCACATACAGTTAGCAAAATTACAGATATTTGCAACAATGGCTATTGATCCTACTCCACCACTTTCTGACAATGAAATCCGAGCTGCAATCGACAAGACTCTTAGCAAGGTGAAAGACCAGCTTCGTGAACTGAACCAATACGTATGTTCACGATACCGTCACTGTGATATTTTGAGACACGAAGCCGAAAGATTTTACTGACGACTTGATCAGATCTGGTCAAATCCAGAGCTAGCATATGAGGAACACAAAGCTCATGATGCTATTTGCGATTTCCTCGAAGCTCAAGGATTCAAAGTAACCCGCCATGTCTATGGGATCGATACATCCTTCGAATGCCTCAGCGGAAGCGAGGGGAGACTCATCAACTTCAACGCAGAATACGACGCATTGCCTGATATCGGACATGCATGTGGTCACAACCTCATTGCAACAAGTAGTATCGCAGCGTTCCTGGCATTAAGTCATCTCCAGAAAGACTATGGTTTGAAGGGCCGAGTTCAACTTCTGGGTACACCGGCAGAGGAGAACGGAGGAGGAAAGGCTAAGCTGATTGAAGCGGGGGCTTACAAAGGCGTTGATATCTCTTTGATGTCGTAAGTGACTTCTGTCTATGTATGACTCCGAATAACACTAACTCGACGGTGATGGTGTTAGTCACGGTGGACCGAAAAATATAGTTGGAGTACCCAGTGACGGTGTCGCAGGTGTATTAATGAACGCTCGAAAGGAACTGTTCGTTGAATATTTCGGGGAAAATGCTCATGCAGGAGGAAATCCGTGGGAAGGAGTTAATGCCTTGGATGCGCTGGTTCAGGCCTATAATGGGATCTCGACTCTGAGACAGCAAATTATGCCCGATGAACGAATTCACGGGGCTTTTCTTGATGTGCCAAAGGTGGCGAATGTGATTCCTGCTTATACAAAGTCTTTCTGGCAAATTCGAAGTCCGACTCTGGAGGGGTTGAATAAGTTGATTGCCCGGGTTCGATCTTGTGTTGAGGGAGCTGCTTTGTCGACTGGGTGTACTGTGGAAATCAAGGAGTAAGCTCCTTCCACTTGGGATTTTTGATAGTGCGATACTAATTGAACTGTGGTGCTTAGGGAAGGACTTTACACGGATATTGTTTTGAATGAGATGCTCTGTGAGCGATTTACGGGACATATGAGGGGATACGGGAAGAAGCTTATCCAAGTTCATGATAAGGTCTTGACTGGGTCTTCCGATGTTGGTGAGTGTGAAACCCTACTGCGATGGCATGAAGATGAGGAGTCTGAATACTGATATGTGTAATTTCAGGAAATGTGAGCTATGTAGCACCGACACTGCATTCTATGTTTGCAATTCCAACTCCCGACGGCTGCTTCCCACATCATCCCAGTTTTACTACCTGTGCTGGAACAGATGAGGCGCATGAGGAGGCTCTCATTACAGGGAAGGGATTGGCACTACTCGGGTGGGATATGATGACTGACGACAGCCTTTTTGAAGAAGTCAAGTCCCAGTGGGAGGGAAAGGTGCCCGATTCATGATTTCAAATCGGTTGACTGCATGTTACCGTGCTTTCAATGCCTTTTAAGTATTGTTTCTGAAGTTTTCGTCTGCCAGTCTATCATAGCAGGATGAGAATAATTCAGGACCAACTGAAGAAAATTTATTATAATTTGTCTGTATTCATAACTGTCGTTGACACGCAATCTTCTTCACTGGAAAATATCGGGCGCTAGTCTGTCTTCCAGGCTTGATATAGTCTTCTAAACTCCGAGTCATAAGCAAGCAGAGCTTTTGGATCATCATTCTCCATCAGCCTTCCCTGCTTCAAGAGAATCACCTTATCAAATCGATCAATGTATCTGAAGCGATGAATGACGGCTATGATAGTCTGATCCGCGAACTCAGTGTCGAGGACAGATTGCATGATTGACTCAGTTTCCCAATCCATACTAGTTCACAAACAAAATTAGCCTCGGAGAGTTCAATTATCACAAAATTCATGTTTAAATACCTGCTTGTAGCTTCATCGAGAATTAAAATTGGACTTTTAATGATCAATGCCCTCGCTAACTCTAAGAGCTGCTTCTGTCCCACCGACCACTGTGAAACTTCTAGTTCTGTATCAAGTCCCCCATTCATCTCTATTTGATTCCACATACGGACCTTTCTCAAGGCATCTTCAATCTGCACAGTCGTACCAAGGCCATGTGGATCTATATTGAAGCGCACGGATCCCGGAAAGAGAAGTGGATCCTGTGGAATAACGTTCACGGTGCGTCTTAATAGGGATCGTGGGACTGTGGCGACATTTGTGTTTGAAATACTAATTTGGCCTTCTGTATTCAACATGCGCAGCATCGCCATGATGAATGAAGTCTTTCCACTGCCGGATGGACCACACACAGCCACTTTCTCCCCGTGGTTGATCTTTAATGAGATGTTTTCTAAGACTCGTTTTGGGGATTTACTACATATCTCATCAGCATTATTCAAAAAGCGTGCTTCGAAGTCATTGAACTCACTCATATCGCACGCTGACTTCGTCAAATTGCACCTCCCCATTAGAAATCCAGTCAGAAGTAGATTTATCCAAGACGCTGACTCCTTCATCCTCATCTTCTCGCGGGGTATCCTTAGCAAAACTTTGAATACGCTGAACAGCACCAATACTAACTTCAACGGCCGTCCAGTCCTCAACAGCCCTTTTCAAGTTCTGATTAAATGACAAAATCAAGTTGAGCGCAACACCAGCACTTGCAGAACTAAACTGTGATCTCAGCGAAGTCATTGTTGCAACCAGAATCACAGCAACAGCACCGACTAGAAGATTAACCACTAGTTCAAGCCACTTCTGAATACTCCGTAGCATGTAATAAGGTTTTTGGCTAGAGTTTAGCTTCTTGAGACCCTGATTGCGAAATTTTTCTCCCCATCCAAAGGCGTGAATGGATGCGATTCCGTCGATTGTTTCTAGAAAGTGCGTGTATAGGGGTGCTTTCGCTTCGATATCGAGAAGACGAACTTGGCGTGAGGTGCGAAGATAATATGATTGGATGAAGTAGACGGCAACGGCTATGAATGGGATGGATGTTGCGAGATATTTGCCGACGATGCATACTATGACGAGTTGGACGATTACGCTGCCCGTTGCTATTAAAGGTTAGCATAATGGTTTGTATTTATCACGATGTTCCGATGCTCATACATTCACTCAGGTTGACCAGATACAGAGGAAGCATCATGTCGATTAACTCCAGATCTTGACTGAACCTGTAAATTGTAAGTGAATTGAAAGACTTGAATGGTTGACTGGGGAGATGTACCGATTTGTGATTGATCCGGTATCTGTGGTTTGAAAGAATGATATAGGCGCCCTGTATGTAAATTTAGAGGAGTCGTTCAATTTTCAAGTTCTCGTGAGGCCATCAACGTACCCGACTGCGGCGTTTAGTAGATCAGCATGTAGGGCCATTGATGTTTGGGACATCATCGTCGTGAAATAGATCCTTGGACGCATTAGAAAGGTTTTGCCTTCAGAATTTCAGCTCCTTTGGAAGGAGATTTGGGAGGAAATGCAAAAAGAAAATATATCAACATACCAGGCAGCTATTCCGAGACCCAAGACTGCTATTGCGCATAAAAGCCAGTAAATGCCAAGGTAATAGGCAAGATGCTGGTTTGGCGCCTTTTCATTCGCATCCACCCATGATTGGACCCAAACAGCTGGTAAATTTTTAGTTAGTCATTTTATTTTTTGCTTTTCATGGAAGATACTAAAGCAATATTTAGAAACTGACCTGAGTAACTAGTGCTGAAGCACATGACAAGAATGAGGCCCTCAATAAGTGCGAACATTATCCAGCCCGCGGGCTTCATGAAATATCCATATACGGACCAAGAGCTTTTTTGTCGTGTGAAATCGTCGGCTTTTAAGAGAGGTTCACTCTCTTGGAATTCAACCTCATTTGAAGATATCGGGCGGTCACCTTGTTCAGTTTCCATTTGTAGTTCAGTTGCCTCTTCATGGGTTTCTACGAGATTTTCAAAGATGTGAGGCATGCTGGAGGAGATCTCTTGGTACGATCCCCGAGCAGAAATACCGTTGCTATCTAATACTACTACTTCGTCGGCATGGGAGAGAATCTCATCTGTATGAGAAGTCAGTACGTAGAGTTCGCATGATTTGGATTCAAGAGGACCCGACAGTTATTTGTCACCAGGATCACAGATCTTCCGGATTGCCTGAAATGACCATGTTCACCGAACAGGGACTTTCTTATTGTTGCTAAAGTCCTGGTATCCAGGCCACTAAATGGGCTGTCCAGGACGACTAAATTGAGCTTTGAGTAGACAGCTCTGGCTAGGGCCTATTTGATATATTAGCTGTCCACTATTCAGATTTAGGATCGCGCGTTGCGTCTTTAACTCACTACTCGCTGCTTCTGACCACCGCTCAAGGATGCCCCTTTGCTTCCGGCTAATCGAGAATCACCACCATGCATATTCTTCAGATCTTCGTCGAGTCCACATGACGATGTTACAAAGTCATACCATTTTGGATCAAACTCGGATGCTCCAATGATATTTTGTCGAATACTCTCATTCATAATCCATGGAGTTTGTGGCGCGTATGCGGCACGGGATAATGGTAGAATGCTGGGTTCGCAGGTATGTCTTCCAAGCATAGTCTCTAGTAAAGTGGTCTTTCCGCTGCCGACCGGGCCGATAATTGCCGTGATTCCACGATGGATGTCAAGATTGAGAAGTTTTAAAATTGGATCTGAGGCGCCTGATCTGTATATTGTCGCATTTTTGAAGGAGACCAATGGCCCAGACCTCTGGAGACTAGTATTGTATTCTCGTAGTTCGATATTGTTCAATGAGGAGTCGCAGGAGGTATCGTCGGGGGCGGCTGATTTTGTGCTAACCTTTTTGTCGCAGTACTCATCGATTCTTTTTAGACAGCCCAGAGCTTGCAGAATTGAAGGCATAGTCTGACAGAATGTAAGAAGAGGGCTTGTCATTAGAGATATGAGTGCCAGGGAGGTAAATGCTTTAGCAGATAGAAGGGATTCATCATTCTTAGACACAGAGATTCCAGCATATACTGCCAATGTTGCAAATGGAGCAATGTTTGTAGGTGTGCATGCTGAGAAAATTCACAGGCTGTCAGTAAATCTTTCCGATATATTTCAATTCAAACCTTTCGGTCTATAGGTTTCAAGGTCTCTTACAAGCGACTATTTCCCAGATAATCAATTTTCTAAACCGAAGAGAGGTCTTCACTTCAATGTCTCGGAGATTTGCGATGATTTTTGAAAGCACGTCGGAGACTCCTAGCATCTTCATTGCCTTAATATCGCCAAGCATGCTGGAAGTAACTGCGAGCCTCTTCTGTATTCTTCTGATCCATTGCTGCTGGGCTTCACCAGTGCGAGTGGATATCGGTATCATCACCACGACAGAAGCTATTCACGTTAGAGAGGCGGGTCAAAAGGAATTGATTGAGCTATTCGGCTTACATATGGCAATGGCGAAGGGGATCAAGCAGGGAACTCCCAACTGTCGCCCCAAAAGCCAAAGAGCAATGCCAACCTCTAGGATGGATGCCCACGTCTCATGGATGCTCTGAAGACTGGTGATAGTTCGTTCAACATCGGTGCCCATGAGCGTCAGTGCAGCTGAATCATGAAGGTCTTCTTGCTGCAAAGCTAAAGTCTGATCGTAAGTGATAGCAACCAGACCCGCCCGTAAGGCAGCAAGAAATCGAACTGTTTGTCGCCAGTAAACAGCAGTTGACATCTATTCTTGTCAGTAGATATATTCAAAAGGGGTTCCAAGGTTTAAATAGTTACTGCTATGCCAAAATACATTAGCACATATGCGCCCACGAGTGATGGTCCATATGATTCATTTTCTGGAGTTGACTTTGACTCCATGAAGTTGACCGTCGCCGTCAGTAGAAATGTCTGGGAGAATGTGAAGGCAGAGAGTGCTAGACGGGGCGGAATCGCCCATAGAAGGACGGATGCATATGCCTTGAAGACCGCCCTAAGAACCCTGTAGCGCCCGGCGGAACTTTGGATAGCTTTCTGTAGCTCTGCTCCGGCGTTGGAGCCTTGAAGTGCCTCGTCTACTTCAGGTAAATCGCTTATTTCGAGGATCTTGGCATTTCCGACCTTGAGCAGTGGAAGTAGGTACACGAAAAACCCACGACTCCAGAAACCGCTAAGCTGTTCCTTTGTGAGTAGTTTGTAAGATGGCTGCAGTGACTTGAATCTGCTTGCAGATTGCGTGAATAGAACCAGGACGGTGATGGCAAGTATCGCAGTCCAAATGCCTCGACAAACTAGAACGTCGGGATTTGAGATCAACCATAGTGACCTTAAGCGTGGCAGGGCTAAAAGAGTAGTGGAAGAAAAATATAATATAAGGATGCTCGAGGGCGCGATAGAGCGCTGGTCTTCCATGAACGATGTCCATGCTGCCGCTATAATTGTGATCACATTAATGACAGCAGTTGGAAGTGAGGCTTTTGTGTGAAGTGTTGGTGATTGTGTCTGGAATGCTGTGTATAACACATGCAAGACAAATAATATCCCTAGAAGAGCCTAGTTTGAGAGTTAGCTGACTTTCATTTGTACAAAGTACCAAGACTTTCAAATATCTCAATCTTGGAATTGTTTCAACATACCAGTTTCTGCACAGCTAGATTGTAAGACGATACTTTAATCTGTTGACGTTTTAGTTGCTGCCAGCATGAAGGCAAGCAAAGAAGAAATATTGCTGCGGGAACTAAAATAAAAATTGAATCTTCAAAAAGTAGGGTAAAATCAAACGATCGGCAGATTGTGTTGACTTGGGGGCCAAATTGATTGTCACTGCCCACGGGGCACGTTGCCTGGGCTCGAGTTGTGCTTGAATGGTGGAGTGCCATGATTTGTAGGAATCTCAAAGAAGATTCTAGGCATAGGTTTCCTTCGACTCGCTTGGTCTCTATATATTCTATAAGAGCCTCGACTGGATGAAGAGAGTAACCACATATGCTAGAGAAATGTAAATGCGTACGTATTCCATCTTTCGGGGCTGAGGCTGACTTGAATCAGTTAATATAAAGAAGCCAACCATGACCGCCTAGTTTCTGGATGCTCTAGCTCCGCCCGGAGTTCGGAGTTCAATCCTACGGTCACTAGTGCCTTATCTATCTACTCCGTAAAAAGGATCGCGTTGGTTGAATACGCTCAGCCTATCTGTGGGCCCCCGCTTCATGGGTTCGCCTTTGTCCGGCAAGATCGCTGGAACCTGCCAAGTGTGAAGGAATTGAAAGATTTTTATATTTTATGTCAAACCAATCCAATAATCAAAAATCAAATCTTGCGCTCAAGTCAATGCTTAGCATCCAACATGCCGTTCCCGCATCATCCGTGCACCACGGTCATGATCTGACCTATCACCTTCTCCGGGCCCCATGACACCATTTCTCAGCCTTGTCGCTAAAATTGATAAGAGAACAAAGGATAATAGAGCCGATGAGATGCCACTAGATACATTAATATGAATTATCTCGAGTTGATTGCGCAACTCACATGTCCTTATCTAGAGTGACTTATAAGCTATGAGGACGTGGAGATCCCGCTAGTTCTAGAAAAGAAAGGTACTGCGAAGTCAAGACCCAAAACTTGTGCTAGAAGTAAATTTACTATTTACTAGGCAAGGGATTCTTTTCTATCGCCTCCCGAGTCCCGTACCATATATAATGGTCGTGCAGAATGATGCCAAACAATGGATTTCTACGTCTAGATCAAAGCAAACGGTCTTCATCATGATACTTAGAAACGCAAACAAATTAAGGAAAACTGGATTATGCACTAGTATGTAACATTTAAAATGAGAGCATTTGAGCCTTTGAACCAATTCAAGCCGCGGGCAATAAACCTTCTTAGTACATGCTGGTATTGAACTGCTCACGGGCCTTGGACTCGAAATAAAAGAAGGACCCGAGATGAAATCTATAGGATAATCTAAATCAAACACTTCTGTAGAATATTCTGCACAATAGCATCATTTTTCTGGAACAAAGGACTGAGAGCCTTCAAAGCGTCATTCGACATAGCTCTCCGGGCTTTGGTGGCGCAATTGAAAGCAGATTTGCTACCTGGTACTGATACTCAGTTTCCAGCACATACCCGAACTTCATCGGGAAGAACGAGTTAAGTCTTGGATATGTCCCTGGCCCCATTGAACCCCCAAATGCGACCTTATAATTTCCTGTTTCCGGGTTACGGAGGCGCCTAGCCTCCGACTACCTAGGCTGCTAGACGCCAAGCTCTTTGTTGGTAGCTAGTGTGATGTCACTAAGCCCTAGGCGATGTTATCCTCCCACGCAACACATGAGACCGTGAAATAACGCAACGATCAAATGAAACTCCGCCAATCTAAGCGTCTAAACATCGGCTTGAAAGGTCAATCCAGACGATTCCACGATATGAACGGAGCCTTTTCTGATCATTCTCGCCCCGGAGTTACCTGCATAGCCAGCCGAGGGTTATTCTCAATTGCAGACTCGCTACTCGGTGTACCGATCCATATCCACGGTTAAACTGGGTGGCTTGTTCAAACACATAAAGTCAATTCGCGGTACCTAGACAACACTTTGTCTACCCGTTTGGGAAAATGCACTTAGTTTCATTGTTAATGCAATTGCATTGGCCACTGGCAATATACGTAGATGGTTTATTCACAATTTAGAAGCAGGTCTAGCTTCTGATCCAATCCCCTGTACAGCTCTATCTATAATCTCCATGGCGTGGAAAAGCTCATAATCGCGCTGCTTTGGCGTCACGACCTGGACACTCAACGGAGACTCCAAGTAAACACGGCGATCGGTAGATTTCTCCTCCCCTATAAATCGATTAGACCCTAGACTTTCTTTCAAAGACCTCACATTGGATGGAAGTCATAACTTACATAGTTTGCGGTTTGCTTTATCCCAGCTTCCAAGCACCGGCTCGTCCATCTCACGTCCAATATCCAGATCGGATTCCGCGAATTTACGCACTGGAACTGTACCGGCTGGATAGTCCAGTAACACAAATGAAGAAGTGTATCCTACAGCATTATATCGATCGAGCTCTGGAACCGGATGTGGCGCCACTGGACAGATAATAGCGTCTACTCGTCTATCCCGAGAGATACCAAGAGTCCACATCTTGAGCATTTCTCTCTCAATATCAGCACGTTGAGCCTGTAAAGCCGCAAGCTGGACAACGGACAATGCCTTCCCACGTCCAAAGCGACCACCCTGATGCCAGGGCATCAGCGATTCACCCATACTCTCAATGAGATCCATTACACTTGAGCCATCATCAACACCCATAAGTCGCCCAGCAGCAGCCTGACATTTGCTAAAAGCCGCCGGCGTAGGAATATCAACAACATGGACGCCCGGAGTCCGACGCAAGAGCTGTGAAACTTCATCAAGAACCCGAGTTATGGGTGGTAAAGGAGTGACAAGGCCATCAGTCTTGAGTATCCCAATCGTTAAATGACGTGGCTGCGCAAGAGCAGCTGGCACCGATGGCGCAGGCCAATATCCAGGAATACACCCCTCATCAAACAATTCAGCCCTCGGCAGAATCTCCGCCATGACTGCTCCCAAATCCGCAACGGAGCGGGCAAGTGGACCCGCCACAGCTTGTATACCCATCCTCCCTTTACCAGGGATCTGGCCACTTTCCTGTCCACCATACGGCACACGACCATCACTCGGCTTAAAGCTATAAATGCCCTGACACATCGCCGGAATCCGAACACTTCCTCCAATATCCGTACCGAAGCCCACCATTGTACCGCGCATCGCGACAAGAACGCCTTCACCGCCTGTGCTCCCGCCTGCAGTCCATTGTCTGTTCAGCGGATTTAATGTACGACCGAAAAGATGGTTGCAGCTGTCTAGCGTTGCGAGTGTTTGGGGAACGTTTGTCTTGGCGATGACTATTGCGCCGAGACTTTCGAGGAGGTCTATTAATGGTGCATTTGAAGTGGCGGGTTTAAATGCTAATGCGGAGAACCCGATGCTTGAATCAACGCCACGAATGAAGAATGAATCTTTCACTGAGACTGGGAGGCCATGGAGGGGGCCGATCGGGCTACCTGTGCGTTGGAGATGATCATCTAATTGCTGCGCTCGGGTTAATGCGCGATCGAAGAGAGGCTCGGTGAGACAACGTGTTAACTGGTGCGATATCGCTGCTCGCTGTATGGGTACTAAATTAGCTTCAGGATCCAGAAGAATGATACAGCACTGGGTTGTTCCTCACCCTGCAAAAAGCTTGCACTACTTCCTTGGCCTTGAGTTTCTTTTCTGTCATTGCCAGTACAAGTTCATGAACGTCATATTTCTCTGTAATTTCCAGCTCTTTCGATGTGAGGAGGCCGCATGTGCGTGGGATTTCCATCACGTTGACTCGGCCGTATAGCTTCGGTCCCTCGGTGATGGACTCGGCAGGGGTCAACATGCCCGGAGGAATGAGGTTGTCGGGTAGTTTCCATTGAGATGGTATTGAAGCAGACAGTTCTGCTTGTTTGCGTTGGGCAACTGCCACGTATGGGGGCTCTGGGGAGGCCATGGTTGTTGGAATTCAGGAAGAAGATGGAGCTGTTGCTGGAAAAGTGTTACATAGCCGCGGATGCGGGGAATGTGGAGAAGCCTCGGTCTCGGTAATGCGGTTGTCACTTAAGTGCACTCCACTTGATATCTGTGCATTGGATCTGCTGAAGTATACAATATGGACGCTTCTTCGTGATTTTAATAATTTTCAATATCAATTGAAGTATTTGTAGGCTTCGCTGCTCTCTAGAACCCCTGTTCTTTCGTTCTGAGCTTTATCCGATATACCCATCACTAACAATTTGTACAGTCGGTGTCAAGAAATATTATTTCCAAGTCAGACATACAATATAGCATGAAATATTACTCTCTGGTCATTAATCAAAGACGCGCCGCCTTAAGAACAGAGCCACCATCCGTCGCAATAACAGCCCCATTCAAATGGCTCGCAGCCCTCGACGACAAAAATACCACCAAGCCCGCAACATCCTCAGGCTTACCCAACCGACCATTAGGCGACTGTGTCTCAAGCTCCTTAAGCCCACCTTTCAACTCAATCAAACCCGTAGCCATCTTCGAAGGGAAAAATCCCGGCGCAATAGCATTAGTCATAATATGGCGAGGTCCAAGTTCAATAGCCAAATTCTTAGCAAGATGAATAGCAGCTGCTTTGGAGACAGAGTAACTCGGAGTTGCATTTTCGCCCGTGTTACCGATTCCAATTCCAGCAACTGACGCGGTGATGATTACCCTCGATGGATCCTCAAGTGTAGCTTTCGCCGTGAGGAGAGTAGTAAGTCTGTATCACATGTTAGATTAGAACCTCTTTCCTCTTTTTTTTTCACGATGTTATGTATTGTTGTTGTTGGTGGTGATGACGTAGACGTACTTTTGAATAGTGTAGAAAATACTCTTAACGTTCAGATCCATTACCTTGGAGAAGGCAGATTCGGGATGTGTGTCGAACTTTTCGCCCCATGTTGCGCCTGCATTGGCGAATAGTAGATCAACGTGGTCAGTTGTCTTGCCAATTTCAGCGACCAGTCTGTCTAGCTCGTCCATTTTGGCACTGTCGGCTGGGACAGAGATGGCGATGGCCCCTGGGCGTTTGTTGGGGAGGGCATTTAGTGCTGCGACGGCTTCGTCGCAGGCTTTTTGCTTGCGGGAGGTGATGTAGACTTTTGCGCATCCCGCTTGGAGAAGACTGGATATCTCAATTAGTTTCTTATTTTTTATTTCTATTTTTTGTTGGTTATTGAGTTTTTGGATGTCGATACGTACCCCGAGGCGGCGTGGAGTCCCAGCCCCCGAGATCCACCTGTGACGACAGCGACCTTGCCGTCGAGGGAGAAGATGCTCCCGAAATTGTTGAGTTGAACCTGCTCGGTGGCTGACATTTTGTGATCGGGTGGAACTTGGGAAGAGAGGTGTATGTTTGAGGAAGTTGGGAGATGAAGACCCTTTTGTGTTCTGGTCTGGTCTTGTTTCACAAAGGCCGAGGCAAGCTGGCTAAGCATTCGGAGATGAACCTCGGGATCCCCGCAGCTTTTGGGGGCGTTGGGGGCAGATTAGTAATCTTGGGTATTCAATTTTGGGTGTCTAATGCAAACAATATGCCCTGCGCTCCAGAATGCTTTTACATTAATAGAAAATATTGAGAAGGAATGAATGCCTAGGTCAGCTCTCATACATGGAACCTCCATGGCTCTTTCCGTGAAAGAGTAATGGTCTTATGTAAGCTTCTTCCACGTGTGTCGCAACTGTGGCCGAGCGGTTAAGGCGCTGTGTTTAGGTAATTGGATTCATGTCTAGAAATATCTCTCCGCAGTACGAAAGTGCGAGGGTTCGAATCCCTCCGGTTGCATTTTTTTTTTTTCGTTTTTTATCTGTACGGTTAACTCGGTTTATGTATGTTTCTGCCTTGAAATGACTTGGGCTGGCATCTTTTCTTCTTTTCTCACTGTACTCAAGGCCTCTTATTTTTCATCCATGCTACATGTATCAAAGATTGATTCCTAAATTCGCCCTATCGATCAATAATATCGACCAGCCTATCAATCTTGAGTGGTGCACTATCTACATTGCCTCTTGAGGGTTTCACTGTCACGTACAGTCCGTAAGTAATGTAGTGTAGCTATAGTCTTGGAGTGGGTATCCAAGTCATTATTGTGGGTCCTATAAATGTGCTCAATCTGCCGCAACTCGGAAGTTGCTTCCAAATCATCTTTGACGTGATTTGTAGTACCTCGCGGGTGAAATGGAGGGGTGCTCATTTAAGAGGGGCCACAGCTCATAGCAGGACCTTGGTGCCTTTCCCACTTTCAACTTATACACGTCAGTTCACTTCATCTCTCATCATCACTACCATCCATCCTCACCTACCACGACAAACACCCAAACTTTCACCAATATCATCAAAATGGCATCGCACACTCTTCCCCCTCTTCCATATGCCTACGACGTAAGTACATATTCAATCCCAAGAACTGAATGAGCTCCCGAACTCACTGAATACCAGGCCCTCGAGCCCGTGATCTCAAAGCAGATCATGGAACTCCACCACCAAAAACACCACCAAACCTACATCAATAACCTCAATGCCGCTCTTGCCGCTCACGCAACTGCAACAGAGACAAAGGACGTCCCTGCTCTGATCGCGCTGCAGCAGAAGATTCGTTTCAACGGCGGTGGTCACATTAACCACTCTCTCTTCTGGAAGAACTTGACTCCTCCCGGTACACCTGGTAACGATTTGGCTAGTGCAGCTCCTACTCTACGTGAGGCTATTGTTTCTCGTTGGGGATCTGAGAAGACATTCACGGAGAGCTTTAATACCACTTTGTTGGGTATTCAGGGGAGTGGATGGGGATGGCTTGTTAGTTCTGGTGGTCCAAAGGGACGTCTAGAGATTACGACTACTAAGGATCAAGATCCGGTGACTGGGTCTGATGTTCCTGTCTTTGGTGTGGATATGTGGGAGCATGCTTACTATCTTCAGGTTAGTTTTTGGACTGGACTCTTTGTGTGGACGTTGCTAATATCCTGTTACCTGTAGTATCTTAACAACAAGGCTGGATATGTTGATGGAATTTGGAAGATTATTAACTGGGCTGAAGCTGAGAAGCGATACACTGCTGGTGTGCAGAACCCTGTGAAGCTTTAAATGGATTGTGAGGATTTCATGAGAATATGTAGTTCGAAGAAGACTAGAGATGAACCGTGAATCAATTTAACAACGCCGCGAATGAACCTATGGATATCTATTTTGCAAATTGCAAGGCCTCATGAATGAATCAAAGTGAATAAAATGCCCAGATGAGTAGTGAATCAGTTGTATCCCACGATACCAACACCCAGAACAGTTCCGTCGGGTTCGCTCATGGTAACCTGTCGCCCCACGACTCCTTTCTCGGAGACGCCTAGGTCCAGCCTTATAGGCAACTCGAGTTCCACATCTCTCTGGAATTCTCGGGGAGCTTGTTTACCCAAATCGAGCCGGAATTCATGTAAGGGACGCGTAGTAGGCTTGGTTGTGGAGAGGTCGCCGTATTGTCTATTTAAGATCTCTTTAGTATAGGGTTCTTCTGCAAGATTCATGAACCCGAGTGATGGGAAGTGACTGACTCAATACGCATATTCACCTGGTGACATGCACGCAGTGTATTGTAGGTCTCTGCATCGTCTATTCGAAAAATGGCCTTGGTTTTGTGACTGTCTGTCTCTGCATCTCGGAAAAATAACGAATATGAGGACATGGTGGAAGCGGAAGATGTGACCGAGTCTGGCGATGAAGAGAATGAAGACTCCGATGTGTTTGAGGAAATTTTGTTTTCGATGGGGGACACCATAGCGATGGTGCCACCGCACGCTGGGCGATGGGTGTCTCCGCACATGATTATAACAATATAGATGGACGAGGATTGTCTGTAAAAGGAAGAATGGTCGAGAGGCGAAGAAAAGAGGAAATCTGTACGATATTTTTGAACAGGGAAGTTGCGCAAAATGACAATGATTTAATTCTTCACTAATGGCAAAAATCAGAAATGAGGGAATACAGACTATATAGGCATCACGGCATTGCGCCCGCAAGGTAGACCACCAAGGTGAGCGGGATCGAGCAGATAATGCGGGTCCCTCAAATGCGCGCAGTGGGTCAAAAGGTGGATACTCCGCTGTGGGCCCCCGCAAAATGATCAACCTGGTCGGGTGGACATCCCTTTTCAATTCTCAGCCTCGATTCAAGCGCTCAGTGAAACCCATACAACCACACAAGTCATGAAAATAACGCTCGTAACACGTCTCCGGGTTCTCGTTTTTGTCAGACATCCACGGCCAGCTGCCTCGATTTGATGGTGTTGTCTTGTGCCTGGTTCCGATGAACTTCGATCCACCGATGCAGTAGAGTTGTCTGAGTTTCTCCTGGTCCAAGAACATGTGCCCAGCCTGGGAATGTGGCCATGGGACCTTGACTGGAGTTGATTGTTAGTATTTGAGTCATATGAAGTTCATTGTGAGACACCACGTACCTGTACTTAATATTGACGTGGATTCCGAAGATTTTCTCGATAATGATGATGAATGTGACCGACACAAGGATGCCGATAGCGAGCTTCCAGGTTCCGAGGTTGATGGGAGGAGTGGAAGACATTATAGATGACTTGACTTTGGCAAGGAGTGACGATTCGACGACGGGTTCTTCCTTCTTGGGAGCGACAGCCGGATGGCTAAGAACTTGAACTTTGGACTTCTTGTGCGACGTTTTGGGATAAGAATGTCTTTCAGGTATTTGGATAATGAGTGAATGAAGCGATCTGAGGGAGAAGAGGAGAGAAGAAGCCCAAGTCAATTTGGGCAGTTTGAATCACTCAGTGAGGCTGCTCACGCTTTCCGTTTTTGCGAGATCGTGGAATTCTCACACGGGGAAGGTGCGATCGCGGCTCATATGCTCACGTGCTCCAATTATAGAGGGAAAGATGGAATCTAAGAAATCACCCATCATTATATGGATCCATACAGCCCAAATATCCGATATCTTGGACAATTGCAATCAACTTTGGATTCATGCGCGACTAGCTATTACTTCAGGCCCAGTCCGGGATTGGGTCCGCTGCTGCCCCACATCCCCCGCATCCAAACCCAATGAAAACATCTTTTTTTAAACCGCACAACTCGTGCAATCATGAGCAATACACAAGACCAAGCCATGGTATGGCATCGAACTGATGTGCTATCCAAGAAATTATCAACGGAATACTACAACCTCGGTAACTTCCATCGCACTATAACCACGACCAGCGCCGATGCCCAAATCTGGTTCGATCGAGGGCTTGTCTGGGCTTACGCATTCAACCATCAAGAATCCTCCCAATGCTTTGAGCGGGCTATTATGGCAGATCCAAAATGTGCGATGGCATATTGGGGCAAGGCGTTCTCCCTAGGTCCCAATTATAACAAGCCATGGAAGCTCTTCGATGGGGAGGACCTTTCGGCTACCACGACGAGGGCCTATGATGCTATTGAGGAGGCCAAAAGATTCGCGCATCTAGAAACCCCTGTGGAACAGGCTCTTATAAAAGCACTCCAGTATAGATATCCACAAAAAGACCCCGTTGAAGACTGTACAATTTGGAACAAAGAATATGCAAACGCAATGGGATCGGTGTACAAAGGTTTCCCACATGACCTGGACGTAATCACTCTCTACTGTGATGCTTTGATGAATCTCACACCATGGAGCATGTGGGACCTGAAAACTGGAGAGCCTTCTCCGGGTGCCCGAACTCTTGAGGTGAAGGAGGCCCTGTCAATTGCATTGACTCGTGAAGATGCGCTCCAACATCCCGGCATTTTACACTTGTATATCCACCTAATGGAGATGTCTCCCACTCCGGAGGAAGCACTACCAATAGCAGACAACCTGCGTGGTCTTGTCCCTGATGCAGGTCATTTGGAGCATATGCCGACTCACTTGGATATTCTATGTGGTGACTATCGTCGCGCAATAGCATCTAATACCGACGCCATCCGTGCCGATGAAAAGTTTCTAGCTAACCAGGAACTGGGTCATTTTTATAATCTTTATCGTGCTCATGATTATCACTTTCGCATGTACGCCGCCATGCTAGGTGGTCAGAGCCAGATCGCGCTGAGCACTGCGAAGCAGCTCACGGCATGTGTCACCGAAGACATTCTTCGCGTTAAGTCACCACCCCTCGCAGACTGGCTGGAAGGATTCATAGCTATGCAAGTGCATCCACTTATCCGATTCGGCCGCTGGGATGAAATCATTGCATTGGATTTTCCCGTGGATCAAGATCTTTACTGCGTTACAACGGCTATGATATATTATGCAAAGGGGATAGCATTTGCTGTCAAGGGTCAAATAGTAGAAGCAGAAGAGCTGAAGGAATGCTTTATCGCTGCTGTCAACTTTTTGGTTCCTGATTCTCGGACTATCTTCAACAATTCCTGTCGTGATATTCTTTCCATCGCCTTGCATATGCTGAAAGGTGAATTGGCATATCGTTCTGGGAATTATGACCAGGCCTTTCAATACCTTCGTGATGCAGTGGCAAATGATGACAATCTTCCCTACGATGAGCCCTGGGGCTGGATGCAACCCACTCGACATGCTCTTGGGGCTCTGTTAATTGAGCAAGGTCGAGTTGAGGAAGCAGCTGAAGTCTATGCTGCCGATCTTGGAATCGACCAATTACTACCAAGAGCTTTGAGACATCCAAATAATGTATGGGCGCTCCATGGATATCATGAATGTCTCAGTAGGCTGGGCAGGATTGCAGAGGCACGGATTATAGAACCACAGCTGACACTAGCCTTGGCTATGGCCGATGTACCAATCCGGTCATCATGCTTTTGCCGTCTTCAATATCTTTGAGGTAAAGCCTTATTTCCTTCTGAATAAACTCAATAAATTATTTTCAAGTATTCATATACTTATCTAGATAGGGGTCTGAGGCTGCGATATGCTGATATTCTCTCACCACCTCGCTTCTTCTCTTGTTCTCTTTTCTTTTCCCCTAGCTTAAGCCGTTCACAGGGCTCCTAGCGTAAATCTAGAAATTCGTCGCATGAAATTTAGCAAATCACATTTGTTTTTACCGGGATACAGAGGTCCTCTCACTGCCAACGATTGTTCTGGTATGGGTACAGTGGCTTTCCAGTTCCCTCCACTCTCATTGAATCGGTGTGATGTTGACGTTGGAATGAAGAATATACCCTTTCTATCCGAATTACGCTCCCATTTGTAAATACTTTGTTAAAATGTAAGAGAGGGAGGGCCCATGATCGATATCATCTCCGCCAAGTTTTGTTCGTTGATTTCAGTCTTCTTCATTGTCGACAAAAGGACGGCTGCCGATAGCATGAGGGTCTGGTTCCAATAATATTATCGAACGCGTAACATTGTACATCACCCTTTACTTCCTATTATGTATCTGTAGATCTATCTACTCTATTGCCTGTACTGAAGCTCCGAGTAGATACACTGTAGAACAACGTGAATAAGTTGAATAAGTTGACAGACAAGTTGATCTCTGGGGTTAATTTTTTTTCGTTATACGTTTACTAGATCAAATCAAAAACAATATAATTATATTCGTTTGGTCGTGATGATCATGCCTATTTACCCAAGACAACTGGAAGATGTGAAAATTTCAAGTGTGCTTAACACGCATAGGATGAGCCTCAGTGTTGAATACAAAGGTATTCTTGTCGCCGGCTTGAACCTGCCATTCCGCATCTACGACCGTTGTTAATATCTTCAGCACGTTGGATTGGACAGATTAATTTACCTTCAGCATGAGCAAGGTATGAGTACTTCATCACCTCGGCAAACAGGAAGCTCTCCTGGTTGTCGTCCTTGGTGCCGCCGTTAGCAGCATTCACATTGGTGACAGCTGCAAATCCCGAGTCAGTACGGCAGGTGGCGTTAATGGCCACAAATGCATTCCAAATCCAGTCCTGGTACTATAGAGGAGTTAGTAAACATGTCGCAAAAACTCTTGTTATAGTGAAGTCGGTCAAACATACAGTACTATCGCCAGTCACCCGGTAAGCATAGTAGAAGCTTTCAATAACCTCCGGTCGCAGAACATAGTACCCGCTGTTGATATAGAAGCCGGCCTTCTGGTAGAACGCTTTCTGGCTGCTTGGTACTTTGCTGGGATCCCAGCCCCAGGAATCAGGTCCAATCCCGGTCAATGTCGAATTATAGGTGGCCTCACAACCGTGAACAAGCTCCAGACCGAAGTCAATAAAATCCTGGCGATCAAGGACAGTTCCACCAAGAATGAAGCTGCCACCGTCAAAACATGTCAAATGCTGTGAGCTGAGATCATAGTTGCCGTTGTTGTAGGAAGACAGGAATGTCAGTTCCGGTCGGGTGGACGGGTGTGCCGCCAAGTGCTTCTGTGTCGACTCGGCTGCAAGGACCCATCGATCCTTGTACGCCTTGAACCGCTTAGGGTCGTACACGTACATCTTAATCAGGTACTCGTAGAACGAATCATCCCCGCCATTCCAGGTAACCGAGGCATCGGTGAATTCGCCATTATCAATGCTAATTTGACTGCCGACGAGACCTGGGAACGGCTCATTACTGGCAGGCTTGGGGTTCAACAAGTACGACTCGGCCTTTTGGCTAAGTTTGGCATACTCTTGGTCCCCTGTCAAATCAGAAAGACGCGTCCACTCGAGAACGAGGGTTCCTGTCACGGCCAACCCATTGGTGCTTGATCCATCGTTGCCTTGGGAGGTGATGTTGATACCGTTGTAAGGTACACCGGATGGAGTGTCGAAGGCAAACTTGAGCACGTCGGCAAGATTCTTAGACTGCGTCAGCAATGCGTCAACGAGATCTGAATCTTTAACCAGGCTAGAAGCTGGCCCGGTTAACAAATCGTAGCCTGACAACATGCCGGCTAGATACCGAATAGTCGTCTCGAATAAGCTGACTTGATCAGAAGTCTGGCTATAGTCAATCTTGGCGATATGCTCCAAAATTGTGTTGACAGCATCAGTATTGCCCATTATAATTGCTGTTGACAGGGCATCAACGGCTGATGCACCCCAACCATTCCTATCCGCAAATCAGGGGTCTTAATATCGGTTCTCCTTGATTCCAAATTGGTCTGGCAAAAGCAAATACATACCTGGAGTCACCGTATCCGTTGCTCACCGGGTGCAACTCATCGTGCGGAAAAGCATATTTCACGTATCCGTCCCATGCGTGCTGAAAGGCCTCTTTAACGGCATCGGCCTTTTCTTGGCTGCTGGAGGCTTGAGACGATGAAGTACTCAAGACCGCCTCAGTGTCTTGATAGGCATGCGGATAAGCGGTGGCCGATCCTACTAGCCCCAACGCCGCTAGAGATAATGACAATGTGGCGCGCATGGCTCTGTTTGGGGGCCGTGCTTCTCAAAAGCGAGGGCGTGTATATGGTATGAATATCTAAGGGATAAGGAGAGAAGGTGTTTAGGAAAGAAAAACTGCGATCGGGCAGCTTTTTGAGAGGAGAAAGAAGCCGCTAGTGAAAGACCACCCGGAGCAACGATCGCTGCGGGTCAATGCGACTATTAAAATATGGGGTGGATCAAGGTATGGAGAGTGGGGAAGTGGGAAGTGTGATCGGACATTGCAGCGAAAGTGGAAGCCGGGAAGCGTCACAGTCACACGCTTTGTTTACATCGTCTTGCAGCATTTTACTCTTGGCAATAAGCCATGCCGGACCACCGAGGATCCCTTGTTCCTGAATTCCCATTCCTCTTCGAGTTCGCTTCAGGTCCACTTCAACACGCTCCAGGGGTCTCGGAAGCTGATCTGCAAGGGCTTTCTCCTGGCTTGCTGTTTCGGAGGAATGCTGTACCTAAGCAAAAGCCCGACGACAGGTCTCCGATAAATTCACCCATCGTATCCCGGTCGGGTCTCTCTTTATCTTTTTATCCCGCATCATTCTGATTCATCCCCCAGTAACACCTCTCAGGGTCCTAGGGATCCTAGCGTGGCTTAGTGGCTGCCGGAAAGACGACCTCATGCAACTCCGCACTGAAAGAGCCAAGATTCCCCCCTCCTTCTGCTCCGGACCTTACATCTTCTGCTAGAGCTTGTGAGAAACCCATGACCGCATTGCTGCAGGATGGGTATGGATAAGCTCCACTTTTTTGGTTTTCCTTGTTCCACACTCGAGCTAAGACTAAGACTGTGGGGTCCAAGATCGCAGGAGGCTTCCTCTCCGCAAAACGGACTCTTGGGGGTTTAATGCTGAATGCTGCTCACGATCGATTGGTAACAATTGAAATCCTGGATTAAATGTCGCCATCGGCAAACTGTCACTTCTGACGTGTCTTTTTTGTTCTCTTTCTTTTTTTCGGCGCCATGAAGATCTCACAAATCTACGAATTTATAGGCCTGATCGGATGGAATGAACATTTGAAGACTAACCAGGCTAAAATTCGCGCAGTGCCCTCTGTTTCCTCAAGCGATGTGACCTTTCAAACGGCATTTACCACTTGGGGCTAGCATCGAATGCAAACAAATAACATTGATCATACAAGCATGAATCTCCGCCATGAGTAATCCATAATCTTGATCGTAATGATCTCGTGCTCTGCCAAATATTCAGCATAATAAGGTTAAATCGCATAAGTTGCCAAGAGTCATGAGGGGATCCTTTATCCTATACTCCTTTTCCGTGCCAAATGGGGCACGCTAGAGCACGCTATTCCGTATTGCTTCAATAGCATATACCTTAGCGCCTGGGCGTTACCGGGTGGAATACCAGGGTGGTGCTTTAGGGTTACAGAATCCCTCTATATGTATAACATGTAGAAACAGTGCATGCACTATTTGTGCTCTTGATGCTTGAATATACCGCTGTTGAATGCCAAGAAAGGATACGGGACATTGTCGGAAGAACGATATTATGAACGTTCTCCAAACCTTGAAGGTAAGTTGACTGGGAAATCATGTCCAATCACAATAAGCAATTTTGTTTTCCAAAAACTTATCATCTACTGCATCTAATGGGGTCTTTCAGAGAGGAGTTTCCTTTCTAAGTACCATAATCGGTCATGCAGTACCTTGGTCTCGCGCATGATGTCTTTATAGTGCTTGCTTTTCAGATAGTAAAGGTTTCGGAATTTCAACTTCCAGAGACTGAGGTGATCCGTTGTTGAGAGGGAATGCGTTTTCAAAGCAGCTTCGAGCATCGGACTTGCCATTGCTAAGATGATAATTAGCTGAGTCAGGGTACAAATATGCATTGTCGGCCTTCCCAGCATGTCTCATCCATTGGGGATCATCAGGGCTCAAGCCGGGGCCGATCTCAATCCATTTTGTAATAATTAGAGCCAAGTTTGTTTCGTAATCAATTGTCTCGATGCGAAGTCTTGTATTACACTCCTCACAAATGTAAGTAGGAGTTGTAGCTTTCATTCTAATGACAAATAGCTCCTATTGCATCGACTAGTAATAATCCCAACTGTCGTATGCCTTGTACTCTGATCCTCAGTCAAAGCCTTTGCGAGTTCGTCGCTTGGTGTGCTTTGTTCTTTTTATACAGCCGAACTAAGCTTTATGCTAGCTGGCTGTAAAGGAGAGGAAACGGTATAGACAGGACTTGTGGTTTGGCAATTTGGCAAAGGGCTAGTTTTGGAACTACTTTAGTTCCAGAACTACAGTGGTTCTAGAACGAGAATTTGTAAACTACCCTAGTTCTGAAACTTTGGTTCTAAAACTACCTTAGTTTCAGAACTAGAGTTACAGAACCACTGTAGTTCTGGAACTAAGGTAGTTCCAAAACTAGCCGTTTTCCAAATTGCCAAACTGGCCAGTACTGTACGACAGCTATAGTACACCAATCTTCATCCAATATCGCCTACTTAAAGCACGCTTCGCCCCTTGCAGCTCTACCATACAAAGTAGGCCTCAAATCCACCAATGCAAACGGCTAGCAAACATCAGCCAGGGAACAGTCTCCCATCGCCATGCGGACCCAAAGATTCACTTGCTCCATACGGGAGTGTATCTGGGGCTAGTGTTCCCCATCCCTAGGCGCCGAGTTACCGTTTCTCCCCAAGACGTCTCCAATACTGAAATCTATAGGACATCGATTCTCGGCATCTTCATCCGTCGGCGTCCGCTCCATTGAATTGGCCAATTCAGTGGCTACAGATGTAGTAACTGACGTAGCTCTAGAATCGGATGGAGCAGATGCGAGTTGATCACTGCAGTGGTGTTGTTCTTTGAGAGCTAAGGACGATGGTCAGAATGGTTATAGAAGTGTTTTGTTACAAAAGTTGAGAATCGCCGCGGAACGGAGACTCTGACGCAATGGGGAGGTCATGTAATTTGGTGATGACAAATGAAAGAGGTTTGTAAAAATAAAGCTTTTATTGGCTGGAAAACAGCTGTTCCTCAAGCCACAAGACTGAATCAACGGGGACTCAATAAACCTTGCCAAACGCGGGTTAGCGTTAATTCAAACTATATTATAAGAAATTTAGAAAAAGGATTCTTACATTATTAGAACCATCAACTTATCGGCATGACTCGGACAGATACTATTTGCATACTTGATACTAGGCTAGAGTTGATGTGATAGATATAATTTATTATACACAATTACTGCCTCGTACTTATCTCTTGATATATGTTGTATCTCCACCCTGAGATCTGGATAGAAATGGAGGTAATGCCAATCTATATAAGAATCTTGGCTAGGTGAATGAATGAAATTTAAAAGTCCTGTTTCTGATATACTATATCTGTTTATAAGGGGTAATTTAGTAGTAACTGTATCCCCTATAATTTAAGGGATATTACCTCTGGTGTATATAATATAGCTTTGGTGAGTAGTATAATATTTAAGAGCCTTCGAGTCTTATACCATCTCGCCTATAATATTAGGCAGAACAACCGTATAATTGAATAGAGTTTTCTCCCTTGTATATAATAGTGTAGTAAGACTAGGTAGACCCCCAGAGGTAGAAATAATAATAGTCATATTCGCGGGTATATTAAGAAGTAGCGTATAGGCTAATCCAGTAGCCTAGGAAGGGTACTATTAGTACATCATCATGATTCATAGGATATTCTTAGTAGGATCAATGTATATAGAAAGGAGGCAGGGTCAAATATAATCTCTTGCTAAACGATATCGACTCCTGTGCTTCACAGCCTTTAGGTGGCTGAAGAAATTGTATATTCATTTTTCTTATAGTACTCTCATGCTTCCAAATAATAGGCTTTGGGATATCTATTGATCTTGAGGTATAAATAATTGTAAATAGCTTATCTAACTCTTTACAAAAAGACTTTGAATACTTAAAATAAGGATACTTGGATAATAGAAGTATTTCTGTATTTGGGATATCTAGAGTTCTTACTAGGTAGGCTTTTTGGATATCTAGAGTTCTTACTAGATAGGCTTTTTGGATATCTCCGATAAAAGGTAGTTGCGGTACAAGAGTTAATAGTATATTGTAGTCGAGAGCTTACAGTAGAGACCGATAGGTTTTATTACTATTCCGTAGGGAAGTTATAAACATCTATTATAAACTATTAGCTTTCCTTAAATTGCTTTATTCTTTTATTTTACTCCGCTGGTATTTTATATGCAATAACCTGCTCTCAGGGTGTCTAAAACTAAGCCGGGGTACCGCATATCATTCAGACCCATGTAGGCTAACACTTCGCTATTCCTAGGTCCTAAGGTCTCGACTAGGAATTTAGTGAGGCTATTGACCGCGTTGCTAAATGCTTTATAGGTAACTTTTCGGTACCCGTCATCATAACTTGTAGGATTGACAGGGTATTCGGCGTAGATAGCATCAGGCTTGGTCTTGACATAATGGTCAATCAAACTGGGAAGAAGCTGAGTGCGAGGATCCAAATCCCCATCGAATGGAAGCTTCATGTTTGACAATTTCAATTGATGAAAAATTGTTTGAATAATAAGGATGAAAGTCTGGTTCTATGCTGGGCTATCCGTTTTATAAGAGTTCCATGAGGCGATCGTGGAGGGGTCATTAGAGGGGCTAACTGTAGGAGGGAGTTTCGAATTTGGCAGCTAGACGGGGAAAGTGAGCATTCGGAATCATAGCGCAATCACAGTGCTATCTTGATACACCAGCCGGCCCATAAGCTCCGCCTAAAAATATTTTTTCCGTGCATGACGCTGTACTGCAGGGATTCCAACATTTTACTGCAGGAATCAAAGCGCTGTCTTGATACACCAGCTAGACTCATAAGCTCCACTTGGGAATATTTCTTCTGCTCATGACGCTGTATTGCATGGATTCCAACATTTTACTGCAGGGATTCCAACATTGTAGGATGGGGGCCAAATGCACGGCCCTGGATGCGGCTCAGATCACTTGAAGATATCGTATCGCTACAACTATCGTCGGTATGACGATATTGTAAGCACTCTTCAAACTGTGGGCTGCCATAGTCTTCTGGTATATCGGGCAACTAGAAAGTCTTTCCTAATTGCAAGGCTGTAGATATGTATGCTGCAGCCTTGTTGGTGCCTTATGTATGCCTGAACTTTGACTTGAAAATTCCCACATTTGAATGACTGGATACAGTTAAAGATTCAGGGTTTAAGTTGATTTTAATATATTTGAATATAGATTTATTAAAATTGAAGCCTCTGGGTCCATCTAAACCACTATATTTATGATTGTGCTATACAATGTACGGGAAAAGAAACCCATTTCAACCCACTGACGGTTATCTCCCTTGGCACTTGCTAATCGGCAGTGAGAGAGTTCAGGTGGATGCGCCGGGGAAAGAAGCACCAACCACAGCGTCAAAAAAGTTAGTGACACAGAAGAGTCATCGCTGCCACTTTTCTTCCCCGGCACCTCTCAAGGGGAACTTAGTATATTTTATTACGACCCTTTTTTTTCCTTTCTTTCCCTACACTGGTCTCTTGCAAGTTTCTCATATTCCGCCATGGCCACGCCTTTCCTTATCTCCTACCCCTCCACCCCCACCACCGGCCTTTCCCTCAAGCAGATCGCCTACTTCGGACGAGTGCTAGTGAAGGTCTCTGGTCTCGCAGAGGCAGAGCAATTCTTGCGTCAAAACTTCCGCCACTTGGACGTCCTCGTTGACGCCACTGCCATCTCCTCCGCCGGTGATCTGGTTGACATTCTCAACGCCGGTGCCGCTAAGATCTTTATCACCCTCGACCAATTGAACGCCCTTTCCCAAGAACAATCCGTTCCCTCCTCACGATTGGTTGTCTATGCGCCTTCCAATGATGACTTGGACACCTTTCAGCAGTGGATTGCTGCCAACTCCTCAGAACGCACCGACGCAAGCGTCTGCACCGATATCGCTGCCGCCACTACCGCCGCTACAAAATTGAGCATCAGCTCCGATTCCCCTCGTCTTTACGTCACATACGGAGAACAGAAGGTTTCTGAGGATGCTTTGACACAGGTCATGCAGCAGGGTGCTATTGCTGTTATTCCTGCGCAGGAGTTGACTGTTGAGCGGGATGCGACGGATCAGCGTTCTGCCGCCAAGCTGTTGGCCTCGCGCGCGGTCACCGACCAGAGCAACGGCCTCTATGCCACATCTGTTACCGATGAGCGAGGCGCTTGCCTTGGTTTCGTCTGGAGCAGTGACGAGAGTATTGCTGAGGCTCTCCGCACCGGTACCGGAGTTTACCAGAGCCGCAAGCGCGGGTTGTGGTACAAGGGTCAATCAAGCGGGGATGTGCAACAATTAATTCGCATTGGCTTTGACTGCGATGCCGACTGCATTGTCTTTGTTGTTAAGCAAATTGGACGAGGTATGATATTCATTCGAACCAATTTACCGATAGAACTGCGACCTAACAATTTTGACCCATTCCAGGCTTCTGTCACCTCGGCACCGAAACCTGCTTCGGCGCCTCAAGCGGTCTGTCGCGTCTTCAGAAGACTCTTCTGGAGCGCAAAGCAGATGCGCCCGCCGGTTCCTACACTGCCCGCCTCTTCAATGAACCCAAACTCGCCGCCGCTAAGATTATGGAGGAGGCTGATGAGCTGTGCCGAGCTGAAACTAAGGAGGAGATCGCATTCGAGGCAGCTGATCTGCTGTACTTTGCCCTGACTAGGTGTACTGCTGCCGGTGTTACTCTCGAGGATATCGAGCGTAACCTTGATCTGAAGAGCTTGAAGGTCAAGCGGAGAAAGGGTGATGCTAAGGGTCCCTGGGCTGAGAAGGCCGGTCTGGCTGCTCCCCAGGCTAAGCCTACCCCTGCCCCTGCCCCCGCACCCGCTCCTGTCGAGGACCGCTCTAGAATCGAGATGAAGCGTGTCATCACTGCTTCAACAACCGTCATCGAGGTCAAGGAATTCCTCAAGCGCCCCTCCCAGAAGTCCAATGAGGCCATTGTTGGTCTCGTGAAGCCTATCATCCAGGATGTTCGCGAGAACGGAGACGCTGGCGTGCTCAAGTATACCCACAAGTTTGAGAAGGCGACTTCTCTTACCTCCCCTGTTATCAAGGCTCCCTTCCCAGCTGAGCTGATGAAGCTCACTCCTGACGTCCAGGAGGCCATTGATATCTCCATCGGCAACATTGAGCGTTTCCACTCTGCACAGAAGGGCAGCAACGATGCCCTCAAGATGGAGACAATGCCGGGTGTCGTTTGCTCTCGTTTCTCCCGTGCCATTGAGCGTGTTGGTCTATACATCCCTGGTGGTACCGCCGTTCTGCCCTCTACCGCTATGATGCTCGGTGTCCCCGCCATGGTGGCTGGTTGCCAGAAGATCGTTCTTGCCTCTCCTCCCCGCGCTGATGGTAGCATCTCCCCAGAGATTGTCTACGTCGCCCACAAGGTCGGCGCCGAGAGCATCGTCTTGGCTGGCGGTGCCCAGGCCGTCGCCGCCATGGCCTACGGTACAGAGAGTGTCAGCAAGGTCGACAAGATTCTGGGCCCTGGTAACCAATTCGTTACCGCGGCTAAGATGTTTGTGTCTAACGATACATCTGCTGGTGTCAGCATTGATATGCCCGCTGGTCCTAGTGAGGTTCTTGTCATTGCTGACAAGAACGCCAACCCCGCTTTCGTTGCTTCTGACCTGCTGAGCCAGGCTGAGCACGGTGTCGACTCCCAGGTGATCCTTATTGCTATTGATCTGTCCGAGGAGCAATTGAAGGCCATTGAAGACGAGGTCGATTCGCAAGCCCGTGCCCTGCCCCGTATGGACATCGTCCGCGGCTCACTGGAACACTCCGTCACTTTCGTCGTGAAGGATATCAATGAGGCTATGACCTTGAGCAACGAGTATGCTCCTGAGCACTTGATCTTGCAGATCGATGACGCCGAGGCGGTTGTCGAACAGGTCCAGAACGCCGGCAGTGTCTTCATCGGCGCTTGGACACCCGAGAGTGTTGGCGATTACTCCGCTGGTGTTAACCACTCTCTTCGTACGTTTCTCTTTTTCATCCATCTCACAACAAATCTGAATACATAACTAACATTTTACTTTAGCCACATACGGATATGCCAAGCAGTACTCCGGAGTCAACCTTGGCTCTTTCCTGAAACACATCACCAGCTCTAATCTGACTGCCGACGGTCTTCTGGCTCTGTCGAAGACAGTCGAGACCCTGGCCGCTGTGGAGGGTCTGGACGCTCACAAACGGGCCGTCAGCATCCGTGTTGCACAGATGAAGAAGGACCGCTCTTAGTTGCCTTTTAGTATATCTTTTTTCTGTGTCTATAAGTAGATACGATTTCGTTTTGGTCATGATGAATCCGCGATGATGATATTTAAAAGAGCGAAAAAGTTTGGGGATGTAGATATGAATTATAGCACCTGCAATGAATGATGTTCAGCTACTTCAATTACATTTTGGTGCCCATATTCATCAGATCGTTCGACCAAATGAAGGTCCCGCGTAGCGCAGATCGCCCACCCCGCAATATCCCCGTTCCCCACTGCGTAGGTTGGCAAACGTGTGATCATTTATCTGATAAGCGCGCCTAAACAGAGCCGTAAAAAGACTAAACGCAAGACCCGTGTGTATTAATAGCTCCAACTCTCTAACCCCACCTTGATGATATGAAAATCAATGTTCATGCGGGGTGGACACGGTATGTTGGCACAGAATGAATGTAGGAACACCAACTATGAGAGCCGAGTCAAAGATAAGGCAAAAATGTGGCGCCTTGCGTGCGTTAAACAAGGAATCCAGTCTTTCCGGTCAATATTTTTAGAGATCCAGTCAGGTCGCTCCGATTAATTGTAGAGAGCGTGCTCGATTTTCCGAAGCTGGTCAACTGTCTAGGTCCGCGTAGGACTAGACGTGAAGTTAGAATCTATCAAATGTACATTCAGATGACTTGAAGACAATATCACTTCAAAGTTAGTAAAATATAGTTAATTATCAACCCAACGAAGAAGATTATGTATTGAGATATGATTTGTCAAGGTTCTACGCATAGTAAGAGACTGGGAAATTTGAAAGGTCTAAATTCCTACTCCAAACGATAATACGGAGTTGAGTAGGTGGTGAAGATTCGATAATTGAGAGGTCATCTAGATTTTGAAAAAATGACCAAAACGCTGAGGATGAAAATGGAATATGATTGTCGTTATTAAAGACTTGGTGATGAGGAACCCCTGTTTTTGGTTGACGCGCGAGTAAATAGTTCCATATATCAACAGCATACCCAGATTTGCATGCTGATAACAGAGTTAATTGAGGTATGTGTGTGCCCTTCGCTTTTAAATCTCTTCAAGTGTTTGAGAGATTGTCCGAAGTGCTTCCAGTATATCGGACTCATCGTGACAGTGCTCTAATCGTTTAATTTGAAGGTCTGCCCACCGGAAACGCCTACTTAAGTCAGCCGATCAGTGCATCCATTAAGTATGTAAACTTGAGATCCTACAGCTTTGGCCCATCCAGTAAAGTGCTTAGCATGATTTCCTGGATTCTTGGAGCCCATCTTGTCTCTCCATTCTGTTCATATAGACTTTTTACCTCTAAGCGCACAAAGCATTCCACGTCTTGTTCCAGCTGTCTTTCGAGATTGATATGTCGACAATCCTTGAGCTTGAACCGTATGTCATGATCAGGCCTGCTGTTAACAAGTACATGCACCTTGCTGGGGTGCTTCTCACAAACATCCTGAAGTGACTGCAAAACAAGATATCTCTCTTTGCTTGGCTGCACCGGGCACTCCTCTATAGCAACCAGCACGAGAAAAACGTTCCCGGGTGCCCTACTGATGGCCGTATGAAGAGCAGAAATTAGGGTTTGATGATCGGGTTTCTCCGCTTTCGACGTGTGATCCTGCCAAATTGTCATTGTCTGTGGGGGTAAAGAGTGGCTGGTCAATTGTCGAATAATGCACCTGGCCATATTCTCAAACGTTTTGGAATCTTCGGCATCAAATTGAAAGTACCAGTAAGCAATGCTGATGCGGGGGTCATTCTTAAATCTTTGTTTTAAATGATCAATGATCGTAGAACTACCTAGCGTTAGCCAATGTGCCTTCTCAAAAAGCAAAACAGTACTCCATACAACAGTACCGACTTTCCACAGCCCGCTAAAAGAAGGATGTCAGAGCTAGAATTATGATATTATTGACATGACTCACCAACTCCATAGAGCCAGAGAAACCCACCGGATGAGTTAATCCAATTTTTCAATTTTTGAAGCCAGATAACTCTAAGAGCTTGGTCCACGTCTCCTCATTTCTGGTCTTTTTGCCCCTATTTCGAGAGGACGAGAAGTCTATCGAGGATAGCCAATCCAGTATATCAAGTTCTTTCTGGTTCAGAATCTTGCTCCGGAGCTCCAAAATGCCCCAGATCGTCTCATCTGCTCTATTGAGTATCTCATCGGTTTTGCTGGAAATCTCATGTGTTCGTCCTCGTTCACCTGATAATTTTTAGCGAACATGACATACAAGGTTAAAATGAATCAAATGCATATCACCTTAATATGCAGCAACTTCCTTCCACTCGACCAAGCTACTTTCACACTCTTTTATCGAACCCTGCAGGTGGGTAAATGGTTGCTCGGAGAGAGCACTGACACTGAGAATAAATCTCCCTGTGTTATATAGCATCAGTCGCTGTACTATCTTCAATCTTGATCCATCCAATGTCTGTTCACCTCCCGTGCCAAGGTTCGATTGTTATTTCACCTCTACCATATACTTTAAAATGGCTGTATAGAGCCGGAGCAAGGCATCCTCGATTTTCTTAGTTGTGGCTGCCGAACCCTTATTGTGAGGTCACCCTGGCCATGATTTTCGTAAACATGCCTCGTATTTTTGATGACTTCCTGAATAGCATCTTGCTGAGGGGCAGAGGGAAAACATGGCTGTTTCCCTTGACATGAACAGGCTGTGGACAGCTCACCGTGCATAAGCGCCCACTCCACACATGCACAACTAGAACCCGTATGCAGCCTTCATCAAACAGTGCAGCATCACGAAAACACGTATGAATATCGTCAACCACGTCACTCCCTTGGGATCTCCAGGCCAATCATCTTTCCAATTATCTTTCTACTTGTTTTTCAATCTATTAGAGCTTACGATACAGCCTTATCTAGATACCATGATACATGAAACCCATAACAGCGGGGATGACCAAGTTTTCGAATTAATTTACTATTTATTACGTGTCGCAAATAAAAATAAAGTAGAGCTAATATATTGGAGTTATATAGAGAAAGCCTCGGAAAGCTAGTTGTATTTCATAGTGCATATGTAACGTTCAGCTCTGAAAGGTGCCTGCGTTTTTAGATTACCGACTGTCTCGATGTTCTGCTGGGCAGCTTCGAGCAAAGGCTGGAGCTCTGTTCGACAGCCCGCCTTCACTCCGGCATATCTTTATCAAGGTGGACGAACCGCTTAGATTGTGGATACGGGAATAGCGGGAGGAACGATCAGTGATGTCAGGGTCCACTCTGATCTTAATCTATACGAAAATTTGGATACGAGGATAAGAGATAAAATAAAATAAAGCAGAAACCTATGACGCCTTTTTGATTTGATTATTGCCAGCAGATTCCAGCACGGTATCATAAATGCATCTAACGACCCAATGCGACATCACTAGGGCCATTACTTAGGCACCAAGTGAGTTCAAAACCCAGCCCCGACATCGGATCCCAAATATTCCAAACCCACCACGCCCACAAAAAAGTACATCAGAAAATTATGGAGACTAGTAAATTCACAGCTGAGCGACGTCATTGAGAATCGAGACCTCCTGGCCAGGCTTGAACGCAGGAAGACCCAGGTATGGGCAGCCGTCGCATCGGAAAGCATCGCCTAGAGCGCAGCTCCCGCAGGATCCGGTCTGTTTACCCTCCACTGTGAAGTCTAGCTCGGCAAGATCATCTGTAGCCAGCTTCATAACGTTCAGGCTTTTATCGGCGTTTGCGCGACGCTCCTTATCCTCTGCCTCGAGTCGATCTGCTAATCCACATGTGCAATCCTTGCAGGCCTTCCGCCTGCGACCGGTCTTGGGCTGGCATTCTGGAGCTATAAGTCGAAGTAAAGTTAGTATATGGCCTTTGGATAGCGGTCAAGTGGAAGGGCAAACATACGAGGCATAATAGGTCTTGTAAAATCTTCTTCGTCAAGAAGAGAGTCTTCATTAATCAACTCGTCGGCGTCATCCCGATCGTGATTGGTTCCGTTCATGCCATTCAAGGCGAACCCATTTCCATTCGCTTGTATTCCCATAGGTGGTGCGACAGCCGGGGCAGGTGTGGCAGTCTTCTTCTTCTTTAATCCAAACTTCAACGGCACAGCAGATGCTTGTTCGTAATCTGGCTTCTCAAAGCCGGTGGAGTTTTGTACTAAGCCGGAAAGAACGGCTTCCATAGCCTCGGATGTGTCGAGGGCTTTATCTTCTGTTTGCAATTTTGCGCCGGGCTTCATGGCCGGCACGAGCGCGGTGTATACATCCCTTGTGAGGAGTTGGAGGGCCTCGGAGCGCCGAGAGCCAGTTGAGTCGGTAAGAATGAGAACGAGATCATATGTGTTTGAGGGAAGAGAAACGATTCCGGCGGAGAGACGGTCGAGCATTTGGAGGTCTGTGGAAATGCGGGGGTGGGCGGAGAAAACGGCTCGTAATTTGTCCTCTTGTGTAGCGATGGAGGGGGGAGCGAGGAGGAGAGTACGCGGGACGTCGACTGGCTTTGATGGTGGGGGAGCCATGAAGACGTCGGAGTCGTTTGTGTCGATGCTCACGAATGAGGGAGCCATTGTGAGTGATTTTGCACTATTTTGGGGAGGAGATGGGGAGGGGAATAAAGGAAAGGAAAAATGGTGCAAAGTGAGGGGTGGCGATATTTCTCGAGTCACCGATAAAAGATAACTTAGTCAGCCTTATATTTATAAGCGTGGGACTCCATTACCCAGAGAGGGATCCTATCAGCGTGTGGGGATTACTTGCGATCGGCGTGAGAGATTGTACTAGTTTTCTTCAGGGGGATTTGCTGCCTCGAATGGGAAGGGAGGCACGCTGAGTGATTACAATTCCGTGTTCACTGTATGGAAAAGGTGGATTATCAATTATGTCCTTGTGAGTGGTGATAGTGTTCCACCATCAACTATGGCGAAGTCTATTGGCTCTTTCACGATCTTAAAATGTTGGGTACATAAATAATTTGGATTATGTAGAGAATTAGTAAAACATGCACTCTGCATATCTTTTAGTATAGATCTGATAGGTAGATCTCAATCTATGTCAGTATGTCATGATCCGGGCCATGCATACCACCCCTCTAAGGCCAGTCTATATGTACTAAGTTAATATGCCAGAAGTAGCGGTGTCATTTTGTCAATCTAACAACACTAAAGAATGATAAAGACGAATAGTAAATTCTTAGGTATGATTATACAATCAATGCACGCCGGCTCGCTTTTATTTCCCTTGATAGGATCACATCTATATACCAAAAGCGCCTGGAACTCCCTATCTATGCTGGTATCGATACAGATAGAAACAAGAACAACTAACAAAAGAACCGCAAAATGCCAAGCGATGCCATAAGACAATGGCCAAGGTCATCAACTCGTAACGGAATCCCGACAATTAATTTAGCGCTTGCGCTCCCGAATCTTCCACTTGAGTCCCTTCTTGTTGGTGCCACCGACAGAGTTGTCCATCTTGCCTCGCTGCCACTCAACCTCACGCTCCGCGGATTGAATCGCCTCGTACTGTTTCTGTAAAGCAGCAAGCTTGCTCTCTCGGGTCGCCGTTGCCCGCTTTCTGATCTTACGGGCCCGACGAGCTTCAACCAGCGCTTTTCGCTCAGCAACAAGCTGCTTGGGAGTCTTCCGAGACGGCGTTTCATCATCGCTTTCTTCCTTGGTATCTTTTTCTTTGCTTTGGTTCTGGCTTGTCTTCAAAGATTGTTGGCCACTGCGGTCGTCGGCAAAGACTACCTTGCGTGATTTTGGCTCCTCAGGTTCATCGAAGGCAAGGTCGTCCAGGTCGTCGAACCCATCGAAATCAGAATCGGAATCGTCGGCAGATTTAGTTTGTTTCTTCTTCTCTGGAACCTTCTCGCCCAGTGCCACCTTCATACCATTCTGCAAATCAATATCGCGTTGAAGAGTCTCAATCTGTCGACGTATCCGTTCGCCGGCTGTTCGCAGATATCCTTGGTCTTGAGTCTTGAGTAGCTTGATAGCGTCGTGGCTCAATCCCGCAGCTGATGCTCGACCCACGCCACCTCGGCCGTGTTTTCCTTGTGCCCGGTTCTGACCACCCATCATACCAAAATGAAATTCATCGGGGTTGCGGTCGCGCGCCTTCTCTTCGAGACGCTTGAGCTTTGCCTTCTTGGCATTGTAGTCTTTGGCACGGAGCGAGTAATCCTATTAAGACAGTTAGTATTTGTTTCATTTTCGTGACGCTAGAAGCCGTTTGAGACGGATAGCCACATGAAACTGAGATTAACTCACCTTGTGCTTTTCGAGAATACCCCATTTCTCACGGCCCTCGAGCTGGGCACGCTCTTTGTGATTGCGGCGTTGAACCGCATTTCGCATGGAAGACATGCTGGGCGAAAATGATGTTCGGTTCAAAAGCGATCGATAAATGTTATGTCGCTCTTAGCTTGGGTACTGAAATTGGAAAATGTACAAAAAGAGCTGGTGTTGAGCACACTTAGTCGCACGGGTGGTGTGAGTGGTGCATAGAAGAAAGTTGTACGGAAGTTTTTTTTTCTGCCTTCTCCGCCCGACTCGGCTCCTCACGCTCCGCATCAACACACCCTGCACCTCATCCCCAAGCAGATATCTCTGTCTCCCCCGACGTCAATTTACCCTGCAGATATTTCGTCCTTGTAATTCAGCGGTCATCTATAGCTGATTTCCAGCTAATTAAGAATCCATTGGGGCCGATTGTCAATCTCCAACCCGCTCCGACCACTCCGTCCTCTACAACCTACAACAGCTGATCTACATCCATCCGCCTCGATCTAGCTGATCGAGCTCCCCCGTCTCGATTACAACATTTCGTTCACATACATTCGCCTCGATCTAAGTGATTGAGCCCCTCCATCTCAATGGCTACACCATCCGCCTCCCCTGATATTCCATCATCAACTCCAGCACCCCGCAAATACAATCTCCGCAACCCTCTCCCTCTTTCTGCCACCCAAGAACAAGAAGTCAAACAGCTTTACTATAAGCGCGTACGCAGCCACTGCGCGCCCGAAATTAAGGGTTTGTGAACATCCTATTTACCCCTCCTGCATCAATATTCACCTACACGCAAGTCGGCTGCAATTCCCTCAAAAACGCTCAGCGGAGAACTTCATATCCACCAATAAGAGTGAGGCATTGGACTGACATCCCCCATTAGCATTCGCCGAGTGTGCCGTCAACCGTACCATTACTGCAACATGGATCTGTCGCCAGCAGCGACTAGCTATGAACTCATGTATGCTTGCCCACGCCAGTGCAGATGAAGAAGATCGCGCACGTGAAGAGTGGTTCGCAGGATTCGAAGAACGACGCCGTCAAAAGGAAGAGGATCTTGTACGTGTGGAGAAGCGACGAGAAGAGGTCATTCGCATGATGCGTGAAGATGAAGCTCGGCAAAAACAGCAAGCTCAGGGGAGGTAACCAGATTGACTGATATCAGTTTTCTTTCCTGGCATGAAGGAACGAGCATATGCCATCACGCTTCGCCCTTCTTCTGGGATTTTTACTTCAACCACCGATCTCTTCTGTGGTGAGTTGTATATTGTTGTATATTGTTTCGGGCGTCTGGAGATCTCGTCGGTTCTTCATATGTTTGGCTTGCTTCCAATGGTGCCGGGTGTTTTTCTTTGAGCATTAGATGAGTTGATATCGAGTTTTGAAGGTTGCGGAGTACGCAGCATATTCGACTCTAGCTGTATTTGCTTATTTACAAAGGAAAGGACGATTCTTGGTATTCCTTCTTCTCTAACGACGCATCTGCATTCGGCGGGAATTCATCCAGACACCGGACATCGAATACCATCTACCCAACGGAGTAGATGGTGGAGTTGACGTGTCTTCTCTCTCCTCATGGCGCAATGGGTACAAACAGGCGTTTATTTTACGGGGCATTTTTGACCATTTTACTTTTTTGCTTGGTCATCCTGATGGGAATGGATGACACTCGATTTTATGTATAGTATACACAGCCATCTAGTGTTCATCAGCTGCAAAGTAATTTTTCCGTCATCCTTTTAGTATGTAAGATTATTATCTCCGCAGGCATTTTGCGGAAATAATTGATATGCCGACCCCAAAATCCATTACAGTCGTGAAATCAGCCATTGCTGATTGCGAACATAATCCGACCTTTTTCCTGGTCTAAATAGCTCGGAATTGCAATATGGTAAGGAGATCCAGACGCCAAAAACACCGCCCAATCCGTGTTCAGCCATAGCTGAAACAAAAAAGCATAAAAAGATCAAAAAGATCAAAAAGCGCGGACAGGTGGGAAAGAACCTAAGCATCATTCATGTTCTGATCCCCATCGCCCTCGCCAGCTTCACCCATAGCGGTATCCTCGCCAAAGATATCCTCCATCTTCCCATCCTCATCCTCATCCTCATCACCTTCACCCTCTTCTCCTTCCTCGGTCTTGCCAGCACCAGCAGCCGGCTGCGGCGCATCCGGCATGTCCTCCTCTTCCTCGCCTTCACTATCCCACTCATCCTTCATATTCCACCCCATACCCGTAAGACAGAATCTCTCTGGTGGTAGTCGCATGCCAGCCATCATAATGCTCTGATTCGGTGCACCAGTGGCAGGCGCTCCATTCGGTCCAGCCTGGGCAGCCGCATCAAACCCTCTTGAAACACCAGGCAAAGCAATACGGTTCCTCTCAGAAGCAACATCCATCAGAAACTCCTTCGGCAATCCAGTCTGGAACTGATAATGTAACCGCGACGCAATGCTAAGCCGCAATGCTGGCAGCGAGACGCCATTGGCTTCAGCCGAATGGGCATTCTTGCCTGTGTTTCCCGCTGCGTCGCCGACTGCTCCGGCATAGCCTTCTGTAGCCAGATGCACGGCATCTTGGAGAACGTTGGAGGTGTAGCGGTAGGCGAAATCGAGGAGTTGGAGGGGCACGCGGTCTTGGTAGGCTGTTACGCCGAGAGACGCGAGAAGCATGTGGACTAGGCGGACATCGCGTGGGCGACGGGTTTTGCCGCTGTCTTGGAGAGATGTACCGGGTATATGTGGGGGTTGCGCGGTTGAGGTTGTTGGTGCGGCTGCTGCTGGTGCGGCGGCAGGTGCTTGCGAACTTGATGGCGCGGCTGGACCTGGACCTGAGACACCGTTGGTGCCTGATGATTCGGCGGGTGGAGTTAGAGGTTGCGTGTTTGGCGCAGAGCCTTGAGTTTGGCTTGGAGAAGCCATATTTGTAGGGATATGTATTTAGGTAGGGAGGTGTTGGAGCGACGGGATATTGGGTTATGTAGGGTACTTGGTGGAAACGTAAATCCGGGCGACGGACTAGGCAATTTTAAAGGTACGAGCGAGCATCACCGGATTCGTTATCTCGCTATTGCCTTCGGGGTGTAGCGAATGTGAGGGCGACAGGATTGAATAGAGGAATGTATAACGGGGAACTGGTGGAAGTCGAAAAGAGAGCTCAGATGGGACGCTAACCGCATCTGGTAACTGCCTTAGAACCTTGGAAGTATTAATCCAGATGTCCCAAGCTTGCGAAGATGAAATGCTCAAGTCTTCTATTGCTTTTAAATTCAAGAAATTTACTCCAATTAAGTGGTTTTCTCACTATGCGTCATTTCATTTGGGTGTTCTATGAAATTTGTTCTAATGGTCACATTAATCCATCATCAAATCAAGCCCATGCAAAAGCAACGCAAAGCGCTAGGAGTGTACAGGGTCGCAAGTAAACAGTCAAAATCTTCCAAACGCCATGGATGCAATTGACAAACACGAAATCACAGTTTCAGGTTATATATGATAATGCAGAGCTCAACACCAAGTGTCCCTATGCAAAAAGGAATTGATAAGGTGTTGAACAGGGTATCTCTTTACCATCAAGGTAATGTTAATGCGAATGCAGGTTCTAGTTGTAATGAGAACTCGCAAAATGGGCGTTGAGGTCATCGCAAAAAGAAATTACATGCCGATGATCCATCGAAAAACGCAATGGGAGTGTTTTCAGTTCTCTTGTTGAGATTTGGGACGAATTGGGAGAGATATGGTACCAGTAGGTTCATCCAGTTCTGGTAGAGCCTCCTCTTCCTCAGATCCGACATCTAAGTCCTGATCTCCCTCCACAGACTCCACGATCGAGCCTGCCGGGTTGGATAAAGCTGATCCTTGTGAAATATAGCTAGCCTCAAGGTCGGTACCTCCCTCATCGTACTCCTCGCCTTCACTGAGTTCGTCGGCATAATCCTCCTCGTCCGCTTCTTCATCTTCATCTGCCACATCTTCATCATCGAATGGTTCGTCATTTTCTTCGTCTTCATCTTCATCTTCGGTGTCCGTGGCAGAGAAATCGTACAAATCCTGTGGCGCGTCTCGCCAATAAGCGAAGTCGGTGTACTCTTCGCCGCCTGATTGCACCAAAAGGCTGGTAGGTGGGAAAAAATGATCAAGCAGTTCTTGCATGGTCACATAGCTGCTCTTATATTTGTTGAGACTGAGTAGATCGAGTGACACCTCTGCGTTTGAGTTGATCGTAAAGATGCGAGTCGAAGGAATGTTGACCGAACGATAACTCAGGGCATCAGTCAATCGATTGCCAAACCCAGCATAGAAAGGGTTCTCTTTTCCATTGAATAAGTTAAGGATGTCTCGAAGACAAGCCATTTTGAAGACTTCCGGCTTTCGAAGATAGATCTCTCGCCGGAGTGCCGCCATGGTACGATCCGGACTGCAAATCACAGGGCCCTTAGGGAGTCGATATCCATCCTGGCAAATGCCATGGAGATATGCCCGGGTTGTATCAGTCTGCCCGACAGATCGACTAGTCAGATACATGATATTATAGCCATTGTTCACGATGTCGGTGTATAATTTAGCTACTCCGGTGTGAGTCCAATCTCGTCCAATCATATTCAGCACATGCCCCAAAGCATCCGACCTGTAGTCTTGTTAGCTCTGAAGTCTATGGCTTGCATGTCTCATTTCACGTACTTGGTAATTGTTCCGTCAATATCGGAGATCACGATGGGCGTGTTTCCATTCCACAAATACATATATGCTGAGCAGGTTGCTTTGTTGACGCTAAAAGACATGGTGTTACCTCCTGGCTTCAGCTGTAGTGCTTTGAGCTGATCACTCGTCAATCTCAGCGTCTTGGCATAGTTTCGGGTTTCAGCGGCGAACGAGTCTTGTAAAGGAGAATGAGGGGGCGTTGGAAATCCCGGCTGGACATCTGACTTAGTTCGATGATGACGGACCCCCATTGTCGGCTCCAAAGTAGCATGGTCATCACCCTCGCTGTGATAACCCGGGTCTGAAATTGCGTCGTCACTCAGGGCTGTGTTGGGTCGCATAGAGTTGATAACTGCTCTCCGATTTGCCATTTCTTTGGCCTCTTCACTGCTGTATATCCACAGATTCCCATGCTCATCAGCCCCAATGAGCGCACCGATATCATAACTCCCTTCTAACTCTTCAGCTAGAATTCTGCGCGCAAGGACCTCTGCGCGGAGAGCATCTTCCTCGTTACTTTTATAACCGGTCATATCTAGCATGAGATCTCCTGTTTCTGTGACATGTGACTGGATATTGGAACCTCCAAGTTTCTTGGACAGAGACATGGCACGAGACATAGCCTCTTCCACGGACAAAGGAGGCGGGCTACGAGAGCGAGCGCGATCTTCAAGGTCCTCCTCATTAGCTGACCCACTTGGAGAAGACCCCAGATTCTCGGTTTGAGCTCGGGGGAGACTAGTGGATAGCGCATTATCGGAGACGGAGTGTTCGAGTGATGGTTTTCTTGGGGCATTGAACGCATCATGTTGCTGAGGACTTAGGTCCGAGTCGTTGGGAGATCTTGACAAGGGTGTTATAGTACCTAGAGCGCAAAAAACAACATCAGTCCACGTAGTTCCATAGAGGCTCGATTGTTCGACAGAAAACGATTTGCCATACCTAAATCTGTTGTAGCCCGCGACTGCCGGGACGTTATAATCGTCGGCGGAGTTTTCGCACCCTCGGAAACAGCATCTCCGGTTCTCTCCAAGTCTAAATAGTCCGGTTCCTGTAGCGATGACGCAATATCTTCGATCGGTACTGTTGGACTGCTAGCTGGAGAGACTAACGGGGATGTTTGCAAGGATGCGGGGATTTCGTCGGTAGTCTCAAACACAAAGAAAGCTTCGCCGCCCTCTCCGAGCTTCATGGCATAATCTTGTTTGACGCCATTGACGTTGAACTCCACTTTTTTCTCAAATGGACGGAGAAGAGAGAACTTGCCGAAGCGGACATGGAAGGGCGAGCAGGCAAGGGTACCTAGCAAAAAAGTAAAGGGTTAGATCGGTGACCAACATAGTATAAAATCCATAGCACCAGACTTACCATCTTCCTGCTCTATGACAATCACATCAATAGCTCCACTCAAAGTGGCAGGATTGATTGAGTTCCATGTCTTTGACACCGAACCACTAAGACTTCGGACGTACTGCATGTTGCCGGGTTGGGTCAAGTACCCTCGGCCACGATTGTATTGAAAATCTCAAGCTCCAACAATCACAACGAGCGGGATAATTGTGGAAAGCGGGGAGGCGGGACAAGTGAGAGGGGAAGAATAAGGATGAGGGATTACGATCAAGAAATTGGAGGAATCGAAGCCGCCAAACGGCCCATGTGACACTCAGCTGACAAGGAACAGCTGAATCGGCCACCGATAAGGCAAAAAACTGCGGCAGGTGATAAGAATAAACCAAATGCAAGGGTCGAGTACGGATTATACGCGGTAGCTATTTAAAATTATAGGCAAGCTCTCAAATCTTCCCCATCGATCCCGGGCGTCCCCGGATCGATCTGTTGGTGCATCAACATTCAACACCCAACCGTTTCTTAATAAGCGGCCAACATCTTAAATATGAGAAGAAAGTTGCCGAGGTTTAGCGCTGAATGGAGATGATGACATAATGTGCATATTTGAATCTGAATTGAGCTAGTCGCTTTACAGCCTAGTGGCAGATCCTTATCGCGCTAGCCCTAATTAGGGCGACTCTGACTAACAGGGTCACGTGCGTTCCATGTCCCACTTCCATGGGAGAAAGCCGAATCGAGAACAGGGCTCATTCCTATCTCCAACTCGAATCTCTACTCCCCGCTGGCCCGCGTCCATGGGTACTCGACGCTGGGATGTATGAGCCATTTTACTACGCCTTTGATGCCTACCCGACCGTTATTCCCCGAGTCAGGGTACGAGGCGTAATGGCTTTGTTCCTGGCGGGATCCATTCTATGGGCTTTGATTTGGTTCGTTCTGATAAATCCACGGTTACTTGATTTCTTAAAAGGATTATACGTTCTAACATTTCACAAAAGGCTTCTTTACCGTGCGTGGCAGGTCTGTCAGACCCCCAATGACGTTCTGGTCGAAAAGCTAGGTCTTGATATTCCGCCGCCGCCGGAAGTCACCCTGGAAGAGATCACGGCTCGTGAGATACGTTTAGCCTGGAAGCAACCCGATTTTCAAAATTCTATACATAAACATATCATACAAGTCAATAATGTGAAAGGTTTGCACCCTTTATTACAAGCCTTGGGCTGCCCTGAAACACCAATGCTAACTGAGATGATGTATAGTGGGCGAGTCGAAGCGAACAGAAACAGCAGTGGAAATATTGAATCTCATACCAGGAAATATTTACCATATCTGTGTTTTATCTGTTAGTGCAGCAAATTTTCAAACTCCTAGTGCAATTCTCCATGTTCGAACGAAATCTCTTCCTCTTTCCCGAGCCCAGCAAGATACGCCAACCAATGGACCGACAATTCGAGCGTCGGTCCCAAGGTCTACAGCTGGCCTGCCGACCCCATCTGCCCCCGTCATGGCTCGTGAACATAGCGCCGGACAATTACCAAGCAAACGGCCAGCAGCGGGCCGCAAATTGTCGCCTGCAGCTGGAATGGCAGATTTTGCGCAAGGGAACTCAGAAGAATCACACAGGGGCCCCTCCAAGAATGATCGTGACGGAAGCTTGGAAGAACTTGCTGATCGACTGAAGATGCTACAACAAGAAAACGAAAACTTAGAAAAACAAATCAATGAGGAAGATGACGAGCACGCCGGACTTCTCAAGGAATTGGAGAAGCAGCGTGACGAGTTGAAGAAACGTGTCAAGGAGAAGGATGAAGTTAGCGGAGATCTGAAGAAGCATGTCTCGAAGCTAGAGAGCGTGAATCGATCTGTTCAGGGAGAAAAGTCCAAACGGATGAGACTTCTTCAACAAAAGGAGGCGGAGCGCAAGAAGCGCAAGAACGATATCATCCGGTGGCAAGAGAAAATTACACGGATGACTTCTGATGCTGCGCAAGCCAAGGAAGACAAGTCCCGATTGAAGGAAGAAGGAGAGACTCGGGCTGAAGAAATTCGAGCCAAGGTTGCACAGGAGCAGTCCGAAATGAAAACCATCGATGATGAAATTCAGGACAAAGGAGGCCGGATCAAGAAGCTCGAAGAAGAGCGACAAGGAGTTTCGGGCGGTGATACTGAAGATGGGAACGAATTGGATCAGATTGATAACGAGCGGGCTCGCCAATGGGAGCTGAAGTTGGGTCAGCTCCATGCTCGCTATGCTACCCTCGTCAATCTCCATGCACAGGCCCAACAGCAGTATCAAGAGGCCCAAGAGCGCCTCAAATGGCTGACATCTCAACGCCCTGGTAGTTCAGGTCCATTTGCTTTACCCAATCTCGACCTGGATCTGGCGAACTCTGGCACCATCCGACCTCGTCGACACCGTAGCTCTTTGGCGAGCAATGTCTCCTCGCCAGTCAACTACCCCGGTATCGAATCGAATTTCCCTAGCGGGCTCAACTATCAACCGTCTTCTAATTCACCTACATTCGCGCAAAGTTCTACGTTCTTCAATATTAATAACGGGATGACTATCCCCGGCCTCGCCGACCCGCCGGAGATCATGCGTTCTGACGCAGAAGCCTCATTTAGCAATCCGCAAATGAGCCCCCGGGCTGATGCATTGCTACCCTCGGACTTGCTTGGAGATGAAGAGTCGCCAGAGTTCCCGCGGCCTGTAGGTCGCGCTAGGTTTTCGACTATGGGCTCATCAAACGGTCCATTGGATAATTTTGGTCATGGCCCTGCCTCGCCTGTCTCTTCTGGCAGCAGGCCTGGTAGCATCTTTGCTAGTCCGCTGGAAAGTCATCATCGGCAAGACTCAGGCTCCCAGCCTGGACAACTATCTGCTGAGGAAGCCCCCAAGAGCGCCTCTCGGAGACTTTCTGGGATTTTCGGCTTCCATCGACCTCGTGGAAAAACTCTAGCCGATGAACCTCCCATGCTTGGTACTTTGAAAGCAGGCCAGAGCCAATCTTTCCCGCGCAATGTTGATGAGCTTGATCCGATCGGATCTCGACGTCGCAGACTTAGCTACACAGGCAACTGGGCAAATGCAATGTCCTTATTCCCTCGAAGCAATACGACCGGGGTCACGACAGATAGTTCCTCCGATCATGCGCCTTCTCGAAGGGCCGCTCTGTCGAATATCTTCTCGTCCAGCAAGTTTGGGTTTGGCGGTGCTGGAAACCGTGGAAACTCCGATCTTAGCACCGGGTACAATCAATTTAGTCCACGCCATGACCCCATTGATCCGTCGTCTCTCCTTGGCAGTGTTCGACGTGGCTCTTTGTCGCCAAGACCTTCATCCACATTCTCGTTCGACAACCAGAACCAACTACCCCATCCGTCCACCGACAATCGTCATTTTGGGTGGCCGTCAGCCGATCAAATGGGACATCGCAACAGCCCTCTAGGCTTGGACTGGACATCGCCGTCAACGTGGTCAAGAGCACCTTCTCGCCGTCCCTCGATTCAATATGGGTCATCTGGTCATCTCCCTTTAGGTCTGACCGGTGAACCGGATTTCGTCGAGAACACTTACATCGATCGTCACCACAGACCACTACAGGCGCCGATTGGCACTCGTCCATCGTCGTCTCATCGGCCTCTCACCCCGAAGCTCAACCCTGCTGCTCCATCTTTCCGTGGGATCTTTGCAAGCAAGAGATCTGAGAGAGACAAAGACAGGGACTCAGACGTCCCATTTGATCTTCATGTCGATGATGGGTCTCCCTCTGAACCCCGCACTTCTCGCGACTCTCGCTCCCTTTCCCACTTCACTGGGGAGTCGTACGAGTCCCTGGAACGCATGCCGTCCGGTACTTCTGTAGACAATGCTTCCAAGGAATCGTTCATTCGCAAGATCACTCGCAAAGGCAGCTCAAGCAAGTTCAGCTCTTGGAAGGACCGCTCTGGCTTCTTTTCGAAGAAGGGTGATTCTGCACCAGGTGACATCGATGAGGATACAGCTAGCGAGGCACAATTAGCGAAAAGCATTGACAGCACCGTCTCTAGCGCCCCATCTCGTAGTAGCCTCGGGTTCTTCTCCCGCAAGGCGCGCAAGTCGGACAAGGCGAGCGAGACCAGCGAACGCGCTAGTGAGACTGGCGACGAGGAGATTCAGGAGATTCCAGAGATCCCAGAAAATCCTGTGTCATAATCTACTGTGGTTTCGTTCCTTCATTGTTTCCTTTTCTTAGTTCTTGAAAGTCATATACACCTCAACGGCCTCGGTTGACCCGGGATAAACTAGAGCCAAAGCGACCATCTCCTCTTTAATTCAATTTATGAGTACATACTTGTTACAAAAAAAATCTTCCCGGTCCTAAAAATTCTTACAGATATAATATTGAATCTACTTAGTCGTAGTCTTCAAGTGCGGAAAACAATAAGAAATATTAGACGCCATTCCTAATATGGATATACGCTAGTCCTAAAGTGGATCGTGACCATTGCCCTCCACATACCCACGGTAGGCGCGAATGCACAAGTTCTCTACTGACACTACTGCATGTCATTTGCACACAGGCAAAAATGGCGAATTCAAAGTATGAAAATGAACCTACCCGCCAAGTTTCCAGCATTATATTAACAATTTTTGCCAGATTTGAATATGTCAAGGACTTCGAGCAGCCAGATCTCTTGCTGCCCAATACTTGGATTGTGGTTCGAATCGACGGAAGAGGATTTCACAAGTAAGCCTCCTCTACTCCACGCACAAGAAGCAGAACCTTGGAATGTATCGATCATTTGGGACTTGTAATTGATTGCATCATTTACTGCAACGCTTTCTTTGCCAAGCCCCGCGGAACATTGAAATGTGCCGGCTACATATTTTTTATATGTACTTGCAGCCTAGCTTTGATCATCATGTCTAATTATTCGTCAGACTCTCGGATCACTACGCCTTTGAAAAGCCTAATGACCGCCGGGCACTGGATCTCATGAATGCAGCAGCGGCTGAGGTCATGAAGGATCTTCCAGATCTATGCATTGCCTATGGCGTCAGCGATGAGTTCAGGTATGTTTCGAATTAACTTCTTCAATGTCCCTTTCCGGGAACATGGAGGTCGTTTACTAATATGTGTAGCTTTGTCTTCCATCCAAATTCCCAGCTCTTTGAGCGTCGAAGCGCGTAAGTCTATGGTTTATCAATGTGACGAGATTAATAAGACATGGCATTAATGAAATCAATCATAGGAAACTGGTAACGACTATTGTTTCGACATTCACAGCATACTATATCTATTTGTGGTCGTCTTATTTCCCTTCAAGTCCACTCAAGCCGCCTTATCTCCCCTCATTTGATGGGCGCGCAGTCATCTACCCTTCATCGCGAATTCTGCGTGATTACATGAGCTGGCGACAGGTCGATTGTATGTTTCTCTTGACTTCCAAGCTAGTCTTGAAATTATCTGCATTGAATTGTCAAGAAAATGCTAATTCGTGCACTAGGTCACATCAATAACCTCTACAACACTACATTCTGGACGATGGTCCTGCAAGGAAAAATGAGTAATACCGATGCAGAGCAGGAGTTGAAAGTATGTCTTTTTCCCCCTGTATCTTGGAAGCGAGGCAGGATGATTCGCTAATAATACCAGGGTACCGTGTCTTCCGACAAGAATGAGATTCTCTTTAAGCGATTCGGCATGAACTACAATAATGAAGAGGAGATTTATAAGAAAGGCAGTGTGCTTTATCGTCAGGTAAGACAAGACAAGACCATTCAATTCGCTTCGCTTGATATTCTACGAGCTCAGTATCTAATGCCTATATACCTTAGTATGAACTTCAAGATCCAAAGCCTTCTTCCGTATCGGTGGAAGATGAGACTTCTGTCCCAGAGTCGCAACAGTCAAGATCACAGCAGGATAAGATGAAGAAGCTACGCCGAAAGGCAAAGGTTGTCATTGACCATGTTGATATCATTAAGGATGAGTTTTGGGCACGCAGACCGTGGATTATTTCTGGGTCTGCGGGCAAGTTGCCCGTGCAGACTTGATTTATGAGGATGAGAACCTGGAAAAAGGATGAAGATAAAAAGAAAATAAAAGTACAACAAATGTCTATTCTGACTATATATGTGGTGATCTCCAAACAAAAGGGTATCTTGATCGCGTGTCAACGCGTATGCAAAGTCTATACATCGCTTCTATCCGCTGGCACTATTGCCGATAGCGTCCCGGTTATACAGTGCTCTTGGACTTCTTGTCTTTCTTGTCCTTTTTCTCTTTTTTAGACTTGGAGTCTGCTTTCTCAGCACCGTCACTCTCTTTAGTAGCCTTCTTGCTCGATTTCTTTTCTTTCTTCTCCTTCTTTTCCTTTTTCCGATCAGAACTTTCGGAACTATCCACATCCCCTTCTTGTTCAGTCGACATAGGCGAAGGATAATTCTGTTCCTCAGATCTCTTCAACTTCTCCATCAACTTCTTCTCCTTCTTCTCTTTTTTCTCCTTCCGCCTTAACCGACGCTCCTCCTTACTCTCTTTCTTCTCCTCACTCGACGAATCGCTCGAACCGCTTCCCTTCCCACTCCCCTTCACCCTCTTCTCCTCCTTCCGCAAAGCTTTAGCCTTCTTCCTCGCCTCTTTCTCCTCGTCATCATCATCCCCACGCTTCCTCTTAGACTTTGAAGAACTTGAACTCGAACTCTTGGATTTGCTCTTCTCTTTCTCTTTCTCTGCCTCCTTCTTCTTCACATCCATACCATCAAGCGTCCCCTTTAGACCCTCCCCCCGCACGAAAAACCGATACAATTCACTCGTAAGTGCATTCCCAGTCGACTCGACAACTGTCTCTTGACCAAACCCCTTCAACGCATCTTCAAATCCGCGCAACCACCACTGATTTGTCGCAGAGTCTTTGGTGACATTCTTGCCCACGCCGTGATTGTTTTGTTTGCGCGCGACGAGGATAGGTTTTGTTAGGCCTAGGCCGGCGTGGGGTCCTGGCCGGGAGTTTTTGTTCAGTGGATTGCCGTGGCCGGCCCAGCCGTGGCGCATTAGGTAGGCTGCTGCGTCCATTTTTTGTATATATATTGTTTGGTTTGGTTTGTTTGGGTTGGGTGTGGGTGGTTTATGGTGTATGGGTTGGGGTGGGTTGGTTTGGTTGAGATAGATAGGTAGTAGGTAGGGTTTGGTGGTGACCGGGCTAGGTGTGCGGTCGAATTGTGAGATGTAGAATTTATATCATGGGTATGTTTGAACGAATGGAGGGTATTGGTTTGTAGAGTCAAAGCCCGGGTGTGTTTGTAGGCCCTGTAGAGAAAAGTCTAGGGATTGAGATGAGAAAAAAATGGTTCCTGATAAGACCGATAAGTGGTGTGGGCCATTGGAACATGTCACGTGATTTTATATCAACTATAGGCCTTAAATTGTCTACATACGTCTAGCTTTGATATGCATTTCTCAGAACTTTTTGGATAAATTAATTTCATGGAATACTAGTACGTATATTGAGATGGAAATGGTAGCCTAGACGCATGAACTCACTCCTTTACTGAAGACAACAATCCAGTTCCAAGATCCCTCTGCCCCTATTAAAGCTTATTTCAATATTTGTACAATGTAAATAAGCGCACAAAATGAACCTTTGAATTACTAAAATAGATACCTAGTACTTACTACTCGTGAATGACCAAATTAACAGTTGAAGGGAAGCGATTACATTGAAATCTATTTCGGCCGATCGTCACCCGACGCTACACAGCAGACTAACCGCCAGCCCGAGCTGCCTAAGCTGCCTACTGCGTTGTCCGCAGTTTTTAGTACGGCCGGAATCTATCCTTCTGTTTCCTCTCTTTTGGGCGTGAAGATTTGAATCCGGTTTGGGACTGGTATTCTCCGCCATTGGGTTTCCATGCTCGTACATATCCGTCTTCGCCGCAGGTGAAGACAGATTGGGTCTGAAGTGGAGTGAATTAGCGTCAAAAAAAAGGCATTGGAGAGAGGGGGAAATTGGGGGATGGCTTGCTGGATTGGAGTGATTGTATTGTAGTATACATATACAAATACATACCTTGTCATCCAGATATACGGAACGCACGACTTCTTCCCCGTGGCCACCTGGTAAGCGCCAGAGATTATCCTGGTCGAATTGCCAGTTTGGACCGGAAATCAGCGGTACAAGATCGAGTCGCTTGTCACTAGAACAAAGACAGATAGATATATGAGCAACATGACGAAGACGAGACACAACAAAGCACAACACAACACAACACAACACAACACAACACGGTCTTGTACAAGACAGGACGAGACAGGACACAATTACAAAGATCAGCATTGACTTCACTTACAACTTATTCCCAGCCGCAATAAAAGGTACCTGTGCGCCCATGCAAAGCTGCACAACATACTCGCAGCCTAGCGGCTCACGCAAATCATTGAATTCCACAATCTCAGGCTCGGATTCATGCTCTGCAGAATCGGGATTCGTAACCGGGTGCACGGAGAAATGCTCATCGTGACTGAGTGCGTAGATGGCACTGTCAGATAGGAATCCAGCATGATGTACGGAGCCGTGATTGATTACTTGGACTAGCGCGTCGTCTTCGTCGGTTATCGTTGTGTCGTATACGTTCACGAGACCATCTGTGCTGCCGGAGAGTAAGATGTTATGTTGAGTCGGGTGATATTGAAGCTGTGCCACGGGTGGATGTGAGATTAGTTTTGATTGATATGGTATTTATTACAGGTGAGATTGAGACTGTCAAGGTTGGTGGTTTTTTTATGGATGAATGGGTAGGGATCCATATCCATATCCATAAAGATACAAATGTAGGTGGTAGCTAGGGTTTATAGCTTGGATGCATACTGCTTACCTCTGTGATGTCGTCATTGTGGCTCTCCACGTATTGAAGACGGGGCGCGTTTGCTGATCTGATATCCCTGCAGAATAGTTAGATGTTGTTCTGTGCTTTTGTAGCTATTCTATTCTATTAGATTGATCATCATACCAGAGAGCAACGACTGCTTGGGACGATACAAGCTCTGTACCCGTGACAATAGTGTTGGTGTGAGGGTTGCAGGCAACAGAAAGAACAGGGAGATTTTTGTCTAAATAGATTGATCAGCAAAGCCCTAGTCATCCTTGCATGATTATGCAAAAACTGCCCGATACCCGTCGAGCTGATCCCGGAACCTGCAACTAGGATCTGACCTGTAGTTGACAGATCGGAAAATAGTCCCAGATGAATCACTCGATCAAAGGCTCCAACAAGCAAAAAAGGAAATAACAAAGAAAGAAAAGACTTAATATTCGTTAGGTCATCGTTTCGATTTGTACTTACTTGTCTCTATTTCCAAAACCATACTTCCAGCACGAATATCCCACAACTTCGCCTTTCCGTCTCGTCCACCGGTAGTGACTAACTGTGAGTCACTGGTAGAATAGCTGCGCAAACAGGTAACGCCTTCATTGTGTGCTTTTGGTGAAATGACCGATGTACCCAGATCAAGATTCACATCGAAGATACGTAGTGAATCATCGGATGAGATAGCGGCCAGGGCACCAGGTGCACATGGTGCAATGGAGTAAATGTAATTGTCCTCTGGGAGCGACAATGTCGTGGCGCTAACCTGTTGGAGTTCGTACATGACGACTCTCTCTCTCTCTCTCTCTCTCTCTCTCTGCCTGACTGTAACTGTAACTCTAACTTTCACTCCGAGTTTGAGTCTGGTCCGATCTGACTCTGGTACCCGTAGATATGATCCTGGGTCGGGTTAGATCAACCGGGTAGAAGTAGATCTGAAGCAGGATTCCTTGTGGCTGATGAGGCGCGGGGAATGGCGGGCTCCTGCTGTGTGTTTTGGCTTTTGGGGGGGTTTTTTCTCTTTTTCTTCCTTTTGTGGATATTTCTGGTTAGTGGTATTTGTATTTGTTTGCTGGTGGCTACTGGGTGATTTGGATGATTTGGTTGGTGTGATCAGATTTTTGTGTATACTGAGGTTTTGGCCAAGAAAAAATCCTTATTTGCGTGGGGCAGACACACCGCTGTCTAGTACGGGGTATATTGGGGATTACTATGGATGCATGAACAACAGCATCATGATCGTTATGATTTGGGAAGATAATGTCATGCTCCTTTTCAAGTAGAGTTGAACTAGATTGAAGTGATTAAAAATTAAAATTCCATGGTCTGATCTAGGCTTGATACTTATCCTTCACCTAGTACTTAACATGGATAACTGGATGCGCAACGGAAGCATTCCAGGGCTATCAGCATAATAGAATTCTCCTGGCCTTGTCATTCAAGGTTAAATTAAGGAAAATAAAATAAAACAAAAAAGACACTATTAGTTCTAAGGTTCATATGTAAGATAATCAGATCATCCTCATTCAGAGGTACGTCTGGAGCAGTACGCTCTTAATTAAAGATTAGAATTTCAAATCCTAAAATCGGAGGAAACATACGTATGAAATCTAATTTAATTTTAAATCTAAATCTAAATTTTAAATCAAATACTAGAAATATAAACCGACCAATCCAGGCCAAATAGAAAATAGTATGTACAGCAGATGGCTACTTTATCCGACGGATCGGCGGAGTCACACATCCATCCTGAGACTTGGAGAGAAGCGGGGAAGATACTCAGCTGTCCATGTCCATGTCCATGTCCATGGATCGGTACTTAATCCCTGTAAGGAGAGGCAGCTGGGGGCTGAAGGCTGAATGAATGCTGGAGAGCAGGGAATCCGCCCCGTGGAACGAACAAAGAGGGGTTCAAGTTTGGCGAGATCCACTCATCACAGTTGAACCTGGCCTGGTGTGATGAGATGAAGTTATGGATCGAATGAAATCAAATCAAATCGTTAAAGATGCCGCTTTGGGGTAGGAAATGGGTGGAGACCGACTCGACTCGACTCCATTGACGATCTCGCTACCGAAGTTCATTATACGGAATGTAGTCGCTACCTTTACTATAGATATATTATACTTAATTATGGAAACGAGAGATTATTCCGAAAAACGGAATTTATTTCTTTTAAAAAAAAATTTAGAATCCGAGCGCGAATTCTTGTCTATAATTCTTTATTTCTTAATTCCATTTTTTTCGGTTTTGGCAGCGGCTGATCCAGTCTCTCGGATGTATCAACAGGGGATGTAGGGATTACATACAAATATGACGGAACAAAGAGAAAAGCAGAAGAAAGAAAGTGATAGGTAGAATGACGAGTGTCCGTATTCAGGCAAGGGTAGGCGGGAGGCAAATTGAGACAGGATCTCTTTGACTTTGTCCCAAGTAGTACTAGGCTCTGGAGGTACTGTAGAGTAGCCTCGTCCCAGCAAGCTGGAAACTTACTGTACGGATCCATTCATGGTTCAGGATTTCCGCAGGGGTATGGCCGGGCGCCTAGTTAGATTAATTTTAATTGATTAAATGGGTTTTGGGATTTAATTTGTGTCGCAATCCACAGACCCGAGAGTGTGGGTTGAATACAGGGTTTGTTCGGCTGCACGAAATGAATTGGGGTTGGTGGCTGTGTAGCTTTTTGGCTGTCGAGGCCCTGTAGAGGATCTGAGGTGCGTCAACTCTAGTCAATCTCCCCGAATCATTAGCGGATGGACCCGACACCGACTTGATCCGGGATAGAGTTGGGGGCGGATACTGGTTACCAGGATCGAGGGAAGTTTTGTTCAAACCATCCAGTCCCTTGGGTTTGAGAAGAGCGGTCTGTGCTTGTCTGTGTCTGTGTGGGTTGTACTTCCCCCCGATACACGACAGGACCCAAAAGTAGGAATGTAGGCTCCAGACGGTCCGCGCTCCCGCCCGGAGACTGTGGGTCTGCGACTTGGGTCGATCATTGAAGTTTTGAGAATACCGTAGAGAACAGGATTGCAGGAGAGGAAGAAAGAAGAAAAGTGGTTTAAACTCCTCCGTATCGGGCTTAATGCTGATGAGTTGGATCGAATCCAGGGCTTTGGATACCCATGTTCATTGGCCTTCACCCTGCAGTCGAATGATCAGCCCGGTGGAGCCTGCGATCAGGCGCGAGAGTACCTGGGTACTGACTAGTAAAGACTGGTATTGAAGCCCTGGAGAGGTACTTTACTGTATTATAGTATAGAGGATAGAGAAGAAGAGGACTCGTTAAACAATAGAGGGAAAGGGTGGGGAGGATATACTTAGTACACAGTGGACTCTATAGTTTGGCCCGAAATACAAAATACTGGCACACACTAACTTGGATTCTTTATTTCTCTTTTATTTCTCTTTTGCCCCTAAACCCGTATTCCTGGGCTTATTTTCCTTTCTTCTCTCTCTCGCTTCTTCATCCTCCCTCTCTCTGTCCCTGTCTCTAATCCTCCCCCCATCCTCCTCTCTTCCAGCCCCACTACTACCCGACTCCAAGGACTCCGAGCTCCAACCCTGCTCATCAATAACACACTTTTTCTTTCTGACAATCTCGTGGCATGAAGGGCTGGTCATTATACGGTGCATAAGGGTTCGCTTGATGCGCAACTTTTCCCCTGCACCTTCAAGTTCAAGTTCAAGTTCAAGTTCGACTTCGATATTTGGTGTCCCTCTCATCTCCAGCCAATCTTTTTCCTCCTGATATTCGCTCGTTTCCCGTCGGTTCAATTTCGTCCAAGCTCGCCCGCAGCCACAACCCTGAAACCCTTACTTCTGAGCTTCGAGCTCCTACAATCCTCCAATCCGCATTTCACCTGCATCAAGTGGCTGGGAAAACTGCGTGACCAATCGATCATAGATCGTGAAAAAACTGGGAACTGGATCATCATCACCTCTTCCCCCCCCCCTGTGCGACCAACTTGTACCAACCACCCCCCTTCCCTACTCCTCTCCCCGACCGTCGCGTCAGTGACCCGCCCACCAAAACTCAAACTCAAATCAACATGCCGTTCGACGACGACCGTTTAAGGCATTTGCCTCCTATGATCTCTTCTCCCCCGCCTCCGAAAAGATACAAGTCCGATACCCCGGCTAGTGAGAGTGGTCGCTCGAGGTACTACTCTCATTCTCAGTCGGTTCCGTCAAGCGAACGGGCGCGATCACGACAAACGTCTACCGCTATGGATATTTATACCATTACCGATCGAGATCCGTCTGAACGAGATCGGGACCCCCGTCGCACTGGAAGATTTACCAGCAATGGCTCGGTCGCATCACAAGCATCGCAAATATCACATATCTCTCGGTCTCCGCCCGTTATCATCAACAATCGCAAGTATGTTACTTCACATCCTCCGTGTTAAAGAGAAAAACGCAATTGAGCTAACCATCTGTTTGTGTTACTAGAATTCCTGAAAAATACCCACCCATCTCAGAAAACGGTCGACTATATCACGGCTATCACAAGGGCATGTACCTTCTCCCCTGCGATGAGGAGGAACAAGATCGTCTAGACATTTTCCATAAGTTGATGACCGTTGCTCGAGCCTCCGACGGTCTAATCTACGCCCCAACTCCAGCCAACTCCCGAATCCTAGATCTAGGCTGCGGAACAGGCATCTGGTGCATCGAAGTCGCAAACAAATACCCAGATTCCTACGTCGTCGGCACAGACCTAGCAACAATGCAACCTGCCAATAAACCTAAAAACGTCGACTTCCACGCCCCTTTCGACTTCGAAGGTCCCTGGGCAATGGGCGAAGATTCCTGGGATCTAATCCACCTCCAAATGGGCTCAGGGTCCGTTCAAAGTTGGGCAAGCCTATATAAACGCATATTCGAACACCTCCGACCAGGCGCCTGGTTCGAACAGGTAGAAATCGACTTCGAACCTCGCTGCGATGATCGTTCGCTTTCCGGTCTAGCGTTACGGCACTGGTACTCTGCGCTTAAACATGCTACTGAGTCGAGAAATCGTCCTGTCTCTCATAGCTCGAGAGAGGCTGTGAGGAATCTACAGGAAGCTGGCTTTACGGAGATTGACCATCAGATGGTTGGACTTCCGTTGAATCCGTGGCATACGGATGAACATGAACGGAAGGTGGCGAGTTGGTATAATCTTGCTATATCGGAGAGTATTGAGCCGTTGAGTTTGGCGGCTTTTAGTCGTGCTTATGGGTGGCCTATTGAGAAGATTCAGCGGATGGCAACGGATGTCAAGTCGGAGGCTTTTAACAAGGATATACATTGTTATAATATCCTGCATATTTATCAGGCGCGCAAGCCGCTTACCAAGTAAGCTTGGATATTGATGTACCCTGGTGGTACTTGAGCGTTCTTGCATCCTTTCTTTTCTTAGGGGAAGTTAGGCTAATCAATCAGGTCCGCTTTTGATTGATTCATTACTTTGAATTGGGCTGTTTGGTGCTTTTGGTGCTTAATACAATTCCTTGCTCATTTCGCATCTTACGAATACATGCTCCTCGTGATACGCGGTCTCTGGCAGTGCAATCAACACTAGTCATGGGACCATGACCGTCAACTCCATTCTTCATCTCGTCTCAGAGTTACCAACAAGATAACCAGGAGGTTGTCTAAGGTTATACGTTATACTCAACTGGTCGAGATTCATGTCCTTGTTCAATCCATACATGTACCCGGTTTAATCCTGGGAATAGGCCAGGCCAGGACAGGACAGGACATGAAAAAAAGATATCATATCATGACTTGCTTTCTGGATTATTTTCTTTTCACTGTGCTTTTAGCATTACGGCGCGGCGTTAGGCTTGTTTGTTTCTTTCGGCTTGTGGTATATACCCAGGGTTGTCTCTTAGCTCAAGTTCTGTGGTTGTGTTTGCTAGCCAGATGACTTGCCATTGCCATTCTTCTAACAGGTTTTCTACCTACTTACTTTTTCTTCTTGTCTTGTTCGATACCTTTTTGCGCTAGATAGCATATGCTATATGTATATTTGAATCTTGAACTGTTTATCTGGATATTGCCTTCTAAAATACGTATATAGGACTGATATTAAGTTCTCGTCATCGTTCAACCTTCGATTCAATGGTCTGATTGGTATTCATATAGTAAAGGTACTGTTGTAGAAAAAGTGCTCTAGAGCTTGAACTGTGAAGAATAAATGTAATATGCCACCCGCCTGTACAGGTAGCCCAGTCTTATAAACCAATTCCTCCTATAATGCCTTAACATTTCCAACGCCACTCATGCAAAAGAAAGAAAAAGAAACACAAACAAACAGGGTGGAAAATCAGCGCCTTCGATTCCTCCCAGACCCCCTGGACCCATTAGCCCTAATATCCTCCGGCTCAGCCTGAGTCCCACCCGCAGGCGTCCGCCTCCTCATAGTCCCAGGCCCAACAGCAACAATATCCTCCCCACTCTCGCTATCCTCTATATCCAACAAAACCGGAACAGGAAAAGCATCATGATCAACATCTATCTCCTTAACCCGATCAACAGTAACAGTATCGGGCTCCTCATCCTCCAAATCAAGTCTGCGCTGATGAACCTGCTCAGCAGGATGAACATCAAACTCATCTTCCCGCTCAACATACTCCACGTTCTCCTCTACTTCTCCGAAATCAGGCGCAAGAGCAGACCATTTCTGTGGACTGATAATCCCCCATGTATATATGCATCCGGACTCAAGGCCACAGGCTACGACCATTGGTCGGGCAGGATGCCACTCCACAACGCCGAGTTCTTCGCGTGGACCTTCGAGGATTTTTACCAATGAGCCGTGGGATCGTTCCCAGACGTAAATGTCTGGATTCATGTATGTGGTTGCTGTTACGAATTCTCCTGTTGAGGAAAATGTAACATGGTTCCAACTTAGTCTGTTAACGACATCTTGGAATTTATGTTCCACGTGTAGTTTTATTGAGGAGGCATCGAGATCAATGCCGAGTTGTGATAGATCGGGCATTATGACGGTGCGAATTACTCGATCTGAACTGTTGACTAGTAGGTCGCGCCCGTTCGAGGCGAGGCGGAGAAGTATCACTACGCCGTTGCAGAGACGCATGGAGTGGATTGTAGTGCAGGTTTCTGTTTCGATTATGTTTATCCACCCTTTGGAGGTTCCGGATATTATGTGGTTGCCGAATGCTGTGAAGATTGTTACGCAGGTTGAGTGCTTTGCGTCTTGCGCGGCTTGTTTGGCTATGAGGGCTGGGTCGGTCTCTTCGCTTGGGGGACGGAGGGGGGCGGAGGGAAGGATTCGTTTTATAGGTTTTTTGTTGGAGACGTCTACTAGGACGGGTTGGTCTTCGAATAGGGAGGCGACGAAGAGGAGACTGGGTTTGTTTGTTAGTCATTTGGTTTTTTGGGTTTTGGGGGGTGAGTAGGATGGAATATATGGGTGGACGGACTGATTAAATGGATGGAGTTCGGCGATGTAGACTGGGGCTTCGAAGCGGACTGTTCGGAGACGGGAGCCGTCATCTAGGTCCCAGAGGATACATTTCCAGTCTTGGGAGGAGGTGAGGAGGTAGCGACCGCATCGTGACCAGCTGATTTCAATTGTTAGTTTCGTTGCGGTCACGTTTGTAGGGTTGTGTTGTTTACCTGATTGATTGGATTTGACGAGTGTGACCCTGTAACTTGCGCGCGACGCCATTGGTTTCGATATCGAAGATCACGACTGTTCCGTCGACCTGTAGAATATCAATTATATCAGTATACGCTTGTTCATGCGCATGGGCATGGTGATAACGAACACGTCCTGATGCGAGGTAGTCGCCTGTATGATTGAATTTGAGACAGGCAGCATGGCCACTCCCTATAATAGCATTTAGCGGTTGTTCTTGACTGAGGTATACTTTGTGGTGGGCGTACTCAGTTTCTCAGTCAGGGTATCTGGGTAGTCCTGCGCCAGGATAAATGGATCAATGAGTGAGAGATTCATTGCGGGGACGGGTGTTCGGAGATGTTTGATGGATTGTATTCCCAGCCTGCCAGTTGTGGGACGGCCGGGATGTAGCAAGACTCATTCAACATGCGCTGATTGATCGAATCTAGGGTCAGGGACCTTGATATTTCAAGCGCAAGCAGTGTTGAATGTTAGAGGTAACGATTAATTCATCCAAGGTTGTGCCTGAGCTTTTTGATCTGCCGCCGCAGAAGGAATTGTGGAGGGCGGTGAACCCGATATGGGTCCACATTTTATTGGTCCGGTCTGGAGTATAAAGTTGAGCTTGAAAGAATGTTGGAGTTAAGTTAGCTCGATGATGTGATATTAATATTCATAATTGTCTATATTGTATGGCTCATTGCAAGGCATCGATTTTTGTGGGAATGAAGCACTTTGGAAATTAAGTGCTTAGGATTTCTGATAGTATGTTCTTGAAACAGTAGTATGGTTTGATATATATTTTGGATAAAAGCTTTGGATGTACAAGCGGAATCAACGTTGAAAATTGAAATCAAACTGAAAAATGCCCACCACATAGTAAATATTTATGAAAATCTCTATAGAATATATAGTCATGTAGCTAAGAGCATATTTTGCTGTTAGACTATTATAACAACTTGAATGGATTAGTGGTGAATGGATCTATCTGATTTGCTTAGAGATTGGATGACTTCAGAGAATTAATCTCAATTTGTTTGGGTGTGTCCAGAGTATTTCAAAAATTGGACCTGGCGAAGTCAAGCGCTAAGTTAAATTAGGCATTCAGCTCTTCAATTCCCTCAACCCAGCTTGAAATGAATTGACACTTCAGACCCATGCAAGTCTATAGTTAGTTAACTAACTAGGTGAAGGCAGATACCTATGCCTGAGGCACCAGATCTCTCCATTTCTGCCAAGTTTCGGGAAAGGATACCGCCTTCCCATTCCGGTAACAGTCACCCAGCACCCGGCGCGCTAAGTGAGTCCAGGGAAAACTCGAGCCCATCAGCGGGTGAGGCAACCTTCACCACCTCCTTACAACCTCCCCCCGACGCAACCTCCATCACCTCACCATCCAAGAATATCGCGTTCCACATCGCGATATCTCTTCAGGCGAACCTCGTTACGCGACCTCTAGCGACATCGCCCCCTTTCCTCTCCTTTTCACGGCTTCGTGACTTCCGGAAATCCCAGGTCGCCGGCGCCCTCGTGGCAAGGGCAAAGGCCGCAGCCGGCCAGCTACTTTCGCATCACCTTCGTTTCATCATCGCCTTCTGTGAACTTGACTTTCGGGCATCCTTGCCAGTCTGTCTTTTCAGCCTTTGCGCGTTAACCCAGCTCAGATCTCTCGTTTCTTGCTAGATCCGCGCTCAGCCTAGCTCACCGATCACGAATTTCGACGACCTTTTCGCATCCATCACCGCAACCATGTCGAACGTTTTCTTCCCCTACTCCAAGGCGCCTTTGCGCACCGTGAAGGAGATTCAGTTCGGTCTTTTTTCGCCGGAGGAAATAAAGCGCATGAGTGTGGTTCACGTTGAATACCCGGAGACAATGGTATTGCCTAATCTATCACCTTTCATCTCACCAGCCACTTCTCTGGTGCCTCTAAAGCAACTATTCTAACGTTAATGGCAAATAATAGGATGAACGTCAACGACCCCGAACAAAAGGTGTTAATGACCCGCGGTTGGGTACGATCGACCGCCAGTACAACTGCGAGACTTGCGAGGAAGGCCCAAAGGAGTGTCCTGGACACTTCGGCCATATTGAACTCGCTTCTCCAGTCTTCCACATTGGTTCGTAATGCCAAAAAATTTGCTGGCAATTTACGTTTCTTGCTGACACTCTCTTCACCGTTTAGGTTTCTTGACTAAAATCAAGAAGCTTTTGGAGACAGTGTGCCACAACTGTGGAAAGATCAAAGCCAACACGGTTAGTCATCCCTCGTGGGATGGCAAATCTTGCATGGCATTGTTTTTTGCTGACAATTTTCACAGAGCGATTCCAAGTTTTTGGAAGCCTTACGCATGCGAGACCCCAAGCGACGTTTCGACCACATCTGGCGACTTTCGAAGGATGTATTAATCTGCGAGGCCGATCCATCACCAGATGATGAGGATTTTCAAAAAGAGGGCTCGGAGAAGAAGAATTTCCATGGTGGATGTGGCAACGCCCAGCCCACCGTTCGAAAGGAAGGTATCACTCTCGTCGGCACATGGAAACCCAGCAAGGCTATGATGGAGGAGGAAATGGCGCAGCCAGAGAAGAAGGTGATCACTCCTTCAATGGCCCTGAACATCTTCCGCAACATTTCTTTCGAAGAAGTGCGTATCATGGGTCTCAGCAACGACTACGCCCGCCCCGAATGGATGGTTCTTACAGTCCTTCCTGTCCCACCCCCGACTGTCCGGCCTAGTGTTATGATGGGAGCTACAAGTGGCGCTCGAGGTGAGGATGATTTGACTTATAAGCTTGCTGAAATTGTGCGCGCGAACCAGAACGTTCAGCGTTGCGAGCAAGAGGGTGCTCCAGAGCACGTTATTCGTGAGTTTGAGTCCCTGCTGCAGTATCACATTGCAACGTATATGGACAACGACATTGCCGGTCAGCCTAAGGCTATGCAAAAGGGCAACCGACCTGTCAAGGCTTTGCGTAGTCGTTTGAAGGGTAAGGAAGGTCGTCTGCGTCAGAATTTGATGGGTAAGCGTGTCGATTTCTCGGCTCGTACCGTCATTACTGGTGATCCCAACCTTTCCCTTGAGGAAGTTGGTGTGCCTTATTCGACTGCAAAGATTTTGACTTACCCAGAGGTGGTGACGCCTTACAACATTGAAAAGTTGCAAGCGTTGGTCTCAAATGGACCTAACATCCATCCTGGAGCCCGGTACATTGTTCGAGATAACGGTGAACGTATCGATCTTCGCCACGCTAAGCGTGCTGGAGCTCAACAACTGCTTTATGGCTGGAAGGTTGAGCGTCACCTTGATAACGGCGATGTAATTTTGTTCAATCGTCAACCTTCTCTTCATAAGGAGTCCATGATGGGACATCGTGTCCGTGTCATGCCATTCTCGACATTTCGAATGAATTTGTCTGTCACATCGCCGTACAACGCCGATTTCGATGGTGACGAAATGAATTTGCACGTTCCCCAGAGCGAGGAAGCTCGCGCTGAACTTTCAGAGTTGGCCCTCGTCCCAAAGAACATTGTCTCTCCTCAGCGCAATGGTCCCTTGATGGGTATTGTCCAAGACAGTCTTTGCGGTGTTTACAAACTTTGCCGTCGTGATGTCTTCCTATCCAAGGAAGCAGTCATGAATATCATGCTTTGGGTCCCTGAATGGGATGGTGTCATCCCGCCTCCTGCGATCCTCAAACCCCGTCCTCGTTGGACTGGAAAGCAGATGATCAGTATGGCTTTCCCCACTGGGTTGAATCTGCTGCGTATCGACAAGGATAGCTCGCCACTCTCCGAGAAATTTAGTCCTCTTAATGACGGTGGCTTGCTCATTCACGGCGGTCAGCTGTTGTACGGTGTCCTTTCCAAGAAGACCGTTGGTGCCAGTGGTGGAGGTGTTATTCATACCATTTTCAACGAGTACGGATGCGACCAAGCTGTCCACTTCTTCAATGGTACCCAGCGCATTGTCAACTACTGGCTCCTACACAATGGTTTCAGTATTGGCATTGGTGACACGATTCCAGATCGTAAAACCATTGATGCGATTGAGGACGCCGTTCGTGCGCGAAAGAAGGAAGTCGAACAGATCACCGCTAGTGCCACTGAGAATACCTTGGAGGCTTTGCCTGGTATGAACGTTCGTGAGACTTTTGAGAGTAAGGTATCCCGTGCTCTCAACAACGCTCGTGATGAGGCCGGTGCTGCTACCGAAAATAGTTTGAAGGATATTAACAACGCCATTCAAATGGCTCGATCCGGTTCTAAGGGATCCACCATCAATATTTCCCAGATGACAGCCGTCGTCGGACAGCAATCAGTCGAAGGAAAGCGTATTCCTTTTGGTTTCAAGTACCGTACCTTGCCGCATTTTACAAAGGATGATTATTCTCCTGAGTCCCGTGGATTCGTCGAGAACTCCTACCTCCGGGGACTTACCCCCACCGAGTTCTTCTTCCACGCTATGGCTGGTCGTGAAGGTTTGATCGATACGGCTGTCAAGACCGCCGAGACTGGTTACATTCAGCGTAAGCTGGTCAAGGCCCTGGAAGAAGTTATGGTCAAGTATGATGGTACAGTCCGCAACTCTCTTGGCGATATTATTCAATTTATCTACGGAGAGGATGGTCTGGATGGTGCACACATCGAGAACCAACGTGTTGACATCATTCGCTGTTCCGATGACAAGCTTCGTGATCGCTTCCGTGTTGATGTCATGGACCCTGAGCGTAGTCTTGGTCCTGATGTCCTGGAGCAGGCCAATGAGATCGCCGGTGATATGGAGGTTCAGAGGTACTTCGACGAGGAGTGGGAGACACTTCTTAAGGACCGTGCTTTCCTCCGTACTGTTGCCAAGGAAGACGAAGAAATGATGCAGCTTCCCATCAACATTCAAAGAATTCTTGAAATGGCGCGAACTACTTTCCGTATTCGCGAAGGCACTATTAGTGACCTGCACCCCGCTGAGGTCATTCCTCAAGTCCAGGCTCTCTTGGACCGTCTATTGATTGTTCGTGGTGAGGATGAAATTTCACGCGAGGCACAGGACAACGCTACATTGCTATTCAAGGCTCAGTTGCGTAGTCGTCTTGCTTTCCGACGACTTGTTACGGAATACTCCCTCAATAAACTTGCCTTCCAACATGTGCTCGGTGCTATTGAGAGCCGTTTCGCTCGTGCGACAGCTAATCCTGGAGAAATGGTCGGTGTTCTCGCAGCTCAGTCTATTGGTGAGCCTGCTACTCAGATGACACTGAATACCTTCCATTTTGCTGGTGTTTCTTCCAAGAACGTTACTCTCGGTGTGCCTCGTCTTAAGGAAATTCTGAACGTTGCTACCAACATCAAGACTCCTTCCATGACTGTTTACCAGGAGCCCGAGCATACTTTCAACAAGGAAGGTGCCAAACAGTTGCGAAGTGTTGTGGAACACACTAGTTTGCGATCCGTCACTGAAGCAACTGAGATTTATTATGATCCCGAGATTCAGTCTACAGTCATTGAGAACGATCGGGATATGGTGGAGTCCTACTTCATTATCCCTGAGGATGTTGGCGAAGATCCCGCTCACCAGTCCAAGTGGCTGCTTCGTATTATTCTCAGTCGACCTAAGCTCCTGGATAAGGGTCTTACTGTGCAGGAGGTTGCTGCTAGAATTAAGCAAGCTTACCCACGTGACATTGCTGTTATCTTCAGTGATAACAACGCCGACGAGCAAGTCATTCGTATCCGTCAAATCCAGGACTACAAGGACGATGAAGATGATGATGTTGAGTACGATGTTACTCTGAAGAAGCTCGAGCAGCATCTTCTTGACACTCTGACCCTTCGTGGTGTTCCTGGCGTCGAGCGTGCGTTCATCAATGAAAAAAGCATTGTTCGCATCCTTGAAGACGGTACCTTGTTCACTAGCAAGTCCGATCCCCTCTGCAAGGAGTGGGTTTTGGAGACCAGTGGCTCCGCTTTGGCTCCTGTTCTTGCTATTCCTGGTGTGGACGCTACGCGTACATACTCTAACCAGTTCATCGAAATTTTTGAGGTGTTTGGTATCGAGGCAGCTCGTACTGCCGTCCTTCGTGAGTTGACTCAGGTGCTGGCCTTCGATGGTTCCTATGTCAACCATCGTCACTTGGCCCTGTTGGTTGATGTCATGACTGTTCGCGGTTACCTGACTCCTGTCACTCGTCACGGTATCAACCGCGCTGACAATGGTGCGCTGATGCGTTGTTCCTTCGAAGAGACTGTGGAGATTCTTCTTGAGGCTGCTGCCTTCGGAGAGCTTGACGACTGCCGCGGTGTGTCAGAGAATCTGATTCTTGGACAGATGGCCCCCGCTGGAACGGGTGAGTTTGATGTCTACTTGGATCAGAACCTGCTTAACACTGTTGTCTCCAACAATGCTCGATTCGGTCTCATGGGCGGTGTTGGTGCCAAGGACGCCATCATTCCAGATGGTGCTGCAACTCAGTACGATACTGGATCGCCTATGGCCAGCTCCCCATACTTGGCGGATGGCGACCCGGATGCAAGCTTCTCGCCCATTCGCCAGCCTGGCGCAGAGACACCCGGTGGACCCCGATACCCATCTTTCGGTCATGAATTTGGTGCATTGAGTCCCGGAGGTGCTCGTAGCCCTGCTAGCAGTTATTCTCCTAGCAGTCCGTTCAATACCAGTCCGACATCTCCTGGATACTCCCCATCCTCGAGCTATTCTCCCACATCGCCTGGTATTGGTATGACCAGTCCTCGGATGACTTCACCTGGCTTCTCACCTACGAGTCCGTCGTTTAATCCGACTTCGCCGGCTTACTCGCCGACATCTCCAGCTTATGGCCAAGCGTCACCTACGTCTCCGTCGTACTCACCAACTTCGCCTGGCTTCTCGCCAACATCCCCCAACTACAGCCCTACGTCACCTAGCTTTAGTCCGGCATCGCCTGCCTTTAGCCCGACTTCGCCTAGTTACAGTCCTACTAGCCCTGCGCTGGGTGGCGGTCGGCACTTGTCCCCCACTTCCCCCACTTCACCCAAGTATACTCCTACTTCCCCTGGCTGGTCTCCCACGAGCCCCCAGTCTTATTCGCCAACCTCTCCAAACTTTTCTGGCTCGCCGACGTCGCCTACCTCCCCTGGCTACAGCCCGACATCCCCGGCTTACAGCCCTACGTAAGTCAATGCTTGGTTCTTATTAAGATGTGCTCTAATCAACAATGTCATCAGGTCCCCGCGTCAGTGAAGTTTGGACAGTTAAAGCATGCTCATTCATGGCTCGTGCTGTACCATTGTATCATCACCAACCTATTCAAATAAACATGAAAGAAAAATATCTCGCACATGACATCTCGGAATTGGATGATCATTTTCTCTTCACGATCTGTGGGCTTTCCACCCATTCCATTGTATCTGTTTTCTTAGCAACTTTCGAAGCCATTTATCGGCTTTTTTTTTTATCAATTTTTATTTATTGCCCCCCTCTGCAACTTCCCAAGATGCTCAATTTACAGCAGTCAGTCTCTTTTTACTTTCAAAATTGTGAACGACTTCTGCCCCTTGCTCTCTGGCGGATAGTCATGGGCGAGGCCGGAAGACTGAGCTAGTGCAAGCAACCTTTTATGGAACGGCTTTCAAGATTGATTTCTCAAAGAGCGTTCTTTCAAGCGTGGCCAGTATGAGCTTTCTTCTGGACTTTCCTATGACTGTCGAAGTTTATCTTTTTCTCTTTTCAGTCCTTTTCTTTTTATTGCATGAAGAGCGCAACGGGGCTTTTGTGAATTTGGTTTGATTTTCTCCTGTTCTGTACACAGATTTCAGGGAGTTGAATAAAAAGAATTTAATGACAGTCGTTCCTATAAATTTCTTTTCTTTTCCTTTCCTTTGTAGATTTGAAACTTGATAGATTCAAAGTAAGTTGTGTAGTAAACATTTAGTACAAGGCCAAACGTAGCGCTGATTCGCCCGTCGGTAAAACCAAGCTCCGTCAAGCCAAGTGGCCGCTTGGAACTACATCACCGGTAGCTCTCCCTCCCCGTCCCCATAATTCTTATCTTTCAATAGGTCGCAATGCGACTCTTTCTCTTATTTTCCTCTCAAATATCCCTGGCATAATGAGAACCTCGTTCTCTAGTTTATTGCCGGCCCTGCGTATGTGACCTCTGTACCCCCGCGATCGTGACATCTCCGCATGCTGACCTCCTACAAGTGCTCTTAGAATATGCAGCAGGGTCAACCCAAGAGCCTCTACACGACAGCGCGCCGACTGATGTCGCTGGCGAAGCTCAATACCAAGAATATGTATTTGAATCGGGAGAGCATGGACCTCGGCCTATAAGTGGTGAGAAATACCTTCCCTGGGATCTTGTCGCGTGAGGGGATTGGATTTATCCAGAACTAACATCTCGCTTTCTTCCTAACCTGACAGACCAGGTTCAGAATGCCTGGAACTCACTACGGTCGATCAAACCCTCTGTTCCTCAAATCGAGAAGCCCAGCGGTATACTCGGCTACACCTTGCACTATGGCCGCGAAGCCTTCCGGATATTGTTCATGAATGGTCCCGTTACAGATAACACCGATCGGAGGATCAACCCGACCGTCGCAAAGGCTGTATTGGAGCTGAGAGAAGCAGCGGAGAAGGATCAGGACCCGGATGCGATATTTCTTCTTGCGGAGTTGAATTTCTACGGAAACTTCACACACCCACGGAACTTCAGCGAGGCTTTCATGTGGTATAACGGTTTAGCATGGCTGGATGGTAACACTACGGCTCAGTCCATGGTCGGATTCATGTATGCGACTGGTGTTGGTGAGGCGGTTGAGCGTGATCAGGCTAAAGCGCTGATGTATCATGAATTCGCTGCGGATGGAGGAAATACACGATCGGAAATGACGCTTGCATACCGTTACCATACTGGAATCGGCACGCCCAAGGATTGTGAACATGCTGTCATGTATTACAAAAGGGTTGCTGATAAGGCCATGGATTATTATCGATCTGGTCCACCTGGCGGTCATGCTATGATTAGAGAATCTTATCGATGGGCAGATGAAGAGGGTGGTGTTTATGGGGAAGGGGCTAGTGTTTCGAGCTCCGGACATAATGCGAAAGACCCCAACCAGGCCACTACTGAGTCTAGTGTGGAGGATGTTCTAGAGTTCTTGGATCTTATGCATCGCAAGGGTCAATTGTCGGCTACCTTCACGCTGGGAAAGATGAATTACGACGGTGCTCGTGGATTACCTCGCAACTTCCATAAAGCCATGAAGTACTTCAGGGCGATTACTGGGAAATACTGGAAGAAAGATGGTACCGTTGTCTCTAGCCCCGCTCCTGGACTTGATGCGGCGGCGGCTAAAGCTGCGGGCCATATTGGGTTGATGTATCTACGTGGCGAGGGAGTAAAACAGGATCCCGCTAATGCCATAGCCTGGTTCAAGCGAGGTATTGTCAACGGGGATTCGCTTTGTCAGTACCAGATGGGCTTGATGTACCTACATGGTATTCATGTTCCTGAAGATGCATATGGGGCATCCTCATATTTCAAGGCAGCGGCAGATGATGATTTACCAGCTGCTCAGACGAGACTCGGTGCTTTATTCTTAGATCAAGGAGATGTACCTACCGCCACACGCTACTTCGAACTTGCCGCCCGCCACGGCTGGATGGAGGCGTACTATTATCTCGCGGAGATGGCCAATTTTGGCGTAGGTAGGCAGCGTCATTGTGGCGTGGCTGCTGCTTACTACAAGATGGTTTCTGAGAAAGCGGAGGTGATGCACTCAGCCATCAAGGAGTCCAATGAAGCATACGAAGCTGGTGATAAGGAGGCTGCGCTTATTCCGGCAATGATGGCAGCGGAACAAGGATACGAACATTCTCAGGCTAACGTGGCCTATATCCTTGACGAGCATCGCTCTTTGGTTTCACTCAGTAATATCCTTCCGTGGATTAAGAAGTCATCATCTTCCTTACTGCGCAATACTGCGCTCGCTTTGATATACTGGACCCGGTCAGCTAAGCAAGCCAACATCGACTCATTGATCAAGATGGGTGACTATTATCTTGCGGGCACTGGTGCTTTATCTAGTGCAGAGAAGGCATCAACCTGCTATCATAGTGCAGCGGAGGCACATCGCAGTGCCCAAGCATACTGGAACTTGGGCTGGATGCATGAGAACGGCGTGGCCGTGGAACAGGATTTCCACATGGCGAAAAGATATTATGATTTGGCTCTTTCCACTAACAAAGAGGCCTATCTTCCTGTGAAGCTTAGTCTGCTGAAGCTGCGAGCTCGAGGATATTGGAATCGTATCACGAACGGAGACATCAACCCAATCCGTGACGATGAAGGTGAGATCATTAGTCCCTATGCTTTCCATATATGGGGGTTTGACGATGATACTAACAATCAATTTAGATGCCAAACCTCCACGTACTCTCAAAGAATGGTTTACTGCCTTCCTTGAGAACGACGAAGCGGCTTATTACCAAGAGCTCTACGAAGCCCACGCAAATGATGACGACTTCATGGCGCCTGGCATCGACTCTGATCATCATGACGGCTACTACGATGACCTTGAGTTTGATATTGATGAAGGCATGCTTGAAGGCCTGCTCATTGTTGGATTGGCAGCTACTCTTCTTGTGTTGCTGTACATCCGACAACAGCAGCAGCGCAACCGGCAGAATCAGAACGCTGCTAACCAAGGAAATGGCAATGGGAATGCGAACGTGAATGGAAATGCAAATGCCAACGCAGCTAATGACCGAGGCTTCTTCCCCCAGCCTGGCGACCCTGAATTTGCGCAGTGGGTGGCTGGCGGTGTGGGCCATTGACGAATTTTGTATTGTATGCGATCTTTAGTAGATAAAATTCCTTATCGATAAGCCATATATATCTGCACTGCCTGCATGTGAACTCATCCTTCTCTTGTAATCATTTTGTGTTAACTTATTTCATCTCACACCATCTCAATCAAAATGGCAGATGAAAGGAGCTCATTTAAACGTCGCCGCCTCCTTGCCAATGCAACATTATCGAAGCCATTTAAGTCGCCATTACGCAAGCCCGATTTGACAGAACCCACATCTGAGTCCACATCATTAAAGCCAGCGTTGTCAACGCCGCCCAAAAACATTTCACATTTTAATTCGCCTGAAACCCCGATCGATGAAAATCAAAAGCAACTAACACCTCCAGCGGGCCCACCGGCTATCGTCTTGGATCGACCCCCTAGAATACACCCAATGAGGACGCCAACACGCTCTTCCCCAGCCAACCCTGAGATTCTGTCTTTGACCAAACAACACCGCTCTTGTCAATCGAGATTAAACACTTTGCATTCTGAGCTTGATAATGCGCGACAAGCTTTGCGAATTGAGTCGTCCGGCAAAGAGGCAGAGCTGGAAGCATTGATTGTCAAATGGCGCCTTGTAGCCCAAACAGCAGCCGACGAGGTTTTTGCTACTTCCCAAGAACGCGTGGCTCGAATGGGAGGAATGGCCGGTTGGAGGGAACGCAGCAAACGAGATACTATGCAATGGGAGTATGAGGAGCCGCAAAGGCAACATGACGCGGCTGATATGGAAGGGACCGACGCAGCAGGCTATAATTCGTCGAATCCCAAGAACTGCGCAGGATTCCACGAGGAAGAGGATCAGAGCGAGGCGAGTTTGACTTCTTGAATATTGATACATACAAGATGAACTAACTATGGTGTTAGGAATTTACCATGGAATTCATGCTCAAAACGCTCAATATCGAGCCGACGTTAATCGGACTCGATACAACGATGGATACCTGGATACGGGACTTTTAACGTTTCTTTGGGAGTTGAGGAAAAGCAAATTACATATCCAGGCGCTCATTCTTTGATATGATTCGATGCCGTGGTTATCATCTTTAACTTTGTATGTATTTGATAGGCGCAAGCCTCGGGTGGAACCCCGAAGTTCCACTCGGAACTTTCTTATCAATATCAACCAGAATCTCCGCTTCCCCCGCACTCTCCCTCTTCAACTCCCGTATGTCGCGTCCATTGAAGCAAAGAGAAATCGCCTGCGCCCGCTGCTTTCGTTTAAAGCGGAAATGTGATCACGCAAAGCCTACATGTGGCGAATGTCGCCGGAAAGGCGCTGAGTGTTTACCGGCCCGGTCCCGCAGGACGGGCGACAGTATAACGGTTCCATTGGCTTATCTGAAAGAATTGGAGAAGAGGGTGGCTGAATTGGAGGGCCATCACAGAAACAACGGTACTAATGTTGAGTTGAGGGATGTTGGTGTACAGACTGATTCAATTGATGAGCTTGATACGGATACGCCGTCGGATAATATATGTATGCTGTGGGATCCTCGAGATAAGTCGCCACCCTGGAAGCAGGATTGGGTACCCGAGATTAGTTTTTTAGCTTCACAAAGTCGGATTTCAGGACCGTCTTCGCAAGTTTCGTTTACGGATACGTTTACGTTGAGCGATGAGACGTTAAACTTTTTACGACTGGATAAGAGCTCTGTCTCTCCGTTGATTGGGGATGATTCACCCTGGCTCACGGAGCTCTATACGAATATCTATTTCACAATAACGCATCGCGAGTGGCCTTTCCTTAACGAGTCGACGTGGAAATCATGGCAGAGCGAGCATGTATCAGAAGGAAGAGAGGAATGGCGGATTTTCTTTATTCGCATGGTTTATGCTATCGGTGCTTCATTATGCAGTACTATGCATCGAGATCCTGCACACTCTACCCGCTCAAAGGAATTGTATACATCTGCTATGAGTTATTATCCACACGTTGTCGGTCACTCTTCGATGGTCCTGCAGGTTCAGGCATCGCTTCTCCTGATCGTTTATTCGTTACATTCTCCATCTTCAGAGGAGATAGTGACTAGTGTCTCTTCGATAGTGCCGTTTTGCACGGCCGCAATGACGGAAATAAGAAAATCTGCTCGGGCAACTCGAGATGGAGAGGTGACAGCTGCATCAGGCGAGGTCCTGACCGAGAACATGTTCATCGCTTGCTACATGTTGAATGTCATAATTGCGTCTGGGTGGGACAGGCCGATATCCGATGCGTACCAAGCAGTGGAAGATGATGTATGTGATCTTGCAGAAATGCATTTGAGAAAATTTACTTCTTGTATCATGAGCCCGGCTTTATTTGACATTTTAACTAACAATCGACAGATGTGCACACTAGGAGATATTATTCAGCCCCCTCCGAACATAAATCCTGCACTCGCTCATCTGTTTCGCCTGCGTAAAATACAAACAAATATCAGACGATCCGTTGAACGAGCTCGATGGCAGATCTCAGAAGAAAAAGATGCCTTGAACTCTTCCTATAAGGCTGCGCTGGATGTATGGCGACAGGAAATCCCTCGATACGGAACGCCAACAGTCTCATGTGGCTATTACCATCCTAATTGGATGACAAAGCTGTACGATTATAGTATTTTGATGTTATTAGAAGACAAGCATAACTTCCTTGATCATGAGGGAACAGAAGAAATCTTCTCAGCTGTTGTGCAAGTCTGTCTGAAATATCGCCGTTTACAAGAAGAAGGACATGTGATGTGTTTTACATGGTCTGCGGTGAGTACATTTCTGAAATCCGAGCTCGAAATTTATTTACTAATACATTGACAGCTTGTGTATCAATTCCGAGCTGGAATCATGCTTCTGTATCTGATTTGGGCAACTAGACCCATAACAGATAGCGTAGAGATTCAGCCGCAAAGTCCAACATATCACTCTCCCGAGGCAATTGAAGCATGTACGAAGAATTTAGCTTGTTTTGCAGAACGCTGGGCCGATGCCGTTCCATATTTGAAAATTTTCGAGTTTCTGCAACAAAAGACACTCTGGGATTTAGATATCACATCTGAAACCCATGTGGTGGCATTGGATGAGGCTGAAGCGTACCTCGAGCAACTGAAAGAAACCTATCTTCATCGAGCCATTCTGGGAATGGTGGAGGATATGATGTACGGTGACTTTGCGCGATTTGAAACACTACCGAGCGAATTTATGACAGGGATATTGTGAATAGTTCCTTCGATTTAGCTCATAACGCTTATGTACAGATTTAATAATATGAGAAAGACGACATGTTTATAGTCCGCTATAGAAGAATGAGCTTCCCAGCTGTTGATCCAGCATCTGTCAATGCAGTCACAAGAACAATGGTTTGCTTAAGTGTTGGACTTTCCCATTTCTCCCACTTACCATCGCGCTCGGAAACTGGGTATGATCTTTTGACAGACCATTTTGCGTCATCAATGACAGCATTGCATGGCTGACCATTGATATGAACGCTCAGGCTTTTTAACGTAGCCCCATTCGTGGATCCCACAACTTGGATATGCACATCTTCGCCGTGGATCTTCTTTTCCTGTATTTCAACCACAAGTTCTGGTGGACCATTAAAGGTACCGTTCAAGGCAACCTCCCCGATAGCTATTTGATCGGAGTCTAGAGCAGGTGTTAACGGCGGCTGAACACGACTCTTGGAAGCCATCTCAAACGCGAAACCATATCGCAACAAAGCAGTATCCTCATATGCCTTGCTAGCAAAAGTCAAACTAACAGGCATCTTCGTATCCTCCATCACACCCATAGGCACCGAAATAGTCGGAACACCAAGATGACGTATAGGCCTATTACCATTCGAGTACTTCACCCCGTTACTCCAAGCATACCGCGAGGCCTCCTCATCACAATCAGCATTCGCAGCGCCGACATCCGCTATAGCCGGAAAAACAACAGCATCAAGACCAAGTTCGTCCATCCACTTCTCGAATGTTTCATTCCTAGCATCTTCTAGTGCTTGGACAGCTTGTTTCATTCCTGAGATCTCGAAAATAGAGCTTGGTTTGGTGCGTGGGTACTCTACTATCTCGCCCCAGCGCGGCTTATTCGCTGCTTCAGGAGTGCCGAGTAATGAACCCGGTGCAAGAGGGAAGATAGTGTTTGGATCCACGCGTGTAAGTGACTCAAGACCTCTTTGTTTGTTTGCTGTGACGAAATCGTCCCATGCGTGCGCTACAACTTCGCATCTTTCCTTGGCGGGCCAGCCTTCTGGGAGATTTCTGACGGTTACCAGCTGACCGGAGGCTGCGTTGCTTTCGTATTTTGTCACGAGAGGGAAGTCAGTTTCGATTACCTCTGCGCCACAGGATTCGAGGGCGCGACGGGCTTTCTGCCATAGTGTGATAATTGAAGGTCTGGGGTAAACTTTGCTGATGGATTGAATGGACGAGTCATCACCTCCGATATACATTGAGGGTACACCGATTCGCTTTCCTTGTAAGGACGATTTATCTTGGAGTGTGGAGAAAGACTGAGGCCGGATGGAGTCTATTTTAGGTAACGAGACGATGGTTTGTTCATTGTAGAAGTCTCCGAGTGGGTCCTTGTCAGATGTGGCTAGTACATCAAGAACACAGAATAAATCAGCGACTGTTCTAGTATGAGGTACTAGTACGTCGCATGTTGGGTAGAGAGGAAAGACGCCGCGAAGCGAGATAAGGCCCTTCGAGGGCGTATATGCAACAATAGAGTTATTTGATGCAGGCGAACGGCCAGATGAAACTGTCTCAGTTCCCAGTGAAAAGGCGCATAGATTCGAACTTGTAGCGACAGCTGACCCATTCGACGAGCCAGAGGCATATGCAGCTGCTAAATAGTCACTGTTATAGGGACTCTCAGCTCGTCCCCAGACACCACGCTGCATCCCTCCATATGCCATTGCAGGCATGTTAGTTCTACCTAGTAGGACCGCGCCGGCATCACGGAGCAATTGTACACAGGCGGCATCTTTATTTGCAATGAGGTGCTCAAATGCGGGCGAGCCGTTGGCAATTACCATACCCTTCACTTTGATGTTGTCTTTCACTAGGTATGGAATACCTTCCAGTGGTCGAGGAGGAAGTCCTGATGCACGTCGAGCATCTGAAGCAGCTGCGTCGTCGAAGACCGACGGGTTGAGAATTGGAATGGCACTAAGCTTTGGCCCGTTGGCGTCATAGACGCTGATACGGCGTAGATAGCGGGAGACAAGGTCCACGCTGGTCAGATGTCCTGATGTGAGGGCATTTTGCAGCTCGGAAATACTGGCATCGAGTAAACTGAACTCTTTGCTTTTATTTGGTTGAGACATGCTGGGGTATTGAAGTTGTGAAGTAGAGCCCTCTCGTTGATCTGGAAAAATTTACCAGATGTGGTGACATGGATGGTCGTTTGTTCGTCTTGCATGGATAGTTAAGGTTGTTTTATAGAGTTGTCTTCCATGCGGTGGCGGCGGACTGTTGTCCGCTGGGTCCAAGTGGGGAACCTCAATCATTAGAGCGGAGGTTTGTCCACCCACTGATAAACGGATCATAGAACAGTCAGATTGCTGAAACTGATTTAAATAAAGTGCATAAATTTAAATAGTGTACGGACATGTACATTTTCTTGAAATATATGAAAAAGACAAGTCTCCCATTGTCGAGACTAGAATGAAAGAAGGATGCTCAGATAGTGCAGTTGTGCGTTGTATAGTATGTGCTGAACATCGCCCGGAATAGCAAGACTACCCGATAGCATTTCAACTCTGGAATGAATCAGAACCAATTTAATGCATTTGTGAGTCGGTTTCTGGTATCGTTTCGAGTGCTTTCCACAATATCTTCGGCATTTTCCAACTTATTGACCATTCCCACTCCACTCCCAGCCCAGAAGCTGTTGACATCTTTCGCATCAACCTCCTGGTTTTGATTTTTATAGATGTTATTATAGAGTCGTTCCCGCATTTGTTCTATACTCAGACCGTTTTGAACATCATCATAGCAGGCGTTCCGCAGACAGCGCCCATCATAGAGATCTGGCCAAGCATTCGGCGACCACATCTCATCAAAAACTCTAGAGCGAACTGTGGCGTCTCCACCATCAGTAGCTTGGAAGATTTCTCGTCGATAGGCTGCAGGCAATTTCGCCTCACTGGCAGCAAGGAATCGTGTTCCCATAACCACACCAGAGGCACCTAGCATTATTGCTGCTGCCGCTGAACGTCCATCCATTATACCGCCAGCTGCGACCAAGGGAATCTCTTCAATGCCGTGTTCAGCGAAGGTGTCCACAACCTCTGGTATTAATGTAACAATGCTTGATCCTCGCGCATGTCCATGTCCACCAGCGTCGCTTCCCTGGAGAACTAGCACATCAGGCTGACAAGTCTTAGCAGCTTGCACGGCTGCACTGACGCTGCCGACTTGAATCCAGACTTTCGTGTTGGGGGATACGGATCGAATGCTTGTAGACCATCGCAAGAAATCCGTTGCTTCACCAAATGAAAGCCAAACAGCAATTGGTTTGTGATTTGCGAAGACAGGAAGGAAATCGGATGGTGGTCCATTGAGAGCAATAATTCCTACGCCGATGGGTAGAACGTTTGATGGAATGGTGACATTCTTGAGAAGACTTTTGGCTTCTTCTAGCTGCACATTTAGGTGACGTGGATCATCAAATCCGATAAAACCAAGACCACCGGCAGAGGTGACTGCACATGCCAAGTCTTTAGTTGCCACGGCGCTCATTGGGGCGTTGATAACGACTGGTGCTAGAGCCCATGGCATACTTTGAAGCAGTGCGCGGTGCGACGCCATTTTCTTCAATTTCTCCAATTTGCATTTCGAAATGTCTTATACATGAACTCGGAATTATAACTAAGTCTATGCGAAAGTCAATGTCAGTTTATTAGCACTGAAAACTTAAGATTTCAATTGCAAATTCACGATGTACATACCTAGATTCCAGGCCGATGAGGGTAACTTCCTTGTGCCATAAGGTAGTTTTAGATCAGGTTGTAGGGTGTAATTGATAGTCTAAGTAGTAATTCAGCTTAATTCCAAACCAAAAAATCAAACGCCGATTAGGCGTAACGATGCCACCCAGATTGCTGAATCAGCTGCACTATCCTGAAGATACTCCGATCAAACGCCGAAATCATCTGCATGTACCAGTTCTTTCAAAGGCCGAGAATATGGCAGTAAGAAATATCTTTGGCAAAGTGTGCCATATATCTTCGAGCATAATGGTCCCCGCAAGGTACCTAGTCACGAGGTAGTTGACATTTTCTGCGACTAAGTCAGTTGCTGTACCGATTTTCTGAATTTATGGAACAATGTCGCCTAGTTGGATGTGCTGCGATAGTGGCAAGGCGAGTTTTCGATATCTCGGAACTTTCCTTCTCGAATCGGACGATAACTGGTAATGGAATGATCTCAATGTGGACGCGGTAGGTGCAGGTATCGAACGTGTTCATATTATATTGCAGCTACTTGGCCGGAGGCCAAACACCCCGGAAAGATACTAGAGAGAAACCTCTCTTCTGGGACAAGAAATTGTTTACCGCAGCCATGTTGTCAGGGGTAAAAGAAACCAGAGGAGGGAGAGAATTCTACCATTAAGGAAAATTCGAGTACTCTCGTAGCATTCAGGCAGTGGATTCTCTTTGTAGATTGGGCACAGACACACAGACTCTCTTTCAATGTTGACTGCCTATGGCTACTGAACTGGCCCCGCAGAATTCTCAACTAGTCCTGGCTTATGTAGCATAATTTCAGACACTATATTATCGAATGGTGTAGTTGGTTTATCGTGTAGCCTTTAGCTCGGTTGTGTTATCGTGCATCCTTCGGTGTAGTTGGGTTTTCGTGTATCGTGCAGTAACGGCGGAGCACAAATTCCCTTTTTGGATTGAAACCCATCTACGTACAGCTCGAAATTTGGGGCTGGTCATGTACGCAGAAATCAGTCTTTCAACCATCAAATGGCCGAATGGTGTAGTTGGTTATCACGTATCGTTAACAGTCACATGACTTCCTTACCGATAAGGTCCTCGGATCGAGCCCGGGTTTGGTCACTTTCTTTTTTTCTTTTGTACATGAAGAAATTCGTAAAAGATAACGACAGGCGCACTTCGAAGTCACTCGTTTTCTTTTTAAATTTCTTCGCGCAGAAAATAAAAGAAAGACACGACAGCTGCAAAGTTCGATTGCGCCTTCGATAAGAATTGATAATGAACACATTATATACACGTGTATAGATTCACTTGGGAGTTGTTAGTAAACATTTTGTATGAGCAGTGCCACGCCCGGGCCGCTCCCATATTTGACACCGGTGTGAAATGAATGCATTCAGAACTCCAAAAAAAATAACGCTCCAACTATGATATTCGGTCTCTAAAAGGGTAGATGATGCGGTAAGGCACGGCGCATGTCGCTCTTAAATGGTTCATCAAGCAACTGCAGCAAGACCTCGTCCTTTTCTTCTAGCATCCAGTCAGCATCATGCGCCAATGAAATATGGACCTTGAGATCTCTCTCCATAGTTTGAATGCGACTGATTGTCTCCTTTGCCGTAGGCAAGTCGGCATGAAGACTGAACGTAGTCCCATCGGGTAATGACAGGGTAGCAGGCTCCTTCGTTCCGTCCAACAGTTCACTGTGGCTCTTTCGTCAGCATAGAACTTCAAGTTCAAGTTTGAATAAACAGATAATGAATGGGTAAGGGATATATACCGTGAATGACAGCAATCAGATCCAAGAAGTACCCATTCGCCTCCATTCAGTCGCACGCAAGCAGATAGATTGCCTGGCATGTGGCCGGGAGACTTCATAATCCAAAAACTCTGGTCTCCGAAAAAGTCCATTGCCTCATCAAATGCTCCGAACTTTACCCAAGGTCCCGTCAGCGTGTCCCAATTTTCAGTTCCTTGCCTAGGATCAAAAATCCGACCATCCCACATCGATGTGGGATCCTCCAAATGACCAGGAGAACAATGCTCAGCTGTGCCAGGCCCGAACAAAACCTTTGCATTTTTAAATTCCCTCTTAACAGGGCGACAGTGATCAAAATGTGCATGACTACGAAGAAAGTAAATATGTGTATTAAATCCGTTTGTGTAGAAGGAGAAAACCCGGTCGCGACTTACCTCATAACAACAGTATCTATCTCCTCTGCATCAATTTCGCGCCGACGTTTAATTTGTTCGGCAAGAGATTCGACTGGTCCAGCGACATGGTGAGGTCCGATGAACTTTTTAGTAATAACTGGCGGATAATCATCTTCTTTCTATATTGCGATCGATACAGAATTGATATAATTAGTCATTTGCGACACATGCAGGCATGGCAAACCAAAACATACCGATGTCATCCCTACATCCCAGAGAACTCGGCGATTGGATGATGGATGTTGTATTAAAAATGCCCAGTTATAAAGGCGAAAATCAGCAGGTGAGTCTCCAGCATGAAGAAGATGCTTCGACCCCACCATACTACCCCCATTCAAGAGGGTGAGGTCAACAAAAGCCTCTGTAGATGGCAATGCGGGGTTTTCCATCATCATATCTTATACGGCGCTGAAATTTAAGGGAGTTCTGATCGATGGAATTCCAAACAGAAGAAGCTAAAGGCCAAAACCAAAGAAAGGAGATGGAGGAATTATACTACCCCTTCTCCCACATATGGTCGTCGTTAAAACCCCTCTTCAGCTTTGTGGCCCCCATTATCGACGTCACCACCCCACATGCTCCCCATAAGCAGTGTAAGCAGAGCCCAGTCAGATTTCCTTTTTGCATTGTTATCTTTATGCCCAATCTGTCATCGGATAAAGACAACGGAATTTAGAATAAATTCCAATGCTAAATCCGCAGCTCAGTGGTCTGGGATTCAGACATAAATCGGCATTCAAATGAACCTTAATGCATCAAGTTCCGAAACACGTATACACGCATTCAGATATTAACCAAAGTATAAGCTGAACTCAGATATTTGCATAGATCAAGCTGGGTTGTGACAAAGAACAATGTTTATTCATGGACACCGGACTGGGAGGATTTAGCTTTAATGCCTCTAGACCCACCAACCTTCAAGTTAGCATGTACCTCTCACCAAATCATGCAAGAAACATTACAGGATAACTTCAATCTTACATATCTGCATTAGCCTTCTGGCGTCATGTCCAATTTTAGGGAATATTCAATTTGTTGAATATCATGCTTGTCAGATGAGTTCAAGTCTATCGCAGCTATGAAACGTCAAAAATATAGCACGCCCGAAAGTAGATATCGTAGTAGACAAACTTTCATGACGAGTTAAATTTAAACTCCCATCACCATCACGTAGTTTTTTTGAAACATGAGGATACTTCTCCGGGCGCTCAGCCATCCGAAAGGTGGGAAGAAAAGTGTGAGTCCTACTACATTATAATATGGTAAACTATTGGAATTCTTTGAGGAGGGCTGAAAACTTTAATTCACGACAAATTACGGTTGAACGTAGCGATTAGGTCTATAAAAGCGGTTTTTGGAACGGAATGATTGGCCCTCGAACAGTAGTAGACATTCCAGCTTCCAAGCAGGACTCGTTATCTTCGTTGCCATGTGAGCTTTGAACATCATAATGAACCGATGTTCATTGACTTATTACTGAGTCCACTGGCAGATGGCTGTCGACTCCTTTGTGACTTAAGTAAGAGCAAAAGGAATATACTATCTTGCCTTACTTTGGTGCTAGGTCTAGTCCCAAAAGTGTGTCCTGGCTCAGCCATTTCGCGATAAAACTTGGCAACGGAGTTGCCGTCGAATTCAAGTTCGATGGCCTCTAGCAAAATATCCGAAAGACGCCTTCCCTTAAGCCCATATATGCAGCCCTGGAGACGAACCCAGTTGAAATAAATGCGGGGAAAGCCATCGAACTTGACAGCTCGCCACAAAAAGAGCCAAGGCTGTGCAAAGAAGTGATATTTCTGATACCTGTGGTTTTAATAGCCATAAGAGAAACCAATGATATAGTTCATGCATCTTTCATAGGAACCAAAAGTGATTTTCTTGCCTTGATTCGAGATGCCTTATGGCTTTTAGACGAATCAACCTTCCACTTTTGAAACTGTCACAAGAGTCGCCGTGGCTAGCCCAGTATTTCGCTCGCTCTACGCGCCCAAGTTATCTCACTAGGCAAAGTAAAATACGGGGAGAGTTGGTTAGCGCCATAGGAAGAGACATTTGTCGGCATGGCCGAGTATGTTATTTGGAAGAGACCGACTTGTTTGACTTTGATTCCGAACTCTTCAAGGCGATGGTGAATTGATGGCGCAGCGGCTGCCAATAAAAAATGGGTATTTCCGAGCCACGAGACCAAGAAGCCTGGAAATTCGAGGCGAGGGACTTCAAGCTCGACGCCGGCTTACGCTCTCAGCTGGCCCACATCTGCAGGAACAGGCTAAGCAGTTCACTCGAGCCGAGATGTGGGGCGACCGCCGGTCCGTGCCGGACCATACACTCGGTCAAGCATGTAGAAATTGGCCAAAATAACCTACGCTGAGGCGACGCGTATTCACTGGAATTATTGTGGTGTGTAGAGGCGAATCTGAAAAGCGAAACAGAAAATGTATAAAGAAAGGTAAATTTCCCATCGTTTATTATATGCTCAGACAACCATCACAACCACCATCATAACCCGACAAGCCTTTTGAACTCCAAACTTCACAAATAAGTCATAATGGCACCTTCCAAAGATACTACAATGTCTGCCTCCATCATTCCTCTGGTCCGAAACTTGAAGCGAAAAAATCGTGCTGACATTCCCAGAAGCGCAAACGACACTGTCAGTGTTCCAGCGGTGCCAACAAAGTCTGTGAAGGCTACCAATGGTACCAATGGCAACCATGACACTAACGGTTCCAATGGCACATCCACTGTGAAGGAAAGCAACACTACTTCTGAGCTCATCACTAGCCAGACAGTCTTGAATGTCGAGTTTGATGAGCTCAAGTCTACCGCGCACAAGACAGAGGTCCTCACTCGCAAATTCGACTGCGTCAAACATGTCCGCCCTGCTGAATTCCCCGAAGCTCTTGGCGCCTTGCCATTCCCATCCGAGCTTAGAGGAATGGTCGCTTGGACTGATGCCTTTGTCGAGCGACTGGGATGGATGTCACTGCAAGTTGAACAGGTTAGACGTTTTTTAATCTCTAGCAGCATATCATCAATACTAACGCCTTGAAATTTAGAAATCTGCAGGCAAAGACTTTGCTCTTCGTCAGACGAACAAACGAATTGAGGAGTTTGAGCTTAAGATTCAATCGCTTAAGACGATCAACCACGGTTTTGTTGATGAGAACCATAAGCTAAGAAGTCAGGTTACTCAGCTCACCAGTCGCAACAAGTTCCTCGAGGGGCAACACACGCGAGAGCATGCTCAGCTTGATGGTTTCAAGAAGACTATTGCCAGTCAAAGAACTGAGATCATCGCCTCGAGCCAGGAGAATGAGAAGTTGCGCGCGAGTGTGAAGAGCCTCGAAGCAGTAGTTGAGAAGCTTATTGCCCAGCACGTTGGCGACGAGGCTTCTCGCAAGGCCCTGGCTGATAATTTCGAAAAATGGAAGTTTGATGATAAACTCCACGATGAAAAGGTTGCCAAACTTGTTGATGATCTCACAAGGGACCTTGGAATCGAGCGCGATGCCAAATCGAAGGTCGATTCGGAGCTGGCTGCTGCGGTCGCAAAGCTGGCCCACCTTCAAGCTGAAAAGGAAGGCTTGGAAACTCTGCGTGAGCGTCTTGAGGAGCTTGTTAAGAGCATCCGGGAAAAGCTTGCTTTGGCTGAGGTCGCATTCGGTGTTTCAGAGGGCCAGAAGGCCGCATTGGAGGCTCTCGTCCGTGAACTTGAGAAGAAGGAGGAAAGCTTCAAGCTCGAGATCCATGGCCTTCATGGACAACTTCAGGATGCTAAGATTGACATTGAAAATATCAAGCAGAAGGTCATTAATGCCAACTCACACGCAAAGGACCACTGGAATACTCTTGAGAAGATTCGTCGCGATGGTAGCTGGTTGCGAACTGAGAAGGTAGATGTGTGCGATGAAGTTTTTGTCATGCAGCCTATTTGCGCACTCCCTGCATCCAAACATGTCGATGCTCCTATGACTACTATTGTTGTGCCTGAGACCGACTCTAACTGATTGGCGACAATTGACCAAGGGGCTGTATTTTGGCTGAAGCCGTTCCTGATACATTACCTCGGAAGCGAGCTATTTCTTTTGTTTTTGCTTTCCTTCTTGTTTCATCCTTCTGTATATTTTCCACTTATTAATGTGTACGTTAGCATCTCATATCCTATTTGAATTTATCCTATCCGTTTTGTTACTATGGAGTACATCATTAAGGGTCCCTAGCGGAGCATGCACTCCAAAACCCACCGCCAACACATTGGTGGTATACTAGTCAAACAGTAGCTATATGACTTTCCTGGATGCAACTATATTTGGATCAGCATCAAATTAAGATATAGCTCCCTTTTTCAAATGATAGTTTCAAGTTATGTTAAATTTATTACTGCATTGAGTTAGCGGGCGGATCAAGCGGCTGCGAGTCACTAGTACATGTACGGACCCCGAAAATCGTTTCAATCTCTTCACTGCATTCCTTCGTGTTCGAGCTTCCTGGTCTAATGAGAACAGGCCAGGAGGCACATATTAACAAACGCAACTCATGATGTTTGTTTGGATGTCCAGGTACGTGTGTCCGCCACCGAAGAAAATATCTGCTATTCGCTCTACTAATCCCGATTTCCCAGGTTGCTATTGGCTCTGAATGTATTATCATTCATTCCCCAGTTTTATCGACTTTATAAGGCGAAAGCAATGGCAAATACCCCGTTGGTATATATTCTTTTCAATGTCATCAGCGCAACCGAGCAATGCGCTTTGTGCAACTTTTTCTTCCTCGTACTTCAGCGGGAATCTTCATCGCCTTTATCTCTCCAGATGTCTCAAGAATGGAGTCACCTTCATCGAGTGGCGATGACTTGGAGATTGCTATCAGTTGCTCTGTAAGTAGAATTTGACAAACTTCTATGGGCCCAGGCCTATGACAAAAAAGACAACAGCACTAATTAACCCTGACCAGATTCATGATGAGCGTGTACTACGCCTCTGGAACACGTTGGCGAAAATCGATCGCTGTATTTATCTGTATGTTTTTATCAGATCGCCTGAATCATCCTCGACCCGGCCGCCAAATGAGTAACCCGATAACGGCTGTTATTCATATGGCGCTCTTCCTCAACCCGGCCGTGACTTGTGTTACCTTGTATGGGTTATCCAAACGAACCCATCCAATGAAGCCGGACACTTCTTCCGTTTTGAGTCTAGTAGGCCTTGCTAGCCAAGCTGTTGTTCATGTCGCATTGTTCATTTCTATGCTTATGCTGCCGCCGATTCCACCTCGAAACGTTCCAATTCTTCTGTGGAAAAGCTTCTTTAACATATATAATTTGTATGGGTGGGCATTGATAGACAATGTTGTCTATGCCTTGATTCAAGGGAGATTGATTTGGATGGCTTTGCGAAATAGAAGAATCGGTTCCACCCAGGACCGAGAGGATGGCAATACAGAGAAGCCACAGCTTCGGGCCCCTATACTGGTGCTCGGACAAGCATTTACCTAGACCCGCCAGAAAGAAATATGTGGGGATTTATGATCAGGCTTAGCTCAAGGCCTGCGCAAGGTCAACCTCCGATCATCCTTTGTTGTTCTCTCATTGTGAAATTTAGAATTTCTCTGCATATTCAAGTAAATCCTGGAACTTTAGGAGGGCCAATTAAAAGCAGGCTAAGATCAGGAAGGGAAAGATCGAACGAAAGTGCTGCGCGATCTGAACGTTGGAGGGATGAACATTCATAGTTTATATTTCTGTCTTTCTTTTTTTAACTTTAACTTTTTATATTTCTCACAAATCGAAGGAATTGAAAAACTCCGAGGGATCCATAAATGCCTCGTTTACTTCATTACAGTAACTGGGCCACGTATCCAGATTGATCATATCAGTCCACGACCCAAGCATGTCTGTGCTGAGGTCATATGGTACGTATTCGTCAGTCGGAATACTACTATCCACAGAATGAGATGCACTATTGGCCAGTGAAGGGACCCCGGCTGATAAAGCAGAAGATGTTGAGATGCCCTGAGTGGGCTGACCGAATCCCAGAACTTGGACCAGAGTATCAACCTTGGTCAACAGCTGTTGAATCAGCACAGATGCTCGATTTGCCGGGGAATTTTCTTTGCTGACAGAGTTGAAGACTTCAAGCGCAAGATGAAGGTATTCTCTTGATCTTTGACAACGGTAGCAATAAGGATATGCGAGCATGAACCCAATTGTAGTTATCGCTGCATTCCACAAATATTGATATAACTCGGAGATGCCATGCAGAAAATCATGAATTGCCATGGTTTGATGGGTTATATTGATCATTATGAGAGCATGATTGAGTGCAGTTGCGGCATGGGCGTCTGCCTTCGGAGTCGATTTCGGGATAAGTGGGTAATTGGGGAACTGTATAAACACACGATGAAAACCGACCATGATATTATGATACTGAAGCAACAGCAAAGTGTTCAACAGGCCCACGGTGGAGCATTGTTCGGTTATCTGGACATCATTGTTCAGGGTCTCGATAGAATTGAGCAGTACATCAGGCACATTGAAATGCATGTTTTTGAAATATTTCTCTCGGGGCAGCTCATCGTGCCAATTTTGCAAGTGATATAGCGACGCTGACAGGGCGCTTGCTCGTAATTCAAGAAGTGCGGGCCCAGCTGTATCCTTCGGAAAAGACGAACAGTGGCGATCCATGGATTCATTCACCTTGAGGGCTGCCGCTGTGAGACGAACGGACTCGGTGTGATACAACAAACCATTCGAATGATGAACATCCTCTGGCTCCCTACTGGGCAAAAGATGTATTAATTCATCTATATTAGTGCTTACAGGTTTGCCCACGTGCCTGGAGCAGCGAAAGTCAAGATGGATAAGGGTCCACCAGACTCGCCGAAAGAGCTGGCATTCCCGGTATCCGCCATGTCGCTCATCCATATAGTTGAGAGACTGAGAAATTCGAAGCCCGAGCCCAACAATATTATATGCTGCTTGGTGATGACCCGTGTCAAGGAGATATAAAGCCAAATAGCAGTAGCATTGCATAGTGGATAAAGTCGGGTGCTCGAATATTGTAACTTGAGAGATAGCTGACAGCGAACGTTGAAAATACGACATGCCGACCAGTGTATCTTGTTTTTGAGAATGCGGCCAGTTGAGCCCAACAAGTCTGGTATATAGCCCAGAAGAATATATAGAATGTAAAGAATATGCCTTGATGGCATCTTGCAATGGCGAGGAAGTCCCATGAATATCCTCATTTGATGCACTCAAGTCTTCCCATTGAACAATGGGCATTCGTGACCGCAGACGGGTCCAGAAAATTTTCATGAGGTGTTTCGTCTGATGAGTTGACAAATCGCATTCTGCATGCTGTGTATGCTGCAAATTTCTGGTCGGGAATGGTGAATGCTGATCTGGATGCGGGCCGTCCGCGGATGTTGAACTGGGGGATATTTCAGACACACTGGAACAAAATGCATTCATACGGGCAATAAATCCCAGAATAGAGTCGGTTTTATGCGACGTCCATGCCAGATTTTCCGACGACGACGGCGTTGGAATTGAGGCTGTCGATGAGGGCAAAGCTGCCGCTAAGGGAGTGTTTTGTGTAAGCCGATCTGTGAGTTGAGCATCTGCCACAGCCACTCTCCGCGCTACACTTTTTCTTTTGGTAGTTTGTGAAGAACGAGACCGGTTACAAGTAACACTGTTGGCCACGCATTGTGGGCACGGCGTGGCTGCTTCGCATCGCACGCGATGCTCACGGCAAAAGTCGCATGCCTTGGCAATTTTGCGACGCCGCGCGGAAAGTCCTGCTAACGGAGAAGTATGCATCGTATTTTCAGGCTTTCCGCAATCTTCACTTGCTAGTGGGTGTTGTTGAGGGTAGGAGAAAGCCAATAATGCGCAAAGGAAGTCTTGATGGTGGTTCCGACCGGAGCAGGAGCATTCCAGGCTGACTGGAGATCGCATTCGTTCCGATTGGCTATCAGTATCCACCTTGGACGGCCATTGACTGCTCCATGGGACCCACTTCTGAAGATGAGACCAATTGGAATCGCTGGAAGCTATACACTGTGATCAACTAATCTGCATTACCAATAGAGAAGTTCGAAGAATTTGGATTGTGCACATTGTCCAAAGCCGACATATAAAAGCCACAAGAGCCTACGTGATATTTTGGCTTCATCAAGTTCAAGTTCAAGTTTATCATACTAATACGCTCTGAATCAATCCCGATTCTTAGAGCTGAATTCTCGAACATCTCTCAACATGCCTCAACAGACCGTCTATCGACTCCCCACCAGAAACGCCATTGAGGATATCACTTGCAACCATGAAGATATTCCTAAACCTCTCAGCCATGAAGTCTTGATCAAAGTTCGTGCCATCGCGCTCAATTCGAGGGACTGCCAGATCGCTACATCAAAATATCCTTTCCCCATCAAAGAGAATGTCGTCCCAGGATCCGACGCTGCTGGTGACATCGTGGAAGTTGGTGATTTAGTGAACGACTTTGCGAAAGGAGATCGAGTGGTCGTTTGCTTTGACCAGACCAGGCTGTATGGGCCGTCCACCCACCCCGTTGCTGGTCAATCTGGCGGCGGCGTGGATGGTGTGATGGCCCAGTATATCACACGGCCAGCATCCGCTGTTGTTAAAATCCCACCCGGATCTCCTCAAACGTATAGTGAGCTGGCAACACTTGTGTGTACTGGAGTCACAGCCTGGAATGCTCTGTACGGAAATAAGCCATTGGTGCCTGGCCAAGTCGTCCTGGTTCAAGGTATGTGAACAAACCATTGCTGATACTACTATGGAATCTTGCTAAAACGAAATAATAGGCACTGGCGGTACCTCCATGACTGCCTTAGTTCTAGCTAAAGCCGCCGGCGCGATGACAATTGTTACCTCATCCAGCGAGGAAAAGCTGAAATTCGTCAAAGAAAAGTTCAACCCGGACTGGTGCATCAACTACTCCAAGACACCTGACTGGGGAGCAGAGGCTATGCGACTTACTGGAGGGAAAGGTGTCGATCATATTGTGGAAATTGGTGGCGCCGGAACTATCGAACAAAGCTTGTCGGCGGTCGCACGAGGAGGTGTGATCAGCATCATCGGTTATCTTGCCCAAGGTGACCCCAAAATGACAGCCGATATTCTTATTCTCGCTCTTGGGAAAGAAGCAGTCTTGCGTGGCTTAATTGTTGGTCCTAAGAGCATGCTGGGCGAACTGGTAACTTTTACGTCGAGGAGGCAGTTGAGATTCTACGTCGGCAAGGAGTATGGTTTCACTCGGGATGAGGTTTTGGCTGCATACCATGCAGTCGGGTGTGGAAAGTACATCGGAAAAATTTGCATTGTTGTTGAGTGATAGACGCTCAATCAAAGAGAAGCTACTACAAGCTGAGCTCCTCTGTCGAAACCGAGCGAAAAGGTTGTTCCTTTTGGAGCCAGTCAACAAAGACATTCTTCTATCATATTTTGAATCTTGATAACTTTCAATCACAATTATCGCTTTTTCTTAATGAACTCCAAATCTAGCTTAGCTTACACAGATTCTCTTGCAGAGCTATCTCATCTGTACCAAAAAAGGAACCTTGGAAGACACCTGAGTATTGCTATCACTATTATCTTCTTGCTTTGAGCAGAAACAAAGAATTACTCTTGGGTTTTCGGGTTTGATTCGGATTCCGTACAGAGAAGTGAAATATAACAAAGCTTGAGCACGAAACAGGTAGATCGCAAGGTTCTTTTCTCCAAATAAGGCGTGAGGCTCCCATGCTTGTATCCACAAAGTCAAAGTAGAACAAAAGCATACCTACAGTACAAATTTCCACGGAGCTGGCTGGTACCAGTATCCATATGATTCCTAATCCCCATTCAAAGTCTGCTTTAACCCTGGAAAGGAGTCGAATTTGCCGGACAGGTCCGGTTTGCTCGTGGTACCTGACCTCTCATATAATTCTTAATCTTTTCTTTCGTACACTGAGATAGATCATCAAAAGCGGTATGCTGTACAATGTCAATATCCTGATAAATATATTCGAAGCTTTGCACTTACTCCCACTGAGGCCTGTTCCAGCACAACTGAGCCAGGAAAAACAGAGGACATCTTGTAGGCACTTCGAAGTACTATATCAGCAAAGGAAGCTTTTATATGATGAATCCATAAATGAAAACTTACTCTCTTCTAGGTGTAACGGGGTCAATTTCGGAGGTGATGAATAAGATTGGGAAGGAAGTGTTCCTAGTTTCCATCATGGAGCCTGTCTTCGGTTAGATGAAGCTTGAAATCGGTTGGATCCATGCATAACATACCAGTGACCCTCGCACTTTTGGGTGGTATTGCATCCAGAGACCGACATAGTACAGTTGCGGCAGTCTGAGGCCAAACCTCGCCGAAGAATGGACTCTTATCCTCCAAATCGTTGACATACTGACGATACTGCTCTATATCGTCAAACTTTAACCCATCCCATGCATCAACACATTTGATTAATATTAAAGGATCACCTGATGACCCGTCAGTACCATTGCTGCATGGGTTCACTGGCCCACTGGCAATATCCATAACGGTAAGATATCCTGAAGTATTTCTCCGTTCTAGATCAGAGAACGCATCTGCCAGAGTTGGGAACTCTGATGGACTGTACATTATTTCCAACGCCATCTGCTTTAGCTCGGAATATGTTGCCATCGTCGGGACTGAGCACCTTTCCGTGCTTGGGATGGGGATTGGGTTATATTTCAGATCAGCGAAGATGTTGTTTAAGCGGGTAGTGATATTTGACACCGATGGACCCCAGAAGGAACAATTCTCCTTTCCCCCTTGGTAACAGTACCTAGAGAAGGAGGCCAGTGCTTTATCTGTATCGTACACACTAGTCTTCCATGCCCCGTCATAGTAGTCCGATAAAGCGAAAACGCCATCGAGAACCATTCGTTCCACGTTGTCTGGAAACATAGATGCAAATGTGGCTCCGAGAACCGTGCCGTAGCTCAGACCGTAGTATGCGACTTTAGCGTCGTTTGATGACTTTCCGGCTGCTATCTGCTCTGTCTTGGCGTAAGTGAGCATATCCTGAGCTACCGCAGGCGTACTGATAAATGAGGCATTTCCATCAACGCCCCCTATGCTCGATGAGCATGCTTGGCCAAATAATTCTGCTGAGTAGTATTGCATACTAAGTGCGGTTGTAGAAGCATTCGCAACCTCGGGGTAGAAAAACGTTTCGAATTTGCCTCGTCTTTCGGGGTGATTCGGCCAGCAATCGATCACCGGGCCACTTCTGCTAACACCGCGCGGATCAAAGCCGACGATATTGTAATTGTCTCCAAATATTTCTTGTATCATTGACCCCGCTCCTAGAGCTAAATCGATACCGGACTCTCCTGGTCCGCCTGTTCCTTATCGTTAGATTGTCATGGAAGATATGGACCGAGTCTTTAAAAGGGTGGCCCACCAGGGTTGACAAGTAGATTCTTAGTGTTGCTTGTAGCATTCTTTGCAGCAAACTTGATAAATGCAACTGCGGTTTTTCCTTTTGAGTGGTCACCATAGTCTAGGGGGACTTCGAGCCGTGCGCAGGTAAAATCCTGGTAACACTTGACCCATTCGATATTGGATGACGGAGTGATCTGGCTTTGTTAGAATTAGGCTCTCTATGTCTTATTCAATCAAAAAGACCCTACCGAGGACCAGTCAAAGTCCGATTCACTTGAAGAAGAGTCTCGAGTTAGCACCCTGGGACGTAAAAATTGCGCAGAGGACAACGGGAAGAATGGAAGCAAGTTTTTCAATATAGTAAACGCCCTCATCTTGTCAAGATCAAGTTCTAGCAATAAAAATATTGAATAGTAAAAAATTTATCTTGCCAGGGAATCTTCAAGGTTGGAAAAGGGGGTTGGTCTTTAAATTATACTCCTGCTTCATGGGTGTACTAGTATCAAGATACATAATCTGCTGCGGTCGATTCGAACTCCACAATAGGCACCCCTTTTATTCTGATCGGTACAGAAGGATGCATTTATTTGCTCCAGATCCCTGAAGATCATGCCTCTTTTTAAAACCTCGATGTATGGCGACTCTGATTGGTTGATTTGTTTAGGGAGCACCTTTTGGTCAGTGAAGTGTGGTTCAAATGTTGCCCCCGCTTGGCCGTATTATATCTTATAAGGTATTACATTTCAGCGTCCAATCAGTCATTGTGAAACACCAGTAGATCGCTATAAAACGCTATAAAACGCTCTAGACAGGCTCTCGAATGTGTGGGGAGAGGCCCGGAGATCTGGCTTAGACGATTAAATCTAGTCAGATCCTGGATTCCATCAAGCCCTTCGCGCTTGTCCACAATGCATGCATTCCCTATCTCGCAAATCAGCATTCTTCCCCCGTGGAGACGGCATCATGATCATCCTTCTCCCAGGAGTGCCTTTCTAATATTAGTATCTCTCCCGTTGGATTTTCTAGGCAGAACTTTTGACTCAATCCCCTCGCACATATTGCCCGGGTGGACCCCGTGGACCCCGGGGCCGTTGAGGGGCGCCCTGGGGCCGCCAAAGGGAGTAGTCCAAGTCCAAAGTTGTGAAAGGTCCACGTCCTGACACTCTGCACTTGAACTCTTACAAAGTTCACCAACCATCACCTGGTGCTTCTTTCCCCAGCAACAACTATGTCGTCTGTTGGAAGCCTCCTTGTATCCCGAGAAGCGGAACTGGTCTACTCTCGATCCCCAGCCTACCCCAGGGAGCACTCTCAGACACATAAGACGATGGTTCATTTTCAAATTGCCCTATTTCTCGTGGTATTTGGGGTACTTTTGCCTGTGAGTTAAAATGCTGGGAATAATAGTGAGTATATAAACTTATAATGAATGTCCTCACAGTTTGCCTACGTCTCCTCTGTTGTTAAAACTCTGGCTGAGGTTGAAGACTCCAACTCGAACTCCTACATCCGCCTAGAGGACCATGGCTCGAATCCTACTTAAAACGATGATGAAGATCTAGAACCATCAGATTCAAAGCCTATAACTGCTGGATTCCGATCGACTGTTAGATACTTACGCGCTCGTGGTGGTATCTGGGCTTGCTTCCGTGGATTTGGCATGTTCCTCACCTTCTCTGGAACTGAGACGGTCCTGAGCCTCCTCTTCACATTAATTCCAGGAGTTTTGATGAAGACAGCTATTCAGCACCCCTTTGCGCAACTTGCAAGCTGGCAAATCCTTGGTAGTTTGCTCACAGCCACTTGGCGTATGGCTTGGGTCCATCAAGTGATCGCCGACAAATCACACAGAAGCCGCTACCGGCGAATGCTTGGTTACCAGTATTGGCCCAAAATAGCGCCTGCAGCTGCTTTACAATCCATTTCAACGTGTGCAGCTCTCGTAATTTTTGCAACAGCCTTAAAATTCGGTCAAGATTTCTCCCTGACTATTGGCCGCACTCATAAAAATGCGACATATGAACCGACCCTTGTTTTCTTGGCTATTTTCATCACCGCTAGTATGTTGATCCCCCTTCCTGCTACGGTAATTTTTTCTCGCGTGGCTGCTTCAATGTTACCTGCGGAAGATGACCCAATCGTACCTTTTGACCGCACCTTTGGCGGTAGGGTGAAACCTGAATCGCTGGGTGGCAATGGTAGAGTTGAGATTAGTGATGCCTTGAAGACTTTTGGTAAGTCTGCTTGGATTCGCTATGTCAAGTTAAACTTGAAAGTTTATTGGATTACTGTCGCTTCTTCTGCGGCAGTGGCTTTCCTTTTAATCTTCTCGAGTGTGCTTGGTCTAGCTTTTGAGTCACTTCGCATATTTACTCATTCCACTGGCAAATTCACCGCTGGTCGGTTGGTTTAAAGAGCTTATAGGATTTTATGATCATGCATTGATATGCCAATGGTGCCATTCCGGGGCCGTGTAATCTACTCTTACATCCACACGGCAGAAATGTTCAAAATCCATTGTACAATCTGGTGGGGTTCTACTCCGCGATTACAGTCAGTTACAAAAGGATAACCATAGTGCTAGGCACTGGGCCAATGGCTTTTCATACAGCACACGGCCCAAAGGCAAGGTACTGTGGTACAGGAATGATCATTGCTTGCGGATTGTATCCATGGGTAATTATGGCAAAACAAAAACAGAAACAAAATGAAAGTGACCAAACCCGGGCTCGATCCGAGGACCTTATCGGTAAGGAAGTCAAGTGACTGTTAACGATACGTGATAACCAGAGGGTGACAGCGGAAAAACCACGATTCTGACGATTCTGTAGTGGCACTACTCTATGAGAATCGTGGCATTTAATAGGAGAACCATAGCTCCTCCACCTAGATAGACTAGTATCACCAGACCTATCTAAATCGCCTGACACTAGAAATACACTATTTGTTTCATCGAAATACCTCTTAAGAAAATTTTCGGCCTTAGAAACCCCACGGCGTCTCCATTATAGGTCCAACGCTATAAATAATACTATATACCCGCCGATCGTAAAGTAACCCCCTTCACACGTAGTATTCTCTTATATCTACTTTTTTTTTAGGATTAATTTTTTTTTATTGGAATCTCTAATATACCCCCGAGATTTAAACAAAACTATAAAGAAATCAAGAAAGATATTAACTAGGCTAAGTATCTTAATTAAAATAACAACAATTCTCTATCTAAGAAAAAGTATAAGCCTTAAATAGAAAAAAAAATAGAAGAAATTGGGCTTATTTTTAAATTATATATTATCTAATACTTTAAACTAGATTAAGTAACTAACTATAGTAGATAATTAGAGATAGTCCTTAAGAGTTTAGACTATAAATATTAGTTAAAGAAAAGATTTACTCTCTAGTTAATCTATATTTTCCTTAAATAGTATATTAAATATTATAATATAGAATACTATTTATTGCTCTAGACTATAGCTTAATTCTTTATAATATATTATAACTAAGAGAGAGAAGAATTAGTTCCTTTAGATATTTAAGGTATAATAAAGGATATAAGTCTTAAATAGCCTTATATTGAATCCCTTTCTAATATTTCTAAGCTTATATATAAATTAGTAGAAAAACATTCTTTTTATAAAAAGAAGAAAGACTAGTCTTTATTTAATATTAATAATATATTATATATAATATACTATCTGCTTACCTGGTCCAAAATCTCCTTTCTAACTATAAGATTAATTTTTTAACTAAATATACTCTAAAAAATAATGATTTATATAACTATACACCTAGGGATATTAGTGGAATTAGAGGGGTATAATAACTCTCTTAAGTAGAAGGATATTAAGCTTTTTATAGTTAAAGAACTAGGAAATCTAGATTCTAAGATTCTTCTTATAAAAGTATAATATAGGCTGTTTAAGGGTTAAAGAAACGAAGGGATTAGGTAATTTATACTCTCCTACTATTTAATAATTAGTATAGACTAAATAATATATTAAGCCTAATCTTTATATATATAGAAAGAAATAATAATCTTAGGCTATATATTATTCAAGATATTCTTATCTTTGCTTTTAAGAATAATATCTTCTCTAGTAAAAATATTCAAACCTCCTGAGATATCTAGACTCTTACTACACTACCTAGCTATCAACTAAATACTCCTATTCATTAGAAATCAACTATAATAGAGATACCTATACTACAATATACTATATAAAATAAAGCTAATATCTATATTACTAATCCTAAATATGGTATTCTATATATATAAATAGCTCTCTAAGAAAAGAATATTAGTATAGAAGCAGGATTTCTAAATAAAAGAAGTCTCTATAAATATCGAAAGGGCGCTATAGGAAATATTAGTATAGTAAAAGCTTAGCTTATACTACTTTTTATTAACTAATATACTATAATAGAGAATCTTAATAAATATTCTAAGAACTGTATTATAGAATATACTTATAGAGGAATATTTGTATATTATATCTTAAGTTATATCCTTATAATATCTAATTAAGATTTATAGAGACCTCTAAACAAAAGCTACTACTTAATCTTACTACTTATATAAGTATAATATAAGATCTATTAGGACTATAATCCCTTATAACAACTTAGAAAGAAAGGATTAAAATAAATAAAGTAATATAATAAAAGAAAAAGAAGGCTATAGTACTTTATAAAAGTCTTATTAAAGATTTTATCTAACTAAAAGTTACTAAGCAAGCTAAGGATAAACACTATAATAAACTTATTAAACTTTAAGATAGTATTAAATCAATAAGAAAGTAAGAGAGTAATAAATTACTAAAGTTAGAGAGAGTTAGATTTTTTAAAGAAGTTAAAGATTATATTATCTAAGGAAATCTTAAAGGGAAACCTATTAAATATAAGTCTAATACAAATTATATATAGAAAGAGAGAAAAGAGCTAGCTAATCTTAAATTTTAGAATAGAGATTATAATAGTATAGAGACTAACTATCTAATTAAAGATTATATTTACTTATTAGAAATATAGCTTAAGATAGCTATAATCGTTATCCCTAGTACCTTAAAATACTATATTTATTATAAAGATCAGTCCAAAACCAAGCCTTTAATAAAACTAAAGATCTTTCTTAATAATTTAAAGAGTAACCAGAATTCCTCTTTAGAAAAGTTTATAGTTGCTCCCTATAAAAAACCTGTACTAGTCCTCCAATATCTAGAATACCCTAAAGATATTACTCTTTACTATATAGTAATAAATTATATTTATACCTATAAGGATATACTCTAAAAGTATTTCAGGACCTATCGGCTACCTAACTTCTTCTAACCTTCTTACTAATATAGTATACTAGGTTATATTTCTTCCTTTCTATTACTTACTAGATATTAATGTTATCTTAGTAATTACTATATAATCTATTTATAAATTTATCTACTACTATACTATAATAGAATAACGTATATATATATATTATAGCTATTAAATTTATTCCTTTTCAAATAAATCTAATAACATAACCCCTTATTTATTATATATAACTAGTACTACTATAAAGATAATATAATATATAATAGGTTTTAACAATTATATTAGTTCCCCTATAAAAAGTTAGAACCCTACTATCTTCCCAGAAGGTACTATAATTATCCTTTTTGTAGTAATAATTATTATAGATACTATGGTTATCCTATTTATTATAGAAAATCATAGTATACCCTAAGCTTAAAGTCTAAATCTATCTATAATCTAAGATTTAATTTATTACTTCTAATTGTTTCCTTAAGTTACTTACTTTCTTCTTAACTTATATTTTAAATATATCCTCTTTAAATAGATATAAATATACTTAGGCCTCTGTCTCTATACTATAAGATAACCAAATGGTTTTAGTTCTTACTAGATCTTCTTATATTAGTCTATTAATACTATCTCCCCCTAGACCTAGTCTAAGTCTATTTAGAGACTCCTCTTAACTAGTAGTCTAGATAAATAGCTAGTATCCTCCTATTCCTCCTAATACTTTTAGAGTACTATCTACCTAAGCTGATATTAATTATAGATACTTCCTACTATATCCTATATAGTTAACTTATATAACTTCTTTCTCTAGTACTACTAATTAGCCCTAACCGATATCTACTAGTAGCTTATTTAGAATACCTGCTATTTATAAAGCAAAGCTACTCCCTATTACTAGTTTAATTAACTATAAACCCTAAGAAGAAAAGTAAGGCTAAGAGATCGACAATAATAAGAGTAAAACCAAGAAAGTAAAGTCTATCTGATTAGTAGACTAGGGTGATTTAATAAGGACTTTATATAGAAAGGAGATATATCTAATAGAGAGAATAAATAGTAGTATAGTTTTAGAAAATACTATTCTTTTAATAAGATTTAAATATTTCTAGTAACCTATTTCTTAACCTTTCCTATTAAGTAACTAAGCCTATTAATAACTCTCTATATATCTTAGACAACTAATCTATAAGTAGTGTTCTTTAATTACTCTTTAGCTATATATTAATTAGTCTTATAAAGAAGGGATAGGTACTATTCTTTTTTAACTTACCTATAGAAAGAGTGGATCACTTGAAAAAATATAAACTTTATAGTAGCTTATTAGATACTGTATAAAGCTAAGATAAAAGGCTCAAAAGCTCTCTCTAATCGATAGTAGTAGTGATACTATGATCTTAGTGTTCTCTAGTAATTATTGCTATTCTAGCTTATAAAGTAGCTAAATCTTAGGTAATAAGATCTTAGAGCTCTATTTTAGTCGCCTAAAGGAACTTTAAATTAATAGTTATTAAGTGCACTATACCTAGGACTAATAATAAAATAAATATTTTTAATATAATAAGGTTAACTAGTAGGGATAATATCCTTTTCTTTAGACTATCTAGATATTTAAATCATAAACCTACCTATAGATTTATACTTAGTTTAGTTAGATATATATAATTAGGATTACTAAGAAAAGTTATTACTTAGCCTACCTAACTAACTATTCCTATTTTAGTGATCCTATACTCAGCTTATATGACTAACCATTCTAAATTTAGTAATATTATATATATAGTAGAAGTATGGCTAGTTTTTTTAGGCTTTATAACTTTTAAGGCCTATATATCTATAATATAGTATAAAGTAATACTCTACCTATAAAATAGATACTGCTCCAACAAGATAGAAGCTAGTAATGATGCTTCCTAATGAATTACACCCCCTAGAAGGATTAATAAAGATTTTGAATTAGTTGTATATATCTATTCTAAAAAGACTACTTCTTAATAAAAACTAAAAAATAGTTAGATTATATGAATTTAATATAAAGACTATTAATATCCTTTAGTTAATACTATAATAAGAGGCCTAGATAATATGATTATTATAGTAGTCTAACTTAATTCTAACTAAGTTAATCTAGTTATTATTATATTAAACATTACTTAAGTTTATTAGAGTTATAATTATCTAGATATTAATTACTTTTCTATTAATAATCTAATTATCTAATATTAAAGGGAGAGTAAAAAGACTTTCGATACTTTTAAATACTATATTGGAAAGAAGGTTTTTAAATACTACCGGTGAGAGTTTTTAAGAACCTATAGTATATAGGAAAATATACTATCCTTATATTCTTACTATATTTAGGATTAGCTTATTAGAAGAGTCTTATATCTAAATAATATACTAGGAATAAATACTTAGAGGATATATAGATAGTAGAAGTAACCTACTCTTCTAAAGCTAATATTTACTAGTTTAATTTATATAGAATATTTTTGCTTACTACTTAAGTAGCCTTAAAAAGTATATTTATATTAGTCTCTAAGATACCTAATCTTTTAAATTATCTTAAAATAGGGCTTTTAATATATTATATATATATTGATAAAGCTATAGTAATAATTATAATATAAATGAATTAAGAGTTACTTATATAGTTGGTTATTATAACTTAGATTTTTAATATAACTAAGATTCCCGCTTTGTCTATATTACTAACTAAACTTCTTTCTTATTTAATAGAAGATTTAGTCTTAATCCTGCCGGCAATATTATATCAGTATCTTAAAGTGTGAGGTAAAGAGTATAGTAACCAAAAGATATAAAGATATAAAGTATTTTTAATAGGCTTGTATGGTAAGTCTATAATAACCCTTAATTAATTAATATTAGGTTGACTAGATTTCAGTAAATATTATGGCTATTATTTAATTAATTTTGAAAAGAAAGGGGCTAGGGCTATCTTAGAGTTTGGAAAGTTATATTTACGATCTGTCTAGTAAGGTTATAATACTTTATAAGCTAAACGAATTGATTCGAAATAGTAAATACTTAGTGGTAGAAACTATAGGCTAGAGATAAATAGGATTTACTACTTTAGTATAGACTAAAATCTAATAAATATTGCTATACCTAGTAGTAAGAGTATTAGATCCTATATATTTAAAAATAGATCTAAGCTTTGTTAGACTTCTATTAGATAATATTTAAGACTAAATATACTTTAGTACCCTAAGTCTACCTTGATTAGTATATATATTAGCTCTTATAAAAATATAAATTCTTATCTTTACTATCTTTGTTCTTAATAACTTGACCTAATTTTTCTATCTATTTATTATAACTTCTTACTAAACTAAAAGCAATAAGAAGATATAAGATAGTAATTAAATTTCCTATTTCTCTTAAAGATATCTCTTTAGAATATTAGCTCTAACTTCTATAATTAGGAACTAAAAGAGCTAATATACTTACCCTAGACTTATTAGAAGATATTTCTCCTAGACCAGAATTCTAAGAGAGACTAGTATATATATATAATATACTAGTAATTATTAAATAGAAAGAGATTAAAACCTCTAATCACCTAGTATATACCTTAATAAATAACTAAAGCTATAACTAGTCTATATCTTATATAGTTTATATTAAAGAGTTATTAGTAGGAGGATAGCTTCTTCTTAGTTAAGTCATACCTTAAAATTCCTTTTAGTAATCTTTTTAATAATCTAAGCGCTTAATACTAGTATTTTACCTATCCTTCCCTAGTAATAGAAGAAAGACTAATTATAATTTGAACCCTAAGTTAATTTTAGAATTAGAGTTACTATTTACTATAATCTATAAGGAACCTAGTAAGTATAGTAAATATAATCATATTATTCTATAAATAAATAATATAGGTACTTATTCTGATTTAGTGCTATAAGACGTCTAGAAATTATTAGAAAATATATATAGACCTACTATAATAGGAGGGTCTAGGTTAAAAAATGTTTACCTCCCTATATTCTAATTATAGATAACCTACTTTATATAAATTAATATATATATACTTTTAAATATTATATTGGAAGGAAGGTATCATCTTAATATATAAGAAAATATACTAAAAAAGAGAAAGATCGCTTATTGAAATATTTCGCAGGAAGTGGCGTATGCCATTTTGAATTTTGAATTTTTTTTTTTAAAAAAAAAGAATAGTGGAATAAAAAGAAGAGAGTCTGATTTGGCGTGGAGAAAAAATTTTAACTAGACCCGGGTTCGATCCGAGGACCTTATCGGTATTAATAATATATAATAACTAACTATACTATCCAGCTAAAGATATAAATCATATCCTTTATTAGTATTAGACACTAAATTTGTTTTAATATTATTATATAAATTCGCTTAAAAGCTTATTAAACTATACTAGATCTAGGTTTATAGTAAAGATTAGCCCTAATTTTTATTATATATATTTATCCTATAAAAATATTAAAAGAATTACTAAGGGTTACCTAGGTGTTGTAAAGTTACTGATAGTATATATACTTTATTAAAGTAAAATAGAGGTAAGTAATAGCTAGTATATATCCTATATCTCTAGTATAGAGCTATTTATTATTATAAACTAAAGGACATTACCTTTAATTAAATAGACTAGTAATAGTTCCCTATATATAGATAACTAATAATTATATTCAGGTTTATAAGATCTCTATAAATATATTAAATATTATTAATCACTTTTTGGCTTTATTTATCTTAGTCTTTTAAATTAATTAATAACCACTAGTAATAACTAATTTAGTAGACTAGTGAATGATTATACTATATTAATACTTATAGATAGTTAGGGTTAGTACCTAAGGATATTAAAACAATATATAGAGAATTTAAATTTAAAATTCTAGCTACTAGAATATTCTATTAATTATAAATCAATAGAACTTAACTTTCTCTTTACTACTAGTACTTGTAATCCTAGTAGCTTTAGTCAATATTTTAAAGTATAGCAATAAAAGTCAGGATATTCTTATATTGAAGATCTTTATAAATAATCCTAAATCCTTTAATCTCCTTATTCACTCTATAGATCTTATTATAGAGCCGAGTTATAAGCTCTATTATTATTATATATTTACCTTCCTAACCTATTAAAAATATATGGCGGATTAGCCTAGCTCTATAAAGAATATAAATTTTAACTAAGTTAATTTTACCTAAGAAAATAGATATAGTAGACCCTTAAGCTAGTAGATCTACTCTTTAGTAGTAACTTCTTTCTATTAGTCTAATATAGTACTCTTATCGAAAATAGTATACCTATATATTAGATAGTTTGGTTTAAATAGTGTACTATATACTCTATATTTCCTAATAGGGCTTAAAGAAAATCTACTTTTGATATATAGGCTATATAATGGTATTTATCGTAATTTAGGATGATTCAGTCCCTCGAAAACTTTAGTTAAAAATTTTGGCCTCATATAGTAATAGGAAATCTTGATTATATATATTAGTAATAAGTAGATATAACTTAAAAAAGTTAGCAAAATTCGTAAAGAGTGAGAGAGTGCCTATAGAAGGCTTATAGTATAATAATTTTAACCTAGGAAGCCAAATATAAGCTCTTAAATTAGTATAAGAGCTAATAGAGGATACAAAAAGTATAGATCTACAATCCAATCTTTCAGAGTTATTTAATCTAGTTTATTTAGACAAATTTTTATATCTACAGTATTCTAAGTTCCTTTTAGTCCTGGACAAGGCTTAAATTATTTCCTCCACTCTCTATTAATACCTAAGTAATATATATAGCCAACTAATATTGAAAAAAGAATAAATATCCTCTCCCACTAGTTAAAGACTATATCTATTAACTAATATTACCTAAGTATCCAGTATCCAGTATATTATAGTTAATCACTTATATTTTTGTATATAGTTTAGATAGATAGCCCAGAGCCTAAGATATCTTTAATAAAAAGAGACAAATAGAAGCTTTAGGAACTTTTATAAGCTTAGCTTACTAGTTATTTACAATTCTTCTTCGACTAGCTTAATTATCAACAACTTATTGTTTTCTATAGACTTTCTACCCTACTATAGTACTTATATATACTTTTGTCGGTTACAAAAAATAACCCCCTCTTTTATAACCAGTTAAGTTAATATTATTTTTATTTATAAGGAGGGAGTTTCTTTAGGATAGTATTAATCTAGATAAGTTATCTAGATTCTTACCTAAAATAAAGAAGATCTATTTTAATTAGTATAGTTACTAATATCCTATTTTAAATAAATAGATATAGGGATATAGAAAAAAACAGTCTGATAAAGCTTATAACTTAGACTAATAGCTTTCTTTACTCTAAATAATAGAGAATTGTTCTTCTTTTTTTTTCTCTAGGTTGGTATAGCTACTCGGTCTATATTAATAAGTCTTATATAAGATAAGTTAGGTTTAGATAAAGGAGACAACAATTAGTATAATAACTAGAATTCAAAGTAAACCTTAAAATATAGAGTAAGTTAACTCTTTTTCTATAGCTTGTTGCTAATTATCTATTTAAGGGTGTCTAAAAGCTCTATATAATTAACTATAACTAGTTATCTTAGGCTATATAGACCTAGAGGAAAGGACTAGATATTAATAAAGATAGTGAAATATTATATGATATATTACCCTTATATATAATATATAGCTTTAGTCTTTAATAAGCAGTTAGCTTCAGTAGGTAGTTAGTTAATCTAGGCTTATATAGTATATAGTAAGAACCTCTTTTTGATTAGCTTTCTAAATTTTATAATATATTTCAGACTAGAGGCTAATTTTTCTTATCGATAAACAAGATAGTATAAAGATCTTTAGTAAGCCTAGCCTATTATTTATATTTTCTATACTATTTAATATATCTATAATTAAATCCCCTCTACCCTTATTGAATTCTTGTAGTATAAGTATAGAACTAAATACTCCTGAGCTAATTAATAATAATACTAGCTTTACTAAACTTCTTCCTTTAAATAATCTTATTTACCTAGTACTTAAGATAACTACTTATTAGGACTTAGAGTATTATTAAAAGTTTATTAGTAAAATAGTCCTTAATAATAAGGTTATTAATTACTTTAATCTATTACTAGATATTTTACCTAATTTCGTGTATATTAGATAGAGAATTAGTAAAGGCTATGATTTATTGAAGAATCGGGGTATAGACCTTCTCCTAGGCTTTAATTATAATGGTTACTAAGTTGTCAGGCTAGAGACCTATAACTAGGTAAGGATATCAGATAGTAGAGATCAAATAGAACAGTTAATATATAGAACTGATTCTTATAGGATAAGAATCGTAGCTATTGTTTGTATATTTTAATATTGCTAAAGCTTACTAAGACTTAGGGCAGTTATATATTAGTAGATATATTATAGTAGATTCGCTTATAGAGCGATTATAAATTATATCTGAATTATACCTAAAGGGATTTAGGAATCCTATAATAATTTATCCTCCCCTTTTAATAATAGTTAACTTAACTATCTATATAACTTATATTTAATTAGGTAATTTATATCTAATAGTATTATACTAAATAAAGATTCTAAGACTAATACTATCTTAGGTATCTTTATATATAGATATAAATAAAGTAATATAGATTCTTTAATATCTTTAAGATAAGAGCTTCTCTCCTATTTTTTTAACTCTTATCTTTTCTCTTTTCTTAGCTCTTAATTCTCGACTCTCTATCTTCTTACTCTCTATTTTTATCTTATTTTGTTTTAATATATCTAAGACTACTACTTCTAGTATTTTTAGTAATCCTCCTTATTATAGTAATTATTATATAACTAGAGATAAAGATTAAACTAGAGATAAAGATTAAACTAGAGATAAAGATAATAATAATAGTAATAGAGATAATAGGATTAATAGAAGTAATAAGAGTATTGTCTGACACGGTGAGCGGGGCGCCACGAACGGCGCCCATTGCATCGCCCTTCTGCCGCCCCCGACCGCCTACCGGTCTCCGCCACGCCCCTGCCTGTTCGGGTATGGCGCGCGTCCCGGGGCCCTCGTTTGGGCTTAGTGCCACCCGTGGCCGCTTTTACCGCCCCCGTCGTCTGCCATCCATCTATAAAACACCGCTCGCCCTCCTCCGGGCCTTGTCGACGCACTTTCTTTCTCTTTCACCCACCATCTGCCCTTGGTGACCCCTATCCTTGCCGGCCCCACCGATTCCTGCGCATTGACTTTCAGCTCGATGCACTGCCCCCTTTTGTTTCACCGGAGAATGCCGCTCTATCCAGTCACCCTGGAGGAGAACCTCCTGGGGTGGTCCATGATTCCCACCTTTCTGTGAGCTTGCAATTGCGCGGTCACCCTCCTGTGGCTGTGTGTGAAGTCTCTCTTGCTATGTCTATCCTACAGAAATCGCCGTGGATCATACTACGAGGCTGTCTCGATTGCCTGCCGTTCGCAAAACCTTTCCGTTGAAGGTCGCCGACTTCCCTTGTTCCGACGCATCCCCAGTGGCTTCCCTCAACAATCTGTGCCCCGCGCCATCCGCCTCATCTGACGCCCCATCAAGGTTACATCGCGTTCTGGCGCTGTGGATCTACGCTCTGTCGCATGCTTTCGAACGCCCTGGCCTCACCATTGTCGTCATCGTCTGCTTCTCCGGGCCGTTCGCAACCAATTGATGGAAATCAACAGCATGCCACGGTGATGAGAGCCAATAGCGAAAATCCCGCACACTCGCCTGACCCATGTCAATGCTTCATCATGAGGTGGATTCCTGGTCAGACTCGGGCAAGACCCCTCCGATAAGGCAACCTGGCGATTGGAGGACAGAGCTGGGGACGAGCGTGAACGTGGATTACTTGGCCGTGGATTACTTGGCCGTGGGCCATTGGCGAGATATGTGATGATTTTAGGTCCGCAGGTGCGGGAATCGTAATCTCGCAAATTTTCATGCAGCGGCATGGGCTGTAGGAGCTGGTCATTCCTGCGCGGTGAAAAAGCCGACTACGTCTCACGGTCTATAAAAGAGACTACGATTCCACGCAAATGGCAAAATCTCAAAGTCAAGCCTCTCAAGTTCTCCCCAACTTTCCCCTTCCCACTCTACCCGGTACCTCTCCCCCTACCCAAGCCCTCGTCTCGGTTTCTCTATTTCTACCAGTGGTCCCAATCTCCACATGCAGGAAACTCGCTCAGCTGCCCTTTCTTCTTTTTAATTTTTTTCTTGGACAATATGGCTTTCAATAGTTCTCGCTTGGAGTCTTTCCGGCCGTGGAACCCTTTCCAAGATAAAGTGCAGCCTTCGCGAAATTCGCTCGATATTTGTCGATATCCAACTCCTATCTCGATCACCGCCACCTCACCTCTCTCTGATTCCAGCAACTCGGCTTCAGAGAACATAGATGTTCACTCTCATAAATCTGTGCGACACCCCCTTCCTCCCCGACCGCCGTCGGAGGTTTGCTTGAGAGATAGCCCACCACAGGAGACAGATCCTCAGCACCAGTCCGATGTGGAGGATCAGACATCATGCGTTAACCCCGAAATTGATGCGCTCGAATTCGACGACATCTTGCAAATGCAGGATTTACCAAGCTCTGGAGACGAGGACCATCCGATGGTCTGTCATGATCTAGGCTTGGAGTCTCAGTACTCGCTCGGCTTTGGACCGTACTATTCAGAGCGCGCTTGCACTACCAGTCAGCGCTCTCATGTTGGCAATGCTGGAACTTCTGGTCTCGCCCGCGAGTGTTCCGACGCAACAATTGATCCGGCGATTCTGGACGACTATCATTCCCCAGATATTGAGCAGAACCCCACAAGAAATGAGACCTCGGACGTTGTGTCCCCTTATTCTCTGCCAGATAAAAGGGTTCGTGATCCCAGCTTGCGATCATCTTCGCAAAGGGCGACGAACCCTCGGCGGCAGCGCTCCAAAGTCAGCAAGGTTGCCGTCGTCGTGGCCAATCGCCACATGAACAGGACTGGCCGAAGAACCCGAGCAAAAAGCCCCCCTGGAACTTCGTTCTCTGCTCTTCTTGATCAATTCTCTTCTCTACCGGTCGAAGAGCGACTCCAATTTTTATCCTGGCTATTTGAGGGTGCCTTGTCGCAATGCCTTCATTTGCCCTCTGATCCGAAATCTGCATCAGTATCGAAGGGCATCGAGAGAGAAGAAGTAGTCACGGCTTCATTGGCTGAACAATCAAGCGTAGGCGATGAAAATGCCCACGGAAAGCCTACTTGCTCTTCAAGAAAAGGATTGCGCTGGTCACTAGAAGAGAAACGCCTTTTGGTGCAGCTGAGAGAGGAAGAATCTCTCCCCTGGTCGGAAGTGGTTACGCGATTCCTTCAAAGGTTTCCTGGGAGGAGTGAAGGTTCCATACAGGTCTATTGGAGCACGACGATAAAAAAACAGCGATCATCTTAGCGGGAACCAAGTGAAATGCCATCTTCTTCAATTCTGCGTTGCCATGTACAGAGTACACTCTTTCGAGAGAATATATCTTTTGTGAGACTACAACGCCGTTTTTTATATCGTCAGTTCATAGAGGCGGAGCGTCTGTGTGATTTTCATGAACCGTCGACGCATAAATCTAATCAGCTTTTGATGACGTGTTACTTCAATCACAGCACTGGTCATACATAGACTTTGAGAAGGGAAGAAACATTCTTTCTAGAGGCTTCAGCACCATTTTTAGTCTCTCATACTGGTCGCCTCTGCTCGTGAAGGATGGCGATAGTAGATGAGAGTTGTAAAGCAGTTGGGGCAACGGCGTAAACAGGAAGCGTCGATTTTAGCCAAAAAAAGATCGGTATGCCCCTGTCCGCAATGGTTGCACTGCAGGCATCAGCACAGTTATTCGCTGGGAGAAGGAGACAGTAAGCAGTAAGATACACGACGCGTTCCATTTGGAATACCAACCACATAGAAAGCAATTACCTACTTGGTCTATCCATACTTCTACTGGGGCAGGTTTCTCGCAAAAATGATAGATCAAACCGTGCTGCAGAGCGTTGCACGACGAAATACGGGGCCACGCCATCAGCCAGCAATTCAAGATGAGGGGCTCGTCCCGATTGACAATAGATAAGGTATAAGACGGTATAGCAACTGCAGTTCTTATCCTGGCTGTTTCAGGGTGCTTTGTCCCAATGCCTCCATCGTTCAACCAACTCACATGACGCATCAGCGTTAGGGTTTGTCGCAGGCGATGCAGATCCTTTGACTCCCTCTGTGCAATCATTACCGGATGCCAACGCGGTCGACGTAGAGCCTTCTCGCACTTCGAGAAAAGGACTTCCTTTTTCTGCGGAAGAGGATCGCCTTCTGGTAAAGCTTAGGAAGGAGGAAAATCTGGCCTGGTCGGAAGTGGTCACGCGATTTAGCCAGAGATTCCCTGGGAGAAGTAAAGGCTCCATACAAGTGCACTGGAGCACGAGGCTTAAAAATCCAACCGCCGTCTTGAACTAGCACGCAGAGGAAGAAAGAGAGAGTATATTGGTTTGCTGATACACAACCATTCTTTCCCTGTAAATAATTACTTCACAAACTATGAACTACTGTCCGCTTGAATTCGATGGCTACATGCGCATGAGCTGCCAGAAAGATGTAAAGGTAGGCCGTATGATGATAAACCTAAGCTTTGGCACAAACTTGTCAGCAAGGCCAGTGGTATCCGAACAGTGGAAATGCTGGTGATCGAGGGTACGGATGAAGGAAAGGCGTACTATAAGACATCCATGACACGTTACTAGGTATGCTATGGGGTCTTGGGGCCTTCGCAGGTTTAAAGAAGCTGTTTAGCGACTCGTAGGCCGGCCGTCCATACAATGAGGTTGCAAAAGCAATTTTTGCAGCTGATTCCACCGAGAGCGGCTCCCATAAGCGAAAAGTACTTACTTAGGCCGACGCTGACCCTCGTTCCTGCCTTTTCAGCCTTTTGGAGCCTAGTCCGGCATGGCTAATTGCACGCATATTCTTACTAAATTCCTCCTTTCTTTTCTAAGTATGATCTATCTACTCTATACACTTTCTTATACGCTGTGCGAAATAAGATCGGGACAAGTTTTGACCGACGGCATTTTCCAAAATACAATCCAACTAGTGATGGGCCACATGATCAAAACTTCAAGAGCACAAATAGTATGTTACAGATCTTAACTGCCGCAACGTAACGATGGTCACACTAGGTAGCTGTAGCCTGTCGGTGTGCACTGCTTCCGCTCTGGTACACCGCCATGGCATGCCGCCTAAGATTGAAGTCCAAGTTGCCGCCTTGAGCACCGCCTTGGGTCCTTTACCCTGCATCCTGCCGCTCGACAGACCGCCTGCTGAAAATTGTTCACAGCCTCACCGCTGAGAGCCACGATTGCACGACCGCAACGCCGACCGCTTCCTGCATCTAGCCCTGACCGGTCTTGTTCTACACCGCCGGACGAAGACACAGGTTATTCCCTTCTCACCGCCAAGGGCACCGATCAGCGCACCGCCTTTTGGCGTCTCTCCTTTCACCGCTGCGAAGACCGCTAAATGAACCGCCTTCTGCATCCGTTTGATCATCACCCCTCGTATTTAGATTCCGTTCTCTCAGTGACTCACAACGCCTACTCAGCCCTATCTGGGTCGACGTCTTAACCCAACCGATGTAACATTTCTGAAAAGCCTAGATGTCGAGACTCCATACTTGAATCTACAATTGTCTCTATATATGAACACTTCCAAAGCTTGAATACTTCACTGACGGGCTCGATTCTGACTTTTTAGCACAATTAATCATGTGGCCGAGTCAAAAAACAGGCCGCGCAGGAACCTCGTTTGGGTCCAAAATCCGTCACCCCATCCTAAAGCTTGCGAGGCCCCATGTGCATCACCCTTTAAACCCTCATGGAACGTCACTCATTTGTACGTTATTCGCCCTTTCTTTTAGGTGGGTATAAATGATGATTCCTTCCCATGGAAAATTCTTAATTATAGCTGTTCAGTAAGTATACGGTATACCAATCTATCCCACATCCCATTAGTTCACGCTTGAGATTTAATGGAATGTCGCTGTTTCAAAATATATACATACTATAAACAGATGCTGTAAAATTGAAATTTCGTTGAAAAAAGGGGTTTTAAGGTTTTCAGATTACAGTGTTTGGGTCCAGAAAAAAATCCAGGGTTCTAAAGGTCGGGATGTAACCTCGATGAGAATATCATGAATTGAATTGCTAGATTTACTAGTAAAATATTGAGATTATCAGCACTGCTCAAGCCTCTTTATCTCTGTTTTTTTTAACCGGCGCAAGGGACAAAAGAGCCTACGTATGCTTGCTTTGTTTGAGGACAGTCAGGTAACAAAATCCAAACCATTGAAGGTCCCTAGAATAGGTGAAGTCTTATGAGACTCTGTAATGTTTCCGCGTCAGCCTAGCAATGAGCACGCGGGGACAGTGAGATCTTATCCATTCTTCATAATCAACATAGACCTGAACGAATTACTATCTCTCTGTATAATACACGTCTACTTCATACATGTAGGGCATTGTGACCTAATATTCTGATGCTTGGGCCGACGAGACTTTTTATAAATTTCAAAATACTTTTGCAATGTCACATGAGCCTAATGACACTAATGACAGTGTGACAAAAATCAAAGTACTGAATTTGATTCTGACAACCATCACCTTCATCCTGAATCTTCTATCACGCATGCGTGATTGTTGTGCTTTTATTGCCCCTCTCGAAATTCTGATCGGTTACCACAGTCGGTGTGGGGTAGTGCGAGCTCTGAAATACTACCTTAGCTTTATCCTTTTGCTTCAATGTTAGATTGCAACATACCAAGTTTGAAGTAAGAAAAGCCCAAAACCCAGATGAATCGGCCGACAGAATATGTACCCGACCTGTATCTCGCATGCGAATCCCTACGCATACATCTGCGTTACACATCTTGCTATACTCGAAGGCTTTTTTCATGAGGTTTGTTTTGCGGCGACATTGTTTTTGGCGCATTGATTTTCTGACTGGAGGACGTTTGAACAGCCTGGTTGTCATTGAAGTCATCGCCGGTGATTGAGTGTATCTGCAAGATTTTTCTGTAAAATTCGTGAGCCGGATATACCAAAAGACGCTCTTTATAGGGGAATTATCTATTAAGGTTTATGTTTATACTACGTACGGCCAGTGTGAAGATAGGAAAACCAACACTTGATCACCGGACTCTCCACATCTCACGATGTCGATATCAGCGACGGCCTCAACGTTGAATTTTGACTGTGTTATGAGGAAGTGAACCAACATGGAATTTTATGAACTCAAAAATTGATGCTTCGATAGATCGAAGGTTTATTGGCTTCATGTTGAAGAGTGTTGAAGAGTGTTGTGTTATTTAGATGCAGGTAGGCTCATGTACAAGTAAAATAAAACATTGTCAATCGTGGGTTTGTGTTGGGTGAAAGGCCCAAACGATAGAGCTTGCTATCTTTGCAACGCTGGAGCCCATGGCGTAAAGTGAATATATATTCAGTAACACAACTGGGATTATTGGATTCTCGCCTTGTTGGGAGTGGAACCGGAGGAGCTGAAGAGTCAGTTCATTGCGCTACCACGGTGGCTCCCTAGACATACCACTTGTGTGTGCGTTGAGAGAAGCCGGTGTCACCCATGACACTGTTTGATACCACATTGCATAGATTTCTAGATTTCGCTCCATGAAACAGCAGAGACTGCAGCGAGGAAGATAATAGAGGCGACAAAGAAAGCAAAGTCGAAGTGGTAGAAATGCAACGGCCATTGAAAGTGAACTATTAGATACAGTCTACTTATGATAGCCAGAGTAAGAGCAGGCATCAATATCGACTGGGCTTGGTATCCCGAGATCATTTCCAGCGTACAATGAGCCAAGATGTAGGCCGGGCAAGAGAAATTTGCATCATACTTATGCAGATTAGACTAAAGACACCTGCTCCCACCTGGGAAGTAGGGATAGCTCCATGGCAGCCATGAAGATAAGCACAAGCTTATGACCCCGCATTTCTCCTCACGTAGTTTTCTGATTTATTCTGAAGGATTGCCTTCGCAGCCCCCAAGGGGCCTATAGAGATTCCCAGTCCTGGGCTTAACGGACCGTCACCCGTCAAGAATGCGCAAGAGCCCGTTCAAAACGCAAATACAGATTAAAAAGCCCCACGAAGATGCTGATCCTAAGGCTGCCGAGTTTTCAGGGTTTGTTGCAATTGAGGTGATCTGAGGTGCACTGTCCAAAGAAGTTATATTGGGCATGCCCCCGGTGAGGTTTTGAAAGGGTGCAAAGGTTGGCAAAATCAACGATAACGGCATGGGGACAGTGTTCCAAGAAACCCCGCCAGTCTCGGTCTCAATGGTCAGATGGTGTGTAGCTGTGGTCTCCTTCAGGGACGAGTCTCCAACTTGGCCGCTTAAGTCTTCTGAGAAACGAGTCATCTTTCGCAGAGGATATTTGATCATTGGAAATGACCCAGAGGACAAAATCAAGTCTTAAATACTTTTTGGTGCTGCATTAAGTTGAGAAAAATGAAGTCCACCACTTTTTCCCTCGTCAATTCTGCAGTATTGAAGAAAAAGTGAGTGACAAGGTTCTTAATATCGTCGAATAGCTGCGAGGTAATATGTAGTATCAAAGTATTAAATACACCGCTGCTTGAAGATACAATGTTGCTCTGAGAATCCATCAAGATATTGAGTAGAGGATTTACGTGTGAAAGTTATTTCATACTGATGGGTCGGCTCATACGCGTTGAAGTGGTGAGCTTGTGGGTTTTTTCCATCGCAGTTGAAGACGAGCTACGCTGAATCCGTTGTCTGATCACCCAATCTCCGCGGGATTGACACCAAAAATAATGCGGTAGATCAAATATTGAACTATCACGGTTTCGCATCTCCAACGCAAAGTCGGTATCTCCAGCGGCAGCGCATGCAGATCGCTTGAAATATCAGCGAGCCTCCAAGAAATCGCCAATGTCAATTACAATTCGTGTGTGGAGTATGTAGATACCTCATGTTTTTACGGCTCCGTACTAAAAGTGCCTGAAAGCATGTGTCACGGCGCTGGCGTTGCCCACTTAAACAAAAACCTTTTGGCTTGTGATGACTCAATATTATATTCATAGTCCTCTAGTATCGCAATAAAAATGTGGCTGCCACTCAAAGTCTTGCCAAACTGGAGACCGGACCCCATTGGTGGTATAATAAATCTAATAAAATGATTATGCCCTATTGGAACACAGAAAAATGATACTATAAGTACACTAACTCCTACCGACCAGACCATTTCATCGCAGAGATTCTGTCAATAGCAATGGCGAATTCATGGCGAAAGCAGCATACAATAGAAGAGGAAGAAAGAAGGTTGCACGCGTACCGATCACGCTGCTTTCAAGTCACTGCAAAAGTACCTCTCTACTTCCTTTCGTTCGAAGAAGGATTTAGGAGCTGGATGAATAACCACGAGAACGTCACCAGACTCGAAAAACTTATGAAAGCCCAAGGTTGCCAGCGACTTATGCGAGAGAACCACGTGCCCGTAATAGTCTCGTCGGAAGATTGGATGACGAAAGTTGTACCGGTCTATGAGAATTCCAGAGTAGGCCTTGACGTGCCCCATCTGCAGATTTCGCCTGGGTACCGTTTACGCGCATTGGATCACGAGAGTCTCATCAACGCAGCCCAGATCAGGCTCAAGGGCCCAGACCAGTGGTGGATTGTTGATGTCTATGTTTTGGACACGGACTCTGGTAAGTGACGATCTGTTGGATCTTCGAATGCTCTTGACAGTCTAATAAAAAGAAATCGCGCTAATCAGCACAATCGTGGGCTTTGTATCATTGCAGGCGACGCCGCAGGGATAATCCAACAGAGATTTGTTCGTTCATTGAAGGAACGGATCCCTAATGATCTCAGTCCCCCAGATGGATTGGCTTATGAGCGAATCAACTACTACGAGGGGCATCTCGATGGTCACATTAATCGCTCCGCAGCTGACGACTGGTGGGCTGCCCTCAACACAAAGACACGAAGTTCGAAAGAGAAAGGTCTGCGGAACTTCTTCAGGAATGCAAAGCTGCACAATAAGTTGAACGCCTTGCTTGCGATTAGAGGACTGTGGGAGGCCATGCGTATTGGGGTTCTCCATAAAATCACTGCAATGCATTGTGATGAGGTGAGTCGACACTCTTATCGAGCTCCCAAAAGCATCGCGCTGATCATATATTCACACCTAGGCCATATGTTGCTACTGGGAGCATATCCTGCAAACATTCCTGAGAATAGTTGGGGGGCGACAACAGCTACTTCCATATATTGATGGCGTGACGGTTGAGCTTCTTGAATCTCGTGCCCCGAAAGTATCGAAGAGAGATCGACAGTTTCTCCAAAAACGAATGGATGACGGGCAGCTCTTTGCCAATCTGGATAATCAAGTTCGTGATGAGGTCTGGCAAAACCTCCTCAGGATCGATTACCCAATCCCCACGTTAAAAACATTTTTCAAAGATCGTCTTTACCTTGAGGTAGCTCAGAACGTCATGAAACAAGCCTTATTGCCGGTTCCGAATGACACAGCCACCACTATTGACGCTGGTCTCTGTGCTACATGGGATAGTGCGCGGTCGGGGACGATTCCAGTACGACAGGAACGGCTCGAAGAGGGTCTCCTGGAGCTCTGGCGGTTCAGCTTTCAATACGGGTTCGAAATGACTGGTCACACCCGCTTGAAATCCGATAAGCAGGTACCACAAGATGGAATAGAGGCAGCGGAACTTTGGCGGCATTTTTTTGCTCTGTTGAGAATTCGGGGGTTTAAAGCCCCCGATGGAGACTCCGCTGCGGCACCTACCATGCCACTTCCCACCCCACCACCATGCGAATTTCCCGAGAACCCGGAGCATGAGATTGAAGCCCCCAAGCGATGTGGAAAGCCTTATTCCAATTCCGCTAGAGCAGATCGATTCGCCCTCACAGCCAGCTCGATGCGCCAGCGATCAGTGCCTGACCGCGTGACTGCCGGATTCCTGCGCCAGTCCGTCTTCAATGCCTTCTTCAGCTATCTTCAGACTACTGCCACCGGGACTAGTTCAACAACTTATGAGGTTCTATTGCAACAAGCGCAGGTGGAGGTGGAATCGAACCAGCCTCCTCTCAGAAGCGAGACAGTCAGTCCAGTGAATGGGCACGACCAACCGAGTGAATCCACATCCAACGAGCCGAGCTCATGGAACACGACTCCTGGCAGGGGGCTGATCAGTGATTCTGCATATACACTGTCGAGTTCAGCCAGTCAGTCCCAATCGAGCCCGGTGATCATGAACTTCAACCTCGCGGGGCTATCAAGGGATCAGCAACAGTTACAGATGCCGTACGATTTTGAGTGGATTCACCAATTTAGTACTGAGCTAGATGCAAATTCATTTGGAGTGGAAATAATGGACACTGGGCGCTCTATCCCACCACAAGATATTTTTGACTACTACTCAACTCACGCTAGCTCGCAGCTAGTTGCTAGTCTCAACAATGAGGATAGTCTCGGGCCATCAATCAATAACAAGAGAAAAAGAGAGCATTCAGACGACGCAGGTAATGATTTGAATACGAGAGCAAAACGGTTTATTGAAGAACAGGCTCTTCGAGCCCGCGACCGCATAACAATGGACTCGGCATCAAGGCATACAAGCTTTTCATCCCTTTAATTGTCGGAAAAGGGAGGTGGCAGGATCTCAATTTCGTATAATTAGATTCAATTTTTGATGTGTGATGTCTTTTGCTAGAGATTTATATTTTCAATTTGGGATTAGGGGAGTGATTGTCAATTGGTGCTTAAATTTGTTGATACCGGGATAGACTGCGCATTCAAAGGAAATCCCGACAGACAATTCCGGGCGCATTTGACGTACCGAATCTTCTTCAAGGCGCAGACATTATATTCCTTTATCCATTGAAAATTTGATTTAGGATTGAAATGTCCCCAGAAAGAAGTCTAGTTCAAGTTCTTGATATATCATGTTACTTTGATCAGCTTTAATACATATGGAAAGCTTTGTTCCGGCATATGTTATTAATCTCATTGACTGAGGATAGATTAAATCAGGTTTTGAAGGTACATGAACGCGTAAATTGAAGCAGGGTATGCTGAAGGTGAGTTGCCTTCTTCCTCCGATCCTCCAGATTGAGCTCCATCTCCCGCAATTGCTGTTTGAGAAGATCCCTCTCATAGATGAGCCATTCATGCGAGATTTGAAGCTTACTGTTTTCATCCGCTAGATGCACATCCTGGGCGGACTTCACGATATAACACTCCCACATAGCTAAGTACAAATCTAGAAGGCTGAGGCCGTGTGCCGCGATGGACCCATCGAGTTCCAGTAGTTGTCTTATCTGCACCGTCAGAGCGCCAATGGGTTGGGATTGCTGCGGTCATCAGTACGTGTGCAAGAATAGTTGATTTCCCTTGACAGGACACTCACCTGGGGGATTTTACTGGGGCTCCCGTCAAGCACCTCCGCTTTCGAGAACGAGGCTTCCCCATCCTCAGACAACTCGTGCGGCTTTTTGTTTGGATAATCGATCAATGGGTCTGGGCTTCGACAATGCTTTCGGTCCATAGGCGAGGACATCTTGTAGAATTTGGTGGCGGCTCAAATATGCGGAAAATAAAATCTGAATCATGAATGAATAGTAGCAGCGCAGTTTGAGCGCTTATATATATGTTTCTTTTTGGCCGTCGGGCTTTGCAATAACAGAATGTTTGCCAAGAGAGTGATCAAGAAAGTCAATTTTGTATTGCAAGGTGCGGTCTCCCAACGTTGAGTAAACGCCTCGGTGGACTTCAACACTTCATTCACCAACAAACTTAATCCATGGGTTGAAGTTCCCAGTTGCCAAGCCTAACTTGGAAATGCTCAATTCGACTGCTTTTACAATCGTGAATTTCGGGGTCCTCGACCTGGCCGCTATCAACATCTACAGGGTGACGCAACGCTCATCTAGATCTTAGAAGCATAAAATCACCCGCTTATTTTCTGATGGGTAAAATGCCATCCATTAAAATACACCAATACCGGAATATTGCCGGACCCTAGGTACGCTTGTCTCATGATAAGAATACAATAGCGCCTGCCAGCCAATTTAACTTGTAGGTGAGCCTGATTCTAGTATCTTTAGATTATAAGAATGGAGAACAATAACCTTTGACATCTTCTGACCCATTCAATAGGCTTCGGGGAAAACAGTGGATATGAGGTGAACGAAGATAGTGAGCTTAGCCATTAGAGCGCTAAAAACAAACATGATTTCTCACCTCGTGAGAAATATTCCATGGAGCCTTACTCTGCAAATCAAGTACAATATGTAGAAACCTGGAGGCAAGGAATGGTGTTATATTGATGCCAGACAGAAGATGAGGCTCCAGCGATTGGGTCAAACATGCGGGTTGAACTGGAAGTTGGGAACACGCCATTCATCACGTTAGGCCTTCCAAATCGCGTAGCCTGTCTTACCGGAAAAGAACATAAAAGCGAGCATCGCACATCCAGTCTTACCCATCAAGTCTAGCACCATGCGTCTTGTTCCTTATCTCTTCACTGTCGGCCTACCCCTGGCCCTTGCGGGCCGATTTCAGCTTTACGATGTCGATGGAAAATGCCGTATCTATTCAGTTGACAACTGGGATTGTACGGGCACCTCGGATCCAATTGGGAATCTCAAAGGCAAAACATGCGACTGTGAGAAAGCATCTCCATGCATCCTGGACTATTGCTAACAAGCCACTCGCCAACAGTGAAATCAGGAGTGGCAGACGAGCCGCGCTTCATGAACGTCTCGATCTGTGGCCACGATGCCAGGAACAGACGCTCGGTCGCGACCGTTCAACTCGATGATACTGGCCTGATATGGTTCCAAAACCTGCAAGGCCAGGCGTCCAGTTGCACAATCGACGCGTCTCTCCAAGTCGGGAGTGAGTGCACAGTTGGCCGAAACACCACCGAGAGAGTGACGGCCACTTCGTCCCACACTCGAACCCTGGCCGTTGCGCGTCCTACGGAAATTCCATCCCCGACTCAAGGCGACACGACCGGACTAGCGACCGACTGCTAATACATCCTCTGCTTTAGGTGGACCTGCGAAATATTTTGCTGTCAAATCCATGGCTTTGCTCATGAGACTCAAATATTTTCTCGTCCTCAAGTTATTGCTCTCAAAGTTTAAATAGGCCTTGCAAGATTGAAAATTGATTGACGTAATTAGTCTCTACGATATCAACCGAGCATTCTGAGTCATTGAAAGGTGAATATAGATTTGTGATAAGTCCTGGTAGCGACGATCAGGTAGCTTCAAATCGTTCTTGGCTCTTGACAACATATCTAAATGGACAACAATTTTGATTTTGCTGATATATTCTCTAATCGACGGTACATCATCTGTCTCATGGCAAATATCTGCGAATAAAACGAGCCAAACAACTCGGCTCTAAGTACGAACAGCTTCTTTCATGGCCACTCAATTGAATGGGATATTCGTCCCAATGGAGTGCTCCTCTCGGGGTGGCTCTTCCTCCCAAGACCCCCATAGCACCAAGTAGTTGAGAGTGTATGATCCCTCCTCTTGCACGCGACGCACTGCAATAGCTTTGATTGGCCATAATTGGCCAAGCTAAAAAGACGTCAGTTTCGGTCATGCGGAACTGGAATAGATGGTTGTCTTACCTCCTTGTTCTGCTCGTTGGACCAGTCCCGCCCGGTCGAGTCTGGTACGCTCGACGAGTATTCAGTGGTAGCTTCATCGGAAATGACAAAGTTATAGTCTTCGGTATTTTCGGACGGGGTGTTCTTGTTTGTTGACTGTGAAGACGATTCGTCGGCAGTGACAGGTTCTTCAGGGTAGTCCGGCCAAGACAAGGTGGTAAAAAGCTCGTTTTTCGGGTGCATAGCCATTAGTCAAGTGAGAGTTGGACTGAAAGTTGAGGAAAATGAAATGAACAGTGATAGAGAATGGTAGCCTGGGCCCCTTATAAGCGTAGAATGTCGGTATTGGTGGCCTGCTTCTTCGGACTGAATTTTTCTTGTGATTGGAAATGGCCGTTGGTTTATCGAGCGCATCTGTTCACTGAGCGGCTATTTACTGTCCCTGTTTATTGAACACCTGTTTACTGAATGCCTGTTTACTGAACGGCTGTTTACTGAGCACCTGTTTATTGACCGTCTGTTTATTGACCGTCTGTTTATTGACCGTCTGTTTATTGACCGTCTGTTTACCCAACACCCGTTTATTAAATACCTGTTTACTGAACGCCTGTTTACTTCTGACTTTTTCACTGCCCGCATTTGTTTAATGGAGACATGCTAGTAAGCTCGAATGTATAACTCGTGTGCATTTCATTCAATGAAAATATAAGCCAATAATAATCAGTTGCTCAGTCTATGGGTAGCATCCACGGAGCAGGAAAAGAACCCTATCCCTTCTTGAAACTTCTTGAGACTGACGCGCTCCAGGCTGAGTGATGATTCGAGGATGAAAGAAAGGACTACATCTCACTGCATTTCAGAGCATATGTCTCTACCATACATGATGATCGAGTCACCTGTCACCGTTGTCTCCTGCATCAATATCTGCAATATTTCAAAACCTCAGGGCAGGGACTCGCAATCAAAATTGGCTGCGTGAGCAGTTAGAGCTCTCTGATCAATGATCATTCGTATGATGGGCGCTAGCTGTTGGTGAGCGGAGCTTGACAAATGAAGTGGACATAGTTCCTCGCATGCTTCCTGGGCTCTGCACACACGCGTCACTAGCTGATATGTCTTTTCTTGTAGCCGGAAGATTTCCGTATAGATGGAAGTCATAGAATCCCGTGTCTGCGACTCAAAAAGCTCGTCAAGTATCTTGATCAAGTCTGCCGTGCTCTCTTGCAGTATCTTGAGTGCTTTGTAACATTCACGCAGGTAGCGATTCTCGATTTGCTGCTGACCAATCTGTTGCGATAATTCAATGAGCTGTTGCATATTGCAGGGCCTGTTATATGTAAAAAGTAAGATGATGCGGGCAATGAAATTAGTCACTGGACAGTTGGGCTTAACTCTACTATTGAGTTGAAGTCTCTATGCGCCTGAGATGAAGTCAGTAGATAAAAATATCCAAAGCCTCCCGTCAAGTTGAGTGGTTCATCCACAAAATCCAGCACACATGCTCACTCAACAGAGCGTTTTCTGTGTTTAGTCGGTGGGTCACCGTTCCGCGGAGATCAACGCTTGAGATGAGCACCGAATGTCAGTGAGGAAGACTTCGAGCCTATATATTGAGACTCAGTCCGCCGTCTTCCTTCTCAGAGCAAGTCTCCTCCTCACTCCCCAATGAATAACAATCGCCTTCCCAGCTGCCTTTGCGGCGCCATCGTCGCCAGTGTTGGCTTCTTCTATTTCTTGGTCTACGCAGTTCAGTTTCTTCTTTTCCATCTGTCGACCTCCCTGGATCTGATTCCCACAGCTGTGCTCATTCTTCTCTTCCCTGTCAGCATTGCATCCTGTTATCTATATGCAGCTCTGAGCTATGTGATTGAGATCATCACAGACGAACCACTGGCAAGTGAAAGTGGTCTTATCAAGCTCGTGGGGACTATCTCAATATGGGCGACTGCGCTGCCTGCAGCGGGTTTTCTCCTACCAATTTGGTCTTGGACACATCTCGGCTATCTTGTTGGCTTGACAGCAGTTGCACTAGGTCATCTTCAAGTGAGAATTAGACAGTCGACCCCACGCTCCAGCATCTCTCTTGATATCCTGTCCATCACCATGCTAGCGCTAATGCCAACAATGCATGCTCTTGCGGGGCCAGCGTCGTTCCTGGACCCCCTCGCTACTGCATTCGTGAAGTTGTTGGCCAGCAAGGTTCTCGGGCTAGTCATCTACACGTTGCAGCCGTTGGAGGCTTTGGGAGTTCCGCATCTTTGGAGGCCTAGCTTTCATGCCATGTGCTTGATGACTACCATTGCACTCATTATCTATTCGCACGAGGTGATGCAAGTGCTGATTGCGCGAATGACTTAACTGGGAGCTATCGTAGCCTGCTGCGTCTAGTCATTCAGCCTAAATCTACGCGAAAAGCGACCGTCTTTCATCGATTGTGGCTGAGGGGCCGCTGTTACAGTGAGTTGCGAGCTGGCTTTGGAGTGTGCTGCTGGAGACAAAGCTAGGATCTGTATGCGATACTGTATGTTTTTTTGTTATTGAATTTGTTTCGATTTCTCATTTTCATTGAGGCTCAAAAATCTTTGGTTAAATAAAAGAATGAACTGTTTGAGTATTTCAATGTGGAGATCATGGGTCACTACAGCCAAGCACGTGTCTATATTATTCATTCCCAATTGCAAGATCTCAAGACAGCCGTACTTTCATTCAAAACAGGCTTGTGTAAAATACATACATCAATGGCACGAAGGAGTTCATACCGAGATAGCGGCTTCTTTTGGATATTTCAGGCCTCCGAAATAAGTCACCAAGAGTCTGAGTCCTTGAGGCCAGACAAATCGAGTTGCATCGAGCGACCGTACGGATAAAATCTCCAGATGCACTGCGAGACATTTAGCACACTCGGTGTGGCATCGGGCGAAGTCGGAGCATCCAATCGAGTCGGGTCGCCTCACGGTCGGCGGTATTACGGCGGAGCAAATGCCAACGGCGGCGATGTGTTTCTGTCTTTTGGTGACATACGATGCTTTGCTTTGCTACTAGGCATCCAATTCTTTCGCTGAAACGCAACTTTATTCTGATGCGAGAATGGTCGTAAGGCTTCTTCCCAGGCGGAACTGGCTGGAGGGGCCGTGCGGTATGACGGGAACTGTAGGAAATTCTGGCGACCATGTTGAATTGTTTTGACTGGTTGAGACGGTAGGTGGTGCTTCTCTGGAGGGTTACCGGTCGAAGAATTGTATAGTTCACTTGATGGACAAGATTTTAGAATGAGTAGCGGAACTGCAATCAATATATATCCAAAAAGAATCAGCCATACTCCTCATCCGACCTGGCAAGGTCACTTTTGTCACTGCCATCAAATAGTGGTGAGAACTGTCAGTGAGCATTTTAGCACATTCTAGTCGAAAAAATGACTTCTTAGCAGCATGAACACCTCATGAAAGGCCAGCTAACGAGCACCAACTTCTTCTGCACTGTCTAGAATCAGTTGCTAGCAGGATCACACGTGTACGCGCTGAATCTTCCTCGTCAGCGACAGTGTTTTGGATTTATGCTAAGTCCCGGTTAATATTCGATATATTAAGAGCCCTGTCTACTTAGTCCCGTACGTTCCATCTTAATGATGGTTTTACGAAGGAATGCCACAGAGGGGAGCTTCAGGCATCTCTGCAGATTACCATTTACATGAACAGGATATTTGAGCGAAAGAAAGGACGATTATGAATTTCATTTCTTGGCCTTGGAGTGACAGTCAATCAAATGGAAAGAGTACTCAGAATCTGCTGCTTCAAAAAAGGCTATGTGCATAAACAAACTTTGCTCGTTCTCCCACAAAACCATTGCAGCCGAGGCTCTGCCAAGCAGTACTCATTCCACAGAAGACATCTTTCGGCAGTCATCAAGATCCTCAGTGAACTTCCCTGTCGGCCCACGCACCCAGCCTTCACCTCCGATAGATCCCGTAGAGACGAGGATTTTCTCCTTAAAGAAGATATGAGAAGTCTCTAGCAATTCTTGGGAAGAGCTGGAGCTGGGGTCGAGCCAGAGAAGTGAGTCGGGAATTTCTACATCCAGAAAGGGGGTGGAGACTGCTCCCATCTGGCTGAGGCCAGCATGGGGAGATGTTGACCCAGAAGGATAGTTTTGACGCGAGAAATTTCTCGATGCCGGGCTCTCCGCTTGGTTGGAAAGATCGGACTTGACCAAGGAGCGAAGGCGATTGAGGACAGTAAACTCAATTTTGAGCTTGATACTGTACACTACCGTTTTGAGGCTGATCTGAACAAAATGAAATTTGTATTCGGCGATCAGAAGGAGAAGGTTGAGAGCGAGCACGAAAGTGTTGACCATGACTAAGTGGACCATGATGCGCCTCTCCGCGCAATCACGAAGCGCCGTGATCGGCTTCAT